ACCCTAACCCTAACCCTAACCCTAACCCTAACCCTAACCCTAACCCTAACCCTAACCCTAACCCTAACCCTAACCCTAACCCTAACCCTAACCCTAACCCTAACCCTAACCCTAACCCTAAGCAGAGGTTGCAGGTGAAGAGCATCTTGGCACCGAGAAGGTGGCTTTTCGACCTCGAGCTCGTAGGTTAGCTCGAGCTTAGATTTGTGCGGCCAAACTCATTTTTCAGTGATTTGCACTGATTTTCGCGACGCGCGGAGAACTGCGCAGATTTGCAGACCTCGCTCGTGCATTAGGTGGGGCGCCTATCGGCGCACCAGCATCACAAACCTGAACACCAAAAGGACAGCTCAACATCATCAGCACCGTCAATCATTCACTCTGTCATGTCCGATCAAAACGTCCTCTACATCAATCGTGTCCTAGGGGGCCTTCATAATGTACGTCCTGTCCCTCTCCCTTTCAAACTACTCCAATCGCCCGGAAAACAGTTAAGCTAATAAATTCCATCAACAGGACCTATCCTTCCTCGTCGACTCCGGCGTCATCACAGAACAAGCCTACAACTCCATTTCCGCCCAGATCCCCCGCCGCTGGGCTGCAGGTTCTGTCGTCACCTCCCCCACCAACGCCATCGCAGTCTCCGCTCCCCCCGCGGCCGCTGCTTCCCCCCAACACCAACAATCAAACATCACCGCCCTCCAAGACAAATTCTCCAACTCCCTCTCCCTAAATCCTCATCAACCCCAACCCCCTGCACCACCCGTGCGAGGTCCAGCACCAATCGCACACGCAACGGCACTGTATGCATACCCCGCCTCCGACCCCGGAGATCTTGGGTTACAGCCGGGAGAGAGGGTCGAGGTGTTGGAGTACGTTAATGGAGATTGGTGGAAGGGGCGGATTGCGGGGACGCAGCGTGAGGGGATCTTTCCATCCAACTACGTTCAGTTACAAGAAAAGTCGATGCCGCCGGCGCCTATGCCGTATCAGCAACAACAGCTATACGCTCCCACCCAGCCGGGACCGTACAACGCACCGATCCCGTACCAGCAACAGCAGGTCCAGCAACAACCACCACAACAGACTGTCATTGTCGAGCCAAAGAAGGAGAGTATGTTGCAAGGCGTCGGAAAGAAATTCGGTAATGCGGCGATTTTTGGAGCGGGAGCGACGGTTGGTGCGGATATTGTGAATGCTATTTTTTAAGGTTTTGATCTTTGTCTATTGGTCAAGATCGACATGACTGTCATTATGGGTAAGCGAGCGGCGTGCGAGGTGTCGAGGTACGACTAAGGGACTTCGAAATAAATACCATATCATTTTCATATCGCTCTCCTCCGTCGCCCGCATTCATGTCGTAGACCCCGGTGCAAGAAATCATACGGGTATATTGGCTGTCACAAGGTAGTCACTACTATAGAACTAGAAATACCATGCCATCACCAAACTCAACACTTCACGAGTCTCCCATTCCGACTTGACAGCGATATCAGAGCGTACCAGCCCCAACAGGAAGCGTGCCCTCCCCCACCGGCAACACCCCCGTCCCAACAGGCAAAGTCCCATCGACACTCGATGCAGTTGTACTCTCGCTAGAGCTAGTAACAGACACCACGTCAACCCCCGGAGCTTCAGTCTCCATCTTCACATCTTCCTCCCGCACCCCCTTCAGCTCCTTCTTCAGCGCCTTCTCACGTTCCCTCCCCTTCCTCGCCTCCCTCATCACCCTCATCTTCTCCTCCTGCACCATCCGTTCCTCCTCCCGCTCCTTGGCTTTCCTCGCCTCCTGCACCATCCGTTCCTCCTCCCGCTCCTTGGCTTTCTCCTCCTTCACACGTTTCTTCTCCGCTTTCGCCAGGTCTTTGCGGGCTTTTGAGGCAGCGCGTCGAGCGCGTTCGGATTCTGAGGTACGGAATTTGAGCCAGCCGACGCCTTCGAGGGCGAAGTGTTTCCATCCGACTTCGCGGTTTGCCATTGTGATCGGGGGTACAGGTCCGGGGGTACGACTTCCAGAGGCAACACCGCCCGGAGTCAAGGAAAGTGAGGTAGCAGAGGCGGCGGTGGGTGTACCCCACCCCGCGACATCCTGACCTTGCCCAGCCCCCCAGCGTCCCGTCCCAAGGCTATCCCCGGTCTGAGACGCACCCGACGTCAACCCCGCAACATTCCACATCACCACCATAGTAGCCAAGACAACCCTCATCCACCCTCCCACCAACCACACAAGCGGCATCACCCCCACCACCCAATACACATATACCTCCGGCACCGAACACCCCAACCCCGCCCCCAACAACAGGATCCCAACCCACCCCTCACACACACACGCGCCCGCACCCAACGCGGTAGCAAACACCCCCACCTCCCTGCGCGGATTATCTCCAAGTCTCGCCTCTAACGCCCCCAGTCCACAGCGGATGAGGGTTTGACGGGAGGGTTTTGGGAGGGAAGCGAGCATGGGGAGGGAATCGGCTGCGTTGCGGAGGAGGGCGAGGCGGGCGTAGGTTACTGATGCTGGTTCGCGGAGGACGTATGATAGCATGTTTATCGCCGGGTGTGGAGCGGGTTCGGGCTCTGGGGCGATGGGGAAGGCGCCGGGTGCGGGATGGAGGCGGATGGGCGGGGGAAGGGGACCGCGTGCTGTTGCTGTGGTAGGCGTGGATGTTGCTGAACGTGTTGTTGGTGTGATCCTTGCAGTATAAGCACTCGCACCCGCACCTGACGGCACCACCACCGAGTCCGACAGCGGCTGAGAAAGTGAACGACGAACAGGTAAACCCGGAGCCGCACCCACGCGAGGCGTAGAACCCGACGTCGAGGCCGCAACAACAACGTCGACCGTAGCCGAAGCCACTGTCTCCGCGCCCGCCGCGACACGAATTGGCTGTTGAACAAGAGCAGCAGCAGGCGCTGGCATCTGCCTCGCCTGCACCCTCGCCCTAACATCCTCATACCTCCCCATACTCCTCACGTCTTCTTGTCCCTGCACCCCACCTGCCGCGTCCGACCTCGACAACACCCTCCCAGCCGGCTTTAGGGTCTTAGCCTTCGCACCCTCCAACCCCCTCCTCACCCTCTCCTCCAACTCCGTCCTGTGCGTCCGTAGCGTATCCCGCAATTGGGCGGGGTTCGAGCGTGCTTGTGTCATCAACGTTCTCAAGGACAAACTCGGACTCGACGGAGCGGCGTTTGGACGAGTGGGAAGGAGTGGAGAATCAGGGGAAGAGAGGGAGATGGAGGATGCGGTTTCGGTGTATGTGGAGTTGGTGGGGAATTGGGTTAGGGCGATTGCTTCGTAGTCTTCGTCCAGATCGTATTCTATGGTTTTGAGCGAGGGGTTTTGTTCGAGGAGGTCTTGGGTGGGAAGGGTTGTTGTGTCGGATGAGAACGTGTCGGTACGCGAGATTTCTGACGGGGCGCGAGCGCATAAATCTTCTTCTTCATCCTCTTCGACGGATGTATCCAATTCATCGAGGAACCGTGCTTCTGGGGTAGTCTGCATAACTGGCGACTCCGTCAACTCCAGTTCCTCCAAGAAAACGGATTTCCTAACCGCGGCTGCGGGACGGGTGGGTAAAGCCGGCGCCTCCTCTTCCTTTTCATCTAATCTGATGAGATCCGGGCCTTCGCCTGCAGCTGGCCGAATAGGCACCTCTTGAAGTGACGACGTCGGCACCGGTCTGCGGCGGGGAAGGAGGGCGGGGTGGACGCCGGGTTGATCCACCAAAGTAACGACATCTGCCATGTCTTCGTCTTCCACTCCCAAGGCCGCATTGTCCTCATTAACAGCGCTCGACGGAGAACTGGCTGTGGGAGCAGGAACTGGCTTCCGGCGAGGAGGAAGCGCCGGTGCGGGTGCGCGCTGCGTCGGACTCGATCCCAGCGTGACCAGAGGCGGTGGTTGACGGGGAGGAAGAGGCGGGGGTGAAAGCGGGTGTTGGGCAGCGTTGCGGAAGGGACGGGTCGGCAGCTGATCCATGGTTGAAGTCGTCGTCGTCGACGTCGTCGTCGTCTTGGTGGTGAGCGCTGATCATGGCGCGCGTCCTACTGTACTGCCTGCAAGCCTATCGGTCGGTACCTCCTTCATCCAAGTAGACCACCATAGCGTGTGTTGAATGCTGTCTTGTATCGATTTTCAAATCAATCTTTGAAAACCAACATGCACCATGAAATCTATCTGTGATCCGAGAAAGAGGTTAACAATTCCGAATTGTCTGTGAGTTCAATGCTTGGAAGTCGACGCAAATTCTGAGTTTGCCATCCTTCTTCTTGACGAAAAGGACAGGCGCTCCATACGGACTTACAGATGGTGGTATTTTCCCGTTTTTGAGCAGAGTTTGCATCTGGGCATTTAGTACATCCAACTCTGGTTTGGACAACCAGTATATATGCCTCTGTACTGTGGTGTAGCTCCCTGGACTTCGTCAATGTGATGAACCACATGTCAATCCACTGGCTCTCTGGCTGGTAGATCTGAAGGTAAAACATCACCAAAATCTCTCATGATGAAGCTGGGACTACCCTCTTTCGATTTGGAATTCGCTTTCTCCGAGGGTGTTTCCACCAGAAACATGACCATAACTTCTTCAGATGTCAAATTGCAGATTGTCTTCTTGAATTAAGAATGTCCAATCATATCAATCTCAATTGGGTGTTCTTCTTCTGGGTCACTATCCTCATCAAACTGTGGAAGTGTATCACTCCTTGATCCATCTGACAAAGTCACTGTTTGATTTGCCCAATCAAAAGTAGGATTGAATTTGGCAAAGAAGGGTGCACCCACCAACATATCATAATGTTCTGCATCTGTCACATAAAAGGCTTGTGGAATTCGTATGTTACCGAACTGAAGCTGGACAGCTTCAGTAACTTCACTGACAAACTGCTTTTCATCATTTGTTGTTGTGGTTGCCGTCCTCACTGGCATAGGCTGAATCGCGCAACTCTTGATCCTCGCTTTCTCAGCGTATCCACGAGATAGCATATACATTTCTGCACCAGTGTCGAGAATCATCACACCTGGTGTACAATTTGAAATCCCAACACATGGAGGGTTCTCCTGCGATCCGTCATTTTGCCCTCGGCGCCGCTGTTGGTAGTTCCATTGTCGTCGCAGGCCATACCCACAGTATTTGCCTTCATGTGATCTTCGTTGTCGCATAACCCTTTTTCAGCCAGACGATTGGACACTCCTTTCCATATCAATTCATCCCTTGACGAATTCTTCCAAGGTGCTTCAACCTGATCGACTGTGGGGATAGTCGGCGCAATACCAGGTGCTTGAGTAACAATATCGGTATCTTCCGTATTTTCAATGGCACCTGTGGCCATGTCCTTTTGTTCCAATTCCACAGCACGCATTACTAGCACGTCGCCCTCTTTCTGATCAGTAGGTATACCCCACCCTACTGACCTTGACCTTTTCCCGTCTGCCTCTTTGTGTTCCGACTCATGTTGCTGTTGGTGTTGCTATGCTTTTGCGTCTCACAGTCTCAAGCATAATGACCAAGGCGTCCACAGTTGTAACACTTCCTTGTGCTGATATCGTTCGTGAACTCACAGGCGTTTCCCCTAACAAACGGTTTGCGATACCCTTTGTTGAAACATACGGCATCAATTTCCATGGGGTCCTTCCCTCCGGAGCAACCATCGCTCGAACCGTAACGAGGTGGAGCGTTTCCACAGGACAGGAAGTTGTGCCCGCCCGAATCAAGAATCCTGTTGCCGACCGTACGACAATCGCATCGGTCCCCAATCATGATAGCTCTGTCCAGAGTCTAAGGGTTGCCAAGTTCGAGTTCCAACCTGACCTTTGGCTTTAAACCACGGATAAACTTGTCTAGGATTTGGTGTCGCTGAGTTCCAGGACTTCGATGCGTAGGTTGTTGAGTTGAGTAACGTATTCACCAGCCCCATTGTCTGACGGGAGCCGTGCCACTCGTCTCTGAGTGATCTTGCAGCGTTCACAGGGGCAAAGTACTTCATGAGACCAAGCTTGATGCTGTCCCCAGTCGATGCCGCAGTGTCCTTACCCTCGACCTCCCAAGCCCTGAGCTGCGCGCGATACCATGACCTCTACAATGGCAACCCCTCGGGGATTGAAGCTCAAGCTTCCGGAGTCCTACAACGGCAAACCCGACTTGATGGTAATTGAGAATTGTTGTTCGAACGTAGAAACTAAGGTACCGAAAATACGTGCAGAATCTGTAGTGACCACCCACTTTCTCACGCTCGTCGTCATTCTCGACAATCACCCAGGGGTACTCGTCGCTTCCGCTGCAGATGTCGTCGTCGTAAACGTCAACCCCTCTGTCGAATACCACACCTGACTCCCCAACTGCGTCGCCCCACCGACTCCAACCCCCGTAACACTAACACTTGCACTCGGCGCGCCCACCCACAAACTCGAATCATACTCCGTAATATTCACAACCTCCTGCGCAAAATTCGCCTGTCCCAACAATACCTGCAAACCATCCAAATCAAAAACAGCGTAAACCGACCGCAAAAACGGTATCCCCAACCTTGCCGTCCCGAGCGTCGCACTCGGGGCCGCGAGGAGAAGTGCGCACTGTCCATCCCCGAGCGTCGTTCCATTCGGAATCGGGGTGCATAGTTCGGGGAGGGAGACGTTGAATGTGGTAGCGTGCGCAAAGGTGAAGGAAAGGGTTATGGATGTGGAGGGAGAGGGACAGGGGAGGATGTAGGCATTTAGGGCGGGGTATAGGGTTGCGTTAATTGCAGACGCGATGCTGGTGACGGCGCCTTGCGGTAGTGTGAGAAGGGTTGAGGCGGAGTCGAGGAGGACCGGGACACTGCCCGTGAATGCCGTCACAGGCGCTTGCGGTTCCATCCTCGTGGTGGTCGTGTTCGTCCCATTCGTGCCGTTTGCAACGACAGGGACCCCAATATCCGGCAACCCCGAAACCACCACCCTTGTCACCTCCACCGCATAACTCTCCAACGGATCCACCGTAGCCAGAATCTTCACACCCTCCAACCCCCCCACAAACGCTCCCTCATCCACTCCCCCGAAAATCAGGGTCCCCGCCGTATCCGTACTCGCCAAAAACAGCGAGAACGAGTGCGTAGAGATAATCCCGCGTCGGACTAGAACTTCTAGGATTTTCGGCATGTTGACGTTGGAGGAGCCGTACGGAGCAAAACCTAGGCCGAGGGTTGCGCGGGTCGAGTCACCTCCGAGCCCAAACCCAAACGTCCCGTTAAAGACGTTGATGTAGTCATCCCTCGGTCCAATCAAGAGTGTCTCATTCGCATAAACACCCTCAATCCCCGTCCCATCCGAAAAACTAATCGCAAACTGCGAATCCAGAGCCACGTACGTCGAGGAAGACGCATTATCATATTGCGAAAAGTTGCAGGGCGTGGAAGGCAGCAAACAATGCGGTGACTGCGTATAGGTGACCCAGATATCAGGTGCACACGTGTCGATGAGGAGGTTCACGCCTTGTGCGGGGGTGCCGAGGGCGGAGTCGGCGTAGTATCCGGAGAGGAGGTTGCGGTCAAGATCTTGTTGGAAGGGATCGCGGCGGCGGAGGGCGTGGAGCCAGGAGAGGGGCTGGGATTGGCGGGTGAGGCCGACGGATAAGTAAGCGTGAACGATGGGAAGGAGGAGGGAGAGGAAGACGGAGAGGATGGTGGGGGTGAGTGGGTGCATTGCTGATCTGGTTGATGTCTGGGAGGGAGGGAGGGATGGTGAGGTAGATGATGGCGTCCCTTTTTGTAGACGAGACGAGGGCGGATCAGTTCGTTTCGTGACCGGATAACTCACGCCATCATATCCATTCACGACGCATGTGACTCGGTAACGTTGTCCCTACAGTCTCGAGTTTCCCTTCCCGTCATGGCGTTCTGTAAACCCTTGGATCAAGCGAAACCAAACCAAGGTTCGATCGTAGGTTTCGCGGTGAGAGAAGATCGGTGACTCATTGCCTAACGGTGTCATACCGATGAGGACGTAAAATGAAAGATATTTGCGATTTCTCTAATTGCGTGTTCAGTGCCCCCTAAGGAACATGTACAGTTGACCCGGCGCGGTACCGGTTCGGGCCCGCCAAATGTCAATCGGGCGAGGCATGCAGCCGTCCAACCTTATTTCTCACCCGGCGTTACTAAAAATAGCACACTGCACGAAGAGCGATGTACGTTGCGAACCCGGACTCACGAGTATTCGACGAAGCTGGACAGATTACGGTGGCGTGTCCGTAGTTATGAGGTATCGCGAATGTGTGCCGTTTCGGACATCCATGGTTCAGACACCGAACCGTGAACGTCTCAAATCCTTGACTCCTACCCCCTTCACATATGGTCTTGATCAGTCAATGATTTCCGCCGCAACATTATCACCCATCCCCTTCATTCTCAACGGCGTCCTGAAATACAGATTGCCATCCGCATCTCTAGGTCCCAACCGCCCCGCTCGCAAATTACATTGGATGCTCGGGTGTAACAGCCTCGGCGTTCCTAGGCTCGCGTTCCTCTCCTCTCGTGCCTGGATGAAATCCTCGAGCGTGACGGATTCCGCAATGTGCTTGTTGTGTCTGCGATGTTGGGCGACGGTCGCGAAGGCTGCTTCACGCCTGGCCTCAGGCGTTTTGGTTTCGGGGTAGTCGTGTCCGACGAATAGTCGCCAATCATCCGGGAGGTCTAGTAGGCGTTTCGCACTCCTCCACAGATCCTCCGCGCTTCCGAGAGGGAAATCGGTCCGCGCGGAACCGATGTCGGGCATGAAGATGGAGTCACCGACGAAGACGTTCTTGCCAACTGCGTAGCCGACGTGATCGCAGGTGTGGCCAGGAAGGTGGAGGACGCGGACGGAAACGGAGCCGAGGGGGAAGGTATCATTGTCGTGGAAGAGGGTGTTGAAGGGGAGGTTCGAGGGAGTGGAGGCGATGTCGGGAAGAGCATAGATTGGTTGGAAGTGTGCGTAAGTCTTGATGATATTGGCGCCGATACCCACGGAGACGGAGGGTCCGAGTCGCTGCTTTAGGTAGGCGGCTGCTGTGAGGTGATCCGCGTGCGCATGTGTCTCCAAGACCCCCTCGATTTGGACACCTGAGTTCGCTGCAAACGAGAGCAGCCCATCGGCAGCTTCGGTAGAGATATGTCCGCGTACAGGATCGTAGTCAAGAACCGGATCGATGATGAGACCGCGGCGAGTCTGGACACAGTGAAGGAGGTATTGCCAAGTTTGCGTTGTAGCGTGAAAGAAGGCGGAGATTGCGGGTTCGCTTGATGTGAGGGACGGCAGGGATAAGGTCGGGTTGGAATACGTGGAAGAGGAGTGAACCCAACGCCGAGTCACACTGAGGGATGCGAAAGGCCGGCGCCGCAGGCCCATGGATGCTGTTTTGGGAATACGATCCATTGCCAAGGGCAGTTGTAAGCCGAAGAAAGATTGAGAAGTCAATTTCAACGCAAGCGGAGAAGTAGGCGACGAGGTATCACGCTGCAGATATGGCAGACGACAGGTCCGCCGAGAGCTGAGTTGAGGCCTCAGTTGGATTTGTCCTGCGCATGTAACGTAGACAGTCAGATGTTCCTGAAGCGGGTGCGAGAGAGATTCCCGAAAGAGGCAAGCGGGTCATCCCCGACGTTGCCCCAACGACAAAATCATCCAACCGTATCAATGATGGACATTGATTGAAAGTCTGCAATTGCTTCCAATCCAAGGCAAAGCACAAAGCACATGATAGACCGCGTTCATCATTTTGGCTTGGAGGACACACAGTACCAAAAAGGGCCGGTGACAGATGAAATGTTCAAAGAAATTCAAACGCTGTTGCACGGCCTTATTGGGAAATATTACGACGGGAAAGGCAAGACAAAATGGAGAATACTTACTGAAGATCACTTTCCCAGCTGGTCACCCTGCATCATCCAAGATAAATGCTGGTACCTCACTAAGGTTAAGGCCGACTCCAAGGGTAGTGACTGGTCCAAAGATGAAACAGAGAGACTTCAGTTCGCAGTTGAGAAATACCTCGACAATCCTTGTTGCGGACGGGCGTTGATACTCCTTATTCAGTAACAGCATTCGTCTTCATGGTGGCGCCGCACGAGTCGGGCGGGGTCTATCCAGTGAGAGATTCCGTAGACTGAAATGACGTAACCAAGACTGACAGATGACGTAGACACCAGTAAGACCAGGCCCAATAGCAGGACTGACATGTAGACGTAGACAAGAGGTTGAGGGCAGTTTGTACTAACAAAGACCAGGGCCTTGGTTGAAAGTAACTTGAGATGGCGGGAACGGACTGTCTACCTATCAAGAGGTTGAGGAACCACTTGACTTGTTGACCTAGGAAGGTCTTGATATTCGCAAAGACGCTTGTTGCTAATTAAAGGACTAAGGGAACCCCCCTTTATATACTCTTTCAAACTAAGTTAGGGTTAGAAATTTGCTGAAACGATTTGAAAATTGTCTTATTTAAAGCCAAATAAACAACACATCTTTAAGAGGACAACTCCCTAACTACAGTATTTGCGGGTGTCCTTCCTGAGTGCCCCACTGGCTCCATCCAACACCCCCCTCCTCACCCTCGCAAGTAAAACTCAATGCCTTGTATGGACCCCCTTTGCATCGTACAGGTCCTTCACCCTCTAGGGCATCGATTCAATGAGCTTCCGGAGGTATTCGAGCGGAATCTTTTCCCATTCCTGCAAAGTCCACTACCATGGTTCATCGAGGTCTTTTACAAATGCAGCTCGCTTCCCAGGTGTTTCGTGATCAGGCACCACAAGTCCTCAATGGGGTTCATATCAGGTGAGTATGTCAGCCAGAGTAGGACTCTGTACCCCTCCCTTTCATAAGATTCTTTGCAGTCGAGCGCGTGAAACTTGGTGTTGTTCTCTTGTGTTGTTCTTTTGTCGGATTGTGAGGCTGATGTTGGCTTCTGTGAACTCCTGAAGCTTGGGAAGTAGAAAGTCTTCAACGAAGTCATGCATCACGAACTTGTCGACCGTTGGGACCTGCGAACGAGCGCGTTTTGTGGCCCCCCACCAGCACATTCCACCAAACACAAAGATACTCCCACCACCAGAATACATCCGAGGAATGGATTCATTCACCCTAGGAGGATCCCCAGGCCACACGTAGACCTTTGCAACATGTCCTGGCCCTGAACGCTGGAATTTCAATTCGTCGGTGTAGATGATCCGCATCCAGTCATCCTTCCTCCAGTGTAAGTGCTCCTTTGCCCATTAGCAACGCCTTTCCAGAGCCGCAACAGTTTCCTGTTCTGTGTAACACACTTTGCTCCGCTTTTGAGCAATAACAAACGTACTGTCTCCGCTGAAACATCCCTTTGGTGACCATGATCGAAGGCAGCAGCAGCTTCCACACAGCGTAGCGGTACTTCCCAATGTGAACACTGCGGGTGAGCTGATCCTTATGGCGTTAGGGAAGGATCTGAGGGCGTCCAGAACGATGGCTGTCGCGGTAAGAGGCCGTCTTCCACCAACGGTTAGTGATATCCTGCAATGTGCTTCTCTTGACAAGACACTGCTCCTCAATCTTCTCCTTTGTGATTTTGGCTTTTGTGAGGGCCACAATCAGAGCACGACGGTATGGTCTAACAATAGCGTGGGAACTCGGATGTCAGGAAGCCATTCATCGATGACAATCCCGCAATGACTAATCGTGAGCAAGGGACTGCAAGTGCTGAAGAGGTTGGGAAACGGGCTTCTATGGAGTGCCGTGTCCCAAATGAAGTGCCGGGTCTTACATTTCCTGAGGAGGCAAAGAAGGAGCAAGAACTAAGATCTGATGAAGGGTTTCCTACATCTTGAGTTCTCGACTGACTACCAGAAATTTGGAGGCCAAAGAGTTTGCAGCTGCTCAGACATCCGGCATGATCCATATCTTTGATAACATGTTCGATTGAGAAATGATGACAACAAGAAACCATGCCAAGGCTATATCACTAGCCACTCTCGTCTCCTTCCCCGCTGCGCGGCCGGACATCCCTATCCTACACAGCACCTTCCATCTAAGCATTAAAGTTGTCGTTAATAGCCCTAACCTGCCCCAAGATAACATTCGTCAACCCCCTCCTATGCGCCAACCACACAGTACCGGCAACGATCCCGGGCACGACACTCGCCCCCAGAAACGCCATCAGCGACACCAAAACACTCTCCTCTCCAGGCCTCTGGAATTTAGGCTGAGGATCCTGTCCACTCTTGAGGTATTTCTCCAACTTGGTGACATGGTCGTATCCACCGCCGGGGAGACCGGGGTATCGGAGCCCAACGAGGTATTCCATCCATTTGGGCTGCTCGACGACGGAGCGGTGGTGGGAGAAGGTGTCGAAAGAAGCCTTACCGACGTAAGTTCCGTGACCGGAGGTGCGGACTCCGCCGAAGGGGAGTTGGGGTACGGCGAGTTGCCACATACACTCGTTGATCGCGGCGGTGCCGGAGAGGGTATTGTCCAAGATGTACTCGGCCTCGGTCTTGTTCTCGCCGGTGAAGGCGTAGAGAGCGAGAGGGTGGTTAGCGTTCTCACGAACGAACTTGACGGCCTCGGCAGAGTCCTCGACGGTGATGATTGGCAAAATGGGACCGAAGATCTCGCTCTCCATCAAGGAGTCGGTAGCGGCGACATCAGTGACGACAGTAGGCTCAATGTAAAGATCAGAGATGTCCTTGTTGCCACCAATGACAACGTGGCCCTCAGTCTTGTCCAAGATTTCTGCAACACGAGTCCACTGAGCCTCATTCACAATCCTACCATACTCCTTCGACTCCTGCGGCTTACCCTCGTAGAACTCATTAATGACCTTCTCCAACGCAGCAACGAACTCATTCTGAATGCTCTTGGCAACCAAGACATAGTCAGGCGCAACACAAGTCTGTCCGGCATTCGCAAACTTGGCCCACGCGATCCTCTTGGCAGCCAAAGCAACATCGGCATGACGGGTAACGATGGCAGGAGACTTCCCACCCAACTCGAGTGTGACCGGGGTCAAATGCTCCGCAGCGGCCTTCATGATCAACTTTCCAACACCAGCAGAACCAGTATAGAAAATATGATCAAACTCACACTGCAACAAACGCTCCGCCTCCTCCTTGTGGCCCAAGACGACGCGGTAGCACATGGGGTCCATATACTGCGGGAACAACTCGTGCAACAAAGCCCCGACCTTGGGAGCGTGCTCAGAAGGCTTGATAATAGCGGTACATCCAGCAGCAATGGCACCAACGAGGGGCTTCAAGCAGAGAATCAACGGGTAATTCCACGTACCGATAACGCACGCAACACCCTTCGGCTCCTTCCTAATCACAGGCTTATTCGCAATAGAGAACGGGAAGAAGGGAATGCCAGCGGGCTTCTCGGGCTTGACCCACTCATCCAAGGAGTCAATGGCGCGCTGGATCTCGTCCTTGGCGGGGGAGATCTCGAAAGCCCATGCCTCGACGGCGGGCTTGTGAAGATCCTGTGCGAGCGCCTCACGGAAACGATCGGCGTGGTCGTGGACAAGGTAGAAAAGCTGCTTCAACTGTGTCTTACGGAACTCGACAGATTTGGTGCGGTTTGCGTTGAAAGATGCGCGGAGCTCCTCAACGAGCTACAAACACGGCAAAAGTTAGCCAACTGCGACGGGAAGAACGCCAATTGATACGTACAGCAGGGATCAAATCCAAACTCGTCGACTCGAACTCGGGCAGGCTGATTTTAGGGAGGTCTGACATTATCTGGTATATTTGGTGGTTTGGGTTCCTTGGATTTCCTCCGGTCGCGCTCTTTGGGACAGGACAGCTGCACCGACGTCAGACTGGGAGTGTGGCTTAAGCGACCCGGGCAACCGAATTATCTTGTATCCCCTTAATATTCCCTTTAATGTAAATGAGGTCTGTTAAAACCATGAGAAAACGCCGTCAACGCTCGCTTCAATGTTCTGCATGTATGAATCCATAATCAAGTGCAATGCTCGTCCTCTTCCCGTCTTCCATTCTTGTATCCGTTTAGTCGTAGATTTCCAACGGCGGTAATCGATCCACCGGGTACAACCAATTCCCAGCCTCATCCTCCTTTACCAACCACTGCATAGGCCACTGCACCAAATGACCCCTCAACTCACCCAACATCTTCTTCATGCTCTCGCGATCACTCAGGTCCTCAGTCGTCCACCCAAGATCGCTCCTCCTCAACGTCCCGGCTCTCCTGCGGCCGCGGTGAGACTGACTCCCAGACCTCGAAACCCCGTTAAGGTCCTGTGACCGCACACGCTGGTGCCCAGAAGCGGACCCACCATGTCCATCCTCGCCAATCGGCACCGGACTCCGTATAGCCTCATCCCCCAACCTCTCGCTCCACTCCTTCGGATCCTTGCCCTCCGGATCATCGTCAAACCGCCCATGCTTACTCCCCGCACTCTTCGGGCTTCCCAACCCTGCACCAATCCCCTTCCCGCCTCCATGATGCTTCTCCGTCAACTTCTCCTGCCCCAACCCGCCAGCAGGCCCACTATGCCCCGGCGCCTCCTCCTGTGCCTTCATCTTCCCCTCCTTCGCACCCTGCGCCATCGCCAACCGTTCCTGATACGCGCTATACAGTTTATACTGTTTCCACGTCTGCACGTTGTCGTCTGGCATCGGTCTGAACACTTTGCGGAAGATCTCGGTGTTGTTTAGGGCGGAGGCGGACCAGACGTCCAAGAAGAATTCGTCAGCAAGAGGGTCACGGAAGTTGTGGGGGTTGATGATGGGGATGGTGCGGCCGGTGACTGTAGAGACGTGGATGGGAGGTGTGTCAATCCTAGTGCCGCTGCCTCGAGATCCCCAAGATGTGTTGCGGCTATGGCCCCTGTGCTCGGGTGGAGAGAGCCTCTCCTTGTCCGCCTTGGGCTTGGGTTCAGGCTCGGGACTCGTGATCGAGATATTGGGAGGACGGTTGTGTCCAGCCCTTTGTGTCACGCTTCCTTTACCGTCTCCCAGCTTGTCCACGCTAGTCCTTCTGACCTCGACTTTTTCCAAAGAACTTCTGGGCTTCGAAGATCTCTCCATAACGCCAGGGATACCACCCGCGAGCTGAACACCATCCGTAGAGACACTTCCATACTCGGCGACTGTGACCGGCTCAAGCGTAGCATCCACGACCTTTCCATTCTCTTCGACGAGCTTAACATGCTCCGCATTAGCCGGGTCAAGAGCACAATCACCAGAGTTCTTAAACTCGCGCGCTCGAGGACCACCATACATCCCCTTCTTCTGCTTCCGCTCGTGCTCGGCAGCGTCATGCTCCGTCGCACCAGCGACACTACGCCTGTGATCGGCGTTGTTCGTAACACGCGCGTCCCCACTCTTCGGCTTGCCACTCGTGATATTCTCCGGACCCTCGAGCTCGTCAGCATCATGGTTAAACGAATGTCCAGTCCGCTCGCTCATAACATCTGACAACGCGTCATCCGGGTTCGACTGCAAATCCACCGCTCCCTTCCCACCAATCCCCTCCTCACGGTCCGGATGCCACTCATCTACATCCTGCCACGTAGCCTTCTTATCCAATCCATCCATTTGCCGCTCCTCCTGCTCAATACCATCAACGTCAACACCCAGATGCTCCCTCATCAACCTCATCCTCAACGAGTGTGCGAATCGTCCGACGAGGTAGGGTTTTCCACCCATCATACTCTCCTGCAAATCCGTATCGCGGATCACAGCTGCGACCTCGGAGTCTCTGTTTCCACGCATACTTCTCTCATTGATATTCGCAGACCCGATGATGGCGACACGATCATCCACGGCCATTGTCTTCGCATGAATATAAATCTGCTCCGTCACCAACGTATTGTTGGTACCGACCTCGCCCCATCCCCTCAATCCGAAGAAAGTGATGTAATCCTCCGGATCGATCCCCTCCACCGCTAACCGACCAAAAATTGAGTTCGGTCCACGACAGATAGAGCGATACTGACAATGCATGATCAAACGCACACTGCTACCATCCGCTGCGTCGACAGTATTCTGGAACCCAGGCATGAGCGGAATAACACACACGCATCGCCAGTGCTCATCATTCCTGTACGCGCGGACAATCCTCTCAACCAACGCATCTCCGATGGAGTTCTCGATCATCTCACCATCGACATCCGTGCTCGTGATGAAGAACTGGTTTTCGATGTAAACGAAATGCTCACTCTTCTCGATACACTTCAAATACGCGTTCTGAATCGAATGTTCAGTCTTGTCGGGCGTACCCAAACTCCAACTACCCGCACTCCGGAGAATCTGAACCTCGCACGTTCCGGTCAAGCCCAACTCCTCCAACTCCTCCTTCCCAAAGTCCGGCGGTGGGAGGAGGAATGGCGTCGGTCGACTCGGCTTCTTATGTCGCAACAGATAATTCCACCGCTGCACGAAATGCCTCGTCAAATCCCTCGCCGGCTGTCCCAACAACTGCATCGAGATATCATGCCACGGCATACGCGGAATCTGACTCCGATCATACAACTCCTCATACGGTTTATCCAAATCATGGAAATCCTGAACTCTCGGATTGGAATAATCCTTCCCAGGCCAAATCTGGGGATCATCAACCGACTCCCCTCTCTCCGCCTCGTCAAACCCAAGCGGTTTATCGTCCGTCAAGATATGCTGCGGCGTATCCCACCGCCCAAAACACAAATCCAACCCACCAACAAACCCAATCGTATGATCAACAACACAAATCTTCTCATGATGCGCCCAGAAAAACGTATTCTGCCTCAAATGACTCGGACTCCTCTGCACAAAGATATTCGGATGCAAATCAAGCAACGAATACTTCGTATACTGCGAATCAATCGGTACAGTCGTCCCGACATTATGATAAACAATGACGAAAATCTTGACACCCTCCTGGGCTTTCCTCTGCAACAACCGATCCAGTCTCCATTTCTGACTCGTCGCCGCTGGCCTCCGCATATAAAGCTCCGGACTCAACCACCAATCATGGATATAAATCACGTCCTTCGCCTTCAATATCGCACGACTCACGTTCCAGAAATAGTCGCGTCCATCGACCAACCACTGCGCCGCGACATTCGTCCGAATCGGCGCGAAAGAATCAAACCGATTAGGCTCACTCCACGGCGTAGCTTTCCGCATCATCTCAATCGACTCATAAAACTGCGCAATCGTCCGCTCGTTCTGTCCCAACAACTTCAACTCCCTCTCCGCATTCTTAATCCTCAACGTATGATACTGCGGCCTCGAATGCGGCTTCGAATTCCCCGGCCCCGGCCCCGCGACGTTAACCTTCTTCTTCCCATGCGTCGTAACCCCAAACTCCCCATCCACCAAAAACACATCATAGATATTCATCTCCGCCGGATGATCCACACAAACGATATAACTGTGCCTCACCAAAAACCACTTCGGACTATGCCTCTTCCGAATCTCCACAGGATTAAACCGACTCGCGCCATTACTCCCCTTCCCGCCCCTGATGACCAAATACCCTTCTTTCCCATGATACGTCCCCTCAGCCGCCAACCGAATCCCCAACGCCGAGATCTCCAGAAACTTGAGTAACCGATTCGCTTCAGGCCTGAACATCAATATCCTTATCAACCCATGCAAATACTCCTCCAACTTCTTCCTTTGCGCAACCGCGAATGTCTCTTTCTTCACATTCGCAACACTAACCCCACTTACCGCGCCCAACCTCCCAATCCCCGCCAATATCCCCGCCGCCAGATCCGGATCCATGTGTTCCTCCGAATCCTCCTCATGATTCGAGATTCCCCTCGCACCCCTAAGATACGGAATCGTATCCCGCGGAAAGCGGGGCAGCTTCCAACTCCCCCCCTTTCCCTTTCCCTTATCCTGTAATTCCTTGAGGCGATACCTTCCATGCAACGCCGCAAAATCCCGAAATTCACGGGTAACGCTCCACGCCATCCTCCCGCCTCCATACTCCATCTCAATCCGAAAACTCGCATGTTGTCTCGCCGCTAAATTCGCGGAATCGACGACCCGTAACTTCAACTGACTCAATAAGATCGGAATCCGGGGCGCGTGGTCATCATCCCTCCTCATCGCGCTGGCGAGGAGGAGAGCGGCTGGTGCGACGGCCATGAGCTCTCCAATCAACTCTGTCGATTTCTGCGCGTCTTTATCCTCTTTCTTGGGTTTTGACTTTTTCTTAATTTTCATCGCGCTGAGCGCTCTCGTCCACTTTGGATGTCGGGGGCCGCCGTCGCTGCCTGTGATGGATACCGTCATCCCCAACCGCGGCCGATGGAAGAAACTCGAGCTACGGGTTCCAAGACCAGGATTCGTCGTTGACGGAGCGTCGGAGGAGACGAGGTTGGTGGATCCCAGACCCAATGGGACATTAAGGTCATTCATCGTACTCCTCCTCGCAAACCGTGGCGATACACCAACACCCGCATGTCCATCCACCTCCCCATCCCCATCCCCCTCGCTATCAATCGGCATCGAATCTGTCGGCGCCGGCGACTCAGCCTCCGACCTCGAAACCGAAATCCCAGCATCACTGCCACTGCCACCCCCCCTCCCCCTTAAAAACCTAAACGAATGCGCCTTCCCTCCAGCTCCAACAGCCGTCTCGCCTCCATCCACCGGCCCATCATGCCCAAAACTCTTGAAATGACTCAACAGCCTCGTCGGTCTCTTCTGGCTCCCCCTATCCCTCTCGACAGGCGTAAGAGTAGGCACGACCGGCACAGCCGCAGGCGTAGGCAATATAACCGCCGTACTAACCGAATCTCCAATCGTCGGGCTCTGTATGCGTTGAATCCCCCCTTCACTGCTTGCGTCTGTAACACCATCCGCGCTGGGAGTTGTTGTAGTATGCACGACTAATGGCGGAAGCCGTGGTGCACCGTTGGTGTAGGGTGATGAAGGTAGTGAGGAATCCTCCTCTTGAAGAGTCGGGAGGTAGGGAAGCGTCGTTCGTTGTGGTAATGGGGTTCCGTCCCCGTTTGTGGTGGTGTATGCAGTATCCACCGCATAGCCACCGTTGGCATGCGACCCATCGAAATACCCGTTTCCATTTCCATTCTCCTTATCCTTCATCACGGCTGCAGCTGCAGCTGCTGCTGGTAAAGGGTCAGCGAGAACGACACCCTCCATCCTCTATACTGTATGCCTGTTGTCGTTTTTGTTTTTGTTTTTCTTGGTTTGATGACGGTATTAAATTGGGGCTGGGGGGTGTAGGTACCGGTAGGCTGAGGTTGCGGCTGCAGGCCAGGAGACGTAGGTGTGTCGGATCTGCGACGGGTATGCGTCTAGAAGAGGCGAACCCTAAGGAATGGGTGACTTCCTTCATATCAGCAGGTCATGATTGAAGACAATAATTTGTCCTCTGCTTGTTTTGTTGGGCAGACCTCCTCTCTGACAGCAAACCGTCCTCGGCCCTCAATCGTCAATCCTCGGCCAGCATCCGTCTTCCTATAAAATGTCCAATGCCCAACCCTCTCCCGCACCCAGACCATCGACCGCCCGCGCCCACGTGCAGCCCCCCACTCCCCACCAAAAACAAATCCTGCATCTGGAGCTGCTGGTGCTGCTTACGCCGCGATTACAAACAAAAACGTCGAGCATATACCCCCCCTTGTCATTACGCATTCATCCAGTCAAAAGCGTAAAGAAAGTTTAGGAAACATAAGGAAGGACAAGGGCAGAGGATGGCTACGAATTCGGGACACCATACGGTGTTTAAGGTGATGGGACAGGATTTCGTCGTGCATGATCGGTATCAGATTACGAAGGAGTTGGGACAGGGAGCGTATGGGTTGGTCGTGTACGTACCCCTCCCCTCACCCCCAACGCTGCTCGCCCTCCACCAGGACGTGCAGAACATTTCCGAGTGACTGTATGCTGACTTCTTAGCAACACAGCGCCGCCCAAAACCTCGACTCCCCCCAAACTCCCATCGCCATCAAGAAAGTAACAAACGTCTTCTCAAAATCAATCCTCACAAAACGCGCCCTCCGCGAAATCAAGCTCCTCCGACACTTCCGGGGTCACAAAAATATCACCTGCTTATACGATATGGAAATCGTGCCGGATAGTCGGACGGGGAAGTGGGCGGAGGTGTATTTGTATGAGGAGTGTATGGAGGCCGATTTGCATGCGATTATTAGGAGTGGGCAGGGGTTGACGGATAGTCATTATCAGAGGTACGTGAGAGCGAGACCAGCGGATGTATGCGGCACTGAATGCATGCTAATACGGACGTCACAGCTTCATCTACCAACTCCTCTGCGGCCTGAAGTATATCCACTCAGCAAACGTCCTCCACCGCGACCTAAAACCCGGCAACCTCCTGGTAAACGCCGACTGCGAACTCAAGATCTGCGATTTCGGCCTCGCACGTGGATACTCCTCCCACCCCGACACCAACGCCGGATTCATGACGGAATACGTCGCGACACGCTGGTACCGCGCACCCGAAATCATGTTGTCGTTTCAGAGCTACACGAAGGCGATCGACATGTGGAGCGTTGGGTGTATCTTGGCCGAGTTGTTGGGTGGGAAGCCGTTTTTCAAGGGGAGGGATTATGTGGATCAGTTGAACCAGATTCTGCATTTCTTGGGGACGCCGGATGAGGAGACCTTGTCGAGGATTGGGTCGCCGAGGGTATGTCGTCATTCAAGAGCAATTGTGTCTGAGATGTGCTAACTGAATTATGACTTAGGCACAACAATATGTCCGCAACCTCCCATTCATGCCCCGTGTTCCATTCACCCACGTCTTCCCCAACGCAAACCCCCTCGCCCTCGACCTCCTCTCCAAACTCCTAACCTTCGACCCCGCAAAACGCATCACAGTCGAAGAAGCCCTCAAACACCCCTACCTCTCCGTCTGGCACGATCCCTCGGACGAACCCACCTGCTCCCAAGAATTCGATTTCGGCTTCGAAAGCGTCCAAGACGTCGATGAAATGCGACAGATGATCCTTGAGGAAGTCGTCGATTTCAGGAAAGTCGTGCGTATGCCTCCGGAGCAGCAAGCTGCGTTGGCGGCGAAGAGTCGTGAGGAGAAAGAGAAAGAGAGGGAGTTGGCGAGGGCGAGGGAGATGGAGAGGGATGAGACGCCGAAGCCGGTGGAGGACTGGATGAGGGAGCAGCAGCAGTATCTCACGCAACAAGAACAACAACAAGAACTCTCACCACCCCCAGCTTACGCACACCCACACCGCCAATACCAACACCAAAACACGCAGCCAAAGAGGCGTGATTCGACCATCGACCCATCGATCGCAAAACGCGGCTACACGCGCGAGGAACCGAGACCGAGGGAGGTAGTGGACGAAGCCTATGAGAGTCTGGAAGCGAACGTGGCGTATGAGGGAGACGAAAACATGCTTGACGACGATGTCTCTGACGCGAAGGCTATGGAGAGGGAGTTGGCGTTGGGGTTGGATGGGAGGGGTGTTCATGTTCCGATGCAGGGTGGGCAGGGGTGGGTTAGGTGGGGGCAATAATTGGAAATGTGATTGGCAAACGAGAGTGAGGAATATGGCTGTGGGAGAAAGACAAGTATGGGTATCGTGAATGGGAAGGAAGTCAGGCATACGCGACATTGAAATACGAAGGTTTGGCGGGTTGGGTATACTCTATGGAATAATAAGGCTTTGGTATCGCTATTCGTTTGCTGTCTCACGATTCCTCGAGCTATTAGGCAAGTTCGTTTGCTTGGCATTAAAACGTAGTGATTAGTGTAGACTAGGGTTGATCTCGGGTATCCAACATCAATGCATTGAGTGTTACTCATCCTTCGTCTCTTGCTCCTTCCGTTCCTCAATCTCTTCACCTTTCGTTTCCTTTCCTTCCTCAATCGTTCCTTCTTCTCGAACTTGCCTATCTGCAGCTACCTCTTCCTCGTCCTTCTCTTCCACCTTCAGCTGTGGCTTTGACATACCCTGCTCCCTCAACGCCTCCACCAAAACCTTCGCATCCTCAACATTCCCAATCTTCCTAATCTTCCTCTCTTCCCCCTCCCAATCAAACCCGTCATCATTATCCCTGCTCCCCCGCACCCGTTTCTTGACCATGCGTTCCACGTATTGACTCCGTTCATCTTCGACTTCATCGACATCCTCCAACGCACTCGGCGCAATCTTCCTCAGCTCCTCCAATAGGGTTTTTAGCGTCGAGAGCTGGTCCGTCAAGAAATCGGTTGTTTCGTGGAGGGGGGTTACCTCGTTCGCTGACGCCGCACTCGACAAGAAGGATAACCGCTCCAGATGTTTTTCCAGATATCTCGCACTGATGGTATTCTCCTTCTTCGCGACCCTCAACCGTTTCTGTCTCTTCTCGGCTTTCTCAAGCTCAGCTCTAACCCTCTTCAACTCTTTCTCAACCTCGTCCTCTTCCTCCCGCTGAACACCAAACTCCAAACCCTCGTGGTGTCCCAAACGCATCCACCCAACAACGTCGTCGGGGACATTGAAGATGTTTCTTAGTGTGTAGAGCTCGAATGCGTCGAAATTCCTGTCGACGGCGTTTTCGAGGAGGGTTTCGAGTTGGTGGATGCCTTGTTCCGACTCGTCCGGCGGAACGTTTGGTTGAGATTGGATGAAGGATTCCATTGCGTTGACGGCCTGTACGGGGAGAAAATCAGAATCATTTTGGATGAGAGATCTACTCGAGCGAACCTTGTAGAGAATTGCGTTCGCGGAGTTTATCACATCGTCGATGAATGACAAAGGTACGTGCTCGAAGTGTTCGGTGATGAGCTGTAAGCAGGGGTCAGCTTGTAAATCCGTAACAGATTTCTCGGACCTTTGCCTGCCTCTGATCTCGCGTCTGATGCCATCTTGGCAGTAGTCAATGCTTTGGGGGGGGGGGTTGAGAACGAAGGTGTTTTTGGTGTTTGTTTTGGCCCAAGGCGCAACGACTACGACTCCCGGGGTCGTCCGCACGGGATTTCCAACGTACAACAACCGCGACGTCAACGCACCGCACAACGCACCGCTCCCCCCGCTTGACCCGCCAGCACAATTGAACGATGCTACGGCTCACTACTCTCCTCCTCCTCCTGGCTTTGGTCCACTCGTCCACCGCCCTCAAATTCTCCATCGACGCTTCCCCCAACCCCACCCAAAAATGTATCTCGAACCACGTCGGCCTCGACCAATTGGTCGTCGTCACGGCAGTTTCGTCTGGGCACAAGGGTGATGGACAAAGACTCGATATCGAGATTCGGGATTCGGCTGGGAATCATTATGCTAGTCCTAGGGATGTCGTCGGTGAGGCGAGGATGTAAGTTCCAATCACCCCCCCCCCCCCCCCCCCCCTCTTCGTCCAGCCAAGTGGACGGGTGATGGTGAAGGAATGAGTTTGGCTAACGATGTGAGTCAAAAGTGCATTCACCTCCCACGCCAACGGCCCCCTCGAAGTCTGCTTCACAAACACCCTGACAAACCCCTCCTCGCCCCCCCCTTCCCGCTCCATCGACCTCGACCTCGACATCGGCGCCAACGCCCTCGACTGGTCCGCAATCCAACGCTCCGAACACCTCTCCCACCTCGAACTCGAGCTCCGGCGTCTGGAGTCCCAGACGTCCGAGGTGGTGGAGGTGATGGAATACCTGAGGATGCGAGAACAGAGGTTGCGAGACACGAATGAGAGTACGAATGAGCGGGTCAAGTATTTCGCGATTGGGATGATGGGGTTGTTGACTGCTTTGGGATGGTGGCAGGTTGTGTATTTGAGGAGGTATTTCAAGGGGAAGCATTTGATTGATTGAGTACGCGGGGAGGATAGTATAGGGTTGTTGAGACCATTCATCGTACACGCTTAACCATCGTCGGTATCGTTTATGAGCAAACCAATCTACACAAGTAACACGTCCACTCATGCAGCCGCAAGCTTCGCATTTCCAATCGCCATCCTTCCTTCTTTCATCGCGTCCAGGACATAGTTCAACCCCTCCCGACTCTTCTTGATATTCTTGGCAAACCCCTTTGAAATAAACTCCTCGATCTTCTCCGAAACCCCACCCCACCGATTCGCGAAATTGCTCACAAACTTGGCATTCGTTCGACACACCGTCCCCTCGGTTCCCCTCGCGCTCGCGCCCCACTCCTGGGATTGCACGACATGGCAAAACCGGGTGTGGTCGATATTCCTACTCCGCGTCCACATGAGTTTCTGGTCTCTGTCCACCATGCATTCTTCGAGGACCCAGGAAGCTTTGACGCGGTTGCGGATTGTGGCGGGTGTCCAGGCGGGGAGCAGTCCGGCGCGTTTGCGGATGAGACGTTCTGTGTAGAGGGTACCGTTGGAGTTGAGGGTCGAGGAAAGGGTGTCGCAGGAGAGGACGTGGGTTGAGAAGGGGTTGGGGTAGCGGAGGAACCAGGCGAGCGTCACGGTTTGCCAGGGGGCGGAGAACGTGTGTTCCGAAGTCTGGGAAGCCACCATGTTGAAAAGACGAACGCTTCAGATTGAACTGGCAGGATTGTGTTGGTTGTGACAACAGGTCGGCGTCATCACCTCCGCTGATTTTCTGGGTTGCAGCGCGGTATATACACGTGACGCGCGGGGGCCCGGGTCCAGGACGTCAGCTACTGGACTTCCAATGGACGAAAGGTATGATCTATTCACTTGGTCCGTAGATATGACGGCCTTCACACGCGCAATCCTAGGCCTTTTCTTCGCTGTCCATCCATGCTCTCTCATGGTTCACCCACCATTCCCCGTCTAAAGTCTGGTCGGCCCTCCCTCAATCTTCTCATGCAAATACCTCTTTCCCCCAACATCGAAATCACCAGCAACGTGTCCCATCCCCCTAACCTGATACTTGTAAATCATCAACCCCTCCAACCCAACCGGCCCCCGCGCATGCACCTTGTTCGTAGATATCCCAACCTCTGCCCCGAAACCATACCGGAATCCATCGGCGAACCGGGTGGACGCGTTCCAGTAGACTCCGGCCGCGTCGATGGCTGACATGAATTGTTGCGCGGTGGGGGCGGAGGAAGTGAGGATGGAGTCGGTGTGGCCGGAGTTGTGGGTGTTGATGTGGTGGATTGCCGCAGGGAGGGAGGGAACGGTCTTTACAGCGATAATGAGTTCGAGGAATTCCGTGTCGTAGTCTTCCGGTGTCGAAGCCGTGATCTGGGATGCGTACTCCGCCAACAACGCCGGTACCTCATTCAACGCGGCAAGAGACGCAGCATCACATCGAAGGGAAACCTTGGCGTCGAGTAATGCGTTAGCAACTTTGGTGAATGTGGTCGTGAGGATCTTCTCATTCACCACCAGTGTTTCGGCCGCGTTACAGGCTGCTGGGTAATGCGTCTTTGCGTCGACGACGACGCGGCATGCCATATCCACATCCGCATCCTCGTGAATGTAAACAGAGCACAACCCATCCGCGTGGCCCAATACCGGGATCTTGGTGTTCTCCTTGATATTTCTAACCAAGGCATTCGATCCGCGTGGGATAACCATGTCGATGTCACGGTCTTGCTTCAAAAGCGCGCTGATCTCGTCCCGGGTTTGAACCAGCTGGACGGCGCCGCGGGGGATGTTGTCCGTTCGTGCGAGTGCACCGGAAACCACACGAGCGATCTCGGCGAAAGAGTGGGATGACTCTTTTCCTCCCTTGAGGATACACGCGTTTCCGGATTTGAGCGCCAGTGCGGTGATATTCGCGATAACCTCCGGACGAGCCTCAAAGATGACGAGAAGTACGCCCACGGGACACGCCAACCTATGAAGCTCGAGACCCTCGTCTAACTTGGTGCTGAGGGAAACCTTCCCCACCGGATCCTCGAGGTTCATGACGTCCAGGATACCCTGTAGCATAGAATCCCACGAACGGGTCAAATCAAGCCGCTTCAACATTGCTCCAGACATCGTCCCGGCCTCGACTTGGGGCTTTGCTGCATCGAGGTCTTTTTGGTTTGCGGCGAGGATTGCGTCTTTTTGGTGTTTGAGGGCGTCGTGGATTGCGATGAGGGCTGCGTCGCGATCTGCCCCGGAGACGGCTTGGAGGACCTTGGAGGCAGCACGGGCGGTTTGTGCGATTTGTTCTGCCATTGTGTAGTGTTCGTAGATTTGCCGAGAGGCTCGGGAACGACAAGAAGTTCGGACACGATTCAGATCGGAGTTGTAATTCCTATCGATTAAACCTTCAATCCGAATCAAATGGATACCTTCGCTGGAAGCTCTTGGTTGTCCTGTGTCGGTTCCGATAGATCTGCCGCGTACGTGAAAACGTGAGGCGGGGGAATTCACGTACCCACCCCAAATTATTTATTATCAACCTTCGACGCTCCATACAATCGAGTTTACATGACATGACAACCGACCATCCCCCAGCAACCCCCCACCCAATCTCCATCCTCCTCCTCGATTCCTACGACTCTTATACCTTCAACCTCCACGCCCTCCTCCGCTCCCTCTTCCCCCATACCGACATCCATGTCCTCCACAATGACTCCATATCCCCCTCCGAGCTACGAAAGTTTCTCCCGACGTTTGATTTTGTCGTCGTGGGACCGGGGCCGGGACACCCGGGCGTGAAGGGCGACATTGGCATCATCCCAGAGGTGTGGGGATTTGGAGGGAGGCAGGGTGAGGTGCCGGTTCCGGTACTGGGCGTGTGTTTGGGTATGCAATCACTCTGTCTACACTTCGGTGGGGCCGTAATGCGTCTCCATACCCCCAAACACGGACAAATATCCCGACTAGAATACCCCCCCGCAACCACCACCACTTCCCTCCTCTTCACCCCCCATACGAGTCCCCCAAACGTCGTCCGCTACCACTCCCTCCACGCCATCCTCCCCCACCCACCCTCCTCTATTCCACTCACCCCCCTCGCATACACCTCCGACCCCGAAAATGGCCGTGTCCTCATGGCGGTCGCACACCACTCCCTCCCATTCTACGCCGTCCAGTACCACCCGGAATCAATCTCCTCCGAAGGCGGCGCATCACTAATCTCCAACTTCTGGGATCTAGCTCGGGGGTGGAATACCGATACCGGACGCGATGCGGGGGTGAAGAGCGTCGTGATCGAGGCGAAGACGGAGGTCAAGCCGCGTCCACTCCTCCTCTCATCCTCACCACCACCCGCCCCGCGTCGAGTTACCGTTCGTAAACTACAGACACACATCTGCCCACTCTCCCTAATCCCAATCCTCGGAATCGACACAGCGGCGCCATACACAGCCCTCCTCGAATCCCTCGCCACGCCGGGACGGTGGTCGATCCTCGCCGTACCGAGTTCGAGGATGGAACATATCACATACCGGATCCCACCCCCTTCGTCGCCGCACGTCATCAGCATCGCGCACCCCGGCACAGCCGAAGCGGTAGCGAGGCCAGCGGTCCCGGACACTGTTCAGGAAGTCCAAGTCGACGACGGGGTGGAAGGCGTACACAAATACCTAGCACACCTCATGCAAGCCCGGAAACCGGATTTGACACAAGGGTATGAGGAAGTCCCGTTTTGTGGTGGGTTGGTGGGGTATATGACGTATGAGATGGGGGTTGCTGGGCTTGGTATTGACCTTCTGCGATCGGAGAAAGCAGAAGCACCAGCAGGAGGAGGAGGAGCTGATGACGCTCCTGATGTGAATATGCTCTTCGTGGAACGCAGCGTGGTGGTTGATACACTCACCAACACGGTCTACATACAGAGTCTGTGCGAGGATGATGCCGGCTGGGTCGACGACGTTGCTGCGAAAATTATTCAAGCACAATCACAACCACCACCATCGAGCCCAACGGTTCCGAAGCTGGGGAGGAGGGTAGAGGTCAAAACACCCAACAAAGCAAAATACGAGGCAGACGTCCGTACCGCACAAGAATTCCTAGCAGCGGGCGAATCATACGAACTATGTTTAACCGCCCAAACATCCCTCCGTACATCAACTCCAGCCTGGTCTCTCTACCAGCGATTACGGCAAACGAATCCGGCGCCATATGCAGCATACCTAAAGTTGGGCGAAGTGACAGTCCTGAGTTCATCCCCGGAGCGAGCAGTAAGCTGGACACGACCCCGGGATGGTCAACGAAGCGTAGTCGAACTCCGTCCAATCAAGGGCACAGTCCGCAAAAGCTCGTCCGTGGAAACCATCGAGGACGCGCAGATTGTCCTCCGCAACCCAAAAGACCTCGCGGAAAACCTCATGATCGTCGACCTCATCCGACACGACCTCACACTCGTCTCCGCACCCTCCACGGTGCATGTCCCACACCTCATGCGCGTCGAAGAGTATTCGCATCTTTTCCAATTAGTGAGTGTGGTGCGTGGAGAATTAGATGGTGACAGCGGTTATGTGGGGTGGGATGCGTTGAGAGGCATGGTGCCGGCGGGGAGTATGACGGGGGCGCCAAAGAAGAGGAGTGTGGAAATTTTACGGGAATTAGAGGGAGAGGGCAAGGGGAGGAAGGGGGAAAGGGGGGTTTATAGTGGTGTGATGGGGTACTGGAGTGTTTGTGGGGCGGGGGATTGGAGTGTTGTCATTCGTACCGCCGTCAATTACGGAAACCGGCGAGTGAGACCTGAAGACGAGGATGAGGGTGATGTCTGGTGGATTGGTGCGGGTGGGGCAGTGACGGCGTTGTCTACGCCCGAGGGGGAGGAGGAGGAGATGAGGGTTAAGTTGGGGAGTGTGTTGAGGGGGATTGTGGGGGATGGGTGTATGTGAGTGGATGACGCCGGGAGGCCTGGGGTCCGGGGTGACACGGACGAGGGAGAAGGGAAAGAGGAGAGGAGGATGGGATTGATTTAGATGCGATTTACGTTGAGCTTCCCAATCACTGCCACGATAGATTACGAGGATTTGCTGATGGTGATTAGAGATAGAGCTATCCCGAGACCAAACCCAATAATGAACCCTACGCCCCCGACGGTCAGCAGCTCGATTTCAATGGACAGATATGACATCATTTTCATCTGCTCGGTGTACTTGACTTCTGTCTTGTCGACGGGGCCTACCAGCAGCTCCATAACACGCTCTACCACCACCCCGTAATCTTCCTCCTTTTCCCCTCCCTCTCCCCATCCCCTTCAGTTTCTCCCCCGCCCACGCCCGTCCCAATATTCCGCCGTACCCACTCCACCAAGATCCCCAAATCTTCCGTCGCCGCCAGAACTTTTCTCACCCGCTCCTTTATCTCCTCTGATTGTTCAGCACCGCCGACAAGGATGCGCTGTACGCTCCCCGAAGCGCTGGCGAGGACTTCGATCGTCGCGAATGGGGTGGAGATAGTGTAGGTCAATGGATCCGTCGAGACCGTGACCTCGACCATCGTTGCCTCCTCTCCGCTTGCCTTCGCTTCAACACCAGTGACTGTTGGGGTGGTTAATAGGTTGTCCACTCCAGCACCTTCCCTCAATACCCGCACAACCATCTCTAACCCTTCCACATCCGCGAACGTGACAGCATCGAGTATTTTCCACTCGCGCTCTTCCCTCATCACATTGTATTCGTGCCAAACTCCCTCCGCGCCACCTGGTAGGGTAAGTCGTCTTCGTCTGCTGGAAGGGGAAGAGGACGTGGAGAACGGTGTAGTCGATGTGCTGTGTCCGGATTCATCGAGTACACGGAGTTGTGGGAGGGACAGTGGTATAGGCGGGAACAGGCGCGCTTCGTAGACCATTCCAGTCGGCAGACCGCTTGTCTCAGCAGCTATATCAGTTTGCATTGTGTCCTCCTGCACCTCAGGTTCCGGTTTCGATCTTGCTGTTACGCCAATGGAGAGGGCCCAGTACCTTCCACGAAACTTCTCGCTCCAGTAGGTGATGCCCAGACCCAGTAACCCGTTCCCGTTCGCTCTCACTTTGCCCACCGTTCCTTCTCGTGATTCGCGACCAGTCTTCTCCTTCAGGCCTTCGTGCAGTTTAGAGACGATGTCAAACGCATCACACCCACCCTCCGTACAAACCTTATCCAGCCTCGCCAACACCCCCAAATTCCTCGCAAAACTGCCCAATTCCTTCTCCTTCAGCGCATCCAACAGAATCTTGTCTCCAGCGGGATTCGGGGCGGGAAAGAGTGGGTTAGGCGTGACCATCGTCAACTCAGCTCTCGTGATCATGTTATGCGGTGGGATGAAATCGATATCGATAATCATCGTCGCTCCACCAAAGGAAAGGGTGCGTTTATCCGATGTTGGGTCGAGGTATGTATCATATCCAAAGGACTTAGCCAGTAGCTGCACATTGTCCTCCGTTACTTGTCCAACTCCCCGTCCCAAATCTCGTTCAAGCCGTAACCGTCTTGCGACATAGTCGACCTCACTCTTCCGCTCCTCCAATACATTCAATAACCTTGTCCGTTCGCGCCGCAGTGCGTCTTTATCGACCTTATCTTCTCCCAGTAGAAGCGTGAATTGAGCTGATAGCGACCCCGCCTGACTCACGAACTTCTCGTCGACGGCGGTACGTGGTCGTTTGACTCCATTGACAAGAATCCCCGATCCAGGCGTGACTGCAGAACTGGCGTAGGGCGTCGACGGAACGGGACTCCCCGCACTCGTACTTGCCGGGTACGGCGTTCGAAGACTCATTCTCAATCGTCAATATCGACAGTCGTAGGCGTGACGGCGGTGTACTTGGTGATTACATTTCTCTCAGGGTAAGTTCTGGCTGCGCTGAAGAACAGGACTGTGCATGTGCGCCAAATTAAGCTCATCGGATCAACGAGGCCGTACTAAATACCAACACCTTCCTCGACCTTCTCGGGATATATATTACCACCTACGATGGATCTCGTTTCTCACTTGCCAGACAGACTACTCTTCGCCGTTCCCAAGAGTGCGCTCTCTCCCATCCCTCCTCTTTCCCCGAGGAACGTTTGATCTGGTGCTGACTCACTGCGACAGAGGGTCGTCTTCACCAGCAATGTCTCGATCTCTTGCACGGCTCCGACATCCAGTTCACCCGTAACAACCGCCTCGACATCGCACTCTGCCTCAACCTCCCCGTCGCGCTCATCTTCCTCCCCGCAGCCGATATCCCTCGTTTCGTCGGTGAAGGAAACGTCGATCTCGGTATCACCGGCCAAGACCAAGTCGCTGAAGCTGGTTTGGATGTAGAGGAGCTCATCGACCTCGGCTTCGGGAAGTGCAAGTTGCAGGTCCAGGTCCCTGAGAAGGGCGAATACCAGACCGCGGAGCAGTTGATCGGCAAGAACGTCGTTACCTCGTTCGAGGGACTCGTGGAGACCTACTTCCGCAAACTCGAGAACAAGCCGACCGGTCCTCTCGCCACCAAGATCAAGTACGTCGGCGGATCTGTCGAGGCTGCCTGTGCTCTTGGCGTAGCAGACGGAATCGTCGACCTCGTCGAGTCAGGCGAGACGATGCGTGCGGCGGGATTGAAGCCTATCGACACCGTCCTCACCACCTCCGCCGTCCTCATCGCTTCCCGCACCCCATCCAACCCTGCCCTCGTCGCGACAATCACCAACCGTATCCGCGGAGTCATCGCCGCGAAGCGCTACGTCCTCTGTAACTACAACGTCTCTCGCGCGAACCTCGCCGAGGCCGTCAAGGTCACCCCAGGCAAGCGTGCGCCCACCGTGAGTCCCCTTGAGGACGGCGATTGGGTTGCTGTGAGCAGTATGGTTGAGAAGAAGGTGCTTGCGCAGACGATGGATAGATTACAGGAGATTGGTGCGACGGATATTTTGGTGTTTCAGATTTCGAATTCGCGTGTGGATTAGGCATAATAGATGGGGGAAAAGGGATACGGAGTTGGAGTTGAGGAGTATATGGGGAGAGGATAGAGCATATCAAAAGCGTCATTGTGAAGGCATTTCTTATTTGTCACTATCGTGCACCTCCGCAAAATACGGAGGTTCAAGCGCTTCCATTTCCCTCTGCTGCCGCTTCATTTCTGTTTTGTTCTCGTGTAATACAGGAGGGGTGTGTCCTTGCATATCGGCCTCTTGATCATACACTCATCCCCTCCTCGCACCAGGCTTGGGCACCCACGCATCAGGCTGCCAATCCTTCGCCGTCCTGTTCATCGCCGGGATCGCACTCTCCTCCGGCTTCGGCCTCTCCTTCGCATCCTTAGCCTCCGTTGTGTCCTGTGCACCAACCCCTCCGCTCTCCTGCGCAATACTCGCCGCCTTCGCCTCCCACTTCTTCGGATCCTGCATCGGGATCTCCTTCATCTTCTTCGCCGCCGTCTGCTCCAATTTCGCCTCCTGCCACCTCTGATCCGCCAGCCTCGCCCTCTCCTCTGCCGTCCTGACCCTCTCGTCCTCCTCCATCATCTCCCTCCAACCAGGTGCGTCATGCCTCCTATGCCGCAGCCAGCTGATCCATAGCGGAGACAGCTTGTGATCTGACCAGTTCTCTGCTGGGTTGGCATACTCAACCATGCGACGAGTTCGGGAGATGGTCATGAGGAGGCCGGTGTGGGGGTTGTGGTTTGGGTCTTTCCATTCGAAGAAGAGGTTGCCGTCGAGGTCGTAGCCTGCGAGACGCTTCGTGCGCCAGGGAAAGGGGAGGGTAAGGTATTTGAGGTAGAGGGCACGGGTGGTTGATTGAGTTACGCGTGCGGGACTCATCGTGATTGTAGGGGTGGTTGTACGTCCGGGGATTTCTGGAGGGGACTGGAGGATCGGAAAGTTACGAAATCCGGGGTCAGTGTGCTAAAAATAGCGACCTCACATGACAACCATTACGGACCACCCCAAGCTTATCAGGCTTTTCCAGTTTGCAATTGTACCGTAATTGCTTTTCGACGATGGTATCTTATGCTATTTAGTGGATATGCCTTCTAGATTTGGTGGGTATCACACAACATGTATCGTCCGCAATTGCGAGCTACACCACACTTTCATTCCTCCTTGACCAATCATAAACCACATTTCTCCCATTTCATAGCCAGACACGTAAGTTCATACCCATGCCTTCTCCTCCCTCCATTTCTCTTCTTTCTCTTTTCCACCAACTCTTTCGCACATCCCCCTTCCTTAGTCTTCCACGCCTTCAATGTCCGTTCCTCACCGTCCTCCATCTGGACCGGATCACCACCAAATGGTTCGACTCCGATGTACGTGAAGTCGTCTTCCGGGATACCAAGGGCAATACGATGCACGGACCCAAACCGTTCGGCTTTAAAGGCGTGGCCGACGACGGTCATGTGCGTTGGATATGCACCGGTGATTTCGTTGAATCGACAAACACTGAATGCAACGTTCTGCCCTGAGTCAAGAGCGTAATCCTCTGTCGTGACACGGTCCTCGATTCCCTTCAACAACCCACGTGCCTCAGCCAATGCGTAATAACTCCCCGCTTCAGTCTTCACGCCAGCTGTCGATGTCCGCGTCTGTCCCCCAGAAAAGACCAATAGCGCATTTTTATCGACTTTCAGAACCTCAATTGCCTTCTCGATATGTGACAGGAACGTGGACCCGCTATCCTGCCCGAGCTGGAAGGACTCAAGCGCCCACTCCTCGTCCGTCGTCCCAAGCTGGGCATCGCTACCATCACCAGCAACCGCAGTGGACGGTCCAGTCCAAACCGAATGCCCCGGCACCATGATAAGGTGCTCCAAGTCACTCCTCGGACTCGGCCCCTCGATCTCCAACCCATGGTGCACCAAACTTCGTTCCTCCTCAACCTCCCCATGCGCGACCCATATCAGAAAAACAAAGAACGTCAGCAAAGCCAACACCACCCGTAGCGGTCTCTTCGAAATAACAGTCAACGGCGACGTCGAGGGTCCTTGTATTGCTGATGAGTGGTAGAGAGGCAGGAGCGAGATTCGTGGGTGGGGCTGTGGTGGGCGAGAGAGACGGCGTGGAGCCTTTTCTTTTTGGAGGTTGTTGCCCATGATGATGGCCATAGGAGAATGAAGGTTGCACGATGCGAGGAGCTGTCGACTGGAATTGGAAAAGTGTTTGCAGGGTGTAGAGTCGACGTTACAGGGATACGGGTCTACTTGTGCCGAAACAGGCAATGGCCCAGAACTGCGCGGTTTCCTCACGTCACACACAAATCCTCAAACGTCCTCGAGTACAACACCCAATATGTCCTTTGATCTATCCTCTGTCAACCTTCAAGGTTCGTGATGAAATGGAGCTTCTGTTGCATCGCTTGCTAACTCTACGAACAGAGGTCCATGACTGGTCCGTCGACCTCGCCCGCCGAGCGGGACAAATGATGCTCGACGGCTCCAACAAACGGTTTCAAAACCCCTCCACTGAAGACCACAAAACCGACGCAAAGAAGAACGCCGTTGACCTCGTTACCGAAGTCGATCAGGCTGTCGAAGCCTTCGTCATCTCCGAGATCGAAAAGCGCTGGCCCTCCTTCAAGTTCATCGGCGAAGAAACCCAATCCGCTGGCGCCGACAGCGTCCTCGATGACCACCCTACATTCATCGTCGACCCTATCGACGGAACCATGAATTTCGTACACGGTAACCCATGGTGCGCAATCTCCATCGGCCTCTCCATCAACAGAATCCCCTATATCGGCATCATCTACTCCCCTTTCCTCAACGAAATGTACACAGCAATCCGCAACCAGGGTTCCTATCTCCACAAACCCAACCAACCCCCCCTTCGTCTCCCACTCCAACCACCCACCCCCCTTGCCGTTAACACCGCCCTCATTATCACCGAATGGGGCGCAGACCGCACCACGATTGGTACATCCGCGCTCTCGGAATCAAGCAAGGAGAATTTTGACGTCAAACTTCGCACGTACTTCAACCTCCTCAGGAACAGCCCGAACATGGTCCACGGCATGCGCTCCTACGGCGCCGCATCCCTGAACCTCTGCTCCGTGGCTGCGGGCCATAACGACGCGTATTGGGAAGGAGGATGCTGGGAATGGGACGTCTGTGCCGGATGGGTAATCCTCCACGAAGCTGGTGGATTCATGTGCGAGGGTAACCCCCCCGAGAACTTTGAGGCGGACGTGGAAGGCGCAAAGGTCGAGGAAGCGACGTTGATTGGACGCAAATACTTGGCGATTAGGGGTGCGAAGGGTGGACGTAAGGAGCAGGAAGATCTTGCGAAGTGGGTTTGGAAGTCGATGGAGGGTGGCAGGATGACTTACGGCCGTTAGACGCGACAACGACAAAAATTATACGATATGATATGATTAGACGAGTGAAACGATATGCCGTGGTCAAAGAGATGTCCGAGTATGCTAGAGACCAGGTAGGCAATTGAGCAGCACCGAATGGACACAAACAAGGGTAACCAATGCAATTGAATAAACGACAAATTTTACCACACATGACTCCTTCTCCCTCTCACCCGCCACGACAACACATCGGTCGCCGACGTCGTCGTCGACGTCTAAGCCTTCTGCAACTTCCTCCTTCCAACCTGGGCCTGGAAACCACTCTTAATCGTCGCCACCGACCTCCTACTCCCACAACTCTCACACTGCGTAAAAAACATCCTGTTCTCCTTCTCCAACACCGTATCCGGGCTCTTACACGTCTTACATGTAACATACTCCACAATGTACCTCCTCAACACCTGCTCCAACTGTTTCTGCTGGAAGCGACCCTTGATAATCAACCGAGCAGCTCCATCCACGGATCCGGAAGTACCCAGCTCGGCGAAGAGGAATGCGATGACATGTTCAGGGGATCGGCGCATACGTTTGCAGATGTCTGCAAGGTTTGCGAAGATTGTCTTTTTGTTACCTTCGCGGTGGACGGAGGGGGGAACGATTGTGTAGCGACGCTTTTCACCGCCGGCGAGGTCGGGGTTGTTTGCGCGGAGGGTCTTGAAGACGCGAGAGAGGAGTTCTGGGTAAGTGTAGTCACGGTCCGACTTGAGCCATGCCTCCTCGCCCTCCTCATTTCCGTCTTTGTTTTCGGATGAACCAAAGTCAGCGGAATCGGTGGGGGTTGAGACGCCGGCTTCGTTTAGCTCGGCTTCGAAAGCGGCGAGGTCGACCTTCTTCTTTGACTTCTTCTTCTTCTTCAGCTCTCCGAATGCGTCACCATCGCCCTCTGCTGCCTCACCGCCCTCGGTAGCAGCAGGAGCGGAGTCATCGCCGAAATCGGGCATGGCGGACTTCTTGCTCTTCTTCTTCTTCTTCAAGTCTCCGAACATGGCGGTCAACTCGTCGACCTCCTTGTCGGCCTTCTCCTCGACTGCCTCGGCGGGGGAGCTGGAATCCTCGGCCTCGGCCTCGTCTTCGGCTTCGGCGATGTTGGCAGCGTCGCGGTCAGCTTTGGTTTCGGGGGTCATTTCATCGTCGAAGGCGACGGTCTTCTTTGACTTCTTCTTCTTCTTGAGGGAGGGGTCGAAGGCGAACTGTCATGAATCTTATTAGCCCAATTCAAAAGCAGATCCATGATCGCAATCATAGCAACGATCGAGGATCAGAGAGAAAACGTACCTCATCGACAGCGACGTCCTTGGTCTCTTCCTGGGCCGACATTGTTGGTTGTTTTTAAGGTCTGCCTTTCTGGTGTTGCGGTTGACGTGCAGTTGCAGTACAAGGTGAACTTTCGTGGCGGGACGCAGGTGGGTGAGTCGACGTGCAGGAAAAGCTCGACAGGTAATGGCAATTGAATGGAGTTTCGTTCTGGCTTAAAGTATCATGTTTGGGGTGTTCTGCGGCCTTCCTTCTACATGGGTCTGTGGCTCACTCTGTTTCCGACGGCCTGTGAGTGATTGCCGGTCATGAAATCGATATCGTCGACATCATTTGTTATGGTTGGGCGTGAAAAGCAGGGAATAGGACGGGACTGAGGTGCCAGTGTTTTGTTTGCTTTGGAACCTTGGCTATAGTTAAAGGTCGTGCCAATGGCATACCTCAATCACGCTGGACATGTACGTACTTGATAGGTATCACAGGACACGAAGATATCGATGGAAGGACGTTTTGGGATTGGAAACAGCAGGTGACAGGCAAAAAATTCGTATTCAACGCGACTTTTTCGCGAAAAAAAGCCTCGACTGTATCATACTCCTATTGATACCTAACATACATTGATCATCCTACAACCTCAGACACTCTATCAAAACCCAAAACTCTTTCAAGTTCGAATTTAAGCAGCAGCATCCACCTTAGCAATGTAGGCAATCAAGTCGACAACACGCCTGGAGTAACCCCACTCGTTGTCGTACCAGGAAACCAACTTGACGAACTTGTCGTTCAACGCAATACCAGCCTTAGCATCGAAGATGGAAGAGGCAGAGTGACCGACAAAGTCGTTGGAGACGAGCTCGTCCTCGGTGTACTCGAGGACACCGGCCATGGGACCAGCAGCGGCAGCCTTGATGGCGTCCTTGATCTGCTCGTAGGTAGCGGCCTTCTCGAGGCGGACGGTCAAGTCGACGACGGAGACGTCGGTGGTAGGGACACGGAAAGCCATACCGGTCAACTTACCGTTGAGCTCGGGGATGACCTTACCGACGGCCTTGGCGGCACCGGTGGAGGAGGGGATGATGTTGGCAGCAGCGGCACGTCCACCACGCCAGTCCTTGGCGGAGGGACCGTCGACGGTCTTCTGGGTGGCGGTGGTAGCGTGCACGGTAGTCATCAAACCCTCAACGATACCGAAGTTGTCGTTGATGACCTTGGCAAGGGGAGCGAGACAGTTGGTCGTGCAAGAAGCGTTAGAGATGACCTTGTACTCGGGCTTGTAGGCGTCGAGGTTGACACCGCAGACGAACATGGGGGCGTCAGCGGAGGGGGCGGAGATGACGACCTTCTTGGCACCACCCTGCAAGTGGAGGGAAGCCTTGTCGGTGGTGGTGAAGACACCGGTGGACTCGATAACGTAGTCAGCGTTGGCGGAACCCCAGGGGATGGAGGCGGGGTCGCGCTCGGAGAACATCTTGATGCGCTTGCCGTTGACGATAAGGTCACCGCCCTCGGTGGAGACCTCGCCCTTGAAGCGACCGTGGGTGGAGTCGTACTTGAACATGTAGACGGCGTACTCGGGGTCAATGAAAGGGTCGTTGATGGCGACGACCTCGACCTCGTTGTGCTCGAGAGCGTTACGGAAGACGATACGTCCGATACGTCCGAAACTGATCCAATGGTATTAGCAATTGCGATCACAGAGCAACGGGATAGAACCGCGGCATACCCGTTGATTCCAACCTTGACAGCAGCCATTTTATTTGATGATGATGTTTGTTATGTGGTGGTGAGCAGCGATCTGTCCTCGTCAGCGCTTCAGCGAGGTAAATTCTGCGTGCAGGTGCGTGGGAATAGATGATGAGATCAACCGATTACTGGTTCGCTGGAAGGACGTCATCCTGACCATACATATATATACGGCTCATTCTACATATGCATCAGGGAACGTCTTGGAGTATTCGGGGGAGGTCGGAGGGTGTGTGCACTTTGGGGTCGGATGGAAGGGCGCCAGGCGATGGAGGTGCTGAGAAAGCGGGAGATATCGGGGGAAAGACGGGCCGTGTCGTAGGAAATACCGGATCCGTGTAGTAGCCGTGTCGTCGGTGTTCTCCGAGGCCCGGCAGTTGCGACGGCTGTTTATCCTCCTTGTGCTACTGTTTCTACGAAAGACCGGTGTTCTGAACTTTGACCTTTGCTCTCGGGTGTCCGCTTGCCTCTTTCGGGATGAGGCACGGGTGCAATCTACGTTACATACGAGTTCGTGCCAAACCAGTTCTATCCCAACATCGAATTGATCCATCGACATTTGAACCTCTACCACATCCAACCGCACCCTAATGACACCCTCAACTCAAGCAAACACCGAACTCCCACCTCACCTCCTTACCAACCCGGACTACATAGCCCTCACCCACACCCTCTCCCTCTTAAAAACCCAACGAGCCCGTGCGGAGGACGATATCCAGACATTGGTAGAGCAGCGGCGGGAGGCTATCGCGGATCCAGAAATCTTCATCGCGTCTTTACACCGTTCTGGTGATGGGGAGGGTGAGAGAAAAGGCAGAGTTGAACCACAGAAAATCGCGAAAGCGCCGCATATCGAATGGTCGAAATATGGGGTCGAGGCGAAAGGGTTAGAGAAGGCGGTTGAGAGGGGGGCTTTGAGGGGGGAGGGGGTCGTTGATGTGAGTCGGTTTGGTGCGTGGAGTGGACAAGGGCAGGTGTGAAATCGATGAGGGTTGAGTGACGGAAAGGAAGACTAAGCAGCGAGTATGACGCGACAATATTCTCTACCACGCGTTGTGGAAGACAAGAGGGACATACGGGCCTGCGTACATGGCCACAACTATACGCACCCTCACCCCGATCTAGGGCTCGGATGCTGCTCTGCCTTGCCTCAAACCAGCTCTGCGACTCTTACCACGAGTGTTCTGTCATGAGGACCGCTCTGCTAGTGACTTATTTAACCCAGGTTCTCCGCTACAGTCCGTTCCTCGGCAACATGCCATCTCGAGGAGAAAGGGGTGTGGGCCCACGGCTGGAAACACGTGAATTGTGTCCTTGAGATATGAGCGTCATGGACTTTTACTTACGATCTCGGGAGACAACGTGTCTGCCTTTTGGGTCACTGGAAGGGGTACGTGCAAGGCAGCATATGCATAATGATCATTGAACAGACGTGCGCAACTGTGGTACCAGACAAGCTGCTGTCTTCCTTCCCTGCTGCAGCTTACAGGATTTCTCGTTATAACAACAAAACCCAGGCCCCACGGCAATAAATTGTCGAAACAAAGGATCTGGGAAATGTTTGCTCCCGTAGCTAACATCATTAACTCCTGGATGCGGGGAGTTCATACATTCACTTGCCTATTTGGGACGGCAATACACCATACATCGTAAAAGGGCTCCACCGACATTTGGTTTCGTGGAAAGCTAATGATCGCTGGAGAAGTTTTTGTCTTTGTCTCGTGGATAACGGTCGAGGACGGGTGCTCGAGATTGTATTCGACGTCGTTCAAAGAGATTCCTCGGAGCGTGGGAGGGTAAGGAGGAGATATTGAGATTGGGATACACGAACCGATTGCTTTGTCTCGACCCTCACACGCTCCGTACTGGAGAAAGTATAAAGTCCAGTCACCTGGACCTTTTGCCAAGAAGCTTTCCAGCAGTCATTCTGTTACACTCACAAATGCTCGCAACCACCCTCGCCTTCGCTCTCTCCACGCTGGCCGTGGCCCAGTCAACCGAAGGTTTATTTTCGTATAACGGTGGATACTACCTCAACCTCACCACTTCCAACGTGCAGAAGGGGTGTTACGGTGTTTCTGCATCGGAGAGTGTCGCGTATGGGTGTTCTACCACCAACTATCTGGCGTTGAGTGTTGACCCGGAGACGTTGGTTGTTAACACGAGTGACCACACGTATGTCACTGGCCTAAAAATGGGCAGGGTCGTGCGCTATGGATGGGCGTATAACTCGGATAACTCGATGTCGATTGATGCGGGAACTGTTACTTCCACGATCGATTTGACCGGTACCGGGTTTGCGTTCGCGGATCCGCAGGGGTTGGTGAGTAATTTGAGTGCAACGACGTGTTTGTTTGCTACGAGCGTTACGGATCAGAAAATCGTGCTGGTTGGGAATTCGACGACGGAGGCTGCTGATCAGTGTTTGTTGGCGCCGCATTGTTTGTTTGATGATGATAGTTGTATCGTCGAGGATGATTCGGTGACGCAGTTGGTGAGGGTTGAGGGTGGTGCTCTTGCTACCAGTGCTGCCCCGACTACATCTTCTGCCTCTTCCACCTCCACTACCTCTACGACGTTGAAGACTACCACTGCTTCCTCCTCTACCACCGTCAAGACCACCACCACCACCACCACCACGGCGAAGACCACTACGAGCACCAAGGCGGCTGCTACCACCACCAAGAAGAAGTCAGGACGTTAAGCTCAGCTGAATGATTCAAAAAGCTGTGAGATGATGATGCGTGCAGCCACGTTACTACTACGGGAAGAGCAAAGGTCGTTGGTTAGCCCATGGTTCTTCGTTCGCTTATTTCTGTGATACCTTATTTCTTCTTTTTGGGCGTTGTCGTCTGGAACGGCGGTGCTTGACCTTCTACGTTATCCTAATTCAGATCACTTACTACAACTTTTCTCTGCCTTCCACGTTCATTGGTGACCTTAGTTAAGCCCGGCACACGTCCCACCAGCTGCAGTTGACTTGGTAGATTGAACGACCAGGAGGACCATGCATACGGCCGGACCGTCTCGTCCTCAGCTAACCAATAAAGCTGTTATCTCATCAGTCTAAGGAACAATTGCCCTGTTCTCAAACCCATGAACCAAGAAATCCTTGATGCTGCCGGGGAAGTGGTACGTTGTTTGCAGTGACATCATTTATCCGGATCCAAGAGAGCTTGGGCAACGCTGACCGAGCCAATCGTATAGTGTGAAGGTCCACCGGAGCTAGACTACGACGTGTTGCTCAAGGGACGGTCAAACACCCAAGGCCGTGCTGGCTTTGACAATGCTCGCGGGCGACGACAGGACCAGGGGTGGAGAGCTCTGCGTAGGAGGAAGCTGAAGAAGGATGATGAGGTAGGATGTGGGGACAGAACAAGTAACCTTCTCGAATGCTCACATGCTCCTACAGCCGACGTTGTGCTACGTCTTTGCTCGCGGAAGACTATGTCGGAATAGCGATTCGTGCAGGTTCTCCCACGGTAGCGACGCATAATTTATGACAATATTTTGTGTTTGCTGACGTGCTTCATACAGATATCTCAACAATGCCAACTCCGAATTCTGAACTTCCTCAAGCTGTCGATGAGACGGAGTCCAATCCCAACTCGCCAACGAGCATGGCTGTTGGTCAGGGACTGACGTTTGACAAGCATACGGAGGAATTATGGTTCGGCAACGGTCCTACAGCTGTCACTGCTAACTTCTCTAGACTACTGGAATTAGGAAGGCCCAACATCCCCGGTATAATTGCCCCTGTCCGTCCCTCGACTGCTTGCTCCCCTCCGACCGGCTGGGGTGAACCTGCTCCTTTAGGTGGACCATTGAGCACACCTGGTAAAGGCGGCGAGGGAGGAGGAGCAGTCGATGACGCACAGGCAGAATGGCAAAAAAGAACCGATCTGGAAGCATGGGTGAAGGAACAACGTGGACATCTTGGGTCAGAAGATATCCCACAAGAATCGGACGATGCAGAAACACTTGACTGGGCTGATAGTATCGCTCAAGAGAAAGAATCTCGTGAAAATGATTGCAAACGGGACGAGAAACCTGTCTGCCGCTATGGGATGAAAGCTACATGCAAAAACAGGGGTAACTGCGAGTTTTCGTATCGAGGTGAACCTGGTTCGAGTGTTTCTCACGGGTATCAGAAACCCCTCTGTACATTCTACGCCAGAAATGGAAGGTGCAGAGACGGTGATTCTTGTCGCTTCCTACATGGACGTTCAAGAGAATCGCAACCGGAGATGAAGGAGGATGTTCGGTGCAGGTTTGAGAGCATCCTCGATGTACCCTCTAATGGACACGTCGCTGATTACCCCGTACAGCCACTTTGCCAAGTTCGGGACCTGCAACTATGGCGAGACATGTCGGTTCTCACACGGCCTGACGTCCATGCTATCGGTTCGTGAAGAAGCCGTCCAGGAAACGGCGAAGGACAAGGAGTTCTGCAGGTTCAAAGCTGAGTATGTCGAGCCACATGGATTTCACTGACAGATTGTGGGTAGCCACTTCATGAAGTTCGGTCGTTGCAAGTATGGTGAGGAATGTCGCTTTTCGCACGGTGTACCACCGAACTCTCCGGATCACCAGACAGATACCAATGCAGGTGGGGAAGTATGGCAAGGTCCGGTGGCCACGGAGTCGAAGCGCATCTGCTCTTTCTACTTGCAAGGTCGTTGTCGTTTTGGCTCCCAGTGCCGCTCCTTGCATGCTCCGCCAGCTGTTACCTCGGCAAAACCCAAAGAGAATCCAATCTACAATCCACAAAAGGAGAAGAGGATCACGGAAAATTGGCGACAAAGACCGATGAACTGGCTTGGATACTGCTCAAAGTAAACAGACATGGGGAACGAAGGAGGCGAAAGCCGGTTGGGAAACGGACGAGAGCACAGCGTGGGCAGAAAGCGTGGGGTGGGGTCCTTAACTACTGGTGGCACTCTCGATTTTGGATTTTTTGGGCATATCACTTTTGCTTATCTCATTCTTACTCAATTCACGCCCATGCATTCGTACGAGTCATATCGGGTATCCTCCTCCACATTACCTCTCTATCCCTATTCTCCCCTCCCAAGCCTCCCCAACTCGCTCAGGAATCCCTTCGCACTAAGCAACTCCGTACTCCCATACACAACTCTCCTCCCCTTCCCTCGCGCACTCTGTGCTCCCCCCACACCCTGTTGGCTCGCCCATTCCTGCAAGTTTCCATATTCCACGTAATTCCCACCACCGACGACGAAGACAATCGCATCGCCCGCCCGTCTGCTAGCGCCTGAGGAGGCGGCACCGCGAGCGAGGGGGTCGAGGGAGACGTAGTCCGCTGCTGGTCCGGTGGGTGCGTGTCCGTCGGATGAGGTTAGTGCTTCGACAACCTTCGTAACCGTCAATTCCTTCTTCGACGGCAAGAAGTTCTTGACACCGCTCACGAGTGCGCCGAGATCAACACCAGAAGCGTCCTTGAACCTCGAGCTCAGACTCGAGAATCCCCGTAACAAGCCATCAGCCCCGGGTGCGGGTGCGGACGCGGTATTCGTCGTAGTCATCATTGTCATCCGCGTTAACTCCCTAACTTTCTTGATCCACTCGATGACGGGCATATCAACACCCTCCTCCAACCTCAACGCACCCTCACACTCCCTCAGCGCCTCCGGGCTCGCCTCGGATTCCGAGACGGACAACCACCAAATCACAAACAACCTCAACTTATCTTCCCCCTTCCTCGCCGGATCCCTAAGAACCTCGAGAAGTTGTGCCCGAGTGACACGTCCGATCGTTTCCTCACGCTGGAAGAAGTCGTCGAGTGCGCGTTCTTTGATGGCAGAGAGGAGGGTTGTTGCAATTGTCATGTGCATATCCAACACTCCCTTTCGTGCCGTCAACTCAGGCAGTGCCGTGATTGCAGACTTCAAACCCGCCGCACCGCCGAGATCTGCGGTCGTGGGATCGAGGTCGTCGAGTGAGTTCGCACCCGTCATCCTCGTAATCTCCGCCGCATCAATCTTATACCTCGACAACTCACTGTCAATATCCTCCGCTACAGTCGGAAATGGTGCATTACTGTTCTTCCGCCAGAAGAAATCTTGGGTAGCGTCGAGGTCGTAGGACTTTTTGCCTTGTGCAGGGTCAGAAGCGGAGGCGGGGACGGTGATGCGGTTAAGGTGGAGAGAGAGAATGTCGTGGATGAGGGATTGGTAGGTCCAAGAGTGGGAGAACATGGGTACTAAATCCACGTTTCTGTCTAGCAGTACCAGCACGGGTCGCGCACCGGTTGCCGGGGTTGATTGTTGTGTCGAGACGGCCCAGTCGCGAAGTTTCTGCTCGAGCTTCACGGCGATGGCTTCTGCTGCGTTTCCCCGTGGTGCACGAATAATCGGTACACCAAGGCCGGACGTAACGACCACACTGAACAAACCTCTCACAATCCCGTCAACTGTCTCAGATATTTGGGATTCGGGGGATGTGGGGGAGTTGAAGGTATGGTACACCCCCGGAATAGACAACGAAAATAGGTCTGGTTCAGCGACAATGAAGTTGAGGTGTTGGTCGTAGACTTGCGCAACGAGTGCGTCTGTCCCATCCTTCGCCGTCGCTGCCGCAAAGTCCTCCAGCTTGTCTCGCGAGATGGATGTGAGGAAATTGACGTAAGCAGACTCATACAAGCCATCCCTCAAATCCTCCTGAATCTTCTCCAAGTTCGCCGTCGTAGGCTCAAGCAAATAAAGAGCAGGAACATCCGGGATCGCTGCCCGTTGTGCGTGCAACTGTGTATGTACCGTCACTCCATTCTCTCGCAGATCCTGGACGCGGAGGATGGAGGATATGATGTCTTGGCCGAGTTTGTCGAAGATCAGGAGTTTCCAGATTGGTGCTGCGGCGTTGGAGATGTCGTCTTTTGAGGTTGATGAGGGAGTCGTGTTCAGGTTAAGAAGACGTTCAATGGCAGCTGCGAAACAGCGTTAGGCGTGCGAGTAAGAACCAAGGGAGGGGGATTACCTTTCTGCCCGTCACGTAGGGATGGTGGTAGGGCCATTCAGTCTATTGATTCCAAGCTCTATGGCGGTCAATGGGCCTTGAATTGTATCGTATACGTAGAGCGTGCGACGTCGACCCGCAGAGGAGCACAGCATGGTGCGTCGCCAATACGGGTACGTGTCAGAGCCTTGAACACTTATTTCTAGTATGTTACTTCAATTCTATCCATATCCTTACTTTGGTATCTCAAAGGCGACCTGTCATCACATCATTCAGCGCCGACGGCGCCCAGCGCGTACGTCCACCCGAACAGCAGTGTACGACGGAACCATCAACTGTCGAGCAAGAGTAGCGGATCATCCTGGACTCATCTGTCAAAGGACCAAAGGAATCCAAACTATTCGTCCTACCATAATCTCAGTCCGTCCCGGCGCGGTGTAATGTCAGCCTAAACGGGTACAGACCGTCGCGCTTCCCTATCCACAATCTACCCTCCATCCAGACCAGTAATCGTTCCTCACCATGGAGAACAATTTCAACAACTTCGTATTCGACGCCTTCGACTCTAACGAGTCCGGCGCTGCCGGTACTGGTACACCACAACCCCAGCAACACGCCAACCCGTACAACATGGGAATGGGCATGCCCTTCAATATGTCTGGAGATCCGGCTTCGGCACAGCAGGATATGTCGTTTCTCTACAACAGCGGTATGAACTACCCCGGAGTACCACAACAGTTCTACTCGGATACACCCTATCCCGGTGCCGCTCCAGCCCAGCAACAGCAAACCGGTGCTCCTTTACAACACCAGCAACAAATGATGCAATTCGACCCTTCGCAGTTTCCGCCAGCACCTGGCCATATGCTCCCCACACAACCCCCTCAACCCACGAAACGCGAGCAACAATTCAGCCCCCCACGAACAACCAAATTCACCTTCACATCCGAGCACAAAGAGCTCCTTGAGAAAGAATTCGAGTCTGGGATGCATTATCCTTCGACAGAGGATAAAGCGCGGCTGGCGCAGACGTTGGGTCCGGGGGCGACGGCGGATAGTATTGGGAGGTGGTTCGAGAGGAAGAGGAAGAGTGCCGGGGTTCGGGTTACGAAGCCGACGAAGTCCGCGACGGCGTCTGTGGCAGCGGTTGCGGTCCAGAAGCAAGGACAAACGGGGCAGGGTGTTGAGGAAAGTTCGGCCAGAGTGGGTGGGCTGCAACAACAACAAATACAGCAATATCTGTCGCAGCAGGCGCCGCAGCAGACTCAACCTCCGCAGCCGCAATCTATCATGCATCAACCCCCACAGGCTGGACAGATACAGGGTCAAGCCCAACCGGTTCCTATCATGCCCAAACCCCCAGCTCAGCAACAGCAACAGCAACAGCAACAGCAACAGCAACAGCAACAGCAACAGCAACAGCAACAGCAACAGCAACAGCAACAGCAACAGCAACAGCAACAGCAACAGCAACAGCAACAGCAACAGCAACAGCAACAGCAACAGCAACAACCACAGCCTCAGCACCAAGCTCCTCCACCACATCAGATGCCTCCCCAGATGGGCCACATCCCGCCCCACATGATGCATCCACAATACGCCCAACATCACTTTCAACTTCATCCTCAATACCTTCACCAACCCTACCAACTCATGATAAACCCGTATCAAGCCCCAGGGATGCTTAATGTCAATGATCCAATGATGGGTGCGTCGCTGAACCCGCATCCTCAGCACGTTATCCATGCGCCGAGAGCACAGCAGGCGCAAGGACAGGGACAGGTTACAGTGCAACCGCAGAATATCATGCCAGGTGGTATCAGGTCGGTATCGATTGGACCCGGTGCGGGGCAGCAAGTGACGGTGAATGCGGGTGCCATGGGAGCAGGAAAGGGGGTAGGAGCATATCAGTTGAGTCAAAGTTTGCCGAATTTGCCGTTTGCCAGTGTAAGGCCCGGCACACCGCCTCGTGCACAGGACCCCCTCACACCAGTCAAGTCGAAACTTAAGGAAGCGCTCGACCCAGCACAAGCAGAGAAAGACGGCAACATCACCCGCGACAAACTCCTCGACATCATGTCCTCAGCATCAACGGCCACGAAAGACAAAGACGAAGAAATCGCGACCAAGACGACGATATTGGAGGCGATGAAGGATGGTGCAAGAGATGAGATGCTGAGAAAGTATGACAATTCCTTGTTTTCTTTGGAAGGGGAGGATCGTTTGTGACGTGTGACGTGTGCTTGCGTGCCCCCATAATACTGATACAGGCGAACACGGATTACAGGTGATGTATTATAATGGTGTACAATGTTTGGGAGAGAGCGCTGGCGCTTTCACTTGGCGTTGTTTGATTTCTGGGATGAACGAAACGGCGACGCATATGGCTTACGGTAATAACGGAATGGTGGTTTAAGGGAAGGTCAATCTGAAGGGGTTGGCTCTGAACAGGGCACGGACACGGGGGCACGCGCACGGCGTCATACGCACACAAATGCTTCCTTTTGCTAATCGCTCTTCATATTGAACCGTGATCGTTAATATGCTATTTTTAATAACAGAGTCATCGTGCACCCTTCAATCCTTGCGCGTTTGCGGAGTTGGTTGCTTGCTGCTTGGAAGGAGAAGGACAAGCACGAATTTGTGGTGGTGGGAATTGTTGAGGTGAGTGACCACCGACACGACACAAAAATGATACATGGAAACTGATGAAATATTTGATAGGTTTTCAATCGAGCGAAACCTACTGTTGCCCAGTTGGCGGAAATCAAATTTGGCAAGGTCATGGTGACGATCTTGAAGAAGACAGAGTCAAAACGTGAGAACAGCCCCCTCATCGAGCATTCAAATAAAGTGGAGAGCTAATGGTTAATGGGGCGCAGTTATCCGTGCACTGCTCGAGAAATGGCAAAACCGCGCGGAACGTGCGTATGCCATTGAGTCGGGGAAGCCCGATCCCGGGCCGCCGAAGAGGGCCGGTCAGACAGCACAACCGAAGAGACCTCTCGAGGCTGAGGCTGAGAGGAAGGGACCGACTGATGATGGTATACATAATGCAACGGACAAACCCAATAACGTAGCTAATGATCCTTTGTCAGCACCGAGAAAGAAGATGAGAGAAGACATCGCCCCTCAGTCTAAACCGAGTGCCGCTGCTGCCACAGGGCCTGTCAAGAAGCCCTTAGGCACTATTGGCACACCCGCCGTGAAAATTGCTGCCGGTACTGCCAAAGCTGCTGCGCCTGCGAAGCCGTCGTCGACGACGTCAAGCTTCTTTGCCAACCTGGGCAAGAAAGCCGAGGAGAAGCCAAAGGTAGCTTTGCCGACGACGAAGATTGCCAAGAAGCCTGCAGCAGCTGCACCTTCATTCAGCAGTGTCCTCCAAGCCGCTGGTCTTGCCCCCTCTGCCAGTGACAAATCGGCCTCCTCCGGAAACTCGTCATCCACCGGAAAAGACAAACCCAAGTCCAAGAAGAAGAAGAGGGTTACCTGGAACGACGCACACCTCGAACAAATTAAGATATTCGAGACTGTCGAACCGCAGTACGATGACTTTTACCATACCGAACACGAGAGTAAGGTCCACAAGTACGGTAACGCGCGTGATCTGGATATCCACGAAGGTCGTGTCGCGTTTGGTAAGGAGGGACATCTTGATATTGAGGAGGAGGTGGAGTGGTATGAACCTCGTGCGATTGAGTTGACCGAGAATGCCGACTCTAGGCCGTTGAAGAGGTTGGGTATCAAGATTCCGGTTAGTCCAGAGGCAGATAAACAGAAGGAGCGGGAAGGTCAGACGCTGATGGCGTTGTACGATGAGAACGACATGCCTACAACTGCTACTGAGCCGAAGGATGACGACGAGGAGGACTTCCAGCCCCAACGCGAAATCCCCTTGCCAGCAGAGTTAAGAGTGAATCCTGAAGCCATAAGGTTGTTAGGCTTGAAACCGCCTGAGGGTGTCGGTGCTGTTCCTCCAGTGATCCAACAAGTGCAGCCGCAAGTCCCAACAGCAGCTCTGGAAACAATCGCCAAATTGCAAGCACTTGCACAACAGTATCAACAACCCGCTGCTGCCGCTGCTCCAGTCGCTCAACCTGCATACACATGGCCGCAACAAGCATACCAACCACAACCACCGCTTGCAGCAGCGCCAGTCGCCGCACCTGGAGCTCCGGCCGATTTGTCGGCAATCATGGCTCAACTAGCAAAACTGGTTCCAGCCCCAGCCCCGGCTGCGGTTGCTGCTCCTCCGCCAACCCAACAACCGGACCTCGCCGCTCTGTTGGCGAGCATGACCGGTGCTCCGGCTTCATACGCCCCACCACCTGCTTTCACCCCTCAACCCCCTCAGAGTACGGCGTATTCGAGCAGCAGTTATGGCAATTATGACCGTGATCGTGATCATGACTACGACCGCAACAGGGACGGAGACAGCAGTAGCAAGAAGAAGGGTCCGAGTGCATTGCGGCAGTATGATGTCCGTCCAGATGTGGCGGATGGGTCGAGGGCTGGGATGTATTATCTGGCCTGTGAATACTTCGTACGTATAGTCCATCGAGTCAGCTATGAAGCGTGCTAATGAACCTGTACAGAGAAAGGGAATGTGCAAGAATGGAGATTCGTGTGGGTATGCTCATGTTCCGCCGGAAATCGATGTGGAGGTAGTTAAGAGTTCGGGGTCGTCGAAGAGGTGAGGCTTAGAAGTGTGGTCGTTTCAGCACTTTCACTAGCTGGGAATCTATATGGGTCTGAGGAGTAGCAGATGGAGGAGCATTACCAGGAATATACAGTTTCCCTACCTACCAAGGTATTTTTATTTCCCAGGTGGCATCTGTCCCCTCCCGTGCACGGGCCCCCATGCACCCTGGGTTAAGTTTCAATGCCCACCACTCCACCCCAAACACTGACCCGTATTAACCAAACAACAACCCGTATATCAGCATACATACAGTTAGCACACTCCAGTTTTACACGGCGAGCAGCGAGAGCCATCAGCTGTTCTTCTTGGACTCCGTGTACGCCCCTTAAGCAGCATTTATCCCGGTTTCACACGCGGGCAGCCCTCGAGAACACCACCGCACGCTCGCCAATTCAAAGACTCCGTTCACGAACGGTTTATGTCGTGCTTTACTGCTTTCGCGACGCCTGTTAAGGCCATTGTCTCGGCTGTCAATTGCACCTCCACTGGCTCCTCCGGGTCGTCTAGCAGGACAACCAGCCCCGACGTTCGCAACTCCCCCGACCAACTCCGTGCCTCATCCCCCCTTCTCGCACCCTCCACCTCACCTCTATGTCAACAGCACCAGCCTGTGATGCGAGAACAACAACGCCCCCGCCCTCACAGCGCCTTCTCCTTCATCCGCACCCCCTCCCAATTTAAAGGCCTAACCTCAACCCTCCTCCTCCGCCGTTCCTCTTCCTACTCCCAACTCAACTCTGAACTCGATTGTGATGAAGGAAGTCTTGCGGATCCAGAAGAGGATGAGAATGGTGAACTTCCTAGGAAGTACGCGATTTATAAGACGGGGCAGAGATTTCGGTGTGCGAGTGATCGGTTGAGGAAGGGGCGGGATGGGGTTTGGAGGGGAATTGATGGGGTTGCGGCGGATGAGTTTGATAGTGGGTCGGATGAGGACGAGGAGGAGGATAATAGTACCGAAGGCTTCGTCACGGCCACGGAGGGGTGGGGAACGCAGGAGGATTTGAGACGTTAAAGGGTGATGAAATGGATGGACCGTGGGAGATTGGACATTGCCTTGGATGATGACTTTTGATTTCGTACGTCGTATAACACAACAACGCTAGCTTCAGTTGTGTCTTTTGAATTGGATTGGTTAACTTGGACTTTTGCGCCATCCACGAAGCCAAAGTCATTCCCGTACTCTTTGGACCTACCACCCCGGCACTTCCTCTTCATCCCCATCCAACAACCTCCTCCTTTCCCCTTCAACGCCCTCATCCACTGCTGCCTCCTCACTCCTACGCTCACTTCTTTCCAACGGCGCCCCCCACCGATTCAAATACATTACCCCAACTCCAAACACCGCAACAACAACGTTAAACCCCTATCGTCCCACAGATAATTAGCCAGCATTCAAACGCTTTCAGGATTAGGGGAACACGTACACTCATCAACCAAAACGGCGCAGCAGGCCCTACGCGGTCAAAGAGTACCCCGCCCACTTTGGTCAATATCAAGATCGCTAATCCACCTACACCACACCCATTAGCACACTCTCAACAAGAATACACCATCATGATATGTACGTACCAGATAGAGAATACACCCCCGCCACTGCACCCCTCATATACGCCTCAACCTCCCTCGCATGCGTACACAATCCCAAGCTCGTCGTAGTCACCCCAATGAGCCCTACCCCAATCAACCCCGCACCTACCCACACCTCGGGACCTGGGTGGGTGTTGTTGCTGTTCGCAACGAGCGCAAACACAGCACAGCCGAGTGCGCCGATGACAGCAGATAACGAAGTAACAGACTCCCGCCCCAAATGATCCGTCAACACCCCCACGAACGGCGCCAACAGAAGTCCCAATAACTGCGCAACACCGCTCAACTCCGCCGCGAGTTTATACCCCTCTCGACCCTCGCCCGCTACACGATTCGCCCACAAGGGAATAAAGAGCGACAACAGGACCGATGAGGCCCGCGCGAGGGCGGAGGAGAGGTAGCCCAACGCGATGGGGCGGGAATGGAGTGGGAGGAGGAGGGCAGAGGAGAGGTGGGAGGGGAGTGGGAGTCTGGGGGTAGCCGTGTTTGGGGACGGGGGGAGAAGGATGACGATGAGCGCTCCTAAGAGGACGGCATAGGCTGCGAGGATTTGGAATGTTGTGCGGAGTGCGCCGGCAGCATCGAGGCTTGTTCGGGTTTCGAGGAGTGCGGGGAGTGGGAGGAATATGAATACGGCCATTAGGGCGCCTATACCGGATGCGAAACCGATGAAGCCCGCTTGTCGTCCGTGTCGCTGTTTGGTGTGTAATGTGGGCGAGAGCTGTGCGAGGAGTGCGGTGATCATCGCGACACAAGCGGAACCACCCAGTGCGAACACAACCCTCCACAGAAACGCCTGCCAAACTTCCCGCATTGCCACCCCCATCCCCAAAAATGCTACCCCCACCAACACGAATCCCACACCAACAACAACCCTCACACCAACCCGATCACTCACCACACCCCACCCCAAAGCCGCCACGAGACTAACACACTCATCCACGAATCCCAAATCACCAGCTCTCGTCCCGATTAAATGGGGTGGCGTGGGCGGGTTGAGGAGGGTGCGGAGGAGGAAGGGGGTTAGGGAGGAGAGTGAGACGAGGAGGGAGATTGTTGTTAGGGCGTGGAGGAGGTGGGCGGAGAGGTGTTTGCGATTAATTGTAGGTTGATCTGCCATTTGAGAATGTAGATGTTTGTAGGGATTGATCTGGTCGGGTTACTTGGACGTCTGAAGTGTTGAGAGTTGAGGAGGAAGAGGAGGAGGTCGTGGGGAGAGCGGGTAGGCGCATGGAGGTGCATGGTCAGTGAAGGAGGTTCTTATGAAACGAAACACAGGTTCGGAATACAGAAACTCAGTTTGGAGAAGTCTTCACTCTCCATCAAAGGTATCTTTTGAGTTGGGCTGATAGTCGCAATCGTGGCCCGTACGGCCTTGAGCTTCCATAGCCACCGCCTCCACGGCTATAATCTATGATCCATCCCTCTCTTCCGATTCCATTTACTTACTCAGCTTCAACTCCTCCATGCAATACCCAACAACCAAATGATCCCAAGCCTGACTCAACCCACTAACCGTCACCGTCCCAACACACACACCCGACTCCAACACAATCGGAACACAACCTCCATGCGCCGCATATTCAGCCTCACGCAACCCTTTGTCTGCCAACGTCTTACCAGCGAGTTGGAGTTGACGGCCGTAGGTGAAGGAGGGGGTGTGGAAACGGTTGACGAGGGCGCGTTTCCGGGAGATCCAGGTGTCGTTATCGGGTGTCGTGCCGGGTTGTGCGAGGTGGTAGACGCACATTGCGCCGAGTTGGATATCGATCACGACGGGTTTGTTTTGTTCGCTCTCAGGCAACTCTGTCTGAACGGTTCGGAGAAGTTCCTGGCCAAGGTGGTGGGCGTCGGTGAAGGAGAAGGAGGGGAAGCGGAGCCGGAGGGATTGAGTGTTTAGGTCTTTGACGATCTGCAAAAGCTCATCTTTGGATGCATTTGCGAAATTCAGCAAGTTCTGGTGCTGGGCGGCGTATTCTGAGAGGTCTGACATCTTGATTGAAAATTCAGTTCGAGTTGAAGTTTGTGAGCGTCAGCGGAGACATTAATTAAGCTCACCCGCTCCGCTACCACTGCACCGCCGCTTGCTTCACGTGAGCGCGGTTCGACCAGACGTCGACTTTGAAAAGGCTTCGGGCCACGACGCGTAGGTTATTCATGTCTCTTTTTCATACTTTATAAAAAGCGAGTAGTTCTTCACTCAACAAACAAACTCCCTAGACGCCAGTAATCGCTCTGCCTTTTGATCTGTAACTCTTCAGACTTAGACCAATGATACCTTTCCCTTATCCTTCATCTCCTCTCAGCCCATCCTACTTCTGGAAAGACATATTCCTTGTTGCCGAGGGCAAAGTCACAGTGATCCCATCCAACTCCTTGCTCATGATACACTGACATCCCAACCGACTGGTCTCCGTCAACCCAAACGCCAAATCCAACATATCGTTCTCCTCATCTCCAGGCTCCTCCATCTTCTCATAGTAATCCGGGTCGACGATGACGTGACAAGTACTACATGCCAGAGATCCCTCACATGCACCTTCCAGGTCAATGTCGTGCTCGTGAGCGATGTCGAGGAGGGAGTCGCCGGCGGCTACTTCGAGGGTGGTTTTCTCGCCGTCGGGGGTGATGAAGGTACAGTGGAGCTCCTCTCCGGGCTTTGGTGGTTCCACGTGTTTGTGTTGCAGCACTATAGAAGCAGGAAAGTCAGCATACCGTACAAGGGAGCAAACTGGGTGGAGAACATACCTGGAGAGATGGAGAACGGCCGCAGTGGTGGTGTCTGAACAGTCATCTTCACAGCCCGTCGCCGTCCAGCAGCAACAACCGACGCCCTCAGAGTTCTCGGCAAAGCAGATCGAAACATGATTCCTCTTCGTTGATCCGCTGAAGCTCTTCGCACGGATTGTCGAGATCCTTACGGAGCGGCGTTCGTACTCTTGCGCGCCGCCTGCACGTGATCTCGGTGCACTCGACTTTTTGTGAGTTGCTGCCAAAAATAGCACGACAGGGAAAAAAACACTTCCAACACAAAGATGCCGTTTGAGAAAGTGAGCAGTAAGGATAAGAAGGAGAAGAAGGTTAAGGGAGAGAAGAAGGATAAAAAGGAGAAGAAGGAGAAGAAGGAGAAGAAGGAGAAGAAGGTCAAGGTTGAGGAGGGGGCACGCGCCGTCGAGGAGACTCTCGTCGAGGATGGTGAGATGACTGAGGATCAGCCCGCTCAGATTGAGGGTGTCGAATCCTCTACTCCGGCTACCGAGGCGTCTCCTGAACCCGAAAGCAATGAAAAGTCAGAGAAGAGGAAGAAGCGCAAAGCTACGGAGACCGAAGAGGAAGAGCTCGAAATCAACCTCGACCTCGCCAAACCCCCCTCCAAAAAGCAGCTCCGTCAACTCAAAAAAGCCGGTAAAATCTCCGAAGAGATCACCGACCCCCTCGAAGCCGCCGCTGTCATCGCCCCCAAGAAATCCAAGGCTGAAGCGCAAGCTCCCAAACGCTCGGAATACTCCGTCTGGGTCGGGAATTTGTCGTTCCAGACTACGAAAGCATTGTTGAAGGATTTCTTTATTACGAGGACACGCGGAAAGGAAACCCCGCTTTTGGAGGAGGATATGACACGCATCAACGTTCCGATGAAGAGCAAGACGGAGAACAAGGGATTCGCGTACGTCGATTTCGAGACCAAGGAACAAATGGAACTCGCTGTCTCCCTCTCCGAAGAACCCCTGAACGGCCGTCGAGTCCTCATCAAACCCGGCTCCTCATTCGAAGGTCGACCCGAGAAACCCGCTTCCATCCCCGGTGTGGACTCATCCAAGCCCCCCACCAGAATTTTGTTTGTGGGTAACCTCCCCTTCGAAACAAAAGAAGAGGACTTGAGAGACCAGTTTGGCAAAGCGGGCACAATCCGAAAAATCCGGATGATGACATTCGAAGACTCTGGAAAATGCAAAGGTTTCGCATTTGTTGATTTTGAGACAGAGGAGGATGCGACGAATGCGATCAAGCAGCGGAATTTGCATTATTTGGAGGGGAGGAAGCTCAAGTTGGAGTTTGGGGAGGATCGCTCTAAACGTACGAGGGTTATTCCGAATCGGGGAGAGAGGGCGAAGGAGGAGGCTGAGAGGGCTGCGGGGGGTGGCCGCATGGTTCAGTCCGAGCCGGAAGTACCACTCACGGAAGAAGAGGCACACAGACAGAAATCGAGGGAGGGACGCGAGAAGAAGGCCGGTGGAAGTGCAGGAGGAGGATATAAGGGATGGAAGGAGAGGGATGCGAGGACGATTGCGCCTGGTGCGGCTTTGGCTGCGGCGCCGAGGGCGAAGGTTGGGATTGTGGAGAGTAAGGGTACGAAGGTTACTTTTGATTAGGCCCGGTTTGGCATTAGGCAGCGACATTGAATACATTGCATTTCTATTTCCTGGACTTGGCCTTTCCTCTGCTCGAGCTTCCCATCACCACATCCATTCTGTATCAAAGTTCCTTCTCCTCTCTCTCCTCCCTCCCAATCTTCTCCCCCTCCATATCCCTACAAATCTCCCCCTGCTTCTCCAACACCGCACTCAAACACCCTTGTCCCCCAAACCCATCAAACCCATCCAACCTCGCCGTCTTGTGCTTTATAAAGTGATAGGACGAAGCGTGACCCTTCCCTTTCGCTTCGGCTTCTCTGGCTTCGGCGGAAAGTTTTGGGACTGTGCGCCAGGCGTTTTGGAGGACGGAGATGAGGGTGGCGGCGGTGAGGGAGGCTTCGGCACGTTGGAATTCTAGTTGGAAATTGGGGTGTTTGGGTGATGATGCTGGTGCTGGTGCCGGTTCGCTCGCGCTCGCGTCTGTTGATTGTGATTCTGCACCCAACGCAAGCGTATGAATTTCCGCCAAAGCCTTTTCCGCGGCCTCTGCCGAGCCAAACGTCGTCCAGCCGTTCATTTTCGGTGTCGGATGTGGGTTACGGTCCCGGGCGTGGTGGTGCTGGATAACGCTTCCGAGGGAGGTCATGTACTTGGAGATTTGTTGGCATTGTTCCCAGGTGATGTGGTGAGGGTTACCGGAGTTGTTGACGCGTAGTCTCCAGGCGAGTCTTATGCTGGCCATGGTTGTTTTATGATCTGATGGAGGATACTCTGCTACTCTACTCGGTTGCTATTGCGCTCATGCACACTCTCCAAAAATCCGGTATTGCCTGCGCCAGTGTCCGGGGCAGGGCGAGGCACCGATCGATCAGCGAGAGCTCGAGAGATTCGGGTCGAGGGTTGCGGGAACTTGCCGCCGGGGGTCTCGTGAAAGAGATGCTTTTTTGGGTGGAGATTCATGATTGAAGTGCTCGAGTGGACCCGGGTGGATATGGATCGATATCGGTTGAGCATGGGCTGATGAGGAGGACAGAGGAAGAGGGGACAGCTGCAGTGGGGGTTTGGCGTTTGGTAGCGAAACTGAATACATTGCATTTCACATCACGAACTCTTTCCATTTGGGCTCTTACCGTTGGGACTTTGCAGGACGGCGTACGGCGCAGGCGGTCCGGGACGTCATTGGCGACCCCAAGCCTGCGCCCAGTCCTCGAAAACAAGAAATAAACAGGCCTGATCCCGTCCAAGGCCCGAACCCTTCATCTAACAGGGAACTGGGAACTGGGATCGTCCATCATACACAACAACATATCACCAAACTGTCCCGTCCATCCTCAGCCCACTCCCTCCGGAACTTTGTCCGTGGACGACTTTCCGGGTCCTTTGGTGGATTTGTACAAAATCCGTTGAAGAGGAGGTTTTCCGAGATGCCGTCTGAACGTGAAGGAGGAGGGTCTACTCCGAAACGATTATCGCTTGTCGGGGATGGTGAGCATACACCGAGTCCGGGGCCGAGGCCAGTTACGAGTCATCGGCATCCATTGTCACACAGGGACTTGGATGCCCCACCAATGTCAATCCGGTACGACGAGTACTCTCTTGTCGATCTCCTCAATGCAAGTGGGCTAACGACGTGATTTGTTTTTCGTACAGCTGGCACTACGCCGTCGACCAACCCAAACGAAAACTCTACAACACCCCCACCGCCCCACCCAAACCCGCGACAAAATACGTCCCATTCTCACCCTCCGACTCCCGCGCCCTCGAAGCCGCGTTTCAGCGTTGCTGCGAAGTCGAGAACGATACCGAGGAGCCCCCAGCCGATGCGCGAATGGTCATGGTCAACGAGGATCAACTATTCGAAGTCGACGTCGTCGAGCGAGAGCTGAAACCGGTGTATTGGAATGGACCGATTTATGAAGTTCGACGTGGGACGTGGTTTGTCCAGGAGGGGAGTTCGCTCAAGCCTTGTGATGAGAATTTGGCCGTACAGGTTGAAGAGGGGTATATGAAAATCAAACCCTTCAATTTCAAGAAAGACAAGGATAAGGCTAAGGATAAGGATAAGGAGGATGAGTTGTTGGGGTTGGATAAGGAGATGTTGGCGGAGAAGTTGAAGGAGGCTGTGGAGGGGGTTGCGAGGCTTCCGGGGGAGTTGTTGAGGCCGGAAGATGCGGGGGAGGGTGGTTCGAGGAGTCGGAGTGGGAGTGTAACTATATCACCTGGGCAGAAGGGTGGGACGCCGACGAAGGCGAAAGATGGGAAGGAGAAGCCGAAGGAGACGAAGGAGCAGGTGTGGCCGCTTCTTGGAACACATATGGGGAAGTTCGTGGTCTACACGAACGAAAACACCGCATGGATCTTCACGTACGTATAGTTGCCTCGTAACGAAACCATGACCGCTAACAACTCTCTTACAGCAAAGACATCTACTCCATGATCTCCTCCACCCTCTTCAGCGCCCTAACCGCCGGCGTCCACAAAGGCGGCACAAAACTCGTCCGAGGCTTCACCGACGCCGCGAAATCCCGTCCTCCAATCTCCAAAGAAATCGAAGAAGTCAAATCGAAAGCGACCCAAGAAACCGCCGAAGCACTCCGTTTCGAGGGTGGCCAACAGACTGAGGAAGCGAGAGCACAAGTGTTGGAGGCGGAGATGGAGGAGGATTATGAGGTTGTTGGGAATGAGGATCCGACGAGGGAGATTGAGCATTTGGTGCTTTGTGTTCATGGGATTGGGCAGAAGTTGGGGGAGAGGATCGAGAGTGTGAATTTTGTGCATGATGTTAATGTCATGAGGAGGACGATGAAGACGGCGTACAAGGAATCTGACTTGTTGCAGACGCTGAATGGGGAGGCGCCTGAGAAGAAGGAGGAGACGGGGAAGGATGAGAAAGACAAAGAGAAGGACAAGGAGAAGGAGAAGGAGGATCGTGTTGTTAACTCAAAGGTGCAGGTATTGCCTGTTCAGTGGCGTCAACGGATTCAGTTTGGTTTGATGCCTGATGAGGGCGAAGGCAAGGAGGGCAAAGAAAGCGATCTTGGCATGGGTGAGGAAGGCGAGGAGGAGGAGGTTGCGACGTTGCAGGATATCACTGTTGAAGGTGTTCCTTCTGTACGGAACTTGGTGTCGGATGTATTGTTGGATATCCTGCTTTACTACCAGCCGATATACAGGGAGCGGATTTTGAGGGCCGTGCACGCGGAGCTGAACAGGGTCTACGCTCTATTCAAAGAGCGAAATCCGGAGTTCAAGGGGAAGGTGTCGTTGGTCGGCCACTCCCTTGGTTCCGCGATTCTGTTTGATATCCTCGCACGACAGCCGGGACCGAATGTCAACCTCAAGCATACCCAGAAACTGGAGTTGGCGTTCGATGTCGAGCATTTCTTTGCCATTGGGAGTCCGATTGGGTTGTTCCAAATGTTGAGGGGGAAGCATATCGCGGCACGTTCGAAGATCGATGAGTCGTCGCCGCCTATGCCTAGTCCGATTGGTGTGGAGGTCGAGGATCCGTTCGCTGCGACCGAGGCTGCACCTATGACTATTTCCTCGCCCAAGTGCAGGAACTTCTACAATATCTTCCATCCATCCGACCCGGTTGCGTATCGAATCGAACCTCTCATCAGCAAGCATGCGGCAAAGTTGAAGCCGCATCCGTTGCCGTGGAATAAGGGTGGTATCCGGACGCAGTTGGTTGGGTTGCAGAAGGTTGCGCAGGGTGCTACGAGTATCTTCTCTGGGATTCGGAGTTCGATAACGAAGAGTATTGTCAATATGTCGCTTGGGTATGGCGATCTCTCCGCGCCGGCTATCAACCAACCCCCGACACAACCGACGACTCAAGCCGAGCTACTCCCCAGCGATGAACACAACGTGACATCAGCGACCGGCGACACACTCTACTCCGGCTTCGTCCGTGGTTCCAAAACAGCGGAAGAAAAAGTCCGTTTATCGGATGGCGAGAAGAAGCTGTACGCACTCAATGGAACAGGCCGCATCGATTTCGCAATTCAGGAGGGTATGTTTGAGCAGAGTTATTCGTATATCAGTGTGATTGCGAGCCATTTGCAGTATTGGCAGGATGCGGATGTTATGCATTTTATTTTGAGTCAGTTGTTGTGGGAGGTGAAAGCGGCGGAGAAGTCGAATTTGAGTGGAAAGGGCCCGGGGGTGAAGAACTCGAAGTGAGGAGGAGGAAGGAGTGACGTGAGTGACCATGATTGTGGAGGAGTGCATGGCGATTCATATTGGCTAGAGTATATGTATGATGTGATGAATAGACGTTGGCTTTTACTATTTCGATTACCATTGGACTGTTTGTTAATGGTCTTGAAGACATGGTGGAGTATTGCAACGACATCGATTTCTGGACCTCGGAAGGATCAAGAAGATTAAGACGAAGAAGAATGGACAGATGAATACGGGGGAAAACAACGTATATTCACTATGATATAAAGAAGAAATACTGAAAAGAAACAAAAGACACACACTTCGAATTCCCCCAAGCCTCAGTTCATCGGTACCATTCAATCAACGACGATTGAAGAATATATTGTCAAGCGCATGCGCAGAAGACATCCACTTCAGAGATCCGCAGATGCTCCGGTGTATTCCCATGTTCTGGTACTCAACTTCATCACAGCCCAGGTTCTACTCCGTGTGGGTTATTATCATATCTAACGCCAAGCACAATACCAAAACCTCCCCCACGCTCTCCACACCCCCAAAAACACCCAAACACCCAAAACCGCACAGAAACCCTCCAAGTCGAAAGAACTTCGTCTCTGGATCTGGGTTACGCCAGACCTCTAGAGGATCCCCATCGCGGATAGTAAAATACATTTCACCTCCCTTCCATTCCGAGGAGTGTGCAAAAGTATATACTCGGTCATCCGCATTACAGGCGAATCGTCTGTAACACGTAGTCGATTGGGAATATCGAAAGGAAATGTGATTGGGGTACGGCCCTCGACCCCGCAGGCCCGGGGTCAACGCTTTTTGATGGGGGTGTGGGTGGAGCGTGTCTCGAAGGAACGACACATGGTTGCGAAGAAGTCTGGAGCCGGTCAGATTTCTTGCGTGGCGAGGGAAGGCGAGGAGTTGTAGTGCTTTGACGGGTCGTTTGTGTGTCACATATGTAGATGGTGAAGATGTGGGTTGAGGGTGAAGATGTTGGTCGAGGGAGGGAGGCAATGAGGTTTTTATACGGATTTGGGTGGCAGTGCCGGAACTCAGCCTTCCCGGTGCCCGCCCAATTACAAATCAATCCGAATTGCTCCGTGGAAAGAATTCTATCGAGAAGGTTGGAAGCGAAGAGGCGAGGTGGTTTGTCTGAGGCGTTGCTATTTTTAGTGAGTTGACATAGGTGTATGGGAACACGCCGCTATGTGACTGCAGCCTTAGAGTGAGACCGTGGGAAGAAAATTTACCAAGATCAAGAATCTATATGTTCAGAATCCTTGAAAAATGGGTGTAAAAGTATATTCAGACGTAGTTTGAAAACTTCTCAGGAAGAGTCAGTTCCTATCTGGACCTTATCAGGTGCTCAGGCCTGCCGACAATACAAAAGCTTCTTCAAAGCATCCTGATCCACTTCCATCCACATAGCATCATCCGCTTCCATATCCCACTTGGCAATATCTTCATCAGTAGGCACATGAGTCTCCTTCAAAATCCGCAATACCTTCCTCATTCCGTGCAGCATCGTATCTCCATAAGTCATCGGTTTTGTGGCTGTGGTGGATGTCACCTTTGTAGCCTTGCTGAACCCACTGTCAGCTAAGCCCACGGAGTTCGGGATGGGGTGGATGGAACGGAGGTTTGAGTGTGACTCTTCCGGCGCAGTCCAATCCTTTCCATTGGGGTGCCCTTCCCGTTCACCCTGCGACTGCGTTTATGTCTCCATGACTTCGTCTCCATTGGAAGCCCGCACATCTTCGTGGTCATTCACGTTGACCATCCCCGATCCGATTTCCTCGATTCTGTTGGGTGACGTAATCCGATAAATCTCGCACCCTACATCTTCCGAATCGATATCCCCAAATCCTCCAATTCCAGCCGTCATAACGTGCTCTTCTCGTCTCATCGTAAACCTCTCCTGAAACTGGTTCCACATTGAGGTTCTTTCCTCAATTGTAAGTCCACGCTGTTTGTAGCCGAGCAAGATCACGGTTTTGTTGGGTATGCATAGCCAATCCAGGGTTTCGAGGAGTGGTGCGAAGAACTCTGTCATGATCACAGTCAGTTATGTGGATGTTGTGTAGTGAGCGTGCAAATATACCTGCTTCGTACACCAGATCACATGCCAACACCAAACTCACGTCTCCAACTCTCTCCACGTCCTCCTTCTTTCCCCAAAACAACTCCTGCACGCTCATCTTCACGCCGTTTCCACTCCGGTTCAGCTCGACGTTCTCCTCAATAGTCGCCAACCCTTCCTCCAAATCCGTCAACACAACTTCCAGAAAATGAGCGAGCCCAGCCTTCGCTGCTGCAGCAGCCATCCAAACACCAACGGCGCCCGTGCCACAACTTAGATCCAGCACCCTAAACTTCCGCTTCGGTCCCTCGGTTGATGCGTGATTCAGCCAATTGGTAAACTCCCTCCATGCCGCGGCAGCTGTGAAGAACGACGAATCCCAGATCTTCCCGACGATTCCACTTTCGGGGCTTTCCCGCACAAGCGCACCTCCCTCCGTACCATCAGGGAACTGGAGAATCCGTTGCGTATGCACGATCTCATACGAGTCTTCGGGTACGGGCTTCGGTGTCAATCGAAATGGACCAGCGACGAGCGGGACGATCATCAATTCCGCGTCCTGTACCCCATGTGCTTCCATCTGCGGACTTCTGACGGCAGAGACTTTGATGTAGAAGTCTTTGTCATCTTCCTCTTCACCCTGAGATTTGGATGTACGTTGCGCCGAGAAGACACAACCACCCCTCCCACCTCCGTTGAACCCGGGCCAACGAAGTCCCTCATACCCACAAACATAGCCGTCTACATCTTCCAACTTCACTTCCGCCTCACTATCTTTAGGCCACGCTTCAATCTTAACGCCTACCCCCTTACCCTCCATTACGTTCCTCAAAAACAAACTCATCTCATTACACAGCCCCAGATGTAATTCATACCTCGTCCCAGGCGCGATATGGACGGGAAGGAATGGAGCGCGGAGTGTTAGACGGAAGATCATGCGGGAGCCCCAACCTTCGGTATTGTATGAGGCCATGATCGGGGGGAGGTTGGCGGGGGTATAGAGGGTTGGAGCGGGGGAATCGGAATCGGGATCGGATTGTGGGTCGTGATCAGCCATTGTGCAAGAAAGGGTTGTGTACTGTATCAAGAAGAATGGATGAACGTTCGCATGAATTGTCGTCCAGGAAGCGAGATCGGGTTCGCGAAGGTGATGGTGTTTAGACCTGACGTACAAAATCAAAGGAGGGCCTAGTAACGTAGACATCTTTTCGAATCCAGAAAGGATTAATGAGTTTCCATATAATAGCCGGCCCGGGACGGCGCCGGCAGTCTTTCGGGGTGTTGACTTGAAGCTGGAGGACAGATTGGACTACGAACCATGGGCCTCTGTTCACTTGTCTTCGCGCTGCTTCGTCAGGAGTTCTATCAGGTGCTTCATCGTGTGACGGCAATTGCAATGGGGTCTGTGGGTAACTCTTATAGCCGAATGAGAGTGTATAATATCCACCACAAGCCGGCATCCTTCCTTCTCCGCTCGATTCCAAACCTTATGCTTCGGCAGGATCCTTTAAAAGTGAGGTAGCGTCCTGGAGCAATGGAGACAAAATATGAGGTTCAATGCAAATGCTGGGTATCTTTGAATATAGAGAACTCACATAGCTAGCATGTTGTCAGCATATCACACACAATCCAACCAGGTCAAGGACCAACCTTCTAGATCACGATCACTGCTCCTTCTTCTCCTCCGCCGCTATTGCAGCCGGCTCCGCCACACCTCCCTCCTTACCCTTCTTCTCCTCCTCCTCCTTAGCTGCAGCCAGCTCCTTCAAGAACCATTGCACACTGACACACAATCCAATCGCAACAGCCAGAAGCGCAAAGACGTGGATATTCCGCGTCATGAAAGCCAGAACGGTGAGAAGGGCGATCAATGCGACAAAGGATGCGTTCATGGCTATGACAAGGGTTGGGGTCGGTCCTGGCGTAAAGATCGAGTCCCATAAAGATACAACGAAGGTAGTCATGGTTGGTGATTGTGTGTTGGGATTTGGGTTGTAGGTCAGTGGGGTGGGTGTACGTGATGCAATCGAGGTGAACCAGGCGCCTGGATGTACGAAGCCACACTTTATTCAGGAAATAAATCTTACGTATCCTAATAAAAGTGTCGAGAAAATACGCTGAAAATCCGAAACGATAGAGAAGGCCTAACTGCCACCGCTCTAATCATACAAATGTCATTCCCTTTCCTTCCCTCCTCCCCTACCTTTCCCCCCAACTGCTTCGTGATCGCTCACCCACCAACAGCTAACTCCGTAATCAAGCGATTACTCAACTCCAAAAACGGGAAAACACTCGTAACCTCCTTATCCGTCCTCCTCTGACTCTTGATCTCCAATTCCTCTCCTCCCACCTGACCTTCCTTTCCGAGTCGAGGACAATTCGCATACCCATTACACTTGAAATCCACCAGATAATTCAGTGGTTCGAGTTGGTACAGCTGTATCTCCATGAACACCATGACATCATCTTCATCACTCTCCGCATCCGCACACTTCCTCCACCGGCACTTGATCTTGAATGGATCGAGAGGTGGAGGGAAATATCCCTCTTCCTCACCACCTTCCTCTTCCCCTCCCTCCCCATTTCCATCCTTCTCCGTCTGAGACTTCGCACTCGTCTGGCGCTCATGACCTCCACCACGCTCTTTCTCCTCATCCCTCCATTCCGCACCCAAGTTCTTCAACGCACGGTAAATCTCATGCATGACCTCCAACGGCGGACTCCGGCTCCTAATGCCGAAATGCCAGCGCGTAGGCCGAGATTTCTTCAGTTGAGGCGGAACGTACGGATCCGTATCTCCCTTCTCTTCTCGAAGCTTGGTCATGAGTGCATCATGATACTGCGGTAAACTTGACGGCAAGATCGAGATCGTCGACTTTGGCAAATCGCCCACATCAGCCGCAGAACTCGCCGATGCAGAAAACGTCAACGGCGCCAACGCATTCGCACCAGCCAACGGATTCCGACGTCCAGATAGCAAAGCCTTCTGACGGAGCCGCTGATCCGGCAGCATACTGTTATGCTTATTATCCTGCACAGTCCATGGCGGCGGACTCTCACTCATGAAACTCTTATTCCTCTGCGTGACCCCCTTAAACCTCGGATCATTCTTCAGCATCTCCCCCTCCAACACCATCTTGTACGCATTCCGGATCTCAAGGGCATCCCGCGTCGCGACCTTCGTGCGTAGAACTTCGTAAACGTCGTCGAGTTCGTAGCCCATCGTTTTGGAAAGTTGGTGGACGATGGAGTCGTCGATGGGGACGTTGTCGATGCCGTACTCAGGGAAGAGGTAGTCTTCGAGGTCGTGGCGGAACCATTTGTTTTCGATGATTTCGGTGATGGTGATACGCTGGATGGGATCAACCACCAACATTTTCGACAGAAGGGACTTCGCACCCGGTGACAAGTGACTTGGGAGTGTATAGATACCACCTGCGCAGACGTTAGCACATGTTGTTGAGAAAGTGTCGTAGCAGACGTACCAGAAATCTTCTTAAACAACGTCGGAATATACTCATCATCAAACGGCAACCGTCCACAAAGCATAACATACAAAATCACACCACAACTCCAAACATCAACCTCCGGCCCCGCATACAATTTTCCCGATATAACCTCAGGTGCAGCATAATTCGGACTACCGCAGCTCGTTTTCAGGAAGTCTCCGTCGGTCATGAGATTTGAAAGACCGAAATCTGCGATTTTGACGTTGAGGTCGTCGTCGAGGAGGAGGTTTTCGGGTTTGAGGTCACGGTGAACGATTTTGTGACGGTGGCAGTAGTCGACTGCGGAGATCATTTGTTGGAAGAAGCGGCGGGCGTCGTCTTCGGGCATCTATCACACTCATATCAGCCCTTACATTCCACCAACATAACACGGGAATGGATCACTACCTTTCCGCGGTTGACGATGTAGTCGAACAGCTCCCCACCAGCATACTCAATGACCATGAAGATATCCGTAGGCGTTGTGATAACCTCATACAACTTGATGATATGCGGATGCCTCAGCAACTTCAGATACTGGATCTCCCTCTCCACGCGCCCAGCCATATCCGAATTCGCGAGCGTCTTGCGGTTAATGATCTTCAACGCAACTTTCTGGTGTGTATGGACATGAATCGCAACTACATGCACGCCCTCATTAGCCAAACCATCACTATTAAGCGTGTTTGCAAGATCGAGAACATACGTTTGACTTTACCGAAAGACCCTTCACCGAGCGTTTCGAGTATAGCATACTGCCCCAACCGCGGCTTCCCAGCATATCCATTATTCCTCAACTCATCCTCCTGCCGTCTCTTCTCCTGTCTCTCCTTCTCATGTGGATCTTGACGTGTAAGGGGTGGTGATGACATCACTCGCACTTCCTTGTATCTCTCTGATCACGCTGTTCGAATGGCAGGGCTTGGAGGTTGTTGACTGGGGTGAATGCTTGACGGTCTGGTAGATTGGATTCTTGCTATGACTGTTTGGCGGTGAATCGCATCTGCAGTTGAGGTTGTAGGTGGCCTGGTGTGGGGGTGTTAGCGCGCATGGCCCATGGGCCGTGATTTTTGCGGCAGAGTCTCATGGAATAGACGGAAGAGATGGCATGGTCATTTCGCTCGCCAAGATGGATTACAGGGTTACAGGCTCTTTTAAGTAGGAAGAAAGCCCGTCTCATTTGCGAAGATGAGAGCTGGTCATGGCACCATGTCTTCGATATCGTGTTCGTGATGGGCAAGAGCGCTAGCACAACGAACTGGCATCAAACACGTACGAGTAAAGCAATAGCCCATATTCCAAAGCAATATCAAAGGTATCAAAGACATCCAAACTCAACCGTGTTCCTTACTCTTGCCATTGCTCTCCAATCCGCAGCCAGACGCAATCCATATCGATAAGCTCCCCTCTAGGTACGGCAAACATGTAACGAGGGGCGCCAAACACATCCCAAAGCCATTCTCATAGCAGATATCAAACAAACGCCCAGGCCAAATATGACGGTCAATACAATACCTCCCCATCACCTTCCTTACTTGCCCCGACCAGCTTGATGTGCCAACCATCAGTAGGCCTTATCATGCTCCTTTGGCCACACATGAGCAACACCGCCATGTACAGCCTCGCCTTTGTTCGAGAGATCAACGCCTAGCTCGCTAAGCTTGCGACGCGGTTCGAAGCATTCGCGATATTCGCAGTCCACGTAGTCGTGCTCATGCTCATACACGGTCACAGGACGGTGTTCATGGTCCTCGGTTTCCATGACCATCTCCGCATACTCCATTCTTCTGCGAGGATACACCTCGCGTACGGAAGGGACATGGTCGTCATTCTGGTACGCATGCGGGTAGCGGCGTTCACGATCGAGTACAACGGTATCTAAACTCGCGAATTAGCACTAGACGCCGTTTGATGCTAACATGTCATACACTCGTGATCACGGTGATGCGGAGGCATAGGGTCACCGAGGATTGGACCTACGCCAACACCGGGTTAGCACATCATTCACCCCGACATCGCCTGAAGCGACTTACGCCCTTGCACTGAACGGACCGGGTACTGGACATCATATGCGTATGGAGGGGCAAACCGCCTTCCAGTGGTCTCACGCGCCATCATACGAGCACGTTGAGCTCTTGCGTAATCCATACGCATTGCCATCTCCGGGTCCTTATCGGCATATGTACCAAAGTCTTCGTCGCCATGATCACGATGACTGCGAGGAAGGTCCTCATGTTGCGCATATGCCGGGCTAGGATGATACACCGACACCTCGCGTTGATAGCGCAATCGAGCCTCACGTTCGCGCTCGTACTCGCGTCTTTCATACGCGTATTCCGCCTCGTAATACGCCGGACGAGTACGCTCGAACCTCGGACTAGGCATCACCGATTCCCTGCTCACCTCTGTGTGAAAGGAAGGAAGACGTGCAGGAATGCCAACGCTCCTACGCGGACCCTGTCTGGCGTCGTGGTATGCATATCGAGGATCTACGTATGTAGGATGCGGATACTCGTGTTCCTGCTCACGATCGAGATACCTCATGACACGCTCACGTTCATGCCGCATACCATAGGGTATCCTTTTGAGCTCACGATCACGATATTCCATAACGGCATCTAGTTGGCGTTCATGACGCGGGTGGATATCACCTCTACCAGCGAGTCTATCCATCTCCTGCTCACGTCCGCGACCCGCCGCCTTCGCCGCATCGCGAACAATGGCAAGAATTGATTCAAGCCCGCCGCTACGCTCGAGCTCGCGATAGGTCACAAGACCTCGTCCCGCATTTCCGAGGTCGGAGTTCTCCCTCTTGCTCTCCGGCCCAACATCAATAGTAGTGGATGTAAGTGCACGCTGAGGGGGCGTGGACGTCCTCACTACTTCCACTCCTCCGACCTCACCACGCTCCGACTCGGACTCGCGCTCAGTGACAGGGGTAAGACGCTCTCCCTCATACTGCCTGTTGAGCGAGCGCACAAACGCCGGACTCCTCGGAACCTCGACCACACTGTCTCCATTCCCATCCCCCTCCTTTATAACATCACGCTCGATCTCAAGTTGAAGTCCACGCATGCGCATCTCACGCGCAAACACCTCGTTCTGGCTGCTCAGCGGGCGGCCCCTCGGTGCCTTCACGTTCTTCTCACCATGCACAATGTGCCCGCTCTCCGTCAACCTATCCTCCAACCGGCGAACTGACGGGTGCCGATATCGATTCGCATTGACTATCTTGCCCAGGAACTTGCGGCCAGGAGTGTAGGTGATTACGGCGCGTTCGCAGGCTTCGTGTGTTTTGAACTCGATGAAGGCGAAGCAGTGTTTGAGTTCGATGCGGTTTATGACGCTGTTGTTCTCTTGTTAGTACAGGGAAGAGAAGGGGCAAGATGGAGAGGGTACCCCAATTCGCTGAATGTGGTGTGAAGGTCGGCGTGTGTACATGTCTGTATGAGCATACACGTCAGCCATTCTCTTCGTATGCCGGTAGATAAGTACAAAGAGTGAAAAACGTACGTCCGGGAAATAACCAACCCAACAAGTCAGGTGTCGACCCTGCTCGTCATAAATATTACACATAGCACTAGACGCATGTCCGTTCGCTGTGCTTCTCCTAAGTCTTTCCCTCTCCTTGGCCTTGGACTTCTTCTTCTTCTTCTTCTTGCTTACCCCGCTGCCGGTATACGTACCCAATCTCCTGGACAACACGTCCACGCGGCGTTGACGTCCCTTCTCGTGTCTGCGCTCCAACATGGCTTTTGGCATAGCTGGAGTCTTGGGCAAGTCGGAAGGGTGTACGGCCGTGAATGTATGCGTTTCCATGATATGCGTGTTTGAGTTCGATGCGGGGCAATCGTAGACTGGGTGGATTTTGTTCTGGGAGTGCTGCCGTGGGGACCGTGCCCCTTAATGAAGGAGCGTGGGAAGCGCCCGAGAGAAGGCCTTGGAGTTTCAGGAGGAGCGACCCAGACCTTCTCGGTTGGTACGTTCTGTTTTCAACGATCATTTGAGCTATCTACATGCACCTCATCGCTGTACAGCATATATTGGTCGGGGGGGGGACCGTGCCCCTTAATGAAGGAGCGTGCACGAATACCCCCAGAGACTGCTCCACCACCTTCCCGTTCTTGCACTCAGTACAACGAAAGGTCTTAGTTGGGCAACCACACAGGAGCTCAGCATTTAGAACCATCCGTTTCTTTTCTCTTTCCTCCCGTCTCACGCTCCGGAATTTCTCTTTTACTAAACTCACACCCCTTTTCCCACCCATCGGCTCAGTTCTTGACACGATGGACTACACGACTCTCTACAGTCCCTCACCCGGTCTTGCTCACTATTCTCAGTATCACGGAAACGACAACGACTCCTTTTCCATCTACACCAACAAGCTCATCCCTTGCCTCCCAACTCCTCCCACGGTTCGTAAGCCCATCTTTCGTGACTTCGCAGTGGATCCAATGATGTCCGATATGTCTGCCTACGGTTCTCACGTCAATATGCCGAACACGGACTCATTTGTGAAGATTTGTGAGAACGATGACACAGTATATCTTGATGAATGCCAGGTGAAGGCGGAGGTGGAGTGGGCGGAAGACTACATCTACGAGGAAATGGCCAGCTCCTCGAGTGTCTACTCTTCTGATGCCGAGATGGATGAAGTGAGTTGTGACGATACCGAGCTTGACGAAGAGGAGGACAAGATGGAAGAGACGGATATGGACGAGGTGAGTGCCTGAAGAGTCGACCAGCAGTCAAAAGTGCTTCGTTAACTTACAGTTTCTTCTACCAGGAACAGGTGCACGATACACAATGCATCAACTCAGGTCATGGTCTTGTGAGTGGGACCTTCGGTGGGAAGTCCAAACCGAAGCACGTCTCCTTCGCTCTTGACGTCGATACGGAGAACGTATGTTCACACATGATTTATCTATGTATATGTTACTTCCGTTGAGCCTGAGTTAACTAATGCTTGAGCAACAGGATATTGAAGATGATATCGAAGATGATAACGATCACAAAGAGGTTTTTGAAGTCCTCAAAGACATAGCCGAAGCCCCTACCAAGCCTCCTTGTTTTGTTCCTCAGTCCTCCGGCGGTAAATCTCTCGAAACCCTTTTGAAATCTGTCCGTCCGCCTTCTAAACCTATGTACGAAATGGTATGTCCATTGGTGGTGAGTGTCGAGCAAGAACTAACCCGAGCGGGGCACAGCATTCCCCCCCTCCTTCTCATCGCCAGAAGCAGTCCTTCTCCATCCATGAAGATGTGAGTTCGGGTGCGAGTTCGCCGCTGAGCAGTCCTTCTCCACCAGTCATTAGGATCAAGTTTGCGAAACCGGATTCCCTCATGGACAAAGCGTCTGCAGTGGATGCGGAGCAGGAGAACGGTGCGGACAGATCTTCGAAGGCGAGGAGCGTGGTGCAGCCTCAGTCGTGCGGAACGCGTGAGACACGTCGCTTTGTGGCTGATCAGATCGCGAAGATCGAGAATGAAACCGATGATGAGGAAGACGCTTTGGAGGATCAGAAGTCCATTGCTAAGACATGCAAACCCTTGCGCGCTATCACCAAGGCGGCGAACAACATCACCGAGAGGAAACCGACTCCTGCTTGCATCGACAAAGGCTCCAAGAAGAGAACCGCAGACGACTTCGATATCAAGGAAGAGGGAGATGAAAACTTGGTACCTGGTCGCAGGAAGTCTGTCAGACTCGCCGTCCTCGCTAAGAACGATAGCCCTCGCCCGGTCAATCTCGTGCGTGAGAAACCTATCACGCCCGCCTTTACCCCCGCTCGCAACCCCAAGAAGAAGACCGAATCCGCCTCAAGCAAAGCACCTGAGCCCAATTCGAAGCCCCGTCAGATCACTGACCCGCTGCCTTCCGAGTTCAAATACCGTTCCTTCTCTTCCTCAATTCCCCTCAACCCTCTCTTCGCCAAACTCTACATCCGCCATCCGTCTCCGCAGGACTTCTGCACACCTCGTGCGAACAGTTCTGACTGGAAGGGAGCAGTCGCGAACCCAAACATTCCGGCTGACATGGATAAAGACAATCTTTACATTACACGTTGGTGCAAAGGCAATGGTGTCGAGAAGATGGGATTATGTCCGATTTGTTGCGTTCCCGAGAGTAAGGGTGGGGCGGGGAAGTTGGTTTGGTTGAAGACGAAGATCAGCGCGTTCTGGTATGCTCCCTAGCGCTCTTCCCTGTTCATCCTTGCTGAAGTATTAAATCGCCAGGTACCACATGAATTACTTCCACGGCATCAACCCTAGCACGGGTATCCCCTACTCCCCTCCCACCGCCTACCGCACGGTCGAGCTCCCCACAGCTTCGGCATCTGCACCGATCGCCAAATCTGGCGAACTTGGAAACTTCCATCTTCCGGATCGCGAAGAGATGTTGGAGGGGAGGTGTCACCAGTGCAAGAAGTGGATTCGGGTTCAGGGGATCAAGGATACGGATGTTAAGGTGCCGGAGATTTATTGGTGGAAGCATGCGCAGAAGTGAGGATCACTGGTAAAGGAAAAGGAAGAACGTGAACGTAAGGCTAACCGCGGTCCTAAAGGTGTCATAAGACAACGGTTGAGGGACAGGGAGAGGAGTTCTGGTGTTATAGGTGATAGGCGGTTGGGGATGACGCGAAGTATCTTTGACGTGGACTTTGTTCCTTACAGTGATTGCTTACCACTCGGTACAGGAATCAGTTCTCACAATATGTGGGTTTATCGAGGTTGACTAACGATGATAGTGTGCGGATACGTGTTTTCAGGTCGAAGTCCACTGCGACTACAGCTTTTATTGGTGTGCGTTTCATTGGAATACAAAGGGAGTCATGGTTGGATACAAGTACTGAAGGGATATATACCATGGATTAATACAGTTTGGCATTGCTATTGAAGGGACTTTCAAACTTTGACCGGCTAGGGTTTACGCGCGCGAAGACACACCCACGGCAAAACTGGCGCAGCAGATGCACCGCCACTCCCGCTGCCTGCGCTCAAGTTGGAAAATTCGGGCCTCGAATTGAAAAGACCGTCAGTTCCAACTCTTCGGATCCGTATATCAACAATGGCCGACTCCCTGATTCTCCGTGGTACCCTTGAGGGTCACGCTGGCGATGTTACCGCTCTCGCCACCTCTGCCGAGAACCCCGACGTGCTCTTGTCCGCTTCCCGTGACAAGTCCATCATCGTCTGGAACTTGACCCGCGATGAGGCTTCCTACGGTGTCCCCAAGCGCTCCCTCCACGGACACAACAGCTTCGTCTCCGACGTTGTCATCTCCTCTGACGGCATGTACGCTTTGTCCGCTTCCTGGGACAAGACCCTCCGCCTCTGGGACTTGAACACTGGTTTGACTACCAAGCGTTTCGTCGGCCACACCTCCGACGTTCTCTCCGTCTCCTTCTCCGCCGACAACCGTCAGATTGTCTCCGGATCCCGTGACCGCACCATTAAGTTGTGGAACACCCTCGGTGACTGCAAGTACACCATCCAGGACCAGGGCCACACCGAGTGGGTCTCCTGCGTTCGTTTCTCCCCCAACCCCGGAAATCCCGTCATCGTCTCCGCCGGCTGGGACAAGATCGTCAAGGTGCGTATCGTATATGTCGATGGACAAGATGTGCAGTTGTCAAAGAATTGCGTGAACCGTGACTTGGATGATGTTATCATATATTTGCTACTTCAGAACCCACGGGGTAATGAGAACATAAATCACCAAGATCTCTGACATAAGTCACGGGGCTTGCATTACTTTGTCAAGACGGCATCTTGGCCATTGACACGAGTTTAACAATCTCTCAAAGGGTGCTAACCATTGTTTGCTGAATAGGTCTGGGACCTCACCAAGTTCAAGCTCCGCACCAACCACATCGGTCACACCGGTTACATCAACACCGTCACCGTCTCCCCCGATGGTTCTCTCTGCGCTTCCGGTGGTAAGGACGGAACTACCATGCTCTGGGACCTCAACGACTCCAAGCACCTCTACTCCTTGGACGCCGGAGACGAGATCAACGCTCTCGTCTTCTCCCCCAACCGTTACTGGTTGTGCGCTGCCACCGCTTCGTCCATCAAGATCTTCGACCTCGAGTCCAAGTCCATCGTCGACGAGCTCAAGCCCGAGTTCATCGGTGTTGGCAAGAAGTCCCGCGAGCCCCAGTGTCTCTCCCTCGCCTGGTCCGCTGACGGTTCTACCTTGTTCGCCGGTTACTCCGACGCCAAGATCCGCGTTTACTCCGTTGTCTAAGCGTGCTTGGAGAAGCATAGGGATGTGGAAGAGCATATCAAAAAGGGAGTCGTCGTTTTTGGATATAATAAATCACCGATATCTGTCCTGTGCATTCTTCCGTTATACTTCGTAGCTGTTTGCGTCTGTGAGGCTCCCTACCGAAAGTGTATGTTCCCGCGGCTACGTTACCGCCGATCTGGTCCAGACGTCAAGCGTTGCATCTGACGTGCCCGAAACCGCCAACATTGCCCCCGTCGAAGTAGGTGACCCGACAAAACCACGGATTGGAAGTTGACCCTAGCAGAAACACTTTCCATGCCAGGTTCACTCTTTGGGTCCGGTTCGGAGACTGAGTCGGTCAATGAAGACGGCACTTCCTCTGAATCACCAGCAGGACTTGAGTACATCCCTAATGCCCTACCTGACGAACTAGTCGAACCTCTCATGGAATATCTCGCCGTGAACATAGCCAATCACCAGCAACTCCATCTCTTCCCACCAATACCCGCCGTGATTCTCGACGTGTCACGTCTCTGCATCCCTCAGTCCTGGAAAGACAAGCTCTGGAACGGACATGATATGGAAGCCGGAATCATCCAGAAATATGAAATGGGCCAAGGAATCGGCTGGCACGTCGACCTCGACCGGTTTACGGACGGTGTCGCCATCTTGTCTCTGCTATCAGCTACTACGTTGTCTTTCCGACATGTGATGGATCATGCACGGAGATGTGATGTCAAGCTGGAACCTGGGAGTGCGGTACTGATGAGTGGGGAAGCGAGATATGAATGGGAACATTCGATTGAGGCGAAGGATTGGGACGGAAGTGAGGAGACAGGGTGGTGGAAGAGGGGGAGGAGGATCAGTGTGACGATGAGGCGGGTGAGGGATGATCGCAAGACGGAGTCATGAGCTTGAAGCGGGTTTTTGAAGCGGGCTTGAAGGGATGCTGGAGGAAAAAACTATTCTCGCTCGCACAACGCATGGCCCGTTGGATGCCTTAATCCGTGGACGCTCATTACGCATCCTGTGGAGAGGAGGAGGTCTTGCGACCTGCAGAGAAGGGGAGTCATTCGGCCAGACTAACAGAACAGAGCGGGAGCCTCACGAGACTTGCGTTTCGCTCTGGGAGATGAGTGTTGCGCTCGCAACCACAGAGTGTGATACACCTTTACATAGTCACAGGCAAATGATGCCGAGTTAAGGCCGAGGACCGTCAGCAGATCACGAGCGTGGAGGGCATGGGAGGGTCAAAAGGGAATGCCCGAGCAGAAGCGACTATACCTATGACTCGAGGAAAGACTCCATGACTCACCTTTATGAATCATGATCGGATATCCGGCAATAATGAACGATAGATGATTCTGGTTTAAATCCTTATTTAAATGTTACCTTCCGAGTCAGTGCTGCGGGGCCAAACGCTCAAAGCACGCTAAAAAATTGGCAGATTTTCCTCGAGTAGGGCCAACATCCGAGTCAACTCACTGTTCACCCCCTCCCCAACCAAAAGTCATCATGGCTGCTGCTCGTTCTGCTGCCCGTGCTCTCCGCATTGCCGCCCGTGCTGGTGTCCAGCAGCGTACTTTCGCCGCTGTTGCCCGCCGTGTCGCCATGCCCCAGGTTGCCGTCCCTGCCATGCAGGCTCGTGGTGTCAAGACCATGGACTTCGCTGGTCACAAGGAGACCATCTACGTACGTTCTTTTTCCGTCATTTGCGAGGATCCGGGTCGACTCGGTCGAGTTTGGTGTGTTGGGTTTGAATTTGCACCAGATGCATGACCCAAGATGAGATTCGAGCTTGACCCGGAGACTGCGCGCATGATCTATTCAGTTGAACGATCGCTAACGGAGGGTTTGGTGTTACAGGAGCGTGCCGACTGGCCCGTGGAGAAGCTCCAGGAGTACTTCAAGAACGACACCCTCGCCATGATCGGTTACGGATCTCAGGGTCACGGTCAGGGTTTGAACGCCCGTGACCAGGGTCTCAACGTTATCGTCGGTGTCCGTAAGAACGGTGCCTCCTGGAAGATGGCCATCGAGGACGGTTGGGTCCCCGGAAAGAACTTGTTCGAGGTCAACGAGGCCATCAACAAGGGTACCATCATCATGAACCTTTTGTCCGACGCTGCCCAGTCTCAGACCTGGAAGGAGATCAAGCCCCTCATCACCAAGGGCAAGACCCTCTACTTCGCTCACGGTTTCTCCGTTGTCTACAAGGACATCACCGGTGTTGACGTTCCCGAGGACGTTGATGTCATCCTTGCCGCCCCCAAGGGTTCCGGCCGTACCGTCCGCACTCTCTTCAAGGAGGGCCGTGGTATCAACGCCTCCATTGCCGTCCACCAGGACGTCACCGGTAAGGCTGAGGAGAAGGCTGTTGCCCTCGCCGTCGGTGTCGGTGCCGGTTACATCTTCAAGACCACCTTCAAGAAGGAGGTCTTCTCTGACCTTTACGGAGAGCGTGGTTGTTTGATGGGTGGTATCCAGGGTATGTTCTTGGCTCAGTACCAGGTCCTCCGTGAGCGTGGTCACTCCCCCTCCGAGGCCTTCAACGAGACCGTCGAGGAGGCTACGCAGTCTTTGTACCCCTTGATCGGTAAGAACGGTATGGACTGGATGTTCAACGCCTGCTCCACCACCGCTCGTCGTGGTGCCCTCGACTGGGCTCCCCGCTTCTACGAGGCCTTGAAGCCCGTCTTCGACGACCTCTACACCGCCGTCGAGAACGGTTCCGAGACCCAGCGCTCTTTGGACTTCAACGGTGCCCCCGACTACCGCGAGAAGTTGCAGAAGGAGCTTGACGAGATTGACAACCAGGAGATCTGGCGCGTGGGTAAGATCGTCCGCCAGTTGCGTCCTGAGAACAAATAAGTGTTTGGGGAAAAGTATTGTACTCTAGTTTGCTTGAAAGATTAATTCGTCTTGAGCTTATTTGTACGTCTTGGATTAGCAATTGCGGGTGGTCATTGTGATGGGAAGGAATAAAATTCATCATAAAAATCACCTCTATGCTTTCCCTTCTTTTGTGCTGTGAATCTGTGCACGTGACTCACGCGTACCGAACCGTAGCGACGCCCAGCTCACGACCGCACAGAGGGCAGTGTGATGGCAGAAACTGATCAGGATCCTCCATTTGTGTTTATAAAGTCTCCTAACGAGCAACAATGTATATTTTCATGGGTGAACATTCCCCGCGACCCGCCGCTACGAAAGTTTCCTTCCCACGCTCCGTCTACACGCAAGCAGCACCCACCTGACAAACAGCATCCAAATTGGGCATAAAAACTCGTTTGAACTTGAACCTCGTCTTCAACGTCTCTTCACACCTACGCTTCCGCTGACGGCGGTCCCTATTTTTAGCGACTCATTACAGACCCCTGTTCACCAAGCGGGCCCGACCACTGAACCCATGTCGCACGATCGTCAAGCCACAACACGCAGCATCCAAGGGAACCGGAAGTTGTAATGCCGTTTAGATTATAAGGTTTTACGAAAGGGAGAGGCAGTCGGTCTTGAAGGACAGTGTTTTGGGGCGGAGGAGAAGCTGCTGGGGGAACTTGGAAAAACTCGGGGACCATGAGCAAACTCGCGCGGTGTTCGTAGCACGCTCGTAGCCCAAAAACGACGAGTTAGACGGAGGAATCTGGTGCCGAACTTCCGAGTACCTCGGCACGACCAAGTCATATGGACGTAATGCCAAGCCCAAACACGCCGAGCCCCGCTCAGATTTGTGAGGGAGGCAACGGATTACAGTCAACCGTGGTCACGCAATCGACGGGAATGACGTTTGTGGATCCCCTTCCCCTCTTCTTGGCGGTGAAGTTGGGGGTTTCGCGGCCTCCCACCTCCTCAGATTTGGAGTCCGGGTTGGGGACCCCTCGAGTATAAAAAGGCAGCGCCCTCCCACCTTTGTTGGACTCCATCGACCAACACAAACAACCAACAATGGGTACAAAGAATAACATGGCAACTTGAGTTCGACTTCAATTCAATCGTCCACCTCGACGGTATTACTTCAACTTCAACCCAAACAGCAACTTGAACGTCGACGTCTATGCCAGCGAAAAACCAAAAGTCGAACGACTCAACCAAAACTCGGGTCAAACGCCTACGATTACGATTACTCCTCCGACAACCCAACACAGCACTTGCCACAGTCAGACTATGCAATACTTCGGTAATTGACTCGCTGATGTGCCATTTGCGAATCAAGTGTTGGGTTTAGGTCAGTATCGCAACAGGACTTTCCCCCGTGGTTGAGCAATTCAACTTGCGGTTTCGGCATCGACAAAACAAATCATTCCTAACCAGCGAAAATCCAAAAGTCCAACAGCTCAACCAAAACTCGGGTCAAACGCCTACGATTACGATTACTCCTCCGACAACCCAACACAGCACTTGCCACAGTCAGACTATGCAATACTTCGGTAATTGACTCGCTGATGTGCCATTTGCGAATCAAGTGTTGGGTTTAGGTCAGTATCGCAACAGGACTTTCCCCCGTGGTTGAGCAATGTTGGCATCCGACAAAACAAATAATGACTAACCACTGCCTTGTCACTCCGTGATAGGACGGTCTTATGTCCTATCACGGAGTGTCGCCTTGATCGTGTCTTTAGAGTGTCTCGAAAGGGCTGGCGATCGCGGTGCCGAACATATGAGATACTTGCCGATAAGAATCCATGGTCTCCTACCATGGTGGACGCAAGGAACAATTGCTGATAAGAATCCATGGTCTCTTACCATGGTGGACGCGATTGGTCTCATATTACTAGGTTGATTCCCCATGGGATGAAATTATGCCCTCGTATTCATCCCATGGGAATTATGACTGCGAGAGTTGGCTCGTTGACTAGAAACAAGTTGAGTGATCTCGCTTGGTACTTTCGGCAGTGCATTCGAAGTCGGGTTTTCTCCCTTTCAACAGGGTTTCCCGGCGCACTAGGTGTTGGAGTGGTCCTTTGACCAATCTGATGCTTAGCGTGCTTGGATTCCTTATTTCTTTTCTTGGTTTGTTTGCGGGTTTCTTAGTTAGCATATCCTTTACTGGTCTTTTCTTGCGATTTTCATGGTTTTCTTAGTTAAACAGCCAATTTCTTAAGGAAGGATTTAATAATGGGGGGGAAGAGAGACGATAGAAGGGAAGGAGACGAGAGTAGATGGTATAGAAGAGAGAGCGGTGAACATCAAGTTTGCTTGGCTCTGTCGTCTTAGAAATCGGACTTGAATGATTTCCTCAGTTGACTTGGCCGTTCCTCCTATGTGATGCCCGAAATCTACGAGCTCCTGTCCTTAAATCTCTGGTACATCGTCGCGCTCGACTCGCGTATGCGTGGGAATTAAGAGTACGACTTGAACACGAATTTAAGCTCCATCCTCAACCTACACTCCACATTATATGGGCATTGTTGGACATGAACGATGAACGTCTGTTTGTAGAAATGCGTCAATTCTATAAGCCATGCAATACCATGCCAAGAAAATCCAATACCCATAACCGTAACCCATACCGTTACCCAAAAACGCTATATCGCACCCTCAAGCCCTCTTCACTTCGCGAATCCTTCACCGCGAATCCTTCGTCTACCACACTCTCTGCTTCCTGACCTCAACCTTCGGCACTCTAATCTCAACAACCCCATCCTCAACCCTGGCCTCAACCCCCTCATGCGCAAACCTCTTCCCCACATCTTCCTCATCGTCCAAGTACCTCTCCAACTCCACCACTCTCTCGAACTTTCCCACTTTCCTCTCCTTGATTTCAGGAGTCGAGGAGGAGTGTTGTTGGGGTGCGTGAATGACACCACCGATGTATAAACGGTCGGAGCGAGGGTCGTATTCGAGTTCGAGATCATCTTTGCGGAGACCGGGGAGGGCGAAGTGGAGGGTTAGGTGGGTTGGGTTCGAGTAGACGTCCATTGTTGGGACCCAATATTCCTCCTTCTTCACTTCTTCCTTCTTCGGTTGTTGTTGTCTCTGGGTCTGGGTCAGAGCCTGGGGCTTCGGTGATGGCTGAGCCGCAGTGCGAGGAGAGGGAGCGCGCTTAACGGGGACTTGACGAGCGTAGATCTGCCCCGTATACGGATCACGGAAGTATTGCGTCTCGAACTCCTGTGGCTGTTTCTTCGGCTGTGACTGTTGTGCTTTGCGTGCGAGGGGATGAGCGTAGATTTGTCCCGTGTATGGATCGCGGAGGTATTCGACCTCCGGCTTCCGGTGCTGCCTCTGGCGTGCGAAAGGTGAGTAAACGTACTCGTCCTCGTAGGGATCGGAGTTGTATTCGTCGTCCTCGTAGTGGTATGGCGAAGAAGTATATGGCCGCTGCTGTCCCGCTCCGAAGAGATCGAAGAGCGAAGGACCGGCGGATCCGGAGGCATAAGATTGTGGTGCGTAGAACATTGTGACAGCTAGTTTATCGTTGATCTGTAGCGATGATCTGAGATGAGATCGGAATGTGTAGGACTTGTTTGACTGATGGAGATCATTGCGACGAAGGGAATGGGTCTTGTATTATACCCACGATTTGGTGTTGGTGTACGTAATTCAGTGGAAGCCTCGTGCAGATTCTGGGGTGCGCGAGAAGTTCGGTGCAGATTCGCGCGGGTTCGAGAAGGGGGAAGGCGTCGGAAGCGCGGAGACAGCCAGCTCTACGAGGAGGATTGAGATGATAAGTTGATGGAGAACATATAGGGATTGAACAGACCTTCTCAGCTTCTTTTCACTCGCTGCTGAAGCAGTCCTATCGACATGGGCTGCCTTCGCAGATGTATCTATAGCACGCACAGAAATGCAGCCACCCGCGGATCTCCGACTTGTGCCAAGTTGGAGTTCCTTGAATGGGTAATAGCTTCGAGCACAATCGTCTTTCTGAGTCCGTCCGGCGCAGGCTGATCTGCTCCGCTTATATGGCATGATACACAACCGTGAGCGTCGGCGGCGGTGTTGACATGTCGTGCCATGGACTGCCATATCAGGGCCTTTCGAGAGGACACAACAACTCCGTTCAAGCAGACCATTATCAATTTTGTTCATGATTCTCGGAAGAGATGACCACGAGAAGCAAGGAGAGGGCGCCGTGAACAGATTACCAAAGAATGTATTCCTATATTCCCCGACACACCATTAAGCAAAACCCACCCCAACCCACCATGCTGAAATAAGAAATAAAGGAAACGGAAAAATGGAAGGGTAAAGCGTCGTTGTTTATGAGTGAGATTGGTTGGTTACTCGTCGTCTTCCTCAGGGTGAAGGATGGCGTTGAGATTCAGACGCTTTCGGTGGGCCTATGGGATAGTTAGCACCTGTGTAATGGTAGGAAGACTTCGCTTGACGAGGTATCGTCATAGCAGGATGTCATGCGTACCGCCGGCAACTTAGGCACAAGCACAACCAACAACGCCATCAAGTTCACCACAAACATCCACAAATCGTAATGCGTATAATGCGTACTCAACAAAAACAAACACACAGGAACCCCAGTCAACCACTTCTTCGTCGGGGTGTACTGCTCGCCGTTGTCCATTTGTTCCCACATATTCAGGTTATCGTAGGCGCCGGCGTTGAATTCGAACGGGATGCCTTTGACCCAGTGGAACATGAGGTAGGTTATGGACATGTATGAGAGGTTTGTGAGGGTCCAGGAGAGTTCGCGGGAGACTGTTGGGAGGGAGTTGAAAAGGAGGCGGAGGAGGATGATGAGGAGGGGGTGAATCAACCAGGCGCCTATTGTACACAATGTAAGCATTGACTCCACGATGGATAGAGAGAGATGGAGTGAGGAGGAGACAAACCTTTCGCGTCAACCCAACTCGAGTTAAAGTTAGGCAAAGCACCCTGATCCAACCTATCATCCTCACTCTCCGGCTGCACCTCCTGAATAATACTACTCGATCTTCTCCTCATTCCAGCTTTTGCTTCAGCTCTCGTCACGGAAAGGCGGTCCATTCCAAACGAAAGAATAGCACGGCACGGGACCGGGTATGAGTGTAAGGCTTTTGCTTTGTTTTGCGGTGCCTTGGTTCTGCGGGTGAAACTCCGGGCCGCTCTATAGCTATATGCCGGTAGTATGATGAATTCCCCGGCTGCAGAGGAAATGAGATAATCGAATCGATGTCGTCGATGGAGGGGAGGACAACCGACGTCTTGCTGACTTGGACGTCCCGTATACGTCTGTTGGGTGCTGTGGCTAGAATTTGCTGCGCCAACCACCAACCACCAACCACCAACCACCAACCTGGAACCGGAACACGATAAGCAATGAGTAAAGCGACGAATACGGCACTTGCGGCGCCTGAGGCGATCAACAAATCGAATTTGGCAGATCTGAAAAATACTAGCGATGATGCAATTGCTCCCGTACGCTTGTGGGCCTGTCGACTTTGCTCGTCTGGGTATACTGACGGATTCGCGTACAGTTCATGTCTGGGCTCGGATACACCCAATCCCACTACCTAACCGACATCCGCCTCGCAATCGGCTACCTCGCCGCCGGAATCATCGCCCTCACAGCCTTCAACGACTACAAAAAGGGGTTCACACCCGCTAAATCGCACACCCTGATCGGCGTGGTGCTCTACTTCGTCCTCAACACCATCCTCACGCTCTGGATGTTCTTTGTCGAAAAGGGTACGGTGTATGTTGGGGCTGATCACACCAAGGGTGAGAATATCAGGGTGGAGAGTTTGGGGCCGAGGAGGAAGTGGGGGCCGAGGTATAGGTTGAAGGTGGTGAAGTTGAAGGATATGGAGAAGGATCTTGAGGTTGAGCTTGAGGGGGAGTTTAGTGAGTGGTTTGATGAGGATGGCGTGCTTGTGAGGACGAAGTTTGATGAGTTTTTGGCTGGGGCTTTGGCGCAGCTGGAGAAGAAGAAGCTGTAGGACGGGATGTATGACTAGGTATACCGCGCGATATCCGGAGCAAAAAAGTGCCATATATGACCGCAACGTACATCGGAGCCAAGATGTCATTGGAAGCCTATGGTATGCTTGATCAACAAGAGGCTTAGGTTGCACGAAAACTTGGTCTCAATAACCTGCGGTAAACGCATAGACACGCATACACCCGGTCACTTGCAACTTGAGCTCGATAATATGATCAAAATGCTTTCATTCGTCGCATATAACATACACATCCCCCTCTCTTTTCCAGCTCTATCAGGACTCCAGTCTCAAAATTACTCCTCGTGTTCCACCTTCACCTCCTCAAGGGGTATATATTCAATCCAACCTCGGCTTCACACCCGAAACATCCGCCTGAGATCCCGGCGCAAGATTGAACGGAGACCCAGCGTTAAACTGCTCCCAATCCTTCAACCTCATAATCTCAGGCCTCTCCGCACTCATAAACAACTTCTTAGTCTCCGCCGCCCTTAGCGCAAGCTCCTGCTGCTTCAAATTGATTCGGTCCGCTTCCTTTTCGGGGACCATGGAGGTTTCCATGGTGCGGGTGAAGATGGATTTGCCGTCTTTGGCGTGCTTGGCGGAGTAGGAGTTTTCGAATTGGACGAGAGTGACGAGGGCGATGGTACCGAGGATGAACTTGGCGAAGCCGGGGGAGACTAGGGCTGTTACAACGCACTGTTAGCATTCACCCTAGAAGAATAATGGCTGTGAAGAGTGGAGGAGGAGGAGACATACGTTCCCCACCATCAGCAGGAGAGGTCTCGTTCCCCTCTGGCTGTTGAGGGGAATGGGTTCCGGCAGAGCGGCGTGCTGCTGCTCGTCTAGCGATAGGGGATGCTCTGAGGGTTCGTGCAAGCATTCCGTGAATTGTTCGTGATCTGGTTCGTAGAGCGCGATGTGAGGCCGTAAGGTGGAGATGCAGGTCGTGCAGACATCAGGGGGCAAAGAGGGGAGGTATACGAGCGGCTGTACGAGTGAGGTGAATCTTCTTAATTCTCTATAATCTTTTTGAAGTCAGACTTCTGCTTCTTGAGACGTCTTCCTGGTCCCGCTGCACCCCTTCTCAGCCCTCGCCGAAAGCTGCACGCCGCCGTAATAAGGATCTCGAAAAAGTCGATACCGCGACACCAACCTTGCGAACCGTCCATAACCTTCACGATGGACGAATACGACGCGTACGAAGACGAGCTATACAAGGATACCGCAGAAGAACAGTCCCCCTCCGAGGACGAGATCGACAGCGAAGTCGAAGAAGATGTACGCTCCTCTATACTCTACCGATTAGGATGCAAATGTTAACAGGAACAGATTTTGGCGCATGTTTATTACACGACGGATGCGAAGGGAGAGGAAGGGAAGAATGAGGAGGACCAACCGGCGCGGAAGCGGAGGAAGACGGATGATGATTTGCCGCCGCCGTTGTCGCCGTCCTCAGGTTCAGGGTCCGCGGGCAAAGACACCAACACTGAGTCCACGAATGGCACGAACGAGGAAACAACCGACGTCGTTCGCCCAGCTGACACAGACATGGACAGCGACACCGCCATCATCCGCCCCAGTTCGCCCGCCAGTCCAAGCCGCGCCCTCTCTCCCGTCCTGACCCGCCGCATCAACCTCGACTCCGAAACTTCACCTCCCCCCTCCCTCCTCAAAGTCGCCGTCGGCGACGACGAAGACGCAGATGCCATGACAGACCTCATCCGCTCCCAAGCCCACGGCCGCTACTTCGCCGACCCCGCCTACCTCCCCGAACAAGCCAAAGGCCCCAAATGCCACAATTGCGGTGAACACGGACACATGGCAAAGAATTGTTCGATTAAACGGTGTATGACTTGTGGTGTTGTTGGGGAGCATGAGACGTGGCATTGTCCGAGTACGAGAATGTGTAATAACTGTGGTGGGCCTGGACATTTGGCGAGACATTGTCCGCAGCCGAGGAAGAGTCATGTTGGGTGTAGTTATTGTGGGAGTAGACGGCATATGGATGTTGCGTGTCCACAAATCTGGCGATGCTACGTCTCTGCCAAAAACCCACCGCAAGATTTCGAACCGAATGTGTGGTGCTACAATTGTGCTGCGCCGAATCATTATGGCGATGATTGTACGTTCGCGAGAAGGGGACCACAACAACAATTAGAGCCCAGCGCGTTTTGTATTGGGAACGTGCCGCAGAGTGAGGGTATGAGACGCAAGATGCAGCAACGCGATCAACAGTCGCGCGAACGCGAACGACGGGATCGGGAGGAAGAAGAGAGGGAAAATTGGTTCGCACGTCAGGACGCGAATCGGAATCGGGACCAACGACAACCACCTCGGGGTCCACGTGGGAACGGCGGCGATAGTTACCGACCCCGAGACCGATCTCCACCGCGAAGACGGAGGTCGAGGAGTCCGCCGCACTATAATGATAGGAGGGAGGAGGCGAGGTATGGACGTGGATCGGCTGCGTCGAGGTATGGGAGGAATGGAGGGGGTGGTGGCGGAGGAGCGTATGAGAGGGGTGATTTCCCGAGGGGTGGAGGGAGGGACAGGAGGGGTGGAAGTGGTGGTGGTGGGCTGAGTTTTGCTGATCGGATTTCGAGGTAGAGGGGGTTTGGCGGGTTCGGTGCATTGTGTGGGTCTGGGAAGGGGGACTTGTGTTTTGCATGCCTCATAAGACTTACGGACACCTTGGTTCAATTTACATTGTGGTCATTGTTCGCATCTATCGCTTTGCCATTGCTTTGACTTCATGGGTATATCGCGCGGTGTATACGTCCTCGAGGGTGCACTGGTCCTTGGAGTTCGACTTGGGCATATCGCACATGGCGGCAGCTGTTGCGGAAAAGAGAAGGAGAAACAATAGCAGCCGATCGCCCACAATTTCGGTCTTACAACCATCCTCGTTGGCATTCATCCGGACCAACTCGCCAACCGCTCGAGTACTTTACTTGACAGCTGCGTATTGCCATTGTCCCAGCAGAACCGTCGTTATGCTCCTGCAAACGCCTGTGTTCTGTACTGAAAAACGGGCCTTCGTTGATCAAGGCGATCAGTTCAAGGTTCCCTCCAGATTGTTCACCTTAAATTGCATGTATGCGGCACTTTACGGGACGTGCGAGTCCCCATTTCATCCCTCTTCCAGGCCTCCCACAATACGACCTCAATGCGTCCAAGAATAGCAAATCAAATGCGAATCGTAACTCGGAATGACCGCCAATTGTAACGCGTTTTCTTTCTCTGCTCCACCCTTGCGCACTCTTGGCCCCTGATCATGGACCGGCCGCTCGGACCGCTCCCCACAACCGCCACAGCACTCATGTCGCACAGTAATCAACCGGTCATGACTTCAACGGCGGGTTGGGGCTGCCCTTATCAACCTCCAGCCTGCTGTTTAATCGCAATTGCTACTCCGGCTTCAGAAGAAGATATCGTTCACTGCTTCACCTTTACATTCGTTTGAGGAGAGACAATGTCAACTCGCAGATTCCTTGCACGCTTGGGAAGTAGGAATAGGGGGTTGTCAGAGGAACTGTTCAAACCACCAACGCCTATCAGGGTTGATGTCGCTACAATCCAGGAAGAGAGGGAGACGGCGTGGGGTTGGGAATGGATTCCGGAGAGGGAGATGGAGAGGTGTGTGGAGTTGTTGGATGCGTGTTATGGGGTTGTTAAGAGTCGAGGTATGTGATTCTGATGTTGATAAAGAATGATGTCTTTGCTAACGAGTGCCCTTAGATCTGGCGAAGCCGTATTTGCTGTATCCATTTCGGCCGTATTCAACGACGACAAACTCTGCACGGGCATTTATCGTGAGCTATTTCTCTCCAGAATCTACAACCTCACTACACGAACTACAACTACTCGAAACGGACGACGTTACCACAATCCTCCGCTGGACATGGTCCCGAATTCCCGGCGGCATAATCTCACACCCGACATACGACCTCTTCGCAGCCGGCGAACGCGAGGCAGAATTCCACGAGGAGGCATTCCATATGCTCATCCCCCTCGTCGTATCCTCCGAACTACGAACACGGATGGTATTTGGATGGTTGGAGTTCCTCAGTGGTGTAGCCGCACACTTCCAGAAAAACGGAATGGTACTCAAGAAGTTGGCGCGCTGGGCGAGTTTCTTCGCGTTTGAACCGAGTGAGGAGGGGATGAGGTGTACGACAGCTGGTTCTGAGGCTGAGACACCGAGGAGGGAATATCTTACGGATGGGTTTATCGCACCCACTAATGGACGACATAAGGGACGCTTTAGGGTGTGGTACGCGGAATGGGAGAGGGCAGCTGAGGCGATGGAACATCTCTTCTTCGCCTATCTACGATCTGTGTCCGCGTCTGGGGGTGCACCGACGATGAGTACCCTTCCTCTAAGTCTGAGGAAGGTGTTACAAGAGACACCATACCCACTCCGTCCCCGCGGTTGGAGAGGGAGTTTGTCCGATTGGGGTAGTCAGACGACGCTGTATGCTGTGATGGCGAGTGACCGCGCTGCTGCTACGCCTTTGGGGATGTTACGCCGCGCGGGGAGGTTGAGTTCGACGAGTGCAACGCATGCGGAAGAAGTATTGAATGCCATTCATTATGATGGGATGACGCTGCTTGAGGAGGAAAGCAAACGGATTCTTGAGGCGATTGATGCGGCGTATGTGGGGATGGGACAGGTCTACAGCCCTACGACGCTCGGTGATAGAACCTGGGCACGGTTCATGGAAGACGGATTTGAGGGACTGGATGGTGATGATGACACCGAGTCCATCTCGAGCTTTTCACGCCTTAGAACAGCGAGGAGGGAAGAAGAACAAGCGTCGGAGGCGAAGAGGAGTATGACCATGACATCCATTTCTTCCATCACCGACTGGACCTCCTTCCGAAGTGACGGTTTCGCAGGCGGGGTAGAAGATGGTCTAGGCCTCTTACCCCCCGACAAAGCCCTCCCACCCGTCGTCCAACGTGACCTCCATTCCCGCGCCGAACGCCGCGCAAAAGAAGAGATGATGTGGAAAGGCGTCCTTGTGGCCAACGAACGCATCGGTGCTGAAATCGACGGCGATGGGTTCTGGACTGTGTGGTTCACTGCGCAGAGTCCCGAGATTGGTGATAAGCGGAAGGGTACGTGGGGGAGTTTAGCGTGTGTGGAGATGGAGAGGGGTGCGTGGGTTGTTGTTGAGGAGGTCGTGCCGAGGGTTGTGGAGAATGTCGTGACGCCGGTTGGGCAGGGGAAGGTGAAGGATAAAAGGCCGAGCTTGGCGAAGATGCTGAGTATGGAAACCTATCGAAAGAACAAGACGGGAGCAGGAAGTCGAAGCTCGAGTGAGCCGCTCCTCAACAATTCTTCTGCGCCGTCGTCAAGGCAAGGAACGATGAGTTCTGCGTACTCCAACTCCAACCCACCTCGTCTGGCGCCGGACCTGATGAGACTCGTTATTCAGAGCCGCTCGAATTTGAATACGGCAATGAGTATCCGTACCCCGGAGGGGCGGTTGCGACATAGTCCAAGTCAGATGACGAACGGGAGTAAAGAGGTTGATGGCGGGTTGTGGGGTGATGCGGAGGTTAGGGATGTACTCTCGTGGACTGCGATGGTCGACATCGAGGAGGACGAGTCGCAGCCACCAGCGGATGTGTATATGCCGAGGGCTGGTTTAAAGACCAGAGTTAGCATGATCGATTTGGCGACGGGACCGAGAGGGGAAACACCTCATGGCATCGACGAGAAGGCTGCGATGAAGGAAATGGCCATGCCTCCACCCACAGCAGAGTTCGAAGGTATTCCTTCTCGCACAACTATGATTATCGAAGAGAAAACAATCGAAGCCCCCGAGAAACTCCGTCGCAAGAAAAGTCTGACGGGGCTCAAAAACCTCATGTTCCGCCGCAAAGGCCGCAAATTACGGTTGAACATGGGATGTGCGACACCAAACTCTGATGACGATGATGGAGGCGATGTGCCCCAGGCTGTGCCGAGTCCGATTAGGAGAGCGGTTAGTGGGGCAACAATCTGTACGTTGAGGACAGGGACAGGGAAGAGCGGTCTGAGTTGTGAGACTGCAGAACTCGTCTCACCCGTATTGCCTATCTCGCCGCAGAATATTGGGACGACGGAGACGAAGAGTCCGGTGTCTCCCATTAACCCGGTCCTCGAGGCTCTAAGACGTGAAGGCCAAGGCCCTGTAATACCGAGAAAGCCGGTCAACGTCCCGATGACGACGGATAAGGCATTACCTGCCCTCAGCCTCGTTACAGACATGGAGATTACCCCAGGGTCAGGTGGGGCTACGCCGGGTAATCTTACGCCGACGTCACCGATGACCCCGAAACCGGTCAATTCCATCAACATCCCACTCGTACGGAACACGAAGAAACCTTTGCCGCCAAGTCCGCAGGGGGAATACTTCAGCCCGATTGCGTCGCCAACACCGACGCAGCTAACGGCGACGGCAGAGAAGATGATGGGCTTACACGTTGCCGCCGAGCCAATCACGGGTTATGGCCCAGCAACCCGGCACATTGATGTACTCGAGCGGCCCAGGAGTCCGGAACATGGTGTGCATCATCAGTGGCCTCTGACGCCGGAAGCAGAGAAGTTCGCTCAGTTAAAACATGATGAGAGCATGTCCTCTTTCGGTGCGAGCCAGGGCCAGACGAGCGTGTTTGAAGTTGAGAGTGAGGGTGAGAGGAGTTTGACGCCGGCGTCGTCAATTGAGGTTGTGGAGGACGGTGATGGAGAGTATCACGACGGAGATCAAGAAGAGCACCACCAGGTGGAGCAGGGGCAGCAGCAGATTTTGTTGACAAGCAAGCCGTTGAGTCCTGTCGACGAACTCGAAGAAGACGAGGAGGAACCTGTCATCACCAACGCAATCATGGGTCCTTCGAGGTGGAGTCAAACATATGGTCGTGGGTACACCAACCGATTCTCGTACCAATCCAACACCTCAGAACCAGTCTCGTCCTCTGAGGACGAAAAGCATGGCCAGCAACAGAAGGCTCTGAGTCTGAGTTCGCCAGCGAGCCCGATTAGTGCGACAGGAGCGAGTCGTTGGGCGATGATTAGACGTCAGAGTATGGATATTACGGCGAGGAATGACCGTGAACAGGATCGGGAGACGGAGCGGGATAGGTTGTTGTCGAGTCCGGAGCAGGGTGTTGAGGACGTGCAAGACGATAGTGTCGAGGCGAGGATCGCGAGGATTCGGGCGAGGGTTGCTGCTATGAATGCTGGGCTGTAGTAGTAGCTTACGCTGGGCGCCGACGCGTGGGAGCTGGGAGGGGGACGATGGGTACAATGGGATTAAGGCAAGTACGATTATGGACGGGATTTAGGAAGATCTGTTATGGGCATATATCCGTTATACCGTTGTCAATCAAGCAGCTAATTCACCTACATGTACACTGCTGTCGATTCACTTCGTGGATGGCGTTATGGTGCCCTGGCAGAGGCAGAACCTTCCGTCTGATTCTGCAACACCTTTCGAGTCTCTCGCGCCGCGTGAGAAAAGTCAGAGCGCGTAGTGTCGAAGGAGTCGTAATCAAGAAATTGATCGACCAACTGCCAGCTGTGCAGCAGAATGACCGAGTAGAGAGTTTCGGAAATGGAAAAATTACATTCCAGATGGCGATTGTCATTGCTAACGTGCACCTACCTTGAGCAGATCTTTGTTTTCTGCGCATTGTGCTTAGCTGCAGTACTCTTTTCCCATTATCACCCTGTATTCAGCGCTACCATACCTCATACATCTCTTCACTCGGTTTTTGCGTGTTTGATATTCCCCTTATGCCCTGATACCCTACTACTAGGTGTCGATAGACGATCTTTGCCCAAGTATACTTCTGGCTTTACGCCGGTACACTAAAGGGGACGAGTCTTGGCTGTTCTGCTGATCTTTCTCGCATTCTGGGTTCCGATCCCCAGATGCGGGGTTGGATAGAACCAGCTGGGTCCATCGTAAGAGACTTCTTTCGCCCGCCGGCGTGATCAATGCTGCCTCCCGTCTCGTTTCAATTTCCTCATCTGTCAGTGTCACGTTCTGCAATAAACAACCACATCCCCCGTCCGTCTCCTATCATCATGGAAATGTGTGTTGAAGAACCGTGCACACTCCCGGTAGTCACTCCCCTCCGTATACTCCTTCACAAACCCCTCCAACACCTCAAAAAAGACCAAATGACTTGTCCATGCTAAACCCCCAACCTCATCCAAGTTCTCTCTCAAAAACCCAGCTGGGTCATCATAAAACCGATCCGCTTCATCTCTGTACGTCTTCCTCTCATCTATTGAAAACCTCAACGGTGGCTCACAAGTAAGAAACCACGACGCATCATCCAAAGCAGGATTGTGCAAATGGCTCTGCCAAGGTGTAGAATGGCAAGGCATCAGAAACCCAACCGATTGAACATCAGGTTCGTTTTTCAAGTAGTCCATCACGTCTATCACCCCTCGTTGATGAACCTGCGCAGCATACCACGCGACCACCACATTCAGTAAAACGACAATCGGCACGACTCGACCCTTTGTCCGCCTTGATAGTCGAGATATCGACACAGATGTGTACACCAACAACAACGGCAACAACGGGTACAAAAACCGCCATTCCTTATGCCCGATCACAGAGTAACACCCTACCACCCACACCACAAGTCCAACATGCTCGGCACTCGCATACCTAACCAATCCCACAACCGTAAAGGGCAGGAAAGCGGTAAGCAGGAGCGGGAGTCCCTGCGTGAGATAATAATGCCACGGCGAGGATCCGTAGAAACCCGATAATCCTTCCACGAGGTTGAACTGGAGGAAGTTGAAAGGGGTGAAGACTGGACGCTGATAGTACAGTGAATCCATGACAAAGTTCAGTCCGATAGCCAAGACTCCCACTAAAGCAGCCTGGACCATGAAGAAGACCCTGTGGGGACTGTTGAGCATGATATGCCCTCCCAACCACACCCACAACAAGGCGTTCGTTGGTCGCATCACACAAGCGACGGCTGCAAGGACTAAAGCAAGGACAGCAGAAGCATTCGTCTTTGTCGATTGCAATGATGGCCAGTAGTACATGGCACATGCCGTCAATACCGTCTCGAGGGAGTTCGAAAAGGTGCGTGTATAGCAGAACCAATTCCACGACGAAGTGACGGTGCAGAAGAGCTGTACATCATGTTAGCCCATGTCGTACTCATTTCCATAGTTGTTGTAGACCAAATCATACCGTCCATCGCCCAACACGCTCCCCAAACATCTTCCTTCCAAGCTTAACCGTATAAAAATCCCCAACGGCCGCGAATACCCCCTGCAAAACCTTTGGCGCAACAACCACGACATCCGGTGTATCAACACCAACAACACTGAGAACCTTATACAACACCGCAAGAACAGCGGGATGAAGCGGATTCCGTATGCCCTCGTCCCACTCCCACGTTGTGTACCCGTACCCGAAAACGATCTTGTGTGCAACCTCGAGGGACTGGTAGTATTCATCTGGTTGGAAGAATGTTTTGATGGTCAATGCGTTGAGGATGCGTAGGACCAATAATCCCAAGAATACTGTTGAAGTGTTCCATGGTATGTCGCCCGCGGCCGCAGGCCGTTGAATTGGCATGATTATTGTTGGTGGGGATTGTTTACGTCTACGTTACAGGGCAGCAGCAGTACGTGATCGCGGGAAAGCCTGTCGCACCATCCCTTATGCGGAAACCACAATTTGATAACGAAAGTATTATTGATTCCTGTGTCTTGGGTATGTGTAACTATCTAGCAAAATGCAAAAGCCCCATTCGCCCCTCTCCAGTCCTACGCCCTCCAAAGATGCTCTGCGCTCACTATCGCTCTCTATCGCTCGCACCACTCACCATCGCCGGCTCACTACGCCCACTTCCTATGAATACACTCCGGATCCTCCCCATACTCCTCCGCACTAACCCACATCCTCCTCCACGTACTCAAACTCCCCAAAATACTCCCCCCAATCCACGTACTCCAAACCCTCTCCGGCGGCGCATAAATCTTAATCTTACTATCCTTCGGTAACCGTGTCTTTAGTTCGTTCAGAAGGCGGTCACCAAAGTTGCGGAGGAGGGTTGTGCCGCCGGATAGGATGATGTTGGAGGAGAGGGTGGGGCGGAGGTCGAGGTCGGAGAGGGAGAGGGAGTTTGTGAGGAGGGTTGGGAGGGGGGGGGATTCGAGGGAGAGGAGGGAGGGGTCGAAGAGGATTTCTGGGGCGCGGAAGCGTTCGGCGCCGAGCTATTTTCACACATATCCCATCAGCAAAACAACACAACAAGCAGACATGTAGGGAGTTTGGAAGCATACCCGTATCGACTGCCCATCCGGCAACCTATACTCCTCCCCAAGCTGCTTCCCCCCACCCCCCGCCGTCCTCGCAGTTTTCTCCGCCGCAACCCACTCCTTCTCCTCCCTCCTCGGCTCCACACTCAAAAAGCACATCTTCTCCTTAACCCCCCTCACAATCTCCTTCTCCGCACTCGTCTCCATCCTGTACCCACCCTTCCTCATCAACAGTTGTAAATATTCCGTTACGTCGCGGCCAGCGAGATCCATCCGTTGGATTCCGGATGTGAGGGCGAATCCTTCGTAGACTGGGACAGAGTGCGTGACACCGTCGCCGGAGTCGAGAACGAGGCCGGTTGTGCGGCCGGACGCGTAGAGGGCTAGGACGGCTTGGATTGAGGTGTAGAGGGCTGGGACGTTAAATGATTCGAAGAGGATTTGGGCCATCGTTGTACGGTTTTGTCGGGGGTTTAGGGGGGCTTCTGTTAGGAGGACTGGATGCTGTTTGTCCACTATCAGCTTGTGTGCATGTCAGGAGTTCTGGGGGATTGAGCAAACCTCTTCTGGGAGGACTTTGAGTTCCTCTGAGTATAGGTATTGCCATATCCGCTCCATATCATCCCAATCGGTCACTACGCCGTGTTCCAGCGGGTATTTCACTTTCAGCAACCCCCGCAATTCCTGCGCTTTTGGGCCGACGAATGTATCACCCTCCACCGCGCCAGCCATGATACGCGTATGTTTCGGTCGACCGACACTGTAAACACCTCGAGTCAGTTTTCCTCAACACAGTCTCCATGTCCGAGAGTGCAACGTACTATGAAGGAAAGAAGCACTTTGGCTGGTCCTCGCCTGCGAAGCCAGCTTTGATTACACCTGAGCCGTTGTCGATGACGACTGGTTGATTCGTAAGGAAACTCGCGTCGTCCATTGCAATTGCTTCAATCTTGTATCAATCGTCTATTGATGTCAGTCACGGTAGAATGTGGTGCCGCAGCTCAGCGCACCCCCTCCACATACCGAATACGGCACTGCGCTCACCCTCGATACCTGTAACGACGACACACACACAATGGACTCAAAAACAAGTTCATTCCTTCTCCCTTTCCTCCCCTCCCCCCGGAATGCCAGACCCTACGTAACCCTAACCTACGCCCAATCCATCGACGCAAAAATCGCAGCTTCAGATCGGAAGCAACTACGGCTCTCTGGTGCGGAGTCGAGGTATATGACGCATCGGTTACGGGTTTTGCATGAGGGGATTTTGGTTGGGGTTGGGACTGGGATTGGGGATGATCCGGGGCTTAATGGTATGTGGTTCTACTCCCTGAAGCTTCAGTTGGTTGATTGAGTGTGGTGCGTAGCCCGTCTCCCCGACCCAGTCAACTCACCACCCTGCTCCCTCCCCCAACAACCCCACCCATTCATCCTCGACCCCACATTCCGAAGCCCAATCACCTCCGAAACCCGACTTATCCGTACAGCCGCAGCCGGACACGGACACCCTCCAACATACCTCGTCCGGTCTGACGCGGTGCTCGACGAGGACAAATTACAAATTTTACAAAGCGTCGGTGGGCGCGTCATTAAGATCCCCACCACCGGCCCGCGGGCGCTGATGTGGGATGATATCCTAAAAGCAGTCTACGACACCGGTATCGCATCCCTCATGATCGAAGGCGGGGCACGCGTTATCGCGGACGTACTACGAGAAAAAGCGGCGGATGTGGTCATCGTCACGATCGCGCCGGTGTATGTTGGGAAAGAGGGGGTGGGTATCGATATTGATGGGGAAGGGGAAAGAGGTGGCGGGGGTGAGGTGGGGGGGGAGGGGTGGTTGAGGGATGTGGTGTGGGAGAGGTTTGGGGGAGATGTGGTTTTGGGGGGGAGGATTGGGTGAGGGGATGGGGAAAGAGACGCCTGCGATTGCGCACACCACCTTCGTCCGTTTGTCCGTATCAAATCCGTCATCGTCGTCGATGACATACGATGTCTTATTTCAAGATCTAGATCCAGATAAACCGTTCATCCTCTCCGGACAGCATTCGCCTTACGCACAGCCATATACGTATGAAAGCACTATCACGCTATATCCGAAGTTCACCTGACAGCAACGTCAGTGAACTGAATTAGACGTTTAATTGATAACGGTATACCGGATATACAGTATTCCCATGCCAAATTCTCCTTCACCCAGGCGTAGGGGTACTTGACTTGCCTAATTTCGTGGCCATCCCACCCTATCCTCCTCGTAGTGCTCCCACGCGTCCGCTACAGCCTACCTATGTAGCATTCATACTCATAGCAACAACCCTCGCCCGTATCCTCGACTTCCTGCTCCTACTCATGCCCCCCGGGGGACTCGCCAATAATCTCTTGGCTCCGTATCTGCAGAGAGTGGAAGAGATAGTGGAGCTTGAGGATTTGATATGAGGTTCGATATAGAAGTTTTACGGGATTGAAAAGGCAGTCAAGCCTGCTGTGTGATGGCGGCTGGCTCTTGGTACAGTGCTGCTGAGGCTGCAGCTGAGCGCTAGCAATGCAATAAAATCCTACCCAACACGCATTAACACAGACTTCATCTGAAATATGCTTCCTGCAACCTTGGAACTGTCTCCTAATAAGTCATACCGTACAGCAACCCCGATCGATCTTGCGGTCACGACTATTCCTGTCTCGCCGCGCTCCTCCTAGGCCTCTTCTCACGCTAGCGCGGTTCCCATATTTCCCGATGCGGCACGCTCGGGCTCAAACTTCTACTTGAAGTCATGATGTCTTCGTTGGGATGACTAGGGTCGTGCGATGGTAAAAAAACCCTGCTACATCCTCCTCTGTCCGTTCTTCCACCTTACCACTTTTTATCATCTCTCCCTCGAGGTCTTGTCACTCGATCCTCCACAGTCCTCGACATATTATCACTCGAAACCTCGCTGGACAACCAACGACTAGTCACGCCATCTATCATGAACACGACCACTTCTACTCTCAACAACAACAAGATCGAGGAAAGCCAGATGATGGCGACCTCCGCTTTCTCCCTCGACATGCACCGCTTCTTGCGAGAGCTCAACACATCTGTCCTTCCAACGGGCGCTAGCCTTCCCGGACAACCAGCCATGCCATCTATCAAGGACATCCTCACTCTCGTTGGCCCCGACATATCCCACGAAACCCTCATGACCGCGCACTCCGCCTTCTCGTCCTCCATGCACAACTTCCTCCGCGACCTCAACACCCCCTCCCCCATGGCGAAACCCCGCCCGAGCTCCACCCCAGCTCCAAGTTTCTCCCTTCTCATGGACTCATGGACTCAGTGGTCGGCATCTCCCCTGAGAGCCCAGGGTGTTGGTTTACAGAACACATGAACCACCTCTCCCAAGTCTTCTGGCGTCCCCGCGATCCGGAGGCGGTTTTGACTCCAGGGCACGAGGATAACATCATGCGAATCCTCTTCCGAAAACGGATTAACGCGGCCATTGCCAATGAAGCATCCAACCACTTCCCCCTCGTGCGGTTAGGGGAGGCAGGGGAGTTTTGGTTGTTGATGAAGGTTATGAGGAGGATTGTTGAGGATGAAGAGGAGGAGGAAGTGGAGTATAAAGAGGGGTTGGCGGGGTTTTTGAATAGGATGGAGTGGTGGGCTGCACATTGTGTCAGCGAACGGGTGGAGGGGGATGCGGGGGTGGAAGTTGAGGGTGTTATGAGGTGTTCTTTTGGGGTTGAGTGTGGGTGGTGTTATGATGAGGTGCGGCAGGCTGAAGACACAGATGAGGGTGAGGAAGAAGGGTGTGAGATTATGAAAGGGAAGGTCTCTGATGATGGGACGGGGAGTGACAGTGGAGTGGAATTTTGAGCATGCGTTCCAGCTTAGACATGCTATAGATAAGAGTTCATGTTATAGAGGGGGTGAATAGACTTTTGTTATCTTTTCTATCGTCTCAACACCATGCCTATGCTTTCGTAATACAATTCTAAATTGCACTTGCCTCCCGATCCGCCGCCATCGCCTCCTCTAACTCCTCACTCCTCATCCACCTCCCAACCTCCTCAATCAACCCCGCAACCCTCCCCTCCATCGCCCCCGTCAAATCATGCATACTGTACCCACACCGATGATCTGTAATCCTATTCTGCGGCCAATTGTACGTCCGTACCTTATCGCTTCGATCCCTACTCACCGTTCCCTGCGCCCGTCGTAAGTTTTTCTCGCGCTGGATGTTGGCTTCCCGACGACGGGCCGCTAAACGGGAACGGAGGACGAGGAGGGCTTTTGCGCGGTTGGCGTGTTGGGAGCGGGAGTCTTGCATGGAAATTGTGATGCCGGTGGGTAAATGGGTCAACCGGACTGCGGATTCGGTTTTGTTGACGTGTTGTCCGCCGGCGCCACGAGCACGCATGACGTCGATTTTGACTTCGCGCATGTCGACCTGGGCGAGTTCGTCGTCTTCGGCGTCTTGTTCGGATATCTCTGCTAGGACGTTCACAGCTGCGGTCGAGGTGTGGACACGGCCTTTTGCATCGGTTGCGGGGGTGCGTTGGACGCGGTGGACGCCGGCTTCGCCGCGGAGTTTGCCGAATGCGCCGGGTGAGGAGATTTGGATGATTGCTTCTGATAATCCTTCGCCCATTGCGTCGCTTTTGTTGATGGACATGATTTTGAATTGCATGCCCTCTATGGCGCAGTACCTTTCGTACATTCTGAGGAGATCGTGGGCGAAGAGGGATGCTTCATCACCCCCGATACCGGATCGGATTTCGAGAAGAGCGGGGAGGTGGGCGTGAGGGTGTTTCGGTGTAAGCGCGATAGTGAGCTCTTCTTTCAGTTTGACCAGGCCGCCGACTGTAGCTTCCATGTCTTCGCGAGCCATTGCTTTCATATCCGGATCTGTGGTCGAGTTCATCTCTTTCTGGAGTTCTTCGATGCTTCGTTCCGCGTCTTCCAAGGCCTGTAAAGCGTTCGATACATCTTCCAAGTCACTTATTCGCTTATTCAAAGCGATTGTCTCTTTGTTGAACTCGACACCCTCGGCTGCTTCTGCGTTGGCTCGGGCTTTCAAGGCGTTGTACTGTGATTTGAGTCGTTTTGCACGCATCCGCAGCGCCGGGCTGAGTTCACCCGTTTGGTAAGCCTCATCTGTTTTTGTTTCCGCTGCCACAGTCGAAGCCATACGGATCCCGGTATATGGTGTCGCAGGGAGATGCGACGGCGTCACTCGAACTGGCGGTGATCTCACTATTGCGGGTCCAAAGCGATTGATCCGAGGCGCTTGTCGCAGGCAACTCCGGCAGACCCATGGTAATCTATACATGATCCTCTCAACAATTGCAATCCCAGACCAACTCGAATTCGCGAACCCTCGAGGACCCGCAAGCAAGCTACGCCACAGACGGCACCCTGCACCGCCACGTATCTTCGCTACAGGCACATATTACAATATTTGCCTCTTCCGACAATCAAGTCAGTCGAAATGCGATTATCGTTATGTTGGCCTCGCCTGTCGACATTGCCAATCAGAAGGAGTGTGCTGGGGTGTCGAGCGTATTCATCCTCTGCAACGCCGGCCGAATCGTCCAAGGAAGCGGTGGAGACTCTTGAAAAACGGGTGGCATATGTCGATCACGCACCGCGGCGGGGCGACACGATTTACGTCGCAATGTCCGGCGGCGTCGACTCCTCCCTCGCCGCCTCACTGTACAAACAGGCCGGGCACGACGTCATGGGAATCTTCATGCGAAATTGGACAACCGACGACGACCCCTCCCGCACAGCCCAAGGTTGCCCCCAAGAACGCGACTGGCACGACGTCCAAGAAGTCTGCGCACACCTCCGGATCCCGTGTAGACGGGTTGACTTGAGCAAAGATTACTGGCTCGATGTGTTTGAGCCGGCGTTGGAGGGGTATAGGGTGGGGAAGACACCAAATCCGGATGTGTGGTGTAACCGCGAAATCAAATTCGGGAAATTCTTCGATCATGTCGCTCAACTCGCCGCTGCCGAAGGACCACTGGGTCCGAATCAGAAATGGTGGTTAGCGACGGGACACTACGCCCGCGCCGCTCATCGCCTCGAACTCACGACCTCCTTCGCATCCCTCGACCCTCCGAAGGAAAGCGTCCTCATGCGCTCCAAAGGCGATAAGAAGGATCAAACATACTACCTCTCGCAAATTCCGCAACGCGCACTCCGCCATGCCCTTTTCCCGCTGTCCGCATACCCCAAATCCCATGTTCGCAGATTGGCCCTCTCCCACGGTCTCCCCAACGCCCAAAAACCAGACTCACAAGGCCTCTGCTTCGTCGAACCCTCCAACCACGGCAAGCACTTCCGCGACTTCCTCTCCCAATACCTTGAACCCAATCCCGGCCCTATCAAAACTGACTCCGGCGTCGTCGTTGGGACCCATCAAGGTCTCTGGCACGCCACCGTTGGAGAGGGAAGCGGAGTCTCAACTCCACAGATGACACCAAGTTTTCGGGGCCGGTGGTTTGTCTTGAAGAAAGACCAAGAGAAAAATGAGATCACGATCGTTAACGGAACTCATCACCCCCTCCTGTACCATCGCTCTCTCATCGCACATAATTTCAAGTGGATCACGGAAGCTGAGCGTGTTCCGCTTCTTGGAAAAGAAATTGCTTTGGAAGCTCAGATTAAGCATGGACCCTACGCACAGGAATGTGGGATTCAGGTTTTGAGTGATGGCCCAGAGGGAAGTGTAGTGCGTATCTTGTTTAGGAATAGACAGAGGGGGATAACGCCGGGTCAACACGTCGCGGTGTGGAGAGGGAATATCTGTTTGGGTGGTGGAGCGATCAAGTATGCGGAGGAAGACGAGACTCACACTTCATATCGAGGAGATTAAGGGCTATGGGTGCAGCCATCGTAGGATCCGGAGGGTGTACTTGTACGTATTTGTTTGGATAGATAGGAACCTTTGTCGGCGCTGGCGTTTTTAAGGTTTAGCTTAGTATATCCACCTTTCAACTTTGAGCATTAGTATAGGCGTAGGCCAAATGCATCTGATCTCCTCTTCTTTGATATAGCCGACGTTCACTCCTCTCCTCCTATCGTATCCTACGCCAGCGCAAGACGGACGTCTTCGTATATCCTCCCGACAATAACTCACTCTCACCTCGCAACCCGATCGAAAACCTGCCCCCTAACACTGCTCCCCACCATGCTACTCCTCACATTCCTCCTAAACCCCTCCCGATCCCTCCTCAAATCCTCAGCCGCCTCCTTATTCAGCGGATCATCCGCATTTGGCTCGAGGAAGAGGTACTGTAGGCCGACCATGACGGCATTGAGGTTCAAGACCGGTTTCCAGTCTTCGCGAAGGATGTTGAGGCAGACGTTTCCGTCGAGGTCGATATTGGGGTGGTAGATCTGTGTCCCAGAAGTTTATGTTAGCGACCGTATACTACGTACACAGTGACAAAGACTTTTGGGGCACCTTTTGGGTACAGCGGACTTTTGGGGGTTGGTGGGGATAGTCGTTTGAGATTGCGAAGGAGAACTTGAAGAGTCCGCCTCGATACATGCCTGTGAGACCATCAGCACTGCTCACGGAGTTGAAAGTCTCGCATACCCTCATCGGGCTCGATTGTAAGAAAAAAGTTTAGCAAGTCCTCTGGATTGGGGAATTGTGTTTGCATCGTCGAAGGAAGTGAGAGTTCGGTCAAATCTACAAATCGCACAGCCGTGTCAACAACTGCCTGAAGTTATCAGGGCTGTGTGCGGAACTTACCTTTTTGAACACGAATCTGCGCAGCGCTGACCTTTGGCCTCTTCTTCTCCGCCTCGGCAGCGTCCTTCTTCATAGTCCAGATCCTGTAAGCCATCGGTCAGCATTCCCTTCGGAATCCTGTAGTCTCCTATCGCTTACTTGAGCATTATGGGCAATAGTATCAGTCAAGTAGGAAGTGGTATATGCTATGCGCTGTAACGAATGCGCTTTGGTGTTGATGTTTGTCGTTGCTGGAGCCGATGTGGATTTGCGGAGACCGCGGGCAGCTGTACGAGCGCCCGATGTACGTAATACATGTACTGTGCACGAAGTTGGTTAAACAAGGGGTTCTTGAGATATGGTATGATTGATATCCTAAATTCCATAAGCCTATCGTGCTCTCCTCGAACCCTCCGGTAGGGGTGGTTCACGCCCAACGACCGAACAACTCCTGCTCGGCAGGCTTGTTCTGGAAAATCTCGTCGATTTCCTTCATAACACCATCATCAATCTTCTCCAAGATCTCAAGAGCCTTGACGTTCTCGTCGACCTGTTCAGGCTTAGAAGCTCCAGTGATGACGGTAGAGACATTAGGGTTCTTCAAGCACCAAGCCAAGGCAAGCTGAGCGGTGGTGGCACCGAGTTTCTCGGCGACCTTGGTGAGCTTACGAACCTTCTCGAGCTTGGCTTTTCCTTCCTCGGTGGAGAGACCATCACGGAATTTCTTCATGATGGGGTCATCGCGGGCAAGGCGGCCGTCCTCGGGGATGCCGTCGTTGTACTTTCCGGTCAAGATACCAGAAGAGAGGGGAGACCAGATGGTGGTACCATACTCGTACAACTTGAACAAAGGCACAAACTCCTTCTCGAGCTTGTTGCGCTCAAGGAGGTTGTACTGAGGCTGGTCGACAGAGGGCGCGATGAGGTTGTATTTGGTCGCGACATGGTGAGCGTGCTCGATCTCGAACGCGGACCACTCGGATGTACCCCAGTAAAGAGCATGACCATCATTGACGATCTTGGTGAACGCACGAACGATCTCCTCCATAGGCGTAAGCGGATCGGGACGGTGCGCCATGACAATATCAACATAATCCAATTGCAACCTCTCCAAACTCTTCTTCATACCCTCCAGCAAATGCTTCCTACTCAAGCCCTTGTCGTTTGGTCCCGCTCCACCCCAGTACAACTTGGTCGAGATAACGTAGTCAGACCTGTTCCATCCCAACTTCTGGATCGCGGCACCCATTGCCTTTTCGCATTCTCCGTTTGCGTAGACCTCCGCAGTGTCGAAGTAGTTGATCCCGTACTCCCATGCTTTGGCCATGCACTCCGCGGCACCGTCACCAGTCACTTGTCCTCCGTAGGTGATCCAGCCACCGAGGGAGAGAGCAGAGACCTTCAATCCGGTCGCGCCGAGGAAACGGTACTGCATCTTGTCTGTCTTCAATTCGGGAGCCATTGTAGTATTTCAAGGATCTCAAGGGATGTGTGGTGGTTTGGTAAGTCCGGCATGCTGCCAGTTCTTATTTGCTGGGATCCGCGGCGGCGTTTCTTTGGCCGATCATCCCGGAGTTTGTTCGAGGCGGGGTGATATGATGACGTGAAGGATCGCGGACGCCTTGGACCCGACCGACGTACAGGTAGCTGTACAAACCGTGGAAGATGATGAGATCTGGAGACTTCAGGAAGCAATCTTGAATTCTTTGCAACTATTAGATGTCAAAACCCATGTAACTGTACCATGAAACACCTTTCTTCAATGCCTTAGGTGCAAACATGCAAATGCATTGTCAAAAATGATACAAATTGGGAGGTGACTGAGAGTGCCAAAGTTGAAGACCTCTTCTGATACTATGAGGTCAGGAAAAGGCCAGATTTTCAGAGCTGGCGGTATCTGCGGAGGCGCTACGTGAGCGGAACCGAGATATGTGGAACTTGGATTGGTGTCCGACATAACTACCGGACGCTCTCATACTCGCTCACTGCGGATGCTCGGACTTGTAGAGGTTGTCTATATGCACCTACTTTGTCAAGGGATCCTACCGCCGGAGGCATGAAGTAGCAGGGGAGATGAACTGCTGGTGCAGTCGATATTGGCAGTATGTGTCGACTCGTTGCGTATTCGTTAACTACGAGAATATATCTCTTCGTAATGCTTCGATCTGTATGCCTTAAGAGTTACCCATAAGGTGATATTACCAGTGCTGCCCTCAAGTTTCTCACGACTGCGCTCCAATTGCACGCCTGACCGTATCCCAACCGTGTCAATCCCATATTTGAGAACGATCCCACTTCGCGCTGGATACATGAGCTAGACAAGGTGTACACTTACAAGTGTGTCCATAGCCTCATCCACAAATACGGATTTTCAGTTTTCCATCATCCCGATCCCCTCAACCTCCACTTCACGTCCACGGTACGAGATAAGCAAGTCCATATTAAGATCTCATCTCGAACTGTAAGTATGCCAGCTATTATCCTAATGCTTGAAAATATGCATCACACCAGTCCAGTCACCCTTCTCCCTCTCTCTCCAATATCCATCTTCACCATCCTTGATCCTCCAGACGGCATTCAGGCCTTCTCCACTAACTTTTTCAAACCACCTCGGAATCCAGGTCTCTCCATTCGCCTCCATCTCCTTCCTTCTACTCCTCTGGTTCTCCTCGAGTGCGAGCTTGATAGGCTCGGCGGCATCAAGCTCGCCCATCTCGCACATGCGCTGATCAGGACGAAGACGGGTATCGGTGATAGGCAAACATCCACGTTCAATCTCCGTAACCTCATTCAACTGCGCCGCAAATTGCGTGAAACCACAATGTTTCTCAGGGACATCAACCAACGGGTCAACACTCCACACTACCTCTCCATCCCTTCCACCGCCAACAAAAGCCAGTGATTGCGTCCACTTCCCACTCAACCCCAACTTCTGGACTTTCTCACCCGCATCAAAAGCCTGGACCGCCACATCCTCACTCCGGCCAGAGAACATCTTTCCGGCCTTAAACGTAACTACTGCCTTTTCTCCAGTGGTCTGGTTCGTCACCGTCATCGTGCCAGTAGGCTCAACATACTTCTCCCCCATCGCAATATTCCTCAAAAAAGTCGCAGGCTTATCCCACACATACACATCCCCCCCCAATTCCAGATGCGTAGACCCATGCGTGATAATCTCCGCACTCTTTCCCCAAAACTTCTGCTCAGGACTTGGTGACGCATCCAGCTTCCATCCATGTTTGGATTCAACACACATTGCCACAATAGGTGGCCTGTGTTCGACCTTCTCTGCGATAAACCTCCATCCACGATCCTCACGCACGCATTCGAATGTCTCACCCAACAAGGGGTTGAACACCTTCCTCACACTCCTCTCCTTCGCCCTCATGTTGCTAAACGCACTACACGCAAACGCAGCAATCCATAATATCCTCTCGCCATCCTCCTTTGGCTTTGTCTGCGCAACCGTCAATAACCTAGAGTACTCCAACTCCTCCGCAATACGTTGTAGTAGGTTGAGAGGCTCGTTCGACGCGACAGGCATGGCGATCGAAGACAGGTCCTTCCCAACATTCTTACGGAGGAAGGCTAGGAGAGACGGCGGCTGTACCGTCACCTCCTTCGGCAAATTCGCCCGTCTCCTAACCTCGCCAACGCGTTCAAGCGGATACAACACCCTACCCTTACCCGCATCTCCACCCTCCTCAAGATCCCCAGTATTGGTACTGGTTGAACGAATGGTAGCAATCGTCCCCCGACTATCCTCCCGTCTAAAAATCTGCGTAGCCCCACTCGTCGCACCAATCGGGGGTGCAGGCTCAGGCTCCGCACTACTCTCCTCCGTCTCCGTCGAATAACTCTCACCATCACTCATGAAGACCTCTTCCTCGCTCTCCGTTTCTTCCTGTACATCCATCAACGCCGTCGCTGAATCCCTCTCATTCTCCAGCACGATGATGGAAGAACCGTGACCGACGGCGTCGCTGGCGGAGGTGGCTAAGTGTTGGTCTTCGGCGTCGAACCATTCTTCGTTGGTGGTTGTCATGACACTTCGAGAGCCATCGATCGAGGGACGAGAACTACCAGGCGAACGCGAAAACCCGTGCTCAAACTTGGGACTCAACGGCGAAGTGCTGAGCGGCGTCCGCGGTATCCGAGCACGAGAGGCTGTGACAGTCCGCAACTGTGCAATGATATCTTCAACCTCCCTTTCCAAACCCCTCAACTTCGTTCCCGACGACGTCGAACATGAGACCAGTGGCGCAAGGACACGATCAGGACTCGGCGGCGGGTAAATCGTTGGCGTACCCGTCCTGCCACTCGGTGTGCGCTTGAAAAGTCCCTTCGCTGGTGCCTTCGAGGGACTTGGTATGGGACTGAGGTTTTCTGCACTCAAGTTCGGGGATGCGGTGGCACTGTTGATATCACTTCTCACGTCTTTGATTCCCTCCTTAACACCCTCCAACCTGTTCACCAATTCTTCCACCTTCATCCAGCTCTCATCGTCCCTCTCCCTCTGTTGCTGCTGCTCATTCGCTCTGACCTTCAGACTCCCCGCTCCGGTCCCAGCCCCCGAATGCGCAATCCCCATCCGCTCCCTAACCTCGAACCCTTCGACTGCAACCTCCATCGCCTCCCTCCAGCTCTCAAACTCAAAAGTGCCACCACACCTCAAATGCCACATCTCCGCCCCGGCGTCAACCACAATCTCTCTCCTCTCCACCACGAAAGTGATGGTCGCGAGTGGGAGTGGGATGATGCCTCGTTTGTGGGCAGGAGTGGAGGGGGAGTGGGTGTAGGATAGGGTAGCGGTGGGTATGTCGAGGGTGAAGTAGCGGCGGGCGTAACCCTGGAGGGCTTTGCGGCGGCGTTTGAGGAGGGGACCGCTATGTGTCGTCCCACCGGACCAGGATGGGTCGGGAGTCAGCGTTGGAGCAGAAGTGTTAAGAGAGGAGGCGGAGAAGAGAGTGGTGGGAGAGGGCGTGGGCGCGTGGGTAATGATGAATGTCACGGTTTTTGAGAGTTGTTTGGAGAAGGTGTTGTCGAAGACGAGGGCGTACATCCCGGCTTCGCCGTTCTTGACGTCCCATGTACCCCTCGCGACCTGCCCTCCAGAAACACGGCCACCCCATACGACCTCGACCAGTCCCGCTGCACTCAGGCGTTGCTGACACGTTTGTCCTGTCTGTGGGCCCGGAATGGCGGGTGACCCCGTACCCAAGCCGCCACCACGAGCCCGGCTTGCAGGATCCGAGGAAGAAGAGGGAGTTGTGGGCTTCCGGTATAGAGCGTAATTGATCGACTTCTTCGTCGGTTTGATTTGGTATGATAGGGTATGTCCAGCGGGGACTTGTACCCACTTGATCAGGAGGTCGCGGGAGTGAACCTCGACCGTTTCGAGATCCATTGCAAGCCAACAACCCCGTAAAAGTTGAGCAAGTGAAGGTCGACTGGATACTGAATGTAGGAGGCAGAGCGTGTGACTGTATGCTGGATTGAACGAGCTGCCCTCTTATGATCTTGTTCGTGTTCGTGTTCGTTCGTGGGTGTATGCTGCCCAATTTCGTCAGGCTGCTGCGCGTGCTGCACGGGCCGGGGCGGTCTTACTCCGGAACTGGAGGAACGTATACCCGGAGGCGTGTCGATTCAACTTGACAGAATAATCATCTGGAGGGTCAAACGATTTAAGCCTTTTCAAAAAGATTCGGATAAACAAGCTTCAAAGCTGTCAAACACGAGGCTGTTTCAACGTGCTACGATAGAGCCCCCGGTCGCGGTACCCCGCAGCCGAGCCTCGTACACAGCCCCGAGATGAACACCGTACACCATCCCTAACCTCCAACACCTTTGACGACAGCGAGCCATGACAGATAAGGCTACATACGACTACGAGTTCCTCAGAACTTCCTTCCCAGTCCCGTCGGTCCTGCACATCGGTACTTACCCCTCCCTCCTCTCTTCCCTTACCCTGCACTCCCACGCTCCCCTGGAACCCTTCTTTGAATATATGCTGACAGTTCTTGCGGTACAGAACTGAATAGAGCTCCATTGAATGCGTTTCATGAACCATTTTGGCGAGAACTAGGCGCCTGCGTCGACAAAGCCAGCACAGACCCAGATGTCCGCGCGATCGTGTTGAGTTCTGTGCAGAGGATCTTCACGGCTGGACTAGATAGTTCGTGACCCATCCCTTCTTGTCACGTAACACCCCAACTAACCGATACTTTCTCTCACAATAGTTAAGGCGGCAACCGAAATCCTTTCCCCAAGCTCCTCCGATCCGGCGGCTCGAGCCCTCCATCTCCGCACCCACATCCTCGACTTCCAACACGCCATCTCCTCCCTTTCGCGCACACCCAAACCCATCATCGCCGCACTCCACTCCACAACCATAGGTCTAGGAATCGACATCGCCTCCGCCTGCGATATCCGCCTCTGCTCCTCTGACTTCTCCGGCTGCGTGAAGGAGGTTGATATCGGACTCGCTGCAGATATTGGGTCGTTGCAGCGTCTTCCGTATATCGTTGGGTCTGATAGTTGGGTTAGGGAGATATGCTTCACAGCGCGGCCGTTTGGGGCGGAGGAGGCATTGCAGCAGGGGTTTGTTAGTAGGGTGTTTCTGGGCAAGGAGGAGTGTGTACGTGCGGCGATCGAATTGGCCACGAAGGTCGGGGAGAAAAGTCCAGTTGCGGTCCAGGGGACGAAACACCTCTTGAATTGGGGGAGGGGGAAAACGGTTGAGGAGGGATTGGAGTATACGGCTGTTTGGAATGCGGGGATGTTGCAGGTATGTTGAACGAACCTGAATGTGGGAGAGTGACTGCTGATGTGGGAGGATTTAGAGTGGAGATATCGGAAGGGCTGTCAAGGCTACATTGATGAAGAACAAGGCAATATTCCCAAAGCTGTGAGATCGATGTGGCAGGGTGCAGGTGGTGCCGGAGGTGAGGGCACCGTGAGACCCCGGCAGGATCGCGTCGGAATAGGTCCAGAAGGCAGATAGAGGATGAAATAAGACAGGGAAACGCGTAAAGGACCCCGCGGAGGTCAGATTGTACGGTATGAAGGATACCACGGGAAATCAGGAAGTATTACACCAACCTGCCCAAGAATTCGTCACTCTTACCGCGTAGCCACTCCAATCAACTCCCTCCAGTCCAATGATACCACTGATGCCTATATAACCTCCTTCTTTGGCCTTAATGATTCTACGGTTTCTCTGTGTGCGTCGTTGCAATTTACGCTCAAACAGGTTTAGCACGCTTCGAGCAGCAGGTTGAGGTGACCTCGACACGCGCCCGCGATTTCCCAGCAAAACCGCGTCCGTTACCTAACCACCACTCCATCGTCCCTTTCGCCTCTTTCAATTGTTACCCTTCATTCAGATCATTCACAAATCAGATCGACAATTGAGGACGCGTACAATGGCTCGCGGTAGAAACACAAAGGCTACACAGGCCGAAGAAGATGTCGACATGGAGGACATGAAGCACGATGTTGACGAAGCCGACTACAACGAGAACGAATCCATGGGCGAGGAAGATGGCAATACCCAGAAAACCGGTGCGAAGCGAAAGCAGGCAATGGCCGACAAGAAATCACAACTCGACAAAGAAAAGATCAGAGACTCCGCAAAGCGATTCCAATACCTCTTGGGCCAAACCGATCTGTTTAGACATTTCATCAATATCCGTGCTGAGCAGGATGAGGAGTTCATGGCGATTTTGGAGGAGACGGATAAGCTGAACTCTTCCGATAAGAAGAAGAAGGCGGTGAAGAAGGATGACCGTCGACACCGGAAATCCGAAAAAGAAGAAGACGCCGAACTCCTCCAAGAAAACGTCGAAGAAGAGAGAGAGGAGCAGACTGTATTCACCGAATCGCCGTCCTACATCCACGGACAAATGCGTGATTACCAGGTCCAGGGTCTCAACTGGCTCGTCTCCCTCCACGAAAACCACCTCAATGGTATCTTGGCCGACGAAATGGGTCTCGGAAAGACCCTCCAAACAATCTCTTTCCTCGGATACCTCCGCTACCTCAAGGGCGTCAAGGGTCCCCATCTCGTCATGACCCCCAAATCCACGCTCGACAACTGGGCTCGTGAGTTCAAGATGTGGACGCCGGATGTCAAGACGGTCGTTATCCAGGGAACGAAGGATGAGCGTGCGGATTTAATTGAGAACGTCCTATTGACCGGAGACTTCGATGTCTGTATCGCAAGTTACGAGATCGTATTGAAGGAAAAGACACAATTCAAGAAGTTTGCGTGGGAGTACATCATCGTTGACGAAGCCCACCGAATCAAGAACGAGGAATCGATGCTGTCGCAGGTCATCCGTCTCTTCACATCCAGAAACAGACTCTTGATCACAGGAACCCCATTACAGAACAACCTCCACGAACTCTGGGCCCTCCTCAACTTCCTCCTCCCAGACGTCTTCTCCGACTCCCAAGCTTTCGACTCTTGGTTCGAACAGCAAGAGGGCGACCAAGACACCGTCGTCCAACAACTCCACAAAGTCCTCCGTCCCTTCCTTCTCCGCCGCGTCAAGAACGATGTGGAGAAATCACTCTTACCCAAGATCGAGACGAACCTTTACGTCGGTCTTTCGGAGATGCAAGTTAAGTGGTACCAACGCATCTTGGAGAAAGATATCGATGCGGTGAATGGAGCGGTGGGGAAGAAGGAGGGTAAGACGCGGTTGTTGAATATTGTTATGCAGTTGCGGAAGTGCTGTAACCACCCCTACCTCTTCGATGGTGCGGAGCCTGGACCGCCGTTCACGACTGATGAACACCTCGTTGATAACAGTGGTAAAATGGTTATTTTGGACAAGTTGTTGAAGAGGAGGCAAGCACAGGGCTCCCGTGTTTTGATTTTCTCACAGATGTCTCGTGTCCTCGACATTCTCGAGGATTACTGTTTCCTCCGCGACTATAAGTACTGCAGAATCGACGGTTCCACGGCGCACGAAGACCGTATCGCGGCAATCGACGACTACAACCGTCCCGATTCCGACAAATTCATTTTCTTGTTGACGACACGTGCGGGTGGATTGGGTATCACCCTCAACACCGCCGATGTCGTCGTCCTCTTCGACTCAGACTGGAATCCGCAGGCGGATTTACAGGCAATGGACCGTGCGCATCGTATCGGACAAAAGAAGCAGGTTTACGTCTACCGCTTCGTCACCGAAAACTCTGTCGAGGAAAAAGTCTTGGAAAGAGCCGCGCATAAATTGCGGTTGGATCAACTCGTTATTCAACAGCAACGCACGAGCGCTAAGACGAACAACAATGCCTCCAAGGATGATTTGTTGGGTATGATCCAGCATGGTGCCGAAAGCGTGTTTAACAAACGCGATGGAGGGACTATGACGGAGGATGACCTTGATGCTATTCTGGCGAAGGGTCAGGATAGGACGAAGGAGTTGAATGAGAAGTATTCGAAGCTTGGTGTTACTGATTTGGAGAACTTTACGTTTGATTCCGCATACGAGTGGAACGGGACGGATTATCAGAAGAAGAGCGCGGGTCTGGGACTGGCGTGGATCAACCCCTCCAAACGTGAACGCAAAGAGCAGAATTACTCCATGGATGGGTACTATAAGGGTGTTCTCAAGACTGGTGGTAGAGTCGCTGGACAGCCTAAAGCGCCGAGAGCGCCGAAACAGACCAACGTCCAGGATCACCAGTTCTATCCTGTGAGGTTGACGGAGTTGCAGAATAAGGAAACTGCGTACTACCGGAAAGAACAGGAATACAAGGTTCCCCTCGCCGATGGACCCGATGACGATCTTGATAAACGTGTGAAGGAGCAGGAGGATGCGCAGAGGGAGATTGATGAGGCGGAACCGTTGACGGAGGAGGAGGTTGCGGAGAAAGAGGAGTTGTCGACACAGGGATTTGGGCAATGGTCCCGTCGTGATTTCCAGCACTTTATCCGTGCGAATGAGAGGTATGGTCGGGAGAACATCAAAGCTATAGCTGTGGAGATCGAGGGCAAGAGTGTTGAGGAGGTGGAGGAGTACGCCAAAGTCTTCTGGGACCGCTATGCCGAACTCGCTGGCCATGAACGCTTTATTGCACAGATTGAAGAAGGGGAGTCGAGGTTGAAGAAACAGTCCAAGCAACAACAATTGCTGAGAAAGAAAATCGAGATGTACCGTGCGCCACTCCAACAACTCAAACTCATCTACGCACAAAACAAGGGAAAGATCTACACCGAAGACGAAGACCGATTCTTGCTTGTTATGCTCGACAAGTACGGACTTGATCGGGAGGATATCCATGAGATTATTCGAGAGGAGATTAGGGAGAGTCCGTTGTTCCGGTTCGACTGGTTTTTTAAGAGTAGGAGTGTGGATGAGATTAAGAGGAGGTGTTCGACGTTGTTGTTGGTTGTGATGAAGGAGATGGATGGGTCGTCGAAGGATAAGAGGGGGGTTGAGGAGGAGGAGGAGGAGGAAGGGCAGGGACAGCCGCCGGCGAAGAAAGCGAAGGGGGCTGCGGCTGAGAAGAAGGGTGCGACGAGCGCAGTCAAGAAAGCTGGCGTTAGTCGTGCCAGTTCGGTATCCAGCACGAGTACCGGGACGAGGGGACGTGGCCGGCCGAGGAAGAGTGTCTCCTAAGCATATCACCAGGTCATAGGATAGGATAGGATAGAATTGCAGTTGATTTTTGAATGGGTTGCCTGGATGTCGGTGAGGCTGCGCAATGCGGCTCAGCGTATCGCGCGGCTCGGTATCTCATCTGATGCAAGCCGCGCTGTTGGCAGTGGGGTATGATGTGCTCGTAGAAATCAAGGGATTTTCTCAAAGGCCCAACGAACAACCATTTACAATTGACAAACCAAGATGCCATCACTATTAGGATTACTCACAGGCAAAGACAAGGAGAAGGATAGGGACAAGACCAAGAACGGAGAGAGAAAGGACAAGCCGGTCATCATCCGTGCAGGCCGTGGCGGAGCGGGGAATATCCGCAGAGAACGCTCACCGGCACCCACATCACCGACCATCCCCCAGTCACCCTCCTCGCCTGCCTTCCAATCGCCTTCCAAGAAACCTCAACACGGAGTACTCACACCACATAAACCAGTGAGGGTTAGCATCGGCCGCGGCGGCAGCGGGAACCTATTCCCGGAATCACAAGTCGCGGCAGGCGAGGAAGATGAGGTATTCGAAGAGGACGAGCCAGCGTTGAGGCGAGTCATGACTAATACGTCCAACAACTCTAAGGCGAGCTCGAGGGATGAGGTGGTGAGAACGGGACGTGGTGGAGCGGGGAATATCAAACGTGGACCCACGCCGAAGGGGGAGAGGAAGAGTGAGGAGGGCGTCGTGTTGGAAGGGAAGCCGCAAGCGAGGAGGAGGAGAAGTTCGGGGTGGTCGTTTCTGAGCTCGTCGTCTATCCACTCACACTCCGACGCTGATACCCACCCTCAGCACCAGGGAGAGGGAGGAGGAAGCCACCACCTAGGACCCCGCCCCCGCAAAATCTCACACTCCCGTCCCTCAGCCGACGCTGCAGCCGTACCAACCCTCGCACACACCTCAACAACCCAAAGCGAAGACGCGGATGCACTTATGCCCCTCCCCACCGAAGACTCCGACACCCAAACTCACACGCACGCTCGGGCCCGTGTGGGGTACTCGTTGACGAATGCGGTTACGAGGGATGGTGGCGTAGTCGTTGATTTGGCGCCGAGTGCTTTGACGCCGACTTTGACGCCTGCTACGAATCCGATGGAGGGAGTGAGGCCGGTGGCGAGGAGGGTTGGTTCGTCGGAGTCGGCGGGGAGTGGGAATCGTGCGCCTGGGCCTGGGCATGTGAAGAGAGGGATGTTTGGAGGGGGTGGGAGGGGAAGTGGAGAGTGGGAGCATGCCATTGCTGACGAGGACGATGGTCATGGTGCGGGGGGCGAGAGGGGTGGGGTGAGGGGGTTGATGGGGAGGTTGAGGAGGTGGAGTACGAATGAGTCGGTTAGGAGGGAGTAGGGTAGCTGTAGCTGTGATTCAAAGACAGGGGGGACAATGTATGATTAGTGAGAGGAGAGGATACGATATTGACACCCGGTGAAGGAAGGAGGACTTTGCGAAGGCAGGAGGATCGATCGCATGTTAGGGAGGGAGCCTTTTGTGCTCTTGACTTGACGTTTGGATTGGTGTTAGCTGTAGCTCTACTATCAATAATTACAGACATTGAATTCGTGCCTCGATCCATTTAAGAAGCTTGGCATGGAAGCGGGGTTACATTTCTCCTATCAGTGCAGCTTTCCCACGAGCTTCCCGCTTTCATAGGCGGAAACTCTATTCTTCGAAGGTTGGTGGGGATAGCCGATGCACACGGACAAGGACAAGGAGTGTTGCCTATCATGATCCGTGAACCGCCGCGGTTGCATTGACGTTCAAATCTTGGGACGCTGGTACTCAAGTGCCACGGTCGAGCTCTCTGACGTCGACGTAAACGGCAGCTGCTGGGAAGTCTCGTCCACGAGGCGAGGATCTAACGAGCCGTGCTCTTACCATCAACCATGTCAGATCCGCCCTCACACCCAATCCGCATCGGCCGCGGCGGCGCTGGCAATATCTTCCGCACACCACCAACACCACCCTCCTCCTACCCTCCCTCCGCCACGTCCACCAGTCCTAAACACATCCATCCTCAAATCGTCGATGTGAAAACAGGAAGACGCAACTCTGCTCCCCTTGGGAGTCTCCCCAGCGGCCGCCGTGCCTCCACCGGTCGCGGCGGCGCTGGGAATTTTCGGAAGGATGGGGTGATTGTGAGGGAGGTCGTCGAGGAAGAACCGCCTGCATCTCGTGCTCCTACATCCTCAGTTCCTGTTTCGAGTGCGAGGGAGAGGCAGAGGAGGGGGAGTCGTGGTGGTGCAGGGAATTATGTCAAGGTTAAGGTGGATGAAGGGAAGGAGAGGAGTTCGAGTATTGCTATGTGGGAGTTGGAAGGGGAGGGGAGGCGGTGGTCGATTGTGTCGTCTCCCAATCATAGTAAAGAAAGGAGACATACGCATCATGGGCCGAAGAAGGAGGAGAAGGATGGTAAGGAAGAGGGGAGGAAGAGTAGGAAAGGAAGTATGGCGGGTTTTTGGGAGTACCTCAAACACGGCAAGAACAGATCTAGAGTCACCTCCACTTCTGTTCCCTCGCCACCTGATTCGCCCGAACTCATGCTGCAGAAAGCTGCTCGCCCACAGAAATCGAAGCCAGAGAAACGTCGCACTTTCTCGGAACCAGGTGAAGCCGCACGACTCTTCAACGGATACTCCCTCCAAACCACCTTTACCACCTCGCCCACGAGACCGGGGATCCTGAGGGGCGCGTCGAGTGGAGTTGGGTATGGGGAGTTAGCGCCGGATGAGCAACTGCCTACAGTTCTGGAGGAGGATGCGCCAGTATCGGAGTTGGTAAGAGAAGCGGGAAGTTAGTTGAGAACGTGTAAGAGGGAGCCTTGGAGGTGTGTACGATATTTAGGATGTAGGCAACTGCTATATCATCCATTCTCCAATACCTGCACCATCCTGCAACCAGCTGCGCATCACGTACACCCAAACGCGACACCAGAACCCAAATAACCAGCACAACCATCCAGCCGACAATGGATCTCCAATCGCCCAGGACATTGGATATCGACATGCACGATTCTCCCTTAGCCGGACCCCATTCGCATAAGTAAGTCTTACATTCTTGGAGACGTTATCGCGGTGGAAGCTAATCAGCGTGGTGTTCCATAGATCCTTCAAGAGAAAGTATAAGAAAATGCACGCGAGATTCAGAGATGTGCATGGAGATGAAGACGATCTCAAGAAACAACTACAAAAAGCACGGGAGTTGGCGAGGAGGGTCGCGCAAGAGAATGCGTACGTTCCCATACACCTGCCTCTCTCGTACGTATATTGACCGCGTTCATAGACATTTATTGGATTTGTTATCGGATCTTAACGAGTTGGACGACACCCCACAGAAAATCATACTCCCACTACCTCTGGAATCAACACCCGAACCCTCAGACCACATCCCAACATCACCAGCCAGCACACCCCGGCACCTCCGTGACCTCTCACCCTTCGATGACTACATAACCGAATTACCACCAACAGACCCCACCCCGACAACTGGAGGCCCAATACTGGTGGTTAAGCAACACTCAACAGGACAAGATTCGCGGGGTGTGAGTCCGGTCGATGACTACGATCCCACTCCTGTGAAGAAACCCACCAAGAAAGCATCAGGGACACCCGCGACAGGGGTAGATCGACGGAAAAGTGTGAAACGCAAGATCGTAGAAGGGCAGGGGGCGAAGGCGGGGTATAGTCCAGAGCCTGAGGAGAGAGAGGGAGCAGCAGGGACGGGCGCGCTTGGGAGGAAGAGGAAGAAGAGTGTTAGGGCGCTGGAGGCTGATGTTTGAGGGTGGTAAGAATGCTATGAATGAGACGGAGCGCTGGGATGGAGGGCATGTGGTAGGGGGATAGGACTTGAATCTTTGGCTTGCGTACGTCAGGAATGTAGCTCGAGCCCTACAAATAGAACAGCCGCAGCTGCGGGAACGACGACAGATCATGTCAGTTACGATAACAAACATAGCCTTGACGCCTTGACCTTCCGTGGTACGCGAATCATACACGTGTTGCTGAGCCCCACGGTCCACCCGTCATCATACATCCCAGTACGTCCGTCCGTCCATCGGCTCCAAGTACCGTAATTGCCCAATGACTCAGTTACGCATCTGACTTCGGCGTTTCTAGAAATAGAAATGGTCTCGAAGACTCGGAGACATTCCTGACGATTCGAATGCATATGGATGACGCAAACATGAATTCACTGATGTGTCACAGCCCATCTCGATCATCGCGATTCCTCCGCGGAAGATATGGGACAGATGATCTCAATTACGGGAAAGCACAGACAACTCGAATCAAGGGAAATGACCTTCTTTCGCTACAGAACACCAAATATACTGGAGAATGAACCCGCAGCGAAGGTAAGGGGTAACAATCAGAACAATTGCGCAAACAACAAAAAAAAGAGTATCAATAACCAGTCACACGAAAACATACAACCCGCCTACACCCATTCCAATAGCCGGATCCCCGAATTGTACTTCTCCACATCCACACCAACATTCTCATACTGTATTCCCCAACAAAACATGACGTTTCGTTTAAGCATCATCGACAGCACCGCAGGTAGTCTCGGCAATGATACCAGTGACCTGATAAGGATCAATGTTAGATGCGGGCCTACGGTCCTCGAGGTATCCGTATCCATCCTTAGCAACGCTCCTAGGAATACGAATACTTGAGCCACGGTTGGCAACACCGAACGAGAAATCATCGATGTGACCAGTCTCATGACGACCAGTCAAACGAAGCTCGTTATCAGATCCGTAGACGGCGATGTGCTCCTTGTGCCTCTTGCTCAACTTCTCGATCGCGGACATGATGTGCTTCATACCGCCCTCCTCACGCATCTCCTTGGTGGAGAAGTTGGTGTGAGCTCCAGCACCGTTCCAGTCTCCGGGGACGGCCTTGGGGTGGTAAGAGATGGTGACACCGAACTCCTCGGCGACGCGCTCGAGAAGGTATCTGGCGATCCACATCTGGTCTCCGGCGTCGATTCCGGTACAGGGACCGACCTGGAACTCCCACTGCGATGGCATGACCTCGGCGTTGATTCCGGAGATGTTGACACCGGCGTAGAGACAGGCACGGTAGTGAGCCTCGACGATGTCACGGCAGTAGACCTTTCCGGTACCGATGGCACAGTAGTAAGGGCCCTGGGGACCGGGGAAACCGCCTTCGGGCCAGCCGTAGGGACGGCCGTCCTTGCCGAGGAGGGTGTACTCCTGCTCAATACCGAACCAGGGAACGTGGTCGGCGTGCTGCTTCATGAGACGGGCACACTCGTAACGGTAGTTGAACTTGTTGGGGGAACCATCGGAGTTGTAGCAGTCGGCGAGGACGATGATGTTGTCACCCTTGCGGAAGGGGTCACGGAAGATGGCACAAGGGCGGAGGTAGATATCTGAGTCGTGACCGGGAGCTTGACCGCTGTAAAGAAACTTTGGTCAGCGTCGGCTCGAGAGAGATAAGTATGACTCGACTCGGATCGAAGGAAGTGAATGCGCCTCGTATGACGGCATACATTCCCGTCGGATCAGAGTCGAAAGGCAGGTGGAGGGTATCTTACGTGGAAGAACCGTCAAAGTTCCACTCCTTCAAGTCGTCGATGGACTCGGGGATCTTGTCGAGAGTAGTGGTCTTGGACCTCAATCCGTTGGTACCATCAACCCAGACGTACTCAGCCTGGATCTTACCACCCTGGTCAAGATCCATGTACTTGAGAAGGTTGGCTGTAACACAGATCAGTCAGCTCGCCATTCCGTACAGATCACACTCCTGCCATAGTCGCTGACTCACCGGTGTAGGAAACGGTAGTAGATGTGCCGGCCATCTTAGTAGATTGTATGCTGCTCCTTCAACTGCGAAAACGACGAATAGATCTGATTGATTAGAAGCAAACGACGAGTCGCAAGCGTTCACGGGTTTGGGGTTTGAGGGGTTGGGGAGGTTGTCCGAAGGTTAAGAGGGCACGTACGATCTCAAGATGATAGGGGACAGCGCCGGGCGCAGATTTCGATTCGGGCTGACTGATTGGGCGACGCGGACAGGCTGGGTCAGGGGGGGGCGACGGCAGTGCGCGAAATGCAGTTGTCTGTCGCTGGATGTATTTCTATGTAGCCGGCAGTGAAGTTTATCCGCTTCTTGCTATGAACAGCTGTCGTCCTCGTCAAGTCCTGCTCGCTTGTGCTCAAGGAAACGTCGAGGAAACGGCGACGGAAGCTGATCAAACCCCCAACCATTGGTCAGAGATAAGCTCATCCCTTTGAGCATTCGTAGAAGTATCTTGGTCACGAGATCCATTGTGCCACCTTTCATATATCGGATGTACTGTGCGCGTACGGCTCGTTGCTTCCCGCCTGCGATAGGACTGGAAACGCTTCAGGCGCGCCAACTGGACGTATGTAAGCCGAAAGCGGCGATGGGATGAGCATCCCATCTGGTAAGAAGGTTCGGGCTGGTATTGGTGGGTGTCAAGGGCACGCGTACATTACCGTTGTCTTGTCTTGAGTTGTCACTTCTGTTGGGGAGTTTAGGTTTGGCAGACACAAAGTTTGTTCCGCTTGTGGGCCATGTCTCGGCGATCCGTAGCTGTAGCTGCTTGGAAGTTCGGGGCATTATCGGTATCCTTGGCTCGTCGGTTCTCGCGTCCTTCAAACCTGGGGTGTTTGGATATCGATCCTTGTAGACTATAGCCGAGCTTGAGTGCGATACCCAGCGTACCGAATAGGCTGAAAAATTACCAGAAACCTTACGTATACCTAACCCCTCTTCAACCGCAACTTGGCGCGGGCGTGTCTTATCAGCGGGGTAAAGCTCGTACGGCACGGTCCGTGAGAGGAGAAACGACAAGTGATGATCTGGAAACCGGCCTAGAAACATGGTTGCCGCTTTCTACCGGGTATCTGGATTCTATATGTGACCAACTCATTTTGAGAGCCCTGTGTGGGTGGGTGTGTCTGTCTTTCGGGCGAGTTGTGTGGGCAGCCATCGCAAAAGACCTGCCGTGAATATTCAGGGTTATATTGAACCATGCTTCTATAAGCGCCGACAGATGTTGCATTATTAGGGATCGCTGGTATTAGTGTGTCGCTCCCAATTTCCTCCTCCCTTTCTCTGAAATCCCTGCACTCGTCCCGGCCTCTGCTCCCACGGTTGCTTGCTTCACTTCCAACCCTCCACATCCTCCAATTCAGGCAACCCCCGATGAAACAGCATTCTCGGGTCACTAATCCCCTCAACCTCAACTTTTTTCCTCTTCTTACTCCTGTCTTCCACCTCCTCATCCATCTCCATCTCGTGAGATGGAGATCGTTTCCGCGGATTCGACCTAGGCCTCACGACCCTCACCCCGGGCTGCGGGGATTCCTCTCTGGACTCAACCGGCCTGAGCACGCCGCTGCCCCTCTCATCATTCTCGTCCTCGCTTGCTTCTCCTCCCTGATGTTTAGCAGAGGAAGGCACGGGAGGAGTCCCCCTGCCATATACATCCTCCAATTCCTTCGCAACACTCATGCTATTCCGCCTCGCTATGACAAAATCCTCCTTGCGTTGCTCACGGCGATTGCGGATGTAGCGATAGGTGTCTTCCCTGTGGGGCGGAGAGGGGGGCGGCTGTTGGTGGGTAAGAGCGTAAACTGGGTTAAAGAGCTCGAGGTTGCGTGGGAAGGAAAGGAGCTTCGGGGATGTCTGGAAATGGTCGTCATGCATCTCGAGCTCAACTGACTGTGCCTCAGTCTCCTCCAATGCCACATCTCCAACCCCCTGCGTTTCATGAAGACCGGACTCGATCTCCTCCGCAATTTCTTCAGAGTCCATATCCATTTCAGGTAACGAGTCCCCAGTCACCGGATCTTGAACCTCACTTAAACTTACACTCTCCATCTCTCTTGTGGTCTTCGCTCTAACGTTCCACGAACTTTCGAGACGATCGGAAGCTTGCGTATCTGATCCTTTCTCCCAATCACTCCCGGAATTATCTCTATAGGAAGTCAACCCCATCCTTTCTTCAACCACATCATCCTTCGATACCTGCACCCCCTTCTCATCCTCCACACCTTCCACAATACCCATCAGCATATATTCGGTATCGCGCGCTGCACTCTCCCTCCAATTGCCTGCCGATAGATGCCGATCCGGCTTTATGTTCATTGAATCAACACTTACAATGTCCGCCCCACCCTCCTTCTCCGCTCCTTCCTCAACTACCACAAGTGACGATTCTGTATCGTGCACCAAGTACTCACACCCAGCTGTTTTCAAGATCTGACAGTTCGACTGAACATCCATTAAATGAATACGCAAACCACTGTTGCAGTTGAAGCGATGCGATGACAATCGTGAGAATGGAGGTCGGTGCAATCCGTCCAGATATAATGTTATTGCTTGTGTCTAGTCGATGGATTCTTTTGACAAACGTAACTACAGCTGCTGACAACGCTCTGACCTGTTGCACATCATCTTGCTCATATCGCGTACGTGCGCTCCGATGACGAAGCGGGGTTCATTCCGTACGCGTACGACGCGGACGCAACTTAAAATGGGATCGGAGAACACCACACAGAAGGGAAAATATCGAATCCATTGCCCGGTCATAACTGCCGAGCGCGTAGGTATATAGGTATCTATTGAATACAGCGAGCGTCCAATTCAGTTAGACCGTGGTACACTTTCCCTCGGACGAAACTAAGGATACATATCCCATTGGAGCCAGCCAATTGCAATGTAGTACATAGTCTTCCATGAGACCTCATCGCACATCGTACCACCTCAGGCACAGACTTCTTTAAATCATGGTCGACAAACATCCTGAGGTCCGTTACCCCTCCTCTTCCTGTCTCGCCAACTCTCATCGGACTTGAACCCAATCCGCACGCTACCTCTCACGATCCCATCAGGTGTTGGCTTCACGAACTGCCCTTCTTCGGAGTCAGAACAATATTCCTCTTCCCACCAAAAACAACATCTCCCTGGCTACCACTCGCAAACCCATACTGATACCCGTTGATAATATTCGCCCCCTCCCTCTTCTCCTGCTCAGTCTGTACTCTCGGTGCCTGCTTCGTCGCCAACTTTGGGCCCAATCCCGGAACACCAATCTTCGCTGATGCGTGTCGTGAGAAGGAGTGGACGCAAGAGATGACTTGGCCTGGGTTTTTGGATTCGTAAAGGTCGACGGTTTGGAAAAGTTCGTGTTTGGGGACGCCGAGGGCTTCGGCGGCTTTGAGAAAGGAGGCAATGTTTTCCATTTGGACGAAGGGCATGGCGCTCTTTTTGTACTTCAATGGGGTTGCTTTCTCGGCGGCTCTATGCGCACGATTAGCCGTCAATGTTCAGCGGTAGGATCGCATTGACATACCGACACAAGACGACACCATCCTTGAGCACCGTTAACAAATCCTGATCCCGCGGCAACTCTTCCCCAACGACCTGCGAAAGCCAATCCCGCGCCTGTACAAAGACAATTGTCAGTCCTGCTCCAACGATGAACCCGCCCGCACAAGCGCTGCGGTGATAGCGTACCTCTTCCACCATCTGCGGATCATATTTCCCTGCCATCTTACCCCTCAAATCATTGTCTAAGGAAGATACTGAAGCTTGATACTGCGGCGTATACATCGTAAGTGTTATCTCGTGCAACTGATGGGGTGTATGCGTGACACTTGCTGTCGGCCGCGATCGTAGTCGGCGGCAGCGTGACGCAGTAAGGCTGACGATGACAAAGAATAGTTAAGAGATTCGGGAGCATTTCACTGTTTATTAGGTTTTGAATGTATTTTACCGTCAATCCTGTGTATGAAAAGCCAAAGAGTCTTCATTACAGGGCATTTGCGTTGTATGGAGTCTTACTGGCGAAAATATTGCCATAGCTTGCAGACCACAAAACCAAGCAACGAAGCGACTTTACCATTTGGAGATCTTCAAGGGCGTTAATCAGTAATTCAGCTGGGTTTACTTCATCAAGACCGTTATATCTCTATCCGGTACGCACTTTTGCCGCCTCGGTGCTCGCTCGCAACCGCGATCTCTAATAACTAAACAGGCGTTACAGTTTTAAATTAAGATCATACAAAATGTCTGGACGTTTGGGTATCGGACGTTACCCGAAACCGCAGATCCTCACGGCTGCTAAACACTACCTCACACTCGTCAAACCTCCGAATATCTCTGTGCAAGAAGATCTTTCACATGCACTGCTAGAGCACCATCCAGACCTCTTTCAAAAGCTCGAGGAGTGTCAGCATGAACCAAAACTCGTGCATCGACTCGACAGACCGGTTACCGGAGTGATGATCATGGGTAGAACTCCGTACGGAGTGAGAGAGCTCACCAGCGCCTTCGCTGCGGCATCGAAGGGAAAAGAACCAAGAGTCGAGAAGCTCGTGAGTCCGTTTCTGTGCTCATGAAGGTATGGCTGCTCACACATGTCTCTAGTACCACGCTCTTGTCAAACCCTCAAAACTTTCACGTCTCATCACACAAGACGTCGGCAAACCGCTTTTTATTGGCGATGGATACGAAGGTGAAGAAAAGGGATCAAGAACCGAGGTCAAGATTCTTAAACGATACGAGAAAGAGGGCATGAAGTCTATGCTGCTTGAGCTGAAACCCATTACTGGTCATAAGCACCAGCTGCGGCGTCACTGCTCGCAGAACCTCCGGGCACCGATCATTGGAGACTATTTGTACTACCTGGATGGCAAGAATGTCAAGCCTGGGACCAAGGAACCAGTGGGAGGTTTCAAAACACGAAAGGGCGGCATGTTCCTTCATTGTACCGGGCTACGATGGAAGATGGGTTTGAACTGGTATGAGGAGGAAGTACTGCCGACGTGGTGGAGGGACCCGAACCAGGAATATCCGGAGTTGGTTAAGAAGTTGCACCGCCCGCCGCCACCAAAGGAATCGGAGGAGCCGGTTAGCAGGCTTTGATTTGCAGTCGTTCGATATCTATCCACAATGTTTAGTCATTAGCGAAATTGATTGAGCTTCCGTCAACTGCGACGAAGACCTCCGTGATCTGGATTACGTTGGCAGCATATCATGTAGTGACGACAGCAGCATCGAGCGTTACGTAGCAACTTGCGTGGGAGTTGAGGTCCTAATTGAGCTTGAGTATGTCGATGATCGGCATTGTGGGAGAAACAGCTTATGCACCGCGATGAAAGAGTCGCTTACAATCGAGTTCAGGAGGAAGGATGCTATCCATTCACTGGACACTAATTAATTATGGAGTAGACGCCAGTACTTCTCATCCAATACGTCCCCCATCCACCACGAATTAAGACATTACTTCATCATAAGCGTAAAAGAAGAAAAAGAACAAAAAAAGACAAACCCTCAATCCATCGTACAATAAAAGTCTTACAAAAAGTCTTCAAGACTCGATGTTATACAACTTCAAACTCAGGCTCCGTCTATGCATCATCTCACTCAACCTTTCAATAGCATACACCTCATAGCAATCGACGAATGCAAACAAGAAGCGATAAGAACCGCTTAGGCCTGAGCCATCTGGGGCTGAGCACCTCCACGACGACGGCGGGAAGGAGCATCAGCGGAGGAGAAAGCGGTGATGGCGGAGGTGATGGTAGAGGCGAGGTAAGCACCGAACAAGAACCAGATGAAAGTAGTACCGGCCTGAGCCTCGCGACACCTGTGGGAAGAACCGTTGATGACCTTGTTGCTGTTGATGTAATCCTGGTTACCACAAGAGTGAACCCTCAAGACGACAGCCATGGCGATACCACCGGCGAGAGTGAAGAGCAAGTTGAGGACATCGAGGGCGAGCTGGATGAAGGGGTGACCCAATGGGGAGAAGATACCGGCAGCCCAGATGATGAGAGAGAAGAGGGAGAAAACAGCCAAAAACTCGGAGTAGTTGACCTGGGAGTTGGAACCACCGACGGCCTTGTTCGCGATAAGGTCGGAGAACAGACCGAGGATGATGGCGGCAAAGATGAATTGCACAGCGCGGAGGATGTAACCAGTAGGTCCGTAAATCATGCCCATTGTTGCAAAGTTGTTGTGCTTTTTCGTAAAGTGAAAAGGTGTTGTGTGAAAGTACTCGATAACGAGACTGTGAACCAAAAAGTTAGCATATAGCACGTAAAGGAGAAGTTTCCCGGGATGTATGCTGCTCAAAACCCTTCAGCGACAGCGAAGAGTAGTATTGACGAAGTCAACTCTGGAATAGCCCAAGTCGAAAATCGCCGACAGAACCCATCACCATCGTCACGAGGAGTGAAGAGGAGTTAACAGCCGAGTAGTCGCAGGTATCTCACCTTAAGGAAGAACTTGTGTGCTGTTGGTGTGTTGGTGAATGGAGTTGGGAAGGAAGGGGGGGCGGGCAGCGTTTATATAAGTGTGGGATTGGCGGTGGTCAGGAGACTCACGTAAGGAAACAAGATTTTCGACTAGCGCAAGCGGTGGTGACCTCACTCTGCATGCGCGATGACATGCAGCATGACGCAACCCTCAGTCGGCCCGATTGGGAGTCGGGAGTCACAAAACGACCGGGGGGAAAGAGTCATGGCAGAACGACGGCGGTTCGAAGACCTACCAACGCCTCCGTTGACCCGTCTGACCTCCTTCACTCTTCCGTCTTACTCGACCTCTTCAGGAGGTATAATCATTCCGCGCGCCTGGAACCTTCTTTCGGTAATCTCAACGCACGCAACGGTCGCGGTTACGTGCAGTTTAAGTCATGAGTTGCGTCATATGCATCGGGTTTGTCGAACTGGGCTTTGGCTTTAGGACCCTGGGGTGCGTTGGAGGTTAACTTGCTGGAAACGTGTGCCGTAAATCCGTGACGGAAAGGGGGTTGGCTGCGGGTGACGGAGGTAAAGGAGTGCCGGGATAGCCGAGGGTGATGAAAGGAGGGTTGAAGGAAAGTGAGCTGTCAATTCTGCTGAGAAAGGCCAAGGTGCGGGATCGGCGAATCGTTTACGGCCGAAGCTTCAGGAGACTTCGACAGGTTCGGGCCGTGCGAGCCGAGTTGCTCGCTAGAATGTGAGTCCCTCGTCACGGCAAGTAAAGTAACTCGGAAGACGAGACCTAGCCAGGAAGGTATGGCGTTAACGAGGTCCATGAGGAGGATGACAACAATCTGACATTCTGCCGAGTTGCTGTCACGCGGTAAGGGAGAGCCAATACGTGTAGGTTGTGAAAATGTAGAGACAAAGTCGTGCCAATCGTAAAGTCGTTCAGGTTTTCGAACTACTCGCTAGCACAGACGATCTTCAATCGCATGGCCGCACACTCGAATCCAACCATTTCGGAGTCTATGACGGTACCCGTGGGAAGTTTATGACGGAGAAGCTCAGATAGTTGACTGACGAGAGGAATCGTTGACTTGCGTCCTAATCTGCCCAGGGCCCTTGACGTACAAGCACGCGGAGGATTCTGCAATCTCCATTGTCGGTGATGACATCATATTAGTTTAAGGTATTGATTGACCTGCATCTGTCATTTCGGGGGGTCCCTGTAGAGAAGCACCCCAGCTGCAGCGCGTCCGCGAGTCCTGGCACTCAAACTCCACCACCTGACTCGACGACAGATCAGCATTCACCCCTCCTTCTCTTCTGTTAATCCCTCGGCCGTTCTATCTAGCTCACTATTGACTCTTTTTTGCTTCTTTTTTGGGTTCGGTGTGATGCTCGACATAAACCTCCACCGCTTCTCCTGGTTAACAAAGTTCTCCGGCTCAAATCCCTCAATGACAGCCCCCAGGATGACACCAAGGAGTTCAGCAGCGGCGTCGTCAGTGACGAGATCCGTTTCGAGGTCTTCCAGGAGTCCGCATATTGTGAGGTTCGAGAAGGGTGATCCGGATAATCCAATGAATTGGCCGGAGTGGAAGAAGTGGATGGTGTTTTTCGCGATGTATGTGGAGCTGGTATGATATTGTCCGAGTGCTGACGTGCATGTTCAGTCTGCCGGTCAACTTATCGGTATCTGAGTGTATGCTAGGTTGAAGTGAACTTGGCTGATTGACTTATGACAGCTCAGTTGGGGCGGTACCGCCTTTTCACCCGCAACAAAGCTCTTCGAGAAAGCTGTGGGCGTATCTGAAGTCGTGGCCACCCTTGGCATCTCCCTCTATGTTCTCGGCCTGGCAATTGGACCTCTATTTTTAGCACCGCTCGCCGAGGTGAGTCTTGTTGTATCCAAATTTTGCAATTGCTGGCTGAAGAAATATCACAGTACTATGGCCGTACTCCAATCTACTACGCTTCCTACCCTGTGTACTTCTGCTTCCTCGTCGGCACGGCTCTGGCCCCCAATCTTGGCGCTTTTCTGTCCATCCGGTTTATCTCGGGTTTGGCTGCTTCCTCCGCGATCACCAACCTTGGGGGTACAATTGCGGATATGTGGCCAGTCTATGAAGTCGGTATCCCGATGAGTATCTTCATCTGGTCCGATACAGTCGGCGCACCGAGTGGCTACCTCATCGGGAGTTTCGTTACCTTGACGGGAGAGTGGCAGAACATCTTCTGGGCATTGCTGGGAATCACGGGTGGGTTTTATATCTTCATGTGTTGTTTGTTAAGGGAGACGAGACATAGTATCATCCTCCAGCGTCGTGCGAATCGGGAGAGGAAGGAGAGGGAAGAGATAACGGAGGAGTTGAATCCGAATGTTGATGTTCCTGACGAGGATAAGCGGGAGGATGTTGAGGAACTGCTGAGTCAGTCGCTCGTTCGCCCATTTCGCTTTCTCACTACGGAAGCTATCGTTGTCTTCACTGCTGCATATAACGGGTTCGTATACGGTCTCTCCTACCTATTTACCGACGCCTTTCCCCTCGTCTTCGGAGAAGGCGGACACGGCTTTGGAACGGTCGGACAAGGTTTGTCCTTCGTCGGCATCATCATCGGCGTCTCAATCGGCGTCCTCACAAACCTATACCAAGAACGCTACTACCAACGCCGAATCCGCTCCCGCTCCCCTTCTGGCCGTACAACCATCTCCAACATCCCCGAAGCGCGCGTCTACCTCTCCCGCTACGCCTGCCTCGCCCAACCCCTCGCTCTCTTCTGGTTCGCGTGGACGTCCTACAAAACGGTTCACTGGATCGTGCCCATGTTGGCCAGCGTGGTGTGGGGATGGAGTTATTATGTGGTTATTTTGTTTACATATACGTATGTTGAGGATACGTATAAGGAGTATTCGGCGAGTGCGTTGGCTGGGCTGGCGTTTGTTAGTGATATGTTTGGGGCGGGGTTTCCCCTATTCGGCACTCAGTGTGTATCCCCCTCGAGCTGTTTGCATGGTGGCTAATTGTGTGGGATAGGATGTATAATAAGCTCGGGTATGAGTGGGCTACGTCACTTATCGCCTTCCTCTCGTGTTTGATGATCCCCACCCCGTTCCTGCTATTCTACAAAGGCCATCGACTTCGAGAACGGTCGCCTTGGGCTAATGAGCATATGGGGGATAAGATCGTGCTAGATGATGATGGTGAGGAGGTCACGGATTCGGAAGACAGGGAATCAGAGGGCGCGGAGGATGGGGAGGTTACGGAGAAGGGGAGTGATGTGGAGGTTGCGACAGGGAGCATGTTTGTTGGTGTTGGGACTGATGGGGGGAGGAGCGAGTGGAGTAGACGTTGAAGTATACAAGGTGAGGAAGTGCTAAGGAGTGTGTTGGGTGGGGGCATCATTGCATCATATAGATATTGCATTCGCATTGGAGATGGAGGGACTAAAGGTTAGACGTCTGTGGAGAAGAGAACATTAACAGCATAATCACTATTGAAGGTTGTATAGAAGTTGGTTGGAAATACCCCGGTAATGTCCCATCTTTGCTGTCTGCATCACCCACAAATCATTGAGGTCCCCGGCCACATTGTTCACACGCGGGTTTCCCACGCAATCTGGCCAGTTCAACCTCCACGAAAATTGACTTCGAGCCCATCTACAGCTGTGTTATAGATGGATTGCAAACCCGCGTCTGGGACATTGTCCGCATATTGGGCCGAGTGGAGGAGGTTACTGTACGAATGATAGGACGTATGCGGGGACGGTGTTGCAGCTGTATTTTGTAGATGAGCCGTTTGTGCCATGTGGATTTCAGACTAAGAATGCTACCGTTGCGGCAATGTGATGGGGAAGAGTTGAGGAGCGATGGATGTGCTGGAATTTTGGCGGGAGGAGAGGAGGGAGGACGGTGTATAAGACTGTCTAACATCTTCGTGACCCTTGTCATATTCACTCTATCTTACACTCCAAACGTATAGCATAATACCTCTGATGTCAGTTGTCGTCAACGCTACTTGTATAGACATCACCGCCCTCTTCATGTTCGACCGCATTCTCACAAGGCACCCTTCAACTTAACAAACTCCTGAGCAGCCTTCAACCCCAACGCCCACGATCCCAATCTGTGCACAATATTAGCAACGTCGTTATCAATAAGCAGCTCAACACAGATGCAGATACCTCGCATCAACACCAAACCCCTCACTCTCCAACCTCTTCAACTCCTCATAAAGGTTATCAAGAGGAAGCGTAAATGTCTCAATGATTTCACCTTCCTCGAGCTCCGGCTGAGGGTTTTTGTTTCGGGGGTCGGACATGTCGATATCGACGAATACCAGTTTCATGTTGGTGTTTGTGAAGCCTATGTATGAGCCTTGTCAGCAACTAACAATCAAGAATCGAGTGCGAGTTATATATCAAATTCATACCTGGATCATTGAATATCAAACAACTACTCTCCCTCACAGTACCAATGTAGCCCGTCTCCTCTTTCAACTCCCTAATCGCCGTTTCCTCGGGCGATTCGCCCTCATCAACCAACCCCGCCGGAGCCTCAATACAAATCTTCTCCGTCGGTGGCCGGTACTGTTTTCCGAGTAGTAAGCCATCGGGCTCGCCGGGGCGGCGGATGATAGCCATGATTGCCACCGCGTCGACACCGGAGGATTTCCGGGTTGACCGTTCGGCGGATTCCCAGGCCTGTATCTCAGATGTCAGCCACATTCACTGGCGATGCAGATGTACCGGGGCTCTAGATTACCCGTTCTTTTCCTTTCGCGTCGACCCATTTGAGTTTTTTGAGGGTGGTCCATTTTGCATCTTCGGTGGACATCGTCGTCCGTGAGATGACCTTGGAGCCGTTCGATGCTGAGGAGGAGGACATTGGACGGAGGTGGAGGGATAGTTGGGATAGTCTTGAGGATGCCAGTATGTTCTTTGTAACGGAGAGATGCGGGACGACGAAGGTTGGTGGTCTCATTGAATGTCGTTGTGCTGCAGCTGCGGTTTGCGGGTGACCGTCGTTCGCATTATCGATTAGTTGTTGTGAAAGACGTCATACATCTCGACTTCTCATTTGGCCCGAAAACGAAGATCTATGGATTTCTACACAATTTTTCTATACGGCAATTCCACCCCGACCGGCTCTTGAATGCATGATCGTGACCATTGCGGGGGATTGACCGGCTACGTTATCCCGAATGTGGATCAAGGATGTGATGAAAAGAACCTCGACCCCGCCATTGATCCCTCACCGATACGCTCTCCAGACAAACAGCCGGCAAGATGATGGAAACAGGCTACTACAAGGTGGGTAGTGATTGAGTCAGCTGTGCAAAAGCCATAACTGACAAAACTCGCTCGCGTTCCACAGTTCACAAACCTCGAACACCTCTACTACGGCCCCGACTCCCTCCAGAAAATCCCAAAGATCCTGAAGGATTGGGGATGTCAGAAGAGTGCGATCATTTCGACAAAGTCGTTGATTGAGAAGACCGATTTGGTCAAGAAGGTGCCTTTGTACTTCGGCATGGCGTGAAGGATTATGCTGACGAATACAAATGCACAGCTCGAGAAGATTACGGAGGCGACGCATACGCAGACGCTTGGGTCAATCGCTCAGCATTCGCCGATTAAACAAATCAAGGAGCTGGTGGAACAAATCGAGGTTCTGGGACTCGACTCCATCATCGCAATCGGCGGCGGCTCTCCCATCGATGGCACCAAGTTCGTCAACCACCTCTACCACGAAAAGACCGGAAAGTACTTGAAGTACATTGCGGTACCCACGACCCTCTCCGCAGCCGAATACACCACCGGCGCAGGCTACACCAATGAGGAGGGTGTTAAGGAGCAGAAAAAGGATCCAGCGATGTGTCCGGGTGCGATTATATTGGATCCGAATGTGACGACGAGTACCCCGGAACGTTTGTGGGTCAGTACGGGAATGAGGGCAATTGGTATGAGCCCACCAATCGATTTCCCACATACGAAATATTAATTTGATGGTGAATAGATCATGCGATTGAGTCACTATACCGTCCGGGGGTGCCGGTGTTTAATAAGAGACTCTGCTATGCAGCCCTCGAGGATTTATTCAGGTATCTACCGCTGAGTAAGGCGAACCCGGGGAATTTGGAGTATCGGAATGCGTTGCAGGTCGCGAGTGCGATGAGTATTTTCCCGTTACAGATGGAAGGGGGGAATATGACACCGTGGCCGCTTAGCCATGTCTTGGGACACCAGTTAGGTGCGACGTATGAGATTCCTCATGGGATAACGACGTGTATCACTCTGTCAAGGGTTGTTAGGATGAAAGCGAACTCCCCGCACGTCTCGCCCGAAGAAAAGGAATGGGTCGCGGGAGCCCTTCCATACATCCGTCGCGGAATGGGGGTGCACGACGTCTTTGCGGATGAAATCGTCGTGGAGAGGCAGGTGGAGGAAGTAGCGGATCGGATTCAGAAGTTGGTTGACGGGTTGGGGTTGCATAGTAATTTGAAGGATTGGAAGGTGGGACGGGAGGAGGTTGGAAAGATTGTGGAGAGGGTTACGAAGGAGGAGAAGGGGAGGACGGAGAGGGGAGAGATTGAGAGGGTGCTTGAGGAGTGTTATGATGCTTGATCGTACTATGATCTTATTCTCACTTAACCATGATTCAGCTCTGACGTTTTTCAATTGAGAAGTTCCGCGGAGTTCACAGGTGCATTTACGTCATCGCCACTCACAATCGCTGTTGTACACGCGCTCGCACTTTCCATGCACAATTGAAGCTTAAGATCAGGAATGTTGTCATGGAAGCGTAACATCGCTGTTCTAAGGTTCCTCCCTCCCATCCCATAAATACCCCCTCCACCCTCCCCGTCAAACCAAATGCTCAGATCAAGAGTCCTCTTCAATCCTCTCAGATCAGTAACCCTAACCAAACGCTTTATCTCGCAAACCTCAATCAGAATGTCCCAATCCGACCAAGACAAGAACGCAAAGGGCGGTGCCTTCACCTCCGAGAACATCCCCGGCCAACAACAAAACCTCCCCGGTCTCGAAAAGAACATGGCCCCCACCTCCGAGTCCACCCGTCTCGAGGGTCCGACGCATTTGTTGGAGTACGTCGGTGTCGGAAAGTTGAGGCATAAGTCTGCTCTCATCACTGGTGGTGATTCCGGTATTGGACGTGCAGTCGCTGCACTCTTTGCGAGGGAGAGCTGTGATTGTTCTATTGTGTATTTGCCTGTGGAGCAGGAGGATGCTGAGAAGACTAAGGAGTTGGTGGAGAAGGAGGGTCGCAAGTGCTTGCTCATCCCCTTTGATTTGTCGAACTTCAAGGCGGTGAAGGAAGTCGTCGACAAACACGTCGCCGAATTCGGCGGTCTCAACATCCTCGTTAACAACGCCTCTCGCCAAGTCATGGTCGAGGACCTCGCTGATATCGATCTCGACGTCGTCGAGGGCACCTTCAAGACCAACATCATCCAGATGATCGCACTCGCCAAGTTCGCTCTTCCTCACTTGTCAAAGGGTGACAGTATCATCAACACCACCTCCGTCACCGCCTACCGCGGTTCCCCAGCCATGGTCGACTACGCCTCAACCAAGGGCGCAATCGTCGCATTCACCCGTTCCCTCGCCAAGCAGCTCGGACCTAAGGGTATTCGTGTCAACGCTGTTGCGCCTGGGCCTATTCATACCCCGTTGCAGCCTGCGTCTAGGCCGAAGGAACAGATGGAGGAGTTTGGTGGGGGTGAGGGCGCTTTCGGGCGTGCTGGGCAGCCATCGGAGGTTGCTCCCTCGTATGTCTTTTTGGCGTCGGCTGAGGCGTCGTTCTATACTGGACAGGTTCTTCACCCCAATGGTGGTGAGGTTCTTAACACATAAAAGTGTCCTCCTTTCTTTAGGGAAAAGCGAGACAGTGTACGAGTAGCATAGGCGGAGCAGTAGGATAGTTCGATACCTAATACCATATTCTCACACACACTTGTCCTCCCATATGCATTCCTCCATATCTCTAATCAAGAATTCCGAGGTTTGAAATTTCCCATACCTGAATGACGCGCAGGCGCTTGAACCGTCCCGAACCTCAAGCACCCCGACGCGTTGCGTTGCGCACATTTCGACGCTGTGTTGACCATTTACTCGGTCCTGCTCCCTCGACAATTGCAACGGTGAACGGTTGACAGTCCGTTCACATTGACCGATAAAGATTGGATAGACTCGACATCTGTACGTTCTCTACAACAACTGCCATACGTGTGATGGGTGCGATGGATTACTTGGTTAATTGGGGACTTGGGGAGGGGGTGTACGTACCGCCATGGCAGGTGTTGCTCATTGGGACTGTATTGACTGTCATTGCTGCGTTTGTCGGGGTATGTCCCATTTTGTCGAAGACTAGGGTTATGTGAAGTTAACGAGGGAGGACAGTTGATTGTGTTACTGAATATCCTCGCACACCACCCCCGACCATCGTTACCAAGCGAACTTCTCTACGACACTCCAGACAGAAAGAGACAAAAGCTGCCGACGCTATTGGATGCGCCGGAGACGGAGGTGTCGATTGTCGTACCCGCGTACAACGAAATCGAGCGTCTCCCGGGGATGTTAGAGGAGACGGTAGCATACCTCACGTCAACCCACGCAGGACAATGGGAAATTTTGATCATTGATGATGGGAGTAAGGATGGAACGAGCGATGTTGCGTTAGGGTGGGCACGGAGGAAGCAGGAGGAGGGGAAAGTGCGGGATGGTGAGGTTAGGGTTGTCAGGTTGGAGATCAATCGGGGAAAAGGGGGAGCTGTCGCGCATGTATGTTTTCCACGCGTGTATGCGATTACTGTATGTGCATACTGACAGCGAGAACAGGGAATGCAACATGTTCGCGGCAAGTACGTTTTGTTCGCAGACGCGGATGGTGCGTCAAGATTCGAGGACCTCAAGCTCTTGCTCGGCAACCTGAAGCAGATCGAGACGGATGGGTTGGGATGTGCGGTGGGGAGTCGTGCCCATATGGTCTCAACCGACGCCGTCGTAAAACGCTCCCTCATCCGTAATATCCTCATGCACGGCTTCCACACCTTCCTCCACCTCCTCGGCATCCGCAATATCGCCGACACCCAATGCGGATTCAAACTTTTCACGCGCCGCGCATGTTCCCTAATCTTTCCGTCTATGCATGTCGAGGGGTGGATTTTCGATGTGGAGGTGTTGTTGTTGTGCGAGAAATTGGGGGTGGGGGTTGTTGAAGTACCGATTACGTGGCATGAGGTTGATGGGAGTAAGATGAGTTTGGTGAGGGATGCCATTATGATGGCGAAGGATTTGGTTGTTATTAGGTTGAATTATGTGTTGGGGATTTGGAAGGTTAAGAAGCCCAAGAAGGTGGAGTGAGGGTATATCACTGGTACCACGAGGCGTGGGACGGAAAAGACGAAAGACGGAGGATTGCATGGATGGTATAGAGGGTTGCATAGCTGCTGAAAGGTTCATGGAAGAATAAAAGTTTACAAGCCAACATCGCGTGACCTCCTCAGAGTGGGCGATATCGCCAAGCCATGTCTTTCGAAACTTGTGTCCAACGATGGAAAAAACATCAATACCAATATCAGATCACATATTCTCTGGTGAACCGATGATATTTTGATCTGTCGTCATTGGTATTCTAATCTCAATGCTATGCAATGCCCCAAACAATCCGTATAAAAGAACAGAAAACGAAGAACTCCACGTCAAACAGAAAATAAAAAGGCCAAAAGGGACGGGATGCACGCACACACGTCCAATCATCATACCAGAATCTTTCCCTCCAAATGTTGCTTGTATCAATCACCACCGCTTCCTTCTATTCTCATCTCCTCCCAACGTCATCCAGCTCTCCACGAGTCTACGACATCTCATCACGTAAACCTCCCCCTCTTACTCTCCGGCCCAGCCCCATCCCACCAATTCCCGCCCATCCCATCCCTAACAACTCGCCTCTTCATCCCCGCTCCTCCATTCGCATCATACTCCGTCTCCTCATCCGACGAATTCTCGTCATGATTCCGTGCTTGATCGCGGAAGATAGTAGGAGTGTTGTTGTTATGGGTTGAAGGTGTCGGACGCGGTGTTATTGATGCCCGTTGGGGTGGAGGTGGAGCTGAGAAGGTAAAGTTGAATTCTTCGAGTGGTGATGGTCGTTCCATCTCGCACTCTCTCACAGATGGTTCCGACGCGGGTACCGACGGCGGCGCGGGGGTGGTGGATGCTTGTGTCCTCGCCGCCTCCCTCTCCCTCGCAGCCACAACCTCCATCTCCGCCTCCTCCCTCGCCCTCTCTTCCTCTTCCTCCTCCTCCTCCCCCCTCCTCCTCCTAACAAAACACCACTCCCTCAAAACCCCCAACCTCCTCTCAACCTCCATCCCCTCCCCGGCCTTCTCGTCAAGTAATTTGAGCATATCCTCCACCGCATCCAAGTAGCCTTCTTGGCGACTAATTTGGGCTTCAGCTGCTGCGGCTTTATAGAGTTTTGTCACGGAGAGAGCGGCGTGTTTGAAGGCTTCGTGGGCGTCGAGGTCGTGGGTGGCATTATTGCCGTTGGATGTGTTCGTACGGCGGCGGGAGGGGAGGGTTGATGTCAATGATGACAATGAGTCCATCGTGGGGTGTGTATGCGGCGCTGATCGGGCTTTCTTGTCGTATGAGCTTCGATTGAGGTAAAGTGGATTGATGGCTGATCCGATTGCGTGTAATTGATCCGGGTATATGCTCCTCAGATCGCGTAACTCTTTCGTTCGAATGGATGTTGTTGATGTTGGTATTCGTTAGGCTTGTACTTGCGGGATGCACGTGATGTAAGACCGTCTACAGCTGGAGGCGAACTCACTTGAAGATTCTGCGTTGCAGCACATACCAACCACACAGAAATGCAAGAGGTGGGGAAAATCAAACATTGTAATTGGGTATCTTTGGTATCTATATCATGCTCCTACTTCTTCCTGAAGAACGCCGTGATAGGCATCGACCCCTCCGCTTTCTTCTCCTCGTTCGCTTTCTGCTTCGCAGACGACCTCTTCGGTGTCATTTTCGCTGAACTTGGTACGGGCGTCATCTCCGTCTTTATCTTCTTCGAAGTTGATGGTGGTTCGGGTGTGGATGAAACTCGCCGTTTCTTCGCGGGGGTAACTGGTAGTGGTAACGGGGCGTTATTTTCCGATAGGCCGTTATTGCTTTTCTCGCCCACTAGTATTTCCTCGTCCCTCTCCTGCTTAACCACCTCCCTCTTCATATGTTGGTCCTTGTCTGACGGTGGTGCTCCCTTAACCTCTTTCCCTACTTCCCCCCCCTTCCCAAAAAAACCCATCAAACTCCCCTTCGCCTCATCCACCGGCTTAATAAGCTCCACCCCCTCATTCCCAACTTTCCCAACATCAGGCCGAACGGGGTACCACTCCAACCCCTCATCATTCGGTCTCAGCAGTGTTGCGAGTTCTTTGTCCCATGCACGTGTGGGGTCGAGCCACGATTCGATTTCGGAGGGGGGGAGGATAACGGGCATGCGGTCGTGGAGGAAGGAGAGGGAGGGGGAGGAGTGAGTTGTTATTATGGTGAAGGAGTGGATGTAGTCCTCTGAGCCTGTTGTCGTCGAGGCTTTCATCAGTATTCTCGTTCCCATTTATAGTGAGTGACGGGTTGCCTACGACATACCTTCATACCGCACCCGATCCCACAACCCCGCCATAGCAACCAACCCTCCATCTTTTCTCTTCATAAAATACGGCACCTTCCCCATCTTCCCCTCCCCTTTCTTCAGCCACTCGAAATAACCGCGGCAAAACACCACACACCGTTTCCGATCTCGCATTGCGTGCCACATGCTGCGGTCGCTGGTTATGCTGTCGTCGCGTGCGTTGATGGTTTTGAGGCCTTGGGCGTAGTTTGGGGGTGATTTGGTCCAGAAGGGGATTAAGCCCCATTTTGCTGCTTCTAAAACGAGAGGAGGGGAGGAGGCTGTAGAGGAGGTGGAGGGATCGGAGGAGAGGGTGTCACCGTTTTGGGGTGATAACTGGCGGAGGATTGGTTGGTTCGTATTCGGGGCGAGGTTGTATCTGCTAGTAATATCAGATACCTTACGAGGAGGCCAGAGGTGTCGATGAATGCTGACCCTCTCCTGACTGTCTCTGGCCGTCTGAATTCGCGGGGAGGAAGGTTCATTCGTCGAAGCTCCTCTTGTAACTCCTCAGCGCCCTGTAAGAGGTTGGTCAGTACACCCTGCTCATAAGCACAGCTGTGAACAGCACCTTACCAATTCCAGAGCGAATCGACCACACATGTTCTTGAAGGTTGTGTGAATGGTTTGTCGGTGCAGTGACGTCCTTGCCGCGAGAGTGCGTCGGGGTACTGTACATGTACCTTTTCGTTCGAAGTCGATCGAGGGACGACAAACACAACGCTCGACAAAATGTTAGGAATGTCAACGAGATCAATTGTTCGTCGAGCCCTTGCTACACGACCTATTCAGGGTGTCGCTGCCCGGCCATGTATTCGTTCATCCATCCCTCTCCTGCAATCACCGCAATCAAGAACGAACGCATCCTCAACAACCGATCCAAAGCCAGACCCAGCCGCCGAGCCAGAATCCCCCAAACCCAAACCGAAATCCAAGAAACCCAAACCAAATTTCCTCGTTACAACCGTCGCCCTCTTCTGCATCCTCTCCGGCTTAACAGCAACAGGCTACGCACTCTACGACCACTACTTCAACTTCCCCTACCCCTTCCCCGCCCCCATCGCCGAACAACTCCGGAAAGCGATTTATTGGCATAAACATGGTGATGATATTCCGAAAGCACTCGAGCATTATCGGAAAGCGTTGAGGATGATTGATGAGCTTGCGGAGGGGGAGGAAGGGGAGGGGGCGGGGATGGATAAGGGGAGTGATGCGGTGACGGGGGTGAAGATACAGATTGCGGGGGTGTATGAGGAGATTGAACGACCTGAGCGGGCTCTGCAGATTTATACCACGGTTCTTTACGAGCTGCAAAAAGCCATCGCGGAACTTCCTTCGAAACCCTTGGGTGAGAAAGAAACCCCGGCGGATCGCGAAGCGGATCGCTTGAGAATGCAAAAACGCGCCGTCAGCGTCGCGCTCAAAACGGGACAAATCAGAGCCGACATGAGCGACGACGACGAAGCAGAGAAAATCCTGACGTGGGCGGTCCAAACCATGCTCACCGAAACGAACAAGAACCCTACGCCCGGGATCTGGATGACGACGGAAGAAATGGGCGGGACGCTCGAATCCTTGGCGCACTTTTACTTGGAGAGGGGAAAAGCGGCATTGGCGACCCCCTTGTTCGTCGCGGCGTATAACATGAGCGAGAAGGAGCCTACGTGTCATAGCGTGGTACTTATGAACTCCATCTCTGGCTCAATCAGCGAACTCCCCGCCAAATCCCCCAAATCCATCGCGCTTCGCTCCCGTGACGCCCGCGCATGGTCTACCAATGCCATCGACCTCGCACAACGTCTTGATCCCAACAGCCTTGATCCGGAGTGTGCGGAGGGGTGTGCCGTCGCCGCATTCAATTTGGGGATGATTGCGGAGATGGAGGGGGGGTTGGAGGGTGCGAGGAAGTGGTTTAGGGAGAGTTTGAGGAGGAGTAGGGAGGTTGGGTTTAAGGAGGGGGTTGTGCAGGGGATGCATGCGTTGGAGAGGGTTGTGGAGGGGAAGAAGGCAAAGCTTGATACGGTTGCTTGAGCTCGTGAAGGAAGGGCTGGGCTCGGCGGTTGCAATTGGAGGAAGTGAGGTGGAAAAGAGCTGGTTTGGGTTTATAGACGAATATCAAATAACATATTCTATCTCAACTTGACTTGCACAGTCCTACTTGCAATTGACCAACCGACGTCGGCATTCAGTTCTCTCAATTGCCGATGGCCTTTGTTGATTGTGGCTTCCCGCTGCCAGCCACGTGCGCCCTTTGTCTCGAATAATCAAGGGAGCATTCCATGTTGAAGGAATTGCTTCAATTGTAAGAGTTAGCGACTTGTTCGTTTCCTTCGACTCTTCACTCTTCGCTTCCTGTCAGCTTATAGCAGGGGATCAAGTGGATCAATCGCGGCGTTACGGCAATTGCAAGGGTCAACCCAATTTCTCGGTGTGCCGCCTTGTGGCAGAGACTGAGTGCGGACGCTCGCCTGCCGCTCCAGACTTCTATAGCTATACGGGAGACGATTGGCCCTTGACATCGGATTGCCTTGGGTCGCGAGTTATATAGGCGATCATCCGTCCGCGTGCGAGCACCTGGCAAGTATTCCATACGGCAATTGCAATTGTGTAACGCTTCGAAAGGACGGACACTTGTACAGTCGAACTCAGCTGCTGCAGAAACCGATCACACATACACCATGGACTCCACATCCACATCTACATCCGCTCTACGCAAACCCCGGCCCCTCGCAATCCGCCCCGGCTCCCGCCGCACCCACTCCAAACGCGCCCCCAAACGCTCCTCCCCACCCTTCCTCCCCCCCTCCTACATCTCTCCACCCTCCGCCTCCGCAATCCTCTCCGCATCCTCCATCGCGCGGAAAATCAGCCTGAGGTTTCCGTATGCGGAGGTCTGTGTCGGGGAAAAAGGGTTGAGGTTGGTTAACCTGTATTTGGATTATTTGTTGAGGCGGATATTGGGTGCGGCGGCTAAACACCAGGTGGAGACGGGAATTGGGGTGAGGGGGGTTACGGAGGGGCTTAAGATGGTTTTGCCGGACAGGGTTGCGAGGGAGGCATGTGCAGACGGAGAAGCAGAACTCAAAACCTACCTTGGCGCAAATATCGAAGATGACCTCACTCCCTCTCCTTCTCCTTCAACTGGAGATGTTGAGGACGTTTTCGACGTCCAGAAAGCGTGGGAGTACGCGCGGTTGAAGTGTATGATCTACTCCACCATCGGCGACGTAGAGGAGGAATACGTCAACTTCATCCTCGGCCCCGAACACGCTCTTCCCCCCGCCAGCGAGCCAACGGGTCCGAACGACATCACCCCCGCCGCCGCGATCTTTTTGACTGCCGCACTCGAACTCGTCGGCGAGAACCTCCTACTCACCGCGATCCGCGCAGCCCGAAACCGCGTCCGTTCCGCGAATAACTTGCAATTCATGGGTGCAGAAGGCGGCGGTGTGCAATTTTTCATCGAGGAGCAGGATGTCGCCAAAGGCGCCACGAGCTCCGACGAGAAAGCAAAGCGACTCTGGGCTGATTTCGTGGAGGACTCGCATAACGCCATCCCGACCGTGACGAGCTCTGTGGTGAGGAAGGAGCCAGAGGTTGTACCTCTGAGGCCGGCGGGGTTGAGTCCGATTTTTGAGGAGGCGGGGACGTTTGAAGGGGTGGGTGTTGGCGTAGGTGTGGGTGCGTTGCCTAGTCCACCGATTTCTGCGCATTCGAGTGGGAGTCTGGGTCAGCAGAAACAGTTTGTGGGGCAGCAGACGCTTCAGGTTCCGGGGATTCAGTTGGCGCCGCCGACGCCGGGGAGTGAGGAAGGTCCTTTGACCCAAAGTCAGGGTCAACTCGCTGGCGGTCGTGGTACGGGTCTCGGATTCGATTTCGGTGGTTTCCGCGACGCGCTTGGTGGGTGCGAGGCCTCCGCAGGGGGGATGAGGGAAAGCGGTATGTTCGAACCCATCCGGGATTCAATTTATCGCGGACCAGTGGAAGGAAGTGTCGATGCTGCATTCACCGAGATGGAGAATGACTTGAGGGGACAGCAGGCCGTTGTCACGGATGAGCATATGGAGGAGGAAGTGTTTGTTAGTACGAGTAATGATTTGGTTGAAGGGGAGCCTGTGACGCCCGTGATGCAGACTGGTCCGTTCGTTCATCAACACGATTCAGACTATGTTCCGTATCGGAAGAGCTCGATTGTGGTCTCGGATGCGGATTTGGAGAGCGAGGGCGAGAGGCTCCGACAGCATAGTTTTGCGAGTCTCGTGGGAAGTGATGAGAGGAGACCGAGTGCGATTGATAGTGAGATGACGGAGAGTGATGTGGAGGATGTACAGGTTTTCACGGCACACGTTGCGAGCATCGCGAAGGCGGAGGTTACACTCTCTCCCTCCGGTGCGAGGACTGTGAGTTCGCATCGGTCTAGTGATAATGATTTGCGGGAACATCATCGTGGGCATGGGTTTGTTCAGGATTCGCCGACGATTGTTAGGACGATGAGTCGGAGTCGGGATACTGTTGACAGGCCTTTATCGCCGACGCTTTCTGAGCGCTCGTGGAAGAGTCCGACGAAGAGTATTAAGATGTTGCTGAAGCGTTCGCCTGAGCTTAACGGGGAGGAGTGGGGCGCGGACATGCGGAGATCTGGATCGAGTTCTAGTTTGGGGAGGAAGAGTGTGTTGGAGGTAGACGAAACACCCGAGCAAGCCGCGAAGAGGTTGGAGTTTGAGGCACTATTGGCTGCGGACGAGACGAAGAAGATTACGCTGAATATTGGGGAGTTGAAGAAGATTGAGACGCAGAAATTGTCGACGAGTCCGAGGCAGATCCCGAGGAGTCCGTTGGCTGTTGCGGAGGAGGATGATGATGATCCGTTTGTGGACTCGCTGAGGAAAGTACGGGCGGCGCCGACTGAGAATCTTGCCAAGTTTATTCGCAGTACTGGGCCGGACGGGGAGGTTATCAGCCATGAGGTTGTCGTGACATCACCGATCATCTCTTCGCCGGGTACGCCGAGATCTGTTCCGCTTATTGCGCCGCCTACGGTGGTTAATCCCATCCCGTCGCCGGCATTGCAAAGTCTCAGTCCCAACCGTACTGCGCCGAAACGTTCGATTGCGGAGATTCGTGCCGCAGCTGGCCTCGCACCTCGTGAGCCAACTGTGCAAAAGCGCGAGTTGACATATGACTTGGCCGACTTCCTGCGGAGCACCGATCCTACAAATCTCAAACCAGCGGATCTTGCAGGGCCGAGTAAGACTAGTCCCGCTAAGAAGCAGGTCTCCTTCACGCATGATACCGCTACGTTGGCTAGTGCTAGCGCGGAGACGGATTCTTTGTCGAGTGTGCCTACGTTCGGGAGTAATAGCTTTTACCAGGCGAAGCGGATTTCGGAGGATGCGAAGACGACGAGCTCGTCCGTGGCGACGACACCTATTTTGGCGCAAAGTACTGGCAATCCGAACTCGCCGTCGTTGAAGTCCACGAAGTCGATGTCCCAAAGTGTTCACGGTTCGCCGGCGTCGACCTCATCTAAGCGATTCGCGAACAAGTCAAGGATGCCGCAGAATCGCAATATGGTTCCACGGGCGCCGACTAAGGACCTGGAGGAGGACGAGAATGATTCTGCGATGGACAGTGACGAAGAGTTATTTGGGGAGTATTCGAGGAAGCCAAGGAAGCTTGCCTCGAAAGATGAGAGTTTGGCTGACTTCTTGAAGGAGATGCCATTGCCCTCATCTTCGTCACGAGCCTTGCCGACGCCGGTTGCAGAACCAGTGAAGAAGAGCAAGGGGCTGTTTGGGTCGAGAAGAGGAAAGAACGACTCTCCGAATAAGTCGAAGAGTCAGCCGCTCGTCTCACCCAGTGCAGAGGTGATGTTGGGGCGTTTCAAGTAATTGCCATGGGGGCTTCACGCTGGAAGTGAGGTTTTTTTGTTTTTTTTGGGAACGGGGAGTTTCTTTTCGAGATATCTTTCGCATAATCACATAATTGATGTATACGTCTTGTCTTTACATGAAGTTGTCTATCAGGAAGCATGACTCTGGAGAGGAATGTAAGGAAATATGATTGTCCTGCATTATGACTTCTCGAACTCAAGCAAGGTCAGACGTTTTCAGCAAGGTTAGACGTTTTCTCAGCAGTCTTTGACTCTTGCTCTTTCTTTAGGTCTGCCTCAATACTTCCGATGACACCCCTAATGTAAGCAGTCGCAAGCTTGACTTTCGCTGGGTCTTCTGTGCTTCTCCTCAAAAGCTCACGCAACGCAAGAAGCTTGTCCAGGTGTTCTCTGTGGAATAGGGAACACCTCCGATTTCCACCAGTATGAGCCTTTCGACAGAGCTTGCACACTTCAAGCCACTCAAATCGGAGAGGGCATTCTCGAAGGGCGTGCTTTCCAGAACATGCATTGCACGTGCGGAATGTTGCCCTATGCTGCTGGATGAACTGCGATTGCTGCAGGGCAACCTTCGTGGGCCCGGCTGGTATCACATGTGGCATTGGCATCATAGCAGCTCCAGCGTGCTGTGCTGGAATCGCAGGATGATTGGGTTTGCGAAAGCCCATCCTCTGTTGCATGATCTGGTACTGCTGCCATTCAACGCTGCCAACGACCTCGTGAGGTGCAAGAGGACGCATGCTGTAGCCAGGGTTTGTATCATAGCGGCTAGTCCCATACCGGTACGCGAGTCCAGGCTGTGGGACCTGTTGGTGTGCCGGAAAAACTGACATGTGAACCGGGGTTGGCCCGGGCCCTGCTCTGGGTACGGGAACAGATGCGGGTACGGGTGCAAGTGCGGGTACGGGTGCAAGTGCGGGTGCAAATGCTCGTACAGGTGCTGGTGTGTGTGTTGGTATGTGTGCTGGTATGGGTGCCGGTGCCGGTGCCGGTGCTGGCGGCTTTCTCTCCCCGTGGGCCATAGGAGCCGTTTTGGCGGCAAACGGTAGACCCTGGGTAGCCCCTGAGGTGCGCTCGAGGAATTCCGATTTACTAGGTCCACTCTCACTCCGGTTTGTGAGCAAGTCCTTCAAGTTGTCGGGGTCAAGTTCCACTTCGTCATCGCTAGGTTCGCTTTCCTCGGCTCCGTCGTTGACGTGGAAATCGCTATCCTCAGGGTCGAGTTTGCGTCTTGAAGATAGGTTATCCTCGTCATCCAGCACACCATATTCCTGAGGCTTCTACGTAGAGGAATTAATGGTTGATAATCGGCAATCATATCATTACTTACCGTACGCTTCCTCTTCCCGCGTCCTAAGTCCGTCTTCTCTTGTGCTTTCAATGCAGCAGCGGTGTCTTGTCTTTCCTTGATAATATCGTCCCAGAATGACTGATCCTGAACCTCCGGCGTGTCCCGGCCATCCGCGGTGTTGTCGTTTGCCCAAACTCTTGCAAAAGAAAATGACTGGCCAGCATCAGTTCCATTTTTCTCTTCACTGACATCCTCAACCCGGTTCCTGTCCAGTAGCTTCTCGATTGCAGCATCGTCATACACAATATCATTCTCGCCATCATCCTCGAAAAGAGATTTGGCACCGTATTGAAGTATAGTCTCCACATCAATTGTCTCTTCCTCGCTGTGATCCATGCGCTCGATGATCAGGTGATCGAGCACAAGTTTCTTTTTCCCGATCTGCAGAATCTTCTCTTCCGCAGTGTTCCTTGTCACCAACGAAAGCACGAGCACTTTCTTCTTTTGCCCAATACGATGGGCACGAGCGAGTGCTTGCATATCCTGATGCGGGTTGAAATCGGGATCAAAGATAATGATCGTATCGGCACTTGTCAGGTTGATTCCGACTCCTCCAGCTCGCGTCGACAAGATGAAGGAGAAAACATCAGAATCAGGCGCGCTGAACTCGTCAATAGCTGTTTGTCTTTCCAGGGAATCCGAGCTACCGTCAAGACGACGGAAGGAATAGCCCTTCTGTCGGAGCCAATCCTCGATGATGTCGAGCATAATGACGAACTGAGAGAAGATGAGGACTCGGTGTCCTTTCTCCTTAAGTTTCGGCAGCATCACATCGAGAAGCTTAAGTTTTGCACTGGCTTCTGTGAGATTACGAAGTTCAATCTCCGGACCCACTCCTTTCTCCTCGATATTGGGATCAAATAGGTACGGATGGTTGACAGTCTTCCTCAACTGCATCAGCATATTGGTCAATTTCCCTCGGTTCTTAACCTTTGTTGAGCCATTGCTCTGCCCTGCAATGATCTTGAGAAGTTCCGCATTCCTGGATAAGATTGACTTATACACTTGCTTCTGCAGTGAAGTCATACTGAGAGGAACGATTACTTCGAGCTTCGGCGGTAAGAATTTGAGCGCTTGTTCTTTCGTTCGTCGCAGGAAGTATGGCTTGAGCATTTCGTGAAGCCCCAATAGCTTCTCAGAATTCATCTCTTCATACTGGTCCTCTAGAGCCTGAGCCTTGATTTGTTTGGGATGCAGGAAGTGAAGGAGATTGAACAGTTCCCGGATATTATTCTGAAGGGGTGTGCCCGTCAGCAACACTTTATGATGAGTCTTCACACCAAGGAGCATCTGATACAGCTGGGTTTCGTCACCCTTCAAACGCTGCCCTTCGTCCACTACCAAACACTCCCATTTGAAACGACGGAAAAACGATCCGTCTTCCAGGGGGGTTTGGTAACTGGTAATTACCACATGGCACTTCAAGTTCTTTTCGGCATTGATCATCTCATACTCCTGCACCAGCTCGCGCTTCTCCTTATCTCCGTAGAAAGCACAAACTCTCAAACCTGGTGCCCACTTCTCAAACTCGCGCTTCCAATTTGGTACGGTCGAGTTCGGAGCAATGATCAGAAAAGGTCCTGCATCATATCGCTGATGCAACACGGCGAGGAATGAAACAATCTGAATTGTTTTACCGAGACCCATCTCGTCAGCGAGAATGGCAGGATGTTGTTCGACCCACTTGTAATACAGCCAATTCAACCCTTCCATCTGATGCGGCATCAGTTCACCGCCCTTGACAATTTCAGGTTGTTCCGTGATCTCCAGTGCCTTGAAGTCGGTCGACGGATCCGGTCGCATTTCCGTGGTTAAGCGTGTACCGATGCTGATATAGTGGCCCCGCACATGCTCTCTGTACGCTCGCGCAAAGTCTTCCCACCGCTCTGAGTCTTTGGGAGGTACGAAGTCCCATGTAACATCAACATAATTCAAGCCCTTCCATTTGATAAACGCCGTGCGAACTTGATTAACAGCAGCCAGTTCTTCCTCTTCATTCTCGAAGTCCATATCATCGCGAGTCAATTCAGCATCCCCTTCGTCGTCGCCGTAGAGCACATCCAACACTACTTCGACACGCAGGTATTCCTCTGGTACTGCTTGCGCAATGTCTTGTACAGGGGCATGCCACTTCGAATCAAAGTTCTTTTGCTTTCGGCCAGCAACACCTGAGAGCCAGTATGCTGAAACCCACTGCACGTGATGGTATGACTTATCGGCAAACTTGACAAGGTATTCCTTGCCCAGGATAGCTTCATCGCCCTCTGCTTCTTCTTTTCCAGGCAGGGGTCGCCAGGCGACGACAACATCAACGTCGAGCACATTTTCCAAGCAGTCTTTGCACTTCCACCCGTTAGATTTGTAGATCTCAAGATTAGGGAGCACGGCTGCGGCTTTATCGTCGAAACCGTCATCTTCGATCTTGACATGACGTGGAATATGCTCTGGATGATAGGCGCAGCAACATCGAGTGCACCGGAACATAATTCCCTCTGCCTCGTTGACCTTCAGCTTACCGGGCTCACCAAGGCATTCCGCACACTTTGTTTCAGCACCACACCCACAGCACCGCCCTGTGTAAATACCTTGCGTCGTGTTATTCACGCACCGCGCACACCGCAAGATACAAGCTTCCGTGACACCGAAATCATGCCACGACACAAGATCCTTACGACTTCCCGGCTGTCCAAGGCACGCTTCGTGGTAACAGTCCGAACAACCTTGACAGTAAACCAACGGCCCATTGCCGGACGAATGGTTGCATTTCGCGCATATCTGGTTATGTGCGAGACCGAAGGGACCATCAGTCGCAACACGAGCAAAGAATTCTTCCCTTTTGGCTGGACCTTGTGGTCTCCATCGGGGAGCAGAGGAGGTTTCCCGTGAGACCTCAACGTAATCTTCTTCGACGCTGGCCTCCGAGTCGTATGTGTCAACGTACTTGTTATTCCCAACTCTTGCGCGATCTGATTTTCGTGTAGGTTCAACCTGTGCCCTTTTCCGCTTGCGAAGAGGCCGTTCGTCTTCGCTCGACGCCAGTAGCTCATCATCCTCTCCAACGTCAGCGTACTGCAGTGCACGGTGCGTACCCACACCACTCGATCGTGTGCTGACCCGTAGACTAGATCTTTGTGCTGACCCGTTCACTGAAGCACCGCGAACCTTAGCAAGCGAGCGAAGCCTTTTCCGCCGTAATCCCAACTTGGAGTTGGAGGCTGTGATTTCGTCGAAAGAGTCATTATCTTCTGAGCTGTTCCCATTATTGCGAAAATGATCGAGTGCTTCCTGGTGATTCCCGTATGCACTCAGCTTTCCCGCTGGTAGATCGATCTCCGTGCCATTCGCGAGCCGTACACGATATCCAGATTCCGAGATCGTCTCCAGGATTTTCCAAATGGTTCCTTCGTGCTCGTCCAACGTATACTCCGCGCGCTGCTCCTCCGTTAGAGCTGGTGGTTCAATCACCGCCAACAACTCCCCCTCTCCATCGTTGCCGTCGATCTCCATTGCTTCCGCTGGCGGAACATCCTCCTCGCCTTCGATGCTCGCTTTTTGCAGCAGGGTTGGGGGCGCAGGTTCCGCATCGTCCATCGGCTGATCAACGTTCTCGGTGGTGGGTAAAGGTGTGTTGTCCAGAACAGACCTCGCGAGGCTTTGGGCGTCCTCGGGTACCATTGCTGGATCTTCTTCGGTGGCTTCGGGAGTGCCGAGTTTGAAATAGTCCATGAGAGACATCGTCGGTAATCGCGGGTATCAGCCGCACTCTTGCGGCGATCTGATGAACCCGGAAGATTGCAACACGAATCCTATAAACAGCTTTGTATGACAGCCCAAAGATCAATCGATGAGCTGGCCCGTACCGACGGTTGTCGAAAACAAGGTTCGCTCGGCCTAAATTTCAAATTACAGCACTTTGAACAGACGCGTCGCGCGCTGAACCGGCAGTGTACGAAGCCTTGCATGAAGCCAGGTGAACTTGAGCAGGGACAGCGTAGATGTTGCGAAGGCAATGGTTCCCTTCAATCTGTCTTATTTGAAGTTCTCTAGAGCTGACGACGTGTTCGCCGCTGCTTCCAAGGTAAGGTGTCATTGCTCCACATAAACGGACACAAGCAACCACGCTCTCAACATACACAACACGCCTCTCGTCGATATCTTACACTTCCCTTGGTCCAGCATCTCTTTTATTCGCCTTTTCCCCGCCTATTTCCCATTCTGCAAATCCGGCACCCTCAAGATCTCCCGTCCCTCATTCTCAGTATGCTGCTGAATCTTGTTCAACACACTCGACTTCTGCAGCCTCTCTGGCACAGGCCTCTTCGGGTTCTGCGTAGCCCAGTAGTAGATATCCCAGTCTGCCTCGTCGAGGAGTTTGTCGTATTCGTGAAGTTCGTCGGCGGAGAGGGTGTCAAGGTTTTTCTTTGCGAAGGTGGAGAGAAGGAGTTCCGTTTCGAGGATACCGCGCTGTGCACCACCAGTTAGTCTCTCGAGAGTTTGGGAGGAGCAGGTTGGAGCTGAGGTACCTTGCGGGATTGGTAGAGCATTCTACGACGCTTCTGCTCGATACTCTCTCCGTGTCTCGGCACCGGCGCATGCGGCTTCAAACTGTCAAGGTCCGGCTCGATGATCCTCTGCCTCTCCGCACCCAACGGAAACGGATCACCACCAGTCAGTCCCTTCCCAGCCTCAACCTCGACCCTAGTAGTCTTGGCCTCCAATTCCTTCACGTCGGGAGGCGGGGCACGGACATTGCCAGCATCTGGACCAGGAGCCATGGGGAAGGGGGACTTGGACGATCCAGGGACTTCACGGAGGTGAACGGGCTCCTTCTGTTGGTCGACGTTCTTCTTGCTGCCCTTGAAGGTGGGATCATCGGGGAACTCGGAGGAAGCACCAGTGCGGAGGGGCGAATTGGAGGAGGTGCCGACCTTGGAGGGACCAGAGTTGAAGCGGAGAGCGGTGGCCTGGATGGGACGAACTGCCAAGAGGCGACGAGCGAAGTTTTGGCGAAGCATTTTGTTCTGAGTGTTTGTGAATGTTCGAGGACGAATTCGCCTGCGGATCGAAGGATATATATCGGTGCCTGGATGAGTACCCGTACATCTTACATCATGTACGCACCCGCTCCCCAGGTCGGGAGGGATGTGCCGTGAAGCTTTTTGCCAGCAGATCAGATGAATTTCTACAGCTTTCCTAACTTTTGCAAGGCAAAAAGACGATGACCCTTGGAGCGAGCTCGACCAGGCGTTCTGTCACGTGAGCTGCTGGCAACTGCAGGACGTGCACGTGCAGCGAAGCGTAACGAGACAATCTATACGTGCGAATAGCTGAGCTCGAGCTTGTACGCGGATCAAGATGCCTAAGGTAAGCCGTTCACCTGTACCAGTGACCTCGGGTCTTTTGCCAACGCGTATATCATCTAGTTTTACTGCGATTACTGTGATGTCTATCTCACACACGACTCCGCTTCAGTAAGAAAGGCACACAATACCGTTCGTTACCGCTTCTTGACCTCTCCTCTCAAACATATTAACCGCGTGACAGGGTCGCAACCACCTTAACAACGTCCGCGACTACTACCAAGAGATCGGCCATGAAAAAGCCCAACAAGTAATCGACTCCATCACATCCTCATACGAACAATCCGGTCTCCCTGGTCTACCGCCATTCCCAATGCCAGGAATGCCTATGCCAGGAGGGTTACCATTTCCTCCACCACCAGGAGGTTTACCTTTCCCGCCCCCAGGAGCACCCGGAGCACTACCCTTCCCGCCGCCTGGAGGATTACCATTTCCGCCGCCTGGTGCGCCAGGCGCATTGCCTTTCCCTCCACCGGGAGCACCAGGGGCTTTGCCCTTTCCGCCGCCGGCGGGCATGCCGTTACCTGGGATGCTTGGAATGCCAGGGATCCCGGGAATGGTTGCGCCGCCGGGGATGCCAGCGATGTCAAGTGCGCCGGGGTTCGGAGCGCCTCCAGGTGTGGGTAGGGCGCCGGGAGCTTGAGTTGCTGTGATGAAACGTGTTTTGTGAGTTAAAGATATCCGGTTTGTCGGAAGTGCAGGAGTGCTTGAGGAGGTCAGAGAAGTTGGTTGGTTTAGGAAGTTCAAGTGAACACGGTACTTTCGAGAGGTGCCTCCGGTGCTATGAGCATAATATTTGGAACGGAAGCCCAGAAGGAGGTCGTTCTCTCGTTAAAAGGTTTGGAAGACGATTGAAATTGGGCGCGGTAAAGAGTCCCCGGATAGCCTGACGCGACCGACCGTCGCGATCGTACCGCTACGTTCAGGAGTACAAGATACAAATATACCCATCAAACATGTTTGACTTCATAAGCCTTCCCCTCTTCAACGAAAAGAAGGTGTGGCTGCTGCATCCCCAGCGGCAGCCCTGCGCTACGGCCCAACTTCACACGCGGACCGCAGCGGACCTTTAGGCGATGAGTAGAGAGATCAATGAAGATGTCCGAACAACCATTGCGAGTTGGAATCATTGGCACTGGGGTAAGCCCCGTAGTAGGGCTGCTGTCTGCATGTGCTTACTAAGACTCTCGCAGATCTTCGCCAGTAAACGTCATCTTCCAGCTTACCAGAAACTACCAGCGGAGTACAATGTCGTAGCATGTGCGAACCGGACGATCTCCAAAGCTGAGTTGTTCGCCGAGAAGGTCATCGATCTAGCAAGTCGATTCTTTATGTGATGCTTACAGGTTGATGACAGGCTAATATCCCTTCCACTCATGTCTTCTCCTACCTGGACGAACTGATCAGGTGTCCTGATGTTGACATCGTCGATGCTCTCCTACCCGTCAGCTCGAACCTCGACACGGTTCTAAAGGCGGTTGAGGTTGGTAAACCGATCATGATCGAGAAACCACTTGCGCACGATCTCGCCGATGCTCGCGAACTTGTCAAGGTATGCGCTTCAACCGACATCCCAGTTCTCGTCGCAGAGAACTGGTCCTACCGTGAGGCTATCCCAAAGATGAAAGCGGCCGTCGAGAAGTGTGGTGAGGTTGTTGGTTTCGAGTATGTGCAGAGCATCCCATTCCGACCCGATAACCCCTACCTGGGCACTGCTTGGCGTGCGACCCCTTCTCACGTCGGTGGATTTCTGTCTGACGGCGGCGTCCACCAAATGGCTTTCCTCACAGGTGTACTAGGGCAGGTTGAGCGTGTCAGTGCCTTCACCCGTCAAATCAAGAAGGAGAACGGAACGGTTGATACAGTCAAAGCTACCATGCAACTGAAGAGCGGAGTCATTGGGACATATGGGCTTGATTTCGCTTCTGCGCAACCCGGGACAGGGTATTTTAGGATTCATGGGACGGAGGGCACGGTTGAGTACCGGTTTACTGATTTTACATTGTCCTACACCTCTGCTGCGTCGCCGGGCGAGCCTGAGGTGGTTGTGACTGGAAAGGAGGAAGACGACGTGAAGAATGAATTCGAGAACTTTGCGGAGGCGGTGCGGACGAGAGATAAGACCCTGCTAAAATGCACGGTAGAAGACGCATTTCACCATTTTGCCGTCGTTTGTGCGATGGTTGAATCGGGTGAGAAGAATGGGGAGAGTGTGGCTGTTCCTCAACCTTGAGGCAAATTTGAATTACCCATGACCAATGGGTATACGAGCTGAGCTCAAGCGCGGGCATAGACAGGTTCTTAGGTAAGCAAGGACACTGCATAAAATCAGACCACCAAATACAATAAAGAAGTCGTCATGTTCTCAGCCTGTTTTCCCGCTTTCGTGTCTCTGCGCCTATCTCGACTGTTTGTTGTGGACAGCTGTGGGGCACCAACATCCCTATCCAGCCCAGACCCCTGTAACCGGAGGCGAGCTCGCTCATGCGACCAATTGACACGGCATGGTACGACTAGGTAGAACTCAGCCTCTGCAGTGTCAGACCTTATTTACCTAACTTCTACTGCCATGGAAATAAATGAACAAAGAAAGACCACCCACTCCGGATCCGCGGACGACGGGACACCCCATCCAACCCCATCGCAATCCCCAAAGGGAACCCCGATCCGCACCCGCGCCCTCAATTGTCCAATTGCCACAAACGCGAACACGGCACGCACGCGTTTCCTTTATCCCCCCACCTCCTCCTCTTTGTGCACAATCCCGCCCAACGGTACATGCACGCACGTCCCCCGGTTTGCTTTGTTCAATCGGTGATCGACTTATTGAATTTCCCCATTGAGCGTCCGTGCACTGCAGATGACAGCTGTGCTGGTGCAGGTGACTTGGCTCGTGCGCGTGGTCGATCAACGAGGCTACACTTACCAGGACGATCAGGACGTCACTGCTTGTCGTGAGAGAGAGCGCATAAACGGAGGGTAAAAAAAATCCTTTTGCAAATTGAATTGATGTCATCAATCATATGTCATTATCCAAAATATCATCACGAACCAACAACAGCTAACTCCGACCATCCCCACTCCCACTCCCCATTGCAATTGCGTCACCCAGATTGCCGAATAGCCGTGTAGAATATCCGCAGAACCAGCTGCGAATCCATCATGATAACCCGAAAAACAAAGGCCGTAAACGTATCAAAGACCCGTAGAAGCAAACAAAAACGCTGAAAACAAAACACCATGTGAGTCCAAATGAAAACGCCGACCGTTCGTGCCCTTTTCCCCATCACACTTCCTGTAAATGTTCCCTCAAGCCTCAATAGCACCCTCCTCCCCCTTCTCATTCACCTCCTCAACAACACTCGATAGCTCACTAGCATCACTCCCCTTCCTCTCCTTCGCCATCATCCTCGCCAACCTCTTCTCCTCCTCCGCCTTCTTCTTCGCCTTCGAACTCCCACTCGGAGCGACCGCCGAACAGATCTTGTGTGCATGGCTCGCATCAAAATTCTGGAAGACGAGGTCGACAACTTTCTTCGCGTCGGTGATCTTCTTTTTGGGAGCGCGAGACTTTGCTTTCGTCTTAACGGGACTGGCTTGAAGCTGGACCTGAGTCTGGATAGGGGTTTCGGGGGCGAGGGAAGTGGAGATGGGAGCAGCGGTAGAGACTCCACGACGGGGAGAAACTTCCTGGCTCGTCCACCCACCCAGATTCAATGCCGGAGTACTCATTGCCCTCGGCAACACCGTCCCCTCCGTACCAGTAGTAGCAGGAGCAGCAGGAGCAGCCGTAGGCGCAAGATTGTAGTTGGCAGGAAACAACCCGCCTTGTTGCTGCTGCATCAAATCCGCGTAATCGATCGGTGGCGAGGGGTACACAGTGCTCTGATGCGTCAAGATCCTCAGACTGTACTCCGGGATCTGGAAGTGTTCTTCCACAGGACTAGAGTTGAACTGCTCTCCGTATGTTTGCGCCATGGCGGGAGGAGGAGCAGGAGCAAAGTGACCCTGGTTCATATCGTAGTTATCCGGGAACATCACCGCCGCACCGGTAGCGCTGAACGGATCTTCGCCCGCATTCATCGGGACCATGCCAAAGTGGTTGATGGAAGTGTAAGGCAATTCAGCCGGCACAGGCATGTACTCACTAATCTCATGCCTCTGCACCTGCTGATATGGACTGTCGAGGCCATACTCAATTCCCATCGGATTGGCACAGATTCTCTTTGTTGGCGTACCCATCATATCACCTCCTCCCCAGGTAAAGTCGGCAGTCATGGGTGTTGCGAACCCCATCATGACAGGAGAAGAATCAGAATCCGCGAAGACCTCATGACTGCGTTTCCGGGACATGGGTTGTGGCTCGAAGGTTCCGGAGAGCGGAGAGACTTGGCCGGAGGTGGGGAGGGTGTAGCGTTGGTATGCGGAGGCCAGATCCAATGGAGCCGCCAAGGGCCCTGGATGTCCACGGTTTTGGCGACGACGGGACATGGGAGAGGATGGTTGTTGGCGGGGCATGTCGTAGGGTGCCGAAGAGGTTTTAGTCATGGGCTGGGATTGGAGGTGGAAGTAGGGTTGCTCATGGTGATCTTGGTAGGAGTCGTTTGCGGGCAACTGGAGACTCCTCCATTGGTTTTGCTGGGATGTATGCGTGGCAGTAGCCATATCGAGGTTGTAATGCGTACGCGGGGTGTCTGGAGCGATTGGCGATGAAGTGAGATCAGAGTGATACTCGCTGCGATCGAGCTGCAACTCGGGAAGAGGCGGCGAAGAAAAGGTGGTGGTTGCGGAAGCCAGGTTTGCTATGGCTTGCTGGTGCTCCAGCAACTGGTGTGCGGTCCTGTCTATCAGCGTGGCGGTCAAGGGTTGTATGCTGCTGGCATGGGCACGGAGCCGGGGGCCATAGCAGATATAAGGTTGCAGGCGGGCAGGGTGTACCTCCTCCCTCTCGGTGTCTCGTCGCGGATCGCAGGTCCGTGCGCGCTCATTCGACGTGGCACTAGTGTTAGGGGCAGCTGTTGAGTCGAAGTCGATGTCCGCTAGCGGTGGCGCGCAAAAAGGAAGAGAAGGACGGGGTCTCGCCGTTTTGGCCAGTGCCGACCCAGCCTGCTGGTGCTGGTGCTCTTGATCGAAGCGTGACGAATCAAAGCCTATTGCAATTGGTGTTCCCGGGCCCGATGAGGCGCCGTCCAACTCCGGTGAACCGCGGCCGATGGTGGAGGTCATGTCGTGGGCGTATGTGTTTGTAGATCCTCCTCTCTTTCAGTGCCTTCAAATGCCTATCGCAGATGTTGCTCTCTTGTAGCTTTCGGGAAACCCAAGGGAGTATATGACGAGAAGCGCTTGCGAAGAATGTCGATCACTCCTGAGTCGGATCCCTTCTCTTCAGGCGAAAGTCTGGGTGACAGAAGATGTGAAACCGGATGTCAACGCGTCCGTGCGTACGTGGTGCTTGACGTTTAACGTGGAAACGCTTTGTAAGTGTAGAAGCAGGAATTCGAGAAGCGAAATGGAAGAGGAGAGTGCTACGTTGTCCGCTCAATTGAGCTAGATATACCCTGCCTTCTCCTAGATCCACTCCTCGAGTGTCCCGAGGAGTGCGCTCCGCCCCAACAGGGTGTAGTACCCTTGGGATTGGGTAAGCGAGACCACGAAGGCTGGCCACCTACACCCACCCCACTACAATTCGTTCTACTGCAGCTGAGGAGTACCTTCTCGGTATCTTCTCGAGCTCGATGATCTACCAAGCAAGTCCGCGCACGAACCCGAAAAGTGGACTAACCAGCCCCCCCTCCCCGCGGCCCCGCCCGTTGTGCGCGCGCAGCAAAATAGGAAAGAGGAATCTGTCGATCGCGGAGGGAGGCTGGTGCGTGCGCTGGCAGCCGTTGCGACGCAGAACTGTGGAAATGGACGGAAGGACTAGAGATGAAAAAAATGGAGGTCCGTGCGCATCGTGGATCGGAGGGAGATAAGACGCCTTGTTGCAATTGGAATATGCATTGGAGGGGGGGGTGGGTCCGCGGAGACGGCAGCGGCAGGACTTCGGGAGACCCCAGCTACGTCGCCAAGCCTGGATGATACGAGAGATCAGGCCATGCGCATTGGCCCCACCCCCACCCAGACTTCAGCGCGCTCGCTCGTCCCTCCTGCAGGCCTGTACCGTAAGCGAAGCTGAAAAGGGCCGTTTTGTGCGTCTAGCCGAAGATGGTTTAGCGTGCTGCGTTTCCTCTGGCTCTGACGTCGGCGCGGCGAAAGGCCCAAAGGTGGAGCCGCGGTTCCGAGATGTGCCTGGAATGTTCTGACCACGCGATCGGTAGTCAGAGGGTGCCCGATCCGTGGAGCTGAAAGCCCTTGACCGCCATGCCAGGCTTCTCGCCTGCGCTTCACCAAGAAATGTAGTCTTCCTCCCCGTCATCGAGGACCGCCACGGTATGATAATTGCTATTTATTCTGGGAACTATCCATATGTGTTAGAACCTCATTCCATCCGATCTTGCCCCTTCGCTCCTAATCTAATTCCTAACTAATACTCTTCGTTCGCTATCACCATCGGCAGTTATGACTGGCTGAAAGGACCCTCCACCGGCGTTTGGGTAAATAGGATCCTTCCTCCTCAAGGCTGATTGATACACGCCCATCTCCACATGTCCACGCGATCGGTGATACAGTACACATCCCATGGCCCATCCTCACGAAACGTAAACCCGGGACCCGGTCATCGATCGATCTGGACTTCCTCCCGCGCGTGTTACCGACGTGGGTCCTCAATCCACCGGGATGCAAGACCATCCGAGCACGCAGGGAAACGTGTACGCCTTGAATTGCACGGTACAAGCCTGGTGCCATTGAGATCGGTGGGATCGAAAAAGTTGGGCTTTGTGAGAAATCAGGCATGGCAGTTGAAGCCGCGTGGTCATAGTATGGATACACATCTGTACGGTGGAGATAGCAAGTACCTTTGGAGTTGCGACACACTTTCAGAGCTCGGTGTTTGCAAGTTTTGCTGGCTTTGTGGTGTGAAAGAGAGTGTTGGTTTACGAGCGCTCGCGTACGACTTACCAAGCGTGGGAACTCTTGAACGAAGCACAGACGAATCAATGAGAGATAGAATAATATTACTAAGGATACTTCACGATGACAAGGCAGCTCCAGAGCCGTGCCTCAATTCGTGCAATCTCACCTCCAGCGGAAAATAACTTATCCTAAGCATAATAAACGGGCTGCTGCGGGACCATAAATCCGCCATAATAAGCACCTCCTGCGCCACCCATGCCCATCATCCCTGCTCCACTCCCACTCATCTCCATCGGCGGCGCAGGACCAGGTCCAGTCCACACCGGCGCACTGCCCGTCGAGTACCCGTACCCGTAAGCAGATGTTTGCTGTTGTGGATAATATGGCGCAGCGGCGACAGCGGCAACTACTGGATCGTTGTAGTAGTTGTTGTAGTAGACCATTCCATTACTCTCCTGCGCAGTGGAGACTGTGGGGCTGAAAGCCTGTCCTGGTGCGAAAGACGAGGAGGCGTACGACACTCCTGAGAACCCACGGGTCATGGCTGCTGGGCCGTAGTACCCGTAGGCGGGCGGGCTGGAGTATGTTGGTTGGAAGGGAGGGGCAAATACCGCGGTGTCGGGGAGCTCGGCAGAGGTGCGGGTGGGTGCTGCCGGGGTCTGTGTTTCAGTCTCTATGTCCGCGACGTTGACCGCCTTCGTCGGACGAGGTTGATGGACTTGTACCGGAGACGCGGTCGAGGAGGAGACTGAGTGGGCTTTCGTAGGAATAGATTTGACACTTTCGGGTGACGGCGCATCAGATTTGGCGTAGGCGGCCGGTGGTACATCCCGATCCCTTCTGGGTTGGAGTGACGATGGGAGTCTGACGATGATCTTAGGTGCGTCTTCAGGTTCAGGAGTGATGAGGGGTGCCTCGACCCTTCCGTTTTCCTGCTTCACAGGCTTCGCACGCAAACCCGCTCCAGCAGCTTGAGCACTTTCAGGGGTCGGATACACGAACGCCTGCCTCGAGCCTGGTAGCGCGACACGGACTGCCATATCAAACTTCAGCTGCTTCCTGTGTCGAGGAATATCGAGATAGCGGCGGTATGGGACCGTCACAATTCGCGGCTCCGTCATGTTTGGCATTTTGAGTTGAATTGCTACATGACGAACTTCGTCTTGCTGCGACCGGCGCTGAAGAGGTTGAGCTTGTGACGGGGAGGCGGAAGGCACAGATGGCAAGTTGACGATCGCTTTCGGCTGCTCCGCTGGGTCAATCAGAGCCGACTCCACCACAGCCCTATCCACCTTTGCCTCATCCTCAATAGACATCTTTTCCAACGACCCATTCAATTCTTCAAATCCACGATGACCCCAGCGGGTTCCTTGCTGTCTCTCCCGAGATATTGCTCTCTGTGGCCCAACCCAACCATCACGCCCTTGCCCTCTCGTACTGCCCCTAAATGCACCTCTACCGCGAAAGTTTCGAGGTTCTTGCATCACATAACCAACACCTCGATCATGCCGTGGTCCTGTTGGTGGTTGCCGTGCGTGCGATGTAGTTATAGAATCATTCGGGTTTGAGGGCATATGGCTGTTACCCACCGTTGCGGTATCCTTATGAGTAACCATAGTTCGCGGATGTGTACCGAGGCCACCGCGAGGACCACCGCGTCCACGACCACGTCCACGACCCACGTACATATGCTCTGGGTGGCGGACTGGGCGGGATGCCGTCGTCTCTGGGGATATATGCGCTTGGGTGGAATGAGCCGACGTTTCCACGGTTTCGTCACTCGTAACTCTCTCGCCTGCCAGCGCGCCGTCCGACGCCGACTCAGAGGATGTGGAGAGCGTTTGGGGGGAGTCTAGGGGTTCGGAATTGGACGAGTCGACGACGATGTCGCATGCCTTCGTATCTTCACCTTCGGCACTGACGGGACGGGCACCGCGACGGCGGGAAGGAAGATTTGGCATCGATGCTGAGTATACGCGTGAAGAATGCGGTAGTGAACAGATGCCTTCGTGCGTTGATTGATTGTCGAAGACGTGTTGCCTGCTGAATATATGTTGTTGCTAACAGCGTTCTCTACCGAGACGGCGGGACGACGCGGCGGGTATACAGCGCACGCGCCTTACGTATGACGGAGCTCATACGAGCTATGAAAGAAAGAGAAGTCGACATCTATCTTCACCACTGCCATTGTATTGCAGGGCTAAAAGTGTTCTGTGTTTTCCATGTTTTAGACAGGTCGAATGAACCTATTGTTCACGTGATCCCAATACGTGCAAAGCGCACGTGAAAGTCGTCGTTACCGTGCATCGCGCAGTCCGCAATAAAGTCTTTGGGAAAAAAACACCAAGTGACACGGTCTCAGCTGAACAAGACTCTGCCAGCGGACATTGCCATTCATACCATCAGTGATAGCAACCAATCTCACAAGAATCGCCTACAAGTCAACATGTTTACAGGCGCGAGATGCTCATGTCGAACGTTGTCGACAAGTTTACGATGGACGCAAAGCAGACCAATCATCACAAGACCTGGCGCAAAGATAGATACAACGGTGAAGTATGATCGAAGACACCCCGACATGCAGCCATACAAGGAGTCAGAGACCGGGCCTTGGATCCGACCACGGAATCCCGAGAACTTGTCGCCGAAAGATTATGTGGGACAAGACATCTTATATGGTCGCAACCCAATTGAGGCGGCCCTACATGCCGACCGCCGAAAGTTCCATGCACTCTACGTTCAGGAGTCCAAGAAGCAGGATAAGAATCGCCCCGACACCATCGTGCAATTGGCGAAAGATCAAGGCATCCCTGTCGTCACGATCGAGAACGCTGCGCAACTGGGTAATCTTACCGGAGGAAGACCACACAATGGGTACGTCATGATCTGCGAAGAATTGACGCCTGTGGAAATATACGGTCTGGAGAGAGTCGAAAGCCCCACGGTGCCGTACAAGGTCTACACTGCCCCTACGAGGCATCAAAGTAAAGAGCTGGAAGCGCCGAAGGGGCCAAAACGGTATCCTTTCTGGCTGTTCTTGGATGAAATCACGGACCCGATGAACCTTGGCGCAATATTGCGTACAAGTACTTTCTTTGGAGTGGACGGGGTAATTGTGAGCGAGAAGACATCTGCGCCGCTCAGTCCGGTAGTGAGTAAAGCGAGTTCGGGTGCGATGGAGGTGAGGGACATCTACACTGTTTCAAGGGCTCACACATTCCTCGAGCAGGTGAAGAGTAATGGATGGAAATGTATAGCTACGGCATCTCCGGATGAAGTGAAGGATGGAGCGCAATATGTTCCGCTGCCGAAGCTGTCGTCATTGTTGCAGGAGAGTCCTGTAATATTGATGCTTGGTAGCGAGGGAGAGGGTCTCAGAGCTTCGTTGAGAAGATTGTGTGACTACGAGACGACTATCAAGAGCGCACCCGGCATCTACCACGGCTTGGACAGTTTGAATGTCAGCGTCGCGGCGAGTGTTTTCATTACGGGGATGCTAGGTGTTACCTCAGCACCTCTAGAGGCCAAAGAAGAGCAATGAGGGAAGGCAGCGAACGAAACGAGCGAGGGAAGCACCAAGGTTTGGCATAGAATATGGGGAGTTACTTTACAAGCTACCTAGGCATACGCTCATGTATTTCCCCGATACAGCGGACTTTTACGCGGCTGGTTGTCGATTACGCACTCCGATAAGCCCCGCAGTGCCCAGCTGCTGCAGCCGACCAACCTGATTGCTAACGTCATCTTACCCCTACACCAAGAACATCCCCATATCACCACCTCCTCCAACAGTTCGCCTCAGACAGTGGCATACATCTGATCGAAACATCGCTGAAAGGAGGATCACCTTTATTCATCCGCCGAGATGGAATCAACTGTCATCCTGAAGGTTTCCCACAACGGCACGACTAAGAAATTCAAGGTTCAGGAGGAGACGACGACGAAGGAGCTGCTTCTTCCGACTGTATGCACCAGTGTGTTTGCTGTTCGGAGTCTAAAGCTAACATGTTTTACCTACAGGTGCTTAGCCTTTTGGATACGCAGGCTCAGAACATCCAGCTTTATCGCTGGTCTCGTTCCGCAGATGGCTATGCGCTGCTCGAAGACGACAAGAGTTATGATGCGTTGAGGAGGAGCATGGGTGCAATGAAGGATAAATGCAGCAAGTTGCAGATCAAATTGGAGGTTCGTGAGATTTGTAAGTGGTATTTGTGACGATCTCATGGATGTTGAGTGCTTATATGCTGTCTTAGTCTCCGAGAATGTAAACATTGAGCGTGTTCCTCAAAAGGCCGAAGAAAAATCCCACAAATCAGAGGATGAATCAAAGGCCGCTAAGAAGAAGACTCTCGAGCACATGCTGTCGTCTGTTGTTGAAAAGGCATTGAGCTCCCAGTTTGACAGCATCAAACAGTCGGTTTCCGACTTGAACGAGACTGTTTCGGGCTGGATTGCTACTCAAGCTGCCGAGGCAGCCGAGAAATCTCAGGCTTCCGAGTATATGTCTGCACGTTCAGCTTCCGTCCCGTTGTCTCAGGATTCCTCCACTCCCACTGAGAAGGTTTCTACGGATGACTACGTCGTTCAGGTAAGCTGTGATGTTTGCGGTGCGTCCGTCCGCGGGACTCACTATCACTGTCCCGTCTGCCGTGATGGCGACTATGACGTTTGTCCGTCTTGCGTTGCCGCGGGCAAGCATTGCTTCAACGACCAGCACTGGATGGTCAAACGGAACTTTGGTAAGAACGACGACGTGCGTTCTGGTATCGCGAGCGGCCAAGCTCGTCCCCCGAGCTACACCTCGTCTACGCCGCAAGTGACGGAAAGCATCAAGCATAATGCTGTTTGCGACGGCTGCGACCAGGCTATTGCAGGCGTGAGGCACAAGTGCTTTACGTGTCCTGATTACGACCTGTGTTCGGCTTGTCAGGTCAAGGGTGTACACAGCGAGCACATCCTTGCTCCTCTTAGCACCCCTGGCCCCACGCGTACGAAATTGTCTCACCCCACGGCCGTTCACCGCCGTGTGTATTGCGATGGGCGTCGCTGCCCCACCAAGCAGTCTTATATCACAGGGATCCGTTACAAGTGTGCCATTTGCGCCGACACGGACTTTTGCGCGAGCTGTGAGGCTCATCCTGACTTTTTGAAGAGCAAGTGTGCTGGGCATCCGTTGGTCAAGTTCAGGGCACCTGTTGATGGTTGTGATGTTACTGCTTATCAAGATGGAGTTCGTATCGCCGGCAAGCCTGAACCGACGGAAAATCCGAAGTGGGAACAGCGTCTTAACAAGGCTGCCGCATCAGCTGAGAAGGCGACCCAGAAATTCGAGTCTCGCAAGGTCGCTGTGCCTACTGATATGAAGGTCTTCCGTCACCATGGCATCATTTGTGACGGTTGTGATAGGGATGTCGTTGGCGACAGGTGGATCTGTGCTACTTGCCCTGATTTCGATCTCTGTAGTCATTGCTTCAACAGCAAGACGCACGACCGCAAGCACGCGTTCGTGTTGTTGAAGAAGCCAACTAAGCTTGGCGGTCGCCCGCGTTTGGGTCCTTTGTATACGGAGGAACCGAGCACTACCTTCGCCGGACCTCACCTTGTGGAGTGTGATATCTGTGAGAATATGCCTAAGGGCGCGAGGTACCGTTGCACGGAGTGTGTTGACTATGGCCTTTGTGAAGGTTGTATGAAGACGGGTGCGCATGACCTTACGCATGGGTTGTTGCATATTCCGTTCCCGTTGACAGATGATTTCGCTCCCCCTGCTGCTCCTGCTGAGGATGAGGAGATGTCTGAGGAGAAGGTTGAGCCTGTTGAAGAGGAGCAGTCTCCCTCGATGTCTACCACGGACACGTCCGAGGTTAGGCAGGTGTCTGAAGGAAGCATGAACGGTATGTCGGTTTCTTCTTCCTTGGTCAGCTTCGAGCAGTACGCTGCGGAGTTTGTGGAAGACTCGAGTCTTGCGGATGGCTGCGAAATCACAGTGAACGTCGAGGAAATCAAATCGTGGACGTTGCTGAACTCGGGCATGATCGACTGGGAGATCGGCACGCACGTCGTCTTCGTTGGTGGTGACGAAATTCAATGCCTTGACATGGGCGTGACTGGCAGGCCGTCGGCTGGTGAGAAGGCCAACGCATTTGTGCGGTTCAGGGCACCGGCCTTTGCAACATCCATCTTGTCTTACTTCTCACTTGCTGATGCTAGTGGAAAGAAGTTTGGTCCCAAACTCTGGCTTCAAATCAAGGTTGTGGCACCTCAGGAGCGTGCTGGTGAGGATGAGTTCAAGGACGAAGAGTTCGAGGAAGAGGCTGAGGAGGTCGTCAAGGAGAGCTCCGAGCACTCCTCCATGGTTATCTTCCCTGCGCCCCAGACTGATATTGAGACACACACCGACTTTGGCGATATGACGGCACCGAGTGAAGTTTCGCGCACAATTTCCGTTGCGGATATGGACGACGTTGCCGAGATGGACGAGGTGTCCTCTTTGACTGACGATAAGGACATGTCTGAGGCTGAGGAGATGGAGCTTGATGGTGAATGGGAGGACTATGAGTTGCTCGAAGGTGACGAGACGTCCGACACTGAGGGTTGTACCCCTGTGTAGTTTGGTGAACTTTCAAAGGCGGGTTTTGTAAGTTAGGATGGGTTTCATTGATTTTCCTTATCATGGAGGCGTTTTACGGTCGTTACGGGTGGAGCGGAAGGTGTTTTTCTTCTTCTTTCTTTCTTCTTATTTCTCATTTTGCAGTCCTACATTGATAGCAATTCTTTTTGTAAATCCTTTCCTACGCTGGGTCGTCTGTACAGTTGATCTTGCAATTGGGCGGCAGTCACACTCGGACGTTGCCCCGGTTCTTTAGGTGCAGCGCCGTGCATCAGCCGACAAGCCCATGGTCAGTGGAGCAACCAGCTGTGACGAACGACAGAAACAACAGGGAAACCGACGTATAGACGCTGCTCTTGTTATTCGATAGACGACTCCTTTACCTTGCTGTCGTCCGCTGTCTGAGCATCCGGATCAACTATCCTACTCGAACACTCCTTCTGCGAATTGACGATTGAAGTCGTCCGTGGCTGATGGCCAGTACACGAAGAGTTTGGGTTAAGCGACTGAATGGGACAGCTGCAACCCTCGTCCCTGTACATGCCGAGGATCTTGTCGGTACGTTGTTCTCTTTGGGTTCTTGTATGCTGTCGTGAGCTAATTCCAGCATCTAGACGATTTGAAGGATACTATCCTTCGGAAATACGCCAATGCTCTTGGTCGGTTCTATGATTCTCCTGATTTGACGATTCGTGGAGCTCCGAGGGCGTCTCCTGCAGAAGAGCGTATCTTGCGGCCAGACGACTCGTTAGTACGAATCCTGGACGAATGGTATCCCGGCGGTCAGGCATTGGAGGAAGCATTCGTTATTGATGTGCCAGCTATTCCAATGCGCTCGAGTCGCAGTGGTACGTCGCCGATGTATATGCCATCCAACTTGGCAGCGGAAGCATCCTACGAGTACTTTCCTATGATAAGCGAAAATTCACGGACTGGGTCACATCATACATCGTCAACAGCATCACCGACCACAGGCCAACTCCAGACTCCTTTGGCCCATGGAATTTCGACGCCTATGCAATCTCATGGCATGCTCACGCCCTCAGTTCATCCCATGAGCAGCAGACCTCGTCTACGATCACGCTTAACCTCAAATAACTCGACAGGATCGGGTATTATGCTTATGCCGCGGAGTGGACGGAGACTGTCAGGATCTGGAGCCGGTATACATTTAAGTACACCACCTCACTCGAATCAGAACTCCCCGCTTACGACAACCCAGGAGGTTCCTTCACCGCCGGAGATTCCGCCTCCGGCTCAGCCTAATGCTGTGCCGAATGCTGTGGCATCGATACAAGCTGGAGCACATCCTTTGCCGCATCGGAGTTCTGGGTTGCCTGTGACTGTGCCTGTGCCGCCGATGGCTTCGCCGGGGTCGATTATTCCGCCTACGTTGCCAACTATGAGTGGAGTTCAGCCTGTGTCACCATCGTCGAACCCGACTGCTCCTGCCAGTGCTGCTTCAATCGCAAGGCGTCGAACAGTTACATCGTCAGCGGACGCTCCTTCACGACCGGGGGTAGCGGGTCGGAAGTCCGATCTTGCGAACAATGCGGCTGCTCCTGGTGGATTCGGCGGGTTGCTCGAGGGAGTCGTGCCACCGATCAATGTTTTGATCGTTGAAGACAATATTGTCAACCAGAAGATTTTGGAAGGATTCATGAGGAAAAGAAAGATTAAGTGCCAGGTTGCTATGAACGGACGAGAGGCCGTAGATAAGTGGAAACAGGGTGGTTTTCATCTGGTTCTGGTGCGTTGCGAGTTTTGAGACGTTACGGAATGGTATGACTAATCTATGGTTTAGATGGATATTCAACTTCCCATCATGTCCGGTATTGAAGCAACGAAAGAAATCCGACGTCTGGAACGATTAAACTCGATCGGTGTTTTCTCTACACCTACAACGCCTAATGACAACATGCCTTCAGCAAATGACGTCCTTCCAGAAGGCTCATCGTTCCGCAGTCCGGTCATCATCGTCGCTTTAACGGCCAGCAGTTTGCAGAGTGATAGGCATGAGGCGTTGGCTGCGGGGTGTAATGATTTCTTGACCAAGCCAGTTAGTTTGGTTTGGCTGGAAAGGAAGATTACGGAGGTATGTAATCGTGGTCAGGTATTTGTCTTGTGAAGCATTTGCTAACAGGGTTACATAGTGGGGTTGTATGCAAGCACTTATCGACTTCGAGGGTTGGAAGCGGTGGAAGGACAAGGATCGCGCTTCTCCAGTACCAGCAAAGAAGGATTTTGCATCCGCGAGGCCAAGATCGATCAAACCCGTCAAGGCCGAGCCTAAGGCGAATGGAACACCGGCAGCCGCGCCAGCTCCAGCTCCGCCATCGACGTCGAAGAAGTCGAAGGCAGATGAACCACCACCTGGCGTGGTGATAACTCCCCCATCAGCGGGGGCTGGGGCAACTACTACGGTAGAACAACGAGAAGCGGTACAGAAGTTGACGGAAGAGGCGGATAATAGGATTGCGGAGAAATTGAAGATACCGGATGCTGTCGCCGACAACTCGGATTCGCAGACCTCGACGGGTTAGAATTGAAATGAAGGTGGAATGAAGGATCAGGATATGTACGGGAAACGGGAATTTCATGGCCATGGTGGCAAGGATTCTATCTTCGAGATATACACGGCGTAGATCGGTTCCAAGTTATTTGCAGAAGTTAACTTAACCAAGAATTGAATTCGAGGGTCTGTGCTTCTTGTTTATTTCATGCCATGTAATGCAACGTGCACGCCCGGATCAGCTGAGGATAATTCTCTGTTGCGATGGTATCTCCAATCAATTGTAATCCCTTCCCAATCCCATAAACAATGCAAATGGCGTCCCAATGCACCTCATACATCATCCTACTCCTCCCTGCTAACCAACGCCTTCTTCCTCTCCGGCACCCTCTCCTTACTCCCAACACTATTTGCCTCATGCTTCCTCCTATTCTCGTCCTTCCTTCTCGCCCCCTCCTCCTCAACCCTCTTAATCCCTCCCGCCTTCTTAACAACCCCCGGTACTCTCCGATGTCTCGCAATCCGCCTGATCTCGGGCATATGCGCATACCGTTCCTTAAGTTTCTCTCTGTATTCCTGCGCGACACGTTCACGAGAGGTGAGGACGTGTTGACGGGATGAAGCGTGGGAACGCCAGATACGGATGTTACCGTCGTCTGAGCCGGAGAGGACGGAGGAGGAGTCCATGGTGAAAATTGTTGAGAAGACGCGCTGCATGCGTTTTGTGTGGTAGACGTCGCGCGAGCGACCTTCTCTTGCCTTCCATAACCGGACTGTGCGGTCGTAGGATCCCGTGACAATTTCTTGTCCGGTGGGGGAGTAGTCGACCGATAGGACTGCCGCAACGTGATCTTTGAGCACGTTGAGTGCACGAGAGAGTTTTCGCATATCGAAGATATACACATTGTGGTCTTCGCTCGCGGCGGCAAAGTTGAATGCTTCCATTGGGTTCCACGCGATACTGTTCACGCGGAGCTGCATTGTGAGTTTTTGCAGGGGAGAGGTGGTTCGAGTATCGTAGAGGATGAGAGTTCGGTCCGTTCCGGCGGACGCGAGGACGCTGGTTTCGGTTTGGTTGTAGGCGACGGTGTTGATGGTGTCTGCACCCCACTCGAGTGTACTCACCGGTGCGGACCGGTTGTGGTTCCAGAGGTGTACGACGTTCGATGCGGTTGCGAAGACTGGATCAGAGCGATGATGCGAGATTGAGTTGAATGCTGCTGGACCCATGTACATCGTCATCGGATCTTTCGACAAGCTGGAAGTGTCCCATAGTTTGACCGTCTTATCCGCCGCACAAGACAAGATATTCCCCTCAGGCGTATACGCCAATCCCTTCACAATCCCATCATGCGCCCTCACACTAAACGCCTCCTCCCTACTCCCCACATCCCAATGCTTAATCTCCCCATCACCACTCCCACTCACAACTCTCCCCAACCGTCGCGGATCTTTGGCAATGGTGTAGACGCCGTCGATGTGCCCGTCGCCGAGTTGGCCGATGAATGGTTGAGCAAACATGCGTTCCATTTTGGTGGCATTGAGGGCGCGGGTGTATTCTCGGGCTTTTTCGAAGGGGTGAAGGTCTGGGTCGAGGTTGCGAGGGACAGAGGCGATGTCGGAGGACCGGGACGGGAGGTAGGTGTCTGCAGAGCGAGAGAGGGCTTTGACTTTCATCTTGGGCTGTGCTTGTGTGGTGTTATGAGGTGAGGGAATGGATGGAACGGAGCTGGAGGAGCCGAGAGAACTAAGTAACAGTCCGAGGTGAGAATCAAGGAGGCCCAAGATTTGAAGCTCGACTTGCAATTGGTACTGTAGAGCCGGTGTTTCCGAAATCTGTCATCGATTAAGGTTTATCGGACCTTCAAGGGTTGCAGGCAAAATCTGAGTGGCGAAGCGTGGCGCATGAGGGCCCCCACAATTCAACGTTACATTCGCCGGCGTACACGACCGTTCAGGCGAGATGCCGTCCAGTGATCCAACATCGCTCCTGGCCGTTCTCTTCGTCACCAACTCTTCCTCCGGCACAAACCTCGTCTACCACTATCCTCCCCGCCCCGAAGTCGTCGCGAGGTCCTTCACGCGTTCGAAGTCTTCCTCGACTACGAGTTCGAGTACGAGCTCGAGCTCAGATGAAGGCGATGCAAGTGATTCAGATAATGGGGTGACGAGCTCGGATCGGAAGACGGTTAGGTCGAGGGCTAGTCAGAATTTTACGCCGAGTCCGTTGGAGGATCCGGGGAATGTTGGGCCACCTGCGACACCGCTCGGGAACCAGACGAATGTGAAGCAGCTGTATAAACAGCCATGGGATACGGTTCTGGGTTTCGATTCTTATCTGTTGGCGGATCTGTTAAGTCCGCTGAGTGTTATGTGTGATACGAAGTTCGAGTTGGCGCTGGATGAGTTGATTTTTTTGGGACATCCGTGCCATGTGCGGCCGGATGGGACTTGGAGTCGGAAGAAGCATAAGAAGAAGGAGAAGGGCAAGCCGGAGACGATACACGAGGAACAGAGTGATGATGAGAAGAAGGTTGGTGGGTTGCTGATGTTCCATTTGGTTTTCGTCATGAATTCTTTAATTACGACAAATGAGACGGAAACGAGAGCGGCGGTATCGGATATGTACGATCATATCGTGACAAAGATGACGAGTGCCTTGAAGTTCGAACAGGCAAGATGTGGATACGTCGCACGCGAATCGGAGAAGATCATGAGCCTACGAGAAAAGGCGACGTCGACGGAGACCTCGTACAATGACCTCTGGCAGCAAATCGTACGGGCGAGCAATCTTGCAGCAACGATGGCGAGTATATTCGACAGTATCGCCGCACATTCTGTCGCGCATATCAACGTCAACTCGGCGATCGACCTATGCCTACAAATCCCGCTGGTCATATACTCGCCCCACCTTCCCGTCGACCCTGATTCATACTCGATCAATGCGCCGTTGTTGACGACGAGTACACTCGCGCTTACGTTCCACGGTTCGATCCAGGATCACTTGGACGTTGAGGAGAGTGTCGATCCACTCATCACCCCCCACTTCGGACTCCTCCTCGTCGACGAACCACAAAAGATCTTACAGGATTTGCCGCCGGCGGATTCGAATAGTGTATTGGCACAATTCGTCAAAAACGTCAAACCGACCCAAAGTTTCCTGCAAGTCGCTACGGGAATGGGCGTACCCGTGAGAGATGTCGTCGTTCTCGCCGGCCACCTCTGCCGCTGGCGAAGAGGGCGGGTGGTAGTCCCCCTCCACCCCCGCAACATCTACATCGTCTCCCCCACCGCCAATATGCGCAAACTAGCCGCGCACATCCCACTCTTCAAACGGCTTTTTCCTACCCTCCCTTCCCTTCCCTACTTGTTGGCGCTTTTCTCGGGGAAACCGAGACCGTACTCGACGTTTATTCCGACGAGGGATCATAGGGGGATTTATTTGGAGGTGCTGACGTGGCTTGTTAGGGAGAATTGGGTGTGTGAGTTGAAGAATTTTGTGTGGGTTAAGGTTGGGGCGGAGGTTAAGAGGGCGGTGAGGGAGCAGATGAGGAGGGCTGCGAGGGAAGCCAAGGATGCTAAGAATAAGTCGGAAGCAGCAGAAGTTGAGGTTGCTGAAGGGGCGGAGGTGGAGTCCGCTGAGAAAGTCAATGATGGATCAGAGAAGAAGGAGCAGAAGGAGAAGGCTCGAGTGGAAGGTGATGCTTCATCCACCACAAACGAAGCTGCCGAAGCCGACCCCGACGATGACAACGAAGAAGAAGACCTGGAAGATCTGCAGGACTCCATCATCCCCGACCCCGCCCGCGCAACCTCCCTCGAACGCGCCTGGCTCGAATACATCGCCTCCACAAAACCTCCCGAGATCGCAGCCCTCTTCGACCGAATCGTCAAGTATTTTAATGGGAAACATGCGGTGGAGAAGGTTGCGCTTAGGGAGGGGATCACGCGGAGGGAGGTTAGGAGGGTGTTGGCGGGGATGGAGGGGGATATGGTTGTTGTTATGCATTGGTAGGTTTAAGGGAGGGTGGTGGGGTGACGATGGTAGAAATGATACCCGTGATATAACCGAAATGCAATCTAAACTCCGTTGAACGCCATCAATGCCATGAGACTTCCTGTTCATGCTTCACTTTTCCGACTCGATGAAAGTGGAAATCACTCGTCAACAAGATGTAGAGCGTTTCGTATAGGTTCGGGCCATTGTAGTTTTACGAATGAGAGTTTGTGAGTTGCTTTGCCGAGAACCAAAGCGAGGGGTATCGGTCCCATCTGTCGTGAATCCCACGAGTTGGAAAGGTTGTTGCCTAGCATACACTCATTAGCAACGACACGAAACATCATGGGCATCACGTACCCGTAACCCACACATGCCCCGGCGGCACCCGCAAATACTCCCTCATATTCCGACTCGGATCCATACACACCAAATCCCCACCCATCCCAATAACCGTCTTCGCCATCCTCACCCCGGGATCATCCGGACTCTTCACCACGACAACATCCCCTATCCGGATATTCCGTCCATACATGTAGTGCCATTTATTGATCACGAGCATATCGCCGGCCATGCTGAGGGTTGGAAGCATTGAGCTGCCGGCGCATGGTTGTGTTTCGAGGACGTATTCTTTGAAGAGGTGGAGGGCGCAGGCGCCTTGTACGGCTGTGAAGAGGAGGAGGCGGCGGTACTGCCGGGGGGGCATTGTGGGGGGTCGAGGAGGAGGAGTAACGTAGACTTCTCGGGAAGCACGTGCCTGACGTCGACGGGCGACACGCACGGGCTCAGGCTGCTGCACACCAACACCGCGAGGGCTCCCGACGCTGTACACCACCACCACCGCCTGGACACCTGGAGAGGAGCATTCATCGCCGACGCGTAACGACACGGACGCATACACCCCCGTCATCGCCCATTCCAAATCCGCTGTTGGTCGACGTGAACAGGGCGCGATGTCCCTCGACGTTCCCTCGGCCCAGTTTCGGGTGAAGGTATACCAACTAAAAGACGATAATTGGGATGATAAAGGGACGGGGCATTGTACCGGGCTGATAGAGAATGTGCGCGCGTCATTCTCATTTTTCTAGGGCTGTTGCTGATGCGTTGGGACAGGATGAAGCATGGTTTTATGTGCGGAGTGAGAATGACCCGAAGGAGATGTTGTTGAAGAGTAGGATCTTGAGGGAGGATGTGTATCAGAAGCAGCAAGGTACAAAGTATGCGTCTTGTCGTCTTGAGTCTGCTGACGCGCCGTGTACAGAAACCTTGATAGTGTGGACCGAAGCCAACGGGGAGGATATGGCCTTGTCATTCCAAGAAGCGGATGGATGCGCAGAGATATGGTACGTGAGATTAAGCGCGTGATGAGCAAGGCTGACTCTCTCGTACAGGAACTACATCACCAACGTCCAACGACACATGTACCAATCCAACCTCGCTGACGACATCCTCTCCGACGAAGCAGAAGGCGCAATCTCATCCCCCGTCCACCTCCCTGCCGCAGAAATCGGTAACCTCCAAGAAATCGAAAACCGCGTCCTCATGGCCTCGCACTCCATCAAACAACGCGAATCACTGGCGAAGTTCGTGCTGCAGGAAGATTATATCGCGAAGCTCGTGCCGTTGTTGGAGATGTTGGAGGATTTGGAGAGTTTGAGTGATCTACACCGGTTGTGTAATATCATGAAAGTACTGATTTTGATAAATGACGCGAGTATCTTTGAGGTGATACTCAAGGATGAGAATATCTTGGGTGTTGTAGGGATCTTGGAGTATGATCCTGACTTCCCGGGACATAAGGCGAATCATCGGAAATATTTGTCGGATCCGGTGAGGTTCAAACAGGTTGTGGAGATTGAGAACCCTGAGATTCGGAGGAAGATTCATCAGACGTTCAGGCTGCAGTATTTGAAGGATGTTGTGCTGGCACGCATTCTTGATGACAATACGTTTTCGCTGCTGAACTCACTCATTTTCTTCAACCAGGTCGATATTGTGCAACACCTACAATCAAACTCGAAGTTTCTCACGGAGTTGTTTGGAATATTCAAGAGTGATCCCCTGCAAGATCCGTCGAGAAAAGCGGATGGAGTGCGGTTTATTCAGCAATTTTGCCAGATTGCGAAACAGCTGCAGAGTCCGGCACGGACGGGGTTGTATACTACGTTCGTGAATCATGGGTTGTTTGGGGTGATTGACTACGCGCTCTTGCACGAAGACCCCGGGATCAGAATAGCGGGGACGGATGTCGTGATGGCGATTATCGATCATGATCCCACGCTTATTCGGAGTTTCATATTGAAGCAGGATGCGGATAAGGAGGAAACGAAGAGTTTGACGGATACGCTGATGGAGCTGGCACACACCGAGAAAGACTTGGGTGTCAAGGCGTTGATCGCGGAGGCGATCCGGGTGCTAGTCGATCCGGCTGCGGGACCCCTGCCTGAGGGTCAAGCGAAACCGACGAATGAGTTTGTGTTGAGGCAGAGGGTTGAGGATCCCGAGGCGGACAAGTTCTTGCAGTTCTTCTATGATAACTGCGCGACGAAATTGATGGTGCCGTTGATGGAGATCGATGAGCGTGTGGAGACGTTGGAGTTGAGCCAGGACCGGAGTGCGCTGTTTACGCATCTTTGTGAGTTGTTGTGCTTCTTTTTGAGGTTTCATACGTTTCGGAGTAAATACTTTGTTCTGAGCTCGAATATCTCGGCAAAGGTTGGGGCACTCTTCAAAAGTTCGGAAAAGCACGTCAAACTCGCCGCACTACGGTATTTCCGGACGTGTATCGGGTTAAACGACGAGTTCTATAAACGGCATCTCATCAAGAACAACCTCTTTGCGCCGATTATCGAGACGTTCATAAGTACTGGCACGCGGTATAATATGCTCAACTCGGCGTGTTTGGAATTTTTTGAGTTTATTAGGAAGGAGGCGATGAAGAATGTCATCATACACATCGTGGAAAATTTTGGGGAGAGATTGAGGGAGGTGAAGTATGTGGAGACGTTTGAGCAGTTGATGGCGAGGTATGAGCAGTTTAAGGAGAAGCCTGGGGTTGGGGCTGGGGATGGTGGTGAGGGGGGGACGACGGAGGGAGCGCAGCAGATGGAGACGAGGACAACGGATGGGAGGTGGCAGAGTGTTAAACCGCCGGATGCGCAGGAGGAGGATTACTTTAATAATGATGATGAGATGGAGAAGAAGACGGCGAAAACGGAAACCCCACCGACTGCGCCGGATACGGAGGGTGAGCCGGCGACGACTGAATCCCCCGCGACGGAAGATTTGGGGATCTCGGTGGTTGATGTGTTACCGCCAGATAGGCTTAGCGAGAAGAGACGGAGAGAGGAGGAGGATGAGGAGGATCAGTTGGGGTTGTTGTCGAGAGGGGCGAAGAGGACGGCGAGTCCGCAGTCGGTGAAGGCTGTTAATACGCCGTCGCCTAGTAAAGAAGGTAGGCCGGCGAGTGCGGATGGAAGTCCGACGCCGGGGCCGAAGAAGATTGTGTTTAGCTTCGGAAAGGTTGCTGGGACGATTGCGAAGGCGGTCGCTGGTACCGGTGCTGAAGGGGTGGATGCGGAAGAGAAAGATGAGGCACCACCGCCGCAGGAGACAGTAAGCGAGGAGAAGAAAGAGTAGCTGAACGGTTTTAGACTTTTGCTCATATCATTGCTTAATTATTGCAGGTGGGAGTATACATTGGGCCCTGGGATATGGGATCTGGATTTGGATCTTGGGATTTTGGAGGGATAGTTGTCTTGAGTATTGATAGTGGGTGGGCGCATTAGCAGATGAGGACGACGAATCGAAGTTATACTTCTGTCATTTCAACTGTCGTGCTTCAAGGTTTTGATGTTTGACTCTATCAGGGCTACATGTACATGCGCACGGCTATATATGACCACGACATGCAACATTCCCAATGTCGGCCAAGGCCATCGATCGTCAGTTCCGCTGCTTGCTTGAGTAAAGTTTTGAAGTGAAAGGACCCTATAGGTTCTACATCGTCGTCATCTTGAAGATGCTCGGACCTCCTCAACCCCAAACTGTCTATGCTCAACACTCAGGGGGACGATGAATGTCCGTGCACTGCTCTGATATCCAGTTGCCCCAAACCTGCTCGTATACCATCTCACAGCATCTCCCAAAATCGTAGCAAACAACAATCTTACCCGACGAGCAGTTGAAGGGCAACACGATGTCAACACAAACCTCACTCGCACCGTCTCCCACGCCTACGACGCATCCCTCACGGACTCCTTCTCGGTCGGGAAAACTCCAGACTATCACGCCCGAGCAGTTACCGGCCAGTCTTGACTTGGGTATTACATTGGGATTGCAGACATTGCGGCTTGGCGAAGGAATGGAGTTTCGGCGTTCGGCGTCACCTGGCCATGTGGGTGGGTTTGGAAGTCATTTGTCGGCGTTCAACTCGGAGGATAGTGGGGTGTTACTACACGGACAAGGACAAGCCCAACAACTTGAGATGGGTGAGGGTCAGCAGCAGAGACCGGGTGCGAAGAGACAGTTGAGTATTCAGAGTCTTGCTGGGCGACATGGAGAGGGCGGGCGGATGTCGAAAGGGCTGTGGTTGACTGGGTATGTTCCTTATGAAAAGATTTATTCCGTTTACTGGGCACTTACAAAAAGAGAAGATTAATTCTGACGACTCGGATATGTCCTACGAAACCTCCCCGGCTACATATACGGCCCCATCGAGTGAAGCTGGTGAAAGGATGGATGTGGAACAGGAATATGGGTCAGACGATGAGGATAAGGAGAATATGATTGAGTGAAACAATTCTCCGATGTTACTTCAGCTTGAGATCTCAGTTGGTGGATCCTTTATAAACAGCTTCTGGCTACAAAACCGAATTTTCGTCATGACTTGAACTTTCACACGTGCGGGGCTCATGGATTCGCCGGGATCAGCAAAAAGTTGTAGACCCCGAGAACAAAAACCCTTAGTACTCGACGACTAAAGGTCTAGGATTGATGGTTGAAGTCGATCCTGAGCCAGGTCAACGGATCACGTACAGGTAAACACCAAACCCTTGGTGTTTGACAGCTGGTGATGGTCGACGTCAAGAGGGAAGCGTGTCTACTGGTTCCGATGAGCGCCTATAATACGGCCTCATTTGGGTGACGTCTGGTGCTTTGTGCGCTCTGAGAGATGGGTGTGTGCGGCATGCACCGTGAGGTCATACCGTGCAAGAGTCCGAGGACGGGTATTCGGAACAGCCGGCAAAACGAGCTTTTCCATTCTCTTCTAGCAGAAACGTTTTCCCTTCGAAACCTTGCTCTTTTCTCGGTTGTCGGCATCTTCGCTGATTGGAGCGCGCACACCAGCAATCCCCAGTCGACAGCAGGCAGCAGGCAGCTCAGCCTCAACACCCAGCGACTGTGGAGGTGAAATAATACCGCCCTCTCATCCCCGTCCCATCGCATTCCCATCACAGGACAACGACCTCTACGAACTACGAACAAGGAGATGAGAACATAGTTGAGGAGTTTGTGATTCAAACTTTCCTCTAGCTGGTGATCGCCTCACGTTAACGCAAAAACGAATCGGAGTACTTTCTATCTTATCTTATTCGACGACGCTCGATCGACTCATCGCACGGCAACGCTGGCGATCAACCGTTTTTTTGGGTTGACTTCGTAAAAGTCAAGTCATGCTTTCAACTGCTCCTACTCATCCGCCGCTGTATCATTCATCGTCATATACCTCAATGCCTTCTTCGCAAGAACAGTCGCAGTCGCCCTACCTCACTCCGGGTTCGAAAACCCCTGCTCAAGATATTAATACGAACGGCAACGCAAACGGATCGCGTACATCGATAGGTGATTCGTATTTTGAGGTCAGAGGGAGTGTACCCGGCCCTACCGAGGAACTGAGAGATCGCTTTGGATCTTCGGTTGGGAGTGCTTCGGGCGCATACATGCCTACTCCCACCACCGTTCATCCTCAGTCTCAACAGCAGCAACAACAGTCGCCTTCATCGAGGACGCATACACCTCTAACCGACGTTGCCGCCCACATTCCCGCCCACCAATCCCCAAAGCAGGCGTATCTCGGTTCGCCCCATGGCTCACCTCATGGACGGTCTCCGCCTAGGGCTGTTAAGCCTATGATGCGTATCGGATCCTCCTCCTCTTCTGGTTCGAATGGATCTGGATCGACAATGGAGGCTCCGCCGACTTCGCGTGGTGCTCTTACGCCTGTTGACGAGACCCAACCTGTCGAGTTCCCGCCTCCGCCGAGGGCTTCCACGGAGCCATTCCATGTCGGTGCCACAAACAGGAGCTTGGGCGCGCACAGTCGCCCACCCCCTGTTGTGGTGCCTTCGACCACTGATCTCAAGGCCGCTGGTGGAGCCCAGGCGTCACCGGTGGAGCAGAAGAGGGGTTTGATGTCGAGGTTGTTCCACCGTAGTTCGAGTTTGACGCATTTACACAAGGCCAAGAAGGGCTCCCGTACGCCTTCTACCGGTAGTGTGACTGCGGTCGCGGGAAGCGCGAATGGTACAGGTGTTCATACTCCCCCGAGTGCGGAGGGTACGCCGCCGCATAGCCCGCATAATCACCACTACCATCTTCACCTCTCTGGCCATAGCAAAGAAGAGAAGGGGAAGAAAGAGAAGGAAATTCCGACGTCTGCGCCGAAGGCTGTGCCGAGTTCGCAGGCGCCGGTTTATGGACCTGGTGCGCCGTTTTCTACGTCTGCGCCTATTCGACAGGGAAGTTTCTTGAAGTTTGTTAATGGGACAAAGGACCCGAAGCCCGCTCCTGAAGTTGGAAAGTTGCCGCGCAGGAATTCGCCCCCGGTTTCGGCTGCTGAGAAGAAGAAGTCGATGTTTGGATCTGGAAAGCAGCATCCCGGCAGCAAGGTCATCGCACCTCGTCGTTCGTTTTCGATGGATATCGGTACAACGCGCGAGGAGGAGCCGACGAAGACTGCGGAACTTGGTTCTGGCTCGAAGGTGATGAAGTTGCGTCGTGGCGCGACTGTTGACTTTGGTGAGGAACCACTCGTCTGCGAGCCTTTTGAGAAGAAGTACAAGGATTACAACTCTGGGTTCATGAAGTCTTCTGTCATCGGGACTGGTGCGACGGCGTTCGTCAAGATCGTGTGTGGACGGGATAACGGACAACTGTACGCCATGAAATCCTTCCGACCCCCGAATAAGGGTGAGGATCATAAGGAGTACGTCTCGAAGCTCGCCTCTGAGTTCCATGTTGCGAAGGAGCTGCAGCATGTTAACGTCATCTCTACGCTTGAAATGGTCTTGGATCACGGAAAGACGTATTGTGAGGTCATGGAGTTTTGCTCCGGAGGTGACCTCTTCTCGATCATTCAGAAGGGCTTTATGGGCACCGCTGAGAAGAATTGTGTTTTTAAACAGTTGTTGAGGGCCGTTGCGTACTTGCATTCGCAGGGTGTTGCGCATCGCGATATCAAGCCTGAGAATTTGTTGCTTACGAGCGACGGTGTATTGAAGCTTTGTGACTTTGGAGTGAGCGATGTTGTCGGCGTCAAGGAGGATGTCGAATACCTCGCCCCCGAACGTCACTGTCGTGGGATGTGTGGGTCCGAACCATTCATCGCCCCCGAGGTCTTTAAGGACAAGTCTTCGTATGATGGGTTCAAGCTCGATGTTTGGTCTTGTGGTGTGGTTTACTACTGTCTCTTCCACGGTGGCCACCCCTTCCATCAGGCCGATCCGTCGGACGTGATGTATGCTCGCTACGTCAGCACCCTCAACAAAGCCAATCCGGCCGAGTTGGAGGACCCGCTTGGCAAATGCTTCAAGCCCTTCGATTGTATGCCTGGGTTGACGAAGATGTTGATGTATAAGATGATGTGTCCGGATCCGGAGAAGAGGTGTACCTCTGCTGAGGCGTTGTTGGACAAGTGGGTGAGGAATGTGGAGTGTTGTGTGCTTTTGCCTGAGGAGCGGGAGAAGTTGGGGAGGGTTGATGTTGCGAACTGTAAGGGGAACCTGAAGGTTGCCAAGATGCACAGGCATTTAGCCGACTAAAGGGTATCTGGGGCGGTGGCAGGTGGTAGTGTTACGATATGACTGATGTGTGAAGCTAGTCTTCTATTACCGTTTTGTTACTTTCTGCTTGTCTTTATTTTGCTTACGGGGCTTCGTTCTCTTTATTGTTGGTGGTGTACGGTTTCCCTCTTTGTCATATTATAGACGGGTGTCTGATGGTACTGTTTACTGTTTACTGGGCGCTGGTTCTGCTTCCGTATAGCTATCGCCAAAAATTGTTGACGAGCTGAATATATCCTTTGCAAAATGTGCGAGGGGAACTCATTTCATGTTAGCTTGTGATATTACCCATCCTAGGCTACACCAGCTGTGACTATACAGCCATCAATCACATAATACAAGTCCATCGTAATGACTGTTGAGGTTGCTTCAGAGACAGCGTAGAGTACTTGACTCTCAAAACAGTAGTCGAAATACCGGTCCCCTTAATAAACCGTGAACAGATGACAAACGGCTCGGAATCATGACATGAATAAGGAACTGCGGGTCTCCTAATTGATGAGGCTGACGTACAAGCTGATAGTACGTTCAGGTCGAATGGTAGATCCGTCAAGTTCCGTCAATCCTCTTCTTCCTGCTTCGCTTGGACGAAGTGGCGGACGCATCGCCCGACATAATCTTGGAGAGAGCAGCGCCAGTAATTGGCGTAACACCCCTAGCCTTAGCAATGACGCGCATGTTCCTGTCTCCGGTGACCAGGACAGCTTTCTCCACTTCATCATTCGTAGGTCCCACCGCCAGCTGGGCACGCACAGCATCGATGATACGGTCATCAAGTGTCTTACGTCGTTCTTCCGTGGTAGCGTAACCTTCATCAAGCTGCTCCGAGCGGAAGGACAAATTTGTCAAAGCATTGCCTCTAGCAGTAAGGACTTTAAGCTGCCAGGCCGCCAGAGCTGCCTCGATTGTGTGGATCGCGTCCCGTGCGGCATCGCCCAACGGCGGTGGGTTGTTCTTCAGACCGTCAAGCTCGGTGATGACAACCAGCGGAACAATAATCGTCCAATTTCCGGTCTGTAGAGCAAGCTTGAACAGGTCCAAGTTCGAGACAAGTAAGTTTGTGTCAAAGATCAACTTAGTTTGCCCCGGCTTCACCACAACATCTTTATCTTGACCGATGGTGTTCGTAGTTGCCGCAGCACGATCGCGCACGGGCTTCCTCTGCTCAGAAAGCATCGCCTTGAGTTCGCGGCGACGCTGCTTAAGTTCCCTAAGCTCTTCGCTCTCGGCTTCCGCGTTGAGTTCTTCGTCGCTCTCCTGCCCGTCAGCATCGAAAAAATAGTCGTCGTCATCCGAGACATCTTCGGCAGACGTCGTACGATCTCGAAAAGATTCGAGAGTCGCGGCTTCGGCAAGAACTTGCTTTCTCAGAAGGAATGTCTCGGAGACAGAGAACTCACGCTTCTCGGGATGATACTGAAGAGCATCCACAACACGACAGAGCCTCAGGGCAAGCCATGCGATGCGCTCGGTTCTATATGCCTCAGCGTCGTCGTCGTCATCAAGGCAGCGTTCTTCGACATCATGCTCGTCTTCGAAGTCATTGAACCACTCGGAAGGAAACATTTTTCTCGACCAGTCCATGCCCCTCATCACCCAGTCTTCAGCAAGAGGCGTGCCTGCTCCCTGCGGGAACTCTGCGCCCACAACACCTTCATCCTCCACGGCCTGCATAGCGTCAGTCAAGAAGTAGGCGATAGCCTCCCATGGAAGTTTGTCTTCCAATGCAGATGCGACGGTGTGGTACGAAAGTACGTGCGTAAAAAAGGTCAACATCACATGCACGTGGGGGTAAACATCGGAGGTTCCCGTAGTGAGCGCAAGGGTTAGAACAGAGACCAAAAGCTGGGTTGCTTTTTGGAACACAATTTCATTGACAGTTGTATTTTCGTCCTGCTCAGCAATTGCAAGCTTCTTGAACGCGCTGGATGGACTGCCTTGGTCGTTTCCGAAAGGCGCAAGATGCTCTTGGTTCTCATTATCCGCAGCAGTAAGGGTTGGAAGAACGACTTCGTCGCTACCGGGAAGATCATGTGCCACGGCTGATATTTCGATCTCCGTTTCCCTCTCCTTCCGTCCTTCCTTGACCAACCGGCGCAGTACAGAATCGCGCTTGCCGTACTGGAACAAAGCAGCAATGTTCGCAATTGCCATCTTGGTACCATCGGGTTGCCAAGTCTGGTGTTCATCGAGCAAAGCGACAAGATCGTCCACCGCAAGCTCGAAGTCGTCCAACTGAACGCTCCCGAACAGCATGCGGTGCAAATCACTGAACTTAGCTGACGCTGGTTGATCGTCCAAGCTATTGTCCATCTGCATTTGGACGTACTCCGGGTTGAAAAGGGCGAGCATAGACTCTCTCGAACTAGAGAAGGGATGTGCTACAATAAGACTTGGTGCTGTTAGCATTAGTGCGTGAAGGACATTAAGATATGCGCATTACCTTCTGGAATAGTAGAACAATTGTTCCATACGGCTTCCCTCTCCAGGCGGAACCAAGACAGCCAGGTGATGATAGAGCCGCCCAACAGCTGGTTCCTTTTTGCTTGCTCTGTAATACCACATGCGTGCAACACCACGCCAAGTCTCGCGATCTTCCTCAACATTCTCTTCGATAGCCATTCTGTATCGGGCCAAATCACCGAGGCACTCCAACCACGTATTCCGGAAGATAGGAATAGTCTCCAGGAGTGTCGTCATGAGATCGTACGCAAAGTACAGGAAACTGAGCATGTGCTCAAGCAAGGCTGGTAAGCGGTGACGGAAGAGCTCTAGAAGGGACAAGATTGCATGACGCCAAAGCCTGCCAGGAATAGCATGCTTACTCGCCAACCTTCTGATCGAAACACCAGCAGCCGGATGTTGGCTAGTAGATAGGAAAGCGTAGTATACGTGAGCTAAACTTGTGTGAGCCGCAGCCAACGCCTGCCATTTAGCGTGATCCACCTGGGCAGTTTCTTCGTCGCCCTCGAAGTCCTCTCGAAGTCGCTTGGCATCTTCAGCTATAACATGACCTTCAAGCTTACTGAGCTCATCATGAACTTCGCGGATGGTGGTGACCATCTGATCGTGAGTAAAGGTATATGACTGAGCTCGTTTGACCACGGACTCATCGCCGTTGTGCAGATTTTGGTCAACGTCATCCGATTTTCGAAGCGTACCATCGGATTTCTTCAACAGAAATATTTTCCCGCCCTCTCGGTTTGTATCGCTGTTCGCTACCATATGCTGAAGAAGTCCAGAGGACGTAGAATTGGTTCCAGGGCGGGTCGTTTCCGGATCCCACAATCTTGAGTCCTTCCTTTCCACTTTCTTCCTCTCAGACCGGGAGCGTTCTTTGCCACTCCCCTCCCTGCTCTTGTCTCCTCTCTTACGGCTACTTCCTTTCCTCCCTAATTTGTCCTCTTGCGTAGCTGGTTGCTCCACAGCGTGTGCACGCTTCATCATGGGGACCGCGTCAGTACTGGGATTGAACAGCTTCCCGATAGGTTTGGTAGCAGGAGTTGGTCGTTTGGTGTCCAGTGTAGCGAGCGCACCTGGGTCTTGCGCGGAGTTCACGTCGTTCAACAGGATCGGAAGCGACCGGTCAAAATCAGGGTCGACCGGCGCAAGCTGCCGTTGCCTTGATGGAATATGACGATCTTGGTTGCGGGGCTTCGTGGACAAGTGGGCACGAAAACCGGGCGGCGCGAACGGAAGGGCCACCGCACCACGGTTTCGTGCGCTGCGCATTGCAGAAGGACCCTGATGTACCGGCCGTCCTGTATCTTCCTTCTGATTCCCGGTCATCTGTGCTGTGCCTGTCCCCGTGGGCTCTGCCGAGACCTTCAAGTCCTGCTGTGCCGTCGCTCCAGAACTTCCACCAGTGCTTGGCCGGGGTGGATCGGCGAGTTGTTTGCGCTCATTGGAACGTCGATGAGTAGCCCGCTGAGCTTTCACTATTGCATTAGATATTTCCATCGGCGCGAGGTAGCCGTGCCAGCCTCGTTAGGGCTTATGATATGTCAACTGGGACCGATTGCGACGATGAGGAACGATAATCATGCGGCACACGAGCGACGAGCGTGACAAAACTTGTAAGAGCGAGTCTCCGTAACGTTCTGAACCTTGATCCTTGAAGAACGGGTTCCAGATCTGGTGGATCCCTGTCGGCCTCCTCGATAGTTTTGCTCGGAATTGTACGGCGTTTGGGTACTCCTAGGCCTGGCCCTGACCCCTGAATGGTTCCGCACTGAGTACTTTGAATCTCGGGCAAAAATCCAACACCCAGAGAATCAACAGCACCGGCGACCAACGTCTAGAGCCTGGCAACCGATACAATACCCTTTCGCTCTATCATTTATCACGGCATCCGCGGTATGAGTCAGTAGTGTTCTTCTTTCACTCTAAGCGAGGCGACCGCGATGTGCAGATGTCACTGATTTCGCTGTTTACTATTGGGAAAATGTTCATCCCGGCACAACAAATACGATACTACGTCAATCCTGTTCGTCTAGGAGAACACGGACCAAGCTTTGTGAAGGCACGGGCGCCTCCAGAGCGGCCAAAGGAGGCCACGGCTGACACGAAAGATGGCACCGACAATATCCCACCCTGGGCGCTACCCTTCGCCTCTTCTCGGATTGATGATGTAGTTTGTGCGTCAAATGCTACCTGGAGCTACGATATACCTCCATCTACGGCACAGAACGATGTACAGAAAGGAATCGAAGAAGACGAACCCCTCTCGGCCTGGTTACCACCCGTCCCATCTTCTCATAGAGACGACGCGGTATGCGTGTCGAATGCTACGTTGAGTGACGATATCTCATCGTCTGCCACATCTGAAGTATGGCCGACATCTCGACCAGAGCTAGGTCCTGTATCCAGAGTTGCGACTTTGTGGCAGAATCTGGCTAAAAGAAGGGATGGCTCCCGCGATTATGATCACGAGAACATCGACCATTTGTGGCATGTACGCGACATTGCTGAAGATAGTGAAGCGTCAAATCGTTATACGACTGAAATGATAGTCAGCAAAATAGGCTCCTTGTACAGGAGGGGCCAGGTCTCGATGATTCCGGCGCTTTTTGAGGAGTATTTGCAGGAATGGAAGGGAGTGCCTGACACTCACGTGGTAATGAAAGTTATCAATTCACGTATGCGGCTTGGAGACACACACTCGCTTGGAGAATTCGTGTTGCGTTTGGTGGACAGAGGTTTCATCCCGGGTACTGGGGTTTATAATTTGCTCTTGAAGACGCTGATTAAGAACCACAATATGCTTGCTGCGTTGGAGTTCCTGAGGGTGGTTATGATTCCGATGGGTTACGAGGATGAGCGGACCTATCAATTGCTCATGAGAGGCTACTTGCAGCTTCCAATAGGTGCAAAAGCTTCTAGGAAAGTTCAGGATGTGTTCAACTCTATGCAGAGGGCAGGAATTGGTATCATTCCAAGCGTTACTACATACAATATCTTGTGTGCAGCGTACTTTCGTGATGGGGATGAAGAAAATGCAAGAAAGGTGCTGCGCGATATGACCTCAAGAGGCATTCAACCTAACGTCCGCACGTATGCCATTTTGATCCAGGCCGAAGCGACCCTGGGTCGCTGGGAGGAGGCGAAGAAAACATTTCGCACGCTTGATGCCATGGGAATTTCTGGGAGTATGCATGTTGAAACCTACAATTCCTTACTGAAAGCACCGCGGCAACTTTTGCAGGATGCGGAGTTCACCGAAATCTACGAAGATATGAAAAAGCGCGGAGTTGAACCCAATATGAACACAATGATCATACGTCTCAAGCGGTTGCTTTGCCTCCGTGATATGGACGGCGTGGAGGCTTTGTTCAAGGAAATGACCGACATGAACCTGCAGTCTGCCCAAAATCAGCGGTCTCTTTCTGAGATGTTCACTCGGTTATTGCTTCATGTCTCGAAACCCGGGACGGAGACTGCCTTCGTCGAAACATTACAGCTTTACGAGGGGATTGGCGAGGAGAGTAGGCATCTTATCGACCATGTGGGGCAGAACATTGTGCTTGATTGTATACGACGTCTGCGAGGAGATAGGAGAAGAAGGCCTTTCGACGTCCCTCAACGATGGGCAACAACAATGTTGCGCCTCGACTACAGTTTGCAGTTCCGATCACTGTTCTTGCATGGCTCATATTACCAAGTTCTCAAACTGTATGAAGAGCTTCTCAGTTGGAATGTCCCTTTAACAATGGGGGTGGTTCAGATCTTGGTTCAGGGATTTCTGAGAATGGGGCGTGAAGATATTGCTCTGGACATTGTCAAGAAAAACCAACCGGCGACTCATTTGGATTCTGTTGTTCTTCGATGCATCATGATATCGGAGTTCGTGAACGGGAAAACGTACCCTTCCGAGGAGGACCAAACGCTCTTCGTCCGGAACCTTGACAAAATCCTTGCTGACACGAATCTTGTTACGTATACCGCGGTTGCCAGCACTCTGCTGAAGATGGGCCAAGCGAAAATGGCTCTTGACGTATTGCATCGCCATCGGAAGGAATATCCCGATGAGAAGTGGGACCTTGCGGCATATGCGGTTCTTAGCAAAGCATACCGAGCTATGTATGACTTTGAGGGTATGTTAGGGGTTGCTGCAGCAGTGCTGAATACTGATATCAAACCGAACGGTCAATTTATCCGTAATCTCAAAGGCGACCTTTCCAAGGCTACGGGAACCATGGATATTGCAACGTTAGAGAGTACCCTTGCTAAGGTTCGGGCAGCACTTGATGAACGCCGGAACCAGTTGGATGACACGTTAACGCAACGCATGGACGCGGACTTGAAGAAGTTAGCGGTGGGCAGACGCGGGTCCGCCCCTAAAATACCTTCCTGAAGGATTAATATCCGGCAAACACTTGACGCACGCAGGAAGAAACTGGGGGTTTTGGGACCCAGGTTTTGCTACCCAGGTCCTCTGAACCAAGGATAGCGTCAGCATTCAAAAGTACGGCGCGGGGGTCCGCCTGCATCAGCGGAGACATTGAGATGGTAGATGTGTGCAAACGGGTTTATTACGTTTTGAGGTTGGGATCATGTGGCGTTTTCGGGTTTCTCATTACCATTGCAATTGCCATTGCAATTGTACCTAAGTCTTCTTCAGTTTCAGGCATATTTTTTGGTAACTGTAAGACATAACATGACAGCTTGCATAAGATATATGTGGTATATTCTGGACCGACGTCTAATAACCCTTCTCCCTGGAAAACAGGTTAACCACTTCCTTCCCATCCTTCAAGCGACGGAGATTCTCAACCGTGATGTCAACAACTCTCTCGTCGTACGCGTTACTTGCACCACTCACATGCGGTGTCAGAATCACATTGTCCAATTTGTAGAGCTCGCTGTCCGACGGAAGTGGTTCAGGCTGAGTTACGTCTAAGGCCGCACCACCAATCGTCTTCTCTTTCAATGCGTTGATGAGTGCATCTTGATCCACGACATCACCACGTGCGACGTTAACAAGGAGCGCGTCTGACTTCATCGCCTCGAGCTCCTTGGTGGATATCATGTGTTTTGTCTTTTCCGTTAGGGGAACAGCGAGGACAACAATATCGCATTCGCTGAGGAATTCATTCAACTGATCCGCTGAGTACCACTTTTCGGGGATATCGCCTTCAGGGTCGCCAGTCCCCGGCGGGACGTAACCCGTGTCAGCACTTTTCTTGCCTGAGCCTGTAAGTGCCAATACCCGAACTCCAAACGCCGCCGCCAACCTCGCAGTATTCCGACCAATGGATCCATACCCCGCGATCCCCATCGTCCTCTTGTATACCTCCCTCGTCGTCCGGAGCATCGTCATCCTCTCCGGTGGTTCGGGCCACCGCGATTCGTTTTTGAGAGCGATGGAGTGAGGGAAGAGGTGGTAGTGTGCCAGGGTTGTCATGAGGACCCATTCACCGATTTGGGGACCGTGGACGCCGGAGGCGGTGGTGATCTTGATGGTGGTGCCGGTACAGATGGGGCGATGGGCAATTTGGTTTGCGCCGGCGGAGTAGAGTTGGACTATATCACCAGATCAGTATGGGACAGAGCGGGAAGAGAGGGGGGCGGAAGGGACGGACTCCATTTGAGATTTGGGGCTTGAGAGGGTTCTGGGAAGGTGAAGAGTGTTAGAAGGACAGTTGTCTCCTTCCAGACTTCCGCGGGGATTTCCTTGGAGTGCTGGCCTGGAGCAGCGTCGGGATAGGAATGGACGGTCAAGTCTGGATAGGCATGGCGGAGACGGTCGATGAGGTCGTCTGAGAAGGGACGAGTGATGAGGAGAACTTCTTGTGAGGCCGTCATTGTATGGATACTGATCAAGGTCGATGGGATCCGTTGCTTTGCGGGGAGAGAGCCTGTAACCGCAGCATCCGAGATCAACGACGTCAACGTCAACCAGCCGCCGAGCAAGCGGTAGAAATAGCCGACATGGTTGACCTGATGATGCCGTGCCGAGCTGCCAGTACATAATTGAACTCTCCAAGCCATCGACCTTCCCTTCACCCAACGGTAGGACCTCACGTGACCCGTATACGTCCTTCGCCCCGCGGGGGTGAACCCATCAATTGCAACCTCCTTCGCTGTAGCAGTTCACAATGTCCGACGAAGCACCGGCACCTATTGTCTCCTTCAAAAAACGCTCGAACAACCGCAACACAATCCGGAAACGCCCTGCATCCCCACCACCAGCTCCCAAGGAGGAGTCTTCGGACGATGAATTCATTTCTGACGATTCAGGGGACGAGGAAAGGGATCCAGCAATGCCGAGGGTGAAGAAGGTTAAGAGGAGTGGTGGGATCAGGGAGGGGACGCGGAGGGAGAGGAAGGTCGAGAAGGAGGATGTTGGGGTGACGTACGAGGGTGATCGGAGTAAGACGGTGACGAAGACCAACGACGCGACACGGGAGAATACGGAGTCAGCTCTTGATGCGGAATACCTTCTGGGCAAGAAAGCCGCGGCACTACCACCGACAGACACAGAAGACGGCCTCTATCGCGGCCAAGCAAGCTACAAACCCCTCATCACCCCAAATCCCGACCGAGCCACCTCAAAATTCACAGCCAAAGGCCCCATCAAAGCACCGACGAATATCCGAACAGTCACGGTAATCGATTACCAACCAGACGTCTGCAAGGATTATAAGCAGACGGGGTTCTGCGGGTACGGTGATTCGTGTAAATTCTTGCATGATCGGGGTGATTATAAAGCCGGGTGGCAATTGGATCGGGAGTGGGAGGATGTGCAGAAGAAGAAGAAAGCCGGAGGCGAAGCTGATACTACCTCCGACGACAAGAAGAAGGAGGAAGAGGACGGAGAGGAGATTCCGTTCGTGTGTCTCATTTGTCGGAAAGACTATAAAACCCCGATCGTGACGAAGTGTGGGCATTATTTTTGTGAGGGATGTGCGTTGCAGCGGTATAGGAAGAATGTGACGTGTTTACAGTGTGGAGCGGGGACGCAGGGGATCTTCAATGTTGCGAAGGGCTTTAAGAAGAAGTTGGAGGAGAGGAGGAGGAGGCAGGAGGAGCGTGAGCGGGGGGAGCCTGGGCATGGGGAGGAGGGTGCTGGTGGGGTGGAGATTGAGTTTAGCGGTGGTCCTGAATGAGAAATGGAAGAGGCAGATTGGTAGGAATACCATTCGATTACCTATATTATGTTCAGTGACTCTGCCTTTCGAGGTCATCGACCCTCGCGATTGAAAATAAAGAAATAACGCCAGCCCAAAACCCAAAATTGGTCCAATAAGAATGAAGCTCCGTACTCGCCCGTTGATAATGCGTACACTCATGGCCATCATCCATTGCATCCTACACCTCACTACTTCTCCTTAATAAAATCCGGATCGAATCCATAGATGGGTCGTCCGCGGCGTTTAAGAGCATAGATAACGTCTTTCACCACCACTGTCTTGCGGTTTGCGTGTTCGAGAAACGCGCAACAGTCATGAAGGACACCCTGGAGGAAGTCGCGCATGGCTCCACGAACCTCGCCGTAAATCCCAGCACTGATACGCTTTACACCGCCACGGCGGGCGAGGCGCCTGATGTCAGGCTTGGTAATACCTATCCATCCTTGAGTTAGCAGCTGCTCCCATCCCTTCCTTCATTGGAGCCACGGTGAGAGTGTACCCATGATGTTGTCGCGCAGAATTCTGCGGTGACGCTTCTGAACGACGCATTTACCGCCGTTCTTGCCGAGGCCTTTGCCTCCCTTTCCTCCTCCGGGAGCCATTGTCGGTGTGGTGGGGAGGTTTGCGGGGTGGATGTGGGATAAGGATGGTGTATGGGATGGATGTATGGGTGACCTGCAGGCGGTTATGTCAGATGGCTATATGGCCATGCTCTGAAAAGTCTGGATTAAGTAACATAACATAATATGATTCTGATTTTGCTTCCTTTGCCTTCCATCATGCTTCATCTCATTGGACCCTGAACGTGCACAGTCCCGGCCGCGATACATTGTTTACGTGCCCCTGAATTGGGATATACGTCTCCAGCGGTAAACAGAGAGCAGCTCACATCAACAAAGCGCCTGGCCAGGCAGAGAGAAACGAAGTAGAACAGCTGAGCAACGTTCGCCAGTTACCTACGCTCTCTTGCTGCCGCGTATCCATCTACAGCTCACGTCGCCATCTTTCGGTCGCTATTACAGTGGACTACGCTCTTTTGTCCCGCACGACGTAATCGAAGATTAGAAAAGAGCATATATTATACACAATCATGGCCGACGACCCGGCTACTCCAAATAGGTCCGCGTTTGCGTTGAAACCAGCGCTACAACCACGACAAACACCAGCAGCCATGTCTGTCGACACCCCAAGCTCAGCCATATCGACTGCTTCAACAATGTACAATGACTCTCCTTCTGTGGTTAAGTCAAAACTCGAATCTAAACATGCCGAGATTATCGAGCAGCTAAATGCGGCGGGTATGCTCGGCATCAAGTTGACGCAACAAAAGCAGAAGTATGAGGAGCGCATCAAGCAACTGGAGGAGGAGAAGGGTGAGAGGCTGAGTCCAGAAGCTCAAGCGCAGCTGGAGGAGTTGGCGAGGGAAGCCGCGGAAGCTGAGCGTGAGACCAGACGGCTGCTGAGTGGTTCATTGCGAGACAAGGAGAATGAATCGCCTACACGCAAGAGCCTGTTCGCTTCGCAAGGAACGGTATCGCCAAGCAAGAACGCACTTCACCCACGGGGTCGCCGCTCCAATCGTGACTCCAAGATTGTTCGACCCAACGACATCGAATTTGCAGCAGAACTTGGCCAGAACATGATTGAGGAGATTCGACGGCTCAATGCTGCGCTTGCTGAGCGGAATGAGGAGCTTCAGGAGTTCAAGTCTCGGAATATGGATATGGAGAATATGGTGGCAGAGTTACAATCAGGTGTGCAGAGATTACGGAGCGAGAAGCATGATGATGAGGAGAAGATCTGGGATTTGGGTGTTCAGGTGCAGACACAGACCGACGAACTCCAGAAGACACAGGAAAAGATTGAGAGACTGGAGGCTGAGACCGCTCGTTCTGCACGTGAGAGAGAGGAGAAGAACCAGGCCATCGACCAGTTACAACAACGTGAGGAAGAGCTCGCCCGGGAGAAGGAGGACGTGAAGGCCAAGCATGAGCTTGAACTCGCCAATCTTCAGAAACGGGAAGCTTTCTTGAGGGAAGACAACGAAAACCTCGAACGACACCTTCAGGAACTCCGCGTGGAACTCGAATCTCGACCGACGCCATCGAAGGCTATGTCTGTGGAGGAGGTGGAGTTCGAGGCCTTCGATGACGATAACTTCTTCATGGATAACGCCGTGGACGAGTACGGTCCTATGGGAAGCCCTGTAAAGGGCACGCCCAGCAGAAATGCCACTATGGAGTCCGAGACCGCAAGAGCCAGCTTGGCACATGCCTATCGTATGCTTAAGTCTCAAAGGATCAAGATGAACCAGGAGAGGGCTGAGAAGGCTGAGCTGAGAAGGCGAATTGCAGAGCTAGAGGGCGAGACTGACACTGCAAACCGTAGGGCTAAGAAGGCTAAGGCTACGCCAGCTGCTGGAAAGCACAAGAAGGGTCTCAGTAAGTCCGCCGCTGACTTGCTCGGAGATAACAGGCGTCCTAGAAGTGAGGTTCTGTCTATGAGTTCGGAGTTTGACGACTCTCAGGAGTGGGATGATGCCGAAGAGGAGGAGCATCTCGTCGATTCCGACGGGTTCAAGATTCCTAGACTCAACCGAAGCACTGCGCCAAGGTTTGCACCACCTGCTCAGCCGCCGTTTGCTCCCAGCGTTCGATATTCGACCGCATCAGAATTCGAGACCGATGCGTACCAGACTGCGAACGATGCCTCTGAGGTGGATGATGGTATGGCTACAGAGACCGATGCGTACAGGACTGGTGCTGAGAGTATCATGAACTCAGAGGAGGAAGAGGGCGAAGTTACTGAAACTGATGCTAACTCGCCCAAGCGCATGGACAAGCCTAGCCCCAACGCATACCTTGACTCAGACTACTTGCCTGCTCAATCGTCGAGCGACAAGGTCCCTGATGATCACTACGCAAGTGAGGATTCTGAGCCTCCCAGTCCTACAGTGGGCAGCGCTAGGAAGTACGGTGGTCTTGGAAGTGGCAGACGTGTACCGAGTGGAGGGCAGTCTGGATTCCGAGGCGGTATGTGGAACAAGAGGATTGATTCGCAGAACTTTGCAAGGTCTACACCGAAGGCATTGTTTGACGAACTTGCTGGCGACGATGGGTCCCCAGGAGCTGGTAGAGGCATGAGGCAATCCGGAAGTATGGCTACGATCGTGCCGGAGGACAGTGTTGTGCGTCCTGCGGAGGAGATTGCGGCGCTTGAGACCAAGAGCAAGGAGCTCGAGCAGTTGTTGGTCGAGCATGCCGAGCTGGAGGCCAAGTTGAAGGAAGTTGAGCACACTGTCGCGGAAACTACGAAACAGCGCGGTGAATTGCAGGCACAGCTGGGAGAGATGGAGGCTAAGGCTGCTGAGTCGGCGAAGTTATCTGTGGTCCATACGGAGCTTGAGGAGAAGTTCAAGAATGTCGAGGTTCAACGCACCGCCGCCGAGAACAAGCTTGCCGAACTGCAAAAGACTGTCCAGGACTCTGACACACGAGCGAACGAGGCTGTCAATGAGTTGGCACGTACCAAGGAAGCTCTTCACAGCGAGATTGCTGCCCTGCGGAAGACGCTGGCGGAGCAGACCGGCGTCTCCCAGGCTTTGCAGGAAGAGGTGAACACTAGAAGGGACGAGATTCAGAAGCTCAAGTTGACTCTTAACGATAAGACATCCGCTTTGGATGCTCTCCGCAGCGATGTTACTACAAAGGACGCAAGGCTGAAGGGACTTGCAGAGCAGCTTGCGACTGAACATGCTGTGCTTGCTGCCACCCGTCAACAACTGGTCGATGAGGAGGCTAGAGGAGGAGAGGCTGCACATCGCCTCGAAGCAAGTGAGATCGAGATCCAGCAGAAAGCTTCGGAAATCCAAAGACTCAGTCAAGAACTCAGCGTGCAGCGCGCCGCCGTTGCCACTCTTGAACAAAAGCTCGTGGACGGGGAGCGTAAGGTTGTCGATTCTACGGCGCAATTGGACGCACTCAGCACAGAGCTCGAGTCGGCCAAGAAGGCGCTTGAGGTTAAATCCTTTGCATTGACATCCACGAAGACAGAGCTGCAGAAGCTTCAGTCGGAATCTTCTGGTTTGCGTGAAGAGATGGACAGCCTGAAGCAGACACTTACGTCCTCAGTGACTGAGCTTACCACTCTCAGAGAGCAGCACGGTAATGTAACATCCGCTTTGACCGTCAAGGAGTCCGAACTCTGCACCGTTCGTCAGAATTTACAGGAGAAAACAGACGATGTTGAAAAAACCCTCGCTGATATACTCATTGCCAAGAAGGCGATTGTTAGTCTTCAAGAGCAACTGAGCGACGCGAAGGAGAAGGAGGAAGGCTTGGTCAAGGACATTGCGGCTAAGAACACCGATGCTGCTACAACGAATGAACTCGTCTCCTCTCTGCAGGACAAGATCAAGAACGTTGAGGAACAGTTGGCTGAGATTTCTAAGCAGAACGGTGCTCTCCAAGCGGAACTCGCAAAACGCAGAGACGAGTGGGACAGTGTGCAGAGTAATCTTGCTGAGAAGGACGCAAAGCACAAGAATTCGATCGAGGAGAAGGAGTTGGCAATCAACGAGAAAACCAACGAGATTACCAAACTCTCCTCCGAAGTCGCTGCTGCTGCGGTTACGATTGAGGATCTGCGGAAGCAGATTTCGGAAGGCGAGAAGGAAGCTGCTACGCTCGTTAATGAGGTTGAAGTGAAGTCTGCTGAAGCAGAACTTGCGAAAGCCGATCTGCACCAAAAGTCAGGTGAACTCGCGGCTCTGGTCGAACGCGAACAGGTATTGCAGCAACAGCTTGTCGAAGCTAATGAAAGTATCGCTGGTGCCCATGCACAGATCGACACCACGAAGGCTCAAGCACGAGAGGCTGCAGAGCAGGTCTCGCTTGAGCACAATGTAATCTTGAAGCGTGTTAAAGATGAGCATGATGTCCTCGAACAGGCGCTTGCAGAAGCCAAATCTGAGACTGCTACTAGCCGTGCTGGGCTTGAGGCCATCATTGCGAACAAGAACGCACAGTTAGATGCCGCCAAGGTTGTGTCGAGTGAGAACGAGGAGCAAAGGAGGACTTTGGAGACCCTCTACAAGCGTGTGGCAGATGCCGAGAAGGAGGCTACCACGTTGAAAGCTGAGCGTAGCAATGAACTCGTTTCAAGAGCAGAACAAGATTCAGTCATGCAACGTGAGCTTGACACCAGAGCTACGCAAATCGTTAGATTACTCGAGAAGGTGTCGTCACTTACAGCTAGAGTCGTTGAAGGTGAGAGCCTGAAGGCAGATCTTGATGACAGGACTGCTGAGCTCGAAGATGCTCAATCTACCTTGACAGACCTTAGCGAGAAACTGCGTCACACTGCGGGCAGGAACGTGACCATGCGTAAAGAGGTTGAGGCATCCTTGAACGAAGCTAGGGCGAATGCTGAAACAATCTCCGCAAAGCTTCGGGAAACACAAGCCGAGCTGGTTGCTGCTGTTGAGAGTGCCGAGACCTTGCGTCTGGACTTGCAGAGCAAGATCGAGTCCTTGAGTGAGGAGTTGAAGGTGAAATCTATGAGGTTACAGAACGTTCAGGCTGAGCTTGCTGCTTCTGGGGAGAGACATAGTGAGGTTGCCCTTGTACTTGACGATGTCAAATATAAACTCGGAGTCTCACAGGCAGCATATCAGCACGAGCTTTCTCAACTTCAAGCCGCTCTAACCGACAAGTCGAAGCAGCAGAATATCTTGCAAGAAGCGCTTGATCGCAAGGCATCGGAGGTGGAGGGGTTGTCAAAACAGCTTCTCTTGCTCCAGAAAGCTAAGCTGGAGGGCGAACAGGCCGCCGAGCTTACGCAAAGGAAGTTGCAGCGTGAGGTTGAAGCCGCGTCCGAGTGTGAACACCTGCTTAAGGCGGATTTGGACGTTAAGACTGATGAAATCGAGGAATTACAGGCGTCTATCACTGAGCTGAAGTCCATCGTTGATAGCCTGCGAGGTCAGGTGGATGAGGCAACTGCTGCAACCGCTCGTACCGAGGACAAGTTCGAAGCGGCTCGACAGGAGCTTGAAGGTGTTGCCTCGAAAGTCCGAGAGCAGGCGGCCAGTATTGACGCAACATCTGCACAGAGGGCTAAGATCGCGGCGTCGTTGGAAGCGGAACGGAAGCTGAGTGATGGTCTTCGCAAGGAGCTGCTCAACAGTCAGTATAAGATTGATACGTTGACTGGCGATGTCGCTGCTGGTAAAGGTGACACCGCGAAGGTCCGTAGCGAGCTAGTTGCCACGAAGAACGAGCTTGAACGTGCACGTTCAGAAAATCAGTCTTCCATGGAAGCCCTCGAGGAAGCGCGTGTGGAGATTGCTTCCCTCAAAGCCGAGTTGCAGCGTTTGACAGCTCAGCTTCGAGAGTTGCAGGAGTCTGTCATGGCCGCTGCTGCGCGTGAAAGGGATAACTTTGTTTCCGCGCCCGTGACTGACAGCACCTTTGATTCACTGCTGCAGTCAGACACGGATTACCGTCGTCGAGACACAGTTGCAACTTCTGTCAGCTATGGGGGTATGGATGAAGAGGCACCTTCGTCAGTCGTACTTGCCGAGCCTCTGGCGAGAAGACTCGGTTCTGAACATCGTACTGGCGTTGTTGGCTTGCTGGAGCAAGATGCTCAATCGGATTCGGCTGGGAATGCCGCAAGCGAGTCTCTTGGACCTCTTAGGAGATCTCCGCCTTTGCAATCACTGGCCGCCTTTTCGCATGCTCCATTGTCTGTTGAGGCATCGAAGGCCACTTCCCAAGGCGTGGTAGAGCATTCGCCTCCCACAACAGACAACTTGACTCAAACAGACGGCATCCCTTCCACCAGCAACTATCTCTACATTCGCCCCGAGGCACCTACGGCACAGCCGCAATCTATGGGTCCGCCAATGGCTCCTACCAAAGCACCGGATGCCTCGAGATTACGCGCTGCCCGTAGTATGACTGCCGTTCGATCGAACGCTACGGCTACCAGGGAACAGCGCGGCTCGATTAGCAATGCTCACGGACACCGTAGATCCGTTACAGATGATGCGCGATCGCGTAGAACGTCATTGTCCTCGTTCAGATCAGAGCTGGATGAGCGTCTACGATTGCGTGAGGACGATATGCAGGATACCCGACCTAACGGAACAACGGATCCCAAGACGTTGCAAATTTTGATGCAAACCATGATTGGCGAGTATATGTGGAAGTACACTCGAAAGACGTTAGGCCAAGATTTGTCAAACAATAGGCACGCACGCTTCTTCTGGGTGCACCCCTACACGCAAACGCTGCACTGGAGTGACAAGGATCCTCAAAATGCTTCTGGCGAGGAAGTCAAGTCCAAGTCTACGCCAATCGAATCCGTCAGTGTTGTCGTGGACGAGAACCCTTACCCTCCGGGATTGCACCACGAAAGCATTGTGATCACTACTCGCAAGCGATCCATCAAGTTCACTGCACAAACACGGAGCCGTCATGAAGCATGGTACAGCGCGTTGTCTTACCTCATCAACCGTTCTAATAGCGGTGGTATGGAGGGCAATGTACAGGAGGCTGCTCCTGCCTATAGCGAAGATGATGTGCGGGAGTTCAACCCATCCTACAGCAGGCGTGTCCATGGGTCTTTGTCTTCTCGTGGAACAACGACGTTGTCTTCGCCAAGCACGTCAGCAAAGAGTACGCCTCAGCTCCAGCAAAACGCTGTCTTTTCACGGATTAGCAGCATTTTCCGAGCCAATACTCTGAATGCTACACCAACGCAACGCAGCACCGCGCTGGCGACCGAAACCTTCGATGCCAGTGATGCATTTGATAGTGGTGACCACCACCACCATCACCACCACAACCACAACTCAATTAGAGATCGGGGTCAGTTGGAGAACGTGAGGGCGTGTTGCAATGGAAAGCACGATGTAAGCACCTTATCAAGGCGAGGGCGGCATGGCCGTCAAGAGCATACAGTTGTTTGATGTTATAGCTACGGACCGGCGTTATCTGCTTATACTTGAGGGACTAGTTAACTTCGCTGGTCGGGATAATGTAGTAATGATATATTGACTCGATATTGTCATGCCAGTCTGCCCGATTGACAATGGCATATGAGTCAACCAAGTAAACTCCAAACACTGCCGTCTCAATCAAAGTATCGTATACATCAAACGGACTCCACTTTTTTGGCAGCCCTTCCTTGACATCTGCCCCGTCCCTAATCTCACTCAGCAAACTCCCGTGCCACGCAGAGCGCTTAGTACTTGACAGGAGTGTGAGGGTAGTCAAGCTTGATGCCCTCCTCCACCATTCTCTTCTTAGCCTCCTCCATAGCCCATGTCTGAATACTGAGAAGAACATGTCAGCAAAATCCTGCATTCGTGTGAGCGCCGTTGCATACGTAGTGTCAGGCCTGTTGTAGTACAGAATTCCTCCAATGACAAAACAACCACCATAGCCGTAAACCCAGATGTTTTCCCAGTCCTCCTTCTCGCGCTTCTCTCCTGGTTTGAGGCGCTTGTGATATAGTTAGCATTTCGACGCAATGTCGCCAATGGTCATAGATTGACGTACCGGCTCGCCAAAGAGGTTTCCTGATGGCTCATTGAAGGGGAGCTGACCGCCGGATCCATTGCGGACCTGCTGGCCTCTGCGAGCGACACGAGTAAATGGGAGACGGCCCAACGGCAGAGATCGGATGCGAGGCAGCATTGGTTATGATGTCGGGTGATATGGGCGTGTGTGTGTTTGTATGTATCAGTATAGATTTCTTGGAGTTCAGTCCAGCCGGTCTGCTTCATGCAGGCCGATGCAGCTGTCCAGCCGGCCGCGGTGACCATCATGGAGGAGTACGGAAAATACGAAATTCTGATATGAAAGTAAAGTGCTGCCCATTGCAAATCGGACAGTGTGTTTGATGGTTTGTCTTTCATATCCCTATGACTAGAACTCAACCGGTCCTGCGTCCGCATCCACATCCTCATCTTCAACAGAATCCTTCGGTTCTTTTGGTTCTTGTCCCTCGGCCACTGCGTTGTGTCGTCCGCATAACTTAGAATCCTCGCCACACTCTCCTCTTCCGCACTTTCCAGCGGCAAGAAACTGATGCGAGTGATGCATATAAAATGTAAATTTGTGTGAATCTATTGATCACTCGCCTCTCGCTGCAACTGCGTTAACGTCCCTAATGGCATTGCAAGTGCAGATTGAAACCCAGGTGCGCGTTTGAATCTCGACGGCTGTCGAGCAGGTGGTGATCGCGCTGCCTTGGGTTTGGATTTGATCATACCGCCAATCGTCAACGTACTTTTCTTGGACGGACCTGCTGCAAAGAGAGAAGCCATGTCAAAGTCGTCTGACTCAGGCTCTGATATTTCGTCGTCGTCCGGTCGCGGAAGATCTGAAGGTTTGACCTGTTTCGGTAAACGGCCAACCTCCATAATGTCTTGTGTACCGGCTTGTGCTGACAAGCCAGTGATATCCTCTGCATTGCTGAAGTCCAGTTCTTTGGGTGATGTCTGGGCCCGTGGTATCACGGATGCATCCTTTCTCGGTGGTGAAGTTGCGATGGGTGACAATGGCTTCGGTAATGGAGGCACAGTGCGTGCATAGATGTGATCGTCCTTAGGCTCTTCCTTGATGACAACCTGGGTGTCTGGTATCGTCTGTCCCTCGTTCTGCGTGTCGAGGTTGAGCTGCGGGCGATGAAACGTGTTTCGTGAAGGATTATTCTGCGGCCGCCCGCCCGCCGCTATTGCATCCAGCTTCGACCGCATCCTTTGTTGAATGGAAAGAGCATCCTCGAAGGGAGCAGGTTCTGGAAAGGATGGTCCATCTGACACAGGCAGGCTAGTTCCAGCGCTTTTGGCACGCCTATCCTGTATGGGATCTTTTCGCTGCTGATGCCGGTTTGTAGGTGCAGGCCGTCCTCGACATGGCATTGGGGCTTCTCTTGGTAACGCTCCTGTTTTAGGAACACTGTGCAGATTTGGTCTCTGCTCTTCCGTGTCTTCGCGATAATCGTCGAAGAATTCGTCTGGAAGCGAAAGATCGGGGGTTGCGCTCGGCGTGGCCATGCTTCCATGCGCATGTCCAACTAGGCCATTGCCCAGATTATTTTGTTCCAACGAACCTGTACGGGATACCGCACCTGGGGTAGCGTATCTTCTCTGTTGCTGGTATGGCTGCGGTGTTGCGGGTTGCGTTACAGCCGGCCCACGCTGCTGCACCTGCGGTCTTTGAAGAGACATCTGAGCAGGTAGTGCATTTATTGGCTTGGTTGTTGGCGCCCGTAATGGACGAGTTGGAGTTTCGGTCTGATTATATGCGGTCCTAAACGCCGCTGGTTGTCTTGGTGAAACCGCAGGCTGCAGAGGTCCCCGAACAGACGGCGGCTGCAGTGAAGGTAATCGAAACGAAGGCCCGCTCACCGGTGTAGGTAACGCAGATCGTCGTATGATAGACATTGTTCGATTTGGTCGTAATGTTTGCCGTACCGGCGTCTCCATATGCGTAGCGCCGTAGGATGGGCCCTTCGACATGACAGCTCGAGGTGCAGCTCCAAACCTCTTCACCCCCGTCCTGGCAGTCTTCTCCTGCGAGACATCGTCTAACGGTGCTCCTGACCTCTTCCGCACGAGTATTGGCGTGATGTCAGTCTGTGTAATCTCGATCACCCTCTCTACCGTGACTGTGTGCCGATCAAATCGAACTTCGTCGCCGACTGACGGTACCGGGTGATTCGGCAGGAAAATGCTGTCCGTAAGCGTCCGTGTTTCATCATAAAGCATTGCACGAAAGTTGAACGCATGGAAACGAAGGATGCCATCGTGCCACACCTTCTGCTTCTTGTGCTTGTCAGGCGTATACATGACGGCGAATTCATGCACGTTTGCCAGCATCGGCGGTCTGGGAGTGTCGGACAACGCCATTATGATGATCCGAACACCCCTTTCCTTCAGCTTCGATTGCTATACGTGTACGTCTGCTCTGTTGACCTGTCAGTCTTTCGTTGTCTCTGTGCTGTGAGTCGATATTTCGAGGCGCAAAGGGCGGACGCGACTTTGGATATGTACGACATGAAGTTGCATTTCGACGCGTACGAGCACATGAACTTCACCGGGTGTGTTCTTTTGGAAGTATGAAGAATAAGAATGCATTGAATGAGAGATTACTCCGAAAACCTGAACGCCAAATGATCCCCTGATATCACCCTTGAAACCCTGGCAGTTGCCCATGCCCACGTATCCGTAGATAACACATCCTAGAAGAGGCTCATTCTCATGATCCCTTCATTGGTATCTCCGATTCCTCCGACCGGCTGCGTCTTCTTCTGCACCGGGCTCTCCGCTTTGATTGGTCCTCCCGGCCCACTGGAACCACTTCCGTTCAAACCAGGCGAGACCGCGCGTCTCTTCATGTTCCCATACGGTTCGAACCTCGTATCTTCGTGCATGCTCTTTCTCTTCCTGCGAGGTAACGATGGTGGGAAGAAAGTTCCGGAGCTAGCTGGTGAGGAGGCGAGAGGTCCACTGTTGACCATAGGGATATTTTCTGACTGTTGGCGGGAGAAATTGATAGGAGTCGAGGTTGTTGACATTGCGGGCAGTGGTTGAGCCCATGGGAAGGACGGTGTTGTTGGGCGATTGTTCGGATTTTCCGACGGTGTACCACATGAACTCTCCGTGTTGGACGGTGTTGGAATATCATCGGCCATACTCTCATCATCCATCTCGCTCCTGTGCCCCTTGTCCCTAACAGAACCGGAAGCTGATAATGAAGCTGAGTCATGATCTCTCATGGACCAGCTTTCGGCATCTAAGAGTTCGTCGACAGGGTCGACGGAGACTTCACTGTCCGTGGTGGGCTCTTTGCTGAGCATGTTTGTGAGCGCTGCCTCACGTTTGACCTCGAAGTCAAAGGGATGGGTTTCATCAGCAAGTGACGCTGCAACTCGGCTGAGAGACTTTGGTTTGGGCTGCATATATCCTGTTAGCATGGGTGTGAAGACGTCAAATATCATGCATACCAGCAGATTAGACCGCCTCATGAACACTCTCTGTAGAGGTTCACTTCGCACGCTGTACGGCACACTCTTTTCGATCTTGACCGGTGTGCCATTTCCGCTTACCAGCCCCCTTAACTTCTCCCGATCTACTCGCGGACTCTCTCCCTTCTGACTTGAGAAGCTCTTTGATCTGACTCGCATTTCAGCAGGTACGTTGCCCTGTGCTGCAGGATCATGATCTTCCTCTTCGTCGGACTCCGAATCTTCTTCGGAATCATCATCAAGGTCCATTGATCGGAACCTCGTTGGACTGCCAAAACTGCCAGAGTTAAGGAAGGAAAACTCGGGTCGATCCGAAGTAGCCGGAGTTACCGGGGATGATTCAATTGTGGTGCTCTGGTGGAGATTCTGCCAGCATACAGTCAGATAAGAAAGTACGAATATCTTTGAAATTACTTACCGTACATCGATTCGGCCTCCTGGCAAACGAATATGCTTCCAAGAGAGGTGGAGGTGCTGGTGAAGCCCCCGTACCAGTGGTTGGTCCCGCAGGCGAGCTCGTGACAGTCATTCGTGTGTTGCTAGTTGGACGGCGTGCAGGAGTAGATGGAGTGGATCCGGGCAGCCCTTGTGGGAGCGCCATAGTCCGATGGTCGTCGGTTGTGTGGTGTTGGTTTTGGTTTTGGTGTTTTGTCTATGATTTCATTGTGTACGACACGAGGCTAAGGAACGTGTGAGCTTAACCGTGTACACATTTCCTTCTCATTAGTAGTATCAAGCTTAGATGATATAAAACCCTCAAAAACGCCAATCAACGCCAGAAACCATTGCCAAACATCTTTCCAACAACTGTCTGTGCTCCCCAAATCCGACCCTCTGCGTAACTCCTCGCACATTCATTCCAGATGATGCGGGACGTAGCTTCGTTCTCCCTGTAGTCCTTCACTGAACATCTTCACTCGTTCATCTCGTAGGCACGCCACCAGATGAATCCATTGCTTCATCGTATCTCGGCGGCTGTATGCCCCCAAAACTACTCACTCGGGTAGCGATTGGCGCTGGCCGCGTCATTTCTTCCACGACAACGCCGCCCAGCAACGGTTGTGCACCACCGCCTTCTCTGCTCTCCAACTCTCCTTCCCGTCCTTCCACCGGCGGTGTATATACCGGCAACGCCTCAATACTCTCCCCCTCCTCGCATATAGACTCCGTTCTTCGACGTCTCCCTAACGCTATGAGATCGGTCTGAAGTGCATCGCGCCCGCGTGTAGCTTGCTGTGTGCGTTTTCCTCGCTTTGAGCGTCGGTAGAGAAATGCGGCACATATTGCGATAAGGATGATGGCGAGGAGGAGGAGGAAGTACCAGTTGATAAGGGTAGAATCGCCGGATTTGGAGGTCGTGTTGGAGGAGCTATTGGTTGTAGAAACTGGGGTTCCTCCCAACGTGTTTTTGTAGGTTGTTGTTGGAATAGATGAGCTTGATGACATGACAGAGCCGGAAGATACCGGTGTTGCAGAGGTGAGGAAGGTGGTGGCGGACGATACGGCGGACACTGCGGTAGACTGTGCTGTCGCCGACGGCATTATGGAAGACGAGAATGCTAAGGCAGCATGTCCTGCCAGCCGCCTTCGCTGTCGTCGAGCTGAATGCATATCTCGCTTCTCTCGCTTGTCTGTATCAGATGCTGCAGTACGGTTACCAAGGCCGCGCAAAGCCGGGAACACTCGGCACACGCGTGAAGATGGAGCTGCAAAACTGTGTCGAATCAAGAGCAAAGCAATGCATCGGCCTGCCAGTGTGAATGCTTCGGTGAGGTGGTGGTGAAGCCCTGACCACGGCTGTTTCCAGACGCACACATATGAAACGCCGATGATCGTCACGAAGGTACGCATACATAAAACCTCCGTCAATTCCTCAATTCAGATACGCTTTCCCCATATGCCCATCTTCCTATCGAGCGCCGGGGCTGTACTCCACACTCCCCCAGATGCATCATTACTCCGCCCTCGGGACTCATCTCCACCTTTCCGAGCGATGCGACCCAAATATGCCCGGGTCTAACCGTATCACCCCTCCAGAAGGATAGATATATATAAACACCAAACCCTGCCTCTTGAGCAGCAGATCAACTCACACAGCAGTTGTCGACGTCGCAATGGCTCCCATTAACCTCGAGAATGTTTACCCGCCCGAGCCCAAGTTCGTGCACTTCCCCTCCCGCCGATCAACGGTGCACGGTACGAAGGGTATGATCTCTTCCTCCCAGCCATTGGCCAACCAAGCTGGATTGAGGGTGTTGCTACAGGGCGGAAACGCAGCGGATGCTGCCGTCGCTGTTGCGGCTGCGTTGAATGTTACCGAGCCTGGAAGTACCGGTATTGGTGGTGACATGTTTTGCTTGTTTTATGACGCGAAGACGAAGACTGTCAAGGGATTGAACGGATCGGGGAGGAGTCCGAAGGCGTTGGATATGCCCAAGGCGAGGGAGCTCGGGATCTCTGGTACCGAGATTCCGTTGGACAACATCAACGCCGCGACTGTACCTGGAGCTGCCGCAGGATGGGTTGATACCCTCAAGTTGTTCGGATCAGGCGAGGTCACCATGGAAGACGTCCTCACGCCCGCCATCGAACTCGCCGAAGACGGCTTCCCCGTCTCCGAGATCTCGGCATACTACTGGGGTCTGGCAGAGCAGCAAATCAAGGCCGCTTCGCCCAACTTCGCGGAGATGCTCTCAAAGGTCACTGGAAAGGCTCCGAAGGCGGGTGAGTTGATGCACAACTCCACGCTCGCCCAAACTTTTCGCGCGGTCGCCAAGGAGGGATTTGATGGATTCTACAAGGGTAGGATCGCGGATGCGATTGTGGAGTTGGTCAAGAGTCGTGGAGGTGTCATGACCCATGATGATCTCGCTTCGCACACTTCTACACCTGTTGATCCTATCAATATCGACTTCAAGGGGTTGACCGTATGGGAATGTCCACCCAATGGGCAGGGTATCGTCGCGCTCATGGCGCTTGGTATTTTGCAGGAGATGGAGGCTCAGGGTCGCTGTGGGAAGCTGGATGAGATGGAGCACAACTCTCCAGAGTACTTGCACGCTATCATCGAGGCGCTGAGATTGGCCTTTGCGGACGCAAAGGCGTACGTTTCGGACCAGGACGTGGAGCACGTCCCCACGATTGCGATGCTAAACAAAGACTACCTCGCCAGCCGTGCAAAGCTTTTCGACCCCTCCAAGCAAACAGCGGATTTGAAGGAAGGAACCCCCGTCAACTCGTCCGACACCGTCTACTTCACCACCGCAGACAGATGGGGCAACGCCTGCTCCTTCATCATCTCCAACTACGCCGGCTTCGGCACAGGTGCCATCCCCAAAAACTGCGGCTTCACTCTCCAAAATCGCGGTTCGAACTTTGTTCTTGTCGACGGACACCCCAACATGCTGAAGGGTCGTAAGAGACCGTATCATACGATCATCCCGGCTATGGTTACTGACAGCAAAACGGGTGAGTTGTGGGCTTCGTATGGTGTCATGGGCGGGTTCATGCAACCCCAAGGCCACGTGCAAGTTCTTCTCAACCTCCTCCACCACGGCACCACCCCCCAAGCCGCTCTCGACGCTCCCCGTATTTGTCTCGGCGCAGGAATGCCTGATGCTGGACCCATCGATAGCACAGTTTACATCGAGGAAGGAATTCCGGAGGCGACTGTGGAGAAGTTGAAGGCCATGGGGCATAAGGTCGTTGTTGCGACGGAGTTTCAGAGGGGAACGTTTGGGCGGGGGCAGGTTATCAGGTGTCATAAGGATGGGAAGGACAAGAGCCAGGTTGTTTGGAGTGGGGGCAGTGATATGAGGGGTGATGGGGCTGCGTTGGGGTGGTGATACCATACAGCATTATTATCTAAAAATATGCATACCTTCTCTTTTGTTCACTACGTTCGGTTTGCCTCCGAGATCAAGCTTGCACTACATCCTGCAGTTGATCTTCTGTGAACATCCCTTCTCCATCGACAAACAGCTTCATCCTCCCACCTAGCTCCGTCTTCACGGTGACCTCCCGTCTCGATTCCGAGTCCTCCCTCTGACTTGCTTGCCACGCCTCAGCCAAAGTCATCCCATCATAATGTCTCATCTGCCCCTTCTGCAGCCTAACCCGGAGATTCACTGCGTTATTCCATGTCTGCGGAAGATGGTTGTTGCCGAAAAGAACCCAATTTGTGCATATCGCGAAACATGAATGCGTAAGGCAGAAGTCTTTGAGTGTCTTTGCTATGGTAGCGAAGATATAGGTGTCGACGTGGTCGTTGGGTTTTGTAGGTGTGGTTTCGCTGGATGGAGCTTGATACCTGTCTTGCCAGAAGAACGCGGAAAGACTGTCCAGTGCTACTACGCCAATCTTGGTATCGAGGAGGCTGGACGACGGTGTGCAGACGTATGTCGGGAGGAAACGGAGTGTCGCCAGCAAAGATGTCGACGAGATTGGCCGGAATATATGCAGTCTCTGGAGAGCTTGATAGATGGCTTCGTCGCGGTCGTTTAGCGAAAGAGATCCGGCTGCCGTTGTGAGATGGTGTGACATGACTTCGCGAAGGCGGAGGGTTGACAGTTTGCCATCGGTATCGATATACTGCACGTCGTGTTAGAGGAAGCAGTTGCATCTCTGAAACTCAGCATACCACAACGGCTTCACCCTTCCCGCCTAGTTCATACACTTCTCCATCTGTCGCCGTCCATCTTGGCGGCAGAAGAGCAATGGAGCAAATAAGGTACAACAGATGTGTCTTTCCTCCTCCAGCAGTCCCACTGAGTTCGACAAGCGAGCCATACGGGATGGCCGTCGAGAATACTTGTCTCAGGACGGGATAAGATGTCGAAGTCGGGTCTTGTGTGCGACGGCGAAGGGAGGCGAGGAGCTACGCGGCATCAGCACCAGCAAAGCGGTAGAACGGCGAAGAATGTACAGGAAGGAGCGGCTCCGGTTTGACCGAGTTCAGGACATGCCTCATTTCTTCATCGCTGGGTGAGCAACACCAAAAGCGCGGGCGTCTACATGACGGCACGACCGTGCAGCGACTTCACTTGCACTGAACACCAAGAGGAGATGGCTCCACCAACACACCATTTCCCCGTCACTGTCATCGACCACTTTGCTGATCCAATACACCTGGAAGCATTGAAAGGTGGGTCATGCCGTTCTCTGCACTTGAGCTAAGCTGACCTGACGAACAGACCCGAGTGCTTGTCCGCTACATGTTCTGACCCAGTATAAATGCCGTGTAACGCCAACAACCATTGTATGTGGACCACTTGATCGATACTTCCGGCTGTGCAGGGATAAACAGGGGAGGAACCGGTCTGTTGAGGTTACGTGGATGATGCAGAAGGGGTGGAAGGCGTTGGAGGACAAGTATGCCGGGTGTGTGCGATGACGACTAGCTATCAACATGATGTACGATATAGAGGACCATGTAGACGAGAGTGTATGCGGTGTACAACACTGCATTGTTGAATTGCATATTGTTGCGATGTCGACGCAACCGAGATACCCCAGAAGATAGAAAGAACAACAAACTCCATGAACGCCCTGACCCACCCTTGCAATTGATTATGCCTTCTTCCTCAATTTCTCAGTCTCCCAATTGACCACACCCTCAAACACCAACGGCGCCGCCCCATCAGGCCCCTCATACTCCTTCATTACCGCTTCCCAAGCCTTCTTTCTCTCACTCTTCTTCACATCCGCTCCCACAACCTCCACCCCTTCCGCACCATTCATATCCGGCTTCTGGTTGGTCTCTCTGATGAGTCGCCTCAACGCATCCTCCGCAATCCTCGCCTCCTGGCTAACCTTCTCCCGTATCACCCTCGGATCCGTAACCCGCTCCGGATATATCGGTGTCTGCAGGTATGTATGCGCACTCGGATACGCCGGCATCCAATCCGGCACCTCCTGTCCTCTCTGCACCGGTACCGGATCTCTCAGCATTTGTCTCTCAGGCTCAAACGGCTCCGTGTTATCCTGCGCCAGTAGTGGTAAGGGCGGGATGGGCGGTGCTAATAGCTCGTCTTCGAGGAATGAGGGGAGGATACCGAGGGAGCGGAGACCGCGTTCGAGGTCGGCGAGGGTGGGGCGTTGACGGCGGGTGTGGTTTGTTATGCGCATTGTTTGGTCGAGGATGGAGAGGATGTGGTCTTCGGCGAGGGATTGGAGGGTGTGGAGGGCGCCGGAGGTTGCGGAGGAGTATTCTGTTCGCGACAACACTATATGGGTGAGTGCGTGGGTGAATATGGTCGAGGCCAATTCCTCTGGTAATGCTGCCATCCTGGCCTATTTTCTCGTTCTCTTTCTCTTTCTCTTTCTCAATTGAACGGTGGTGACGGGGGGGGGGGGGGGTCCCTCGGTACGGGTTACGGTGTATCGTAGCCCAGATCACGTGTAGCCCTGACATGTCTGTACAGCTTCCCATAGCACGGACGTTTCTTACGTTACACACTCAAACTCTATCCCTCAAACACAAATCAAAATGGCCATCGCTCCTATTACCGGCATGTTCAGAAGGCAGTTGATCAAGGACTTGTCCGTACGTTTTCCTCTTTGTCCCATCTCGATTGCTCGTCTCGTTGCGTCGCTTCTGCTCAGGCTCGGGTTGAGGGAGAGCGGAGTCGATCGCGCGCGAAGGGGGGAGCAAACTGCGGGTGTTGTCGGTTGTGTGAGTTGTGCGCTGACGTTGGCTGTTAGATCTGCTTTGGACTTGGTATTGGTGGTGGTTACTGGTGGTGGTACGGATACCATGTTCCTGCTGTTCAGCACCGTGACGCTTACTACCGTAAGCTCGAGGCCGAGGGTTTGGAGTAAGGTATGCCTACGAATTTCTCAGTCGTGATGTCGGACTGTCATTGTTATGGGATTGTATGCTAATGTTTGTCGTGCAGCATTGCAAGGTTGACGCTCATTTGACGAGGTTGCAACATGATGGAAGTGGATTATGTCTAATAATAAATCAACAAATCAAAAACATGCATTACGCGTTTTCGCCATCAAAGCCGTGACTTGAACTTGCAAGCACATGTGGTCCTTCTTCTTGGGAATCGGCCCGGTTTCCCCGTCTGGATGATCCTATGAATCAGTCGTCTGTTGCTCTTCTGCTACCACAGTCATGCGAACCAGCATCGAACAGGCCACGACAAACCAATCCCGCTCTCGCTCATTTCATCATGGCCATTTACCGCTCGTTGCGGTTACCAACGTTCGGAGCCAATGAGTTGTGATCCATTCAGCTTCCGTCGCATCATGGCCCGTGCACTGAACAGAAGATCCCAAGCGCCTGTAGAATAACGTAAATCTTGTTCACTTGCTCTTGTACATGGCAATTGCCGTTCACGTCTTGTTGGGCCATTGGACCGGGTGAGCTTTATGCTTGGTGGTGCCTGGGCCGAAACTTCAGGATCCGAATTACTCGATTACTCAAAACCGCTCCACCAAAAACCGACAATCCGGTTATCACATTGCAACGACGTCTGATCCTCCAGCTCAATTGCAATCGCAACATCCATCACATACAGAGCCTGTCTTCCTTTCCAACATAGCATAGATGTCCGCCGAGCCAGTACCCGTTACCAGCGTCGCCCTGGATAAGGCGACTTCTTCGCCCGGTGTCTGGGATCGCATCACCAAGTACGTCTCGGAAAACAAGGCCGTTGTTTATGCCACGGCCGCTGCGGTGATCGTTGTCGGAGCTGGTGGTGTCTACTACTTGCACTCAAAATCGTCCGACGGATCGGCGCCCTCACCCAAGCCAACGAAGAAGCAGCGGAGAGCGGAGCGAAAACAGAAGCACGAGGAGCGTTTGGCGGAGGAGAAGGATCAGGTTGACGAGAAGCCATCGAAGGTTGAGGAGGTTGCACAGACACTTGCGGAGGACAAGAAGGTGGAGACTCCAGCGCCGACCATGGCTACCCCCGAACCAGTTGCTGGAACCGATGGTTTGCCAGAGATCACTGAGGAGAGTGTTGCGGCTATGACTCCCGAGCAGCGTGCGGAGTTCGCCACCCAACTCAAGAGCGCCGGTAACAAGGCGTACCAGAAGAAGGAGTTCGAGACCGCTATTGCCTGCTACTCTCGTGCTATCATCTGCAAGGCGGATGACCCCGTTTTCTGGTCCAACCGCGCTGCTTGTTACGCAGCCAAGAGTGACCACCAGAAGGTGATTGAGGACACTACCGCTGCGCTCAAGTTGGACAGCATGTACATCAAGGCTCTTAACCGTCGTGCGGTCGCTAGCGAGGCCTTGGGCAAGAACGGCGACGCGTTGTTGGATTTCACTGCGTCGTGCATTATGGACGGTTTCACCAACCAGACTGCTCAGATGGCTATCGAGCGTTTGTTGAAGAAGGTCGCGGAGGAGGAGGCTGCCCAGATCTGGTCTACGCGTGAGCAGAAGTTGCCCAGCCCGACATTCGTCAATGCGTACATGGATGCGTTCAGGAGGAAGGATGCACCGATGATCGAGTCTGCTGATGCTGAGTCTGGCGATGCAAAGTTGAAGGCGGCTATCGAGGCTTTGGAGCGCAGGGATTACGAGAAGTCGATGAACTTGTTCGACGAGGCCATTGAGAAGGGCTGCTCTCACTTGGCTTTGGCATACTCATGGAAGGGAACCTTTGAGTTCATCATGGGCAATGCCCAGAAGGCTATGGAGTACCTTGACAAGTCCACTGAGCTCGACCCAGCTTTGGTCCAGAACTACGTCAAGCGCGCATCTGTCCACATGGAGCTCGGTGAGCGCGAGAAGACTTGGGATGACTTTGACAAGGCTATTGAGGTCAACGCGGAGGATCCTGATATCTACTACCACCGCGGTCAAGTCCGCTTCATCACTGGTGAGTATGCTGCTGCTGCCAAGGACTACCAGAGATCGATTGACCTTGACAAGAACTTTGTCTTCTCCCACGTTCAGTTGGGTGTCGCTCAGTACAAGCTCGGATCCATCGCTAGCTCTATGGCTACCTTCAGGAGATGCATCAAGCAGTTCGGTGACACTTACTCGGAAGTCCACAACTACTACGGAGAGTTATTGATGGACCAGCAGCGTTTCGAGGATGCTCTTGAAAAGTTCGACCGTGCTATCGAGTTGGAGAAGGCTCACACCTCCAACATGAACGTCTTGCCGTTAATCAACAAAGCTCTTGTGACCTTTCAGTGGAAGAAGGACGTGAAGGAGGCTACTGTTCTCTGTGAGAAAGCTCTGGCTATCGACCCCTCATGTGACGTTGCTGTCGCCACCATGGCTCAGCTCTTGTTGCAGCAAGGAAAGACCCGGGAAGCGTTGGAGTATTTTGAGAAGAGCGCCGAGTTGGCAAGAACCCCTGCAGAGTTGGTGAATGCGTTGTCCTACAAGCAGGCTACCAAGGTGCAGTTGCAGATCGTTGAGACTTACCCACAATTGGCTGAGAAGCTCGCTGCTACTGGTGCTGGAATGATGTAAGTGTAGGTTTATTTATTGGGAAGGCGTGAGTTGAGGTACGATATGGTATGATAATGGAAATGTAAAACGCGGACGTGGGTGGGTGCGTGGGGAAGCGTACGTGGGAGCATACGTATGAGTGCTTTCGAGTCATCGGGGATACGTTTTGTCTCTTTTTCAGTTTGGTATTGCTCTCCAATCTTTCGATCAGATGCGTTCCTGTATATACCATAATCAGAGTTCGTTCTCTTGACATTTTGAATTGCCATTGCCGATGCGTACAAATCACCATCATGAACTGCCAATATACGTGCACGCGTGGCCTTCATCATCTTGATACGAACTCTGATTTTGTTATGGACCCGGTAATCCGCAGCATAGGCGTTTCCTCCGGTAGGAGCGGACTGTGAGACGGATGGCATAGCCAAGTTGACAAGGTTTAGGTGTGCTTGTTGCAATTGGAAGATATTCTGATATTACTGTTCTCTTCCTAGATCTTTGGTATATGTAATCCTACAACACTGTGTACTCTTGTCGACTCATTTAAAGCTTCGCCTCGTAATCAGAGTAACCCTTCTCAGGGTGTCCCTCAGGGAACCCATACCACAAAGGAACATCCTTCTCGGGATTACCCTGCTCAGTAAACTCCACTCCCTGCTCAACCCTCTTCGCGAAATCCGGGTTGGTAATCATATACCGTCCAAACACCACCGCATCCGCCTTCCCCTCCTGAATATGCTGTTCGGCCTCTTCGGGCGAATAATCATAGTTTGCGAAGAACTTCGGGCCCGTGACGAGGTGACGGAACTCCTTGAAGATATCGAGTTCTTTCTGGGAGCGGGGGACGCCGCCGTACATTGGGTCACCGAAACCGGGACGCATAGTTTGGATGTATGCGATGTTGATTTCGTTTAATTTAGTGTAGAAGGGGACGTAAGTAGCACGGAGTTCCTCCATGGTGTGCTCCCCGACGTCGTTGTAGCCACCGGCTGGGGAGAGCTTGATACCGACTTGTTTCTTGTTGAAGTGCTTGAAGATCTCATCCAAGATCTCGAGGGGGAAACGCATACGGTTCTCGATTGAACCGCCGTATTTGTCGGTACGCTGGTTAGAGACGGTTTCAAGGAACTGGTTGGGGAGGTATCCGTTCGCGCAGTGAAGTTCGACACCGTCGAAGCCGGCTTCTTTTGCGTTCTTGGCGGCTTGGGAGTATTCCATGACGATGTCGTGAGGGTTCTCGACGGCGTGGGGTGTCACGTATTCGGCGTTGTTGAGCTGACGGAACTTTCCTCCTCTGGCGGCGATGGCAGAGGGACCGGGGACGGGTTTGCCGGTTGCCTTTTGGATGGGCATGTCGGGGTGAGCGACACGGCCGACGTGCCAGAGTTGCAGGAAGATGGTTCCGCCGGCCTTGTGGACGGAGTCGACGACCTTCTTCCACGCCGCGGTCTGCTCCTCGGTGTAGATACCCGGAGCATTGGGCCACTCGGTACCCTGGGGAGCGACCAAGGTTCCTTCGGTCAAGATCAGACCGGTTCCACCTTTGGCACGCTGGGTGTAGTAGTCAATGTTGACCTGCTGAGGGACGAGGTTTCTGTTACGGGTCAAAGAACCCATGATGATGCGGTTCTTCAAGGTCGGACCACCCTGGCCGAGAGGGAGAGGAGAGAGGAGTTTCTGGAATTTGGTCATGATTGTGAATTGTTTTGTTTACCCTCCTTCGACGGGGATGTATGCGGGTATAAATAGGAGATCTTTGTCGGCCTTAGTAATCCGTCGCCTTCGTGAAGTAACACCGCTTCCGCGATGACGTCGACGTCAACCGTGAACCCGTCCTGTGTAGGCAAGGTAACTGTCAAGTAGAACTATCTATTCCTATTCTTCCGTGGACAGTGCCAAGAACGGCAGCCGGAGGACTCCCCGCAGGCTCTCCTGGGTGCGGGGTCTGAGTCGATCACCGAGGACGCCTTGGAGCATTTACACGGAACAACAACTTCAGCTGGACCAACTCCATTTTTGGCACGACGTTATAAGGAAGACAGAGAGCATACACCTGTACCATTGTTGCAATTGTAACCGATAAGAACTTCTAGTCAACTTCTGCCACGATGGCGGCCGCATTGACCCACACCCCGGTCGAGGATATTCCCACTATCGTCTCCGACCTCCATCAATCCTTCCACGGTCAAAAGTCCCAATCGATCAAATTCCGCATCCAGCAACTCCGCCAACTCTACTTCTTCGTTCACGAAAATCACGAGGCAATCGTCAAAGCCCTCAAAGCCGACCTCGCAAAACCCGAGTTCGAGACGTATCTAACGGAAATTGGGTTTGTTGAGGAGGATGTCTTGGGTGCGATTGCCGGCTTGGAGAGTGGGAGATGGCAGAAGGACAAGAAGGTGCCGGGGATCAAATTGGCGATGAAAGCTGCTGCGCCCTGGATTAAAAAGACCCCAATGGGTGTTGTGTTGATCATCGGCGCCTGGAACTATCCGTTGCAGTTGGTGTTGTGTCCATTCGTCGGAGCACTTGCGGCGGGAAACTGTGTCGTCTTGAAGCCTTCCGAGTTGTCGCCACATACTGCTCAGCTGCTGGCGGAGTTATTCCCGAAGTACATGGATCAGAGCTGTTACCGCATCGTTAACGGCGCTATACCGGAGACGACAAAGCTCTTGGACGAGAACTGGGACAAGATCATGTATACCGGTAACTCGAAGGTTGCGAGGATCATCGCTGCTGCAGCGGCGAAGAATCTCACGCCGACGATCCTCGAATTAGGAGGCAAGAATCCGACCATTGTGACGAATACTGCGAATATTCCTCTTGCTGCCACGAGGATCGCGTGGGGCAAGTTTATGAACTGCGGCCAGACGTGTCTTGCCCCCGACTATGTCTTGGCAGAAAGCAAGCAGGTCGAGGACGAACTCGTGGCTGAGTTCAGAAAGTCGCTCGAGAAGTTCTATGGTGAAGACGATAAGATCGCGGAGATTGAGAATTACGGCAGGATCGTGAACGACGTTCATTGCAAGAGGATTGCGAAGGCCTTGCAGGAAAGTAAGGGCACCATCGCTTTTGGAGGACATGTGAAGATCGAGGAGCGTTTCATTGCACCAACAATTGTCACAGGCGTTACCCACGATGACACGCTGATGAGGTATGACATTTGTTAAGACGACGCGTCCAAGCCCTTACATGGTGCGTATAGTGATGAGATCTTCGGCCCTGTTCTCCCGATCGTCACTGTCAATTCGGTTGATGAAGCGGTGCAGTTCGTAAACAAGTATACCGATACTCCGCTGGCACTATACATCTTCAGTGATGACAAGAAGGAAGTCGACAAAGGTGAACCACGGTGTGCACGGTTTCTTTTCAATGACTGACAGCAGTTCACAGTCCTCTCCCAAACTCGCTCCGGCGGTGTTACAGTCAACGACACGATCCAACACGCGGCAATTACAAACGTTCCCTTCGGCGGTGTCGGTGAATCCGGCATGGGCGCATACCGCGGACAAACCTCTTTCGATGCTTTCTCTCACGATCGCGTTATCGCGAAGACCCCGGGATGGATGGAGAAGATAATGGCGGTGAGGTATCCTCCGTACTTGCCATGGAAGTTCAAGGCTATCGCAGCTATGGCACCCAAGGCTTGGTTCAAGCCAGGCGATACTGTCAGAAAGCGTGGCAAGGTGAGTAAGTGGGTATTGTTTGCAGCTATCGGGTTGATCGCGGTTTGGGTCGGTAGGATTAGGGGGGTTGCTGCTTGAGCCCCCGTCGCCATGCTCTTTGTGGTTATGAACTGTACCATTCGTTGGTCTAGTACATATGGTGAATCAACGATATGTTGTATCTCAGCAAGCAATATATTTTGGGTATTCCAATGCAATCCCTGTAGTGTTATGTGCGAAAGCCAATGTACGCCGTAATAGCCAAACCCAAAAACGCCAATCCAACAGTTAACGCTTCCAACTCACCGAGCCTCCGTATCCGAACGCGATGACCGTGGAGGGACATCTTTCGAACTCGACCGGGAGGGACTGCCGCCGGAGGTCGTGGGCTTGTTGGCCTTCTTGGTCAACAAGCTGTTGAAGAAGTTCTGCAGTACCTCAGTCTGTGCTTTGCCTCCGTCTATACCATCAAGAGTGACATCGCTCGATGATGGTTTGATGCTCTTCCTGTCCTTCAGACGGCGCAGCCTCTCATCCACATCGTCGGCATCGACTTGGATTCCGCCAACGTTGAATGACACAGGTCCCAGTGCAGAGTTGGTGTACGAAAAGTTTGATGACGCAGACATTTGCGAAGCAGATGACGGCGCTTCCTTGCTTTCGGAGGCCTTCTTCTCCAGGATCTTGAGTTGTTCTGTCAGGAAGTCCTGCTCAGCTGCACAATGCGTTATGCTATCTGATGCACCGAGAGCCAGCACAGCTGAAGATGCCTGCTTAGGGTCTTTGATGACATCTTCGTAGACTTCGATTGCGCTAGCTTCCGTGTCATTACTGTCCTCCTTGAGGTCTACAGCCCATCCGGCGTGGACGCCTTCGACATCAAACCCCTCTCGGAGGACACGGATCTTGCCCCACGAGTCCCATCCGAAAGGGATAATTACGGCATCTCTTGCAATGACGTTCGCCTTGGGTGTTGGTGCAGCAGTTGGAAGAGAGAATGCTGATTGGATGGCATTGAATAATGCTGAAGTCGTCTCCGTTAAGAAAGGAGTGGTATAATGCAAACCGGCGCCGTGTTTCAGTAAGACAGTGCGTAAATATTGTTGGATGAAGTCGAACTGCTCGTCCTTAAAGTTCGCTTCCCGTGCAATACTTTCGGTTTTGTCGGCGTTATGACAGACGACCATCAAAGGAAGACCCAATGGATCATCAAATTGACCGGATGATAGTGGTAGAGAGACATCACTGACCGCCGCCTCGCTAGTTGCTGTTGCCGTTGCATTCTCGGTATAGTTTCGTATACGCATTTCCCAGTCCTCCATTAGCTTATCCATGGCCTCCTCAGCCAGGGCATCCGACTCTCGGATTCTGCTCGTCACTCGTTTCAACGTCCGCACCCACTTACGGATCTCCGACAGCCATGTCCACGGAGTTGCCCAGTCCAGTAAAATGAGAAGTAGGTTGTCGGGTATCGGCGAAGCTGCGACCGCTTGAGCAAGGATAGGTTCGTAAGATGGCGCAGGTGCGGGAAGCGTGTAGAGACCGAGGCGTGTCAAGATGTCTGAGAAACAAGAGGATCAGGAGAGGTAGGGTGAACTATGCGCCAGAAGACATACCTTCATGCTCAGCTTCTTCAATATCCAAATATGTATAGCCCAATGCTAGTTCAGTCGTCAATGGCGCCTGTGTATGCTTCCGTTGCCGCGCACGCTTCTTCTCGGCTCCCTGAACTCTCATTAACGACTCCACGAATTCTTGAGCGCCAGTTGCACCACCACCTAGGTAAGATCAGTATTGAGAACAGTTAAGAAATACTTTCAGTTCTTACCCAAAATGAAGACGTTCTTCAATGGAATGGCCTTCGTTGCCGACACAGAGCTGAGCATAGTAGACCAAATTTCCTCCTTCGCATCGGGCCGTAACGCGGCAGTCGTGTCCCGCGACACCGTGGACCCGGCCGTAGATGGCCGGGCTTGCACAACAGCATCCGGCATTGGTATAATTGATTTGAATTTATGTTCAAAGTTGTACTTGGATGTTGCTACGCGCTTAGAGCAATCACACGAGGCTGCAAGGCACGCTGTCGTATACTGCTGTGTGCAGAATTCTTGACGCGCATTTTCGCACATGCGCGAGACCCCTGTAATTGTAAGAGTAAACGCCTTTAAACAACTGGAAAAAAGGTTTAAGAAACTCAGTAAGGGCTCAAAATGCTTGGCGAATATATGTCCCGAGGTCGACCGCCACAACGAAATCAACCAATATGCTTCTGGGAAGGATGTCTATGATATTGCGACCAGCATCGAGAGGTCTCGTCGCACAGTTTACCGCATTGTGAAGAGATTCGAGGAGACAGTGCTTACTGAGCGTGAGGGCAACTCAACCTGCGGGCGCAAACCAGCTATTGACGAGTTCCTGAGCTCAGTAAGAAGACTAGTGCTGCTTACGGGTACCACCAAGGGCATCACTAAATGACCGCAGCAAATTAATTGCTTGTACGGCAAAAGCCCTACCCTCTATCAAGACGACTGTGCTGAGTTTCTCAACGATCAAGTCGCTACATCTCTATCGTGCTACCATGTCACCCACTACCTGCAAAAGATTGGCTAAACCCATAAGGTCTTAACCTTACGGGTAGTCCAGCGCAACCCCATCTTACGCGCAAAACATGTCATTGAAACGACTGACTACACTCAAGAGCAGGTGATATTTCTCGACAAATCAGCCGTGGATGAGCGGACGGGTTGACGAAAATTTGGATACTCACCGACCGGCTCCCGCGCCATCCAGGAGAGGGTCTTTGGATGTTCGACACGTGGGAGTGTGCTGCCGGCATTCAACAGTGTCATTGTGCTTGATAATTGTCGAATTCATCATGATCCAAGGGTTGCTGAACTCTTAGTGAATCAACATGGGTACTGTATAGTTTTCTTACCACCATACTCACCCAACCTTAACCCAGTGGAGCTCTGTTTCAGCATGATGAAGGCCAGGATAAAGCGCAATAACAACAATCCTAACGCCCGTCTCAACCCTCCCTCTTTTATTCAGAAAGCGATTGTCTATATCAACTCAGATCTGGAAAAAAAACTGCAGTTTGTATACGGGCTGTGGTTATGCGCTGACCAGCCTGGATTTGCGCCACTATGTTGATAACAACCGCCAAATGGCTGCTCGAGAGGCTGAGCGGGTGTAGCTGTCATTCATTAGTTAGTCTCAGTATTTTCATGAATCGAAGGAGGTATTTCGCTCATTGTTCACGTACTTACCGTTCTCACGGGTCTTTTCCTTAACAAAATGGCTGGGAACTGCCCCACCTGTGTGGCATGCAAGTGTAGCTTACTAACCTACACTCCTCTGAGACAAGAAGTATGCACACTAAGCCCTGCTTTGGTGCGCTTGTCAAGCATATTGCACAGCTGATACCTGTGTTAACGTGCAGAATGCTTGGCAAAATGTCATTCCCTGCGTTAGGATGCAGAATGCTTGGCAATGTCATTTCGTGCTCGACGGAGTACGTGCGAGTTTTGTGAGCTTATTGCAAAAGAATTAAGCATTGTGGATTGAAAAGCAGTACAGTACGGTACGAGAAAGATAACTATCATGCAGAGCTTTCATCAAAATCCTGGCTCTCGTAGACCTCGAAGGGTGTCTCCTCGACGCCTAGGGGTCGAGGCCTGCCAAACCGGCCACCACTTGCGCATAATCCTCACCCATCCACGCTTCACAGGCGGTAGGCCATTGGGCTCGATGTTTTTGAGATCGTCGAGCACTACTCAATTGTCGATAATTGCATCTTAAACCGTCTGACAATCGAAGTCAATGTAGTCTGGGACCTTGGTCTTGAAATAGGCTAGAAGCCCGTCCAAATCATCAGCAGCCGGCCCTTGAAGATGGCTCAAGCCTCTGAGCATTTGCGGGTCAATGGTCGTGGTTGTTGGGGTCGGGGTCGGAGTAGGCTGATTTGAGGGAGGTAACGGTAGATCGAATTGAGGCGCAGTCACCGGTGTAGGTAGTTGAGGGACACCGGACGAAGAGTGCCTGCTTTCAGGTGTTTCCAGTTGATCTGTCAACTTGAATGGTTCGAGCAACCTGTCAGGGACGGGCGTTGTGACTCCTGAAAGAATGACAACGCTCGTCCTAGCTGATTGAAACTGATACTCAAGTGCTGACACGAGTCGGGTTGAGTCTATCCAGTGAAGGGGACCGAGACCGAGATGACGTAACACTGATGTAGGGTGACGTAAGACTGAATGACATGATCATTGGTAAGATCAGGCCCAAAGCAAGACTGACATACAAGACATAACAAGGTGGTCGAGGGCGGTTTGTATGCGGAACTGAACAAGTGACGACTTGGTTGCAGGATACTTGAAGTGGCATAGACGAACGAGACACCCAAGAGGTTAAGGAACCTACTTGAGCTGGAGAGGTAGTAAAGTCTTGGTTTTCTCAAAGACTCTTGTTGCTAACTAAAGAACTAAGTTGGGGGGAGAGAACTCCCCTTTATATAGTTGTTAGGCTACGCAGATGTGCGTAGCTCTAACCTACGCAGATAAGCGTAGTCCTAACTCATGCAAAAAGGCGTAAGCCGTGCTGGTGCACCACTATAAGGCCATCAAGCCACAGCGCATCAGACCAGAAGTACGTAAGACTAAAACATTAGCTAAGACGTAAACATAAGACGTAATCATAGGACATATACATGAAAGTGCATAGATGTTGCATGATCACAATAAGAGTGTGGGAAACCGGAGGTCTTGAAGCCATTCATGGCACAACCCAGCAAAAAGGGGATCATGGATGGGTGGATCCTCGATGATAACTCCAGGTTCTTTCGCCACCAAGTACTTAGACCATAGATTGAGGAGATCATTGGTAATGTATTGATGTTGACCAGAAAAGAGATGAACATAGCAGTACTGCTGGTGGTGCTTGGCGCATTTGTGCTTAGCCTGCAGGGTCTGAACAGCAAGGATCCTTTTGTCGCATTGAGGATCATTCGCAAGTTCATTCGAGCCTTGGGCTGAGTCTGAGAGGCGTGCACGGGGGTTTGCTGGTTGAACTCGGGTTGAGAAGCAGCCCTTATAGGGTCGCACTGTGTATCGATTGGGTTGAAAGCTGACCATTTGACCTTGGGTGTATTGCGCTCAACGTGGACGGCATCAATGAAGGCTTCCCAGTCGTCCTCCCTTTGTAGTCTACACCATGGTGCATCCCGGCTCCTCCCGCGGCAGACTTTCCAGTTGATGTTGGGCTTCAGAGAGTATTTCTTGACGCCTTCAACGACCATATGATCATGACAGAGCTCCTCCAGGGTGAGATCGATCAAAAGCTGTTCTTGGTTGGCCCAAGACCTGACCGCATTGACCGTCCAGGGTGCTTGGGGGTACTTGTGGTTCATTTCCCTAGCGACGAGAATGACGACTTGGAAGTTGTCAAAGCTGCTGATAGTACGAACCAGTGCGTCTGCGTCCTGTCTTTAGCCTTTTTCCCCTCCGGACTGTATTGTAGGTGGTGGTGGAGCTGCATCCTCGAGGAGATGGGAGAGCGATTTGGGGGTACGAGTCGATGCGCTGCGCTGCGCTTATGGGAAGCCTTAGCAGCTCCTTTCAGTATCCTAGGGGGCATTTTCAAGTTTTGGCAGCTTGTTTGGTGGGATGGTCGCGTCCTGGACGAAGACACCGTAAAATGATGCGCGTCAAGAATTTTGCATACAGCAGTACCAGGAAAAAATGGGGAGTCGACTGTAAGTTGTCAAACCTGCTGATAGTAAGCCTCAACGTTGATATATTTGATCAGAGACATAGTTGTCCTATCCTAAGCTAAATAGTCATCCTCCGCCTACATTGTCAAAGGCGACGAGGGTGAAGTGTGATCATTACCTGCCCTCAATCTCCAGAAAAAGCTGTTGATGCGTCCATCAACAACCCAAGAACACACCCTTGTGAGGCGCCGAACCAAAACTCCGTTTCCCTCGCGAAAAATGTGTTGAAAATAAAGAAAATGTCCTGAAATAGGACCGCCAATCTATGATCAACATGGAAGGCGAAAGAAAATATGTGTATCACCCAAAATAACTCAATGCAACTTTCAACATCCTTCTTCGCTCGAATTTTTACTGTGCTATGTTAGTAAGATTAGATGAGGGCGATGGCCAAAATTATGGCAGCGAACGCGGCAATGCCCTGCTGAGCGACCTTGGCGCTGACCTTCTGAGCGGCACTGGTGGAAGCCTTGACACTGGCGACAGCTCCGGAAGAGGAAGAAGTAGAGGAGCTGGTGGTGTTCGAGGAGACAATGTTGCTCATGGTGGGAGTGGTAGAATCAGAGACGAGGCAGGAGGTGGAGGAGCCAGTGGAGACGTTGAAGAATCCAGAGTAGGCAGTCACACCGTTCAATCCAGCCGGAGACGCCAACAAGTAGTAGTTGTCCGCAGGAACCTGAACAGTGTACTTCAAAGAACCAGACTTGGAGAAGTCAACCTCAGAGTCAATGACGTAAACGTTCGAGGTCGTGGTGGAAACAAGGTCAAGCTCGGTCTTCTCGGAAGGAAGGTTGGCAGAAATCCAGGAAATCAAGATCTGGGAGCAGCTCGTGATGGAACCACCGTAACCGGGAGTGTTGATGGTCAACCAAGGATCAGCAGATACCGAAGCAGAAGCGGAAGCAGATGCGGAGGACCGGCTAACAGAGCTAGAAGGAACAGCTTTCGATGAAGTGGCAGTTGCGGTAGTCTTCGTAACAGCAGATGAGGCAACACTGGATGCCACAGGCGCAGCAGAAGTGTAGATCGTGGCCAGCGCGAGCAGGAGGGTAATAACGAAGGTAATCTTGCTCATAACAGCCATTGTTGTAGATCGTTGTAAGATGTAGTGTTAACGGCGAAAACTGCGGGCAAGAGAGTGTAACGTTTGGGTGAAAGAAAGTGGTAGCTAGCAAGATAGAATTAGAAAATGAAACAGAGTAAAGAGGATCAGGCCTGAACATACCTGATCAACAGCCGAACGAGTGTTAGGAATAGAAGCGAGGGACGGGTAGCGGTCGGAGAGATTCAACTGAGCTGGGGCCTGTTGGGTTCTTAAGGGACCCTTCGCAAAGGACGACGGATGGTGTACGTATTTCGGTACACCGCGCCTAGAGAGTGCCGTCCATCGGGCTTCGGCAGAGCGCTTGTTTGTTATTTGCCCAATTAGGGAAAATCATTGACTGAGAAAAAAAGTTCGTGAAGGTGATCCATGACGTTAATATAATCGGCTTTGCATTTTGAAGAGATAAACCCTTCTTCCCATCATTTTCTGTAATGTTTGCTGGACTTCCAATTCCGGTATCTGCTTCGTATCCACGTTACTCGATCGCCTCGGAGGCGCGCTTAAAGCAAACGCCGAAGCAAAGACCCTGGGCAAAGCCGCAACACACACAAAAAGCAAGATGGGCCGGCTCAGGACAACCCCACTGACGACTTGACACGTCTTTTGACGATATGTTCACGCCTATACACTCCTTCGTCGGCGGGCTGCTGCTCTTCTCCTCGGTCTCCAACTTTGAGCTTCTGAACGGACGGATACTCGGATGCTCCGGCATCCTCAGAGAGTATGTTTGGGGTGATCACGCACCATGGCGGGCTGCGTCATTGCTCGGAATGGCAGTCGGTACACTGGCAACCAAGTTCCTTGCACCAAGCTATTTGCAGTCAGCGTTGACAGTTTCCGCCACAATCCCTCTTTTGGGCGGGCTGACCGGGGCCCTGCTGGCAGGCGCTCTCGTTGGTGCTGGTACGAAGCTCGCAAACGGTTGCACGTCTGGACATATGCTCTGCGGACTCGCTCGACTGTCGCCTCGGTCCATCGCCGCCACTGTCGCTCTTTTCGCTTCCTCGGTTGCGACGACGTACTTTGTTGGAAGTGCTCCCAGCTCCTCCACACCCCTCTATCAGCCTCTGTGGCCAACACCCGCAGAGCAGCGTGCTCTCATCGGACTCTATGCATTGGCTGTCATTACCTTTCAGAGTATCCGTGCCGTCGGCGCGGCTTACGAGCCGTCCGAAAAGACCAAAGCCGTTCTCCGAAATGTAGCTTCCTTTGCATCCGGCTTGTTCTTTTCTCTCGGTCTTATCGTGTCTGGCATGGTTCACCCCACCAAGACGCTTGGCTTTTTGAACATCACCGATCTCCACAACTGGGACCCATCACTGATGATGATTGTCCTGGGCGGTGTTTTGCCTAATGCCATTCACTACTTCCGCACCATCAAGTCCTTGAAGGCTCCACTCCTCGACTCAAAATGGTGGACTTCTCAAGGAGGCGCGATTGATGTGAAGCTCATCGTGGGATCGTTGATTTTTGGTGTTGGCTGGGGTTTGCGTGGTGTGTGTCCTGGTCCGGCTGTTGTTCAGGCCGTCGGCAATGCGGGTGTGGAAACGTTGGGCTTTGTCGCTGCATTCTTGCTCGGCAGTAAGTTGGTATGAATCAGGGTGGAAACGGAAAAGATGTAGGATAGATCATAGCCGTCGAGGCCGAAGACGTGTACCATGAATGTGCACGCTTCGAGTCTAGGCCTCCTCTTTGACGGTATTGTAGAACGAGAGATAGCTAGATCCAACGATCGATGTTCTCGGAAAGAAATCAATCCAAATTCTTATCAGGCTATCTGTTAGGGTCCCGCAAATCGGGAGTTGAGCAGCAAGACATCCCAGGTGCCAGGTTTTTCATACAGTGCGGCCGACGGGTTACGAACCGCGGCTTGGAACTTTAACCCTGGACCCGCCGCCGTATCATTTGGAAGCTGTGAGTCTGTGCATGTGAAAACAACGTACGTTCGATTTGGCCTCGATTACCAGAACCTTAAAAAGGTCCAGCCCGTCTTGACGCGTAATACTCTCAGTCGAGTGTGTCCATGCTGGGAGAGGAGCATGTCATCCAGTGCGCCTGGCGAATCGTCGCAGAAAAGGCCCTGTCCTCAAGAAGTGGTTTTCACCTCGATTTGACTTACTGTTCATTACACTGACGTTTTGAAAGATAAAAGAAGCCGTGGAGGCATCACAAGAACCTAAACGCACCAGAACGCACACTTTCCCAACGGCGCCTACTACTCCCTCTCAGCAAGCACCTGGTTCCAACACACCAGGAAGAGGACGAGGCATATCACAGAATGTACCGCCTTCAGGGCCAAGAGACGTCCGATATACTACCCAGGTTCAACCAATTCCAGCAAGTCAAACAGGACGCGGAGTACCGGGCGTAATGAGAGGAAGAGGAGGTTATCTGGATGCGCAAAGAGGACGCACTTTCCCCCTGTCCTCTACCTATCCATTCAGTCCCACGAGACCACAGAATACACCAGGCAGAGCTCCCATAGGGCAGGTCCTCCCAGCTGCCGGGAGAGGATCAAATTTTGCTCCTCCCGCACCGCGCGGACGAGGTGTGAGGTCAACTCCTCCAGCTTCGTTGACACCTACTGCAGCACCTAGGCTCAATCGCCCCCCCGTTCTAGCTCAGCCCGCAGCTCAATTGACGTCTGAACCTTCTGGAAACATTGCACAAGAAGCGCCTGAAACTGAAATGATGGAGACTCTGGAGATATCGGATGATGAAACAGACGCTGATGAGTTTCTGGAGGTATGGAGAAGAGTACAAGAGACATCTGTGGTTGGGACACAGCAATCGCCCGTATCTAGAATACCGAGGCATTTGAGAGCTGCTGTGGATGGCCTGTTTCCCTTCCTGCGAGAAGGACTTGAAGAGGAGGAGGAGATCTTGTCTTCGAATACTACCAGGACACAAGTATAGAGGGACAAAACGCAGCTGTTTGAGCATGACATTGGCAACATTAGCTACGGCCAGCGGGTTATTTAGTTAGAGAAACAATCGTTACGTATCGGATGTGCTGCAAGACTATCACACGCGGGCCTTAGTAAATGCTTAGCTCACTGCCTATCAGCACAAGTTCATACTTAAAAAAGAAAGCAATGTTAACCAAAACTAAATGGAAAAAGACTAAACCAAGTGTAATGCCCCTTGAATAACCGTATATCAGCCAAAAGAAGAAAAGAATATACCTGCTTAACTCCCCTCCGTTGTCCTGGAGTGAAAAGAAAAGAAAAGAACCCCTGTAACCGCCGTTATCCGTTTGACACCAAATCCAAACCCAAGATCCGACATGACCGTTCCCTCATCCCATCATGAATACTCGAACCGCGTTATTCTCATTTACCGTAGATCAAACCACCGTGAACTCCACCGATGCCGCCATGGCCAAAGATACCGGTAGGTCCAGTGGCAGCAGGCTGCTGCGGGGGCGACGCTTGATTGAGGGCCACTCCGCCGGAGGGAGGACTTGTAAGTCCTGGTGGAGCATGCATTGCTGTCGAGAAGGCACTCGGATGGTTTGCCATGGCCATAGGCCCACTCATGTTGTTGGGGTTGCTAATCGAATTACTACGAACACCCAACGGGTTCTTGCTAAAACTCAAGCGAATACCACCCTTGACGGAGTTGCTGAGGGGGTTCCCATAGAGCTCCATGAGTGCCTTTGTGGCCCATCTAACATCCTCGAATTCAACGAAGCACATCGGGCCCTGCGCCTTGGTACGGAAACACAGACGTTTGTATCCACGTTGGCGAGAAAAGAGCGCTTTGAGCTCGTCCTCGCTGGTGTTCGGCGGAAGATTGCCAACGTACAACGTATTGCAAGGCGGGTTCTGATCCGCAGGATTGAGGATGATGGGCGGGCGGCCCGGATAATTGGGGAAATGGTTCTGTAAGTAGTTTTGCGTAGACGTAGGAGACATCGGTGGAATTCCGACCGTCGAGGGTCCAGCCGGCGGCGGCATGGACCCGGTGTTAACGTTGAGAGCAGAGAAGCGCGAAACAGGCGGGCTGCTCAAGGGCGGCATACTGCTACCGACACTGCTACTCATGCGTGAACTAATGCTCTCACCCCACGGCGCCGAAGCCGAGCCAGCATTACCGCTCTTGGAAAGGTATCCAAGAGGGTCCTTGACCAAGTCTTCCTCTTCGTCGTCAAAGGTAGCACTCTCCAAAAGGAGATTCTTTCCTGTTCCATAGAAAGGCCTCTCAGAGCGAGGACTGCTTGGTCCAAAGACTTCAGAGAAGAAGTTGTCCGAGTTTGATAGATGATCAACATTTGCGGAGTAACTGTTGTTCGGCAATCCGCCCAAGGTCATGCCTGACGTCGAGTTGCGTTGTTGACTACTCGGTACAGAGTAGAAGGCATCAAAGGCAGACCTAGGCTTGGCAGCGTTCGAAGTCGTACTGGAATTCGAAGAAGAAAGGGCAGCAAACGGTGCACGAGGCGGACTGAAAGTCGAAGACGCCGGAAAAGGCAAAGCTTCGTCAGAATGAGTGCGATGGGCATGCGGATGGTGACCGTTGGCGGCCACGGGCGGCGAAACCTGCAATAATTCCACACGGACCTCGTCCGCTGCGGGATCTTCACAGTCAATCTTTCGCGCCTGAAGGTGGTTAAGGGCATCAATAGCTGCCTGCCCCGTCCTGAAACGGACAATTCCGTGAATTTGCTATGCATACAGTTAGTAAAGGCAGACAAATAGGGGGCAACTTCTCATGACTCACATCATTGAACCGAGCCAACTCAGCACCCATAAATTCAGAAGCAAACATGAATATCAGGCGAAACTCGCGCAAAGTGATGTCTTTAGGGAGACCAGTAGTGATGCGTATTGCTGCATAACGCGGAGAGATGGAGCCAAGGCCATCCGATAGGATCCTGGAGGAGAGGTCGGATGTGGGAAAAATCTCGGGAGGTGACCCCGGAAGGTCGTCGCGCGCGAATGCTGATGCTTGAAGAGTACTGCTAGACGACATGTTGAAAGACACCAGTCCGTATATGCTATGTTACTGGGGGATGATGTGGTGCTGTAGACGCGTCCGACAAAGGTGATTTGCGCGATGAGTATGCGCCGAGGACGATTGAAAAGGTATGATAAATGCGGATGAATGCGCGCTAGAACAGGCCTGATGATCTGTTACTGAGGTTTCTTTCGACTTTTGAGCAGAAAACGAGCGTACTGTAGGTCGACGTACGCGTCGTCAATGGACGCGATAAGACGGACGGAACGGACTGATAAGGCGATAAAGGACGATAACCGTATGCGCAGATGCTTTGGAGCACGATGCGACAGTCCTTAAGTATGCGCCGATGTTGTCGACCAACTGAGAAGACCTGCTGGGATGCGACACGGGCGACGACGGTAGGTGAGGGATAAACAGCGCACGACCAAGCAGGCAGCGTGCGACCAAAGAACCGGCGGGCGGATGCGGGTGCGCAGACAGACGCGAAGGCAGAGAAGCTGGAGACGATGGTGTTTGTTTACGTTTGTGGACACGAGGCCTTTCTTCGCGGGTGATGCTGACTCGTGGTGATGTCTGGGAGTGTGATGTAGACTGCAGGCGTTCGTGTGCGGCGGGGGGGCCCTGGGGGGGGGGACTACGTGTGTTTAGGCCGTCGCCCGCGCGAGATTGGCGGTCAGGGTTTGGGTTGAACGGGACCCGCGCCCACCGCAAGACCGTTCTGCTGATATCACAGCGAGGTATGTCGACGGATGAATGCGGGTGAATGCTGCTGTTTGACCGTGTACCGCGTAGATAGTAACAATGGCTGTTGCTGTGCCGTTTCTCGCTCCGTCGCCTGACCTCCTCCGTGCTTTTCGTCAACTGCACCGTCTTGAGTTGCAGTACTTTCTCTCCGCCGATGGCGCAATACCTTCCACCGGCATCAACCCGACCACACTGGTTCTCTATGGAGAAATACTGGCCGTCGTTACGGGCATTAAACCATGCGTAGCCGGCTGGTTCGGTGGATGCGGTGAAGATCAGGAAGACTATGAGCTGGCGTGGAGAAGCCGACAGAATATAGCAGACGGCTGGATTCGACAATGCTGGCAACCGTGGAAGGAGTTCGTTGCGACGAACGACGAACACCGTAATGCCTGGAGGGAGCTCAATTCGTTCTTGAACACGTTACGTCTGGAGCACATACAACATGACTGCAGTACTGACACTGGTGTTTTCTTCCGTGGCGATCTGGTCATCTATCATCCTTCACACTCATTGAATGAGCATGTATGCCGTACATTTGTTCTTAATGACGACGAAAAGAAGGGAATTGCCCACATAAATGAGGTTGCTTTTCAGGAGGCTTTTGGCTATCCTTGGGCACTGCAAGAAACGGATTCCATGATCGAAGTGGGTTACTTTGAAGTCATTGGCAAAGCATTACAGGTTATAATGACATACGCTTGTGACGAAAACAAGCTCGACCTAGTCAAAGAACATTTTGATAAATGGAGACGTGTTTGGAGTGAATGTGGAACTCACTTGACGTTGGAATGCAGGCGTTTGTAAACGTTGGGGCGGGTCCATAAGACGCAGTTGTGAGCCAATCAGACTGGCTAATGGGGCTTCGAAACAACATCGGTGGATGTGTCAAAGTATCAATTGAGCATTGCCTTCACCCCCATCTTGACGGGATTGCGAATGTGGAACCTTCGTCATCTTGTGCACTCTCGCTGCCTTCGACCAGCATTTGTGCCTCTGAGGCATGGCCTAACAATCGCTCACAGAAGTTTCAGTCGTATTTCGCGACTGCAACACGAACCTACGTGTTTATAATCATCTGCATGAGATGCAGAGAACAGGACGATCTACCGTACACACACGCTACAACCTGAGATTTCTCGGTTTCGTGCGCGGGCCGCGACCGGTACCGGTACCGGATTTGGACGCGAGCCAGAGTAGTAGAACAGATTATATAATCATAGCCACATACAAACAGAAGACATGCAGCCAAATACAATCGGTGGTTCCCTAGAAATTTGGTATACAAGTCCTAAAAATAGTGCCGGCTTCATATCGCAAACCGAGTCCTAGGTATAACCAACCAACCGGTCGCATCAAGGTCCAGCAGAAACTGATATATATTGCGAGGCCGCACATCAACCTTGGATACCGGGATTCAAATATCGCGTTTCAACCTAGAGATCCTATCTGGGTCGGGGCCACACCCTAAACTGTCACAGCGAACACGCCCACGTTCCATTGAAATGCTGGGCTTAGTCCTGAAAAGCTTCTAGCAAAATCCCAGAACGTTTCTAGGAAATTCCAATGTTATGAAGTAGTCCCATGATATATCACCGTGGTCAACCCTACGTTCGCAGAAATCAGGAAATACAAGATCTCGTTTAATCCAGAATTTCTGGATCGTGAAAAATCCACGTATCGTATTCTGGATAACGGGACCCAAATCACAATTTATATCAGCTTAATTCATGGTTTTTGACTCTGTCGGGCAAGTCGTCAAGGTAGTCACAATATTTTCCGAACCTCACTTTCTGCTGGCGATATTCCTACTCGGCCCTTGTACAGAGTGAAAAATCATGAATTAAACCGTGTTTCTCTTGGGCAAGTACGTAATCCACATTAAAGGTTTGGACTTGTCTGGGATTACACATGCATTACGCACTTCATCGTCGATTACTATCCTGGCAGAAATCCCAGACAGAATCGTGGGTACGATTTTTGACATTATCATGGATTAAATCTAGTAAAAATCCCATGAATTACAATCGTGAGATTACCTGTACATCATTGAGCTTTTGCTAACCTCCTAACTTACAGGACAATAGCGATTGCCACTGTAACTCCCTTGGAATACTCATGATACAGTATATTTACCTGGTGTTCTCGCTTTTTTGTGATGATCTGCATTTTTCCGCCTGCTTCTAGGACTAAACCAGGGGTCATCGTGGGTTATGCTGAACTAAATCGTGGAGAGAATGATGGATTATACCGAAAGAGAGTATGAATCAATCATGGATCAACCGCAATAGAATCATGGATTAAGCGGAACTTTACTGTGGATTATGCCCAATGGAATTGTGAAATTATACGGAAAAAATCATGGTTCATGCGGAATAACATAATGCTGTGGGTCCCAAAATCAATGATACGATCATGAATTTAATTCAAACTTCTAAATCTTGGATTAAACGGGATCTTGTAACTCATAAAACTGGGAACATAGGGACGTTCTGGCTTTTCTTTCAGATACATGCGGCCTGAAGGAACACCGGAAAAGCGGCACGATTGTGAGGTGCAAGGATTACCAGGTTGGGGTTAATCTCTGATTTCCTTGTGGACAACCCGCACTTTTGTTGTCTGCTTCTGCATCCGGATAGTGCTCCATGACTAACATTAATCCCGCTCGAATGCATGACCGCTCGTAGAGTGATGAGAATCATGAATTACAAAATCCCGCTTAATTTTTGATTTGAAATTGTGGATTAAGCCATAATCATATCATGGATTTCGGGACCCAAACCGTTATCTTATTTTGCATGATCCATGATTTATTTCGTATTATCCAAAATTCCATTAGGCATAATCCACGATAAAGTTGGGCTTAATCCACGATTCATCCATACTCTCTTTCGGGCATAATCTTTGACTTGTGTATGCTTATGAGGTAGTCAGATACCGATTATACGGCGATTAATCAAGAACGATTATCGGCTTGAGTAACCGAAAAGTCCGGATAATCGGTCGATTAATGCGATTCAAATAAGCCAGACAACGACGGATTCCTCCAGCTGACCCTTGACAAGATCCAAGACGGATTAAACAGCAGAGATAACTGGCCAGGATGATCGCTGCAGCCAGATACCACTCTGTAGGCGACTCCGCGATTAATCGACACAACTTAGGTTTCTGACTGCCCTATCAATCCATGATACGACAACACCCTACGAAGTGACCCATTGTGTTTTCAGATAGCACGTAATCAGTCAGTAGACAGTAGTTAATTGGTCATGTAGTTTACAGAGTAGAGGGCAGGTAAATCACAGAACCCCTACGAACCCTGCGCTCATGGAATTCAATTCTGAGATTTCCATGTTATGGAACATTTTTGCTCATGGAAATTTCATGTGAATTCCACGATACGCTCAAGGAGACTACATAATCACAGTATGTAGATTGCCCGAGCGCATGATGCGTCTGACTGGCTAGGCCGTGGTCGGGTACAATGTATGCATAGTCTTTTGATATCGATAAAACTGGGTAAACCCTAGGCTAGCAGGTACAATACAATCAACAGATCTGCCTCTCAGTTCCTCCAAAAGCCTCCCAACACTTGGCACGCTCCATTCCGTCACATCCTTCACCCAATTGCGTGTCGTCACCAATGCTCCTCAATCACAGCAATGGGCGGACATGGATCATGCTCAGTTCTCAGCAGTGGGTGAACATGTCTGCTGGTTGATGCGTGGACTTGTCCGGACAACATGCAGCCAGTTGTACAATTGAGGTGAAGTTGACGAAGTACCCTACGAGCCCCCCGAATTCGACTGTCACGAATACCTGATTCGTGATTGCACAAATATGGAATAACATATTCCACTTCCAGCAAAGGCACATGAATAAGTCATTCAACTGTACGAAAAACATGAACAAAGTGGGAAAGTTTCAAGTGGAGTGAAATTCCAACTCATGGTACACGAATACCTTATTTGACGGGTTTGGATCGTGAGGTTGGCTAGATTTCAAGGGTCTTCGAGATTCTTCGAGGGAGGAGGGTCTTCGAGGATCAAGGGTCGAGGGTCTTTGATGGATCGACGAGGATCAATGGTCTTTGGTGGCGGTTCTTCGGCCTGCGCCTCTCGAGAGTGACATGTGAGCACTGCTGATGCGCTGGTAAATTTCATCAAGTCCTCAGCACCAACCAGGAACCCACCACCATTAACGTCTCAACCTCTCTGGGTGTCTCACGACTGACTGACCAAAGCATCGATTCCTACACCTCCCTGGTCCTCACCCATTGATATACAAGTCCCTGGCTCTCTCCCATGGAGATCACCAACTTCTACGCCTCCCCGGTCCTCTCCCATCTGTTCTCCCGATGCTGTGGCTTGTATCATTCCAACCCAAACTGGGCACATGATCGCTGTTGCTGAAAGGTTAACATGATGGTTGTTTAATCTCGACACTCTTGCTTAATGTCTCCTCCTATTTGGGTGAGTCCCGCATTTTGTTGACAGCAACAGTAAAACGACTACTCATCGGTTTTTACTAACCCGCTCTGACCCAATAGCAATGAATGTTCGAGGTAGGAAACAGCCTGGAAAGAAGACCTTGCGCACTTCAGGAGCATCAAATCGATACACGTCCAATCGCAGGTTCCAAGATGATCCGGAGTTTGACGTTGATGATGATGATGAAGACGAATAGATGGGACCAATGAACGTCACGTCGTTGCAGTGTGCAGTCATGAGATAGAATAGTACAACAGTGTAGTGTTGGTAAATTGTATAAAAAATTCTACTTCCAAGACGAATTGTCAATCCAGATTGTGCCCAGAATATCCCACTAACTCGAATAACTCTGTTCGTGATACTGGATAATTTTATTCGTGTTTTATAATCGTGTTTAGTAGAATTTGGGGGTCTCGTAGGGTCCTGATTACAAGCAACACTACCCCAAGCCTTCACTTGGATGCAGGACAGAGGACCCTTCCAAGAGGTTGAACTTGACGTGAATTGCTGTGAAGGAACCACCGCCTATGGCTCACATTGGTGCTGGTACGAGGTATCCGTGGGCAAATCAAGCAGAACGATTCGTGAGCGAACTTCGTCCCCCACGTTGCCTGAAGCTGTGGCGACGAGGAACTGGAATGCGATATGCACCGTCATGGGTGATAAATGCCTGCACAAAACATTTGAGGCTTAAGTCTTAACATCAAAGCCAGCGCGGCACGCTACGGGGGTGTGCCGGTGCGTGGCTCATCGATTACATGTACATACTGTACATACTTAAGTACCGTAAAGAGTGTCTGATGCGCGTGCTCCCCCGGCCTGCTCGTCGAATTTTCACAAGTGCGTGCGTCTGGAATCCATTCTGGATCTTCTTCTGGAATTTTCATGAGCAAAAAGTTGCTTCTGGAATTTGAACAAATTGAAAACCAGAATAGTTCCAGAACTTAGTTATGGAAATTCCATGAGGGATGAGACCGTAGGGAACAGCGATCATGTAAATTACAGACTCACACTCAAGCATACCAGCTGCCCAGGGTATACAGCTACTAAACCAGCATGGATCATTGATAAACATTTGCTTGACACTAGGAAGTTGGCGCTCGTGTAAAATCCACGAACGCATGACCAGCATCCGATAGGCTAGGTAAACTATCTCTCAGGTACTGGAATACCATTGCTGACTGTTAATAATACCTAATTTTATCTATGATTGTGCTTCATGTGGTACACTTGACGAAATTCTGTAATCAGTCTGTAAGTTAACATAACGCCGTTTGTCATGTAAATCGGATTACACGTACACAACAGATTACATGACCTTCCCATGATTTACATGTTATTAATGGATTTCCACAATCCTAAATCAAGGATTAAAACGGGATTTTGTAACCCATGCTATCGACACCGAGGCCTGTTCAGCCGCAGTACCAGCCACACTGTGGGGTGCCGATGTCACCAGGCAGCAGCAACATGGACGTCGTTAAAGGCGGCCCATAACATTTGCACGACGCTCGCAGGATGTCCGGTCAATGGTCTGACGAGACTCCTTACAAGCAGGTACTTCTGGAACTGCAGGCAGAGCCGGGGAACAAACGATGCATGGGTAACTCCACCTCATCCATCTAAAACATGTCGTATACTAACTCAGAGTGCTTCAGACTGCGGCGCACCCGCACCCCAATGGGTATGTGCTTTGACTTTGTCGCCAGGCCACACTGACCTGGATTAGGCAAGCGTCACTTACGGAATCTTTGTTTGTCTCGAGTGCTCCGGCGTTCATCGATCTTTGGGCGTTCATGTCTCCTTTGTGAGGTCAATTCAGATGGACAAATGGAAGGATCTCGAGCTCGCGCGGATGAAGGTATATTCGTGCTGTGCTACCTTGAGCTCCTTCATTGACACGACTGTAGAATGGCGGCAATGTCAATGCCAAGGCTTTCTTCGAAACATATGACGAATATCGGGAAGACATGAGCATTCCGGAGAAGGTTTGTATCCCCTTACCAAGGGGACTTTCCGCAAGTTGACCATGAACGTAGTACAATTCTGCCTTTGCCGAGGACTACAAGGAAAAGCTGCTGGCGGTGTGCGAGGGACGAGAATGGGTAAAACCTGAAGGTCCACGTCTCAAGAGGGCTGCGGAACCGGTTCGTTCTACGAAGCAATCTTCTTACCACTCTGGAGGTGGCGCCGTTCCTCAGAAAACAGAAAATGAAGCATACTTTTCCACCCTTGGTTCAGCAAACGCTTGCAGGCCCGAGAGTCTACCACCCAGCCAAGGAGGCAAGTACACTGGTTTCGGCGGCGGCATGGCCCCGGCGTTGACACAGGATGAGGCTGCCATCCCATCATTGGATGACTTTCAGCAGGACCCGGTGAAGGCGTTGAAGTCCGGCTGGGGTTGGTTCTCGAAGAAAGCTGTGGACAGTGCCAAGACCGTCAACTCGACATACATTCAACCTGGAATGGAAAAACTGGCCGACCCCGAGTTCGCGAAGGATACTAGACAAACGGTACTTAACCTGGCTCAACGTGCCCAAGAAACGGGGAAACAAGGTTTTGGTCAGCTCAACACTTCGTTCAACAGGATTGTGGAAGCTCCGAGTTCGCACGACACGGCAAGCTACAGCAGACTGGACACGTCAAGCAATGGGCGGAATAGTAGCCCTTCATATGGTGCTGCAAGCGGAGGCCAGCATACGCGAAAGGCGAGTAACGATTGGGGTGAAGAATGGTGATCATGACGCTTGAGAGTAGACTGGGGAGCATTGCTGTAGTGCGGTGAATATAATCTTGATTCTCAGTTCACAACTCTCAGTCTCAGTGTCACGGATCCACCCTTGATGCTAGCGTTGAAATTATCCAGATAGACAATCTCCTTCGGTGTGATGACCTCGCCTGCAAATCGACGGAAGAGATACGCTGTTGCCAAGTACAATTCGGCCATAGCAAAATTTTGTCCAATGCACATTCGGCTGCCTCGACCGAAAGCTGCAAATGCTGCGGTCATCTGGACCAAGGAGGTATTATCGCCCAACCAGCGTTCAGGAAGGAAGCTTTCAGGATCGGCAAAAGGGGAGGATCGATGCAGCTCATACGCAGCGACGCCAACGATGGCCCCTTCAGGTAGGTATTGACCTGTGCGCTCATATGTCCAGCCACCGGGCGGCACAACTCTTGGTAAGCGACGAGGGACGGGTTGAGCTACGCGGAGGCCTTCTCGGATCGCAGCCGTCAAATAAGGTAACTTCTCCAACGTCTTCAATGTAACATGCGAATCCCTATGCGGCATAACTTCGCGAAGCTCGGACAACAGACGCTCCTGTATGGATTTGGATCTACAAACATGAAAGGCGATGGTCGATAAGGTAGTCGCACTAGAGGCAGTTGGTCAGAATGTAACCAAGCGGTTGTTTGGGAATACCAACCTCGAATCCGTGCCAGCGAACAGGAGGTCTTCAATCTCGGTTTTGATCTGCTGCTTCGTGAGAGGTTCACCATCCGCGTTCGTGCACTGACGGAAGGAAGTAACAACATCGCTCCCATTGTCCTTCAAACTCTGCTCGTATGACTTGTCTGCGAAAGCATCCAGTCTTCCAAAAGCATCCCCTTCTCTGGCAAGCCCCTCCGAATCAAGCAGCGAACGAAGCTTTTGTTTGACGTGGTCATACCACGCATGAAAACGCAGAGAGAAGAAAGCTGTCGGGGCCGATGTATTGATGACATCAATGACTGTGCCCATGGGAGAGTCTAAATCCTCTTCGTCAAGGGTATTCCAGCCTTCTGGGAGCGTGAACGCTGAGATGGAATCAACAGCAAAACATCGGAAGCTCTTCAGAACGTCCACTGCCGCGGATCCTTCTTGGATCAAAGCGTCGAACCGGGAGCACAACTTCGAAACCTTCTCCTGGATAATCGGTTCTCCGATTTGAAGGACATTAGCTTTCGACATCCACGGTAAGATCCGCTTTACTCTGGCCGCATGTGCTTCTCGACTGCGTTCTCCGAATATGGGCGCATGTCCTGCAATTTTGAATGCATCATCTATTGAATCGCGTTAGCTGACTTCGTTCACTCTTATGGTCCGTGCGACGAACAATGGCGAGACTTCAAGAACGTAGGACCATACACTTCTTTCAGAACTTCGGGATCTGCAGGCAGACTGACTTCATTTGGTCCAACACGCACTGCAGAAAGGCCATGCTTCTTGTGATACCTGTGGATGGCAGCAGATCCTTTCCCTTGCATGTCATTCCACAATTGCCATAGATCAGACAAGGCAGCGAGCCGCGGACCCGGGATCGCCGCCAATGGAGACAAGAACCATTGATACAGGACGTAGGGAAGAGAAGCAGCAAGAGCGGTCCATACAATCGTTGCTAAACCAAACATGATGAAAATGATGGCCGGTACCGGTCTTGTATGCGCGCGGTGCACGGACTCTCCATTTGCAATTGGCCGGGGGAAAGTTCAGTAGGCTGTACGACGCTACTGCGGTTTCCCGCCGGTGATCGACCAGAGAACCGTAAGTCAAAGCGTGAATAATAACGCATATAATATGCTCCAGATCATGAGTATAGTAGAGTAATGTAAAGCCCAAAAGATACCACTCTGCAACCTCATTCAGGTCGGGAGTTGGTCGGCCGCGGTAGAGGATTAGAGTATCCCGCCCTCACGAACCAAGAAAATATAAAGCCTGAGCACATTGCTCCCGTCATCACATACAGAACAGCTCTCGGATCTGTCCCCACCGTCCATGAGTAGATAAGCCCCAGCACCGTTGGTGTCACGACACGGGATATCGATTGTAAGACGGACAAAGCTCCAAGCAGCTCCCCAGTCTTCTCTTTGGGTACATGCTTGATCAATGCCGATTGCAACGCAGGACTTCCAAAACCAGCACTTGCTGCCAGCGCACTTGCCAGGTAGTACTGTGCTGTGTTCCCAGCCAGGGCTTTCGAGGCGTACCCAATTGTCTCAACAAAAGCAGCGGCACGCACAATCCAGATATCAAGCCGATCAGCACCACTGCCATGTCTGTCGTCAGACGTCTCAGAACGGAAGTATCGCATGATCAGAGGGAGAACGACTAGCAAGATGAAAACTCTGGTGCTACCGACAATGGAAAGATAGTAACCTTGCTATACTGGACGTTAGCAAAAAGTGTGAACAATAGTCATACCATCAACGTACCTCAAGATCTTGCCAGCCGAACACATAAGTCGGATACAAGACAACAATACTAAAGGCTCCCATGTTAAGTATGAAGACAACTATACTAGCTGTTAGCAAGCATCTCTAAGAAGGTTTGAAAAGGTCACTCACTGTCAATGTATGCCAACAGAAGGAAGTTTCTTCTGAGCCTTGCGGAGGTACCTTCTTTTGAAAGAAAGAATATGCTGATCGGCTTGAAGACATTCAAATGTCGAACATACTGCCAGAATGAGCCGACTCTGCTTCGTTCTTCCTCATCTTGGATCTTCGACGTCGAATACGCGGCCCGAGCAGTCGCCATCCTTCTCTCAGAAAGTGATTCAGGAAGGACGACCCATGCGTATATGATGTAGGCAATATGAACAATCAGAGATGCATAAAACACTACAATCACGTCTCCGAAAGCCTTGATGAGATAGGCACCGACCACCGGTCCGATGGCAATCCCGAGGAATAAACTTCCTGAGATATACCCAAAGGCCACAGCTCTCTTGTCTGGCTTGGTACAGTCTGATGCATACGCATTCGTCGCAGCCATCCCCGTGGTGAAACTGCCAAGGAGACCGTCAATGAACGCTCCAACGATCAAGAACTTCGTCCCCAGAATGTCAAAGTATCGCGCCACCGCAATGATAATGATGTCGTTGCACAGAGCTCCGAACGCCGATAAAAGGATCACCTTCTTCCTTCCGACTCGGTCGCTCCATGCTCCATACCTTGCCGTCGTGTATGCGCTCAATGCTGCCGAGACCAGATTGATCGTCAGTGACAACCGAGCAGCCCTTGCTTGTACTTCGGGTATCCTACACTCCTCATTATTCCCGCCAATGATCACAGACAAACTGGATCCAAAACGCTCCTGCTGATATTCTTTGCACACCAAACTAATCAAAAGATTGATCCGCGGCGCGAGACTTGCTCCGAATGCCAAGGCGATGAAGAGGAAGGCCGGCAGGAGCCAGTAGATTGAACCTTTCCTACGGGAAGGGTCCTGAAAGCTATCCGCTCGATCCCTGAGTAGTGGGGTGTCTGCAGCAACAGGGATCGTGCCTGTAGCCAGCTCCTCAGCGTCGGTCTCCGCTTCGGCGTACTGAGAGTCCATAGCGCCGGGCTGCTGCTGGACGTGAAGCTGGATGTATGCTCAGTCTCTTGCCAGCTGGAGCTTTATAGGACGGTGCTCGATCAACGGCTGGAATGTATGCGGTGTATTTGCCTGGTTGCGAGCTTATCGGTTGATTCTGCGACTCGGAAGCCACTCTGCTCATACCAAGGCTCTACGCTGCAGCGGCAGGCCCGAGATCCGATTGAACGTTTTTATCAGATAAAATCAAGATCTGAACTTGAAAATAACCAAAACCCTAGCTAATAATACAGAACGCCGGATACAATAGCCATCATAAAGCCTAGATGAAACGCCGAACAAGATTCCTCCTTCCCTCACGGATATATCATACTCGCAACATCGTTCTTTGCCCGCCTCAGATCATCACGATCTGGCCCTCTACATATATGTCTTTCATGACCGCCTCCCAGTCAATACGGCGGTATTCGCACTCACCAGCGACGGCAGCGTGGTCGATCTCCTCCTGTCTCCTCAAAACCTCCTCAAGTAGCTGCCTGGTGCGCTCGTAATTGTTACCCACGCTTTGTCCCTCCATGCCAAGCAAGATCGTCAAAACCTCCTCGCGCTCAGCCTGAACCCAAGTCTCGACACCAGCGAGGAACAACGGGAACAAGAGATACCGACGCTCAGAAGCAGGCGCAGTACGACCGGCATAACGCGCGATTGTCAAAACCTCCTCAACATCGCGACGAAGAGCTGGTGTCTGAGGCGCCGATGTGTAAGTGGACCTGAAGAGGTGGATGCGACAGGCGCGGTAGTAGGACATGACCTGGTGAGCCACAATCATGGGCCATGAGTCATCAACAGACCCGGCCTGGTTCATCTTCTCACGCATTTGATCAACACCGGCAGACCTCGTAGCCCAAATGGCATCAAGTTCCTTCCCGAGCTCCTTGAAGCGGGTGATCTTCTCCTCGTCAGTACGGTTCTCCTGCTTGGCCCACTTGGCGAAGTTCCACAGTTGAGAAGCCCAGATAACCATGTTTTGGAAGAGCTTATACATGGGACCAGCGAGCTTATGCTCCTCGATCTCTTGCTTCGTCTTCTTCAACGTTGGAAGCATCTTGCCCTCACCGGCAATCGGAAGCATATCCTGCTGAACTAAATCCTGAATCAACCTGCCGTCACCGCCAGCGGACATGGCTGCATAACTGTCAAGCAGTCCGAGCCACCAAGTCAAGAAGCGACCTTCCCGGTTACGTTGCTCATCCGTCAAGAGCCTTCCTCTTGCCAAAATGATCTCACGCGCACCCTTCAAGTGCTGCTTCCACTTGTCGTTCTCCGCAGCCGTGATTTCGTACAACACCAGTAAACAGATCGTCCCCAAAGTGCCATCCTGAAGCTGCAATTTGGGGTCACCAAGACTCTGCGACAACATGGTTGCGGCTTGATTGTAGTGCATGAGTGCCTCGAGAGGAATGCTATCTTTCATCTTCGACATATTCAAAGCAGAAATAGCAAGGATGGCATGAGTAACTGGCGGCGAATCCTTCGCCAACTCAACAAAGATCTGCACAAACGGACTTCTTGGCCCACGGTTCGGCGCCATCAACTTTGGTGCGACGACGCGGAGGTAATGCACTAACAACTCACGATCCAAGAAAGTTTGAACACCTCTCGGTGCAGGTTCAGTCAGCTGAAGCCTAGCACTCGGGCTTTCCAGCTCGCAAATACTCGCCAGAGGAATGACTCCGGTGCTTTTAGAAACAGTGGCAGACGCTTTGGCAGTAGCAGAGGATGGCGGCTGTCCAAAGTATGTCACGCTATTATCGATAGTATGCGTGATGACGATATCTGAAGGTGGAAGAGCTGCGAAGCTCGGTGATGGGGAGCCCGGGCCTCGAAGCGATCCAGATGTGTCGGACTCGGTGGTTGCCGGTGTAGGCAGAGAAGTTGTCTGACTTTTGTCACAGCCCATGTCAACAGGCCGAGCGTCTTCGTTGTAGTACACTGCCTCGGCAGGTTCGTCGTCATAGTTGTTGTCAACCTCCATTGGCTGGAAGTGTGTTTGTACGGGTGGGAGATAGGGTTGAGGCTTGCGTTGGTGGTAAGGATGCTGGTGATAGTTCGGAGGAGGTGGGTACCAGTGCTGGTGAGAGGAATACTGAATGTGAGCGGCTGGAGTAGGATCAACCAGAGCATGAATCGATGTCCGAGGAGGAGGGCCAGTAGGAATGACGCCAGCCATGGCCAGCAGCCCTTGCGTAGCCAATTCACCAGCGTCCAGCGTTCTTCTCCTCTTCTCGACGGACGACTCGGAAGATCCACTCCCGAGTCTCTTTTCACCTCTCGGCAGTTGTTGCCAAAGCTGTTCTTGCCGAGGCGAGTAGGAGTTGCGCGAGCCACCCTCCTCGTTGTTGTCAGAGTCATCTCCATTCTGATCGTAGCCCTCGAAGCTGGTGGCATCGAGGATGATATATTTCGTTCCGGGTGTACAGTATTCGAGTTCGAGATGCGGCGGATCATCGGACATAGGTGACGAAATAGATGGTCGTCGTAGAGCGTAATGCGGATCGAATACGGGGTTACCGACGGTGGAGGTAACGCTCGCCATACGCTTCATGACACGCTGCGTGTCATCTCTGAACGAGAACCTCGACGAGTAACCCTCGCAGTGAATCTGTAATCGGCTGCACTGACCGCATGTAGGCCGTCTCTCATCGCACTTGACTTTTCGCACACGACAAGTCCTGTTTGGCATCGGTAAGCAGCCGGATAAAAGGGAAAGTGCAGTAGAGGAGCATTTACCAGCAACCGCTCTTGCTTCGTGGAGCCTTCCTGCCGTTTCCCGAAGTAGCGGAAGCACCGGCGGCAGGTGAGGGCATCGTCTTTCTCGACGCAGCAGCCGAAGACTTTGTGCTCGTTGAAGTCGACGAAGGCATGAACGGAGTTGTCGATGATGGTATTGATGATTGTACTGGGGTATATGCTGTTTGTCTTTGTCCATCCGCCCAGCATCTTCAACCTACCGGTCCCCGTTGACCTTCCTGCTAAGCCTCAACTCTTCTACTAAAAGTCGGTGATCGTAGCCGAGCCCTGCACGATTGGCGCGTCTGAGCCTCCACCACATGAACAGCGAATGCACCTCGGGAAATTCAGAGCGACCAGCGGTTGGAGACGGGGAGCTGGACGATGAAGGATGCCGCTGCTTGGTTCTACGGATACATGCTGTCTCGACTACTGCTACCGCATGCCCGTCCATGGCAGCCGACAGAGGCCATTCCGACCAGCACACCGGCGGCGGGCATCGATCCATGGGCAACTACGGTCAAGGCTGTGCTGCTACAAAGTGAGGCTTGGCTGCGCTCCTTGCCGGTACCACGCACACCCACTTGGGGAGCGCGCGCTCTGCAAATCTGCTGCGGTTGCCCTTTTCTTGACAGCCCCGCGCAAACACGGAGGCTTACACAGCCGATACAATCTGAATCTGAATCTGAATCTGAATCTGATACCGTCCCCAGGAGTGATCGCGATCGCGACAGTCAGGCAATTGGGCACTTCATGCGAGTTCGTCTTTTACTGTACTCCCGCTTCTTCGCCGTCTGCTCGGCGACTTTCCTGAGCACCCTTTGCCCCTCTTGCCCCACGTGATTCCCAGGGGCCGTACCTCGCCGCCTACACCCGTACAGGCTGTCTCGAAGGCAACCCTCCCAAACGACGCAATACTCCTTTCACGACAGCATACATTCACTTTAAGCCAGCATATACCCCGAAAACAGGTGTATAAATGAACTCGACCACCTTCAGAACCCCTTCTCCAGCATCGGCGCCTGCCAACGGACAAAACAATGTCAATGGCAACTACACTCCACGCGTCGTTCCTCTCACGTATGCAATTCCTTTCCAATGACTGGACTGAATGCTAACATTTAACGCAGCTGCTCTGGTCACACTCGCCCTGTTCCCTACCTTCACTTCTCCGACTTGATTCCCCAGGATGAGGAGCACCCCTACTACTTTGTTTCCGCTTGCAAAGACGGCAACCCTATGATCCGAGACGGTATGCGTGGTGACTGGGTCGGTACTTTCCTCGGCCACAAAGGTTGCGTCTGGTCCGCCAAGATTTCCGGAGATGCCGCGACAGCAGTTACCGGTTCAGCAGACTTTACCGCCAAGGTATGGGATACCTATAACGGTCAAGCAACGCATACATTCCACCACAATCACATCGTCCGCGCCGTCGACTTCCAACACGCACGCAAGGGATTGCAATCCGAAAACATTGTTACCGGTGGACACGAGAAGCTTCTGAGAACGTTCTCGTTGGCAGAGGGAAGGGACGAACCTACCACTACTTTCAGTGGTAGTCAGGGAACGATCAAGAGCGTTAGCTGGACTACCTCGGAAATCATCATCTCGGCTGCCGAGGACAAGCAAGTACGATGGTGGGATAACAGAATTGGAGAGGAGATTGCTGCGTTCCCAACTGGACCAGGTGAAGACATCACGAGCTGTGAAGTGACAAGGGATCGCCGTTACATTACCGTTACGGCTGGCAAGAAGATCTACTTTATCGATTACAAAACCAGGGAGTGTGTCAAGACCGTCACCACCAACTACAACATCTCATCTGTGGCCCTTCACCCTTCGCAGTCTCACTTCGTCACCGGTTCCACCGACGACACCTGGGTTCGTGTATACGACTTCGAAGGCAACGAGCTCGAGGTCTACAAGGGCCACCACGGACCCATCTGGACCGTGGGATTCAGCCCTGACGGAAGATTGTACGCAACAGGCTCCGAAGACGGTACAATTAGATTGTGGAAGTGGGGCCCCGAAGCCTACGGATTGTGGAAATAGACGAGTTGGCGGCGAAAGAAGCACGCTCAAAGGCAAATGACAAGATCAAACGGGGTACAAGGATCTTTCGGATATTTTGCATAATTGGTTTCACGGAGTTCATTTGAGGTTAGCTTGGCTATTGCATTACATTCGTTTCAACACACTGCTTATCGTACAATCCCTTTTTCTACCCCCTTCATCAATTCGAATGCCTCGAGTCAATGGCCCATTGTTCCAGTTCTTGCAGGGATAACCCGCTGTCGCGGACCATACTTTCGTCGCTAGAGTTCAGCACGAGTTTGGGAACTGCGTTTGCCCCAATCCTTCCCTCTTTGTGTGCGGTGAGTGCCTCGACCCAGCGCGAGACGCAGAGACACCACTTGCAATCCTGCTTCAAGCCGACCTGGCGAAGGTCGTTTCCTCGTGATGCACTAAAATCGAGGAACTCTTCCGTCACAATGGCAGCGGCTGTGCATCGTCGTGTTAGCTTTCATCAACAGACATCGAACAGGCTATGTGCACCTGTATGACGACCAGGATCCATCGGGGATGCCCTGCAATACCCATCGCGGAAGAACCCGGTCAGAGGAGCTGTAGAGTGAACCTGAAGAGGCGTTCCGAGGATAGAACGAGCTGCGTTTATCGATGCTGATCCAAGAGGAATGCCCATTTTGTCAAAGGTGTTTGGCAATGTTGTGTCGGGGTGCTGTTTGCAACGTTGGTGGTTATCGCAGGCAGCCGCCCGATTTCGCGATGGGAAACGTCATACATATCGAGGTCGACAAAAAATGCATGGATTTTGGAACGAACGAAAAACAAGTAGCTAAACGATACGAAGAGAACATTCAGACATTTCAAGCCCAAGCACCGGAAACAACCTGACCCTTCGACTTGAACTCGTTCACCCTCTGGAAATACTCATCGAAAAGGTAGTGAGTATCCTCCGGTCCACCCTTCGCCTCAGGATGGAACTGCACAGATGAGATAGGACGAGTACGGTGCATAATACCCTCATTCGACTGGTCATTAGCATTAACCCAGCTCTCAACCCAGTCCTGACTCAGAGTGGTAGTGTCAACAGCATATCCATGGTTCTGGGAAGAAATGGCACAAAGACCAGACTCCTTGTGAATGACAGGGATGTTGTGAGCGCGGTTGCCGTACTTGAGCTTGATCGTCTTAGCACCGCCAGCGAGAGCCAAGAGCTGGTGACCGAGACAGATACCAAAGATGGGACCCTGATAGTTGTCCATGACAGCCTTCAAGTTCTCGACGGTCTTGGTGCAGTGAGTCGGGTCACCGGGACCGTTGGATATGAAAAGACCATCGAACTGGTGGATGACCTCCTGAATGGGGTAGTCCCACGGGAAGACGGTGACATTGGCACCACGGGCAGCGAGACAGCGAATAATGTTCTCCTTGACACCGCAGTCAATCAAAGCAACGTTCAACTCACCACCAGAAGAGACGTGGAAGGGCTCCTTGGTGGAGACGGTCTTGACGAGGTTGACGGATCCGGGGTCAGTGAAGGCATCGTCCTGTTCAGCGTCGTACTCCTCACCAATGTTGATCTTGGCAAGGGAGGAACCCTGTTCACGCAAATGGGTAACAATAGCACGAGTGTCAACGCCAGAAACGGCAGCAACACCCTCACGAGCGCACCACGCACCCAACGACTCAACAGCAGTCCAGTGAGAGTACCTTTTGGCATAGTCAGAAACGACAATACCAGCACACTGAATCCTCGGAGACTCAAAGTGCTTCAACAGGTTAAACTCATCGCGGACACTAACGGAGGGGACACCGTAGTTTCCAATCAACGGCTGAGTGAAGACCAAGATCTGTCCACGGTAGGATGGATCAGTCATGGACTCGGGGTAGCCGACGAGGGAGGTAGTGAAGACGGCTTCACCAGAGATGTTGCGGTTAGCACCGAACGAGGTACCATGGAAAACCGGACCATTACGGATGGTAAAGGTAGCGCGGTCTCCGAGGTCCTGAGGGGTGGGCTTGGAGTGGTCAGGGATGACGCGACCGGTCGGGGTGGTGGCAACGGAAGCGAGGGTACGCTGAAGAGAAAGGAATTTCAAGGCCGGAGCCGAAGAACGGCGGAAGAGTTTGGTAGCAAACATGTGGTTTTTGATAATATAGGCGGTTTGATGAAGGGATCGGTCTTAACGAGCCAAGGTCTTCCAGACTGTAGGACGAATCATCAGTAAACTGCTCAACTGATCCAGGATGGAGCAGAACGGACTATGGTCAGAAATGTAGTCGCTTCGAGTGTTCGAGTTAAAGATCATATAGCAGAGGTTCCCTGCGATATAGATCGTCGATGCTTGGTTGTTCGGGTGCGATTGCAAGTGTAGCGGTGAGTCGACGTCGAGGACTGATAACGACTCCGAGGGCTCGAATTCGCTCCGTAAGGCGCGACAAACGTCACCCTGATTAAAAAAAAAAAGAAAATGAAGGAGAAGAAGGAAAAGAAACCCCAGAGGGAACAGCCTCCTCTGCCCGACAAGGTGCGCCCCTACTGCTTGTAGCTCATGGATCTAATACTAGCCGCCGTAGCCTTATCAATGCTCATTCTTCCTTGGAGTTCGCAAGAACAGATACTGTGCATTCCCTACCCCCTTCTCCACAGCAAGGTTCTGCCGTCAACATGATCCCGATGCGTTGAAGGTCGACCAAGGGAAGCATAAGCGTGTACCGTGTCCGCTTGATCCGTCGCATACTGTTGCGGAGAGGGAGTTGAAGCGGCATGTGAGGAAGTGCAATGCTAAGAAACCGGACGTGACGCCGCCTTGGTTTGCGGAGGATATCAATACTGAAATACCGCCGGAGGGCATTGTGCAGGGTCCGTTAAATGGGCTCGGACGAGACGGGTTTGCCGAGTTTGCTCAGCTCATCCGTGAAGCGTACGCTTCGGTGTTTGCCGACAAACCTATTCCACTGGAGCAGTTATCGCATCCCGCACTCGAGTCACGGCTGGAAGAGTTGACAGACACGAAGCACGCTATTCAACAATCATCACTGATTGGTCACCTGAAACGCCTTGATCTGTTGTCCGACGAGAAGACGTTTGTTGAGTTTGGATGTGGTCGCGGTGAATACACTCGATATGTCCATAAAGCTCTTATGTGCGAACGAGAATCATCCCATTCGACTGTCAGCGAGGAAAGGGAAGGTCCGAGGTTTCTGTTACTGGACCGCGCAGCACAACGTCTAATCTTCGACCGCCAAATCCCTCTCGACGCACCAGACAACCACCCAAAACCCAACGTCACCCGACTCCGTTGCGACATCAAAGATCTCCGTCTCCAACAAGCCACCACAACTGATACCGATACGACACAATCACCACCATCAATCGTCGCAATCTCAAAACATCCTTGTGGTGCGGCCACGGATTTGTCGTTACGATGCCTCCTCGACCCCTCCATCGCCCCCAACGTCCACGGAATCATCTTCGCCCTCTGCTGCCACAACGTCTGCTCACCCGACTCCTATCCCCTCGCCTACCTCCCCACCCCTCTCACACCATCCCACTTCCACTACCTCTCGAAGGTAACATCCTGGGCAGTCTCCGGAGTTCGGGAGAATATGTCACTCGATGATGGGGCGGAGGGACATTGGACAGGTCTTACGCTGGGCGAGAGGAAGGAGTTGGGGTGGATGGCAAAGAGGGTTATGGATGAGGGTCGGAGGAGGTATGTAGAGAGTCGGGGGGAGTGGGAGGAGTGTCGGTTAGTGGAGTATATCGGGGCAGGAGTTACTGGGGAGAGTGTTGCGTTGATGGTGAGGCGGTAGAGTTTGATAGGACCATCGATGTTGTTTGTTTGGAATCATCGAATCAATGTTGTTTGACAGAGAACCACCTCGTTGACGTTTTCCACGCCCTGGCCAACGTCCTGTGCCTAGAACAACAGCAACAACACCAACACCAACAACACCAACAACAACAACTCTCTCCAGGATATCTCAATCCTAGAAGGAGTCATCCTCAGCCTGTCCACGCAGCATCGCGACGACCCACGCTGTCATGATGAACCAGTAAGCCAAATCCGAACAAACCATCCCATCGATAGGTTGTCATGGTGTTCAAAGAGAGGCCTGAGAACATGTGTATGAACTCGCTTTGACGCGTGCGTGGACGAAGCACAAAAGCTCAATGATGAAGATCTACGATTTGGAGGGAGTCGCACCTTGAGGTTAAGGTCGTGCTCTCCGACGGGTGTCTCGTTTGAAACCCGATGAACACATCAAGTACAGATATCTGAGAGCTGAATGTGATATGAACTGAAATGTTTTCGAAAAACGCCAGACCCTTCCCCAGAACCGAACCAAGATATATCTTGATATCACGACCTCCAATACTGCGTCATCGTATGCAACCTATCAATAACCTGCGGAAACAGCGCATTAACACTATCATTAATCAACGTCTCAAAAAAGTTAATCGCTTCCTCCTCACTCATCTCCAAACAGAACTTATCCTTGACCTTCGTGACGGCTTTATCAGGCTCGATCTTGATGTCCGGGATATTTGCGTCGACCATGAGCGCAAAGAGGTTCAGGATGAGGTTTGCTTGTTTTCGGAGGGTTGTGAAGGCGGTGTAGCAGTAGCTCTTGAATTGTTTGTAGTATTCGGATTGTGCGCCGCCCATGCCTTCGACCATTTCTTTGCAGAGCTTCATGGCGGGCGGGAAAGGTTTGGGATCCCGACCTAATATGAACCCGAAATCGATATGGAAGAAGTGCCCGTCGGGACTGATGAGGAGATTATCCAGGTGTCGGTCCCCAACACCCAGGAGATACGTAATGACACAATACCCAGCTATTCATACATTAGCAACGTTCAACACGAACTGGAAAAGGAAACATACCACAACTCTTGACATACGTATCCATCGCCTCCGCCTTCACCCCAAACCTCGCCCCTGGATCCGGATTATTCTTCTTCATATACGCAAGTACACTCCCGTTAAACTCCACCAACGCCGTCGCAATAGGCATACTCGGCACGAATTGCATCGCACCGTGGGTCGGTCCTGTCGCCAATACGCGGTATGGCGTGAGCTTTAGGTCCAGATTCTCCTTTAGTAGTAGGCGATCCATGAGGCGGATGATCTGAACGACGAGTTGATCCTGTCGTAGGTCATCACCGGTCTTGAAGATAACCGGATACGTCGATCCATCATCGCATTTGAAATCCAATCTGAGTGGTAGCATGCTACTCTTGAAGATAGTCGCTGTGTCCGGAACGATCCCCACAATCGACAAGCTGGGATTCAGAGGTAACGGCAACGGCTCAAACTGCGCCATACCATGCTTCGGATCCGCCAAATAATGCCTCAACTTCTCGATCTTCTTCGGTCGTCCATCCTTCGAAGACCGCAATGATTGTGATAGCTGTGCCAGATCGGCTACGAGACCTGCTTGTCGCTTCAACACGCTTCGCCGTTCTTTGCCGTCGGGGCGCTTGACCAGTGTCGTCATGAACTGATGCGCAACCTTCGCAAACAACCTCCCTTTACTCCGATCCTCACACTCAACCATCAAATACCAATGAAAATGAATTCCCAGAATCTCATTTTCCACCGCCCTTCCCACCAAGAAATCCGCTAAACTGGAAGCCTGCTCCCCCTTGCCATCTTTATCTTTGGCGTCCACCGGGATGTTCTCAAACTTCAGAGCTTGCACGAGCTGTAGTAGATACAGCAAGATCTCCTCATCATCTGACTTCTGCAACCGTTGAACAGCATACGACCTCACCGCCACATTCGTAAACGACGGCCCAAGAAGCTCCAGCGCATCATCAACATCAATACTCGACCACCTCGGCAACAACTCCGCAGCCTGCCGTGCCTCCGTTGAATCACTCCACGTAACACTCTTCACAAATTTCGTCAACGCTCTCTTATCCCTCGTCAAGAAATACCTAAACTTCCATAACAGGTCTTTTTCGTCGCCGGAGAGTTCTTGACTGCTGGGAAGCTTGATGATTTCGTTTAACTCGTCACGCGTCTTTGCGTCGGGTTTCATGTCGCGGTCCATTGGTCCATTCCGATGACTTCGGGTTAACCGTCGGTGTTTAACCTCGATAGGATTCTCCCTCATCATTTCCGGATCAAAGACTGTGACAAATCGTCTGTCATCCTTTGCTGTCATCTGATTCTGGTAGGGAAGTGGGACAGGGGCGGGCATGGAGTCGGTTATCGAGGGGTAAGTGTACGAGTGGTGAACAATCGGAAAGTCGAAGATGGGGAACTCGAGGTAAAGATGCCGGACGTTGTCTTTAGTGTTTGCGCGATTTAGACGTTCGAGGTGCTGGAAGGCAAGGGCGTCCATCCAACCAATCTGAGGAATTTCGGCGGCGTCTTGCATCTTAATGAGCTGCAACAGTTCGTTAGCAATCTTTATAGTAGACCGAAGCACTGTATTTACCTTCTCTAGACGGTCCAGCTCATCAGACGCATCCGGGGTATGAGGTGTTGACGTATATGCCGATCCATCCGCTTCCTTCCCCAGATGTATCTTCAGCTTCTGCCGTCCTTTCCTCAAGGTACCATCATCCTCAAACAGCGGTAAAGTTGCTCCACCAAAAGGCACATGCTGAATATCCGCAGAGTAGTCCCATAACGTCACCGCCAGCACGGACGTGCGTGGAAGATCGGAGTACTTGATGGGCAGTGTAATCCACTCGTTCCATCTGTAAAAATGTTAGTCTAGGTCAATCCTAGTGAGAATAAGTTCTCTTACAGCCGCCGTATCTTGAAAGGTTTGTATGACGTTCGTATCGGTACCGTCAAAGGCTTACTCTCCGCGAATAGTTGCACCGTCGCATAAAGCTCCGACACCGAACTGTGAGCAGCGGGTTAGTCATAGAGCATCATATGACAATGCCACCACACACTTAGTATTAGAGCCGACATACTTCAGCTCCGGATTGGCGTGTAACTGTGAGTACGGCAGCTGCTTCGACTGCCCTTCAAGCGATGCTCTGATCCGTTCCCGTTAGCACACATCCTCCAGGTTCAGGGCAGGGAGAGCAGCATACACTCTCAGATACACTGGTATGTCTAGCTGGGTGGAGTAGCAGAAGGAGAACGACTTCTCCTCCATCGATGTCGATTCGACCTCCAAACGATTTCGTTGCAACGAGCTGTGTTTACGAGGGTGCGCGTTGGACGGGACCCTGCATGGACGAAATGTACATTCAAGTCATCCTCTCAAACTTTATTTTCTATATAACTCATAGACGAGGTTTGATACTTCGTCTCTCCTTCTCCATCAGGACGTCGTTGTGGGTCAAGCCGCTGAATGTCCACAGCTTGCGGAACTGCTCATCATCCACGTTCAACTTGAGCCGAGCGGATGATGGTTTTCCATGTTTCACGGCCTCAATCGCCCCAGTCAACAAGCCAACTGGCAGAGAAAAGTTCACCGTAGGGTATATGTGGCCTTCTTGAGTCTCCGCGTTGGCCGTGATCAACCCAATCAATCTACCATCTTCTGTGAAAAGTCCCCCGCCGGAACAACCATTGTGACAAACGGCGGACGAGATGATCATCCATGGCGTTGCACTTTCATCAGAATGTCTTTTCATCTCAACAATGTTTGATACGATTCCAGCACTAATCATGGGTGGGCCTATTTCCTTGTCAGTACCGGTCTGGCTATGCGTGGGAGACTCACCATCGGGCCCGACGTAGCCACCAAAACCAACAGCATAAACCCTGGATCTTCTCGTCATAGCTTGTTCGTGCGTAATGCGAGCATTTACTGCTTGCTCTGGTGGATTGGGAATCAATAAAATGCAGAAGTCCGCCGTGGTAGAGCTGTGCAGAACCTGGCAGTCGAGATGCCACTACACATCCGAGTCAGCCGTATGTCTTTATGGTACAGCAGTGGCCCGTACCTCCTTTGAGACGCCGAAACGCACTCGGATATTAGTGGAATATTCGTTTACAACATGTGCATTGCTGATGCACATCCCATTACCCACACAGATAGCTGAACCCCACTGCGACTTCCCCGACGTGACCGCCTCAACCTTCAGTATCGTCCACGACGCAGTCATATCCATCACCTCAGAGACCCTATTCGTTGTACTCAACTGTTGCGACGCAAGCCATGCGATTACCATCGGCCGAGTCAAGTTCCGTGATACCGCGCTCATCACCGTATGCAACGGCACAACTAACGTCAGCTCAATCGGATCTACGCACCTCCTTACCACCCTCGGCAACACCAAACCAATGGCATCCCCTCCCTCCGCACACACCACCATGCCACCCTGCATCCCCGCAAAAGTCCTCGCATCCACCACATACAACACGCCCTCAGATCGCGGAGCGGTTAGTTTGGCAGAGATTATGCACTGTGTGGTGTACCCAATGAATGTAGCCGGATTGACCAGTGAGAACGGGATGCCGTGGATGTGGAGTGGGGTACAGAGTGGTGGATCAGTACATATCCGGCGGCTTGCGGTGTTGTTGGCGGAGGAGTGGAGTGGGTGGTGGAGGCGGAGAATTGCGATACCGGTCAGTCCTATGCTGTCCATAGATCCTGATGAGAGGTCGGAGAGATTGGTGCGCGGTAGGGGCACATCAGAGTAACCGACATGCCAGCCGGAGGGGTCAGAGGAGATCAGATGCGTTATCACGTTTCGGATATCTGTGAGATGCTATCAGCCTGCTATACTGAGGAAGACTCTGAGCACTAACCTGGGAAGTCAACGACGGCTTTCAGAGTCGCCGGCACCCATCGTACTTCTGTGGATGTTACCGAGGCTTCACCCGCAACTTGAACGGTGACTCCGTTCGCTAGCCGTGTCGATTGATCAAGGAGCGGCACAAGGATGGACGCACTTGACAGACGTCAAAATCAACCCTATCATGAAAGACAGGTTTAAGAAGAACCTCGTAATTACAATGCCAGGCTCATGCTCTTGAGGCTGTAACAGGATACCGGAGCAAGCCAAAGAAGCACGCTTCCCGCCTGAGGTATAGAACTGGAATGCTCCCAGCGTTGATTCTTCCAGATCCGCCTCGACCTTGACGCAGACGCTGGTGAACATTCTCCTGCTGGTTAAGATCCTTGTTGCTTGGGTGGATATAAAGTTTGGACTTGCGCTGCCCGCGGCACGTCCCCTGTTCGGCGCGCTCATCGAAGAACGGCCGCCGACAGACTCCCCTCAGAAAAAACCTTACAACCAAGTCCAGGATCTAGGTTCGCTCAGGATGAACTCAATCCGCTCCATACAAAAGCTAAACGCTGCTCAAATTGACCTCCCGGAATCCGCCTCCTGGCATGCCGACTACAAAGACTCTGCGTACATCTACGTTGGCGGCCTCCCCTACGACCTCACCGAAGGAGACATCGTCACAATCTTCTCCCAATACGGTGAGCCCGTCGACATCAACCTCGTCCGCGACAAGAACACCGGAAAGTCAAAGGGTTTTGCGTTCATCAAGTATGAGGATCAGAGGAGTACCGTGCTAACCGTGGATAATTTGACGGGAGCGAAGGTGCTAGGAAGAATGTTGAAGGTTGATCATGTTAGTCAGTATAAGCAGCCAAAGAAGGATGGAGAGGAAGACGATGATGATCCGAGACCAGTGGCAATGAATGTTGCGCCGGAGCACATCCGTGAGCAGGAGGGTGCGAGGAAATCGAGAACAATGAGCGAGGCACCTGGTGGCATCAAGGAGGACGTGGACGACACTTGGGCTGGTGATCTTGATGTTGAGGACCCAATGAGACAATATCTCGTTGAAGAACGGCGGAAACAATTAGCAGAAGCAGCAAAAGAGCGCGAACGGTCGGAACGGAAGGGAAGCTCCGGCAGACGTCACAAAGACGAAGATAAAACCGATAGGGATGGACGACGAAGAAGTCACCGCAGCAGGAGCAATGATACAACACGAAGACGAGATCGCGACAGGAGTGGTGAAAGGGAGAGGACATCTGATCGAGGTCGAGAGCGGAGGCACCGGAGTAGAAGTCCACGAGATGAGCGTAGGAGTAGCAGAAGGGAGGATCATAAGAGCGAGAGGAGAGATCGTGATCGCAAGGAAGATGACAGACGGCGAGAGAGGTTCTTGAAAGACGATCGACGTCGCGATGAGGCCAAGAGTAGTTCAAGACGGCGAAGCAGAAGTCAAGAAGAGGAGCGCGCACGAACCAGGGAGTGATATTTCAACAGTAATGATATTATATGGCAGGAAAGCAACGAGCGAGCGTATCCTACCACCTCTTTAACCTATATAGGTCCGGTTATCTAGAAGCATGCCCCATACCGCATACACCTTCTCATAATGTCCCTCCAGAAAACAACAAATGACGCTAAACTCCGGCTCAAACCCAATAAATAATACAAAACACAACAAATTAGAACCCACGGTTGTGTAACATTGTCGAGACAGCCCTGTACATCTCCAAAACCTCAAATTGAATCTCTTCCTTCCCCTTCTCACCCAGGCCCTTACCTCCAGGACGTCCTCTCAAGTCCCAATGATCGCACTCGAAAGTGTCGATGTATTCTCCCCACGTCGCACTCTTCACACTAACAAGTCCATCGTTGTCGCGGCCCTCGTTTTCGGTGACGACGTGATGCGGAAGGTACAGCGGATGCCAGAGAGTGATCTTGCGAGCTTCAGGTACGCGAGCACCAAAAGAAAAGTAGCTGACATTCGGGTTATCCGGAGTCCGAGGATTAAAGACCTCACGCATGAAGTTCGTGGTCAAGTTGGCATAGGCCGGCGTGTCCAGCAAGCGAGCAAGGTATGACGCCGTGAAGACCGTCGCACTTAACGGCGAATTAGACGGACTTGGCGATGGTTTTTGCTGTGGTATATCACTTCGCGAAATCCTTCCCAATCCCAGATAATCCCGACACCAATCCATGAACGCAGAGCCTTGATGTGGTGTTGATAGGGTTGTCAAACTGACGGGTCGATAACTCGCTCCCTTCTCCTTCGTGATGATGTTCGCAAGTAAATGCCGAACATCCAGTCCACCCATACTGTGCGCCAAGAAGTTCAATTCGGTTCCCTTCTCTACCGTCTTCTCCAGAAACTCGTGCAAAGTTCGTGCCCGCTCCTCAATCGATCCGGTGGAAGGCACCTTTGTGACGATAACCGTGCAACCAAGCTTCGTCAAATCATCGTAAATGCCACCCCAATAATGATAGTTCAAAGCGGGAATTTGCGGGAACCCGATCTTGTCGAAACCGTATAGACCGTGGCACAGCACAATTGCTCTTCGCGCAGGCCTGTATGCCTCCATCACGGGCGGAAGGAATTTCCATTTGATGATTGGCTTTGGCGGCTCTGGCTTCTCGTTCTCCGACTTCTTGGGTAAGACGACTCCACCGTCTGGGTTTCCGTCCTTGTTGAGATAGGGAATTGCGATGCGGGATGCCTTGCTTGCGACGACTTCCTTTACAGACGCCGCGACAGTGCCGACGACATGCTTGATATATGATGGTAGTAAGTAGGATGACATTGACGACCGTGATAGTTATCGCCGCCACCCCCGTTTGTGTTTGATTGACTGGATATATGCTGGGTTGACTGGGCGTTGCTTGGTGTTTACCCTCTTCCTTCGAACCGTGCACGGGCGCTCGTTCGAGGGAATTAAAGTGGTTGGGGATGGACGTTCGCCACTGCAACGTCATTGCAAGGGTCTGTCAGAAGGGTGCATTCACTCTGCCAATACTGTTTGATTTACGATTCAAATAAAGTGCTCGAGCGGAGTCTCCAACTCATGTACAACGCTCAGCACCGGAGCATTCACCCTGACAGTAGACGACGGTCGCCGAGGGACAAGTACACCGCCAGGCCGACTTAGTAGCAATGCCAATGCCGCAGTCTTACTCGGTACGTTGAACCCTGAACAGCATACAGTATATTGTCTAATGGACTTTCAGCGTGCTCCCCGGAGGGGAAAGAATGTCAAGAAAGGAGGTGCGTGATGACATTGCGGAACTCCCTCGAGACGGACGGCGGCTAACGGCGCGTTACAGTTCAGTTCACCGTTATGGTGGTCGGCGCGTCCGGTACGGGTCGCACTACCTTTGTGAACACCCTTTGCAATAAGCACCTCCTCGACCATTACCGCGACGCGAACGACGCGGAGAACGCTCACACGGAGCACGATGTCAACATCCGCGCCATCAACACGGAGCTGGATGGGGAGAGCACCAGAATCAGCTTGACCGTCGTCGACACCCCCGGATTCGGTGACATGCTCGATAACGAGGAGTCATTTACGAAGATTCTCGGTTACCTCGAGCGCCAATATGACGAAGTCCTCTCCGAAGAGTCTCGTATTAAGCGTAACCCGCGCTTCCGGGATAACCGCGTCCACGCCGTTCTCTACTTCATTCTTCCTACCGGCCACGGTCTTCGCGAACTCGATATCGAACTCATGTGCCGTCTTGCACCCCGCGCAAACGTTATCCCGGTCATCGGAAAGTCCGACACGCTCACCCCTGACGAGCTCGCGCTCAACAAGAGGTTGATCATGGAGGACATCGAGCACTACCGTATCCCCATCTACAACTTCCCATACGACATCGAGGAGGACGATGACGAGACCGTGGAAGAGAATGCGGACCTACGTAGGAAGTTGCCATTTGCGCTCGTCGGCTCTGAAGAGGTCGAAACTTTTGATGATGGAAGCACAATCCGCGTTCGCACGTTTCCATGGGGAACCGTTGAGGTCGATAATCCCGATCATTGCGACTTTTCGGCTCTTCGTTCGGCATTGTTGGAGACGCATTTGGCCGATTTGAAGGACATCACCCATGACTTCCTCTACGAAAACTACCGTACTGAGAAGCTTTCCCGCTCCGTCAACTCCGGAAGCCATGCAGCCGACGTCTCCATCGATTCCATCGATCCCTCCGACCTGGCCAACCAATCAGTCCGCATTAAGGAGGAGCAGCTTAGACGCGAGGAAGAGAAGTTAAGGGATATTGAGCTTAAGGTACAGCGCGAATTGAGCGAGAAGCGTCAGGAGTTGCTCGCGAGGGAGGAACAGTTGAGAAGCTTGGAGGCTAGGTTGGCGACCGGCGCGACGCCTAGTCAGCAGAGCTTGGTACCCTCGGAGACCCAGTAAATTATGTCTGGTACATACGTGTTTGTGAGTGGACCTATCTGGAGGAGTTATCTTCGTTATCATGTTTGATTTTGCTGCGATACCAGAAGGAGGTGATTTGGAAAGGTTTACAGGACTTAGGAGGGACATGCAATTGAATTGCTAGCTGGCTATGCTTCTTCCATCGTCCACTGTATGCTATAATTTGGTATATCATGGGTATCTTGACTCGTCTCTGCAACTCATGGAAATTGTTCCAGTCCTCTTACGAATGTTTCCAATCCTAACTCAAACAACTCGACGGCAACACCCTTACCCCCTGTATGCTCCACTGGACTTAGCGGGTTCTTGACAACATATTCCACCCATAGGTTCACGAAGATCTGATGCAAAATCTGCCTCATGTTGGCTTCGTTTGGCGAGGTGATAAGAACGAACTTGAGTAGGGAAGGAGTCTCATAATAGTGTGTTTTGTATTTCGAGGTGCGATATGATACGAAGGAGTTGTCGCTGTCAAGTGGTCAGCTTTCACCCCACAGAACGACGTGTTGGAGTGTACGTACGATTGTCCGGAAAGCTTCTTGGTCATGTTCCGTATCGAGTAAATAACACCAAACAGAAGCTTCGCATTATCATGGTTTGCCAGGTTCCCATCCGCGCTCGGTTGCGGTGTTGATCGATCTGGTCGCCTGTTCCATTCTTTGTAGTAGATACATTCGCAGTGTCTGTCGAAAACGTAGAACTCGTAGATAGTCATTGCGGAAGGAACTGAAGGAGTTTTGGGTGTTCTTGGGTTCGGCGTGTACCGTCGACGGTCGTCCGCTTGTGTGCCGGCGAGGAAATCATCTCAAAGCCGCGACAAAATAAAGTTACTTAACATGATAAAATGATAAAGAGAGATTATTCAACAGGACCAGCCAATCCCACAACCTGGGCTTATCGTTGGTATCTAAAGTTGCTTCGCGGTGCAGCAGGCGGCACCCAAGTCCGGTATATATACGACAGCGGCCCCATGACATCGGCATCAACAAAAATTGGCAGTTACCATCATGAGCCTTCAGCGCGGACAGAGTCGCCCGTCAGATGCCAAAGGACTCCTTTTTGCGGGCTTTAATCAGCCGAACGGCGACTGCTTTGCTGTAGGGCTTGATTCAGGCTTTCGGGTCTTCAGTACCGATCCACTGGAGGAAAGAGTACGGAGAGGTATACGCTGCTGAAACAGGCCGAGGTTCCTGGTTGACAGTTTGAAAGACTTCGCAGATGGTGGTATTGGCGTCGTGGAGATGCTTGGGCGGACAAATCTGCTTGCCCTGGTCGGAGGAGGACGTAATCCGAAGGTGAGCCGACACAGCAAGCACTCTATGGATATAGGCTTAGCTGACTTGTCACCTACAGTATCCGCAAAACAAAGTGATCATATGGGATGACCAGAAGAGAAAGCCCATCTTTGAGATTGAGTTCAAGTCGGAAGTGAAAGCAGTCCGTCTGCGGCGGGACAGGTATGGCTGAGGTCATATTGCTAAGTTCTGGATTGACCCGGCCTCACACAGGATTGTTGTAGTTTTGGAATCCCGTGTCCATGTGTACTCTTTTACCACCCCACCGCAAAAGCTTCACGCCTTCGAAACAACCTCAAATCTGCGAGGGCTATGCGCGCTGTCGACCGCTTCCTCCGATATGGGTACCCTGGCATTCCCCGGTAGGTCCGCCGGACAACTCCAAATCGCATCCCTTCCCCCTTCTCCCGACTCGACGCCAAAGATCAATCTGATCCAAGCACATGCAAGTGGCCTAAGCTGCCTTGCCATGTCTGATGACGGGACACGATTAGCGACAGCCTCAGAGACCGGGACTCTCATCAGAGTCTGGAACACGGCGACTGGAAGTCTGATTACTGAGCTTCGACGAGGTCTTGACCGAGCAGAGATATACTCGATTGCGTTCTCACCCAGTGGCGGAGATTCGCAGAAGTTATGCGTCAGCTCCGACAAAGGCACGATACACGTCTTCCACTTGCCTCCACTCACGTCCTCGGCAACCACCTCACCAATAAGCCCCGTCTCACCCTCTCTTCCATCCAACTTTGAGAATAAAAAGTCACTAATTAGCATGCCCATCCTCACGTCCTTCCTTCCAAGGTATTTTTCTTCAGAATGGTCTTTTGCACAGGCTTCCGCATCGGATAGCTCGAAAGTTGAAGAAGGAACGCGATGCATCGTATCGTGGACTGGATCTGATGTTATTGTGGCGGTTTGTGGGGATGGAGGTTGGCATAAATTCGTGGTAGAAGAACCGCAGCCTCATACTGGAGGGAAGGGTGGCAAAGATGGCGAGAGGGGATGCAGAAGAGAGGCCTTTCGGAGGTTTTTGGGTAGAGATGCCTGAGCCGATGTTGATGAATTCAAGCTTCTTTTTAGCGGAGCATGTCGGGCATCTCGTACAATTGCGATTGTACTGTAGCTGGCACAGCGTTCAAAACTCTGTAGCATTCGGACGGGCATCTACGGCGCACAAACTACTGCTGATCACAATATCGAATCTCCCGAGGTCCTTGTTTGACATTTTACCTTCTAGTAATTACTTCGTACGCGAATTGCCTCTTTGGAGTTCGCGCGCCTCAGCTGAACCACCGCTGCCGCTTTGCGCCGTGCTTCTTTGCGGCGGCAGCTGCTCGTCGTATACCTGGTAGTATACGTAAGTAACTTCAAGTACAGCAATTCCAACCCCAGTCGCTTGAGCATAACGCCTGTTCCAGTAGGGAGATCAACCAGCGGACTTTGCAAGTTCTAACCGATACACACTCTCTACTTCGAACCCGAGGGCGCCTGCCGAGGTCGTCCTTGCCATTCCTGCTACCCAAAATAAGGTAAGTGATTGCAGTTCTGATCGATGAACGTGTCGTATCTGCGTACCCTGAAGGCGCAAGAGGTCTCGCCGTCCTCTGGACGTGTTGATCACCAGGATGCCACTGGTGGCAAGGGAAACCCTGACCTGGGAGGTCTTGTGTTCGCTGAAGAAGACTCGCAGCCGCGACCATCCCACCTTTCATTAAACCCAGGCTTACGTTATACAGGTACTTTTCGAAATACCCTCTGCTAAGAGGCCATGTCATACCACAGATACGTCAAACTACCATAACCCGGGTCCCCAACAATGTGAGGGGCCAACATTCTACGGCTCTGCGCGGTTCAAAAGAAAACCTTCCTCCAGTCCATCCCTCTGCGAGCGACGGGAGTCATGACCACGACGAGCTGCGCTTTCCTGGATATTGTCCCAACTGTGGAGGAACCAATCACAATCTTTTTCAGTGCACAAAGAAGTGTTTCTATTGTGGAGAAGCTGGTCATAATGCCATTCAGTGTAAGCTAGAGACGTTGAAAGCCGTCGAGCCACTTGAGGCGATCGCTGATAATGCACGCCGCAACCGGGACAAGACGACTTGTTTGATCTGTGGAGAGAAAGGTCACCTTGAAGTTGCCTGCTCGGTGAGGTGTTTCAATTGTGGACATGCTGGTCACAAAGCTGTTGATTGCTTGCAAACGTGTTACTATTGTGGAGGAGCTGCCCACAAAGCTACTGAGTGCAAAACAGAGCACTGGTTGCCCATTCGCATACAAGGTGTTTATGACATTCAGAAAATCCTGAAGGAGAAGACACGCCTCAGTCTTGGAAATCTGTGTAGATGGTGCGGAGAACCTCACAGCACCCGCGAGTGTAATCAAAAGATGTTCACGGTGAGTCACTTCAGCTGTGATACGCATGCTGGCCGGGTTCGCCTAAACCGACTGCAAACCCTTTGCCTTCACACGACCGCTTTTGGGTCTTGTGTTCGTCCGAGGACTTGCGTTCAGAATGTCGCGCCGAGCACATTCAGACGGAGCCTGTCTTGATACCATGACATCGCTAACATGATGTTATTCTAGGTTTCCCCTCTCGTATCAGCAGTCCGCGCACCCAAACGCCGAGCGTCACAGGACAAGGTGTACACAGCGAGTCATGCAAAGGCCGCGAAGCAGCGTCTCCGCGATGTGAGCTTTCCCCTTTCGTAATGTAGAAGTAACTGTACAGGCGCTAACTGTGGCATGGCAGGTCCAGGAGGTTCTGGATACTGTGAAACGCAGAGTATTGCAACGGACAAACGGCGCTGTCACTCTTCATCCGGATTCATCCAAAGGTACTGTCATGACTCTGCTGAAATATGAGCAGTTAAGCCTGGTCTTGTACTGGAACGGCTACCTTAGCGATATGTTGAAACGGTCATTCATCAGTCGTCAGGTTCGCCTCAGCGAAAACAGGTAAGTCTTCCATTCGTAATACCTCTCCAGTTGTATGCTTAACACATCAACATAGAGAGCCTGTCAGCAAGGTCGCTGGAATTGAATATACGAGAACTGTGTCGCGCCGCGAAGGACACAAATGGGAGGAACTCTTTGGATATTCCATGTGGGTTGAGCTGATCGGTTCATTGCCAACGGATGATGAACTTTATCACAATGCCCGAATGTTAGGATATAAGTGGAGCGACTTATATGGAGAACTGTGCTTTCACAGAAGGCTGCGCAACGCAGTCGTTCATGAACATAAATTCTTGGACGATGACGACCTGTGTAATCTGAGCAGCCGTGTGCTATGGATATCAATGTTACTCGGTATGTTCAAGAACCTGCAGTGTACGACGATTACTGAACACTTTCACAGGTTATGGCATGCCGAAGGAGGCAGTAAGATTGAGAAATTTGCTAGGGGAGCTTGTCCATGCTAAGAGCAAGCCCCAACTCGCGAACGCTCGTTCTTCTAAACTCCAAAAAGCCTCGACGAACTCCGCAACCCTTTCCGATCTCTCAAGATCCAACAAGTGCTCGGATGAATCCACGAGCGTGGTGGGACAGGATATGGTTAAGATGAGGGATGCGGAATCGAATGCCATGGGGATTAATAAGCTTGATGCTAGAAGGAAATTGTTAAAGTGTTTTGAGCAGGTGCGTGAGGCCAGGGATATGCGAGAATTGTAGGGGATGTCAAGAATATCCTCACGGGAGAAACATACTTTTCGCAATATGTTAGTGATCACTGGATACAGTCCTGAGCCACATGAAGAGTAACATAGTATTTTCCATATTACGAGTTGATTTCCTGTCTTCACCGCAAGCATTCGTAGAACAAGTGCAGGACAAAACTTGTATTTTGCGCAGTGAAACAAGTTCAAACCCAATGATGATATAACGCCTAACGTCCTCCCCGGTGTGTCGCACACATCTACAGCCCCCAAACATTTCAGTAGTCAATGATCATGACCTCCGGCGGCGGCGGTCTTCCTGGACGATCCTGGCCTTGCTGCTGAGCAGCTTGCGGAGGTTGCTGCTGATTCTGCCCTCTCGGTTGTGCTGGTCGCCTCCTTTCTCGTATTTCTCGTCGACCTTGGCCTGGGTCATTAGCCCTTCTGGGAATTTCAGCAGCCCGCACTCTTCCTCCACCTTCCGGCAACCGAACTACATCGTGTTGCTGACCTCGTACAGCACCAACAGGAGGGTCTACGGCAATCCTGGGTGGAGGGTTCCTCAGCATTTGCTCAAGTCGCGCATCTCTCTCCACGGCATAATTCCGCCTGGGCCGCAGATTGTTGTTCGCAAGAGGAGGTGGCAAAAAGCCTCGAGCCGGACGAAAATGTCCATCATGCCCGTAATACCCCAACGGAGGAACTTGAGGCGCAGCTTGTACGGGTCTTCGCGGAACATCTCGTCGGGGCGGTGCTTGTCGCAGGACAGGAACGTGCTGTCGTTGGGGGGCTCTGACCACGCCTGGCGGAGGTGGTGCAGGGGGGCGAACAGGAAGGGGAGGAGGAGGAGCCAGTGCAACAACGGGAGCGGGCCGAGGAGGATGCGGAACATGCTGCTCATGACGAATGTTATGCCGCGCATGGTAGTCCGCCGTCGCTTGTTTCCGCCTAGCTTCATCGGCCTCGACCTGTTTCGACACTGAGATTCTTAATTCCTCTTCAGTCATGTCTGGCCTCTGCACGCGTTGCTTTGCAATCGCAGCTTCAGACGCAGCCTTTACTTCTTGATCGTTTCGTGCATGCGTATCGTCATACAAGGGACAAGGTGTCTTCTTCACAATTCTGCCTGATGCGTCTCTGACATCATGAAAATGGTCATAGTTCTTCACGCTCACACCGCAGATGTAGCACTGCTGGTGGCGACACTTCGTGCAAGTCATCTTATTGCAGCCTTCTTCCTTGAAGAAGGGCGTCTTGCAGCTGTTGCAGTTCCGAATTAACGCCTGTGACATGGCCTCCTCGACGGCATGTCGAACGTCAATCTTCTGATCTTGAGCGACTTCTTCACAACTTTTTGGTATATGCGATTTCAGCTGGCACAGCCGGCATGACACCTCCAAGCAACCCTCATTTTTGCAACGAAACTCCTTATCATCTGGATTCTCGATAACTTCCGCATAATCGCAAAACGGACAGCGGACCAGACCTTCAAGATCCGCCATTCTCAACTCTTCCTCCTGCTGAATCCGGAGGAGAGCCTCCAAGTTCTTTTCAGGAAGAAAATGACGAACCTCAGACATCACGAACAGTGACTTGCAACCAGACCCGTCCATGCACTTGAGCTGGTAGCGTCGCATACCAATCTCCGTCTCGGCGTTCCGTCGACAACATTCCAGACAGAAGAGATGTCCATCCTCACACTGCGATACACGGTTGATAGGCACCTCTGCAAAACAACAACCACACTCAACCATTCCCCCAATTAACTCGTGGAACTCCTCATTCTCCCTCTCCGCACGTTCTCTTTCCTTTTCGCAAACCTCCTTGCTCATTCTCTCTGTTTGCTTTGCTTGCCAGTATTCAATCTCCTCTCTGATGGGCGCACATGCATCCGATGCCAAGATCATCCCAAACGCTGCATTGCGGCGACGAGCAATATTCATCGGCTTGTAGGGCAGAAGGTTGCCATTTTCAGCGCTCGTGTCGACCTTCTTGAGGGCCAAATAAGTAGGTAAGTAAAGATCGTTGTTCTGCTTCATGACATGACGAATGTATGCATCCGGGATAACCGGAAAGTCGATGCTTAGTACTTTTCGACAATTGTGAAGGTAAACGTCTTCCGGGGGCGGAGGCTTGCGGTCCTTGGATTCGTAGTCGATTCTGGGTGCACGCATGCCTTCATCAGAAATTCGACGTTTCCTCTTGTTGTCCTTCGGCGTGGACTTTGGATAGCCAGGATTCTCAATAAACTGGGAAACAATATACGTGACGATATCAGGTTCCCGAGTCGCATGCTCTGTCCATAGAGCAGATATATGCTTCTCACAAACATCTGGAAAGAGCTCCAGTACTGCGACAACCGTCTCGTCTTGGGATCGCGGTCTGAATGTTTCTGGTTGTGCCTGCTCTTGTTGCTGCTGTTCCCGGCCAACGCCCGCGTTGGTAGGAAAGCTATCACTGTCATTGTCACCAAATAGATCATCCACTGTCGTTATTGTAGTCAGCTATAACGCCTCATGATCACAGGAGAATCACATACCTCCTGCCCTCGGATGTAGCGGATGAGGATAATCAATCGGCTCTCCCTCATCCATGAACCCAGGCAACGGAGCATCCTCCTCATCACCATCCTCCAAGAAGTCATCTCCGAACAGGGATGGCGCATACAACCCCTCATCCTGCTCAGCAGCACCTTCACCTTCACCATCACCCGCTCCAAAATCGTCTCCATCCCCAATCAAGAGCAGATCCGCAGCGGCCTCAACATCGTCGCCCGCCCTTTCCAGCGCTGCTGCCAGAGCAGCGAAAGGACGGTCCGGAAAGAGTTGAACCAATACATCCATCTCCGATGTTATAGCTGATGAGGAGTGGATGTATGCTCTGGTAGGTTGACGTTTTGGTCTGCTCTCAAGTGGGTTTAGCGGCGTCGTAGGTCGTTTTGCCTCATCGAGGAAAGTCATGAGCGGCATTGGAGGAGCTTGCAGCAAATTCTCCATAAAACATAAGACGGTCTAGAATATGCCCAGTATGTTATTGTCTATCAACACCACTGTTTTGAGTTGAGTGTCAAGGTAAGCTATGCAATGTCGCTCCGGCGACCTCTATCCATTCCACCCACCTTTCACTCTCACAATTACGCTTCAACTCCCGAATCCCCATCCCCTCCCATCTCACCCTCCTTCACCCTCCTCATCCTAACCGTCAACCCTCCAGCCGGCTTCGTCGTGATGCACGTCTCATTCCCAACATCCCTCCCGATACTCTCAACCTCGAATCTCCTCAAAAACACCGCCAAAAACGCCTTGAGCTCCAACATCGCGAACTTCCATCCAATACATTTCCTCGGGCCCTCCAAGAACGTCAACATGTTATAAGCCCCGACACCCTCAGGAAGTGCATCCCACCTATCCGGATCGAAAATCTCGGCATCACCTCCCCAGTATTCCTCCAACTTGTTAACCACAGCCGGTGCGATTTGGATGATTGTGTCTTTCGGCACCACGTAATCCCCTAATCTCGAATGCTCCCTCGCAACACGCATCGTGACGGAGGCGGGTGGCCAAAACCGGATAACCTCGCGGACAAAGTTGTTGAGGTAGCGGCAGGATTCAAGGGAGTCGTACGTGATCTCATCCAGGTGAGAAAGCTCAGTGCGGAGGCGGGACTGAACATCGGAGTGGATGGAGAGGGCATGGAGCGTCCAGAGAACTGTCGTGGCGAGGGTCTCATGGCCTGCGGCACTGTATGATCTATGTTAGCACAGGCCTCACATTCTCGTGCGCATATGGCACATACAGAAAAGTCATGATCATCTGGACCATGTCATCATCCTCAATAACCTCCTCACCCGGCTTCGCCTGCATCTGCTTCCTCAGCATACAACTCAACAAATCCCTCCTCTCCCCCTCATATGAGTCTTTCTCGTTCTGGTTCATCTCCTCCCGTCTCTTGTCGATGAGCTTCATGGATTCATCTACAATCACCCTCTTCGCCTTCGTGACTGCCGCAAAACGTCCGAAAGGCCAGTATTGCAACGGCCACGAAATTGCACTCATTCCATCAAATAACTTGTTAATCCCTGTCGCAAAGATAAGGGTATGATACGACTTCGCGAGAGGGTGGTCGGAATTATGCAGTGTGTTGAACTCGAATCCGAAGCCTGCCAATCCGATCATGTCGAGCATCGTCCGATTTATCGGTTCCGTGACATTAACAGCCGCTCTATCCCCGCGTACATCGAGTTCTTTATCCCAGTACTCCACCAATGCCTCACAACTCTTCGCGAAATTGGGAACGACTTGCTTTAGGTTGCTCAATGCGAAAACTGGGAGGAGGACACGTCGTTGTCGTTTATGCTCGTCGCCTTCGAGAGCGATGACGGAGTTTCCGATGATGCGGATGAGTGTTTTCTGGAAGTATGAAGGTTTGGGGAAGGTGTCGGGGTTGTTGAGGATCGTTGCTATCGCCTTAGGATCGGTAACGCTCACGCGCTCCAATCCCATGATGGTCCGAAACTTGACGAATGATCCGTACTTCCTATGCCACTGTAGCTGTCGATTTCCATCGCACAACCACGCTGTTCGAACCGATTAGCCCCTGAATGCTCAGCAGTACCACAAAACAACTCCGAACTCACCCTCAGCAAACGGGCCAAACCCAAACAAAAGGTTACTATCCGGCCCGGGCATACTCCTCAGCGGACTCAACACATGCGGCCAAATCACGACAAACCACACCACTCGGCACAACACATACCCCGTCGCAAAAACAGGCGAAGTCGTAGGTGAGTGTATAATCAGCAATAGCGCAGTGACAGTCAACAAGAACAATTCCTGTCCGTAGTCCATGATGATGGTGCTGGTCGGAGTGAATGCAGTAGCCGTCCAGCAGCTTCCTTACTTGACGATGAAGGGAAGACGAGCATTTTGTTTGTGAGTCGGAGTTCTCGATCTTCACGTCATACGGTACATGCGTTCTATAGATCGCGATTACCGTAGTAATTACTACGGTGTGCAAAATTCTTGCCGTAACGTTCACCTGTGCGCGAGAGGCACATTCACCACCCGTAAAACCAACAAAACCAGTCCGTTGTAGAACCTAGGAAGGCCTACAAGGGCTCAAATGCTGGAGAAGATATGCCAAAATACCACCCGTGCCATAGTTATTGACAATTACATGGTGGGGTGCGATGTTTATGAACTTGCTGCAATCATCAACCGATCCGTGCGCGCCATTTACCGCATTCTGAAGAGGTATGAAGAGACGGGTAGCCATGAGCATACGGGCAACTCTACTTGTGGCCCTAAACTGCAAATAGACGAGTTCTAAGGCAGGGTGAGTTTGGTACCTCTTTTCGAGCACTCCGCTGAAACTCGACAATGCTAGCAAATCAAGTGGCTGTATGATCAGAACCCCGTACTATATCAGGATGATTGCGCCGACTTCCTGAACCTAGAATTTGCTATGGCACTGTCTCGATACCACATCAACCGCTGCCCCAAGAAGATTAGATATACTCGAAAGGTGCTGACCTTAAGGGCGGCTGAACGAAACAGCATTTAACGAGCGCATCACGCCAGAGCTATGGCCGAGTACAGTCAAGAACAGCTAGTCTTCCTCAATGAATCTGCTGTCGACGAGAGGACCTCCACCCGCAAATTTGGTTACTCACCGATTGGTACGGGGGCGATCCAGGATAGGCCATTTGGACAAACCATACGCTGGAGTGTGTTGCCTGCACTCACCTCGGCAGGGTTGAAGGCCTTACACATCTTTCAGCGATCATTCAATGCTGATTGATTCGTCGAGTTTGTCCAAGTGGAGCTTCTCCCGATCGTGGGGCCCTACCCTGGTCCAAACAGCGTCATATTGCTTGATAATCGTCAAATCCATCATGATGAAAGGGTGTTTCAACTGCTTGTCGAGTGAGCCGGCTGCCGAGTACATTTCCTACCACCTTACTCGCCAGACATGAATTCAATCGAGCTCTGTTTCAGCATGATGAAGTCCCGGATGAAGCGCAATCATACCCACCCTGACGCTCGATCAGACCCTGAAGGCTTCATAGGCTGCGCAATCAACTTCGTCAACTCCCAGTCTGAAAAAATGGGAAACTTGTTCACAGCGTGCAGGTATGCATTGTCAGATGCAGAGTTGCGCCGTTGTTGAGGTTAACAACCAGGCAACAATTAAGGCTATGGCAACCATGTAGGGACGTATCACTAGTTTTTTTTGGATAGTTTTCTGGATCGAAGCAAAATATTCGTTCATTTTCAGACACTTGCCATTCCCACAGACAGATCCCCTCACAAAATGGCTGTATGGCTGTCCAAATGCCCTGCATCGAAATGTGGTCTGCAGTAGCTACCGACTCTAGTTGCAGCAATGTGCATGATACTCGTCACCCTGTACTTTTTTTATGGTGAGATTGGAGTAAGGTGTTGAACTTTGTAGGGGCAATGTGAAACGACTAAGCATGCTATCGAGAAAACGAGAAAAGAAAAATTTACCACAGTAATAAGGATAACCAAAGGCACTTTCTGCTTCATCAGGGACTTTGTAGACTTCGAAGGATGTCTCCCCTAAGCTCCGGTCTGAATGCACTCTCTCCCGCATAATAGCCTTCCAAACAGGCCAGACCCAGCCCTTCCTAGCAGGTGGGAGAGCATCATCGTCGATCTTTTTGAGGTCGTCGTGGCAAATCCTGTGCTCAACAATTGCTTCCTGTGCAATGTTGACATCGTATTTGGTATAGACAGGACTGTGGTTAGCAACATAGGTTAAAACCCATCCAAACCATTGCTTGCTGGTCCATGAAGAGGACTTGAGCCTCTCATTGCTTGCGGTTCAACTGCTACCTGACTTGAGGGTGGTGCTTGGAAGTCGAGTCGACCGACTGTTATGGGAGTAGGTAGGCCTTCATGACCGCTCGAAGATATGCTCTCTGGTATTGCTGAAGGTGCATCTGTCGATTTGAATGGTTCACGCAAGCTATTGAAGACTGTATCAAAAAGTTGCGGTGCTCTGAGAGTTTCCACTGGTTCTTGGGCAGCAATATACTCGGCCCAGCGGTTGAGCTGCTGGTTGCTGATGTATCGATGGACCTTAGTCACCGGATGGACATAGCACAATGACTGGTGGCGATTCGCACATTTGTAAGTCTGCTGTAATGCCTGAACCGCAAGGACCTTGGTGTAGGCAGTAGGACCACCCTGTTAACCGAATTTGTGCGGTTGTAGGCAGCCGCTTAGGTCAGGGGTAAAGCAGGGGTATATCTAGGTCGCACGTAGCATTAGGAATCGACACCTCTTACCTACCCATCAAAATCGAGCTTCCACACCCTCGATGTTGATAGAGACATCCTGCAGGGCTCGAGTCAGTCTGCCTAGGGCGTGGCGCTCGAAGCTTGCGGGGCTCTGTCCTTGACTGAGAGGCTCTCAACAGGGTTTGCTGGTCTCCGGTCTGGTTGGGAATCCGAGGTTGCGGCACGAAATATATGTCGCTCTGGACGAAAGCTGACCACTCAATCTTAGGTGTCAAGCGCTGAGTGTTGACGGCTTCAATGAAGGTCTCTCAGTCGATATCATGACATTATCAACACCACGGTACATCCCTGGATCTCCCTCGACAGACTTTAAACTGCAGGTGGTGTAAGGGAGTGAATGTTGAGTCCCTCTTTAATCACAGGGTCCTGACGCAACTCATCTAGGACAATTTTGAGCAAAAGCGGTTGTACTTTGTTCCAATTTATTAGGGGATTCGCCTTGAATGGTGCTTGGGCATACCTATGCTTAGGTTCCCTAGTGACAATTACCTGAACCATGAAATCATCGTAAATTCACTCATGGTCAATGTTTTCGTCTTCGTCTGGGACCTCGATGATGGTCTTAGCTCTCTTTTCCCTCCAGACTGGATCTGCTGGTGTCCGTATGCGCCAATCATCGACGGGCCTAGCCGGCGCTTTGGAGGTACAGGAAGAAGTCCTGAGCTGAGCTGATGCTTTTTGTGCTCCTCTCAGCTTCCTAGGAGGCATACTGATGAAGTTATTAAGTGTTTGATGTTCAGTCGCGCTTCAGCTAGAGTAGGCGGTTTTACTGCTGTGTGCAAAATTCTTGACGTAACTTTCCCATGTGCGCGCGAATTGCAAACTCCATATGACAAAACCCATAAAACAACATAGATAAAGGCCTCGGAGGTCGAGTAAGGGTTAAAACTGATCATATCTATCCTTAGCAATCACGTCGTGCCACCGGTTTTGGACCACAAGGCCTCCCTCATTCGCTTCATGCTGAAAAGGTGGTTTCAGGTTTAAGAAAGAAACAGACCCTGGAAGCCTCTAGGGATGCAGCTCCGGGTTCCATGAGATAGAGGGAGCTTAGATGAACAAGTTCTACGTGTGGCTTCTTTGATTCTAACTGTTTTTGAGGTGTGTGGGTCCAGAGAGTGCTTTCGTTGCTTTCCTGCATGTTCATGCAACATCATGCACCTATGCCGAAACCTTTCTTAATGTCACAACTCTATGAGAGACTGTACTACACGCGTTTCGAGGACATCTATCGATTCCTAAGAGTCTAATCTATCAATGTCCCTCCTGAAATCGCCCTTCCAAGCCTTGTCTACGAAGATGGGGGGGTTCATGAAACTATCCTCGCGCAGATAGGGGGTAAAATGCGCCGCGTCAAGAATTTTGCACACAGCAGTAGACGCTACGACATGCATTCTGCACACCGCAGTACGCAGTGCAAGCGTTCGCCAATCGATCGGGCCGTATGATTTAGATAACACTTGATTATTAACCCATAAGATGTAAATTTCGAAATGTAGTAGAAGCGAACGGGATGAATGTGGTCCTCCTTGCTTACAAAGCTCCGCCGCAGCCGCCCGAGTCCTCCTCAGTCGCCTCGACGCTTTTTGGTCCCGAACGTTACATTGGATGATGTCTTGTAATGGGTCATGGAGAAGTGGGGTTTCGGTGAAAGGGTCCTGGGGAAAGCAGGTAGAGGTTAAGGAGAATCGGATAGAACAATCGAAAAACAACAGTCTCATTGCTTCTGATCAAATCCGCCGGAATCCCAATGTACGTGACGAGGGAGATTAGTAGAACACCCATCAATGAGCACCCCTCTTCCAATTCATATTCAGCTCTTCACGAATGCTGTTACATTTTATATTTTATGATATGAATGAAGGAACCCATTAGCTAACTGCGATCAGTTGCTGAACACTACAGCTGCTGTATACCTTATTCAATGCCCACGCAACCTTCACGAACGTTATCATCCCTGCTGCATAGCCTTTATCCTCGCTTCCGCCGCCGCAGCCCGTCTCTCCCTCTCAATCTTCTTCTTCATCTCCTCACTCAACCCCTGTGTCCCCTGCTCCCTTTCACTAAGACTCGTCTTGACCCCCAACGTCTTCCCTACCCCCACCTTCTTCACCCGCTGCTCCATCCTCTTCGTTCTCTCGTCCTCCTCAAGTTGTTTCAAGTTCGCTTCTCGCGCAGCGCGGTCTTCTCGTTCCTTCAGCTCACGTTCTCGTGCGATTCGCTTCTCTGCGTCGGCCTTGGAGATTGCAGGGGGAATGCGGGCAGCGGACCAGTCCCAACGCTGCTCGCCGAGTTCACCGCGGGTGATTCGGAATGCATCGCGGACTTCCCTGGAGCAGGCAATTTCAAAGGCGGTTTTGCTTGTCGTGTTCTCAATAGTTGGATCTGCTCCTTCTTTCAGTAATGCTGTGACGGTCGCTGGCGAGGACGATGCTGAGGCGAAATGCAATATATTGGGCGTGTGATGGTTTGCTGGATGCAATTTGAAGTCCGGTGATAGCGAGTGCTGCTTTAGGTATGCAAGCAATGCTGATGCCTTCGACCGTTTGATCAACGATGTTATTTCGCCAGTGTGCTCCAGGAGCTTCGTCTCCTCCGCACTGGCCTTCGGTGGTCCACCAACAGCCGCTTTCGCCGTTGTCTTCTTTGAAAGGTCTTTCGCAGGCTTTTGTACTTCCTTCTCGACATGGGTCGACACCTTCACCCTCGTCAATTCCTGAAAACACCTAATCAACTCACTCTGCGTCGGTCTCCTCGTCGTGAACGGAAAGCCCCTTATCCTCGGGTCATTCGCCTTGACCACGGCCTCATCATACCCGAAGAGCGCCCTCCTGTTCTCCGTACCCGTGGCCCTGATGAACACGAGCTCACATTTATCCATCATCCCCTTCCAACTAGCCAATAGATCCCGGATATCTTGTCGTAAAGCGGCTTCATTGTACCTACGAATTGAGGCACCAGCCGAATGAGCTGCACCTTTTGCGGCGTCATTGGCGGATTGAGCGCCTCCCTGTTTTCTGCGGGTGGTGTAACGGTGGAAGGTTTTGTGTGCCAGGACGGCGACTTCACCACCTTGCTTGGGGGCGCAGGAGACGATCATGGCGGCGAAGTGGCCACCGCCGATCATGATCATTGCAACGGAACGCGCACTGTACTGGACTGCGGGTGTGGGTATTTGCTTCTTGCGGATAGAGTCAAGGGGTGCGTCGAGTTCGTCCTGGGTGAGAAGAGCACGGTAGATTCCTAGTCGGGCATCTGCGTCGAGCGCCGAAGAGGATAGCCACATCAACGGCGATTTGTTCTGCTTCATGCTCCTGTCCTCCAAGCTCTCCAAGGGCGCTACGGTCGCATGCTTCCGTAGCAGCTGCGCAATCTCATCCATGGCCGATTCTTCCTCATCCTCGCTGCCGGAGCTCTCCGATCCAGAGAGAGATTCATTCAGATCTGCAACTTCGATTAGACTTACAACAATACAGCTCCTGGAGGTAACTTACTTTCGAGCATCTTCTCAAACTCCTCCCCCTCCACAGTCTTCTCCCCTGCAACAGATCTCTTCACGTTGAACGTGTGCAGCATACTCTTGTAATGCGCTCTTCGATCCTGCACGATAGCAAATGACTCGACTCGACATAATGCGCAAGCCTTGCCGTTGTCGTCTGTGGGTGCCTCCGGTTCCTCGCTGGTCGGGGCGGCAATGGGAGTTGCGGATCCATCGGCGAGGGTGAGGGTATCGAGGATAGGCGCGGGAAGGGAGTAGACATAAAGTGGCTTCTGAAGCAAAGGATGTCGGGGTTTATCTTGTGCGGTCGCCATTGTGAATGTTGCTAATAACCTTTTCACTTTTGCCTCAGGATTTGCGACGGTGTACGAGTCTTCGTTACAGCGCAGTGCGTGACATCACCGAAAATAGGCAAATTGGAAGATATAGAGGATATATAATGTAAGTAGAGACAGTGTCCTTCTGCTTTCACTAGCGTCCTTTCCATCCCATTTGCGACTGTACGGTAACAATATTCTCAACCCCCCCGTTCAGAGCTTCTCCATCTTCTCACCCGTGATTTCCACAACCTGTTGATATTCAAGTCAGCGACAACCGCATATGTGAAAGAACACGGTCGTCAACCAACCTGTTCAGCCCCCGGATACTCCGGCAGCACCAACCCAAACTTCTCCACGATCCCCGGCGGTACGAATCTTCCACCCAAAAAGTGCCGTCCCTGAAACCACTCCACACACGGTTTCGGCGCGGTCAGTGAGATGAGTGCGTTGGGCATGAACCCTTCGCCGGGGCCAGAGGTGGGGGGACCGTTGTCGATGGTCCAGGATGAGGGAGCGTCAACGGAGAGGACGGGGGTTTTGGTGGATTTTAGGGCGGAGATGATGTTTGGGAAGGGTTCTCGGATTTCGCCGGAGAATGAGAAGCCTGTACAAAGTTTAGTAGGAGTTGGGGAAGGAGGAGGGGAGTGGTGGCGAAGGCTGCTTACCGAAGATCGCGTCCACAATGTGATCCGTGTTATCAATTGCCGGGTACATATCGTCCACAAACGGGATCTTCAACTCATGTAACTGCACACATAGCCTCTGTACCACGGATTAGTCTCCCAATATGACTGGGAATATCTGTCTTGGTACCTCATATAAATCACCCTTCGTGGGCTTAGGGTAAAACACCGTGGGTTCGTACCCGAAATGCCAAAGATGCCGACTTGCGACGAGGCCATCGCCTCCATTGTTACCCGGACCGGCGACCTGCGCACCATATTCATCAACCAACCACTCGAGGGAACGTTTCCCTGAACTTTGGGACGCACCACCAAGATCCTCTTCCCCTTCTCTTTTGGCTGTAGTTTCATGACGGCTGCTGCGACACTCAACCCGGCGAGTTCCATAAGTTGGTCAATTGCTTTTGAAATAACATATGTCAACTATTGCCGTTTCCATTGCGGGGGAAATCACATACAGAACCCGCCGGTTGACATGAGCTCCTTGTCCAATTGCTGGGCGGCTTTGGCGGCGAGGTACTATTTCACGGTTAGCACATGGGTCATAAGACACGTATCTAGAACCATAGAACCTTGATGGCTGGCATGTTCGGTAAGTGATCTTGATGATTCTGGCTTTTGGAGTTCTGCCCCGACATTGGAGTTGGCCGTGATGTCACACAACTATACACAACAAGATATGAGAGATTGACGTATATAACCGTTTTTGAAATCGTTCAAAAAGAAAGAGTTGTGCTCCATCACACTCTCTCAGCCATCACGTGCCCGGGGGTGCATCGTACAGCTTACCGTAACCTGCATCTCCAAAATCAACCTCCAAAAAGTTCAGCCGACCTCGAACCAACAAACAACCATAACCCCGCCAAGATGCAAGTAAGAATAAGATTAGCACGCTACGGCGTGAAAGGCAAACCCTTCTACCACATCGTCGTCGCAAACCGCAAAACCGGCCGCCAAACCAAACCCATCGAAACCCTCGGAACCTATGACCCCATCGGCAGCCCCGAAGAAGCAGGCGGCCCGTTGATCAAAGAAATCAAATTCGACATGATGCGGGCTAAATACTGGCTCGGTGTCGGTGCTTCTCCCTCGGATCGTGTGGAGCATTTGTTTGTGAAAGCGGGGTTGTTGCCGGTGCCGGAGAAGACTTGGAAGTTCCAGCCGAAGGACGAGGAGCTTGCGTTGGAGGCACAGAAGAGGGCAGAGGAGGGGCTGGTGAAGGCGGAGGAGGCGAAGAAGGCGAAGAAGGCGTACGAGGCGGAGAAGGCAGCGCGGAAGGCGCAGAAGCAGCGGGCTTAGAGGGAGCGAGAGCGGCAATGGAGGCGGAGAAGCTGAAGGAACAGGAAGCTGCGGAGAGCGCGGCCGTAGCACTGCAGGACTTGCCTTATTCAGCTACAAAGGTGAGTGAGATGTCCGGGGTGAGGGCGAGGTGCGCCGCAAAGGACAGGACCGGGACAAACAACGTGATGAACTCTCGGATGTATACCTTTCGATCTCCGAAGTGTCATATGTGGATAAACCCGACTGCCTTCCTTCTGATCTTTATGTTTGTTCTGGTTCTGTTCCGGCGCATCTTTGCCTACAATCCAAAACTTCGAGAACGAGAACACGAGTACTGATGGTTGACCGTAGAAACGAGAAAACCTAAGGTTTGAAGGGCAAGATCGAATCGCCGGAAGTCTGGAGGTGGCATAAAGAATCATTCATTTCGGATCATGCGAGGAATGCATTGGGTATAAAATAAGTTAGGTTGGGCCGGATGTGCCCACACTTACAAATGACAAAAACATCCATCATAACTCCATTGTGTCCCTTAACCTGCTTCGTCATGCCTCCTCTTCATCATCACTTTCCTCAACCTCACTTCCCAATGCACTATCCCTCGCCTCCAACTCCCCCGCTTCCTCAAGCATCATCCTCGTCGGAATCCTCGGCAATGCAATATCACAAACCCTCTCCTCCCTCAACAGTTCATCCACAAACTGATCCATGGTGGTAAGTGACCACCCGCCCAGATGTCGCACCCTCAACTTGCGATAGTCAGCGTAAAAGGGCTCGAGAAGCTCGTAGACTTCTCGGGCAGGGAAAGTGAGACGGACGTAGAACGCAGCTACAGCTCTCAGGTATTTCCATTCCTCGCCTCCGTCGTCGCTCTTCAACATCTCCACGACGATTTCCTTCTCGGGCTGTAACTGTAGCAACTTAAACACCAAACAGAGAAACTCCGTGGGTTTTTGTGCACCGTATTGACCACCAATGTATGTTAGCGCTACGATCCGGTCGAGGATCGTGGAGGAGGTGAGGGCGAAGCAGGCGTCTTTGTAGTAGAGGGAGTCGAGGATTCGTTCGCGGATGATTTTTTCGATAAGTAACTACTGTCCCATCAATTAGTCTCCAACTTCTTCGCAAAGCGCGACGAATAGGAAGAAAGGTGTACATACGGCGGGGTTGATTCCGTGGTAGTTTAGGCCTTCTACTTTTGCGTCCCGGGCGAGGCCTCGGTCAGAGTAGAAGCGGCTTCGGTCACCTTGGCTGTCGTCTGCCATCCTATGTACTCTTTCAATGGCGAATGTCGCGATCGAGGCAGGATAATGGTGTTTTGGTTCTCCTCGGTATCTTCACCTGACGTTCAGCAGCTCGACGCGACTTCACGCAACTTGACGCACCGACTGAACACCATACACCAAGAAACCTTATACGACCATTGCACAAGGGATAGAAGGAGATGGCGAGAAATAGTGAGAAAGCACAATCTATGCTCTTCCGCTTCAGGGAGCAGCAACAAGCAGAACTCGGTACGCTCTTCCTATATACACTCTCTGCGGACATGTGCACTGACAAGGGCGTACAGGGATCATCGATTCATCTATGCGAAGACCAAAACGAATCACAGAAGGTGCGGTTGTGGCACTCAATCTCTGAACTGAGTACTGATGAGCGATATCGTACAGTCGAATCCATCCCAGCATGCGAGAAATGGCGATCCCAAGTCGTCAAAGAAATCTCCCGCAAAGTGACAAAAATCCAGGACCCTTCATTATCAGACCACCAAATTCGTGATTTGAATGACGAAATCAACAAACTTATGCGTGAAAAACATATTTGGGAACTCCAGCTCCGTAATCTCGGTGGACCGAACTACATGCGTTTTGGATCTCGGATCTATGATTCCGAAGGGCGGGAAGTTGCCGGTAATAGGGGCTACAAATATTTCGGGCGGGCACGGGAGTTACCCGGGGTTAAGGAGCTGTTTGAGGCGTTGGAGGTACCGAAGGAGGAGGTGGGGAGGAAGAAGGTGCGGAGTGTAATGGGTGTAGGGAGTGGGTATTATGGGTATGGAGATGAAGACGACGGGGAACTGCTAAAATGGGAAGAGGAGAGAGAGGAGGACGCACGGAAAACGATTGAAGAACAGGACGGTGGGGAGCCGGAGAGGGGATGGGAGAGGATACAGAGGTTTGACGTACCGAGCCAGAAAGAGGTGGAGGGGTTCTTGCTGGAGAAACGGAAACAGAGGTTATTAGATCGGATAGGCTAATCAAACCTCGTCTCCGGATGGTATCAAAGAAAACAACACGAAATAACTCCGGCCAAATGTCCTAGTTGTCTAATACCCTTTCCATCGCCTGGATGCAATCATCCTTCTTGGTCGGCGCTTTCACGCCTTTCTCCACCAAAAGAGACTTCATCTGCGCTACCGTCAACTTGCTCAACGCATCTTTCTCGTACAACATCGCCGCATATTCCCACGTCAGCTCCTCCTTGACCCTCTTCTTCGGCACACTCCCCTCGCCACCATCCTCCCCATGATCCGCTCCGCGTTTCCGTGCGGGAGGTGCTTTGACGGGAACAGAGGTCGTGACGAAGCTGACTTTCTCCAACTCCTTCGCCCATTCCGCGATATGATCACCCGCGCGCCTATCGATCCCCCGATACTTCGGAATCGTATCATCCTCCCCCTGTGTCGGAAGATCCTCATCCAGCGCAACAGCCTGCAAGATTCTATAATGCCACTGTAGTGCCGGATTACGGTATTTCTCCGGCTGGTAGCCACCGATAGATAGCGATGCGACAATATCGTGCATTTTGTCGATAAGAGAGTCAGGAGCGCGTGTTGTCGTATTTTCCGGGAACAAGCGGATATCGTCCGCGTAAGGGAGTGGAAGCAAATGTATCCCCGCAGGTTGTTTTTGGACTTTTGTTTCCGGATCAGTAACTTCCTGCGACGCGACCATGGCCACAAAAACTGGTGATGCGTTTCGGCGGGCGACGAGCCAGGCGAGCCCCATGCGAGAGGAGGTGAGCATTTGTTTGTGGAGGGCGGAAAAGGTGCGGATCGAGCCGGTTATGTCGGCGTCGGTTGGGTAGATGAAGTATGACGGGCGGGTGTTCCATTCGAATTTCAGATAATCCAATGGCTTGAATCCGAGGAGACGGAGAATTGGATCCTCGATCACGCGGAGGGATGTGAGTTCGTCTTTGTTGAACACGACAGGCTCACCCCCGAACTTGAACGCTTTCTTGACGTCGGTGGTTTGGAGGGTCCGTGTGGTGTCTTGACAGACCATCTCGGATTTGGTTTCGACGAGTTTTGCGATTGAGCCGCGAGTCCAGACGTAGTTGCTCTTCGTTGCTTCCTGGCGTTTGAAAAAGATGTAGCCCTTGACGCCAATTTGGAAGCCGGGGCCGAGTTCGAATGGGACAGAGTATATAGCTCGTTTTGGGACGCTTTTGGCGGTGATAGCCGAGAGGAGATGTTTGTAACGCGTTTTTGCGTCCATCACCAGTTCGGGTTCATCTTCCTCCGTTTCCTCCACATCTGCCGGTAGCACGACTTGCTCCCAAAACTTGCTTACATCGAACTTCCCTTCGCCGCTCCTGATAAAGAACGGCTCGATTCTGATACCGAGATCGTTGAGATCTCGTGCTCGGGTGAATGCTGATTTACGTGCTTGTGGGTTGGAGGCGTGAGGATCCTCGTTGTCGGTGATCAGGAATAGTCTCTTGGAATTGAAGTTGGGGGCTTTTGAGGTAAAGATTTGGTTCGCGCAAAAGAGCACGTTGGTGATTGACACGGGACGCTCGGAGGGGGTGCAGAGTTCGTTGAACGCGTCCTCGTCTGTAAGATAACGTAAGCATTGATCCTTTTCTCATAAAAGGTGCGCATACACACCTTCAAGAATCGTCTTCAGTCCTTTGATACCCTGCGCGTCTGGCACGTCCAGAGCAAGGAGGATGTATATGTTCGAATATGTCTGCCCCTCGTTCACCTTCGTCTGCTCCGTCCCATACAAGACAATTCCAATCACATCCTTTGGATTACTAATGATCCTCTGTAATAGCACCTTATACGCGCACTCCAACGCAGTTCTGACGGGATTTGACGTAGGATCCTCGTCGTCAGGGTTGAGCATAGATTTAGAGACATCAATCATGAATAGCGTCCCGTCCTTCTGGTTCTGGTATTGAATGTCGTCCAGTTGGTTGTCTTCGTCATCGTCGAAGTCTTCGGGAGGTTGCCATGGGGTCGACATCGTCTTGATCTCTTCTTGTGGTTGATATTATGTCCTGGGGGAGCGTCCTCCGCATTGAGCTTAATTGTGTCTACGTTACACCGTGTGCCCTTCCTGAAGGACTACATAGAGCCAAGGTCTTCTAAAATCCAACCAGTTGTTCTTTATTCCTCTCCAATTGTCCTGAAAATTCATGGGGTCGACTGTGCGCTGACGTAGGCTCATATACGAACGTCCCGAGGGAGGTAAACACACAAACTCCATATACCCTCAATTATGGCTCAATTCAAGCTGTCAGCGAGTTTGACAGGTCATGAGCAAGACGTATGCTCCTAAATCTTTGTCGTCGCATTGTCTACTGACTGAGGGCAACATACAGGTCCGCGCCGTAACCTCCCCAAACGCATCCATCGTCCTCTCGGCATCCCGTGACGGCACCGTCCGCTCCTTCGTCCGGAAAGCGGAAAATGGTCCTTTTGAGGCACATGAAGTCTACACAGTGCACCGCGGTTTCGTCAATTCCTTGGCATACATTCCCCGGTCGGACAAGCACCCACAGGGATTGATCGTAAGCGGTGGTCAAGACAAGTTAATTGCCGTTACGGAACCTGGACATACGCACGATAGCAACTATGTTCTCTTCGGGCATACGGAGAATGTGTGTACGCTTGACGTACTTCCCTCGGGCACGGTCGTCTCCGGTTCTTGGGATTCTACGGCGAAGGTGTGGAAGAATTGGGAGTGTCAGCATACGCTTACAGGACATGAAGCTACCGTGTGGGCTGTGTTGGCCGTTGGCGAGAATGAGGTCTTAACGGGTAGCGCGGATAAGACGATCAGATTCTGGAGAGACGGCAAGCAAGTGGCCGTATTCACCGGTCACGAGGATGTCGTGCGTGGGCTTTGCAGAGTCCCTGCCGTTGGCTTCGCGAGCTGCTCGAATGATGGAAGCGTACGAGTCTGGAGCGAGGACGGACATCTTTTGCAGACGATGTATGGACATACCAGTTTCGTGTATGCCGTTGCCGCGTTGCCCACGGGCGAGATCGTGAGTTGTGGTGAGGACCGCAGTTTGAGAGTTTGGAAAGATGGAGAGTGCATACAGACAATCATCCACCCTGCTATCAGTGTGTGGGACGTTGCGGTCGCTCCGAATGGAGATGTGGTTACTGGAGCGAGTGATGGTGTGGTTCGCGTCTTTACCAGGGATCCAGCTCGTGTCGCGGATGAAGCTACGTTGAAGCAGTACAATGAGACAATCGCCGCACAAGCCATCCCATCTAACCAGGTCGGCGATGTGCAGAAGGACAAGTTACCCGGCCCCGAAGCTCTCACCCAACCCGGTACCAAAGAAGGCCAAGTCCTCATGGTCCGCGTCGGTGCCATGGTCGAAGCCCACCAATGGTCCTCCGGCCAATCCCAATGGCTAAAAATTGGCGAAGTCGTCGACGCCGTCGGCTCCTCCCGCAAACAGATCTACGAAGGCAAAGAATACGACTACGTCTTCGACGTGGACGTCCAAGAGGGTGCTCCACCCCTCAAACTCCCCTATAATGCGAGGGAGAACCCGTGGGATGCTGCGGGTAGGTTTATTGAGAGGAACGGGTTGCAACAGGAGTTTACGCAGCAGGTTGTTGATTTTATTATTCAGAATTCGAGCGGGGTTGCGATTCCTGCGCCTGGGGGTGGTGCGGATCCGTATAATGCTTCGAGGTATGTTCCGCAGGGTGGAGTGAGTTCGGCGCCAGCGCCGGCTACGTTCCAAGATCCGTATCATTCGAGAGCGGCGAGTACGGCTAGTCCGAAGGTCCCTAAGGTGTTGCCGCAGAAGATCTACCTCTCGACGACGCAGGCGAACCTTCCTGCGTTGAAGAAGAAGGTGCTCGACGTCAATGCGGAATTGCTGAAATCTGGCGAAAAGGGTATCTCGCTCAACCCTGAGGAAATCGTCGACTTGGAGGCTGTCATCACGTTCTTGGAGAGCCACACGTTAAGTGAGGGGAGCAGTGTCGTTGAGAATGGCTTGGCGGTTGCGGTCAAGATTGGTACGAGGTGGCCTGGGAATTTGAGATTCCCCGGTGTTGATTTGTTACGATTGCTGGTGGCTGCTACTCCTGCCGCTTCATCTGCCTCCTTTGAAGGCAAAGATATCGTGCAAATTTTACTTGAGGCCGGACAGTTGGATGGATCACCTATCACAAGTAAGGAGAGGGAGACGAATGGTATGCTCGCCATTCGCGGTCTGGGTAACTTGTTTGAGGCAGAACAGGGAAGGAAATTGGCTGTGCAGCATTTTGAGGATTTTTACGATGCGGTAAGGGCTGGAAGCGAAGTCGAGGCGAATAGGAATTTGAAGGTGGCGAGTGCGACTGTGTTCTTGAATTATGCGGTACTCTTTCACGGAGAGAAGGAGGGAGATCATTCACTGGGATTGTTGGAGCAGCTTGCGACGGTGAGTTTCTTTTGTTCTCGAGAACATTGAAGGATGCTGACGATCATGTACAGATCATTTCAAGCGAAACCGATTCTGAGACCTTGTTCCGGGCGCTCGTCGCGTTGGGAACGCTGACGCACAACTCTCCCGATATCGCCGAGGCAGCGGCCGTTTTCGACGCGAAGACTGCTGTTCAAGGAGCCGCTGGACGCGTAAAAGAACCTAGGATCAAGCAGATTGCCGAGGAGATTATCTCTTCCCTTCCTTAGAAAATATATTTGAGTTGTGTCTTCGGAGGTTGGTTGTTCCGGGCATAAGGATCTTCCCCACGTTCCCCACAGTTCGGGATGCCTTAGATTCGCGGGCAGCCCAAGTACAAAAGACGAATCACTCCTCGAGGCCAACGTGAAAAATCATAGAATAGACAAGTCGACAAAATGGTAGCTGCAAAGTTGAAGACAGAGAAGAGTCCCGTCAAGAGGAGGGATCCTCTGCCGCACGACACAAAGTGCTTGACTATCGGTACGTCATCGATGACCCTCCTCGGCTGATTGGGACGTCGAATAGCATATTGACGGATGGGAATAGATGAGCTTCAGAAGCTCGCTGCGGAGAATATGGACAAGCAAACCCGCGATTATTACAACGAAGGCGCGGACAAGGGCACCACCCTCCGCGAAAACCTCGACGCTTTCCAGAAGTACCGTATCCGCCCGCGCGTCCTCCGCGACGTCTCCCAATGCGATCCTTCGATCGAACTCTTCGGGAAGTCCATTCCCTTCCCGTGCGCGATAGCCCCGACAGCTATGCAGAAGCTTGCGCACCCCGAAGGTGAGGTCGCCACCTCGAAGGCGGCGGCAAAGTTTGGGACTGTGATGGGGTTGAGTAGTTTTTCGACTACGACATTGGAGGAGGTTGCTGAGCATCGTGGAGAGAACGACAATGTGCTTCAGTTGTACGTATTCGAGGAGAGGCACCACACGGAGAAGTTGTTGAAGAGAGCCAAGAAGGCGGGATACAAGGTAAGATTCCCTCGTACCTAAGTCGTTTCACAAACAGAGTGCCGATAAAGTCATACAGGCCGTCTTCCTCACCGTCGACACCCCCGTCCTCGGCCGCAGAAATTGCGATATCCGGAACCAATTCACGCTCCCCCCACACCTCCAAATCGCCAACTTCCCCGACGAGAACGGGAACTCCTCCTCCGCCGACCCCCCAACCTCCAAGAAAGCCTCCGTCCGATTCCACACCCACGCCGCAAACCCAACCCTAAGCTGGGAAAAGGATATCGAGTGGCTAAAGGAACAATGTCATCCGGAGATGGAGGTATGGATCAAGGGTGTCGCGACAGCCGAAGACACCGAGCTCGCGATCAAACACGGCGTTGATGGCGTCGTAGTCTCCAACCACGGCGGCCGCCAACTCGACGGCGCAATGGCAACCCTCGACGCCCTCCCCGACGTAGCCCGCGCCGCCCGCGGCAGAATCCCCGTCCACGTCGACGGCGGTATCCGTCACGGCACCGATATCTTCAAAGCCATCGCACTCGGTGCAGACTGTGTCTGGATTGGACGACCAGTGTTGTGGGGCCTGAGCTATAAGGGACAAGAAGGCGTGGAGCGGTGTTTGAGTTTGTTGTATGATGAGTTTTTGTTGTGTATGGGGTTGGCGGGGGTTAAGAGCGTGAAGGAGATTACGAAGGAGTATTTGGTGAGGATTGATGGGTTGAATTTGTCGAGATTGTAGGTACGGAATGATTGAATGAGTGAACGAATAGAATAACATTGAGTATCACGATAATGAAGCGTAATGGTTCATATCGTTGTGAAGCGCAACTGCTTGGGTATACCTGATGTCAATACTCCCTTAACTCACTCGACCCTAACATACGTACTCGGAAAACTCCCCACCCCCCTTCCCCCCCCTCCACAACTCCCTCCCACCACCCCCCGTCCTCCCCCCTCTTCGTAACCCTCACCCTCTCGCCCTCCCTAAAACTCAAATCACCACTTTGCTGCGCTGAGAAGTCATACAACGCCGTTGCGTAGACCTCGTTGCCCGTTGCGCGTTTGAAGGGGGGCGGAGGCGGGGGTGGTCGGGGTTTAGGGGATGATCCACCGGAGATCGGGGAGGGAGAGGATGGGGAGGTGGTGGTGTATGATGGTTTCGGGGAGAGAGAGGGTTTTGGTTTTAGGGTTGGTGGCGATAACGAACCATTACTCACCCGACGGCTCGTGGGACTGGTTCCGATGGTGGGACCCAACTTTCCCATCCCGGCCGTGATGGCTGCGACACCTAATCCACCCTTCTCGTCCTCGACGGAGGCATAGGACGGTGGACGCGCCAAGGTAGGTTTTGAGGGAAGAGAGGGTTTGAGCCCAAGACTCGGTTTCCCGGGTACCTCCGGCCTCGCCTCTCCCTGCTCCCCAGACAAACTCCCCGTCCGGCCTTTCGGTGGATTCACCGGGGGCGGCGGCGGCGGTGCCTTCTTCTTCCCCAACCCCATCACGAGTTCCTTTCCAGTGGAAAGTCGGGACGTCAGGGAAGGCCGATCATTAGCGAGATATGTACTCGCCATATCCCTCCCCTCAAACTGTCGAATCAACCCCAACGTCTCCGCCTCCCTCCGAATAGGTTCGAAATTGCTCCTCCACCCCTCCTCATCCAACACCGTGTTCTTCCCCGGCGCATACTCATACAAACACCGATACAACCCCGTAAACAAGTCGAGTTGGACACACCACGTAATCTTGACCATCGGATCGAAGAACTCGGAACAGAGCGCGATGAGTTGGGGAAGAGTTTCTTGCAGTTTAGCGTCGTGGGTCCGGAAAGTCTCGGTTGCGAGGGCGAGGTCGGCGGTGAGGCGGTCGAGGGAGGATTGGTCTTTGGGGGAGAGGGAGGGTTTTGAGGAGAGTTTGTCGTGGGAGTTTGTGTAGCGGTCGTAGTCGAGCTATCACACATCTTCATTAGTCTTCTGATGATACAAGAAGCGGAGGAGTACACACCTTCTTGTGATCCCGCTTCTTGATGGCTTTCTCAGCGATCCCAAATATTTCCTTCAACCGCCTACAAGGATTAACGACCCCACTCTCAACCCTCTCCAGCTCCCTCCCAACCTCCACCTCAACCACCTTCATAACCTCCCTAAACGCCTTCACCTTCTCCACCTCCCCACCATCATCCCCCTTCGGATCACACTCCGCCAACCCGATCCATGCACTTGCCAAATCGGGAGAAAGCAACTTCCGCCATGCAGCGACGAGTTTGGTGGAGTCTGAGATGAGGATGTCGAGGGTATGTTGGGCGTGTTTGAGGGATGTTAGAGCGTCTTGGAAGATTGCGTCGTTGGATGATTTTTTGCCGTTGATGAGGTGGGGGGTGCGGGTTACTGCTTTCGTTAAGCTGTTGCGTTGATCAGTACATGCTCTTTCCCGGTAAAAGGAGGCAGACGAACCCTTTCCAGGACATTTTTGATTGTTGATTTGGGGATGTATGCTGATGAGCTGGCAGCTCCTGTTGGAAGGTTAGAGTGACGTGAGGCGCGGGTTGTATATTGGAGGCGCAGCAGCCCGAGAGCGGGAGCGGGATGTCTTTGTGATTGTTGAATATAAATCGCTCATACTTCTCGTCAAGTATTTTCTAGTTCTGCTAATTACGGCGATCCCAGTGACTGCCTAGTAGTCTGTCTGGTAGTTGAGCATTGGAATAATTGAGGGGTCTGATACCGCTAGCAAGCCTAAGGTCTGAATGTCAAGGTGTGGCTGGAGCAGCGCGTCGAACTCACACGATGACCAATGCGTTCGCGGGTTGCTCACCTGATCTGATGCTCCCCTCTTCCTGCGCTCAAGACGGCCCCGTGACTGCCTCGATGGTCTTGACGGTTGATCATTGCTTTGCCTGTTGCTGATGACAGCAGCCAAAGCGGCCGGGTAGCGACATGACCGTTCACGAGGACAGATCAGGGTGCGGATCCATGCATGCGGTATACAGTCGTCTCCTCATGACTTCTTCCCCTCAGCGATTCCCCAAGTTATAAAGATGGTTCGAACTCCTCCGACATCCTCTTGTCATCAACAATCACCATGCCTAACATCAACGACCACGAAGAACTCGACGCCCTCATCATCGGCGCAGGTTTCTTCGGCGTCTACCAACTCCACCACCTCCGCGACTCCATCGGCCTTCGCACAAAGATATTCGAAGCAGCCCCCGACTTTGCCGGCATCTGGTACTGGAACCGGTACCCCGGTGCTCGCGTCGACTCTGACGTGCCCGTGTACGAATTTTCTGATCCCAAGATTTGGAAGGGGAAGAATGGGTGGAAGTGGAAGGAGAGGTATCCGGGGTGGGAAGAGTTGAGGAGTTATTTCAAGTTTGTGGATGAGAGGTGGGGGTTGAGGAGGGATGTAAGGTTTAATACCAGGGTTAAGGGGGCGCAGTTTGATGAGGATACTAAACTCTGGCGGGTCCAGACCGAGGATGGGATGACGGTGAAGACAAGGTTCTTGATCTTGTGTACGGGATTTGGGAGTAAACCGTATGTCCCGTCCTACCCCGGTCTTGGCACGTTCGAAGGGAAGTGGTACCACACTGCGCGCTGGCCACAGGAAGGAGTTCGGTTGGAGGGGAAGAGAGTTGCGGTCTTTGGGACGGGTGCGACGGGTGTTCAGGTCATTCAGGAGATCGCGGCGAAGGTCGGGGAGTTGACTGTCTTTCAGCGGACCCCGAACATGGCTTTGCCGATGAAGCAATGTACCTTTACCGACAAGGAGTTGGATAAGATGAAGGAGGGGTACTATGAGGAGATATTTGAGAAGCGGAAGACCACGTTTGCTGGGTTCCCCATCACGTTTGATCCGAAGGAGGGGGCGAGTGAGTCGCCGGAGCAGCAGACTGCGTTCTTTGAGAATATCTGGGAGAAGGGTGGATTCAACTTCTGGTTGTCTACGTACAGTGATATGTACGTGAGCGAGGAGGTCAATAACGAGGCGTACGCATTCTGGAGGAAGAAGGTGTTGCAGAGGATTACGAAGCCGGAGTTGAGGGAGAAGTTGGCCCCGGAGAAGCCGCCGCATGCATTTGGGACCAAGAGGCCGAGTTTGGAGAGGACGTTCTATGAGAAGATGTGTCAGGATAATGTTATGCTGGTTGATTTGAAGGAGACGCCGGTGGAGGAGATTACGCCGAAGGGTGTGAGGACGAGTGGTGGGAAGGAGTACGAGTTTGATGTCATCGTCTTCGCTACGGGATTCGACGCGATCACTGGTGGCATCACGAACATTGATATCAAGGGCACCCACGGCAAGTCCATCGAGGAAGTCTGGAAACCCGGAGCTCGCGCATATCTGGGCATGTCAACCGCCCACTTCCCCAACCTCTTCTTCCTCTACGGACCCCAAGCCCCAACCGCCTTCTGCAACGGCGCAACCTGCGCCGAACTCCAAGGCCAATGGATGATCGACTTCATGGCCCACGCTTTCCGCAACAACATCACGCGTATCGAAGCCACCGAGGAAGCGGAGGAGAAGTGGAAGGTCAAGGTTAATGAGAGTACGGGGAAGACCTTGTTTGCGAAAACGGATAGTTGGTATATGGGCGCAAATGTACCGGGGAAGGTTAAGGAGAGTTTGAATTGGACGAACGGGGTGCCGGAGTATGTTAAGGAAATTGAGGAGGTTGCGAGTAGGGGTTATGAGGGGTATGTCATGACGGGGGGAGCTGGAGCTGGGGCGACTGCGAGTCACTTGTGAGGAAGGCTAAGCACTACAGTAAATATTTCAAGTACGGTTCATATAACCAGATTATTCATGTATTTCGATATCCTTGCCGATACTTTCCTCCCCGTATGTACGCATCTCCCCCAGACTTGATTACGGGGGTCGAAGTGGTGTTTGCAACTCGAGAACACACCACAACACCAACACCAACACCCAGCAACAGCCGTCTCTTATCGGATCTAGCATTCAGCCCGACAATTCTGCTTGGCCTTCTTGTTCTTTTCTCGTTCTCTTCTGCTTAACCTTCTAGATGTCGCTTCCGACGATGATCCCGCTCCTTCCTCCGCCATCCTCGCCAGACTTTTCGCCGGCGTTAACCAAAGCATTGCAGACTATTTTCGACACGCTATATGCTATCGGTAACAATGCTGCAGAGGCTTCGAGATCTGCTGCGGTTGATGCTTACCGTGCTACTGTTGCCGTTCGTGACATGACGAGGGTTGTCCAGGAGTTGATTGCACGCATTGATCCCGGGAAAAAAGTAAAGAACAGCTCTACAGTTCCCGTGTTTGACCATGTCGAAGGACAGTCTGATACAATTGGAACGCAGTCTCACCCTGTTTCACGCAAGAACAAGGTCAAGGCCTGCTACTACGGAGAAAACCGCCGCCAAAGCAACGCGTTCACCTTCCCGCAGTGTACGTCTACCGGTCCAAGTGAGACTACGGCAATGCCTACACCAGCGCCTATGTTCGTCCTCGATACGCCGGAGAATGTCAGAGTCATCGAGGAGTACCACCATACCCGTTCAGCCGACGACAGGATGCTCAGTGATGACCTTGAACTGAGCATGGAGTGCGACTGTGAGCAGTGTCAGGAGTTGTTGACGTCGTCTGCGGACCCAGTGGAAGAGCGAGTGGAGACGACCGAGGAACTGCGCACAGAAGGTGTTCGACCAACTTTTCTCGAGTTCACCGCCGACGACTTGGTTTCTGGCTTCTACAACCAACCTCAAGGCGTTGCATCGTCTGTTTACGACGCGTCACCTTCCTCGGATGTTCTTGTCGATGTCGGCACCCCCATTATTGGTACACCCCGTATGGCCTTCGTGAACCCTGCACCCTCTTCAACCATGTCAACACCTATGAAGCTCTCCGCCGGAGGGCTACTCGACGGGTTTGATGAGGTTGAGCTCAATCGCGCCTATTGGAGCACCATTGACCTTACCAAGGAGGATGGGGAGATGGATGATGAAATTGTTGTCGAGATGCTCGAGAGGGTGTATCCCATCACTTGGCAAGACCGGATGAAGGCCTATCAGGTGCTGGCTACTACTGGACAGATCGCCCTTCTTGGTAGGTTCCTTGATGTGTGGTTTTGTAGATACCTAGGCATGCTGATAATGGTTGCATAGGTCTGTGTGGTGAGCCTGACATTACGGAAGCAATTGTTGCGTTTTACAGAGCATGGATTGTTTACAACTTGCCGGAAGAGATGAAAGCTGTTCCCGCGTTGAAGGTTCCCAAGGTAAATCATGCCGTTTTACCTGTCCTGTTGCTGTCCCTGACCATTTTGACAGTACGTTGCGGAAGCCATCTTCCTCATGAACCTCCATGACGAAGAAGGTCGTATTCCTCAGACATTCTTGAAGAAAGTTCCTGTTGCGAACGGATACCAAGCAGGATATGTCAACCTTCTACGCCCCTTTGACGCGGAAGCCTATGAAGACGAAGGAAGCTCCCCAATCGACGAAATCATGCAGCAGTCCACGTCGAGTGAGGATGTTGAAGAGTCCTGCGGCTCCACGAGTGCCCCCGTGCCAGGGCTGAACATGAGTATTGTTACAAGACATGGCGAGCTTGGAGGTGCAGTTACCGATATCTATGAGGATGGAGAGGCGTCACCAGTGAAGGAGACCGTTGTCGATTCAACTGTCCTTGGCGACAACAAGTCGCACAACATACGTCCTGACATGCGCATGTCGGATTCCATCACCCCTCCCAGAGCCGGTGATGATATCTTCGCGAAAGCTGCTGTCAGCAAGCGTTTCAACAAGGACTTCGCAAAGGTTAGACCTGTTACCAGCAAGGACGAGAATGCCGGCCCTTCAACATTGAGCCTCTTCACTTTCAAGTACGTGACGAAAGCTTGTTCGGACTCGGGTGAGAAGAGGGGAACGTTCGAGTACGAAGCTGTGCACAGTGCTATGAGTGATTCTGATGAGGAGGAAGGAAAGAAAGGTGGTCGCATGGTGTTCAGGGCAAGGCCGTGAGCGTTTGTTGTCGTTTTGGTAAGTGAAACTATCAGTGTATGACTATGTATTCGAGGAGGAGCATTGTTTACGGATACCCAAGCATTGTTATATTGGGATCAGATGTAGTTGTTTCATTGAAGCCAGCGGTGAGCGATACGAACTGTGTATTATGATAATAATAAAAATACGAGCAGAGTGCATCAATGAATACCCTCGGCAACCGCCTGACATGTCCAGCAGTTCTTCTCTGGCGGACTGACAGTCAACACATCTGCGAGGCATTCGTGACAGCATGAATGTTGACAAGGACGAAGCCTTCATATGATGGGGTTAGCTCGCATTTCCATATGTATTGCATAGGGTTCGTACCTGTACTCAGACCTTCGATGCTTACAGCGACTACAAGTCTCGTTCTCGGTACTCGCCTCACTCAACCTCCGCTCTCCACTCGACCTGTCGGGAATTACAGACGCTCGTCCCTTGACCTTAACGCCCGTCAAGGCTTCAAACAAGGCCGGGTGGACAGGGTAGACCGTGACAGTGGTTGCAGCCGCCATGTCGTTTATCCTTGGGTCGTTCTTATCCTTCCAGATACGAAGGCGCGTATGGGAATCATCCAAGCTCTGCTTTCTTGTAGGCGGAAACACGGGGAATCCGGGGCTTTGCGGGGTAGGGGGAAGAAGATCCGGATGAATATGAGGTTGCCGGTGGAGCTCGATGATGCTTTGCGGATTGAGCTCGTAGTCCATGAGATACATGGCGTCAAGCAGTCTCCTTCCTTCTAGTATGAGTATCTGCTCATCCGCTGGGATGTAGTGAACTGCAAAGTCTGTCAGTACCATACAAAGAGTTCACGAGACATTGCAAACCTGTTTCAATCAACTGCTTGAGCTTCGTGACAGTGTACGTGTAAGGAGTACGAACAGTCAATGCCTTCCCATTCATGTTTATCAAAGTAACTTTGAAATCACCACTCGGATAACTAGCACGGACATGTGCGATATTCTCGCGATACCCAGCCAATTCATCCCATGGATCACGAGGAGTGAAGATCAGGTCGCTCAACAATGCCGGCCGCCCGCTGTGCTCCAAGGTCAGGCGTGTGTTATTCGTGAGTCCATAATCCATGGGGGACTTTCTAGCATCGAGGTTTTGGGGCGCTTGGCGAATTTTACCTGGGCTCCAGAGGTTGGTGGCGATGAAGGAGTACCCGGTGGTGCCGTGAGAAGGGATAAACTCAAGTTGTAGTTCATGAGAAGTATTAGTTTCTTTGAGGTTGTCCAACGTGTCGAGACCTAACTTTAGGGGTATCTGCGTGAACTGTCTGTGAGTGTATGCGCATTAGCAAGCAACCACGCTCGTAGACGATTCGTCCATCTTACCTGGCACTGTTGGACTTTGCGACGTATCCGTTGATAGACGGCTGCGTGGGTATCACGACATGATCTTGCGTACCAGCCCGACTGAGCGATAACTCATTCTGCATCTTATTGCTAGCCTTCCCCGACATACCATTCACCCCCTCAACAAACAATCTCATCGCCGTTGGTTCGGACTCCGTGTCACTGAAGAAGTCCATCCTCATAGCCTCATGCTTGCCCAACGGGAAGATGACATGTTTGGTGGACCCACTATCCAGTTTATCAATGTCGATGTACTGGGAAAGATCGTACGCCGGACAATTAAGCTCGAATTGCTGCTCTGGAGGCGTAGGTGATTCTGTAGAGCCCTTCGACATCCGGGTCATTCTCTGTTCCCATGGTTAGACACTAACCCCTTGAATACGGGCTTGAGCGATTAACCTTGAACTCAACAGCAACTGGACCATACTCCAACTTTCCATTGATGACCGTAGGCTTCACCTCCCTCCTCCCTCCATGTTCCTCCATCCACCGGGCATGCCACGACGCGAAGAGCTCCCTCTCACTGATCTGCAAATCTTTTCCACTGTAAACCGACGGTGCATTCGTGACACGGAGATTGTCTTGGTAAATAGCTTCGCGGACATAACGGTCCTCATTCCAAATCGCATGTGGGCGTTTGATCCCTGTAGTTGCTTCGTCAATAATCCTAAACTTATAATGCAGGAAGACAACTACCTAGAGCTTCCAGGCCATCGAACAAGTCCTTCACCGTTGTCTTCAGTGATGGTAAAGACCGATACACAGCAGTTTGCTTCTCCGATCCCGGATGCGATTGAAGGCCAGTAGCGAAGACGACCACCGGCATTGTCAACAAGTGTGCTGCGAGTGGGGTGAAGCATAGCCAAAAATGCCGGCATGATCAAATCTTATACGTGGCCGTTTGGGCTGTGGTGAGGGGATCATATGAACAGGGCATGTAGGCGGTGAACTCTATGCCGCGGTTAACAGCCGAGCCGCAACGGTACAGGTAGGGTGATATAAATAGCCCGTGCCAAGATCTGATACATTGTATCATAAACTCCAAATATTCGGTCCTTGAAGTTCCATATCATGGTCGTCTCTCCGTTCTGTCGCTCCCTTGCCTGTGCTGCGGACATGCGTTCTGGGGTCTCCCCTAATAGAACGAGAACATCTTCTTCTCCCCGCCCTTATCCACATAAACCCTGACTTTCCCCTGATCATCCGGCAAATCCTTAAACGTCAACTCCCTCGTTCTGTGCAAACTCTCAATCTCGTCAATCCTATCCTTCACATTCTCCAACATCTCCTCAAATCCCTCCTCCGAACAAATCTCCCTAAAAGCGTTCATCATCGGAACGCTGTCTGCGCGAACATTTGATTTCGTGTCGATGTGGAAGATATTTTCGGAGTCGAGGGATTGGATGAAGTCGGCGCGGGTCATGACTTGGCGGGCGCGGTAGAGGGGGAGACTTGGGAGTTTGCTGGTTTCTAGCATGGGTCCTTCTGCATCTTCCGCTTCTTGCTCTGCCTTGACGAGTGCCAACGCCAAAGTAAACGCAGCAGACGCATACTTCTGCTGATCCATAACATCATCATCATGATCCTCAATCATACTACACCGATTCCACAACCACGTCTTCTCCATCTCATTTATGTCCTTCGCAGCCTGTAGCATATCCTCCTCCTTCGCCACCCGATTCAGAAACTGCAATCTTCCACCGACGAGTTTCCAGACTTCGGTTAGTTCAGGTTCGGAGACGGTTTCGCCAAAGTAGCGGAGACGATATTTCTGGAGGGCAGAGGTAGCGTCGGTGTAGCAGAGGTCAGTGACGTTGATGAGAACCATACGGGCTGCGTGTTGTTTCATGCGTTCGTAGACCCAGTAATCGTCGCTGTTGAAGATCATGGTGAGGATTCCGCTCGCGGCCCAGGTCTCGGCCCGTTGTTGGAGGAGCTCTAGCAGTGCGTTTCCGTCATCGTTGTCTTGGAGGAAGTGGAGGCCGTTGATGACGAATACCAGGGGCTTGTTGTGTACTTTTCGGTGTTGTACGGCGACTTTTTCGAGTTTGTTGAAGGCGCGTTCGATGTCGAGGAGAGCAGTGGATTCTCGCTGTCCCTTGATACTGAAGAGACCACCGATAAAGTCCTCCGCGAATTCGAAATCAAGCGCCTTTCCTAATCTCGTCCTGAAGATCTCCGGATCTCGGTGTGCTTCCATAGCACTGATTCCATTCGCCTGGACCTCATGCATGACGTCCAGCACCATAGTAGTCTTTCCAACTCCCTTCTCTCCGATCATGAGATAGTAATGCCCGGTCTCCTCGCCTGTCATGACCTTCCGTATCCGATCATGCTCCGGTCTTTGAATCAAATGATCCTTATCCAGCGTCGCCTTATCAACAGTGTACGCCAACAACGCCGGATCATCCGGTCCTGGCGTAAACGCATTCTTGATCTTTCCTAGAACGAGGTGTTTGTAATATTTGTGGTAGCCGTACCCTGCTAAGCCTAAACATGCCAGTGAGGCGACAGTGGTTGCGATTGTGCGGATGAGTTCGTTGGGAAGGCCGGATTTGTTGGGTTCGTCTTCTGGGCCGGGGGGGAGGAAGGGTGCGTTGGGACTGACGTCGGAGACGGAGATCAGGCGCTGCTGTTGGAGAGAGCCGTCGCTTGGTAGAGTAGCGTGAGGAAATGGCCTGCTAAGTCCTCTTACCAGCTGCCTCGATCCGGCTCTGAACATCATCGTTCGTGTTGGTAGTGAGTTTGAGGTGTTTACGTGGCTGAGGCAAGGTTGCTGAAGCGAAGCCAACCGATATGGAATTAAGGTCTTCGGCAAGGCACCCCGATAAGTCAACCTTCTGAGAACGACGATTCAGAGACCTTTTGATGTTCTCTATTGACGTGACTCTTCACAAAACGTGCTGCGTGTCGCAACAGATCCGGAGATCTAGAGTTGAGTATCAGTTTCTGTCCAAGAGAAAAAGAATTGACGTCAGCGACAGGACTCGAACCTGCGCACGGAGACCGTAAGAGATTTCTAATCTCTCTCCTTAACCACTCGGACACGCTGACTGAATTGATGACTGCTTTCATTGATTGTGTTACTATTGGGGGGTTGTTCTGAATGCCAGCTGTTCCCGGAGTCGTGGTTACCTTGTACGTTTATGGTCCACTGCCATTCATATGCATGTTCGAGGTCAATGCCTCTTGACCGATACCAATAGTTGTCATATGCATGCTGCGTAGCATGGGTAATGCACACGTAAACATAGCTTTTACATCTCTTGAAAAAAGGCTTGGTAAGCGTGAGTTTTGTCGTCAGGACTTCAGTGATATATCAAAAAACACCAGTACCAAAGCATTGCACGACTAAGCCGGTCGGGGAATCGCGAGTGTGGAAGTGTTCACAAAGAATTGCCATCGCGAGCGTAGGAAAGAAAGTCTTGAATGGGGAAGCTAGGCAAGTATCTCACAGACCATTACCCAATGAATTGGAAGTAACGAGCGTGGCCAAGAAGAAGAAGAGTGGAAATCGAAAATAGATAAATTATTAAGCATATATTCCTACGTTTATATGCAACAGACAATGACAATATCCAATATGCCCACGTTTCTGCCACTGTATATAGTCCCTAAGGCGACGGTATCAGAAAGATGCAACCAAAGGTAACATAAACTTTGACCAGGTATACCACACTGCCCTTAGCGAAAGACATAAACTGTCTGCGTTCTTGCCAATGAAGAGACAATGGTTGAGATGATCGAGTTTGTCTGCGTTGCGACAACTGTGGTCGCATAGAGCGTGATGGGGTCCAAGGTCTGAGTTTCCACCGCTGTTGTGGTGGTCCCGTCACTCTCGACACTTGTAACTGTATTCGCAACGTACGTCAAAGCCGAGGGCACACTGAGAGTAGTCCTCGTAAGAACAATCGAAGAGTTCTGCTGAACGATAATCGCAGTTTCAGTGGTAACAACCTCAGTCGTTCTGGATGGAACGGAGACAACAGAAGTTACGGGTTCGATGACTGTACGATTGTTGCCCATGACAGTTTTGATGACGGAAACCTGCTTCGTGATCGTCGTCGTAGGGTGGCCGTAAATGCGTGCGCATTGAGCAGAGACAGACTCCGCATCCTCTGACACCAACGCGTCAAAGTCGTCTTTATCGGAAACGTCACGCTCGAGGAATATGTATGTAAACGAATTGTACACAGCCGTGGTAGTTGTCAGAAGCGTAAGTTCGGTAGTTATCGTCGAGGGCACAATATCAGTAGTGGTTGGTTGCACCGTCACTGTACTGAGGATGGTGTCGACAGAAGTGGTTGTAGTGAGGGTAGTCGTCGTGCTGGGAACCGCAACAACGTAAGTCGAGCTGATCACCTCTGTTGAGGTAGACAAAGAAACCTGGTTAGACGTCGACACAGCATGCGCAGTCAAGTTAACGATGAGCGGATATGTAGTGCTGTGCAACAATGTCGAGGTCGCGTTGACGTTTGGCGAGATGAACGTAGTTGAGGTTACGTACTGCGTGAAATCTACGGTCACGGTGCCCAAGAAGGAGGCACAGAGAGAAGATGTCACAGAGCCCTGGTAAGTAGAAGGCGAAGTTGTATTCATCATGTTGCCAGGACCGGACGGAATGAGAGTCGGTGATGACGAGTTCGTGGACGTAGAGGTGGACGGGAGAAGAGTGTAGCCGGAGTGCGTGACGGAAGTGGAGGTAGCCGCAGGAATGGTACCGTTCGAGTATTTTGGACCTGTCATCGTGACAGTACCAGTCTTCGTAACCGTATGAGTCGAGGTCCGAAGTCCACCAGTCGGCGAAGCACTCTGGGTAATCGTGTCTGTCAATGTCCTCGTCACTGTCGTAAGCCTAGAATTCCACTTGTTCGAAACGGTTTCCACGACCGTCTGCGTAGAACACGATTCGATCACATAGACCGTGTTCGTGGCAACAGCCTTTCCACCGACATACTCCGTGAGGGTAACGTGTCTCGTGGGCTTCACCAACTCGGAGTAGGGAAGGACGCACTTCTCCGAAGAGGTCTGGACATAGTAGCTGGTAGTCGGAGTAGCACCGATGGCAAAGACGGTAGATGTAAGATAGTAAGTCGAGGAGGCGGAAGTGATGAGCTGGGCGGAGTCAGTGACGAGTTGGTTGAGGGTAACGGTAGCGACAGGACAGGAGAGTTGAGCGGAAGAGGCGGCAAAGATGACAACCGGAATGACGGTATTGGAGGACATGCTCCCTTGGCCGTTGACGCCGTTCAAACCGCTGGAATCACCGGAAGTACCAGAACCGCTCATAGAATCAGAGTGGCCTTGATTTCCGTTGGACACAATCGCGAGCCCGGTAGCTTGACCCGCATTACCGAAAGTAGCCGTGGAAGCCCCCAAGGCACCACCCCCATTGACATAGGCGTTGGTGACGGTGCCAGTCGAAGTCACGACAGCCTGACCACCGTTCCCACCCGAGCCTCCAGAACCCCCCATACCACCACCACCTCCACCGCCGTTGCTGGAATGAGAACCGTCCGTATGATGCGTAACATTCCCGGACGTCCCGTTCGTGAACTGGCGATGCTTAAAAGTAGGCGAAGCGGACACAACAGCCAGTATGGAAGCTGTGGCTGTCAATGCTGAAAGAAGATGCATTTTGTTGCTGAAAGAGTGACTGAAGGAGCCGAAAGAGAGCGACCGGATTCCTTGAGTGATCCTGGTGTGTGAACGTCCGCATTATATAGGTAAGGATCTTGAAGCCTAGGCCTTGGTGGTCGGGGGTTGTCATGGCCGGGTAAATGCTGGTGTCAAACTGCGGCTGCAGCTGTGCCCAATAGTTTCCAGAGTAATTGCTCTCATTTGCTTTACGTAGAGAGCATTCTTATGACATTTGCAGTTGTCATTTCATTGCGGCTCGGGTGGACGCTCGAACCTGCCAATCGTGTATCAGATGAACTACACCAACTTGCAGTGAGAATCGTGAAAGATCAGGCAAGGCTCTCTCCGGAGTCATTGCGAAGGGTCAGAAGAGCTTCAGAGCGTAAATCGTGCATCGTATCGACTGAATTCCCGGGTGAATGTCGACGAGTTTGTCTGTACTCAAGGTTCGTAGGTGCGTCGTACTCCGAAGGTTACAGCTGCTGCGTGAGGGAGCGCGATGCCGAAGAATAACCCCCGCGTAATGACAGGGCTTTCAGCAGGGAATGAAGATTGCTACATGACACAATGCTATCATATTTGGGGTCGAAGAGTTCGTATTGAGCTGCTCTATCCAACGAGGCCACTGTTAAGGCCTCTCACAAGAGTTGACTGAGCACTGATCGACAGCACGAAAGCGAATACATAACTGCTGAAAACTTCTCCAAATCAACAAAAAGATCTCAGACAAACGGGAGGCAATTGAGTCGGGCCGGTTTTTTTTTCGCCTGTCTCTCCCTTACATGCCGCGCCTCCGCAGGCGAAATCGATAAGGCAAAAAATTGGCTCGCCCCAGCGACGTCGTATAAGCAGCAGTCGCTCCCCGTCTCAACCACCACCCCCCTCCACTCAATCGCTCTCTACGAGCAAATCAAGGTTCTTTCGCAGGCTCGAGGTTCCTTCAGGTGGTCTTATTTAATCAATCCTTTACAATGGTCGCTCCTACCGGCACAATCGAGGACCTCCTCGCCCAGCTCTACATCGCTGAGACCTCCGATGATTGTCTCCACGTCGCCGACCAGCTCGCTGAAGGGCTCTTGAACGCTGCACCCGCTGCTCCTGCCACTACGATCAGAAATCTTATCGACTCCCGCGTCCTCGAGAACCTTCAACAGAACGCGCAGAACAAGAAAGACGGATTGAAGCGCGAGTCCGCATTGATTGGCTACTACCGTCTTTTCGATGCGTTCTCCAAGCACCCCGAGGTCGCTGCTACCCCATTCTTCCTCCAATACCTTCCCGTCGTCCTCGATACCCACGCGGACAAGGGACAAGTCGTCCGTGACGCAGCCGCGTACGCTCTCGAAGCCCTGTGCTCCAACTTCCGCCCCGAAGAACTCGGTGCAGCAGTTTGGCCCGCAGTCCGCGATTACTTCAACACCGACCCCAAATGGCAATCTAAAATCGCCGCACTCAGCGTTCTTGCCAAATTTCCTAAAATCAGCAAGGAGCAGGTTTCGGAGCACTTGGTCGAGTTGATTCCGGCTGTGCAGTTGTGTATGCACGACACAAAGGCTGAGGCATCTGAGGCTGCGATTGCTTGTATGAAGGGTCTGTTGAGCACTGTGGAGAACCTGGATATCAAGCCGCATTTGTCGTTGATTGTGGAGTGTATGGCGAAGCCTACCCAGGTCCCTGCTTGTATCAAGGCTTTGTCCGCGCAGACTTTCGTTGCTGAGGTCAATGCTCCCGTCCTCGCTATTCTCGTTCCTATTTTGGTTCGTGCGTTGAACGAGCGCAGTCAGGAGGTTTTGCGTCAGACTGTCATCGTTGCCGATAACTTGTGTCGTTTAGTCAAGGACCCTCTTGATGCTGCCCGCTTCTTGCCGGAGTTGATGCCCCTCGTTCAGGAGCGTGTCGTTAAGGTCGCTTCTATGCCCGAGGTCCGTGCGCTCGCTACCAAGGCCTACAACACCATGGTTGCCGCCGGTGCTGAGGCTAAGGTTGCCGATGTCTCCCACGAGACTACTCCCCAGCAGGTCCGTACCCTCCTCGAAGGCCTCGTCGCCAAGAAGTTGGGATGGAAGCCCCCCGCCGACAACGTCTCCGGCACCCTCTACCACATCCTCTCCCTCATCTTGGCGCAGATGGTCAACAACGACCGTTTGTCTACCTCGACCTGGACTGAGGTCTACGTCGGCCCATACATGGCTCCGGTCTTGGGTACGCCCAAGATGTCCCTTGAGTTGGGTCAGGATATGGTTAACCACTACCTTGAGGAGTATAAGAAGGCTCACCCTAACGAGTTCGATGATGATGAGGCTGGTGAGAAGATCGTTGATGTTGACTTCTCTCTTGCGTATGGTGGTATGATGTTGCTTAACCACACTCACCTTCGTCTTTACCGTGGTCGTAGATACGGTATCGTTGCGCATAACGGTGCGGGTAAGTCTACGCTCATGCGTGCCATTGCTACGGGCAAGTTGGAGGGGTTCCCGTCTCCAGAGGAGGTTAGAACCTGTTTCGTCGAGCACAACTTGCAGGGATCTGAGTCTGTCTCCCCCATTCTCGACTTCGTTGCCGAGGATGAGGAGTTGGTGAAGCTCGGTATTACCAAGGAGCAGACTGCTGCTACCCTTCTCGAGGTCGGGTTCACCCCTGAGCGCCAGGCTGCTCCCGTCAGCAGTTTGTCTGGTGGTTGGAGGATGAAGCTTTCCCTCGCTCGTGCAATGTTGATGAACGTCGATGTCTTGTTGTTGGACGAACCTACCAACCACTTGGATGTCACCAACATCGCATGGCTCGAGTCCTACCTTAACTCGCAACATCACATCACCTCCATGATCGTCTCCCACGACTCCAAGTTCTTGGATAACGTTTGTACTGACATCATCCACTACGAGCGCAAGAAGTTGGCGTACTACAGGGGTAACCTCTCGGCTTTCGTTGATGTCCATCCCGCGGCGAAGAGTTATTACACCTTGGATGCGAGTAACGTCAAGTTCAAGTTCCCTCCTCCCGGAATCTTGAGTGGTATCAAGTCAAACACAAAAGCGATTATGCGTATGACGCACTGTCACTTCACTTACCCCGGCGCCGCGAAGAAGTCTTTGGATGATGTATCTGCTACCCTCACTCTCTCTTCTCGTGTCGCCGTGATCGGTGCCAACGGAGCTGGTAAGTCTACGCTCATCAAGGTCTTGACCGGTGAGGTTATTCCTCAGGAGGGAGCCGTCGACAAGCACCCCAACCTGCGTGTCGGATACGTTGCTCAGCACGCTTTCCACCACGTTGAGCAGCACATGGATCTTACTCCTAACCAGTACATCCAGTGGCGTTACGCTGGTGGTGAGGATCGTGAAGTTCTTGAGAAGGCTTCCCGTATCTTGACCGATGAGGAGAAGGCACAGTTGGACACTCCCTTCGTTGTCCAGACTCCCCACGGTGAGGAGACGCGTAAGGTCGAAATGATCATTGGTCGTCAGAAGTTGAAGAAGACGTTCCAGTATGAGGTTAAGTGGCAGAACATGGGACACAAGTTCAACTTGTCTGTTCCTAGGGACAGGTTGATCGAGAAGGGTTTCGCGAAGATGGTGCAGAGGTTCGACGATTATCTCGCTTCCAAGGAGGGTCTTGGATACCGTGAGTTGTCGCCTGCCGTTATCAGGAAGCACTTCGAGGAGATTGGGTTGGACGGTGATATCGCCGACCACAACGCTATTCGTGGTCTTTCTGGTGGCCAGAAGGTCAAGGTCGTTATTGCTGCTGCTATGTGGAACAACCCTCACTTGTTGGTTCTTGACGAGCCTACTAACTACTTGGACCGTGACTCCCTCGGTGGTCTCGCTGTTGCTATCCGTGACTGGGCTGGTGGTGTCGTCATCATTTCTCACTCTTCCGAGTTCGTTGGCGCGTTGTGTCCCGAGCAGTGGATCGTCGAAAACGGAAAGGTCATCTCCCGTACCAAGGACGGTATCGACGAGTCCAAGTTCTTGGACAAGACCGATGAAAAGGCTGCGGAGCCGGAGAGTGGTGCGATCGGTAAGGCGAGGAAGAAGAAGAAGATGACTAGGAATGAGAAGAAGGTTCAGGAGGAGCGCAGAAGGTTGAGGCACATAGCTTGGTTGTCGTCTGCGCCGGGTACGCCTAAGTATGAGGACACTGATGATGAGTAGATGGGCAGAGTTCCAGATACAGTGTGAATGCCCCATATGGAGTTAAGAGCCTGGTTTTGCTTTCTACGGTTTTATTTTTTGTTTATGTTTTTCTCTTTTGCACCATAGAAGTTACTCTGTTCCGCTAATATCAATTGTAAGGGCTGGAGGTCCTACATTATACTGTTCTGTTCATTCTCCTTGTATTGATACGGGTATAAGAGATAACAAATACTCCCGTTATAAAAAACCCGCCGAACTGTCCGTCATGTCGTCCTTCTCATCAGCCGTCTCAGAAACCGTGCTCTTCAGCCCATGTGATCATGTGTTCGTAGGTATCAGGAGCAGTCAAGTGAGCGTTGAGCTGTAGCACCGAGTTAGATATCATATCATCATACTACAGTACGTATATGGGAGGAGCACTCACTGCATGTCCCGTTGACGGTGGAAGATACGTCTCGAAGCTATCCGTCACAGGGAATACCGATTGCACACCTGCCGGAATAGAACTGTACGGCGTCCCAGCAGAATCGGGGCAATACCCTCCACAGAAGATCCAGTCCAATTCCCCAGTCACCACAAACACAGGCCCAGTGAAAGGTGTTGGTGGGAATGCAGTTGGCAGCGTGATCAACTCCCCAATCGTAAAAGTCTGTTTATGTGCTTCGGCGTAGGCGAGTACAGCCGGATCAAATTCCGGAGCCCTGAAAAAGCAGAGTTGGTTGTTGTATATGTTGTTCGTGAGGAGATACCCGTTCGGTAAGCCGGAGAAACGGTCGGGCTGGTCGAGGGTAGCCATGGTGGGGAGGAAGCCGGCGGTGGTCATGGGGAGCCAGGTTGCGTTGACGGAGTAGCCAGTGAGGATGATGCCGTCGCTAATGGTGGGATAGTAAGAGACGAGGCCGTTGGTGATGAGACTGCCGAAGGAGTGGCCGATGTGGATGATCTTGTCAAAGTTGAGATCGGGGAGGGTGGGGCCGGAGCACAGATCAGATGTCAGCTTGCCAGAGCGTAGCATGTTCGTGAGTTGGTGCACAGTCTCAATTTCGGCGAAGAGCTGGACATCTCTGATTGGGTCGGGCTTCGAACTCGCACCGACACCCAATCTGTCGATAGCGAACGTGGCATATCCAGCTGCGGTAGCAACGTCCACGTACGAATAATCCACCCCATCAATCGTCGGTAAATCCCAATATGTCCTATCAAACAAGATCCCATGAATCAAGAACTGGAGCGTCCCACCTCCAGTCCACCCAGCCGGCAAACAAAGCGTAGCCCCAATTTCATACGTGGCTTCCAACTCAAACGTCCCTTCGATCTCGTCAGTGAGATTACTCGCGATCGAGGAGAGCTGGTTCGTCAAGTCAATGACGACCAATTCGTTGGCGGGCTCGGGGATGAGAAGGTTAAGATTTGCGGCGGAGATGGTGACGGGGATCGTGAGGTTATAGCATACTGGGTCGACTGGGGCCTTGGGGAGTGCCGCAGCGAGGGTTGCAAGAGCGAATGTGAGAGTAAGTGAGGAGGCACGCATTGCTGGGGGGGTACATACAGGTGCACTATGTCGCGAAGAGAGGTTTGGGGGGATCGAGACTCTTATGTCAAGAGAGCATTTTGAGGCTTATCCAGGGGAGCGATCATGGGACGGGTCCAGAAGGTGCCCAATCTCCGTTGCACGCACATGGATGGCTGATCGGGTCTATAAATCGCCCTGGGAAATGATAGACGAGTATTCAAGGTTACCTTCCATCGGAATGATCTTCCTTCAAGGATTGATCGATGAGGACACGTCCATCGCCAAGAACACGGCAGGTATCACGGACGAACCAGCCGTACGGGTGCGAACCGGCGAACCGAAACTGCGGGATCAGGTTATATATCTAAACTTCGCGCCAGCGGGCCGCTAGCGCCAGCGCAACTCTTAGGCAGTCGTCCGAACCTTCAACTGCACATACGGCTACATACCCATAAAATCATGTAGGAAAACAATGGGGATTATTGGCTCCTCTGTCCTTGTTAATGACGAGAACGAGCTCGTCACCACGATGCATCCTACGGCGCGTCGACGTCAAGCTGCACCGTGCGCCTCCACCGCCGCCAAGCACCGAATCCTCGGCATTTCTAAGAAAAGTAACACCAACGACAAATCCTCCAAGACTCGATCCAACCATATAGAAGAGCAATTCCCTTCCTCCTACACTTCTCTCAAAGCCGATACATATACCATTTCTTCCGCAATGACGTCCCTCTCCCCCGCCGAGCAGAAATCCCTCCTCTCTGCACTCCTCCACTTCGAAACCTATCGCGAATTCACAGGTCTCAAAGTCCCGGGTACCGTATCCTCCTACGGGGCCCCATTTACCCAAACACCCTCTTTACCAGCACAACCGCCTTCACCGGTGATCAAGTTATTGTGTGATCGCTTCTTGTTCACGAGCACGTTACCCGGAATCGGGTCCGCGCCCGAACAGTTCTGGAGTGAACTCGTGGAGGGTGTGTTGGAGGATATGGCGACACAGAATCTGAGTGATTCATACGACAAAGGCGTCATCGGAAAACGCAAGATCCTGGGTATGGCATGTGTTGCGTTCATGGAGACAGCCTCCCGCGGCGTGATCGGGAAAGTCTCCGCAGACCCAGCTGCGCCAGCAGAGGCTGTCCAAGGCCGCAATCTGAGTCCAGAGGCAGCACAGCATGAGCAGGCCTGGGAGACGTATAAACAGGCAATGGTACACACGAATCTCATCCGCGACCTCCTCGATGCTCTCTCCCTCTCCCCCACAAACGAACACTTCACACCCCTCCTCCTCGCCTCCGAAACGCACGTCCAGCTAACCTGCGCCTCTGTTCTGCATTACCTCCTCGCCCACACCGGAACCGAAACGATCTCGCTGTTTGAGAGATTGGTGGGGATGGTGCCGTGGTTCCTGCTGAGGCAAACGGTCAAGGTTGCGAATGTGAGTACGATGATGAGTGGGTTGTTGAAGGTCTTGACAGGGAAGGGATGGCTACAGAGTAGGAATCTGATGCAGAAAATCATCGGTACGATCTTCGGACGGGATCTGGAGAACGTGAAGAAGAAGACACAGGCGTTGGTGGATGAAGGCGCCTGCGGGACCGTGGAACAGCAAAACGCCATTGATCACTACGTATACGACACGTCACGCGAAGAACAGGCAGCGTTGAGGGAACAGAGCGAAACCACCAACACCTCCATCGTCGTGACGATTTGTACAGCGTCCGGGGTACCACAACCAGCGTCCGGGGAGGAACACGCCAATTTATTGCTCTATCTCGCACATACCTTGACAGCCCGCGACCGCGAACGCCTCATCGAGATTTTCTGCGAGAAGGATACGCTCACCCACCTCATCCGCGACGCATTCCGGATCTTCGAGCCCGTTATCCGCGCGGGTCACCGCGCGCTGAATCTCGCCGATGGTCTCTCCGATCTCGAACGCTTCCTCAAAGATGCGGTGGAGACTGCGAAGGGTGCGGGGAGGGAGGATTTGAGATGTTGGGTTAGGGTTGTGAGGGAGCATGAAAGTTCTTTTTTGAAGTTTGCGAATCAGTTGTGTGTTAATGCGCCGGAGATGAGGGAGGAGTATACACGCTGGTACGAACACTGTCTGTCCGCATACCGGGCCCAGTCCTCCACCTCCATCGACCTCTCATCCCTCATCGAACCCTCCGAACTCGACGCCGTACGCGCCGAAATCGCAGAATGGACAGCATGGCAATCCGCACTCCAATCCCGCTCCGATCAACGACTCTCGAAGCTCCTGGCGGGTGAGGCACCGGATATCGGGCCAGGGGTGTGGTTGGCGACGTTGAAGGCGATGAGGGAGGAGGCGAGGGTTACGCCGGGGCCGCATGCAAAAGATCCGGAGGAGGGGTTGGTGGTGGGGCGAGAGTCGGCGGTGCCGGGGATGAGGGTTGTGAGGGAGAGGGTGGTGGGGAGGTTTAGGGAGGCGCTTGAAAGGGGCGGGGGTGGGGTTTAGAGGGTGTATGATAGAATGATGGATTGGTTGCGTGGGATTGCAATTGGATCATGATGGGTTAAAGTATGTTGAATACCGTGATGGCATTGATGGCATGAATACCTAAGGGCTTGATGCGCCCTCAATACGCCTAGAAGAATGTTTGTGTGTCTCTATTGAACACGTCTATCTGCTGCTCCCTTCGTAAGTGATGTTAGCAATCAGAGTCGTCGCAAAGTGAGCGTACTTACTTGAGTGTTGTCTCTGTTCCTCTTTCATGTCAACATTCGCAGCAATTGCGACCGCAGACGGAACAAGGCGGAAGAGAGATAGCTGTTTGATCAATTAGCAAGCCTTGTCTCACAGAAAACTGCAGAACTCATCAAACCTTTACGAGCATTCATCCCCAACTTGGGGTCTACTATAACCCCACCACCAACAGCCCCGCTCGTGCATCATCGACCTCTCCATCACGGTTCATTACAACCAATGCACTCTCTTCTAATGACACAGCGATACTCAGGTTCGTGATCTGCATATCTTTGCCCTTGGCGATCTTCGCGGGACGGGTTTGGGTTAGTGGTGTAGGGGGACAGATGCCGTAACGGAGGTAGAAAAAGAGAATGATGAGGAGGATTGGGAGGGGTAGCATGGGCACTTCGTGTATGCCCAATGCCAGCCCCGGGGATGATATCGTCGTAGTGGGCGGTGGTGGAGGTTGAGCTTGCGACTGAGGCCCGGGCGGTGCGCGAGGGCGGGCCGACGAAGGACGACCGCAGTCAAACTTCAGCACCGTTGATATGTCTTCAAATCGATTGCAACGGTAGCTCGGATACCAACGGCCGCGGTTTGAGGAAGAATTGCGCTGGCTTGGCTATTGACAAGCTCGTTGGGCTCGAAGCCGGTACCAGAACCTGCGACCTCAATGTACATGTCGGGCCGTCGGGATGCTGGGCAACTTCAGCATTCTTCTTGACAAGAGATAAGGGGATGTGTCGATTGTGCGAAGAGGCTTCTATTTCAGGAAAGACCTGACTCGGTGTCGACTACAGTTGACCAAGTCAACACGCCGGAGTATGTGCCAGGTTTACGGCAGACGACTTACGAACTGCGAACGCACAAGCGGGGATTGACAGCCAGCGCCAATATTATTACTCAACTACCTATCGTACAGTTTTCGACCTCGCCTACCACTCAATGGTCGAGCCATCATACTTGTGCAACACGACCTCCGACTCCGGGGTAACCTTCTCCAGCACCTTAATCATACCAGCAACACTGTCCTTGGGAGTGACCTGAGCACCCTCACCACCCATGTCAGTCTGCACCCATCCGGGGTGAACCATGACAGTTGCGATTCCCTCCTCTTTCAACGCATGAGCCCAGTACTTGACGGTCATGTTCAACGCCGCCTTGCTGGTGTGGTAAACCATCATGGAGTTGTCACCGGAAGAGTTGGCGAGAGATCCGCAGACGGATGAGACGAAAAGAACCTTCTTTGCTTGACCCTTGCGGAGGAGAGGGAGGAAGGTCTTGGTGACGACGGAGGGAGCGATGGTGTTTGTTCTTAACTCCTCGGCGAACCCTTGGGTGTCAATCTCCCATGGCTTGTCAGCCTTCACGTCATTACGGCCAGCATTGTTGATGAGAACGTCAATGCTATCAGTCATGGACTCGATCTCCTTTCCTGCGCGCTCGATAGACTCGTCGGAGGCGAGGTCGAGCTGGACGAGGGAGAGCTTGCCGGGAGTCCCGGCATCGACCTTCTCGAAAGTCTTGAGCACAGCAGAGAGCTTGTCGAAGGAGGACTTGGAAGTGGAGAGGGAGCGAGCGCATGCGATGACATGGAAGCCCTTCTCGAGGTATTGACGAGCGAATTCGAGTCCGATTCCGCGGTTGGCTCCGGTAATGACGGCGGTCTTGATTGGCGACATTGTGATGAGGTTTGTTTTTATGCAAGAGGTTGAGTGATTGCTGAAGCGAGTACAGGGTCCCTATATATTCGAGGCAAACGGAGATCAATCGTCCGTGGATAACTGCGGGGCCGTCGGCATCGCTGGGTGACGTCGTCCGCTACTTCGGTCCCGACCGGCAACGCCGACCACGTGCGCGCGGGAGAGCATCAACCCGACATTTGCACCGGAAAACCTTCTGCCGGGGAGAACCCTGAACTTTTCGAAATACATGTGCAGGTTACCTTTTGGTTACCCGGAGGAAGTTGTGAGGGGGCTCAGCTATGTCTGTGCATGGGGTAAGGTCTACGGGGCCAATTGGGAGGCTTCGAAACGTGCCGGACTGTACCGTGGCCATTGAGGATGGTGAACCCGATATTTGTTTACCTTGATTGAGGTTCACGTTGGCGACGATTGAAAGTTCTAGGTCAAGCCGAGCGGCTTAACACCTGAGGGCTTGGCCAAGCGTCTTGACATTATTGGTTACAATGCTATCAGGAAGGGCCATCGATATCCACATACCTGAGGTACTCTACGCATTGGGAAGTGTAAGAGCGTGTATGAGCACTGGACGTGTTCAATCGAGGACCGTCGCAGTACATCGTCTAGCGGATGTTCCGGGGAGCTTAAGCGAGCCTTGAACCATAGCGGATCAACAGCGATCGCTCGCTCTACCGCAAGCTAACTAGATTGCAGGTAAATGAGTTTTTGCTGATCATTTCATCCATATCATAAGCTTATTCGACGAACGGTCCCACGTTACGTTTCTTCTCGCTCATCTCGCCCTCACCATCACGAAGCATGATGACACTGTCGGCGTCAGCAAGGCCCCTGCAGATCCTGTTTACTGACGTATGTTTACGTCGTCATCTTGTCTCTCTTCCGCTTCTTTTCTGCTTTATTCGTTTCGCGCTCGGACTTTCTGTTCCCATCTCGCTCACCTTCCTTTGTCCTCAGCGCGCCTCGATGCGCAAAACTGCATTGACACATGGTCCGGCTCATGGTGCGACGGGTGTATAAGAAGGGCCGTCCCACCTGGAAGCTTTCCTCACGAAACACAACCGACAACCGCTAGGTTCGACACATTCACTTCGCCTCTCGGCATCCTTTCCTTTTTCGTTTATTTCTTCGCCTTCTTCGATAAGCGCTGGTCGCCTTCGAACTTTTTTTCTCACGCACATACACGTTTAATCACCTACACGGTTATTTTTTCGACGCTCAGGCCTGGTGCCCTTTTCGTTACAACAAACACTCTTTATTTTATCAACAAATACATCGATATAATGCTGTTCACTACGAAGCTCGTTGGAGCCTTGACGGCCCTCGCTACGGTTACCTTTGCCGCTCCCATTCCCTCCATCCCTTCCTCCGAGATCGCCGCGGCTACGGCTGCTGGAGCTACTTTCCAGCTCCAAATCAACGCTGCCTCGGACCCGTCGATCGACGGAGCTTACCTCACCTCTTCCACTTTCACCCCCTGGAGGGGCTACTCTGTGCAGATCACCACCCCCTCCTTCGATCTCTCCTCCGCTACCGAGTTCTCCATCCGTCCTAACGGCAACGTGGCTACTCCTTCCCAGGACCTCGTCTTCGTCGACCCCGATAACTGGGGAACCTCCCTCTCCTACCTCCTCACCGCCGGCGAACGTCAACAAATGTCAGCAATCGAGGCCGCCAAACTCCCCGTTGCCATCCTCGACGACGAAGGGTTCTTGCAAGTTACCTGGCCCGAAAAGAACGAGACGGCCGTTATGAAGGTGTGTGATGGAAGACTCGTGATGGGTGTTGAGGGTGGAAGGTGGGATAATGCGTGTTCGGGGGATGTTACGGTTAGTTTGGTGCAGGATAATCAGAGTTCGGATTGGTCTTTGATGCCGGATCTGGCGTGGTAGTCAGTTAGTCGACTGATTGCCACTCGTTTCGTCTCTGCTACGCTCCTGTCGTGACCTATGGCGGTTCCACCACCACTCAAGTTTAACGTCAACTGCGGTGCTTGCGGGAACGTCTGTCTGGAGGGAGTAATCGTTTGCAGTCCATATAGTGAGAATTGTATAATTATTTGTCATGACGTCACGTCCATTTGTCCCCAATAGAACCAAGGCATGGCCAAACCGCAAAACACAACACCAAACAACAATTCAATTGGACTCGATTGATCCATCAACAAAACGGCATCATCTTCAACTGATCCATATTCCCGCTTCGAAGACACATTCTTCCTTCTCAATTCGCCCGTTTTACTCCACCAATACCCATACCTCGACGGTCCTCCCGCACGACACCGTCAATCCACTACTTCAACAACAACAATGCCGATCTTCTCTAAACCGCAAATGCCCGAGCCCTCAACCACAACCCAACTCGGCCTGCGCGTCCTCGACCCCCTCCTCTTCCAACCCCTCACCGCCTCAGCTCTCCTTTACGCAGGCAGCATGACGACCGCCTACGCCCTCGCCCGCACCCAAGATAAAACAGACGTCATCGATATGTTTTGGGGCTCGGCTATGAGTGTCAACGCACTCTGGCACTCTGTCGGGAGGAGATTGTGGCAGGGCGAGGGAGGGGGTGATATCTGGACTGGGATGAGTTGGAGGGAGAAGGTGATCCTCGGAACCCTTGTTGCTTGGGGTGGGAGATTGACGTATAGGATTGTCACGAGGAATGCGGGGAAGAGGGAGGATTCGAGGTATACGGACGTGAAGGAGGAGAGAAAGAAGGAGAGGAAGGGATACTGGAACTGGGCGTACCCCGCTATCTTCCTCTCCCAAGCCGGTATGCAATGGCTCATCACCATCCCCTCCACCCTCGCTCTACACCTCTCTACACCGCAGGCCATCACCCCGCCTTTCTCATTCCTCGATTTCGTGGCGATTACGACCCTTACCACCGGCCTCGCGACCGAAATCGTCGCAGACTACCAACTCGACACATTCAAATCCAAATCCAACGCATCCAAGGGCAAGATCTGCAGAGAGGGCTTATGGGACGTCGTCCGTCACCCAAACTACCTCGGCGACATCCTCACCCACGCCGGAATCGGACTCCTCTCATACCTCACCGTCCCCTCCGCCGTATCCCCGTATCTATCCCCGATCTTTGCGATTGGACCTATTGCGAATTATGTCTTTTTGAGGTATATCGGTGGTGATGAAGTCACGGAACAAAACCAGCTCAAACGTTATCGGGAGGATGCGAATAGGACGTATCCGGGGATGAGTATCGAGAAAGCGGCGACGCATCCCGAGTTGCAGGAGGCTAAGACCAAGTTGGTCGAGTTTGAGTCGTATAGGAAGGAGAGGAATGCGGTTTGGCCGTCTCTTACAGGATTGCAGGGGGGAGGGAAGTGGTGGGTTGCGGGGGTTGTGGGGGGTGCGAGTGTTGTTGGGTTGGCCTGTGGGGAAGGGGTTGGGAGGTGGGTTAGGGGGGGTGGGGTTGAGGGGAGGTTTGCATTGCAGTGAGTTGTGAGTAGGCGGACCGAACGAGCGACTACGCGAAGTGAGTGAGGTGTGGGAGTGAAGGGAACGAAGCAATGCGTGGCGTGTTCTCCACTTAATGAGTTGATGGCTTTTGTAGGATACCTTGATATCGTTTATATACCGGTCATATCTTATCCTTTTCGTTCATGTCATGATTGTGGTCTGCCCCGCATTGTACATACGACGACCAAGGGTCGACCAGGCAAGGATGTCTGCTCAGAGGATATCAATGGAGTTGCAAATGAGCCTTTCTTGCCTTTCCCGCACTCTTCGTTTTCATTGCTTGCGAGAGGAGGAAAGAGAAAAAGAATTGACGTCAGCGACAGGACTCGAACCTGCGCACGGAGACCGTAAGAGATTTCTAATCTCTCTCCTTAACCACTCGGACACGCTGACTGAATTGATGACGGGATTGGCCCCTTGCGTTCATTGCAATGACTGACAAAAAGGATGACACCTGGGGTTATTAAACTCAAGTTAGATGCTACAGTAGCTATCGACGTTGAGTCTTGATTTTCAAGCGAGTGCGATCTTTTAAAGTACCTAACAACCCTTAAAATCACCCCGGGTTCATCGGTGTCTCACGCTGTCTCAAATTCATTCAACGATCCCGTCGCCGGAGAAAGTAAACGAATGAGATGGCCGCGGTAATGAGCAGAGGTGGAGTTATGTTTCACGTCGATATTCCAGTGTCAAACAACGTTATGAGGGTAAAGCAGGGGTGGTGAACGAAGCGAGAGATATAAATAGCCGTACAAGGTCCAGCTACGGAGTGAAGGTTGGGATCGTTAGAAGCCCGTCACTCATTCTCTTGTTTTTCGACACTACTCTCTTCATCAACACTCTCTTGACGCAGTCATCATGCGTTACATCACGCTCTTTACCTCGGTGGCCGTCTCCTCGTTCACGGCTGGGACAGTTGTTGCGGCCTCCGTTCTCCATCCCGCGGCGCTCAACGTCACGGGCCCGTACCAGTTCGCCAACACGAGCGCTGCTCTCGTCGGTGCGGGAGATGTTGGGCAAGACATGGTCGCCTCCAGTCATGTTGCCGGTCCCGATGGTGGTTTTGCAATTGCTTCCGAGACACCAGTGCCCGTCGTCATCTACGAAGCAGAAGCCGAAGACTTCTATATAAGTGTTACGGACGTCTCGCCTGTCCAGCAAGCTACGTCGGCGAATACTTGTCCAGCGCCTACCTTCACTTACGGCCAAGTCGTTACGAACCCCGCGCAAACGATCACTTCGGCCACTACAACTCACCTCCTCGCCTCCTCTACCTGTCTTGCCGGTACACTCACCTACTACATCCAGACCTCCTCCGCCGTCGCTGCACTCCCATACTCCGAGCTCACCGCCGCAACCCACACCCTCACAGTTACCGAGTTCATTGATGAACGCGTCGTCGCTACGGGGGTATGGGAGGTCAGTCCGAGTACGGTCACGGTCGTGAAGACAGTCGAGGGAACTGGTGTGTTTGAGATGGGCAAGGGAAAGACGTACACGATGAGCGAGAGTGGGGAAGTGGCGTATTGTAGTGAGAGCACGGTTGAAATCACCGAGACGGTGAAGCCAACGAAGACTGTGACGATTACGAGTTGGGTCACCATCTCCTCGTCTGTTCCGAGTCAGTCTTGGGCGTGGTTCGAGAGTGACGAGGTCGAGGCTTTGTGTGCATCTCTTGTTGGTACCGCGACGAGGGATGTGACGATGACCTCCACCTCCACCACATTCGTTCAAAACTTCGTTACGAGCACGTATGACTTGTTCAATACGACCACCTACCCCGTCGCCCTCAACAAGACAGCTATCGCTTTCTTCACGTCCACGAATGTGGTGCCGGCGTACGCCACTGTCAACACATCCAGTGTCTACAACATCTCCGTCCCGAGCACCGCCCAAACGTCAACGACAAGCACCTTGATAGACGTGTCAGACGTGACCGAGACGCCGTATACCACAACGACCGAAGCAGTCCCTACCACGAGCACCACCGTCACGACTTCAGCCGTAACGTCGACTTCTACGACTTTTGTCTATCTGCCAAAGCGCGCAAACGGTGTTGTGGGTGCGTTCGATGCAGCCTTGGAGGAGAACGAGAATCGTGTCGTCGAGATGTGTCTCGCAAAGTTCGGCCGTTCCACGGTGACGCTTAGCCACGCTGCCACCGAAGTACAGAGTGTACTGGAGAAGAATGGCACAGTGATCAGCACCCGTACCTCCGTCATCTCCGCACCGGTCCTCGTACCCACCGTCATCACTACAACCACGCTCCCCATCACAGAACAAGTCACGTCGACATCCACGGTGACGGACGTCATTGCTGTTCCCTCCACAGTCACCTACATCGACGGGACCTCCACCCTCATCTCCGTCACCACCGTCTCCTCTACAATGACATTGACAGCACCCGCAATCGTCGTGACGGAGTCTACGCCTACTGTGGTTGGTACACAGACGCAAACGGTCACGACGACGACAACGGTAGTGTTTGCGACGTGTGCCGCGCCTGGACAACCCTGCGATTTGTACAATCCAGGTGCCTGCTGTAATCTTATTTGTTTCCGCCAGGGACTGAACTCTTTCTGTGGTTAGCTATGTCTATAATAAAATTCTCTCTCTGTTGTTTCCCTTGCTTTCTCCGGCCGGCGGTGACTTTGACCGTACCCCGCCAACCCTTGCTTTCACTAGCGCGGGTCTGGCAGTTGGTCTGTGCGCTTCGGCCTAACCTTAATTTGCGAGAATTCAAAATATTATTGTTAGGCTTGGGGAGGATATAAGGAAGCCGTCCCGCCCCCGTCGAGGAGCGAGTACATACCTCGACAAATATGCGATTCGTGCCTCTTCTCGCCGCGGCTTCCCTGCTCAACTTGGCTTCGGCCTCCCCGGCGCTCCTCTGGCGCAGAAATGCCACCACCTTCTCAAACGCAACCGAGAACACGCACACCACGATCTCTACTTCGACTTTGACCCTCACTGAGCCTGCTGCTTCATTTGATGCTGCCGCGATCGCCGCTATCCAGGTCGGATCCGCTCCTTCGTTAGCCGGCGTTGCAGATGTCGACTCCAACACAGCAACCACTACCCAGACTCACTTCGTTACCGTGGATTCTCCTATCACCAGCACTGAGATCGGCCAGTGCGCACAACCTACTGTTACCTTTGGACAGTTGATCACGGACTCAGCGCAATTGATCACCTCCGCTACTACAGACTACGCCATCGCTTCAACCTCTATCTCTGGAGCCCAAGACTATTCGTACTACGTCCAAACCTCCTCAGCAGCTGCTGTCATCGCTTACTCAGACCTCTTCGCTTCTGTCCGGACGCTCACAATCACAGAGTACGTTGACGGTACTGCGATCGCGACTGGAACCTATGAGGTTGCTGCTACGGCCGTCGCCACTCCTGTGCTCACGACGCTCACCGAGCCAGAGGAGGTGGTTATTGGTGGCACTACCAGGACGCTTACCGAGGGTGGAAGTGTCGCATATTTGACCACCACTACGACAACCGTGACGTCCACCATCCTCGCCGCTGGCTCTTCGAGCCCGACGAGTACTTCCGGGTGGAGCTGGAGTGGCGCTGAGGTTTTGGCACTCTGCCGCTCATTCGTCGGTACCCTTACGGAGGATGTCACCGGCACGGTGACCTCGACGGTATACCAACAATCCAACACGACGAGTACTCTATCCGTGACTGCCAATAGCACGTATCCCGTCACTGTCCCTCGAACCGCTACCGAGCGCGCAACATCCACCTCCATCAACTACGACCGTCGCAACGTTACCTCGAGCGTGTACTACAACGTATCAGTACCTAGCACGACAAGGACGGCGACTACGTCCACGTATGTCTCTCTATCCGAGCTCACGGAGACTCCGGAGCCGGTTACGAGTACGTACCCCACCACCGAGGTTGAATCCACTGCTACCACGACGACTTCAACATCGTACAGCACATGGTCTTCTACCACCCCTACTGCCCCTACTGTGACTGTTTACAAGAAACGTACGTTGAGTTTGGAAGATGAGTTCCAGGCTGCGGTTCGGGCTAACTCGCAGAGTGTGCGTAACGCATGTTTGGCAAACTTCGAGATGCCCACCGTCACGGTTTCGAAGGAGGTCCTCGCCGTGGAGACCATCGTCGAGAAGGACGGCACGGTGGTTGCCACCCATGTCTCCGTAGCGTCTACTCCCGTCTTCGTCACTACTATTGTGGCTACGGCTACCTCCCAGGTTGTCGATATGTTGAACCAGACGATTACGTCTTCGTTTACGCAGAGCGTGCCGACGTCCGTTACGTACGTAGCGAGCACGGCTACTGATATCACAGTTCAGACGCTCAATTCTACCATTATTACCACGCTCCCCGCTGCTACGATCTCGGCGTACAGCACAACGACAGAGACTGCAGTTTCGACTTCCACGATCGTGTCCACCGTCCTGCGTTGTCCCATCCCCGACTCCCAAAGGCGATCAGCGGTAGGCACGATCGGTATTGATCGACCTAGTACCGGCCAACTTCTTGTCGTGAGCGCTGCGTCTGGTGAGGATTGTTGTGTAGTGTGTTATACGACGGTGGGGTGTTCCGCCTTTGTGTATTGGGGTCCACAGTTCTGTGTCCTTGCTACATCGGGGACTGATACTTGTAGCGCGAGTAGCGTGTACTTGATTGAGAATGAAGGTGGTCCGGGTGGGTATTTGTGTTGATGAGGTAGAAGGGAAGACGTGATGTGAGGAGTCCAGAATAATGTAATGTTTAACAGCAAATATATGAAGGTCCGACAATTCCCTTGTTCAATCGTTAGCGAGCAACACATTCCGAGACGGTGCCCTAGTTTTGTACTCAGCCTGTCTGACTGTAGACATCGGTAACATGAAGATACGGCGGTCTTGTTTCCCTAACCATACCCGGCTCACACTTTGAATGTAGCCCGTGAGAAATGAGTCCCGCTCGCATCAATGGTATATGGTTGTTTCCAATAAAACTCGTCATCTGTCCAGTCAGCGTGTCCGAGTGGTTAAGGAGAGAGATTAGAAATCTCTTACGGTCTCCGTGCGCAGGTTCGAGTCCTGTCGCTGACGTCAATCTTTTTCTCTTTCCCCCCTCTCGCAAGCAATGACTTGGGATCAATGCACCATCGGCCGCCGCAGTAAGAATACCGTGTCCTCTATTGCCATTAGGCTAAATCAATACCAATACCACACCTATCCTATCCTCTCCTCCTCCTCCTTATCAGCTCACATCCCACCCAACCCCCTCCCCTCCTCAGCCCCCACCCTCTCCCTCGCCATCTCCGCAAACGTCTTCTCCCCACCTTTACCCCCTTTGTTCTCATCACCGGTACCCTCCCTCTCCTTAATCTCCTTCACAGTCTCAATACCCTTCGTATCACCCTCAACATCCTCCTCCTTTTTCGAACTCTTCCTGTTAGAGTTGGGGGCGTTGTAGGCGACAGCATTCATCTCCCGAATCCCCTTCACGACTTCCTCGTTTCGCGTCGTTGCGTCTCCCCAGGCTGGGGATGCGGCTGTGACGGGATCGGCGGATGCTGTGCCGCGTTCTTTGCCGCGTTCTTCGATGGTAGTTGTGGAGGCGATACCGGAGTCAGCATCGCCGGCGCGGGTTTCGTGGGAAGAGGCGAGGATCTTATCTCCCTCCTTTACGGCTTTCTCGTCCTTATTCCTCTCCGACTCGCCTTCGCGAACGGGTTTGGATTCTTCGAGGACTTTCTCGCCGGCTTTCGCTTGTTTACTCGCTGCCAAATCTTCCCAAACCCTGTCCCCACCCGGCCCCATCCGTCCCTCCTGAATCGCCCTCTCCTCTTTAAGGGGAATCTGATGCCCCCCCGGCACAACCCTCTTCCACGCCCCCCACACCCCCCTCATCTGCCGCGGATTAAAGATATCCGACACATAAAACCCCTTCTTCCACGGCTCTTGGGTTCGATTCTGCCCAGCGATCGTATAAAAGAGCGTCCCATCGTAGATTCGGCGCAGGTCTTCTTTCTCAATATACCCGTCACGCGCAATGAGCACGATCGTCGCATACCACTCGAAAATCGCTGCTCCCCAGCCGAAGGGGTCGAGGACTACGCGTTGACCTTTTAGCATGCTAAACACTTCGCGGATGGAGAGTTTGGTGGGGGTTGCGGGGTTGGCATATTTCGCGAAGATGTCTTCGAATTGTTGGGGGCGGAAACGGCCTTCGGGGTCGTAGGTGTTTGTGTCGGAGCCGTGTTTCGCCTTATGTATCCCATCCAGGTAGACACGGAAGAGAGGATCGGGAATATAGGAGTGGTGGAGACGAGTGGGGTAGGAGAAGCCGGAATGGATGATGACCACCGCGATCACACACAACAACAAATTATACCCCAACGCACGGAATCCGATAAACGTATCCCACGGGTTCACGATCCCATCGTTATCTGGGTCCCAGAATGCGCAATGGAGCTGCATGACGGACATCTCGGACACATCGCGGCGGGGACGGTGTTGGGAGATGTGGTAGTTGAATTTCTCGGTGCCGTTGGGGGCGGAGGGAGTTGATGCCTTGTGGGCACGGGCGGTACCGGGGTAGGGGAGGGAGGAGGGGGGGATGAGGGCTGGTTGGCGGGAGGCGGTGATGGGGGCGTGGTGGGCGATTACCTTTGGCTGGTCGCCTGTTGTGAATGACATGGTTGCTGTTGTTCGTTGCAATTGAAGGAGGACGGTCTTCTTCCCTCTTCTTTCAGTCCGGCAATGATGACCTCATCCGCCGCATGTCGCCAATCGCTGTCCAAGAGAAAAAAGTTTTGACGTCAGCGACAGGACTCGAACCTGCGCACGGAGACCGTAAGAGATTTCTAATCTCTCTCCTTAACCACTCGGACACGCTGACTGGATAGATGACGAGTTTCATCAATACCATCCCTGTACGGTGGCACAAATGAATTCCCACGCACTTCGAGCTTTTGCGCCGCTGAAGTTTTGCCTGAGAACGGACGGGAGGACATCGTTGATGGAAGTCTGGCTGAACGGTATTGACTTGGAGCTGAGATGGGCTGCATGGATACGCCCACTGTATTTATCGACGTCGAGTTAACGGAACTTTCACCGTTTTTCTTCTGCTTTGCTATGATCGACTTCAGTTCAGACTTTCGTTCCCTACGAGCCCCCCGAATTCGACTATCACGAATACCAGATTCGTGATTCCACAAATATGGAATAACATATTCCACTTTCAGCAAAAGCACTCGAATAAGTCATTCGACTGTACGAAAAACACGAATAAAGTGGGAAAGTATTCAAGTAGAGTGGAATTCCAATTCATGGTACACGAATACCTTATTTGACCTGGAATGATATTCGTTCCAGGAGAATAAGATATCCCACATCAATAAAAAAGAGATTGAGGATCAATGATTGAGGGTCTTCGAGGATCAATGGTCTTTGGTGGCGGTTCTTCGGCCTGCACCTCTCGAGAGTGACATGTGAGCACAAGCGCTGATGCGCTGGCAAATTTTACCAAGTCCTCAGCATCAACCAGGACCCAACGCACCACCATCAACGTCTCAATCTCCTCGTCTCAATCTCCCTGGATGTCTCACGACTGATTGACGAAAGCATCGAATCCTACACCTCCCTGGTCCTCTCCCATCTGTTCTCCCGATGCTATGGCTTGTATCGTGTCAACCCAAACTGGGCACATGATCGCTGTTGCTGAAAGGTTAACATGATGGTTGTTTAATCTCGACACTCTTGCTTGATGTCTCCTCTTATTCTGGTGAGTCCCGCACTTTGTCGACAGCAACAGCAAAACGACTACTCATCAGGTTTTACTAACCCGCTCTGACCCAATGGCAATGAAGGTTCATGGTAGAAACCAGCCCGGAAAGAAGATTTTGCGCACTTCAGGAGCATCAAATTGATACACGTCCAATCGCAGTTTCCAAGATGATCCAGAGTTTCACGTTGACGATGATGATGAAGACGGTGATGATGATGATGATGAAGACATGAATGTCACGTCTGTGCATTGTGCAGTCATGAGGTAGAATAGTATAACAGTGTAGTGTTGGTAAATCGTATAAAAAATTCTACTTTCAAGACGAATTAACAATCCAGATTGTGCCCAGAATATCCCACTAACTCGAATAACTCTATTCGTGATACTGGATAATTTTATTCGGGTTTTATAATCGTGTTTGGTAGAATTTGGGGGTCTCGTAGGGGTTGTCATGGGCGCGTTGCACAGAAAGCTCACCAAGACTTTTCCAGAACGAATTCGGGAGTCTACAACTTACTCAGCAGATTAATTCTGACCTTATGTTGGCATGTGAGCCATCGTATCGGCCTTCCCGGAAGGAGGATGAATGCAGGGAACACCGTGAGAGGCCCAATACTCTGCAGTTTGCTACACGCGCAACACGGGAAAGCAAAAAGTTTGACGTCAGCGACAGGACTCGAACCTGCGCACGGAGACCGTAAGAGATTTCTAATCTCTCTCCTTAACCACTCGGACACGCTGACTGAATTGATGTAAAATTGATCATATGTATCATATGATCAATGTCTACAAATGCAGCATTCTCAGCAAACATCTATGCTCCCCCGCAAGAATTATCTGCCCACAATCCTCGGTGGCGTCCTCAATGCTCTTGACGAACCTTTCCAGGCTGTCTGAAGTTGATTTGCAGGTTGATGAAGAGGTCGCGGGTCGTATGATGTCACCCTCCTCGGTTATCGATTCCCCGCGTCTACCGATCGTTACGATATCCGCGGTTCAAGACGGGGGACGTGAAGGTTACGGTGATTGAGGGGGCGGGGAGGTTGCGCAGGGTGCGAATGGGAAGGCTGGCGGGTACGTCCAGTGGTGAGCGGGGTGGAGTTCGGTGGCTGATCTGTTGCACAGGTTCTTGGCATTGGACCGGATACGGCATCCTTAGCTGCAGTATCGTATCGATTGCATAGGGAGTTAGCGGATGAGCACGGTGGACGTGAGGAATGGTCATATCGTGGAGTCGATTCCCTCTCCGTTTCAACATATCGCTCCTCCAACCCCTCGAAGTCGGAGCCGAACAGAAGCAAATATGGCGCTGGCGCTGATCCTGAAGGAGACGCACTGGATGATCTGTTAGGGAGCGATCTTGATCGACAGCGGAGGAGGAAAGGTGGGAAAGAGGGATGGGCCGGGATTGATTGGTTGGATGAAGGGGGTCAGTGTTATGGGGGATCAGAAGAGTACGGCGCAGGTGTTAGTCTTCCCCGTTTTTATTCGTGCTGTTGCGCGAGGTTTCGCGAAAGTGCGATGGCTAACAGTGATGTTAGGGAACCGTATCGGTTTACGAAATCAATTGCGAGGTTGGCGGATGAGGGTGGGGTTGAGATTCTTACTAATACGCGTGCGGAAGCGTTCTCGTCGACGGAGAAGGTGCTGCTGAACGAGAAGAGGATTGAGGAAGTGGAGGGGGTTTGATTTATAGGGATAGGCTTATAGTAAAGTCTGGACTGAGCTTCTTGAGCAGCCAGAACAGACGTCGCAACAGGCAAATGGTCATAACAAAACTTCAATTTGCACGGCGGATCCTCGACCCCTCGCTGCACACCGCTGCAACCGCCAGCTGGCGCCAAATCCATCACATCACGTCGAGGTCCAACAGACAACACGAACGGACAAACAACACCAACAGCAAAAATGAGCGACGCTTTAGACAGATCATTGGACGAGATCATCGGGGAACGCCGTCCGGTGAGATATACCCATCGTGGTACACGCAACGTGAATCAAGGCTGACATATGCTTACAGGCTCGTGGACCCCGCCGTGGACCTGGTCCGGACCGCTCGAGGGGTGGTGGAAGGTCGACTCCGTATGACAAGGTGTGTTCCGATTGTCATTCCGAACTATGTCTCGATGCTGACATTCAAGACACAGGCATGAACTCACCCATCCCCGCTTGCGCAAACAGCTGCAGCTTTCGAATCCATAGAAACGTGAAAACTAATAAACGACTTTTTTACGACATACAGCCCGACCGCGCTCCTCGTGATGGTGATAGGTGGAGTCATGATCGGTATGAGGGACGGGAGAGGAGGGGCGGAGGCGGTGGTGAGAGGACGTTTGCGGATAGGATTGGTGGAGGGTATGTTTCTTTTGATCCCGGTTAAGGGAGATGAGCGGAAGAGAAGAGGAGGACAAGGCTGACGTGTGTGTGTGTGGAATGTAGTGAGAGGAGAGATCGCGACGCGCCCGCTCGTTTGAGGGTGAGCAACATCCACTACGATCTTAACCAAGACGATCTCACGGTACGCGCACCCCCCTCATCACCCACTTCTTCCATGACTGACGAGATGTTACAGCAACTCTTCTCCCGTATTGCACCCCCGATCTTGGTCCGCTTGACCTACGACAACGCCGGCCGCAGTACCGGAATCGCGTATGTCGTGTATGAATCCATCGCGGACGCACGTGATGCGATTAGACAGTTCGATGGACAGAAAGCGGCTGGACAGCCTCTTGCGATCTCGATGGATGGTTCGGGTGTACCGAGTGGCAGGGGTCGCTCGCGTTCGCCGCCTAGACGTGGGCATGGAGATAGCTATAGGCCGGGAGCCGGTGATAGGGCGCCCAGCGCACCCAGGGGACGGGGAAGGGGTAGGGGTGCAAGTGGAAGGGGAAGGGAGAGGGGCGAGAGGAGGGAGGTGAGGCCGGCGAAGACGCAGGATGATTTGGATAGGGAGTTGGAGGAATATCTCAATGGACGTGGTCATGGGGAGGGGGGCAAGGCGGCGGCCGATGGTGGAACCAACAATGTGGAGGCTGCTTTGGATTTGGATGAAATTATGGCGACTGATAATATTTGAGTAAACGGAGACGAAGAGAGAAGGAGTGATATATATATTTCTTGTTTCACACAGCATGACACGGGCTGTTCTTTCCTTCCTGAGCTTCCCAGGATGAATGTTCCCCGCTGCAGCCAACCTGCGCTCTTCCGCGGCGCACCGAAGCTCCGGCGAAAGCGCCCCCGGACCGAGGAGCCCACCGAGATTGATCCGATCCTTAGGTTACTGGAGGAGAGATAAACCGAAATGGAGATCTGAGTGGGCGAGATATCGTGCTGATTTGTTTTGATCGGATCTGACAAAGGTGGGGTAAGGCCTAGGTAGCTAGAAACCTAAAAGTGTGGACGCTCGCTGCTTGTGTCTGTGCTCGGGTATTTTGCAGGGCATCTGAGGTTTGTTGAGTTTCTTGAGGAAGGAAAGATGCCTATTGAGTTTGATTTGAGATCGGAGAAGGCGGGGGTGGATATGTGTAATGGTGATCATGAATCGGTCTTTGATCATGACGGCAAGGAGCTCGAGGATGAGGTTGCGACTTTTCAGAATGGGCATGGGTGGAGAGAGGTGAGTGGACATCACCAGCATGATACACACGATACACCCTTCCCGATCCCGCTGAAACGACGTACATCGTCCATGTCCAACAAACTCCTTCTCAACCCTGCACCGCTCCCGGCACATCCAACACCCTCCCTGACATCTGCCTGGCGACCACAATACCACCTCGCCGCACCCTGGGGCTGGATGAACGACCCATGCGCACCATACTATGACGAGGAGACGGGGTTGTATCATGTCTTTTATCAGTGGAATCCGTGGGGTGTGGAGTGGGGAAACATGTCCTGGGGACACGCTTGGTCGAAGGATTTGGTGAGGTGGGAGAACGCAAAGGAACCGGTGTTAGTGCCGGTGAAGGAGGGGGGTGGGTGGGATGGGGAGGGGGTGTTTACCGGGTGTGCCATACCCCGTGGAGGAGAAGAGGGGGTGATGACGGCTGCGTATACGAGTGTGAGTGCGTTACCGATTCATTATACGTTGCCGTATTTGAGGGGATGCGAGACGTTGAGTATCGCGACTTCGCGGGATTCGGGACGGACGTGGGTTAGGGATGAGGGGAATCCGATATTGATGGGTCCGCCGGAGGGGGTGGATGTTACGGGGTGGAGGGATCCGTTTGTGAGTGAGTGGGGGAGTATGGATCGGGCGTTGGGGAGGGGGGATGGAGGGGGTGGGTTTTTGTATGGGATTGTGTGCGGTGGGATTCGGGATGTTGGACCGAACTTGTTTGCGTATTCGATACCGAAGGGGGATGTGAGGGATTGGACATATTTGGGGACCTTGATGGATGATGAATCGCTACCGGTAGGAGAGGGGTTGCCGGACATTGGGCAGAACTGGGAGGTGTGCAATTTCTTCGAGTTGGAGGGGGAGTGCTTCATCATCGCTGGTGCGGAAGGCTCGACAACGCCTTCCCCTCCACCATCAAGGTCGTCATCAGTCAACGGCGATGCGGAGGGCGGGATGCCTGAACGGCCTGTACGACGTGCATTATGGATATCGGGATCGCTCGTCTGGACCCCGGCTGGACACAAGTGGAGAACGAAGGCAATGGGATTCCTAGACCACGGACTTCTGTACGCCGCGAACTCTTTCCCTGATTCTCGACAAAATAGAAGAATTTTGTGGGGCTGGGCACCGGAGGATGATTGTCATCCTAAGCGGAGGGTGAATGAAGGGTTTGCCGGGTGTTTGGCGGTGCCGAGGGAGTTGTTTGTGAAGGAGGTTGAGGGTGTGAGCGGGACTATTGGTATCTGGATAGGTAGCGATGGAAAGACGAGAACGCTGGGAGTTAGGCCGGTGAAGGAGACTGAGGATCTTCGTTGTAACGCGAAGCTTACGAAGGTGCGAGACGTGATCGTCGCTACAGGAGATAGCACAAAGGTAGCCGAAGCGAGAACGAGGCAGTGGGAGCTTGACGCTAAGATTGTCATCGGAAAGGGATGCGGAAAAGTCGGAGTTAGAATCTGTCATACGCCCGACAACGCGGTGGGGATGGATGTCGTGTATGACGTGGAGAAGGGTGTTCTCTTCGTTCAACGGGAGCGCTCGACATCCTCGCCTGAAGGTATCATTACTTCACCTGATATCGGACAGTTGACACTCTCTACGGCAGAAGACGGAGCAGTGGAGCCTCTGGAGCTAAGAATACTTTTCGATGGCAGTGTGATGGAAGTTTACGCAAATGAGAGGTTCGCGTTGACTACGAGGGTTTACCATGCTGAGCGCGACGTGAAGGCAGCAACCGCAGTATCTGTGTTCGCTGAGCCCGCCGGAATGGCCAATGGAGTCCATGGAGACGGAGAATTTGAGGGGTCAGTCAAGATCGGAGAGTTGAATATCTGGGATGGAACTGGGATGTGACGACGTCGTGGAAGAACATCAAGACTACAGACGAGGAAGAGAGAAGAACAAACAGAAGGAAGAGATAGCATAGACATGGAGATACCTCGATATACCAATTCAAAGTTGCTTACGTATCTGATCGGCCGCGGAGTTAAAGTGACTGCACCCCGCGCTCTCGCTATAGAGCTTCGCCTCCTCCGCGCGGCTTGGCTGGATTGCGAGGCTCGAGAACGTCAGGTAGCGCGAAACCTTATTAAATCTGAAAATCCTCAGAAGCTGAAAAAAACTGGAAGAGGAGAAGATCATGCGATCATGGGGAAAGCGGAGCCTACAGACCAAAAGGAACAGGACAAACCGCAGCGAAATCGCGTCAAGAAGGCATGCGATCAGTGCAACTTTCGTCGCGTCAAGTGCGATGGGGAGAATCCGTGCAACGTGTGCACGAGAACGGAGGTGGAGTGTACGTATACTGTGAAGAGGACCACAAGGGCAGGAGTTGGAAGTCGGCTGGACAAGTTGAGAGGCGGTGACACGAACGGTACGTCTGGATCGGGGAGGACAGGCAGTGCTGGGGGAAACGGGAGCACCGGTGATGAGTCACGATCTATCAGTCCTATGGCTGTAAATGGCCTCGTTCGTGCGGAAATACCTTATCCACAGGCAGTTGGAACGCCTACGAGGGCTTATGTGTCGGCTTATCTACCTTCACAGCAAATACCAGCACCACCACAGCAAGTTGGGGTACCGGCATATGGCGCACAACTACCGCCACCAATACCAGTATCATCGGCCGTGGGTTTGAGTCCGAGAACGGCGGCAGCTGTACAACCTATGCCACCACCAGGCATGACGCACTCCGTTCTCCCCCCTCCGGCCAGTCTGCCAGTACCATTCCAACCCGAGCCACAACCTGATCTGTCGACCGAATGGCGACAGGCCGAGCAAGCACTTGCCGTCCCGACATTGCCATCACCTGACTCTTTCTTTACTTCTCTGCCGGCATTCCCGAACATTGCACCTTTCGATACGCCGAGCCCACCTTTCTTCAACGCATCCGTACCGCCGAATGTGAGCGCGCTACAACACCCATCTTTCCGATCCTCCCCCGCCCTCTCAGAAACGCGTGAGAACCCACTGTCGGAACATGTACTTATCCCAAGACTGAAGACATTCTTTGAGAGGATGAGTCCGATCATGCCAGTATACACGCGCAGTTGGATCTTCGGACGGATAGAGAATGGGGAGCACCGAACTCATCGACAGTTCGCGGCGATGCTGTTAGCGTTGTGCGCGTTTACTCTCGTTCAACCGCTTCAGGCTGGAGATCCCGGAACGCCGGAAGACCGAAAACGCGAAGCGGAGAAGCTGCTGGAGGAGTGCGTGCGGATCAAGTCTGGTGCGTTTTTTCCATGTGATCGACGGCTGAATGAGAATGAGGTTGGGTCATCACCATGGGGTCTAGAAGGGTGCTTGACGTCTTTCTATCACTTTGGATGTTTGTTTGGAATGAGTCAGGATGATGCCGCGTGGTTCCGGTTGAGAGAGGCGGTCACGTTGGGTCAGTTGCTGAAAATCGACGACCCGACTGCGTACGATGCGCTACCACTTGACGAACAGGAGAGAAGAATCAGAACGTATTGGTTGCTGAGTATTACGGAACGAGCGTACGCGTTACAAAGAGGGCACCCGATCGGCTTTGATGGACGGCCTGGAACAAGGATGGAGACTGTGCATCAAAAGCTCAGACAACTACAGGCGGAACGGAACCATCGACGACGAAGTTCGGTTGCAACGGATGTTTCGACAGCGGAAGAGTTTCCGGTCAGTCATCTCGACTTGTTCGGAGCTGTCGACCAAGACTTCTTGGACTGCTGGAATGGCAAGTGCAGTGGGGATAAGCAGTGTAGTCGAATGAACGCAGCAAAGGCGTTGAGTCTCTTCGCCGAGTTCAACAACAGCCTGAACAAACTCGCTCCATCATCGACGAACCCGAAGTTACAGCGAGACGACTCGGAATGGCAAAGTGACGATATTCAACGCGCGGATTTGCTAGTCACACAACAATGGCTACTTAACCGTCTATGGCGACTATGTCTGTCACACGGTTTGGTATTCCCGGATGAACCGAACCCTCCTCTGCGGACGGAGCATGCTATCCATATTGCAGCACGGACACTCAGCGTTTGCGATGCGCTCTCTATGTCATCCATCGAAGCCCATGGAATCGGGTTCGTGGAGAAGTTGTACGACATAGCGACGTCCTTGACGCCGATGTATGTACACCATGATGCATTGATCCGGGATGGTGTTGAGGTCGAGAGGTATTCCGAGTTGAACCGGGAAACGGTGGCGATCCTGGAGAGATTCTTGGGTATATTCAGGAGGTTTAGGGGTGGTGATCATTCCTTTTTGCCGGCATTGGTGGCGAGCGTGGCGAGCGTGGAGGGGGTGGTTCCGGGCTTTAATCGGAGCAGTCGGTCATGATGAACATGTGCGAAGAGAAAATGGAGCGATTTGTACGATGCGATTACGATGAGTGTAGGTTCGAAGGTCTGGACGGTCGGCGTTTCATTGTTATTATTGGTACCCTTCCAATTCAAAAGTTAAGGCTTAATAGGGAAAAAGAAAAGGATTTGCGATTCTGCGTCCCGCAAAAGCTTTGTAATAATCTGTCTAAAATTGTCTACGGTCAAAGAACTCCAGAAATCAAAAAAGAAAAACAGCTCAGGCATACCCAGGGCCCGGGAAGATGTCCCTGCCGTTCATATCAAGCCCGTACGACAACATCTCCCTCACTCTCCTCCTCATCGCCATCGCTAGGGTATCCGCATCCTCATTCAGACAGTCATCCTTCCGCGCTCCAAGACGATTATGCCACGTCCACAACCCATGCAAACTCGCCGGCAACGGCTTCCCCTGCTCAACCTCCTGCCCACTCTCAAAACTAGGACAAGCCTCCGTCGCCTCCTGATTCGGCCCCGTGAAATACCGTCCATCGGTAAACATAATCGGATGCCGATTCACACCACAATTCTCGAGTTTCTGACAGATTTTGAAGAGTCCGTCGTTGTAGAGCCAGTACCACATGTTGGGGTTGATGGTTGGGTAGCGTTCGTGGAAGAGGGTCTCGTTGAATGACATCGTGCAGGTTGTTTCGAGGATTTTGGAGCCGATGCCGGCTTCGGTTGGGCCGAAGATGAGGATGTTGTTGTTGGATTCGCTGTTGCCGATGTACGGGGCCGAGGGTCCACTCCTGATGAGAGGCGTGAGATCGCGAAGAGGGATGGTGTCAGCATCGAGCCAGATTCCACCGTATTTTGCGAGGAGGAGGTTCCGGACGATATCGCTGAGAGTGGACTGCTTCATCTTGAGAGATCGCTGGTATTCCTCGTCATAGTACTCCGGCATCGTCTCGACACAAAATCCCTTTCCTTCCTCAAGACGGTCGAATTTGCGGAATTCGACGTATTTTCCATACTCGCCCGTCGCGAACCTCTCCCTCGTCTCCGCACTAGGTTCACCGTTCTCGTACCAGTAAATGAGTTTATGTCCGTCACCCAACCGCTGTGTCGCTAACCACGCTTCGATCGCGACCTCATTGAACGAACGCCAATTCCCGCTCCAGTATTGGTGGAAGATCATACCGCCTTCGGGAACGGGGTACACCGGGCATCCGGAATCGAGGAAAGCGAGTTCCCAGTCAACGAGTTTGTGTGATCTGGGCCAGATTTCTTCGCGTTGGACGAATTCTCGGACGCAGTCGACGGGGTTTTCGGTTCTGCCCCATACCGCTGGCTGAACATTATGGGGCTTGAAGAAGCGTTCGACGTCTGTCCTGCCATATATAACACCAGAAGGTGCCGACGAGGTGGGGTACGCGTAGAAGGAGGTAACGTAAGTCAAAATCGCGACGATAAATGATGCGACCGTGACTTTCCTCCAATTCGGGGTCGTCGCGCCGCAGTCCTTCCCGTTCATATCCCCCGCACCAACTAGCGTCGTCGTAGATGAAGAGGCCTGAGAGCGTGGGCACCTCGACGTGCGATCCCCCGAATCCCGATGTTCACCCTCATCCTCCGAATCGACACCCAAATCAAACTGTTCCACATCTTTCGCACTTACCCGCGATGGCTGAACGGTCTTGTGGTGGTTATACGTCCATGTCGAGATAGCGATGATTCCGGCGCCGAGGGTGGTCGGGACTTGAATCGTCTTTTCGCGGAGATCGGGGAAGAGGGCGACTTGGGCTGCGATGATGGTTACGATTGAGGCGGAGGAGCCGACGAGTTTGACGAGGTTGTCGGCTTTGCGGAGGATGTTTGCGACGACGAGGCCGGTTGCTGTCGTAGCCAAAATCACGGCGGCGTTGACGAAAATGGCCCAGGATGTGGAGGGGTCGGAATCGGAGGATGGTGTGGAGGTCGAGGAGAAAGAGTGAAGGCGACCGTCCCAGAAGAGGAGGATGGTGCCGGCGAAGAGGGTACCGTAGAAGTAGAGCCAGACCTGCGCAACCCAGAACGCGACTTTTTGCTTCATGATGACTTCGGTAAAGATACTCGCAAACCCACTCAAGGTCGCAATAACCAGCCCCACTATCGGACCGATGAACACCCCGATCTGGAAGGCGGGGGTGGTGGTGTTGGTGTTAGAGGTGGAGGTAGCCGTGAGAGGATCCTCCACGCCGCGAATCCAGTCGAGGAATTCGATGGGTGCGTTGAAAATGAGGAGGCCGGTACAGATTAGAGCGAGAGAAAGCCATGCGTAGAGGTTTCGTTGGCGTTTGACGAGGAGGTGGTGGAGGATACCCGTGAAGGGCAACTTGGCCAGAACTGCAACGTGGAGGAGGGAGGGGGTGGTTAGTTGGAGACCGAGGAGATAGAGGAGGTTGTTGATGAGATATAACGCGGCAGGGACGGCGTATGGTCCGTACGCTCTCCATCCGGCTTGGTCGCTGCTCGCGAAGAGGATCGCGGACTTGAGACTCCTCGCGTTGACTCCATTCCCGGTCTTGCCCAGAAATCGACAGAGGAAGATGAGCGCAAAGACGAGCTTGAGGAGCTCGGAAGAGAACGCGATGAAGGTCGATGAAATACGGACTTGGGAGTGTACCGCGGCGAACGAGAGGATTGCGCGCGTTGTTTCGAAGGTAATGTATGCTGGGAGGAGGAAGTACTTGAAGAGCGAGTTGGCGGGGATCATCGGACTCATCACGGCTATGTACCTCTATCCTTGTCCGGGGTGGCGATGGTGATGGAGTGGTATACAAGAGAAAGAGGGAGCCGATGGAGTACAAACGGGAGAGGAGCGGGAAGTACGACGAGGCTGGGGTAGCCAGGGGGTCTCTACGGACAAGCTCGTACATGGTGCACTCTAGGTAAGCAGCAGCCAGTCAAGGTCGGCTCAGGCTGGGGACGGCCCCTGACTCTTGAGCTCGGCTTTTCGTCGCTGTCGCGGAGATGGCATGCAAACGCGGCTTATCGCAGGGTGTCGGAATGCACCAGTTGCACTGGCGTGGTGCGGATTCAGAATTTGGGTGAGGCTTGGGATGCTTTCGACGACGCCGTGCCGGTACCGGTCGATAGTAGAGGAAGATCAAGGCAGCTGCTTCTTCTCTACGACCAACGCAATCCAACTTTTTTTCTCGCTCGGATCGCGCGAAGTCGTCAGCATATGAATTTCATCGGGTGCGCTGATTATGTCATTACTGCAGTGTGCAAGATTTATGTCACGAAAGATGAGCGAGCGCGCGAGTGGCAATACCCAGTTTCACAAATACCCCGTAAACAAGGCAGATAAAGGCCTAGGAGGTCAAGTAAGGGTTCAAAATGATCATATGGATCCTTAGCAATCACGCAGTGGCTCCACTTTTCGGTCTCAAGGCTTCAATCTATCAGATCATACTGGGAGGTTGCTTGAGGTTATAACAACACAACTCGCTCTGGAAGCCTATTCCTAGCACATCGACAGATTCAGGCTGAATCCATCCGGGCACAGCCACACCCTCACCCAAGAATGGGTGACACAGCAGTTGCTGGGGACGGATTCAGCCTACTCCCTCGTCATCGCCTAAGTCCCTACAGCCTACAGCTACAGCCTACTCTCTCGTCAATCAGCTTACAGCTTACAGCCTCGTCGTTGTACTCAGGTCGTTCTACTCTTGTCTCGTACTCTCGCACTCCCTCATCATTGTGCTCCCTCATCATTGTGCTCCCCTGTTGTTGTCCTCTCTCGTTGTTGTACACCCGTCATCGTACTCTCTCGTTGTTGTACTCTCGTCATAGTACTCGCTCGTCGTCGTAATCCTATTACTAGTACATGGAGGTATTATGGCGTAATACCTCTGTTTTGGGCAAGACTAGACCATAAGCGGTAGGGATCGCCGGGTCTGGGGAGGGGCCACGGTATCAAGAAATACCAGGGGTTAGGGTAACCCTAACCCTAACCCTAACCCTAAGATCCTGACGCCGCCGGCTCAAGCTCCGCATCTGACACATCTGTTACCACGTCTGGCGGCCGCTTCACAATGCCGTCCAATGTTGCCACTGTCACGGCTACCACTGCCGCGACCGTGCCTTCCGCAAGTGAAACTTCTTGCGGATCCAGCGCGTCGACAGTCGATGGTGACGGCGGTGATTTACTCGCTACCGAACGCTCGACGGCAACGTCTGTGGGATCCTCGACGACGTTTGACCGCTCAACCACAAAGACGACCGGAACGAATGGGTTAACCTCCTCTTCGGCAGGCGCTGCAGCCGCGGAGGACCGAACCGGCGCCGGAACTGACTTCAATTCGGTTAGCAGTAGTGTCACCCGTGTTAACGGCGGTCTGGCGGCATCCAGCCCCGGCCTCGCCAGTGCCGAGGGTACAGCGCAGGCCCTCACTTCTAGTGTTGCAACGACGAGCGTGAGCACGGTTGCAGCTGTGCCGGAGAATTCGGACAAGTCCGGAGATGGCGGAGCGGGCATGATTGCCACAACAGACATGAGTGGATCGAGCGCGTCTTCTGGAATTCCCACTGCATCCAGGTGTACCAGCGCAACTGCCGGGTGTTCAACTGGTCAAACCATGGCCGTTTGGACAGGCGCAGCGTTATCCGTGAAGTCTCAGCTAAGCATAGTTATCGGCGCTGTTTTGATCGGGTCCATGATGGTCATCTGAGTTGATCTTCGACGGGTATAGACAGGCATAGGCTAGATGATTAGAACCGTACAGATGCCATTCATATTTATAGACATTTCTTTTTGACTTATGTTCTCGAGACTGCAGCTAGCACCTTGCAGTCGATACGCTGCGGCCGTGGGAATTTCGACATGCGCAACGGTCATAGTTGTGACAGGCTGGCAAAGATTGATAGCGGCCAGCACTCGGTACCCTACAGCTTTCATGCTGATTGCTGCCCATCGAAATTGTACATGCTATGCTCTGAGTCTGCTGCGGTCAGTCGGCACCAACTTCGGCAGTGATGGAGTCATGTAAAACAGGCCGTGTATTTGTATATGGTCCAGTCCAGCCCAGATCCCTTACCAGTTGACCATCACTCATGACCCATCTCACTCCGCCCCACTCCCCTTCATCATAAACTCAACCCCCCTCCTAACCTCCCCCTCTAAATCCACCCTCCAAATCCAATCATACCTCCCCACAATCGCATCCCTCACCTTTTCCACATCACTCCCCGCCCCCTCTCCCTCAAAATCATAAATCATCCCCGCTTCACGCGAGGTAGTGACGACCTTCTGGCTTCTGTGTCGCCTAACATGGTCGTAAGCCGTAAAGACCTTTTCCAGATCATCCCCCGTCACGGACTCAGTGCACCACCCCTCCTGTGCTTTAAGAACAGAAAGCCTGTGACCAAACATTTCCGAAAGTATATACGCATCCTCAACAGCCTGTCCAGCCCCCGCACCCTGATGCGGCGTACTCGCATGCGCCGCATCCCCAATAACACACAACCGTCCTCTCCAATACCTCTCCACACCCGGATGATCAAAAAGTGCCCACACATCCGGCTCTCTCATCATCCCCACGATCTTCCTCACCGGTTCGCCCCACCCCTCGAAATCTTTGTGGTGAGTATAGGTACCAGAAGAGGAGGAGGGAGAGGGGAGGACCCATTTGGTGTGTGGCCAGCTGGGGGAGGAGTGGAATGCGACCACGTTCATTGTGCGGCCTTTTTCGATTGGGAAGGTGAGGATGTGCCCGTGGGGGCCGAGGTACATTTGGGAGTTGCGGGCGAGTTCGTCGCCGAGGGACGAAGCTGCTTCGGACATGGAGATGAGGGCGCGGTAGGCGTATTTGCCTGTGAAGGTTGGTGCGTAGTTGGGATAGTCTTGGGGGCCGAGGAGGATCTCGCGGGTTCGGGAGCGGACGCCGTCGCAGCCGATGATGGCAGTATGTCTCACTGTCGTGCCATCCGCAAAATGAAGCTCCACGCAATCGTCGTGTGGTGTGATATCCGTCAACCGTTTTCCGAAGTGTGCGACGTCGTCTGGGATCAATTTGACCAAGGCATCCAAAAAATGCGCCCGATGAACAGAACTCTGACCAACCTCCTCACTCCTCACCTCGCAAATAACATCCGGCTCACCCGTCCCCCTCCGAAAATCAAACCACGTATCGTGCTTTTCTGGAGATGCGTTCCGAGTGTCGATGTTCTCGTATCCGTCCCTGATCCGAGGATCGATGAGTGCCATTGCGCGTTGGGCGTTCACACCGAAGGAGACACCTGCGCCGATTTCCGCGAATGCTGGGGCGGCTTCGTAGATGTGGATTGGGATTTGTTTGTTGAGGAGGGCGATGGCTAATGTGAGGCCGGCTATGCCGCCGCCGACGATTGCGATGGAGAAGTCTTGGTGCGCTTGGTCAGTGGAGGTCATTGTTGTTGAGTATGATGGTGGTGAGGTTGGGAGAGGTCTGTCCAACCTCCTCACTCCTCACCTCAAAACGAAATGAGATGACCTGATCTTCATTCATTTCGCATGTTCGAGCGGGGAACTGCCGCAGCTGTCGGGTATACGGTATACCGGCAAGCAAACCACGACTGACGTAGACAAGCTCGCAGTTCTGGTTGAAATCAACAGAGAAGATCAGTCCCATTGAATGTTCATTGAATCGTGAGGTTACTTGCGACCGAGTCTGCCATGACGTCATGCTGCCCCGGTCCTCGCCTCACCACACCGCGCACTTCCTCGACCCTCCTGGCCTCGCCGCGCCGCCTCGCCGCCATACTTAAACTCCATCCATGATCCGCTCCATCACCGCCCTCACAACCGCAACTCGCTCAGCGATCAGATCAAGAGCAACAACACCAACACTCCGCAGCCAGATCAGAACAATGGCCGTCTCAAAGAACGTCGTGGGCTCCCTCCCGCCCTCCTACGAAAGCGCCCCCGAGGAAGGCAAGATGCAACACTACAACATCGCCAAACTCGCTGAATCGTCGGGCAAGTTCCGTCGTGTGATTTGGACTGGGACGCATTCGCAGTTGGTTATCATGACCGTTCCCGTCGGTGTAAGTCAATACCCCTTCCTCTCTTCTTCGAGCATGTTCTAATGTCTTCTTTGCACCAGGGCGACATCGGCCAAGAAGTCCACCACGTAGACCAACACCTCTCCTTCCTCTCCGGCGTCGGAAAGGCCATCATCAACGGCGAATCCCGCCCCGTGTCACCCGGAGACCTCGTCGTTGTCCCCGCCGGCTCCGAACACAATTTCATTAATACAGGAGAGACGCCGATGGTGTTGTACACTGTTTACGCGCCGGCTGAGCATATGGAGAAAACGGTGCATGAGACGAAGGAGGAGGGGGATGAGTTGGAGGAGGCGGGGAAGGATGAGCCCCCGGAGTGGGCGCAGCCGGAGAAGAAGGAGTAGACTGACTATGAAAGATGTACGATAAGATAAGATAATACAACGTGAATGAGATACTCATGGGCTTACTTTGAAGCATCCTCGAGCTCCCCACACGCCCCCTTAACCAACTCCTCCACACTCCACCCCGCCATCTCCCCAAACCCCTCCATAACATAATCCAAATCCTTATCCCCCCTCCCACTCAAATTCACAAGCACACTCTCCCCAGCCCCACACCCCCTCGCCAACTTAACAGCATGCGCAACAGCATGCGCACTCTCCAACGCCGGAATAATCCCGTCACACCGACTCAACAAGAAGAACGCAGCGAGAGCTTGTTTATCCGTGGCTGTACTAACGGTCGTTTTGGAGATAGATTGGAGGATAGCGTGTTCGGGCCCGACAGAGGGATAATCCAACGCGGAAGCGATGGAGTGTACAGGCGCTGGCGAACCCTCAGCGGTCGTGAGCAAGATGGAGTTGAAATCGTGCATGACGCCCTCTTTCCCATACGTCAACGAACTCGCATGCTCGCCCAACCCCGTTCTCCGACCGGCGGGCTCGACGGCATGGAGCGTAACCCTCTCCGGCGCCTCATCCAGGAATCCGGAGAAGATTCCCATGGCATTCGATTCGCCCCCCACACACGCCACCACAGGATCCGGTAACCCACTGTGGGAGCTGGAATCAGAATGCTCGGCGAATTGCACCCTCGCTTCCTCACCAACAACCCTCTGAAAATCCCTCACCATCATCGGAAACGGATCTGGTCCAACCACGCTCCCAATCGCATACATACTCTCCCCCGTCTCATTCCCAACCCATGCCGCAAACGCCGAATCAACAACTTCCTTCAGCGTTTTGGCGCCTTCGTTGACGACCACGACCGTGGCGCCGAGGATTCGCATACGTGTTACGTTGGGAAACTCTTTCGCAACGTCAATTGCGCCCATGTGGATTTCGCAGGCGAGGGAGAAGTAGGCGCAGGTGGTTGCGAGGGCGACGCCGTGTTGTCCCGCTCCAGTCTCCGCAATCAATTTCTTCTTTCCGGGGTTTTGCCAGGAGCGCTTCGGCCATACTATCCCCTCTATCATCAGCCCACGCAGGTCGGAGAGAGGAGTGGGGAAGGAGGAGGGGTGAGCGTACCAATGATTAATTTTATGCGCCCCAGTATGATTCAAATCCTCCCTCTTCGAAAAAAGCCTCGAAAAAAGCCTCCCATCACCAACCCTCTCGCTCAAACTCCTACAATAACTCACCGGCGTCTGTCGACCCTAGTAATCCCTCCATATCGACGCGAGTTCGGCGATGAAGTCGGAGGAGGAACGGGATTTATGGTATTCGGTTGTTATGGTGTCCATTTGGGCTTGGAGGGGTGGAGGGGAGGAAGGAGCCGCCGAAGGGGCCGAAGAGGCCGGTGGAGGGGTTGGGTGGGAGGAGAGGTAGGTGGATGATTCGGTTGTTGAGGGCATCTTGATCAGTTGCAAGGGATCGAGGGTGTACTGGATGGTCGGCGTTGTTATATAAAGCTCAGGGTATTTGTACTGATCAAGGAGTCGCTCCCAACGGACTCGCGCTATCGCACGCTAAGGTCACATAGGGTCTCCAGCCGTCCCGTCCCTGCTCCAGTGGGGTCATGTAATATGCCGCTCACTCTAATCCTCGCGGCAATCTCCGGGGAATTATTAAGCTTAAGCTTCGCCATTTTATTCTATATAGAGTGAATGCAAAATGAAGGAAATGATGTCCGTAAAGATGCCTTGGTCATCTGGTGCTGGCAACGCGCCGGTACGAGGGATAAGTGTCGTTAATGATATGACCGGTGAGGCGCCTGGTAGCCAATACAGCAGACACGAACGCGTGCGAACATTCATAGCAAGCAAAGCTTTATCCAACCATATCATCAAGTCCACTTAGCACTTGCCCAATTTATTTCGCCAACATCTGATGACTTCAACACTTCACAAAATGCAAGTCGAGACTGCTGTCAGTATCTCTTTTCTCACCGACGTACAAGCAGCAATCTCTGCCAAGCCTTAACAGCTGCTGCACGATGACCCACGTCGCACTTCTCCTCCCTTCTCTCTTAAACATCACCGCCGCGTGATAAAACGCCGCAGCCCTTTGGAATGCCGTCCAATTAACCACAACGGGCAACGACCTTCCGTCATCCACCCCTTCGATCGCCCCCAATAACCTGCTCACCAACAACCCGTACGCCATCTTGATAGATTGCCTGAACTCCCTGTGTCGCCGCCCGTGAAAGTTGGGGATGTACGCCACGACAACACCCATAAAGATCTCTTCTTCCGACAAGGGCGAATCCCGCGTCAACGGCGACATCACCCGCGAGATAAGATCAACCTCATTGTAGTACTCAAACAACACCCCTTCAACCTCCTTCTCATACGTCCTCCACTCATTCCCACCCTCCTCCAACATCGACGCAATCATTCCCCAAATCGGATCCGTCTCCAACATCCTCCACGGGTCTTCCACGGCAGGTTCTTCGACCTGCAAAGCCTCCAAATGCAATATCGATTCGTCGGAACATCCTCCCCAGCGTCTTCTCACTCTGCACGAACCGGATCCGATCGCGTCCCATTCTCGCACGACGTCTGTCGGCTTTTTTGGTTTGTAATCGGTATTCTTGCATCATGAAATCTGGTTTGATACGGGTGTTGACGGGTGGGATGTCCCGGACCGGGTTACCACTCTTGAAGAAATCGACCGCAACGGAGTGGCATTCTGCCAGTTGTACGCAAATCTCATCCTTCGCTCCCTCTGGACTGCGATCAGCGTGGATCAGGTGCGCCGTCGCGATTCCACCGATTTTGTCCTCCTGCATGAATCGCACAAAGAAGTCTGTGACGTCGTTGATGGTGCACTTCCTTCCCAGCTCTTTCAACATCACAGGGGGATAATCGGCGGGTGCAACCATTATTTCCTCTTTGGGAAAGATCTCGCGGTACTTGGTAACGTGGTAGTGATCCCCATCCAAATCGCCTCCAGCCAGCATCGATGGCATATCACGGAATCCCTTCTGCGAAAACACAACACAGTTATGTAAAGCTTCAAGCGGGGACCCCGCCGGTGGCTTCCCGATGCAAGTAGCGAAACGTACATCACCGGGTGCGATAGCAGGGGATCTTGCCACCAACACCTTGCCTTCGACATACGTCGTGTTCTCCCCATCTCGGAGACAAATATAGATTTCTTCCTCGCCGAGCGTATCCGTCTCGTCAATGGTACCATACAACGTCCATGAATCCGGAACCAGGACGCGTCCGTGGTATTTAAGCTGTCGAAGGATATGGTGAATAGCGACCGTATGACAATCATTCAGGAACTGCGCGTCTCGCAATTGGTTCTTAACGCCCAACTGGTGCAATATTTTCAAGGTCATATCCAGTCTCGACTCTCCTGCTACTCCGTAATGATGATATAACGAGACAGCTTGCATTGTATCCGCCCATGACGATTTCAATTCCTCGAGTACACGATCCTGCAGCGCGAGGAAGTTCCAGCACGGCACGCCTAACGTCTCCAGTAGCGTGATCAGCTGTCGGTTGAGATAGAATTTCATCGCATGATCCGCTTGTCCAGCGATTTCTAGCGTACACTCCGCATCCGGCTTCGCAATGAACTTGATCATCGACTTCCTCAAACAAATCTTCCGTCCCGGCAGGGTAGAATCGAGGGCTAAAATACCCTTCGCACCAGCCATGCGGATCTGAAAGAGAGATGGTGAAGGGTTCATCTGTTTATGCGCAATTGCATGCAGTTCCTTCACCAGCTCCCATGAAATCTTGCCAACACCGTCAGTAAACACCCGTCCACACCTCTCAACGTCCGGAATAACTGTGATTTCGTACCGCTGTATCGGTAGTGAAAGAATGGTCGAAGTAAACGCTTGACCCATACGCGCAGCATAACGCGGGGCGTTGGTGATAGTCTCCAACTCTCCGATCTCACTCCGGACCAAGTCACCATCGATCCACCTATCATTCAACGCGAAAGGGTTGATAAACCAGCACGAGAGTTCACGTAGTCCAGAAGACGAATACGCCAAGAACTCAAACATCCGTCCGGCGACCCTGATACCCCTCCGTAGTACATCCTCCTTGAACCTCGTCTGCAGAATCGGATAGGGATCCACGCCCTTGTTATAACCGACCTTAGCAAAATCCTCCTCCGTAAAGCCGACTCTGAGGAAGTGGTCTTCGTAACCACTGTAAAGCCTAGTGATCCGATTTCCGTGATCCAACCATGGACCATTGAGGTACATCCCCGACGGCGTGATATGGACATGATGAACCGCAATACTTCGATCGTTAGCCCATTTCGCGAATCTACTGAGCCGAAGACTCATCTCCGTATAGTCGTTCTCTTCGGCGCGCCTCAATGCCTCTTCGATTTCCTTAACGCCCATCGACAGGTCGCGTGAAGTTTCCGGATTTCGATCCGGGATCAGTGTTTTGAGGCTTTCGACGATGGGCGTGGTGACCTTGGATCCTTTGATATCGACGAGCCTCTCGATTGTTCTGCGCATTTCAATCATTTCCCCGGGTAGGATGTATCCGTCGCTGACCAACGATTGACACTGAAACGCCAGTTTGAAATCAAGTGTTAGGTACCACAGGTGCAGCTGATTGAGTTTATCCTTGGTGAACTGAAACCCACGGGAAACTTTCACAAACTTGCACATTGGCGTAGGCAAGCGCTTTTGCTCGTTCCTCAACCAGAAAGACAAGAGACCCGCGTCTGTACAACCAATGCAATAAACGCGAGAATATTGGGCAATCCGACGGTGATTGGAGTCCAACCCGGTACGCGTCGAAACCGAGCTTCGCGATCATTTACATGTTCTGCGATCGTCGGCGATGATCTGCCGAGCCCCGAATCTTTACGTCCAGTTTGCCGGCCTCGACCGCGTCCACGACCTCGGTCGTCGGCATTCCCTCGCTTGATCTTGTCTTCCGTTTTGACCTCGAGGAACTTGGGGACGATGTCGAAAGTAAGATAAACAGTTTGGTGACCCGCACCGCGATCCACGACCACACTCAGGACGTTGTATAGCGAGACCTTGATCATCTTGTCGTTCATCACAACCGCCAAATCTCCATCATCAGGCAAGATCTTCATGACACCCGGCTTCGTCATGGCAGGCGCCCACTCTGGCGAAAAGGCTCCATGGGCATCCCACGCACCGCACGAAACCCCATCAATCGGTAAGTCCTTTCCGGCAAGATCCTCCGCCTCGTATTCCGAGCCCGAATCATCCGCCGCATCCTCCATCTGCGCAAGAAGCGACCTCTCCAGGTCGGGCGGCGTTGCGCCATGATGCGTCACGACCAACTTCTTGTTCCATATCTTCAAGCCACCTCGTTTACCGTACGCGCGGTACTCGAGGAGGAAGTCTTCGCCGATATCGAGCAGGGGAAGGCTGAGGATCACGTCGCCGCTCTTGCCGCGTCCGGTAACACGCTCCCATTCTAGCTCGAAGGGAATGCGTTCGAAAGGGCGGATATGTGCGAGAGCACCAATGATAGACTTGCGGAATTGACGCTCGGTCATTGCCGGCGGAACTTTTTCGATGCGCAGATCCATGATGGGCCGACCTGTGTGTAGGACAACGTTGGAATGACCTTTGTCGGAGTTTCTGCGAGGGACAGCGATGGAGTACTCTTTATATCTGTAAACATATCCTGTTCAGTTTTACCGTTCGCTCCCCGGCCATTCACACCGGACCGTACGCGTGAGCACAGGCCTTATTCGCGTCGTCGCATTTTCAAGGGCGTATGGAATTCTACGACACGCGCCGTCGGTAAAGCTGGCAGGGAGTCTTGAGGAAGTCAAGTCAAACCAGTACATACTTAGATAGTCACGTATAATCTTGATCTGTCTTTCTACTCTTTCATCAACAACCGTCTAAAGCCTCGCCAATTGCAACCCTTTACCATCTCTACCCCCCTCCATCTCCTCCAAAACCTTCCCAGCAATATAATACGCTGTCGCCATCGTCGTAACCATCGGATTCACCCCACTCGCACTCGAAAACACACTCGCATCCGAAACCCACAGTCCCTCCACTCCCCACACCTTCCCCTTCGTATCACACACACCCTTGGACGGATCACGACTCATCCTGCACGTACCCATCTGATGCGCAGACCCGACCCCATCGCGTTGCGGAACGACGCCCATACGCCTAACTTCCTCGACCCACTTGACATAGTTTGGATCAGCGATTCCGAGTGCAGAGGCGTGGTCAACTCGGAAAGTTGGGGCAGCGGTGGAGAGCACGATTTCATCAACCCCACCCGCAACAAGACAATCCGCAATCTTGATCGCCCCCTCGAGCATATTCCCCCTATCAAACGCACTCGGCGTATACTCAAGCCTCACTATCCCCGTCTTCTCATCCTCAAACACGCGTCCCGAATCGCGATCCCTCGTTAACGAGATATACCCCACGCACTGATCATACCGCGTCCAGAGGCGTTTGTATTCTTTTGCGCCTTTCCAGGGAAATACGGCGGCAGCGAGAGCGGGTTGCATGGAGAGACACTCGAGTTTGGGGCCGTGGCCTTGATGGTCGAGGTTTTCGACGATGGGGGAGACGGCGGTCATGATCCCGCCTTTATAGGGTTCTGTACGCTTTGAGTCCCAGAAACCCGCAACGCAAATAACTGGGTGTAAATGAAGGTTTCGACCGATATGTAGGTTCCTCAACCCCGACCTCCTCAAGATGAGCGGCGAATTGAGAGATCCACCCGCGACAACGACAGTCTTTGCGTTCACCTTCAACACCACCTCCTTCCCATCCTCCCTCTTCACTCTACAAACAACACCCTTCGCCCTCCCCTTCTCAATAACGACCTTCTCCACCTCAGCCTCGCACACAAACTCCGCCCCCGCATCCGCCGCATCCTTCAACCACGTCATGACTCCCCCAGCTTTTTCCCCAAACCTACACCCATGTCCACAATACCCACACCAATGTTCCGTCCCCATCGTATTCTGGGGGATATTGGCGACGGGGTATCCGAGTCTTCTCGCTCCCTCCACTAAGGTCTGGTTTGCGGGATTGTGCCGAATATGCTTATCGGACACGCCCATACGGTGACACACGTGGTCCAACGCTTCCTGGTAGAGGGGCTCACGATAAAACGTACATCCCTCCCTCGCCCATTCTTCTCGCACATATGCCTGCGTCTGTAGTGACCCACTCCAGTTAACCGTACTCCCACCACCGAACGTGGATCCCGCCAACGTGAACGTACTCGCATCATCCGAAAACAAAGTTCCCCTGGATTGATACATTTTGTCGTGTGCTTCGGCTTCGGATAGGGTGAGTTTGTCATACGGGAAGAACTGGCCTTTTTCGAGGACGAGGACGCGATGGCCGGATTGAGCGAGGCGGGCGGCTGTTACGCCGCCGCCGGAGCCGGAGCCGATAATTACGGCGTCGTAGGTGAGTTCGACGTCGTCGCCGTCGCCGTCGAGGGAGAGGAATTTGTAGGTTGGGAATGTCTTGGCTGTATACCGCTCCGGATGATCAGCGTCTGCGTCGCGTGCTTCATAGCCAAGAGCCTTCAAGGTCTCATTCGCACTCTTGACGAACGTATTCGTAGCTAAGCCCTTTACAGTCGCGTAGAGTCCCCTAATCTTCGCGAAGCGGCTGTTCGACCATTGCAGTAGGATCTTCTCCCGCTCGTGGCGCGTACGGAGGTGGATGGGTGTTGTTGAGCCGGTGAGGATGAGTGATCCTGGTATCGTGCGTAGAATCGAGAACGTACGGGCTGCTTCGGCGATTGCGTCCGGCGCGATGCAGTCTCGAAAGACACCCTCGATGCGCTGACGGAACCCAGGCGCCGACGTCGCGGATTGACGAAGAAAGGCAGTGACAGCCTCCGTGTCACGCTCAGACGCGATTGACCTTGCTGTCGTATCCGATTTGAGGGAATTGATTTCCTCATCGGTGAGAGGAGCGATAATCGTGTCGAGGAGGGCATCGAGAACTTCCCATTGAGCGGGTGTAAAGACTGACTTTGCAGCTGTCATGGTCGGATCTGGTTACGGAGAGAGCAGGCATCGATCGACGGGTAAGCGATCTTTATAGAGGTCCTCGGTGCTTCGGGGTATCATCTGATCTCTGAGATCCGGAGCGGAGAAGCGTGCAGATCAGATATGAAAGTGCGGCAGAGACCAATCCCAGTTGTAGCTACTAGATAGCGACCCATTTTATTGTGATTCTCGATAGTATATAGCCTCGACATAGCAATTGAGCGGTTGTAAAGACTGACTTTGCGGCTGTCACGTCGAAATTGCAAGCGGTAAAGAAGCGGGAAGTCCAAGCGCGGAACTCGACTTTGAGAGCAGCTTTGAGGGCGAAGCTGAATTGAGGCAGATAACAGTTCATTCTAGGAGCATTCTCTGGATGATTTGGTTTTCTGACAAGTACCAGGGACAACCTGAAACGTCGCTTTGTCTTAAGCACCGCCCCGAGTTCACGTCCCTTCCGAGGTCGCAATTAGAGCACTCCAACAACCAAACCACCTTTTCATCAAGCTTTGACCATGAAACCCGCCCGCTCTAAATATATACTTCCTCCCCCTCCTCACATCTCGATCACTGTCATTCCTTCACTCCTTCGTGTTTGTTCATCATCTTATCCCGTCATTCTCTACAAACTTCAAGTCACTCTCTTTCTACACCATGAAGTTTTCCATTTGTATCATCGCCGCTCTCACCTCCGTCATCTCCTCGGTCGCGGAGTACACCACACCCGTCGGTGACCCGTCCGGTAATCCCATCTACACCCCCTCTCTCGGCGAAATCGTCCCCGTCGGCACGCCCTACAACATCACTTGGAAGGTCCCTTCTCCCTTTCCCTCCCTCTTCCCCTTTTCGTACTAACCCTTATGCCGCAGCCCACCACAACCGGCACAATAACCCTCCTCCTCCTCCGCGGTCCCTCCACAAACTGCGTCCCAATCGCCACACTCACGACCGGCTTGCAGAATAAAGGCTGGTACGAATGGGCCCCGAGTACGGATTTAGAGGCGGATACGAGTCGGTATGGGATCGAGTTGATTGTGGATGAGACGGGCCAGTATCAGTATTCGGTGCAGTTTGGGGTTGGGAATGATGGGGAAGGAGAGAGTTCTTCTTCGAGTGTTGTGGTTTCGTCCAGGGCTATGAAAGCGTCGAGCTCGAGCTCTTTGAGTACGGTTGCTGCCACGCTCGATGTGGCCGCCTCTACGACCTCACCCACGAGCGCGACCCACCATTCGCATTCGAAATCCACCCTCATCACCCTCTCCACAACCTTATCAAAGATTTCAGCCTCCTCGATTTCTTCCGCTACGGCCGCCGTCTCCTTCGACTATCCCACCCCTCAAGTCGCTTACCTCAATACCACCGTCTCCGAATACAATCTTACCGCAACTAACATTACTGGTTCAACATCAGGCGCGTATCAGTCCATCGACGCAAGGAAGGTGGGCGTGACGGTGATTGTTTTGTTTGCGATGGTTCTCTAAGTTCTTATTGCTCTTGAGAATGATTCTATGGTAATTGAACTTTTCAGCTACAACAAAGCTGTGCGGGTAGACCGTGAGAAAATACATTCCTTCATTCGACCCTTGGTACATACTGTCTAGATGAATAATTGATTTTCAAACATACAACAACGTATCGGGGGGCTGGCGCAACGGTAGCGCGTACGACTCCAGATCGTAAGGTTATCCGTTCAAATCGGGTGTCCCTCACCTTTTTTGGCTTTTATGCCGTCCATTGGACATCATAAAACTTACTTCTGCCTCAACAAATATAAAAAAGCTCATGACTGTACGACTGGTTGATACAGCCAATATATTATGCTGCCAAAGATCTCTGATGCTTCTCCGTACTATACACCAGCCGCCAAATTCTCGAGCTCATCCGCGTACAAAGCTATATGTTCTCTCTTCAAACCTCCCTGATCCTGTATTTTTGACCTTTCACTTACTTCCCATCCTCGCAAGCGCTTCTTACTCCGCCTTTCTCGCGCAGACTTTCCCCTTTTCAATCATTTTCGACACATGTCCCCGAACCTCCATCTACATAGGCACAGCCGACATGATCTCACCATCCTGCATCACAAACTCCGCACGCTTCCCATCCAGATACACCTCCGGCTCCGGAATCCACTCATGCCCCCTCGCCAACAAAATCTCCTTCTCCAAATGCTCGCACTTCTCCCCCCACGCCCCCTCCTCAACCCACGCCTTGAACTCCTTCTTCCCCCACTGCACAACAGCACCCTTGGGATCCTTCTTAATCGCCGCCGCTAAATCAGCGACAGATTCGCCGATTTGGTCCATATGGATGATTTTGCGGGCTTTTTTGGTGGTTTTGAATTCGGCGGGGTCGAGGGGGGCGGAGGCGCGGAGTTGTTTGTAGTGTTTGAGGAGGGTTTCGGCTGCTTGGGCGGATTTGCAGGATTTGAAGGTGGCCATGGCGAGGGGGAGCCAGATATCTTTTCGCATCTGGAGTTTTTGGGGGGCGAGGTGTTTGGTGCCGACGGGTAGTTGCTTGAGCGCACGTTCGTTCTGTTATTGATCTTGTCAGCACACAGTTCTGTAAGACGGTCGCGTCACACTCAATCACGCCCGGCATCAACGACATTGTGTGATAGATGTGCCAAGCGTGATCAGTGTATGGTGGAGGACGTACGTTGATTTGCCGTGTCAGCGAGGAAACGACCTGCTTGGTCTGGATGTTGCGGAAGAGGTAGACCGTCTTAGACGAGAGCATATGCTTTCTGCTCGACATCCTGGGCTATTTTTATGACGAAGAAGATGGACGGGAAAGAGGGAAGGCCGGGGGAGGGAAGCTGGACTTTTTTCGATTTCCCGGAGTCGTCGGTATCGTAGACATGGCCTGCAAGGTCAAAAATGGCCAGGGGGGTGGATGAGGTTATGTGATTGAAGATCGTCGAGACTTGGATTGGCTTTATAAGATAAGAACAAGATGAACATAGTTATCTCTGTCCATTCACATATCCATCTTCCCATGACGCTCCCCACATGCAATCCGTGCTCACCGGTACCGACATCAGGACCAACTAAACCCAAGAGAACTCCAATTGAACGATCAATACCCGGCAATGCCACCAGGCAATGCCTCAAGATCAATCCTCAAGTCGGCACAGGATCAATGGAGATGACGATGTCCCTGACGGCTCCGGTTCTGGATCCAAGAAACCGCCGAAGGGCGTACCGGTATTGCCGGCTTCTCAGGTGCGTTTGCAAACGTGGGGTGACTGCGGTGATAGAGATACTGATCTGGTTGTGTAGAGGAAGTTGAGACATCTCACTGGTATCACGATCAGAAATATCTCCGTGCCGGATACTACACCGTCCAAAGCGCGAACGCGGCCGTCATTCTCGACAATAACATCTTCCAGCACCGTCACCTCACCAATGCGTCCAGGCCTCGGCTCACTCAGACGACGCTCCACACGGGTCGGTATGAGCGTGGATGACTTAGCCGACTCGGTCGTGAGACAGGCGAAGCTAGAAGATGCAATGAAGGGAAGATTGGTGGATGCGTTCTTTTCCATCTCTGTGAAGGTGGAGGAAGGGACGGAGGAGGTGGTGTACGTGAGTGAGAAGGTCGAGCGTACAATGAATCCTACGTTCTCGGCATTCGATCTGTCATCGGCCTCGATCCCCACAGCCCTATCACGCGCAACAACGGTACTACTTCGCATATTCACCCGACTCTCGACAGGTGCGAGCAGGTGGTCGATCCTGATGGATCTGAAGTTGTCCCTATGCTGCTTGAAGTATCTCGGAAAGAATGTAACAGTAACCGTGGAGATCTTGCCTTGGGTTTGTGCTGACAGTTGGCTTACAGCTCACTTCACTGTCATCACCATTACCGCCGAATACTCTGGTTTTCACGTTACGACCCGATGAAGGCGTATATACCCTCCCAGCCTCGAACGCAATTTCAGACGTACACGACGACATGGTCGGACCAACCAAAGGCATTGCGAAGCACAAATCATATTCGTCTTCATCGCTTCTCAATCTTCTTACACTCGATCACTGCCTCGTGGACGCATGTGCTTCACTCGATACCTTCCGGAATCAGATCGCCACTGATGTGCATGAACCGTCGCATACTTTGCCATTGGAGATTTCCGAGCGTGCGGCGGCGTTGGAAGATTTACAATGGGCGGTCGCGAGGGAGAAGACGAAGGTGAAGGAGATGAAATCGCGGGTCGCAAGCCTACGGGCGAATATCGCCGAACGACGATGCACGCTCGCGGCAGCTTATGAGAAAGACGCAAAAGATCGCTCAGAGCTACAATCAATACACAGCACCCTCGCCGAACGACGACTCCCCATCTCAGAAATCCACCGCCTCATCACCAAACGCCGCGCAGACCTCATCCGCGGTCTCTGTGCAATATACCCAATCGCCCCCATCCCAAACGCAGTCCTCTCCTTCGCAATCCGCGGCCTCCTCCTCCCCGACGCAGAATCCGCCCTCGCTGAAACCCTCCCCGACGAGAACCTCGACACAGCCTACGGCCACGTCGCACACTTCCTCCACCTCCTCTCCCGCTACCTCTCCATCCCGCTCCGCTACCCCCTCGACCCCCTCGGCTCTCGCTCCAGAATCCGTGACAACACCGGCATATATAATATCTCGGCTCTGAGATGGTTTCCGCTGCATAGAGGTGGAGCGAATAGTGTCGAGAGGGACCGATGGGATTATGGAGTTTTTCTGTTGGGGAAGGATGTGGAGCAGGTTATGGGGGAGGTTGGGTTGTTGGTTGTGGATTTGAGGCATATGGGGGCGAATTTGAGGTGGTTGGCGTTGTGGGTGCAGAGTATGGTTGAGGAGAGGGTGGAGGAGGATGGAGAGGGAGAGGGTGTAAGGCAGGCTGAGGTAGGGTAGCATCTAAAGTATAGCCGCTATGGTACGTCATGATCAGAGCATAGTACTCGAACATTCGAATCCTGGATCTCGTTGTGCTCGTTGTTATATCTGTTCAGTTTGCCAGTCCATGTTTGCCCACGAACGTCTTGCTCCCCCGCGCCTGTCCTGGCTGCAGCGCTGCATCACCGGTCACCGCGCACCGCCGTATATATCGATACACCAACTCATCCTGGATCGCGATTATTTCCAATTCCCAATCTCAATTAATCCTCTCAAACACTCCATCATCAATCCTCAAATGCCTCCAAACCCAACCTCCCCCTCCTCCCTCCTCTCCCTCTCCGACCAATTCACCTTCTACGGCCAATACCACACCCACCGCACAAACATCCTCATCCACATCCTCTGCGTCCCCACAATCTTCTGGACCTCACTCGTCCTACTAAACAAAATCCCGGGGGCGCGGTTTGGGATCGAGGCGCCGTGGGTGTTGGGAGGTGGGGAGGTGAGTTTGGGGTGGGGGATTGGGGTGGGGTATGCGCTGTATTTCGTGTTGTTGGAGCCTGTTGCTGGGGTACGCTTTCCCACTTATCCCCCCATTTATAGCATGATACTGATGAGTGAATGTACATAGGGCATCTACTTTCCCCTCCTCCTCACCCTCGGCCAAACAGCAACCTCATTCTCCCACTCCCCTCACTCAACCCCCATAGCATCCACCCTCTTCATTCTCGCCTGGGTCGCGCAATTCATCGGGCACGGCGCATTCGAGGGTCGGGCGCCCGCGTTGCTGGATAGTTTGTTTCAAAGTTTGGTGTTGGCTGTGTTTTTTGTGTGGATGGAGGTGTTGTTTGCGCTTGGGTATCGGAGGGAGTTTAGGAAGGGGTTGGAGGAGAGGATCCAAGGTGCGGTGGAGAGGTATAGGGCGGAGAAGGGGAGTAGGGGGAAGAAGGTGGAGTGAATTACGAGTGGGGCTTGATGCAAGACGAGTGTACGATTAGCGAATGACGGACAATAGCTATGCAACTTCACTGGCCATGGTATATCTGGTATCCCCTCCTAAATCCCAACCCCGACCCCCCACACCACCCCCTCCCCAACCCACCCCCCCCTCCTCCCCCTCCCCCCATAGCCATCCCTCCACACCACAACCTCCTCAATCCTCCTCCTCGTATCCTCCCTCACAGTCAACCCCTTCATAACCCAAACCAAATACCACTCCACCTCTCTCCGTGTCCGCTTATCTTCTCTGGCTGTGCGAGGCGTGGGGAAGAGGGTGAGGATGTGGGTGCAGATCTCGTCGTGGGTTCCGGGTTTGTGTTTGTACGCGCGGAGGAGGGTGAGTGCGAGGCGTGCGAGGTCGATACGGAGGTCGTCTACACCGAGCGTCTCCTTCGTAGGGGACTTGTAAAGTGCGTTGAGGATGTTTCGGGCGTTGACAAAGAGTAAATCCAGGCAGACACTGACGAGATCGACGATGACAAGTGCGCAGTCTGCGGATGCCTTAGAGGCGATTGCGCAAGCCATTGTGGTTAAATTAGACATGAGGTGCGGCTGCTTGTTGATGTTTGGAAACGAGACGTGGGCTTTGAGAGACGTCGATATGATTTTGAGGGCGTGTGAGACGGATTCGGCGTACATCCCCACCGGCAATCCGGGTGTGTGTAGGACTCGGAGAGAGGTGAGGAGGGTACTCGTCGAGGATGTAGCGGAAGGGAAGAGCGTGCTAGGAAGAGTTGGGGGTGTGTAGTGCGAGAGGAGGTTGACCGTGGTCGCAGCCGGCTTTGTTTTTCGCTTCTTGGAGGTAGGGAGGGGATTTGTCGAAGGGTTGGTGAACTCATAGTCGTCATCACCACCAGCACCAGCTGAGGACGAAGAAGCCAATTGTTTCAGCCGGCGACGCGTATTATCCAAATCTGTCTTTTTCCTGCGTCAGCTCACTCCATATACAGCCAGTTAAGGAAGAGAACCTTGTTTCGCAATCACGAGGTCTGCTTTATTCCTCATCGACTCCTCTTCGGCTGCCTCATATTTGCGTTTCCAGAAATTGGCGGCATCGAGGTGGTGTTGTTGCTCTTTCTCCTCGGGTAGAGGGCCAGTGACGATGAGGCCTTCCTTTAGGGATTGTATGTAATCTTGTCCGCAGACGTGTGTCAGTACCGTAATTGTGTTGAAGGGGAGGAAAAGACGCACCTTTGATGGGAACGCCTGGGGGTTTGGAGCGAAGTAAAGTCACCGCCAACGCAACCTGGAACGGGAACAGAGCTGGCTGTTTATCAGTACTCTTTACAATCGTATTTGCGGGTCTTGGAGGCATCGTAATGAACAAGAAGGGAGAAAAAGAGGAGGAGTTCGGTTCGCGGGTTGTCGGCGTGATGCTTCGTACGTGTTCCGCCACCTTGAACTGCAGCTTACAAACAAACGCGTACACTGAAGATATCGACCAGTTAGCCAGCACATGCCAAAGCAGCGATGAGAGACCGAGCAGCAGAGTATGACTTGACGCGTTCAGCGCGTCCTCTCGCTCGCGTCGTCTTATGCTGTACCTCCGTTCCCTCCGACATTCGATCCCTCGTTGTGCAACAAGCGACGAAGATGGGGGCATCGTACAAGGCGGATCTTACCTCGGATGTGACGCATCTCATTGCGGGAGATATCATGACGCCAAAGTACAAATTCTCCACGAAACATCGGCTGGATGTAAAGTTGATGAAGGTGGAATGGATTGGGGCGATGTATGAGAGGTGGTTGGAAGGGGAGGATATCAACGTTGAAGAGGTGTGAACAAAGAGACTCTTATCTTGCTGAAGATAACTGACCACTGTTTCACAGTATTCCGAGAAATTCCTGTTACCGCCGTTTCTCAACCTCCGAATTTGCGTCACCTCGCTACCTCCGTCTGATCGCCAGAAACTTCATTCTCTCATTACGTCGAACGGCGGCCATTACTCTCCAGACCTGTCAAAGACCTGCACACATCTCATCGCTGCCTCAAAAGAAGGCAAGAAATACGAATATGCTGTCAAGTGGGGTATCAGGATCGTCGGGCAGGAGTGGGTACGCGACAGTCTTGTGAGAGGAGCTGCCTTGAGCGAGGAACTGTACAGTCTTGATCTGCCAGAGGAGGAGAGGGGACGCGGTGCATGGGACAAGGCTATCGAGAAAGCGGAAGGATTGGCGCCTGCAAAGAAGAGAAAGCAGGTCTCGAGAGTGGACGAGGACGAAGACGACAAACCGGTTCTCAAGAAAAAACGGTCGCAGTTATCGCAAAGTTTTCTTGGTTCTGCGCCCACTTCGAACAAAACCACCCCAGCAGGAGCTGCTCCTGTGGACGACCTCTGGAAGGACATTTTCCACATGAAGCCCCTGGCCGCTTCAACACCCATCAAACCCCAGGCTGACGCCGCATGGCATTCCGATGACGAAGAAGAGCTCGATCTATCCAAAGTACATCCGCCACCAGCATACGATGAATCCGGAACTCCAGCACTCGACGAGCCAGAAGAAGAGAAGCAAAAGGAAAAAGGTATCTGGTCTGGTGTGTACTTCTACCCATGGGGCTTCAGCGAAGAGAAGGCCAACATCCTCTACATCTACCTCACGTCACATGGCGGACATTGCGTCGACACGTTATCCGCTCTTCCACATGACAAGCCCGAGCGTTCGTTTGTGGTGGTCTCGCATAGCGTACCAATTGTCGATTGCCCGAATGTACCGTCAGAACGAGCGACGTTGGTTACGGAACAGTGGTTGGAGCGGTGTGTGCACTTCGGACGGAGGGTGGAGATTGACGACTGGGTTGTATCTAGACCGTTGGTACGGACGCACATTCCGGGAATGAAGGGACTCACGATAGCCATGACAGGGTTTACTGGGGTTGATCTCTTGCACATGTCGAAACTCATTAACATTCTCGGCGCAAGCTACAGCGAGACATTGAGGCGTGACACGAGTGCGTTGATTGCGCTGAAAGCTGAGGGAAGGAAGTGGAAGATGGCCGGAGAGTGGGGTGTTCGGATTCTTTCGCGCGAGTGGGTGGAGGACGTGGCAAGGAAAGGGGAGGTTCTGGGTGTAGGTCGATATGCGATGGATGGGTTAGGCGGAGGAGAACTTCCGAAGCGTGAAGGTGAGTGCCGTATGCAACAGGTCGTGGAGAAGATGGTTAATGACAGTGCAGTACAGCCGATGGGACCCCCCCTAATGACGAGGGAGAAGCAGAAGGAGAGGGGATCAGAACGACGCCTGGAGGAGGGACACAGCAGCAGGAGACTCTCGATGAGAATGAGTGATGAAGATGATGAGGTGATTGACAAGAAGAAAGTACGAAATGCAACTCGTGCGCGAGTGTTGGAGGGATGCACGGTTTGCGTGAGCTCCAAGTTGTCCGACATGACGTCAGAATACCTCGCCATTGCCGTATCCCTGGGAGCTAACACGGTGCAAACTTTCTCTGCTGGAGCTGGGATTACGCACCTGGTGCATGAGAGTTCGCGGCATGCCGATGCACATCCAGACTTTCGGGCTGCCAAAGAAGCAGGATGCAAGATCATTTCTCCGTCATGGCTGTTCGAGTGCCGGAAGAAGGCGACAAAGGTGGACGAGGCTATATTTCCTCACACTCACGCTTTTGAGACGGATGCGAAGGAACGGGTACTGGCGGATGTTGGTGCGAAAAGGGCATATTCGGCACCATCTGCACCAGTACAAGATCCTCGTGTTGCCTCCGGGATCGGTAACCTCGCAAAGCTACTCCAGAGAAACGTGACAGCTGGTGTCCTTTTCGACACCGCCCCAAAACGCGTCCGAGGCAAACTTCAAGGTCGTGCAACTGCGTCCATCACAACACATCGCTCCACCTCCGATCCCGCACCTTTTGACGCGGCGCCTAACCCATTGGCTGACGAAGATGCGAGACCAAGTCAGGATGGAGTCAAGTATGATGATCCTGATGCGCAAAGGGAAAAGAGGAGGATTCTGATGAAGCTAAATGGTGGCGTTGTTGATTTAACCGAGCATGATGATGCAGGCGAGCGAGGGAGGAGTACGAGGGAGATGAGTCCGGTTAGTGATTTGAAGCCCTTGAGAACTCGGGCGGCGAGGGCCGCAAGACATATTGGATGAGTGTCTGATTATGCACGGTCGCTGCGTCGGTGGCCTTGTGGTACGTATTCGAGATAGAATATATCCAATGTTCGTCTTACTCGGGTACTGTAAGTTGCCATACGCCGTGAATGCCGAATGAGGAAGTTCGACTGTCTACGTTACCTCGCAGCCGCCACAATACCAACCGTAACCTTATTCTTCTCCCAAACAACATCGTACCCAATAAGCAAACACTCAGGAAACATCTAGTACGCGTACTGACGTTCCGAATATCTACACCAGCATGACAGCAAGAAGAGAAGGCACCGTCATTCCAGAAAACGCGGCCGTAGTCGACCTCACAGAATCTCCCGGCCTCGCCGCCCTGTTACAAGCAGCGAATGACGTTGCACATATCGATCTATCAAACGAATCAACAGAAGCGTCACCACAGCTCCTACGGCATCCACCGCCAGAACCGCCGTCGAATAAGTTGTCACATATCAAATGCGTGATCTGTTTGGAGTCGCCGACTGATCTCGCTGCAACGCCGTGTGGTAAGTTATCCATGGATTTTCATGAGAGACAGGTAGAACTGACATGAGTGTAGGGCATTTGTTCTGCGATTTGTGTATTCGGTCAGCGATTCAGACGACGGCAGGGAGTGGGGGGAAGTGTCCGGTATGCAGGAGAAAGTTGACGGTGAAGCAGATCATACCACTCGAGATCAAGCTTGGTCGGACGTGATTGGATGGTATGATATATCAAGGATGTTATTGAGGCCATGCTATGCTACTATGACGCTGGAGCAGCCGAAGCATCCGCGCTGGCCGCGGTCTTTCGCTTCTTCTTCTTCTTCTTCTTGTTCTTCTTCTTTTTGGGTTTGGCTACTCCATCATCTGCGTCTTCAGTCTGCTCCTCAATATCGTCATCTTCATCCTCGTTCTCGTCTTCTCCCTCCTCTTCCGCTTGTCTCTTCTTCCCTGTACTTGCCTCATCATCGCGTTCGAACAAACACACAAAGAACCCAATGGTTCCGTCCTTTCCTGGCGTACATCTCACAGCTCCTTCTGCAATGTCAACGTCTCCACCTGCTTCTTCCGGGATACTTCTGCTATCCCAAGTGGGAAGACAGTGCGCACGCTTCGCAACCCTCCATTGCCTCTGCTTCGCAACTTTCGACGCAAGGATCCTCAGCACGACATGCTCATTCTCAATCGCATGAATCGAGCACGTAGAATACGTAATCCTCCCGGCTTTAGGAAACGCCATAGCATGCTGAACAAGCGTATTCTGGAAATCCGCCAAAGACGCAAGACGCTCGTCATCCTTCACCTTCTCCTCCGCTTCCTCCTCTTCCGTGGCGGCAGCTTTGTTGTCTAAGAGGTAATCAAGACGATTCACGATTCCTGAGCCCGAGCAGGAGGGGTCGAGGAGGATGTGCGTTACGTCCTTGTATTTCGGATCCATTGGCTTGACTTGTGTGAAATCACCAAGCACGGTTTCGATGACTTTATCCGCACCAGCTTCCTTCGTTCGTCGACTCAAGATCCCATACCGGCGCTCATCTCTCTCGAACGCAAAGATCGTCCCTTTACCCTCCATCACAGCAGCCAAATGCGTCGTCTTGTTTCCGGGTGCGGCACAAGCGTCGATACAGACCTCCCCTGGCGGCGGATTCAGAATCGCAGCTGGGAAGCAAGAAGCCTTATCTTGTAGGATAAGGGTGTGATTCACGTACAGCGGATGCTGCGAGAAATCCGTAGCGGGAGGGAAAGCGAGAAGTGACGGCACATGCGGGTCGATATAGAACGGTGGTCTCGCAGGATCCGCAAATGGAGGCGACAAATCCGTAAGCATCTGCACTTGCGTATGCGTCTTCTTGAACTCCGCCATAATTTTATCCAGTTGCGCCAGAAGCGTGTTAACACGCACCCACCGCGGCAGGAAGACATCCTCCTTCTTCGCCAATGCCGTGATATCCTTGACGCCGAGCCTCACCTTCGCCTTCACAAACTCTGCATTCAATCGTGCTTTATTCCGCATCACCGCATCCTTGATCGGTCCCTTTCCAGTCGTGATACCCTTTTTCGTACACAGAAGGTCATGAACGAGCAACACCACCAACTCCTTCTCCTTTCCCAACTTCCTCTCCAAGTCGTAGAGCTTTGAGCGGGAGATAACGTCGGTCAACACATCCCTGTATTTGAGAGTCTCGAGAAGGAGGGCGTACGTCCGTTTCGGATCGGCGAGCTTCGAATTAGACAGCGTCAACGACTTGATGGAGCCTTTCCTTGCGTCGAGGTCTTTGAGGACCTTTGCGGCCTCCATGTAGAAGTTCATCTTGGCCGGAGATCACCCGAGGCCGTGGTTATGGGTTCGGGGTGTATGTGGTTGCTTACGGTATCGATGTGGGGATGCAGGACTTTTCGGGGCCGCAGCATCACGGATACCACCCCCGGTGAAATTTATGGGTTGTACAAAGGTTACGAGTGTGGATGGGATTACGGACATAGGGGTGGGATTGCACAGTGTCAATGGGTATATTTTATCACTTTTACTATCCGTCCTGAAGAACAATCAACTTTCCGGGGTTCGCAACATGCAATGAATTCTCATCATGTGCTCTCAAGCCTCGACAACTGGCCTTCAACGGTCGTTCTTAGCATATCACTTTCCGTCATCATCGCCAAGTCTCGCCCTCCATGGTACCACTCTCAGACAACCCTCATGTGATGCTAGGCCCCTCCTCCATCAAACAGGCTTCGCACACTTCCTCTCCTCAACAACCCCCGTCTTCGGACACCTCATCTCACCATAACTAACCGGATACATCATCTCCCCACTCTCCTCACACATCGCAAAAACAACCCCCAAATCATTCCGTGCCGTACTCAGAAAGTAGGAATATTGGTCGCCGAGGGAGATGATTTGGGCGCGGATGATGTCGTTGGGGCGGAAGGAGGAGTAGATTTTTGTGTGGGAGGTTTGGGTTAGACGGATGTCTTGTTGGCTGTGGCAGGAACGTAAGTGAGTACCACTCAGGTAAATGGGGGGGAGAGACATACCGAATGATCCCCTGGAACTCTTCTCTACACGCAACATCCCCCACAACCAAGATATTCACCACAGCCTGCTTGGGACTAATCCTCACCACCCGTCCCAACACAATATTCCCCTCGCCTGGTACCACATTGCCCTCACCGCTCTCTTCCTCGCCGGTGACGACAGAGAGTATTGGTAATGAGTTTGAATCTGAGGAGGAGGGGATGGTTGTGGTGTAGCCTGATAGCGAGGCGTGGATTTGGTCGTGTGAGGCGTAGGTGCCCGGGCCGGGGATGAAGGCGGAGGTGGGGGCGAGGGGTTGGCCTGTGATTGCTATTGAAGGTGGTGCTGTTGACATATTCAAGCGGATCGAGGGTGTTCCAAGGAGGGTTTGCTGTGGGTAACTTTCTGCGGCCTCGATACCGGTAAGGTAACGTGCACCTGCAGCGCGATATATACGGTACGGTACCGAACGACGTCAAATTGCAGGTGAGCGACAAATGGCAATTAAAACAGAAAGCACAAATATGAGTCCTTCCCGTGGTCTGGTTTAATGACGAGCACAATCTCAAAAATATGTCAAAAATGAGGGACACCTGACTTGAACAGATAACCTTACGATCTGGAGTCGTACGCGCTACCATTGCGCCAGCCCCCCGAATTTGTGTTCCTCGATGCCCTTAACAAATAGACTACCTCTAACTTGGGCAGGTCGATCGCTCATTATGGATCCTTAGGCAGCTTACGATAACCTTACGAAGCGACGTCCTATAAAATTCAAGTAAATTCAACCTGATCCCTCATCTTCCGCCAGTTGATCAACGACCGCAACCGTGGCTCGACTCTTCCTCGCTCTATCCGTCCTCGTCCTCTCAGTTCTCCTGGCTCTCTTCTACTCGCCCTCCACGCTCCGCTCCGTCCTCCGTCGCGTACCCTCAAACCTCGCCAAGACCGCATCTTTCAGTACTTCGTCCATCACCAGAATGCAAATCATCCCCCGCCGCTCCGCAGACCGCGGCCACGCCGACCACGACTGGCTAAAATCCTACCACACATTCTCCTTCGCTTCCTACTTCGACCACGCCTTCACCGGCTTCTCCTCTCTCCGCGTCATCAATGAAGACCGCGTCCACCCAAGCACAGGCTTCGGCACGCACTCTCATCGCGAATACGAGATTTTCTCATACATCATCGACGGCGAACTCCAACACAAAGACTCGATGGGGAATGTGGAGATTTTGAAGAGAGGTGATGTACAGTTCACGAGTACGGGGACTGGGATCGCGCATTCGGAGTATAACATCAACCGTACCCATCCCGTACATTTCTTGCAGATCTGGGCAAAGCCGAGTGAGAGTGGACTTCAACCTTCATACTACACGGAGACATTCTCGGATGAGGCGAAGAAGGCGGGGTTGGTGAGGTTGATCGCGCCGAGTGGGAAGACGGGAAAGGGTGAGATTCCCATCGTGCAGGATTTCTATATGTATGCTTCGATCCTTGGTCCTGATGCGGTGAGGACGCATGTGTTGCAGGGTGAGGAGGGGAAGGAGAGGAAGGCGTATGTTCATGTTACTATGCGCTCTGGCTATGTTACGCCCAAGGAGGGCAATGTCGATGGTGGAGCGATGGTTAGGGTGAATGGTGATGTTGTCCTCAAGGAGGGCGATGGTGCTTTCATCGTTGGAAAGGCGGGTGAGAAGATCGAGTTGGCTACCCTTGGCGCCGCCGGAAAGGATGCCGAGATCGTGTTGTTTGATTTGGCATAATTGATATCAACACCCACGATACACGAAATATAACATACACCCACTAATACTAACACGTACACTCCAATATATCGTACACCTCCCTTTCCAATCATCTTACACTCACTTAAGCAACAGCCCTCCAAGCCTTAGCCAACTGCCCAACCGCCGCCACTGTCCCAAACAACCCCACCCCCTCATCCCCCAACCCCCTCAACCCCCCCTCCAAACTCCAATGCACAGTCAACGGCGCATACCCAGCATTAACCATAACCTCCCTCTTCCACCCCCTCTCCTCCTCCTCCGTTGCCGCCGTCTTCCGTTGCTGGAAAAGTCGATAAAGATCGAGAATCACGTACGCGGCCCAGAAACGGCAGGCGTAGAGCCAGAGTTTGGATTGTGTGCGCGGGGAGATCGGGAGAATGTTGTGCGAGGCGAGGAAAGCGGTGTGTTCGAGGGGGTAGTAGCATAGATTCGCGATGGATTGGATGAATGTCAAGGGTGTGTGGTCATCCGCCAAGACCCACTGTACCGCGCTCGGGAAATCGAGGAGACGGAGAAAGATGCGATAATCGGAGGTGAGGTCTGATAGTTTGCGGAGACGGACGGCGAGGGGGGTTGGTGCGTCGACTTTGACAAGGGTTGGGGCGGAGTTGAGGAGGAGCATGATGATACGTTGGGGGCGGTGGAGGTGTGGGATGATTAGTTTTAGGGAGTATTGGATGAGCATGAGGAGTTTGTCGTGGCCAGACAAAGTCGATAGCATCCTATGTTCGGAACATCAGCTAAAAAGTCGATGGAGTCATTTGCGGAAGTTGGAACATACCTTACGAGGTGGTTCAGCTTCGCTTTGAACGTGTCCGGAACCCTGCTCCTCAACCCCGCCGCGAAATTCTCGACTTTCTTACCCGCTACCTCCGATCCCGCATTAATCTTCTCACTCGCAACCCCGACTTCTTCTCTAACCTTCTCCACCGCCGCCTCCGCCTGCTCCCTCGCGCCATCGATCGCTGCGCCAGCTTTCTCCTTGATCTCGGACATGTCGATCGTGGACCCGGAGATTGACTGGACTTGTTCGGAGAGGGAGTCTGCGACTTCTTGGAAGTTGGTTTCTTGGTCTGGAGAGGACATTGGAGGTGAGTTGGTGGTGAGGTTTGGGGAGGTGCGGTTGGGCGGGCGGGTTGCGTTTCGGCCCCGCACAAGTTCAGTCGGTGCACCGCGCGAGGTAAACGTCGGTAATAACTGTAGAAAGCTTGATACTGCAAATTCATCTCAATTCAAGCAGGATAGCGGACATTCGTATTCTCCATACATCTACACATCCGGTATCTTGCCGTGATACTTTATGGGAGATTGCAGCGGCTCGAACGCTCGGAAATCCTGACGTTCGGCCCTGGAGCACGGCGATAAAGTGTGTTGGAGTCTTGTCGGCTATGTCCCTGGTATGTTTAAAGGGCCCGGGTTCTTGGTTCGCGGTCTTGTGAACGCGTTCACAGCTGCTACTCAAGCGTCGATAGTTGGTTCGAATCAAGGCCGTTGATACAGTGTCCTCATCCGATCACAAGAGTGGACGTATCAGGATGGGGCTGTTGTCTAAAATAACGTGGTGCGCGAACTTGCTTTGCTGTTTGCAGCCGTCAGCGATGCAGATCCGCGTCAAGCAAGCAATTGACGAAGCTGTTCCTCCCCCCTATGAAGAGAAAGAGCGGATTTTAGTTGGAACAGCCCAATGTACAGGTATCGCAGGTGCACCGACCTTATTGGCCCCGATACGCACAGACTTGCAACGGGAAAGGCAATGGTTGAAAGAAGAGCAGCAGCGACTGGAAGGGGCACAGACAGAGCTGAACGAACAGCAATGCAATCTAGATCAAGGCATACGTAAATTTGAGCAACGACAAGGATCAGAGAAACGGCCACTGACTGAGGAAGTGCACCATGCTCTAGAGAAAGGGCGACAGGATCTAGAGAACCGGCGAAAGGCTGTAAAGAACCGGGAAAAGGAAGTAATGAACAGGAGACAGGCTCGGGAAAACCGGCGACAAGCTCTACAGCGAGCAGAGCGAGACGCAATCGCTGCGGCGTTGGGCAAATTCCGTGATAGCCAGGTGGATGACTGGAAAAATCAAAACACTGTTGTAAGTGCCAATGCGCGAGCCCCGAGCTCTCTACTGGAACAAACTGTCTGACTCATCTATAGGCTGCTCTGCTTTTTTCCGGTGCACTGGGCTTTCTTTCTGGGTCAACTGTCGGACATAATACACGGGCTCTTATGTTGCTCGGTAGCGTTGTTGCATTATTCAGTGTTATGACCGGAACTGCGATCGTCAGTCGATTTTCAACCGAGCAGGAGAGTGCCTTGGCGAAAACAGTCAACTTTGGCACGACGGGTTTGTGGGAGCGCTGGAAATTGGGCCGCACGCAGGAGGCGAGAAGCGCGAAATCGGAATATATCACCGTGGAGGAGTTGAAGGAGAAGCATGAAGACCTATCTGCACTGCACTTTATGCTTTGCTTCAACACGTTCTGCCTTATTTGGAGTGGGTTTCTTTTCTTCGTGGGTCTGTTGCTCTTTGTCATATACGACATCATGAGGACGAAATTGATGTTGGGATGGTTCACCGCGGTCTTGGGATTTCTGAGTTTCCTGTACGTTTCTCTCTTCCTTCCAGCGATCTTATGATTATTCGGAAGATGTGGGTGCCCGGCTAGCCATCTTACATCACGGGAGACAGCCTATTTGCGAGGACTGGAGCATTGTACGATTAGGGTAGCCAATGAAAGAGTCAGAGGACCTTGCAATGAAACTTTAAAAAGCCTGCGGAAAAACAGCGGCGGACATTTCATCACATATGACAGTATTGAGCAGCTACTGTTTGCGTTTTTGTCATGTTGAATGGTCGTGAGAGTTTGATGATGGGAGGTCGGTCTGCGAGGATTGTGTGTGAATGGGGTGTCTTGTTTGGGTGCCGCACCCTGGACAATGACGGCGTTCTCGCGGCGGAACATTCAATTGACTTAGCTGCAAAGCTTAAGGAAAACGTCATATTCCTCAACTTTAGCGAAGTCCTCTACACCTGTTACAGTAGATCGCGATGAAGGCAGCGAACGTGCTCCGTGTTTAAGCGGCTCATCCAAGGTCGCGTCGATCCCGAGTACGTAGTTCATCTTGGGTAAATCTTGCACACCCGCCTTACCGTCACCGCCAACCGACTCTTCGCGGCAAATGAACCCCGCGTCAACCGCGGCTGGGCTCCTAAATCCTACGCGTTCTCCGCTCGGGAAAAGCCAATGAGCTGGAGATCAAGGCAGCATATGAATCACGCGACTACGCAGTTCAAGAGGATGATCCTCCTCGGGAAAGATAGCCTCTACGTTGGGTTGATTTGATCAGATGCTCGAAGAATATCGTATGTTCAGATGAGGGGTACTTAACCGGGACACATTGTGGGGCTGCGGAGCTCTGAATGCTGTCGTTGCTGAAGCTATAAATTGTGGTCATCGCCGTACCCGTCGGATCTTTTTCTGTAGTAGATTCAACTCCAGGATGCAGATCATACTGGCATTAGCAGCTCTCCTCGGTGTCGCAGCTGCTGCGCCGGGACACGACAAGTCGCACGGCGGAAGCGCATGGATCGCGTCCTCGACGACGTCCAACGTCAACGACCTCGAAATGACTCTCCTATATCAGAATGAGTTGGACGAAAGGTTTCCAAACATGCGCTTGAGCACCAATGGACTAACTCTGCGCAGTCTTCACTCAAGCCGAGCACAAATCCGTCCTCCTCCTCACTCCTCGGACGGCTTCCGGAGGTGCAGCAGCCTGCTCCCAACTCAACGAGGCCCTACTCCCGGTGAACACGACTTTCTTCAGTACCGACCTTCCGCCCCTTCTCGAGTACCGGGCTTACCAAGGCAACTATCCCAAGAACCAGCAATACTGGATCGCGTCCGATGGATCTACATGTCAGGCTGTCGACGCAACGGCCAAGGTCTGCACAGCAAACTGCAACCAGAGACTTCCAGTCCTATGTTCACAGAGTGCACCATTCGTCTACCCACCCGGCCCCTCCAACTCCTCCAAATGGGAGATCGCGGTTCAATCTGAGGACTTGACCGTCACGGGTTTCCGTGATCAGCTATCCTTCCGCTTCCTTGGAATCCCGTACGCGAACCCGGCACAGCGATGGGCGTATCCAGAGCCCATATCGGATCTTCGTCTATTAACGCTACCAACTATGGAGCAACCTGTGTTCAGACCGGTTCAGGCGATATGAGCGAAGACTGCCTCTTTCTCAACATCTTCACACCATACATCCCCGCCTCCAACTATCCCAGCGAGAAGTTGAAACCAGTCATGTTCTGGATTCACGGTGGTGCCTTCACCGGCGGCTCTGGCTCTGACCCAACCTTCGACGGTGGAAACATGGCGTCCCGAGGCGACGTCGTTCTCGTGACCATCAATTACCGTCTCTCAACCTTAGGGTTCCTTTCACTTCCAGGACCAACATCACAGGAAACTACGGTATCGCTGATCAAATTGCCGCACTCGATTGGGTAAGGGAACACATCAAGGCTTTCGGAGGTGATCCAGAGAGGATCACGATTTTTGGACAATCGGCTGGTGCAGCTAGTGTCCGTGCACTCATGGGCTCGCCCAAAGCGATTGGGAAATATGCGGTGGCTGTTCAGATGAGTAATCTTGCTGGGTCCAACTACGCCACAACTTACTCTCTCTACAATACTACGGAGGAGAGCTACGGGACTGTCGTCGTGCCAATCTTGGAAGAGACAGGGTGTGCCAACGTTACGGATCAGGTGGCGTGTTTGAAGGCGTACGACGCGACTGAGTTAGTCAATCTTGAAGATGTTGCAAGATATGTGCTCGTGGATGGGGCGTACATCACACAGCGTGAGTTACCTCTTGACGGGTCTGCTCCCGTCGCGGACGTTCATTTCATGATGGGATTTATGAGAGATGACGGTGCCGCGTTCATTGGATACCCTACCAGCACGAACGAGACCGCGGCTCTCGAAGCTCAGAGTCTCCCGGTTGTTCCAGGTAACTCTCTCTTCGCAATCCCGTCTGGACCGAACGCGACTCTTGATGTCTTTAACGTCACAGCCCGCGTCACGACTGACATCGAGTTCCGCTGCTTGGATCAAGCTACAGCCTACGCCGGTGTCGTCCACGACCTCTTCCAGGACGTCTGGTTCTACGAGTTCAACCGTAGTTACCAAACGCCAGGTTTCGACCCCAACTATCCCGTCTGCGAGGCTCCCATCACTGAGGATTTCCCGTACGGTGATCCAAATCAGGAGTACTTCAAATGTCATTCCGGCGAATTGTACTACGTATTCGGCAACCTTCCCACGAACCGTCCTCCGCGAGATCAGCACGACATCCCCTTCGAGCAGGAAATGGTCGATATCTGGACCTCATTTGCACGGACCTACAACCCCAATCCTGATCCAAATTATTTGACTGCGAGACGCTACACGAGTACGAAGGAGGAGTTGAAGGCGGAGGGAGCGTGGACGCCTGTTACGAAGAGGAGTTTGGCGCAGGGGGGGATGCCGGTGAGGGAGTTGATGCGGCCTAGTTATCAGACGGGATGGGGAGATATGGAACAGTGTGCGTCTTTGGGATACCCAATTGATTACTATGCGTGATGAAAGGAGGACGGGGGAGTGGTGTGATCAACATGTAAGATTATAGCGGATTATGAACAATGAGTGGACGTTGAAGGTATTGCCTTCCAATAAACCATATTCGTGTCCTCCTCCGCTTCCACTGAAGCTGGTTACATGTCGTGTCGTTTGATGAAGTCGCTCGAGGAATTGTCCGCGCAATACGATGAAACTGTTCGAAACACCGTTAACGGGATCGTTCAGTTTGTTTACGGTGATAATGGTTTGGATCCTACCTATCTCGAAGGTGATGGCGAGCCTGTTGAGTTCAAGAGGACCTGCCTGATCCGCATAGTAGCATCCTTCATTTCTTGTACGCTTGGAGCAGCGTCTTCATCATCGGCCCTTTCCAATGACTCTTATAGCTGTTGGCCGACCTCTTATTTTCCAATGCCTTAGCCATGGCATTAAAGTCGACCTTCTCAAATGCAAAATCGAGCATTCCTTCAATATCGTCCGCACCGAAAATGTTCTCAGCTGTGCGCCCTCCGCGCTTCTTGGCGCCGGCAGCTGGTTTCGCCTTCGCAATTTTGGAGAGTGAAGGCTTGAAGTCATCGTCGGAAGATGATTCCTTCATTTCCTTCTTCGGGATGATCTTCTAGATATTGGAATGAGTAATCGAAGAGCGCGTAATGCCTGAAGGCTGTTCTTACCCTTTTCCTGCTCAGCTTGGGAGACTCCGGCGTCGGGGGGCGATATTCAGGGTCTTCGGTGTCGTAATCCTCGTCAATGTTGACATCCACATCCGATTCTGCCTTGACATTGTCTTTCGTTCCCCTATAGGGCTTCACTTTCTCCTCCCTCTCCTCTGATGAGTCGAAACCGGTGAGATCAACGTAGCTGAGCGCCCTTTCGAATGCGTTTTTGACGATGTCTTGGGCAGAAGGGAACTCCATCTCATAATCAGATGTTATGCAAGAATTCATGATATGTACGGTTAATGAACAGTTGTCACAATTGGGCGATGAAAGGATGATTTGACTGCAGTTTCGTATGGCAGGTCTTGTCGCGACGTGCGATAACAGATGCGGACCGGTACCCGTGGGTAACTTCCGTTCAGGGTGGGAAATGGTCACCAGCTGATTTGTCTGAACCCTGGAAGTCAAAAAATAAAGTTGTTGGGTATTTCTTCTCCTTGCTCTTCACCGTCCTTAGTAGTGTCCTACCCAGAGCATTTGGGGACGCAGTCGTATCGTACAGCGTCGAATGCCGTTCGGTTCCCCGCGTGTCATGCAACGGACCGCTCCCGCTACGTCCACCTCCACGCTGGACTGAATTGAACAGTCCAAAAACCTACTAATCGCAATCCCTACAATCGGCCATAGCCATGTCAAAAGAACAGACAGCCAGAAACGGTAGCGGTCGGGGAGAGGCTCGAGTACATGGGCTGAGAGACAGGAGGGGCCGAGGGTGCTCAAAGAGTTACGTCGAGTGTGAGTGAAACCATGCGCCGAAGTACGTTGAATCGAAGTCGCATCTACGTCTAATTCGCCGACCCGTGAAGTACGTCAGGTCGTCTGCTTTGTACCCATGAAGTACGCAGTCGAATACGTGAAGTACGTCTACTGTCTACTGTCAACACGTGAAGTCGTGAAGCCATATATACGCTCTGTACCCGTGAAGTACGAAGTCGCTAATCGCCTACTCTGTCGATTACGTGAAGTGCGTCTACTCTGCCGACCCGTGAAGTACTTCGGTACAACTGCCCACTCTATCGAAGCACGAGAAGTACGTCTACGACCCGTGACTCGCAATGGGTTCGAAGAGACCGAGCTCCGGACCAGGTGTCTGTCCACCACAGCAGAATGCCAAGCGCAGGCGCATGGCTTCACCAACACCAGGCCCATGTGCAATCAATACCAGCAAAGTGGAGATGGTAATCAGAGGAAAACTGAAGGATGACTCTGTTGACACTGCGGATTTAACTTCTCAAATGATGTGCTTTCTCTTTGACAAGGCATTGAAGGATCAGACTAAGGCTGGGATGGATGCCTATGACAAAATTTTGACCTGTCCGATCCATGTCACTGATGATGAGTTGAAGTTGGTGTTTTCCTTGTTGGAATCCAACCAGACTTCTCTTACACCTCATGAAAACTGCCAGATCTTCTACCTCCGGTCTTTCAATGTGGAGGTAAAGGGTTTGAAGAAGGTCATGGAGGATTGGTGTGCAAAAGGCCTTCATGTTGCAGAAATAAAGCTTTGGTCTGAGTATATTCAGGACCATAAGATGATGGATGAGGAGAGGATGTATATTCGGTGTATTGAAACTTGCGGAGAAGGGAAGAGGGCTTGGGACCACCATATGGAGGATGTGAAGAGGCGGAGGACTGGTAATTTTGCTGCATTCTTGAATTGTGTGGAGTTGAAGTATGGTTCTGAGGCTGAGAGTAATGTGGGCGCACCTAACACCTTGCTTGAAGGTTCTTCTGGTGCAATTGCGGAACTCTTTCAACAGCTTGACCTGGAGGATGATATGGAAGAGGCAAGTGTGAGGATTTGGGTTCAGACAACAATTTATGAGTTTTCTTCAGTCCGGTCACGCTTCAACAAAAACCAGCACCACCAGGTCCATGTCTATCACAGAGAGCAAGTCTTGATTGCCCTGTTCAATAAATCTCTGCTGCTCAATTGCCAAGCTGGTGGCGCCTATGCCAGTCATCTCTCGCATGATGAGGATCAAAATCAGTTTCTTCAACTTAAGACTACCTTCTTTGCTCAACTTTCTCAACTGGAGCACAAGACAGAAGTACCTGGTGAGATTTGGAAGCTTTTTGAGGAGATGTCTGAGTTTGCGGAAAGGAATGGTCATCCTGCGGGCTGGTCTTCAGAGTTGCTAGAGGTCTTGGTTGATGAAAGTACTCCCGTTTCGACACACACCAAACATCTTATCCTTCATTGGTAAGGATATCCCAAAAAGTGATCTGGAACATGCGCGCTGTTTCTGGACTGGGGGTTGCTGGGCAGATCGGCTGGTTAAAAGGGCCATGTTGCAATTGCAGACCTGGGAGGGGGAAGTGCTTGCGCAAACAAACCCTCCATTCCAGCAGCACCCATTCTATGACCTCTACCCATGGTTGTGGCATAGATGGTTGATGGCATGCATCATATTTCTTGTGCGGTACCTACTTATCACCCGACCCCTCATACTGGTAACCTACTCAAGGTTGGTATCGTCGATCGCTCTGGGAAACTTTCTACACACCTATGCTATTGGTGAATCGAAGTTCCATGAGCATATTGGCGTTCCGCATCTCGTGTTCTATGATGTTGATTGGGTGGAGAGTGAGAAGGAGAGTGCACATCCCTCTAATGAGCTGGTCACAATTGTTGTTTCATGCTATCATCCTGGCAGGGACAGGTATGACTCTGGTCCTGTTGAGTTCAAACGACTCACTGAGATGGTTCATATGGTGGCTATTAAGCTTGGGGATATTGGCATCAAGCTCTTGTCAAAACAAAGTCCAACACCATCACGAAAAGCATTCTGTGAGAAAGTACTTCAGCTCTACCGCAAAGATCCTCAAGCAAGGGTTTTAGCACAAGAAATTTGATCTTCACAGATGCAACCCGGCGGGTGTGGAGGGAGAACCGGAACTTCACCACTGGTAAGCTAAGTGAAGAAGAACGGAGAGAAAATTGCAGAAGCAGCAGTGCTGAGGGTGTCTCAATCTGAGCTGGCGGAGGGTGAGCCCAGCAGTGAAACTCGTACCAAGCAAACATTACGACTCTGGCAATTGAATCTGCCAGACCTTCACAAGCACATTCCTCGTGAGTCTCTTGATTAATGGTTCTCATGGGATACCCGGGGAGAAGGTGTGACCTATGCCATGCCATCCATTGGGTCATGCGCAGTTGCGAGGGTGAATGGTTCCGCTGCTCTTTACCGCCTACTTCGGCAGTTCACCCCAGCAGGGTCTTCGAATTCGAACGATAGTTGGATGGAAGACCAGGAGAAGCGGGAATTGGCCTGCAAAGAGGCTGGCAGACGGATGCGGCCTCAGCTTCCTGTGGATTATTTGGTGGTAAGGGAGAGGGCCGGTAGTGCAGTAAGTAGTTTACCTGATTTCCTGAAATCAGTATGAGTTTTGAAAGCTTTGAGCAACAACACTAACTTGGGGGGCTGGCGCAATGGTAGCGCGTACGACTCCAGATCGTAAGGTTATCTGTTCAAGTCAGGTGTCCCTCATATGCATTTATGCCTTTTGGAAAATGCGTGAGAATATGAATGACGGACTCTTTAACCAGAGAATGACTAAAACGAGTGACAAGGAAATAGATTTCAGCTCCTCGTTCCGGGATCTTACGCAGCCAGTTGGGGATAGTGATTGGCCGAACATCTGCACGGCAATCCTCTGCAGCGCGAGAGCCAATATTATAAGCCAATTTCACCCATGACGAAGAACTAATCCAAAGAATGGTCGGACGGAGTAGAAGGTGTGCTTGTGCCACTCGATCCCACTTCCTCCTCTATACGAGGCTCCGGCTCCGGCGGCTGGGACCTCGTCGCCGCTGCAGCAGCTGCCTTCTCCTTCAACATCACTAACGCTGCACCAACATACGGCAATGCCATCAAACCCCACGTCAACACCTGACTATGCTTCTTCGCCCACTCCTCTGCCATTCCAATGAGACTTGGCTCCGCAAACACCACGCTCATCAACTCCTTCCCACTCGGCGCGCGTCCAAACACTTCGGCTTCGCGAAGGACGTCGGGATGGAAGGATTTAGTGTTCATATCATAGATGGCCATATCATCATGTGCATTGTGAGAGACGCGGAAGATGCGGGTTTGTGTGGTAACGCCAAGGCTTTGGTTGAATTCGGTATCGTGTAGGACACCGCGAGCGGGATCGTAGCGGACCGAGCCTGAGTCGTAGCGAGTTCGCCAGGTCAGTCCAGCGCCCGTTGAAGAGTCCATCGTTTCAATGGTATAAATATCCGGGGTGAAGAGATGATTCGTGCTGTGATGTATGACCGAAATCCTTGGCTACCGGTGCAGCGTCGTGCTCAAGTGGTGTCGGAAGCGGGCCGCGCGGTTGCACTGCTCCTCCAACCTCCAAAATTTGTCAACGGCGAGGACGAGGTCTATGTTTGGCTATCGTACTAATAGCTTCCTACGCGTAACCTACGCATCAAGATATCACAGTCCTACCTAAGGTCATACCGATTGCAACATCACATTCCACCGGATTTGTCTCAACTGCATACATACCGTGGGAGACAACAGCTGAGCGCATGCAGCTGGCCTCGTCCAGTGAAACGTTTTCCAGCAAGAATCACGTTTGTTAGTCTCGTTGCCTCAGAATGATCTTCCAACACTGGAATGGCGGCGTTCCAGTATGGGGCAGAACACATCTCCAAAGTGGCTGAACTGCCGCGCCGGTATGGGTGTCGTTAGAAACCAACACTTACTCAAACAAAGACCGAAGCATCAAGAGGAGCCCAAAGTAACATAATCTGTATTGATCTGTTCCGTAAGTCCTCCTCACTGACGCACAATCTCCGCCGTACCGCTTCTCAACCGCAACGTCTTCTTGCTTAGATGATGCCTCAAGTCATCTGCATCTCCTGTGGTGGAGCAAGCCTTCATCTCTCTCTTCAAATCGTCTCCACAAGCAGCCATGCTTATCAAAACATCCTCGCCACGCAATACACCATTCGTTTCCCAGCATATCACAAGGGCAGCAGCCATAGTCACTAAACAGACTAACAGAAGCCCGCAAGAAAGCCCTAGCGTCAGCGCAATATCAACACAAAACATCTTAAGCTTGTCTCATAGTTAGTGACACTCACGCCTTTTGTTCCGTAATACCCATAGCCCAGCATAGTCTTTCCAGCTCCCTCAATGAACGTGATGAACAATCGAGTGACATTCAGTGGATGCGCTGCAGACGTGTTCATCACCACCATGGTTGGCATGAGTAGCCAACCGTCGTAAATATGAGAGAAGAGTTGCGCGGTGCTATCGACTTGCTCAGAAATCGACATCGATGTTACATAATTAAGCCCTTCATTTTTGCCTCGAAGAACGCTTGGCCTATTCGTGACGAGCCGCGGCTCCTGGATTGAGTTACTGCAATCAAACTGCGACCCTTTTAGTATGCAAACTTGAGTTGCAAGATTTGCTGTCAAGTGACAGACGAGCCCCAAACGCCAAGCATTCAGGGTCTGGTTAAACTGTCCACCGGCCGTCGCCACATCCGGTAAGGAACCATTCATTTCTGGTTCAGTCGCCGCCCTTTCGTATATAATGCCGTACATAGTGGTAGACGACTCCGAAGTGCTGCTTGGTTTGCAGCGCCTGAAGATGGTATGTATTACCGTTTCCCCAAGACACATTAAGGAGGATCGAGTCGCTCTGGCGACAGACGACAGAACCCTGCAGGGTGGGAATGTCGTTATAAGTCTCGTTCTGGGTTAAGTTGAATATACCTAAGCTAGGGGCTGCCGGGACTGTGATATTGACATGGAAATCTGTATCGTTGGCGTGGTCAAGAAAGCGAGTGGTGCTGTACGTGCCAACATCTCCTGTCATGACGTTGGTTAAGACGTTTGCGTAAACTTTAGATAGGTAAAGCTACGGTGGTTTGGTCCTTGTTTAAGTGGGGTGTCAGACTAGGTGCTTCTTAGTATGTATATGGATTGTCACTCACGAATAGTCCGCGCCAAAATCAAAATTTGTCCTCCGTTCGGGAGGCCATGTCCCCACGGGAAGTAACGTATCGTCTTCTGAAGCGTTGCGGACAATATCTCCTACCGTTATCATTCGCCGCTGCAAGTTAGGAGCGTAGCCATCAGAATCCACTGCGACGCGGTGGGGTCTATATTCTCCGTACACAACGTTGTTCCCAAGCGCATGCAGCACTATGAGTACAGTTTGAACGATAATGACGGTTGTTGCCAGAAACACAGCACTGCCTGAAGGGCTTTGCAACACCCCTCTTAGGTAGCCCCAAGATGAAAGTTTTGATAGATACGAGAACGAGGCAGCGTCAATACCTTTCCCAGCAGAGACCCACTTGGTTTCGGTTTGTATCTTGACGGCGGTGTAAAGCAGAAAGATCCCTAGTATGGACGACGCTACCGAAACAATGAAAGCGATTTCACCTTGGCTGACAGACGTGGTCGTAGTAAAGGTGCGGTTGTTCGGGTCGGACATGTATACGATTGAAGACCAGATAAGCCCAACAGAAGCAAATACCATAACGAGCAGGAGTGGCCACGTCAGTTCGAAAAAACAGCTTTTTAGAGTAGCCTCTTTTCCGATTGCCTAACAACACCTGTCAGCGTACTGAACCTGATCTCATGCCTCGCATTGCGTACACTCATCGTGCCAGGTGCAAGCCGAAATTGATCGTCATCGTACGGTAACTGGTATTCAAAGTGACCAGACTGTTGCACAGAAGCACGACGGTTCGCTTGTTGGTAGCTCGAGGGATGAAGTTTGTAACGAGGAGAAAGAAGCTGCTCCGGTGACGCGGACGGACTGGGGTGAAGAAGCGTATCCGTATCGTCGAACGTAAGATCCGCATACGCGGATGAAAGGGGCTATTCGAAATTCAGCATTGTTAAGCAGAGATCAAACGTAAGGAACTTACCCTCAGTCGGTAAGCCATTCCCAAACTAAGCGGAACTCGAATGTGATGGTCGCGAGGTTCCTGTAGCTTACAAAGAACAAGCTACAGCCACGAACTTACCAAGCTCCTTATACCGTTCAGGATTTTGATGAGCCTGTGGAACTCGGCCGAGACGCACACGTGCATCATCTGACAACTTGGGGGTCTGGTATCACATCGCCATCCCCCGTAATTGCGATAACAGATTTCCGAGCACGAAGGTTCACCCATACACAAATCTTCGGAGGCGCCTAGGAGGCGGTATCTGACCGCCAACTCGATCAACGCAAGGACGGGGTAAGGCCCGCAACCCCGGCGGTAGCCCGGATCGACATGTAGCACAGCTGAGCCGTCCAGTTCCAGTCAGATATTTTCCCTCGTTTAGGCTCTTGCCGGTCTGTCCCTTGAAATTGATGCAAATTTATGTACCGAAGTAGGACTCCCAGGTGCATTCAATTCACTACCGACCCTTCTGACTGAAAGTGGGCCTGAACCGAGCAATGCCCTATCTATGATAGAGTTGCAACACACATTTGATTGCAGAGAGTTGATATCCATACGGGTTGCGTGGCATCTTAGATACGCATTCTTTGTCGCACTTGAGCCTGCAGTTGAACCGAGTTGTGGGAGCTCATGAGAACGCCTCATCCAAGCGCGGTGCACTCTGATGGATGATATGGAAGGATCTATAGCAACAGGGTTTGTATGGTATCCCTGGTTCGAGTGGTCATCCGTCGCCCAATGGCCGCCTATCCAAAGTTAGCGTTAGAGCCGTCAGTAAAGTCCATCAACTCACCTCCCTCTTGCACCTCACTTCACCAATTACCCGACAAACCTGTTATCTGCATAGCCTCGGAGGGCGAATGCGCTGTTTGTATTGTGGAAGATATTGACTGAGCTGTGGAGATCGTGATTGGGAATTCACCCTTGGCGCATTTTTCATGGGTAATTTGCAGTTTCAATTGCAAGGGGTGTGTATGGTATCCTAGGCGAACGTCTTTGTCGCGTCTCTCTCACTCGACAGTCATCTGTTCAAAGTCAGTAACAATAACTCCACTGAAGTTCATCAACTCACCTCTTCCATCACATTTATTTCCCCCACTCCCCAACAAACTCCTTGCACCTCCTCACAACCTCCCTCTTCATCCTCTCATACCCCTCATTCCTCTCCGACAAAAACATCGAACAATGCGCATCAACCTCATCTTTCGCCCCCTCATTCCTCGCCGGTAAATACCTCTCCATAATTGCTCCTCCATCCGGCATCAAACAGAACGTTTTGTTGTTTTGGAGTTCGGTGTACCATTGTGCCCAACCGATGTTGTGGGAGTAGGAGAGATGGATGAGGTCGTGGACGCGTGATTGGAGGGACTTGGACTCGAATAGGACGGAGACGAATGCAAGGTGGGATTGGACCCACCCAAGGGCATCTAGCCCCGTTTTCTGCAACACATCTTTATTCTGATACGCCGCTGTCCCGGCAGCGACCGCACCCGCCGCAGCCAATGCTCCTCCCGCAAGCAACCCCCACCTTCCCCAGCCTCCACCTTTGTTGGCGGAAGAAGCAGTGGCTTTAACAGCGGCTTGTTTGAATGACGGGGTTTCTTTTGATCCGAAGAGGCCGGAGGCGACTTGGTAGATTTTTTGTGCGTTATCGTAGACAGCCTGACCTTGTCCCGCAAACACCGTCGGATGAACCCCGACATACGGCGTATCGAACGCCAACAATCCCTTGACGTGTGGCCACTTGACACCCTCCTCGAGGTCTTTGAGACCGTGCAGTATTGCGTCTGCGCCCAGGATCCCACCCATCGAGTGTCCAAAAATCAAGACAGCGACATTTGGGTCACCGGTGGGATTGGAGCGGTGGTATCCGGATTCGATGTCGATGACTTGTTCTTCGAGCCAGGAGGTGAATTTTGTTACGGCTGTTGGGAGGTCGCCGCGAGTTTCGTATTTGGGGTAGACGGCGATTTCGGTCTCGAGGTGGGGAATTGAGTCGGTTAAGTCTTTTTGGAGGGTCTGTCGGTGTATGCGTCAGTACAGAATCGTGCAAAGTTGAGGCATTCACTGACCTCTGGGAATGTTCCGAATGTATCGTCACCGCCCTTGAAACCGTGAATGAAGACAAGCAGAAGGGTCTTCTTGCCAGGCATGTCGCTTGTAGTTGATGTCGCAGCTGGATGTGGTGATGCTTGGAGGTGGGAAATGGATTACCGCGTTGGGATGTCGCGGCGTGTAACGTTGACTCCGCCAGTGCGCGTCCTGCATGTATGTAGCACCACCCGCATTCTCCGCTGACCTCGCCGCCAAATTCAGCATTTATCCCCCGGAACATCACCATGGTGCTCCTCCTGCGCTCTGCCTTCTACGCTTGCTGACTGTCTCCAGTCCTCTCGCGGCCGCTCCTCAGCTTCCCGAACCGTCCCTTCGAGCACACGCCGCACCCCCCCCTCCGTCTCCCTCGCATCCCTCGACGCAATCTTCTCCTCGTTCGCCTCCCCAACCGACCCCTCCGAAACCGACATCGACGGCACAATCCGCTACTGCCAAGCCCTCAGCCTCGACCCCGAAGACCCCGTAACCCTCGTCCTCTCCTATCAGTTGAATGCACCCTCAATGGGAATCTTCTCAAGGAGTCGGTTTGTGGATGGGTGGAGTCAGTTACGGGTGGATACGATTGAGGGGATGAGGAGTGTTGTCGAGGGGTTGAGGGCGACGTGGGAGAGTGGGGATGAGCAGTTGTTTAAGAGGGTGTATATGTTCACATACAACTACGCCCGAACACCAGGCCAGAAATCCATTTGTATGGTTACCCTCCCCTTCTCTTCTAACTCACAGCTAACGATTATGCATAGCCCTCGAAGTCGCGATAGCATACTGGACCCTCCTCCTCTCACCCCCGCGCTTCCACCATTTGGATTTTTGGATCCAATTCCTCCAAGAAACGCGACCAGAAAAGACGGTACCGAAGGATACGTGGAATTTGTTGTATGATTTTGCCAAGAATGTTGATGCGGATTTTGGGAATTATGATGAGGATGGGGCGTGGCCGGTTACGTTGGATGAATTTGTGGAGTGGATGAGGGGGAGGGGAAATAAGATGGCGGAGTGAACTGTCTAAGGCGTTGAGATCATTGGATTGGGATACTGTGGGAGGGCTATATGCTGGCAGTGGGATGAATGCCACACAACATGAATGCCTATGAGGAGGCAAGAGAAGGAACCACCTACCAGACACGCGTAATACCAAACGAACGCGTCAACGATGTGTTGAAAATAGCTAGAGAAAAGACTTCACGACCTTCCCGTTACCATTTGAATTCTTTCATCACACGTCTCCCGGGCGTCGCTTACCTCATCGGTTGGCCTGCGTTGGGGCGATTCCGCGCCTCGGGCCGACACAGGACCCGGCACGGCAGAAAAGATTGACTGCAAGTCAACAACAATCGACAAGGGACGGCATATAGACCAAGGCCCCCGTAGAGTCTGTTATAGAGGGAGCATACATTCGGTCAATCGAGATGTCAGGTCACCAACGCCGCGCCTCCAATGCTTCAAGCTGGCGTAACTCCCTGTCCCTCCATCGGAGTACGTCCAACACCCCCTCCACCTCCGCCAAATCTCCTCCATCGCTTTCTGCCGCCAACAACGGCGGCGGTCATCGTACAACACCCTTCGAGAATGCGCATCCCTCTATCACACCAATGCGTGAACCCGCTCCCGTCTCGGACCAGGAAAATAAAGTGCAGGCTCTTATCAAGCACTTTTCGCAATTGCGGGATTTGCCAGTCAGTTCGGATAGAAGAGCAGGGATGCAGGCGTTAAGTGATGAGGAGAAGTGTTGGTTGAGTCGGGAGTGTATGCTGCGCTACCTCCGCGCCACAAAAGGTGACCTCGCGGAAGCTCAAAAGAGGTTGGAAGGATCGATTGTGTGGAGGAGAGGGTGGGGGCTGGGGCAGGATATGACAGGACATGTCGAGCCTGAGGCGACGACTGGGAAGCAGGTGTTGCTGGGATTCGATAGTTCGGGTCGACCGTGTCTGTATCTCTACCCGTCACGACAGAACACGAAGCCATCACAGCGACAGATTGAGTATCTGGTGTGGGGCTTGGAGAGGGCGATTGACATGATGCCCCGCGGAGTCGAAAACCTGGCGTTATTGATCAACTTCAAGGGCTCAGGCTCCTCCACCACCCCCTCCCTCAGCCAAGGAAAACAGGTAATGTCAATCCTCCAAACCCACTACCCCGAACGCCTCGGCCGCGCCCTCATCATCAACGTCCCCTTCTTCGTCAACGGCTTCTTCAAACTCATCACACCCTTCATCGACCCCAACACGCGTGAAAAAATGGTTTTCAACGCGGATTTGAGAAATCATGTTCCACCGAGTCAGCTTGATCGGAATTTTGGGGGGGATTGTGAGTTTGAGTATGTGCATGGGGATTATTGGCCGGAATTGTCTAGGTTGGCGAGGGAGAGGAGGGAGAGGAATATGAGGAATTGGAGGGTGGCTGGGGGTGGGGTTGGAATTTCTGAGGATGTGATAAAGAGTGAGGTTGCGCCGGAACAAGAGAAGCCTGCTACAGCTCAGCAGGCTGTGACAGAGCCCAGTCGCTCTCCCGCTCCGGCATTTTCGCCGGCACCGACTGCGGCGACCGCACCTGCCCCTATCATTAACCATACTACCCCTACACCCCCCACCACCTCTGCACTACCCATCGAATCCGTCCCTGTGGCAATCGATGGCACGGCCGATACACAGTACCGTGCACCCCTCCAAGCTCAAGTCGAGCAAGCATGGTCCCAGGAGGCTGCTACGAACGTTGCTCCACAGCAGGACTTGGCTGCGGGAAGTATGGGACCTCCACTGGATATTCCCAAGAGGAAAGCAGTACCGGAGGAGAGGAATGATGGGATGGTTGTTGGGAGTGTTGCCAGTGCGATTAGTGATGCGGATAGCTTTATGACCGCCAGGGAGTTTTGATAGAATGGAGTGAAAGAGAGGGAATAGGAAGAATGGGCGTAACGCCTTTTGATGCTATTGCTATTGCTAATGGATATAGGCAAGATGAAGGACTTTGAAATGGTTATTTTAGGGTAATAAACTAGCTTTTCTGGCACTTCTTCTTGGTTTAACTTCCGATCATGTTCCGGCCGTGAGAAAGGGGCATTCAAGGACATCCCTAGTGCGATCAACCGCAGCGGCATTCTCTGACTTGGAAAGGTGACCGGATCATGCAGAAGAAACACTGGTATTCGATTGCTATGAATAATTAGACAAACATTCTATAGACGAAAAATGATAGCGCTAAAGCTAAACATAAGTAAACAACAGTACCAGGTATCAATCTTCACGATTCATGATCATATCATACACCAACACTCCACCCCCATCACCAAGCAATCCTCGCCAAGAAGGACTGCGGGAACCTCCTGACGATGAGTTTACGGATCTCATCGAGGATCAACAACCCTGTACCAAAGCCAAGCGGAATGAACCAGTACTCAACCTGAACGGGCCTGGTACCGAACGCGTGGTGGAAAGCAGGCACGTAAAGGAAGAAGAACAAGATGCAGAGGTTAATAGCCATGGCACCGAAGAGGTAGTAGTTTGACGTAGCCGGGTTGAGGATAGGAGACTGTTGGAAAATGGACAAACGACGGGTACGGGTGGCCAACAAGTTGAACCACTGCATCAAAACCAAGGTAACGAAGTAGGTCGACTGGGCCTCGTACGTGATATCTTGGTAGAACTGAGCATCGATCTCCACGCCGTTCACCTTGGGTGTACCGAAGGACAACCAGAGCGCACTAAAGGGGATACCGTTCTTGCGGTAGACACGAAAAGCCATGGACATGGCACAAACCAACATGGACAACCCCAAGAAACCATACGCCTGACCAAGCAACTTGGAGTTGGCCAAGCGGTCTTTCTTCAGGTTACGGGGCTTGCGGGTCAACAGATCAGCTTCGGGCTTTTCCATCATCAAACTCATGGACGCGATACAGTCCGTCAAGATGGAGATGATAATCATCTGAATCGAGGAGATAGCCTGGGGCATACCGAAGAAGATAGTGACAAGAACGGCCCAGAGCTCAGAGAACGAACCAGCAGGAAGCAAGTAAATGATGACCTTCTTCAGGTTGTCAAACACAAGACGACCATACTCGATAGCCACAACCATCGACGCGAAAGAATCGAGCAAGACCATGTCGGCAGCTTCCATAGCAACATCAGATCCACCACCCATGGCGATACCGATATCAGCAGCCTTGAGAGAAGGAGCGTCGTTGACACCATCACCAGTCATACCGACAACGTTATCACGAGCCTGGAACTCCTTGACAATCTTCAGCTTTTGCTCAGGGGTGGTACGGGCAAAGACGATCTCATCATACTGACAGAGCTGCTCCCACTGGGCCTCGTTCATGGTTTCCAGATCCTTACCACTGAGGACGATAGACTTCATCCTCTTCTCCTCTTCAGGCATATCGGGGTCATACTTGACAACGGACTCGAAGCTAGCACCAGCATCAAGAGCGGAAAGATCATCGGGGTTATCGACGGTGATGATACCACACTGCCTTGCGATGGCAGCAGCAGTCAATGCAAAGTCACCAGTAACCATGAAGAATCGAATACCAGCTCTCCTCATGATGGCAACGACATCAGGAATCTCCGTACGGGGAGGATCAACGATACCAACCAAGCCGACAATAACCAACTCCGTGTTTGCCTCCATAATGATATCAGCAAACTCGGTGTCCTCAGGTTGAACATTCTGCGGAACAATCTTCGACTTCAAGACCTTCCTGGCAAGAAGAAGAACACGCTGACCACGGGAAGCCCAAGTCTGCTGCAACTGCGCAATCCTCTCCTTTGCAGCCTCATCGAGCTCCAAGACCTCTGCGGTATCCGGGTGAACATACGAAGCGCAACGAGGCATCAAAACATCCGGAGCACCCTTGACGAACAGAATCATATCACCACCCTCGATATCGAAATCCTTGGTTTCGCCGGCAGACATCGCACGCGCCACATCACGCGTGGGATCTTCACCACCCTGCGGACGGAATACACGGAGCATGAACTTGTTGCGAGAGTTGAACGGGATCTCGAAGAGTTTGTGGAAGGACTTGTAAAGATCGGCAACGTAAGAACCAGGTCCACCAAGCTGTTCGGCAAAACGGAGGATGGCGGTGTCGGTGGCATCACCATTGATCTTTCTCTCGAGCAATGGAAGGGTCATAGTTGCTGCATCGAACTGAGCGGCGTCGTTAAGAGCAGCAACGTGTTGGAGCTGCACGATGGCCTTGCCAAGAGGCTGGTCCTCGACAACAACCTCCCTCGCACGATCACTGTGAACCTCATGATCCAAGATAGCCGTGTTCTGAACAAACATCCGATTCTGCGTCAACGTACCAGTCTTATCAGAGCAAAGCACATTGACGGCACCCAACGTCTCGACAGTCGTCAAACTCTTACACAGAACCATGTTCCTCTTCATCGCATTCGCAATGATGGTCAAGGACAACGTGACAGAAACCGGCAATCCCTCGGGAATGAAAGCGACAGCGACAGTGATGATATCGATGAGGATAGCAGAAGTGTTGAGGTAATTGGGGTAATCCCTCTTCAACCACGCACCCCAAAGAATCGCAACAAGAGCTGCTGTGAACACGGCCAACGAAGCGATGATGATAACGAACCGCAGAATTTCCTTCTGGAGCGTAGTCATGGCACCGCCACCAGACGAAGACAACTTGGCAATACGTCCAAAGACGGTCATATCACCAGTCTGAATGACGACACCGAGACCAGAACCAGAAACACAGTGCGTACCCTGCATCCCAACGTTCTTCGTCTCCATAAAGTTCGGATCAGTACACTCAACAGTCCCCGCAATCGCATCCGATTCACCCGTTAGCACAGACCGATCGAACTTCAAATCAGACGAAACCTCGAGCATCCTAATATCAGCCGGAATCTTGTTTCCAAGGTTGACATAAATCAAATCACCGACGACCAACTCCGCCGCAGCGATACGAGTCTGCTGACCATCACGCAAGACAAGAGCTTCAGCCGGCAAGAGGTTTCCGATGGACGACATAACACGCGTCGTACTCCAATCCTGATAAGCGTTAAACCCAGCCTGGATACAAATAACAACCAACAAAATCACACCCAACGCCAAATTGGGCACCTCAGGCGGATCACCCAACGGCCTCCACGAGATAATGGAGACGATGGCAGCGATGAACAACAAGGACCCAAAGCCTCCGAAGAAATACTCGAGCCATTTCTTGACGAGGTTGGGGCGGTGAGGGGTGATTTCGTTACGGCCGCCTTCCTTGAGACGGGTAGCAGCGGAGGAGGCGGAGAGACCGGTGGGGCGGGAAGCGAGGCCGACGCGGGCGAGGAGTTCGGGTTCGGGGATTGTGTGCCAGTCGAGGGAGGCGACGTCGCCGGCGGCTTTGGTGGGGGGTTTTACCTCGGGGCGGGCGACAGAGTTGGAGACTTGGATGGAGAGGGTGCGGTAGACTATGTAATGTTAGCAGAGGTGGCATGGAGGAAAGAGCACAAGGAACATACTGGGAGGAATTCTAAGTTCCGCCGGAACCTCCTCACGTCCGAAACTTCCACGACGAGAGATCCTCGCACTTATTCCACTCGCCGTAGACATCCCACTCATAGACGTCCTGGTCCTACTCAACGGAATCCCAGGCTCGGCGAACTTGATCATACGGATGTAATCATCTTCATCGCGGCCACCACCACGGGCGGAAGAACCAACAGGCTCGACCTCGGTGGTGAGGGTGCGGGAGAATGCGACACCGGGGATGGGGACACCGCTGATGGGAGGGGGAAGAGTGAATTGACGACGAACGGGGCCGGCATCGCGGTCAGGAGAGCCAGCACGGATTTCTGCGCCATGAATGCGGATGCGGCGGGCTTCCTTCTTAGGAGTTTCGATGTCAATGGAGGAGTCCGACATTGTTGACGCGTGCGATATTCGACGACAACGAGACGAGCTCTTTTTAAGACGATCGACTCGAATAAATGCTGAGACAACAGACGGCTGAAACGGACCGAGAGAAGGTGAGGACGGGAAACGGACCGCGATGAGATGAGATGAGCTCGATGGGGCGAAGGGTATAGGACCCTGTAACAGAGAAGCGACGATTGTCTACCCGAAGGTATTGACGAATCAAGCGGGATGTATGCGCAGGCTGGGAGTGGACGGTACGGCGATGGACGAACGAGGAGCAGAAAGCATTGTTGGATGATTTATATCCTACTCAACCCAACCGCAACCCCTACCCCTATCGATCAAACCGGGATCGCCTCTGCCCAATGGCAACCCTGGGCGCAAAGACGGCGGCCAGCCCTTGCCCTCTTTTTTTCTCGCTTCCCATGGTTAAGTGGAGTGTTGACGTTTCAGGCAGCGGCGTCCAATCCCATGGCCAAGTTGCCAAGCTCGGTGCCTGTCTCATCCAGCAGACAGTTAGAGCGGCAGAGGTAACGTTCTGGCTAGGGCTATGAGCTTTGGGTTTGGGTTTGGGTTCAAGCAGGCACGCGTCCCTTAGCTCCGGCAAAACCACGAAGGGGGCAAATTAAGCCGACAAGAGGGCGATCTCCCTAGTGACATCACGGCGTTTACCATTGACCTATTGCTGGGCGAGGTCTCGAACGCGTGGGAAGCGCAAAAAGTGAGGGACACCTGACTTGAACAGATAACCTTACGATCTGGAGTCGTACGCGCTACCATTGCGCCAGCCCCCCAAGTTGGTGTTTGATGTTTTTCATTTGTGGTTTATGTACTCAAACATGACATCCGACGTTGTTCGAGCTCTCTACACTTTGATGCTGATCTATATCGAGGACGACATTATCAACACTGCCTCGGTCATGTTACATTGTGGTGCAGTCATATACTTGCTGAGCCACGCCGTCGTGCACTGCCCGTTTTCATTCTACAAAATCAATGAATAATTCACAAAGGATATCCTGATCGACTAGGTACCCAGAATTGTAATTGACGCGGAAAAACAGTGGCATCTGGGCCCTGGGCGCTGACGTCCTGGCAGGTTTTTGCGCAGTGGGCGTGGGAAACCCTTATTGGAGGATACGTATATCGAACCACGACTATATCCGTTATGCCGTGCTACGCCTCAATCTTCTGACCCTCCTTCACTGCCAACATAGCCGCCTCATCCAAATCATCCTCAATCAACAGCCTCCCCGCAACCCCCTCTGCATCCTCAATAATCTTCCTCGCCTCATCAACCTTCGTACCCTGTAACCTAACAACAATCGGCGTATCCAACTTCAACACCTTCTGCGCACTCACAACCGCCTCAGCAATCGTATCACACCTCATAATCCCACCAAATATATTAACAAAGATACATTTGACTTGTGGGTCGGAGGAGATGATTCGGAATGCTTCGGTTACTTGTTGGACCGTTGCTGAGCCGCCTACGTCGAGGAAGTTTGCGGGTTTGCCGCCGTGGAGTTGGATGATGTCCATCGTTGCCATGGCCAACCCAGCGCCGTTCACGAGACACCCGATATTCCCATCCATCCCAATATAATTCAGCCCAACCTTCTTTGCTTTCGTTTCTCGTGGGTCTTCCTCTGCGTCTTCCTCTCCCATCGCGAATATCCGTTTTTGTCGAAACGCGGCGGAGTCATCAAACACGATCTTCGCATCGAACGCAACGATCCTTCCGTCGGGCGTCTCTCCGAACGGGTTAATCTCCAACTGTGTCGCATCAATCGAATGAAACAGCGTCCATAGACTCGCGATCTCGGAAGCAGCGTCATCCAACAAATCTTCTTTGAACCCAAGATTCCTGGCTAACCGCTCACACTGATCCGGACTTGGTCCATTCTGGATATCATTCACCACCTCTCTAAACATCTGCTCTGGATGTTCCTCCGCAACACCCTCAATATCCATCCCACCTATCGGGCTCCCGATAATCACTGGTCGCTGCGTCGTTGGATCGAGAATAATACAAATGTACGTTTCCCGTGCGATATCCAGCGCTTCGGCAATCATGACTTTCTGTACGGACACTCCAGATGGGGGAGTCTGCTTCGTGACGAGTTCGTAGCCGATCATCTGTGATATGAGGCCGGGGAGGGAGGAGTAGTCTTTTGTCAGGTGTACGCCGGATTCGAGCCCACTTTTCGGAAAATGGCCTTTTCCTCTGCCACCAGCATGAATCTGTGCCTTGACGACAAGTTCTTTCGCATCTATGCCAGTCTGTCAGCCATGCCTTCTAGGTTCGAGGATCGAGAGGCATACCCAAGGACCGCGCATGCTCATCCGCTCCCTCAGCTTTATCCACCACAATGAACTTTTGCACATTGATACCATGCTCCTCCATCAACCCTTTACTCTGATACTCATGCAAATTCAACCATCTTCTCTGCATTCCCACCAACTTGGCCGGCTACTCCATCGTCAGTCCCCTGCCCTCGACTTCGAAGCGGTCCAAACGCAAAAGGACATACCTGCCATTGACGAACATACTGCGGTCTCACGAGGCGCTTAACACTGTGCCGAATACTTCCTGACATACTGTCGATAACGGACCAAATGGTGTGTCCATGCTCTCTCGTCCATATTGTCGTTATATGCTTCCCTGGGCAGATGATCTTCCTTTCCTTGTGACCGCGGGCCGAGCGGAGAATCTGGGGCATAGGGTTTGGGGTGCATGAGCCAGAACGTCATATGTATGATATGATAACCAATCCAATTTCCAATTCTTTGCTAATCCATAGTATAATATCGAGGTGATAGATGAACAAAAGAGTAGACCTAGATATAGAGAAGGACAACATCCTCCAACTTCTTCCCTCGCATCTTGAATGCAAAAAAGACCATCCTCTTCCTCCCCCAGCACCTATTGCAAAGCAAAGAATAAACGCCCCAATCCAAAAGCAAAATAATAAACCAAAAATTAAATACCGCTTTGTCCTTCGTTTTGTTTCCTCGCTCATTGTCCTTCCTCAATCACCCATCTCTGATCAGCAGCAGCAAACGGTCTTCTGTGTGGAGGCGGCCTCGAAGGGCCCTCGCCATTATCCATCGCAGCAGGAGGACTCGAATATCTCGGTACTTCCGGAAGACCCAGCAATCCCTTTCCAGCAACATCCTCGAACTTCGGCGGTCCCTCGTCGGCGACATCCTCATACAATGGCGGACACTCCAAATCCCAACTAACTCCCAGCCCAGGTCGATCAGTGAGAACCAACGGGAACTGCAATCGCAATACCCTCGCGGCGCCTGTTGCTGCACCATGTGGTTGACCTGGTGATGGGCGGTTCTCCTCGACTACGACAGCCTCGAAGATGAACTTGTGAGAGACAGCGATACCAGCTGCAGACTCGACTGCGCAGGCAGGGTGTGCGAGTATATGCGTACCACAGTGGACTTCGGCTTCGACTTTACCCTCGGACGTATCCGTCTTCCAACCAGTCTTCATCTCACCGGCACCGACTGTGCGGGTCTCCTCGTACAGGATACCTTTCCCGGCGCCGCCGAGCTTGGCTTCGTGTTCTTTGCAAGCGGGCGAGATGACCTTCGCATACTCATCGACGCGCCAAGTCATCTTTCGGAGACGCCATCGAGTAGTTGGCGACGAGTTCGTACCCGTGAACGTAACTTCGAGGATAAAGTCGGATCCAGGATGGACGACGTTTGGAAGTGTGATGGATGCTGTGAGTGATGTTGGAGGGAAGACACGGATGTACTGCTTGTCCGGTCCTGGGAGGATTGCTCGCGCGAGGTGAAGTGGTCGGGTAAACTCGAGGGGTTGTTGATGCTTATTCGACGGAGTGCACGATCCGACGAGGCAGTAACTGATGCCTGCCAACGCAGAGGTTGTGGATGCTGGCAGATGACCCGGGATGAGATAGGAAAACGGGTACGAATGCGTGCCGTTTCTCAAGGTAACCGGCGCTTCGAAGAATGTCCAAGTGTGAATGACCGTAGTTCGAGTCGTACAAGCCGCGCAATTAGAAACAACAGGCCTCCGTGTAGTAACCTCGGCGACCAAACTCAGCTTGAGCGTATCCACACTAATACTCGTCCCCAACACGACCAACTTAAACTGACCACTCAGCAACGCACCCGTCGAGTCCTTCGGCAATCCATATGATACGAGCGGCGGACTTTCAATCGTGACATTCAATGCTGCCTCGGGTGGCGCGGCACCTTTCGGCCCCTTCGACGGTGTTCCGGATCGCGAACCCGGTTCCGAGCCAGTATGCTGTGTCTTCTTCGAGGAGGAAGAAGTCGGCCGCGAGCCATGAAGTAGCAACGACGGCATATGTGATGATTCTCGATTTGAGGAAAACAGTTTGGGCGATATATGCTGTGCAACCGGCTGTTGGCGTACAGCTGGTCGAGGAAAGGGTTCAGCGTGGTGGAGATGTTGTGATAAGATGAAAGAAAGGAGGTCGGGTATAGGCGTCGGGAAGCGATGAGGGATGGGATGAGCAGCAGGCGCAGTGACGGCAACGGTATCTCTGGCTGGTCGACGGTCTTGGTCCACGGGTATCTCTGCTGGGCGTTTGCTCGTTGATAAGAGCTGGTGTGCTCCTCGCGTGCTGGCATGCAGGTGTGGCGGGGTGTCTGAGTGAAGCTGACATCAGCAAGCAACTGCTTGGGAGCCAGACCGGTACACTTCGTACTTCTAATAAAGGATATTCCCTAAAGCTAATAAATACGCTGCACAAACAAACCTGTAGCATAAACAACAAGGCAAGGAAAAAGACAACACCATCTGCTTCGCTTCCGTGCTTGCACTCCTTCACCAACCCATATGCCATAACATACACTCCTTCGTTCCTTTCCCATACGATGTTCCTGTAATCATACCGTTCTGCTACTGATCGTTTTTGGGTCTCCACTCCTCACTCGATGTGCTTACTTGACAGTCTGATGCATCATGCAACGCTCTCAGTTCCCTTTCCCTCAACTTAATGCCCACCAACTCCAACATTCTGCGGCATCTTCAAACTCATACTGGGCCTCCCAGAGCTATCCGCCCCACTCCCATCCCCACTCCCAGTCCCACTCGACATCTCCTCGCCCGATCCACTCACACCCTTGACTCCCGTCGACGGCCTCGAAAACAACGCACGCTCCCACTGTCCACGCTCATTCTCACCGAGTTGGAGATGTCTGAATCCAGCGCTGGGGGTAGGGGGTTCAGATCCGCGACGACGACGGCCGAGGTCTTCGGTTGAGTTGCGGGCTGAGGTGACGGGGGAGAGGAACTCCTCCTCGGAACGACCGACGCGTTGGTCGTCATCGGGCGTAGATGTATGCATAGCAACAAAATACCCACCCTCACCACCACGGTCTTCCTCGGGTACGACAGACTCGTACGTCGGAGGAGGGGTCATCATCGGCGGGGGTGCAACATCCGCAAAGAACGACGGAGGCTGCATACTCGGCGCACGAAGAAGATGCATAGGCCTTCCAGAAGACATATGAGACGGAATCGAGTTTGCCGACTCAGGTGCGAATTCACCGGATCCACCACGCATGAGTTCGGCCATCGGATCCACCATCGGGATAACTTCGCCAGTTCCAGCCGAAGATGGGTTGTTCCCATTCAACTGGTTAGTCTGGCACGGACACGGCAATCGTGCAGTAACAGTCTTTGGACCGACTTCATATGCCGGCAATGCCGTATTAGCCATCGTGCATCGACAACTCATCAAGTGAATCGGAGAGTCGATGCTAATCTCGAAATGCCTGCGACGACCGGAGTTGTTCTCGTCCACCTTCGACAAACGCATCACGATCTTCAACCAGTGATGAACGCGGATGTTGGGATATGTCGTATCGAAATGAAGTTTCTCCTTCTTCTCCTTGGGTGTACATCCCGGTATTTGTGCGGAAAACTCCAGTTCCGTGCTGCCGATACTAAGGTTGCCCTCCAATTGTCCGAGCAAACTGTCACTTCCGTCCTGAACCGGATTCGACGAACTCGATGCAGACGCATTATCGGCACTTTTCTCCAAAAGTAGTATCTTTCGTGTCGGCTCCAAGCGATGCACCTTCTTGTTTCGACAATAGTACTCCACATTCTCCGTCAAGAAAATCTTGATCCTATGCACACGAACCTTGGCGAGCGGCGTTAGCTTGAACGCAATAGGAATCTTTTGTCCAATCGGAAACGCTTTGCCGGAAACAACAATATCGTAGTGAAGCTGGTCCTCCCTGTCCAATCACGTTAGCATATTACAGGAACCGTCGACAACTGGACATACCAATTACGCGAGATCGCAATAGGCTCACTCCCCTCCAAACTTCCCTCCCCAGGACTACGAATCAACACAATCTCCGTCTTCCCCTTCAAATCACTCTTAAACGCACCCGCCCTCTCCACGATCGCCTCCAACTCATACTTGACGCTTCCCATATCACACTCGATCGTTTCAGGTAACTTACTGTCGAGTGGAAGTTCGAAGGTGTATGCGTACTCTCCTGGCGGGAAGATGCGGTAACCGCGCATTTGGGTGGTTGTATGCTCGTGTTTGGTGAAGGACCGGGAGTTGGTTTTGCCGAGGGACGGGAGTGTGGAGGTTGTGAGGGGTGAGGATTGGATGGGGCCGCCGAAGGGTTTGAAGGCGTCTGCACCGTGCGTATGCTCGGCCATTGGGAACTGAGCGTTGAAGAATGGCCATGCGTGGGTCATGATCTCTTTCTCTTCGTAAAACTCGGTTTTGCGAGGTGGGATGCCTTCTGGCCACTCCGTTCGGGCACGACCCTTGAATATCAAAGTGATTGCCTTGACTTTACATGCTTTCTGAATCTTGAGGATCAATGATCCACGAAGCATAGCCGGTGCAGTATTAGCAAACTCATTAGGTTCATACCCCGTCAAAAACAAAACTGGCTCAGCAAGTGCAATCGACAAAGTCGTCTGTCCCGTAGACGCAAGTGCTTTCTTCATCGTAGCGGGTTGCTGAAACGCAGGCTGATGATTAACCTGAAGACTGGCTCTCCTTGACGTAGTCGGGTCAGCGGCAGTCGCAGGCGATCTTGGCGGACTTGGCGGTGTATTTACACCGGGTGAATGCCTCGCTATATAGGTGTTTGTTGACGATACAGTCGTCCCAGAACTTATCGAGGAGGCCCTTTGTCGGCCACCGCCGGTGAGCTTCTTCGCGATGGAGGAAATCTTGTGGTGTGACGCAGTATGGGCTGCGTTCGGGAAAGCAAGATGATCCTGCTCGTCTGAGGTAGCAGATGAGGCGTTGGAAGCAAGTGAACCCCTACGAAGACTCCTGATTGAACTGGAGCGTCGTACTTGGTTTGTAGTTTCTGGTGGTTGATTGAAGGTCATCTCCAATCGGATCGCCGGCTATTTCCTGGCACAGCGTGTGTGCGCGCAGCAGGGCGCTATGGGGCTGCACGGGTAAGGCTAAGTGGCGGATGTAACGGTGAAAACGGCCCGATGAAACCCCCGTATCTGACTGTCGAGGCTGTTTGGCCGAGGGAGCTCGAGGTCGGCCTTGGGATGGTATGGGGGTACTCGTTAGAGCAGCACCTTCTGGGGAGGGACTTGCTCTTATTCTACTACTGGTCTACTACTGGTCTGAGTATCTGCAACGCTTTCCCGGCTCCATGCACACGTTGCAGCTTACCGTTACGACCTAAGACCTCTTTCGCAGCTGTTACGGAACAGCGGAAGTGCTACCAAGCCGATTACCAATCCACGGTAAGGTGACTCAGGTGACGACTCTTACATCTTACGCTTGGATCATCTGCAGTTCCTCCTTGTACTTGCCGTGCGGTCCGGTCGTTCCGGGACGTTTTTGATCCATCGAACGTAGGAAGTCCAGGCTTGGCTGTTTACGCGGAACTGACGACATTTAAAGTTGCAGAGCGGCTGCAGCACGCCCGTCGGCAACTCGCTCCAACCGGTGACGTCGACACGGCGCTGACGTAAGCAGAGAGATGCAGGGCCAGGCACTGCGCAGAACCCGCGGGAGTGCGTGATGATACAAGTTCTATTACCGTAAAGCGTAAGTGTCCTTGTCCAGCTGATCATTAAAGCTGCCGTGCACGTGTATCCTTCCCTAAAGACCATCCACCTCAATCCGGGCCCTATGTCCAATCGCATCCTCCGCTCCCTTAGCAATAACCTTCTGAATGGGCCATCGAGGAGGAACAACAAGCTTGTCATCAATCTTGCCGAACTGATCCAAATCTGCTCCCGCAATACCCGTAGAAAACTTGAGCTGAAGAACGTCGCCAATCTCATCACACGCCTTCAACAACTTGTCCAAATCCTCCTTGTTGTGCGCCGCAGAAACACAGAAACGCGCTCTGGAAGACACAAGAGGCGTAGCCGGGTATCCGACAATAACGACCGCGATCTTCCTCTTCAACATCTCGTGCGAGAAAGCAGGCATCTTGCCAGGGTTGTACAACCTCAATGGAACGATAGGAGAATCATCGTGACCGTCGACAATGAAGCCAAGACGCTTCAATCCGACACGGAGATAACGAGAGTTAAATGCGAGACGTTGAAGACGCTCTTCGCCCTCGGTACCACCAATCTCGCCCGAGATGATACGAAGCGAAGTCTGGATCTGCTGAAGGACGACAGGAGACATAGCCTCCGAATGCAAGAAACCGGCGTTGGTAAGACGAAGCTTATCGAGGATAGGCTTCGTCGCAGCAATGTAACCACCAGCAGCACCAAAAGACTTGGTAAGAGTACCCATGAGGATATCAACCTCTGCCGGGTCGATATTGAAGTAATCACAGACACCACGTCCACGAGGACCAAGAGCACCAATAGAGTGAGCCTCGTCAACGTACAAGAAGAACTTGTAGCGGTGCTTCAACTCAACAAGACCGGGGAGGTTACACATTGTACCCTCCATAGAGTACAACCCCTCGACAGCGACCAAAATCTTCTTCCAGGGACGGTGAGTACGGGGTTGGCCCTGAGAGATAGCATCACGCAAGACCTTCTCCAAGTGACGCATGTCGTTATGCTTGAACATGCGGATGGAAGAACCAGAAAGACGAGCGCCGAAACGGATGGAAGAGTGGTTGAGCTCATCGGAGATGACAAGACATCCCTTGGAGACGAGAGCAGGGAAAGCAGTAGCGTTCGTACCGAAACCCATCGAGAAGACCATAGAGGCAGGCTTACCAACGAAACGAGCTATAAGGTCCTCGACCTTGACGTGAAGGTCGAGCGTACCGGCCTCGGATCTGGCACCACCACTGCTAGTACCGTACTTCCTCGTAGTCTCCTCAACAGCATCCGCACACGGTCCCTCACTCTGCGCGAAACCAAGATAGTTGTAAGAACTCATGTTCAAACATTCAGTTGTGCTTCCAGTCAACTTGAACGTAAGCTTGTTATCCACAGAGTAACGGTCGAGAAGGGTGATGTTACGACCGGGAACACCAGTCACGGGACGCGAGAAACAGTCGTTGATACGCTGCTTGAGTCGACGGACATAAAAGTTGTCGAAATCGCTGTTGAGAGGCGCATAACCGTCGCGTTCGCGGAGGTGGTGGTACTTGTCTCTCCTGAACCTCTTACCGAGGAAATCTCGGACATGTCCGAAGACGATGAGGATCAAGTACGACAGGTAGGTCGTGAAGAGATAGTAGTAAGGAGGCTCATCATCGACTGGGTCGGGTACTGTCATTCCCTTGGGATGAACTGACACATGCTTGTGCGATGGGTCCGAGATGGGGCCATATTGAGCAGCGGTACGCTTCGAATACATAGCCGTATCTAGCGAGGTCGAGGTCGCGTGATGCAGTGAATCAGTATCCGGAAGGATGAAAGAAGGCTGCGTATTGCTGATCGCCGATGACAGCGAAATAGTCGGTAAGGAGGTTGGGGGGTAGAACGGAGCTGAATGCAGCGAACTATGCGTGACGCTGGACTTTGGCGACGAAGAAAAGAACTGAACAATCTTGGAACCCTTTGAAATTGACGAGGACCGATTGTGAGGGCTCGGAGTCTTGATGGAGATCGAGCTTGTGGTTGAGGTGACGGAGGTGGTCGGTGATGCCGTCGAGGACTTTGAGCTTCTCCGCGCCATGGCCGGCGACTTTGATGATGCTACTGCTCGTTTGTGATGGAAGGACCCCTGTAAATGCTCCTCTATGGCGTACTGGACTCTATCGGTTTCCCTTCTGGTTGATGTTTTGGTGTACAAGTCCAATTTCGGCGGTGCAGCTCGTTTCGCGCACTCTCAAGTGGCCCTTGCAGCAAATGGTACACACTCTCGGCTTCAAATGGGGGAGAGCTTCCGATAGGGGAGGTTTGTTGGGAATGGGATATCGTTGTCGACGACGTTGGATCTTGTATTATCGACTTTTACTCGAGAATTCCGTAGACGTTTACGGAGTTGGGGCGTCTCGGGCCGTTCGGCCCTTCGTGAATGACTTGCCTTCGACCCGGATGTTTCATTTGACCGTGAGCCGCCCCGTCACCACCCATCGCTTCCGTAAGCCGAGTAACGTAACCTTTCCGTAATGTTTGTTTCCAAACGTGCAGTCACGAAGTTTTACGAGGGGAGTGTCCGGAGCATACTTGGCGACGTCGACGTCGCGATCAGCAATGCTCGCGAACGCGTAAGTATGGACGCGGATGGTTGGTCAGCAAAGGCAATGCAAGGTCACAAGCCAATTCAATAGCTAAACTCCGCAGATAACCCGAGAAATCTTCGTCCTTTATCTTATCTTTCCATGTCCGCACCTATGCAACGTATTGATATGTGTTGGAATCATCCTCCGCCCTCTCCATGTAATCTCGTTCAATCAAACTCTCAATCCTCTTCTTCAGGTCGGCTGGTTGGATTGGAAACTTCAAGGTCTCGTAAAGCGCACCGGTCAGGTCCCTGTGACTTATTTTCTTCCTGGCCTTCATGATACGAATGATGGCTGCATCGATCTGGAATACACGGTCTTGTGCGACTCCAGCGTGAGTAGCTTTGTTCTCCTCTTGTGTTTCCTTGAGCTGGATCTGGTTGATCTTGATACGAATGAGCTTGTCGTTGAAACCTAGGTTGACGGAGAACGTATCAGTCTCGTTGACATCGCGGCCCTTGGGCTCTTTCGTAAGAACGCGGTGCTTTCCACACGCCAACGATTGCAGCGTTCTCTGCAGCTCCTTGTCGTCGAGATTGGTAGCGGTCTTGATTTCCTTAAACGACAGGGACTGTCCATCCTCGACATCATTGAATAGTAACATAACCACGGCTTGAAACAGCGACACGCTTAGCTGTTTTCTCCCTTTCGGGAACCCTGCCGTCAACTCACAATGACCCAATGCGTGTCTCCAATGCAGCTTCCTTCCTGTTTGCTTTGACAAGTAAAACAGTTTAAAAGCCTCGAGATCCTTGGCCATGTGCTCGGGAAGAATGACGTTGACATCTGGATATGTTGGCCAGAATGCCTGTGATAGGACGTTGACGTATAGCTCTGCGGACGATGACTTATCTTGGACGTGCTTGGTTTCCTGTTCCACCTCGTTAGCACGCTTTTAAAACTGTCGTGTGTGGGAGATTCAACCTTATAGGACAAGATGAAATCCTTGGACACATCAATATCCTTGAACATCCCCTCCAACTTCTGGGTAAAAGCCGGTCCACATTCCGTCTTGAGCTTAGTCAACATGCTCCTCTCAGCATCTGCACTCGCACTCTTGTTCAGCAGCAACCGCTTAGCAAGGTCCTTCTTGTAGAACGCTTCGAACACGTCCTTTCCGGAGATGAACCTGAATAATAAAAGAGCCTTCTCCATCTCACTCTCCAAATCGTTCTCCGACATGGCACGATTTCCTGACCGGAGGAGCGCATCTACGTGTTTCGCGATCATTTCAGCTGGCTTGTTGGGGCGTTTGTTGATGAAGTTTTCGAAGGCCTCGCGGAGACCTTGGCTGAGAAGGGTGTTGTCGTTGAAGCTTGTTTTGACAATCTCGTTCAGCTTAGCCTTGAAGGTTAGTAATGCTCCGACCATCTCTGCATCCCGTGCTGGGTTCTGAACCAGAGTGAGACCGTGCTTGCGGATGTAGTCCACCCAAGCAGCACGAATCATCGACACCTGATCGATCCTGAAGAACAAGTCATAAAGTAGCTTCAACCCAGGAACATCATTGTCATTCACCATATCCTCTAGCGAATCCACGATCTCATCTGCGTTATCATCGATCATGACCTTCTCCATGGCCTCCGTGATTATACGCCTCCTCGTACGTCTCTCTAGTCCGTACCGAACGCATCTGTCCGACTCGGCATGCAAGCGCTCCGCAACATGACGGATATATTGCGGTACCGTAATCTCTCCGAGCTTCCGCTGAGCTTCCGCCATATAGTACGTCCGGGAATGAAGAATAAATGCTTCGTGAAAAACGGCACTGTAAAGATTGAGAGCGGTCAACATACGGATGATCGACAGCAGAAGAGTCATATTGACAGCTTCGCCATTCCTCTCCCGTTCAAACAAGGAGAAGACGCCGTTCATCATGTCAGCTCGCAGAGCCTCATGATCCGCAATCCTTTTCTTGAACAGATCAAGACCCGTATCCCAAATCGACAAGAGACCTTGCGTTTGCAGGATATACGTCCGATCCAGGTAGAAGAAGATCTGCCTGATCATGCCCAACCTTTCGCACCATCTCGACCAGCTCTGCTCAATAGCAGTGACCACTGCTTCGGAACCGCCACCAGCACCAGCAACTCTGCTCCCTACTTGCTCTTGCACTTGTTTCGCAAATACCTCAAGACCGTTTCGTAGGACATCGTGTACCTCCTTTGCCTTGCCACCTCGCACGAGGTTTTCGCAACCACGGTACAGCTCCTCGAGCGAATCACCGATCTTCGTTTCATTTGCCACGCAGTCCAATGCAGTACGTAGCTTGTCGAGCGTAGCGGCGTAGTATTCTGTCTGTTTAGCTGCCGAGTCGGAGGTGGTTCTAAGATTTTTGATTTGAAGCTTCCTTACACCTGTTGCCGCTGGTCTCGAGCCGTTTGCTGCACGGAGTCTTGCTGGAAACTTCGAACTCGGTGAAGTTGAGTTGGTAGGGAGCGGAGTACCTTTCGTCGGGAAGTTGTTCAACATGGTGGACGCGGTGATCCTAGGCTCGTCTGTGCTATTTTGTTTCTGTAGCCGCTTCGTCGGACTTGGGCTGTTCCTGAATAGATCTGGTAAGATTGTTTGTGAGTGTCGCCGCTTATTCAATGCTGCCGGGTCTTGTGAAGAGGGTCCTGGAGTCGACGTATCCTTCGGCCTTGTACGGTTGGAGACCGTCGATGGGGTCCGCGGCATACAACGAGATGGTTGGAAATGTTCTCAGGCTTACTCTGGTATACTTGTTGCTCGATCTTCAGTTGCCGGGATGACGGTGGTGCTGGCCTTCAAGTGGGTGCGATTTGTTTGCAGTGCCGGGCCGGTTGGACGCCGCAACCTGGAAGCTGGGGAAGCTCTACCAAACGACGCACCGTGCGTAATCGCTGTGCAGGTCCGATAGGAATACGATACAGGAGAAAGTGGGCTTGTCGCTGTCATTTCGTCTTTTCATTGATGCATGAAACGTTGTGTGATATGGAGATGCCCCAACGGCTCTCTCGCTAACTTGCGACCATGATCTCGTACCTTCCCACACTCTCCGATATCCCTTCACTTATAGAGATTCAGAGATCCACCTTCCCAGAAATACATGTATCCTCCTGCGATACCCAAAGATGCAATTGCAAGGCTGAGTTCACTCTCCACCACGCTCCATACCCATAGTGTGCCCAAAGACGGTGCCTTCTTCATGACATGATAGTATCCATGGTTGTTCGTCGAGTGGATAAGAAACAATCCCGATGCAACCGATGCAAGAAAGAACACAAATTGACGTGGACGGGGCGGAAGACGATGGACTATGCAACGGATTAGACCGAGCACTGGGAACCGGCCGTTGTTAGCACTCGTTCATGAGGGACTTGAACACAGGCTTGCTTCACCTGGTATTGCCCTAAGCGTTCTCCAAGCGACTTCCCGCACGGTGTACTCCTGTAAGTACTGTTGATGCACAAGAATATCGAGCATGAGGTGCAGAAAAGAGAGAGGGATCAAATAGATCAAGGCGTCGAGAACAGGCATCTCCAGCTCCTCCGTCGTGGCCGGCTTTCTCTCATCATAGTCGTCTGGCAATTCGGTAATCCGTGAAGACGTTGGCTTTGCTCTCTTCATTCTTGTGGTGTTGGGTGTAACGTCGACATCGGAATCCGGGGAAGGATGCAGCGGCACAGACCTGCCGTCAAACCCAATCACCAGTGTACGAAGAACAGTTCTCGCTCCCTTGAACAACCCTAGACTGAAAGGCTTAACCGTTTGATTTACTCTTTCGACCTGAGCAAACAGGCCAGACAGAATGCCGATCACCATCAGCTTCAGCGATGTGAAGAAGGGCTCCGTCAAGGCGTTCCAAGGCACTAAGAAGGGCTTTGCCGCCATCGAACGAGGCAGGCAGGGCCTCAACAAAGGTTTTGATTCTGTGGATAACGCAGTTGGCATGGGGAAGAGGAAGAACAATGGGAATGATGAAGACGGTGGAGGATCATCGTCAACTTATGGGAAGCCGAAGCCTTCAGGAGGATATGTCCCTCCTCCGCCGCCCAAACGATATGATACAGGCTCTCCTGTAGACGGCTCAACACCGCCTCCCCCACCGGTTAGGTCACCGGCTCCTGCTCCACCGGCTAGAGCAGGAGCACCTCCACCTCCGTCACGAGCGGGATCTGCGTCTTCATCTGTTTCCACGTCCTCAGAGAGACCCGCATATCAGACTCGCCAGTCACCTGCTCCGCCGCCAGTTCCATCTCGGACCACGGCGGCTGGTGCGATTAGAGATGATGTTGGGTCGAAGACTACCTCTACCGCGCCGCCGGGCCAGAATGCGGCTGTGGATGACCTTGCATCACGTTTTTCCAAGTCTTTGTCGCCTTCTACGAAATCAAGGTTCCAGACAATGGTCGTGTCGAACGGCTTAGACGCAGCTGCCAAAAGCCAACCATCTGGAAGTATGCAAGGAAAGGCACTCGGTGCAGTGGGTGGACTCTATAAAAAGAACCCTGAAATGGGCAACAAGCTTATCAACAAGGGCGTGGAAACGTATCAGAAGAATCCGGAGGCGGCGAACAGGTTCGTGGCGAATGCAACTGGTCAGAAACCGCCATTTCCAGTGAGGACACCATTCAAGGAGACACCCACTGAGTCGCCTGCACCTGTTCCTCCGCAGAGAAAAATGCCACCTATCCCGCCGAAGCGCAACGACCTCAAAGCACCAGCGCCAGCTCCGAAGCCAAAGCTCAATATCCCTCTACGTGCACCGCTTCCCACGCCGTCCCCGAGACTAGAAATCCCAGAGCGTACACTGAGCGCATCACCCGCACCTCCAGTCCCCCATGCCTCCAAACCCCGTCCAAATCTCGCGACAAAGCCCTCTTCCGGGCCTACAACACCCGCCCCAACTCCGGCACCGGCACCCGTCCTCAAACCGGGCGTGCTCAGCATGTATGCTGGCCACCAATCCGCCCACGATCTCGACCTTCAACTCCACACAGGTTGGTTCGCGTCAAATCCACCCGGCACACCTCCCGTTTTGCAAAGTATGGCAGGTAAATTCCATCACACGATGGCTGCCTCTGCACAAGGTATGCGCGGCCGCATGGAATGGACACTCGTGATGGCGCTGCAATATACGACCGATTTGAGCAGGACTTGGATCAGAGTCAAGTGGCTCGAGAATGATCCCGCCGGTACCGCGAGGGCTGAACAACGACACGAGGGACCACCGCCGTTGTTGTCGAGGGAGTATCTCGTGCAGAGTTCAGAGTACTACGGCCCACAAGTTGTTGAGTGGTGTCAGAGCAGGATTGGGACGCAAGTCAGTCGAGGTGAATGTTGGGATGTCGCGAATGAGGCATTGAAGGCCGTCGCGGCGGAGTGTCCTGAGGCGCCGTGTATGACCTCCGCGGGCACGGTTCATGGACACCCGATTTATGAGACGACGGACCGTGGGGAGATTTGGGCTGCGGATAACGTGATTCGTCCGGGTGATGTATTACAATTCCTCACGGCGCAGTTTGAGGTTAGAGAGGGGAGTGGGAGGGTGGTTATGAGGAGTACGGCGGGAGCACCGGATCATACGAGTGTGGTGACGAGGTATGATCCGAATACTGGAATATGCGAGGTGTTGGAGCAGAATGTTGGAGGTGTGAGGAAGGTACAGAAAGGGACGGTCCATTTGAGGAGTAGGGTCGCGGGAGAGGTGAGGGCGTACAGACCTATTCGTGCGGATTGGGCGGGGAGGTTGGAGGCAAAGTGGTAAGGACAGTGACAATGCTATGTTACGCCAATATTAAACTACACCTTATCGTACATCCTTCTCATTCCATTTCTAGACCAAGCTGGCGACTTTCCCACCCATCTGCTTGCTCACCCACTCATTTCTCGCCTCACACTTGGCGTTGACACACCCAGGGCACCTCAACGACATCTGTCTGGATCCACTTCCCCCCTCCTCCAGATGCTTCTTCATCAAATTCGCCATACCCTTAATGAAGCCCATATCACCATTCAAACTCTCAACACGCTTGACGCCCTTTGCACCCTTCGCATGTGCTTCCTCGATGTACTCCTCGAGCTCGTGGAGAGTCTCGATGTGGTCAGAAGTGAAAGCGATAGGGACGAGAAGGAGGTTTGGTTGGGATTTAGCGACGTAGCCTTGGATAGCGTCCTGAGTCTGTGGGCCCAGCCATGCAGATGGACCGACTTGTGATTGCCATACGAGACGGTATGGGTTGCTGAAGTTAAGTTCCTTCATGACTGCGTTCACAGTCGCGGCGACTTCGTGCGGGTATGGGTCACCGCGGTTAATGACGGACATGGGAAGGGAGTGTGCAGAGAAGAGAATCACGACATCTTTCCGATCGGCTTCGGGATAAGTTGCGAGGGAGTCGCGGATATGCTGGGCGAAAGTCTTGACGAGGCCGGTGTCAGTTGGCCAGCGGTCGAGGACGGACCATTCGATGGTGTTTTCTGGGTCGAACTTCTTGAGTTGACGGTGGAGTTCGTTGAGAGAGGAGCCGGTTGTTGAGCAGGACCATTGGGGGTATTGGGTGAATGCGACGGCGCGGGTGATTCCGTCGGTTTTCATTTGGGCGAGGGTGTCTTCGGTGAGGGGAGCGGCGTAGCGGAATGCGACGTAGGGTTTGTGAGGACCGGTGGCGGGAGAGATTTCGTCGAGGATTTTGCACATTTCTCTACCTTGCAACTCACTCCACTTTCGGATAGGTGAGCCACCGCCGATGCTCTCATACGCCTTCTCGATTGAAGGTGTTCGTCTCCTTGCAATTACCGGGCCCATCCACTTTTGCAGGCGACCCAGAGGGATCAGATCTCCGTCACTGAACAGTCTCCGCAGGAAGTCGTAGACCTCTGGGATTGTTGATGGACCACCCATGTTCATCATGACGACGGCGGTCCCGGCGCCGTTCGTCTTGCCACTCTGGTGCTCCGGAGTCGCAGAGGCATAGTGTCTTGCGGTAAAGAAGGCGGGGTTGATCTGGCGGCACGATATGGACCTGATCGAGAGCTTCAACATGGTGATCAACGGATCAATTGGTGGTGGAGGGTTGGGGGTCGGTCTACGTCGAGGAACCTTTGGAGTCGAATATTCCAGCCGATCGGGCGCCGCCTTGGAGCCGCCGATGCGCACAACGCAACAATAAGGTTACGCGAATCGACTGGTCAGTGTTCTTCCAGCAGGGAAAGGAGATCGGACAGTGTCCTTCTCCTCTGTAGACTGAATTAGAAACTCAATTGACTCTCTCACCTCTCTCCCTGTATAACTTGGAACTGCACTCCCCTGATTGCCACCCACCAAAACAGCATTGTACAGTCATCCGAAGCCGAAGTTCAAGGGATCTGGGACTTCTGAAGGCGAAGGCGACGGCGAACAACAAACAATAAATTCATCCAACTGACACACTCTCCTTCTATCTCGTTTCAAATTCGCCGGCAAGAGACATGTTCAACGACTCAATCGTCCACGGCGACCTCTCGCCAGATCCACCGCAATTGCTCCCCTTCATCTCCGACAAGCTCCTTTCAATCTACCTCCCAATCATCGTCTACTGGGTATACTCCCTAGTATTCGAAGCCATCTCGTACCTCGAATGGCCATGTTTCGAGAAATACAGACTGCATACACCCCTGGAACTGCGGCAACGGAACAAGGCGTCGCCAGGAGCTGTGTTTAGGGATGTGGTGGTACAGCAGCTCGTCCAGACGATCTGTGGACTGATTCTGATGAAGTTCGAGCCGGATAGGCCGAGTGTGGATGCCGTTGTGGAGAGGGCGCAGCTGGCTGCGAGGATGGTGAGGTACAATGTGGATGTGAAGAACGCGGCCGTCGCTTCGTTGGTGCTGCACGACTATGTGTTCCCGGCAGCACGGTTCGTGATCGCTATTACCGTTCTCGACACCTGGCAGTACTTTCTGCACCGCGCAATGCACCTCAACAAGTGGCTCTACCGCACTTTCCACTCTCGCCACCACCGATTGTACGTTCCCTATGCGTACGGTGCGCTTTACAACCACCCTATCGAAGGACTCTTGCTCGACACCATCGGCGCTGGACTCGGATTCTTGGTTTCTGGCATGTCCGTCGGCGAGTCCGTCTTCTTCTTCACCTTTTCGACGCTGAAGACTGTCGACGATCACTGCGGTTATAACTTCCCCTGGGATCCTCTACAGATCTTCTTCCCCAACAACTCCCAATATCACGATATCCACCACCAGAGCTACGGTATTAAGCGCAACTTTTCGCAGCCATACTTTACTTTCTGGGACAAGGTGCTAGGGACGCACATGAGCGCCGAGGAGATCCCGAAGAAGTTGAAGTTGACCAAGACTGGTGTCAAGGTGGAGAGTGAGGTTACTGTCACGGAAGTCGACTCTTCAAGTGAATCAAGTTCAACCGAAAAAGAGGAAACTGTCACGAGGAGAGTAACGAGGAGGCAAGCCGCTATGGCTGCCGCGTTGTGATTCCGCCTTTTTTTTTATTCAATCATTTATCGTTATGGGCTAATCTTTCGTATTGCAATTCGGATTGGGGCATATTCGGGATGGTATTGTTTGGTCGTTTGTTCTGTTGTTTTCTCTTCCCCAACTTTCGTTCAGTCCTTTTATAATTTGTTCCCACGCGTGCATTGTCCAGGATCAGGATTGCGCAAGAATGATATCACCTTGCTGATCTGTAAAGATATATAAACCTTGATTTGTCCACCGAATCTCCAACGATCCCAACTTATTTTCTCATCTACTAACACGATTCATCATGGCCGTCGGAGGTTTGTTTGCCTTCATGTCGCCTTGAATCTCACGCTGAACAATGAGGTGAACAGGAGCTACCAACGCTGATGCCGTCCAGCCCGGACAACCATTCCACCCATCCAACCAGAGCACAAACAACAACCCTCCTTCTACCCACCAGATCGGAACTGCCAATGACGGTATCCAGACGAACGCTGTGAAGGTCTTGCCCGCAGGCACTTCTGCCAATGACCCGGTATGTTCACACGCCCCCCAACACTGATGTCCGGGACATGGCTGCTGACAAGAGGAACTTTATAGGAACACACCTTCCAACCCAACCCCAACGCAACCGAAACCGGCACCATCCCCCGCGGCGCCGAAGACACCGACCGCCCCACCTCCACCTCCGCCCTCGACACCTTCCCCGACACCACCTCCAAGGACTTGACATCCGGTCTTGGCCAGCCTGTTCAAGGCCAGAGTTCTCGCGAGCTTCATACCGCCAAGAACCGACCCACTAACAAGAAGGAGGGAACGGGGTTGGCTGGTGTTGGACGTGGTGAGGCGGCGAGGAATGTGCAGGAGGTTGTTGGGCCGAATCAGGATGCGCACCATAACTCGGCGAACAAGTTGCACTCCATCTAAGTTCAAGGGAGCGTGTATGATATTTAAGGCGTGTACGAATATGAAGAAAGGGGATGTTATGTGATGTAGCATTCATTGCATGTAAGTGTTGCGACACCATGTCTGCCTTCGCTAGATATGAATGGAAACGATGAAATCTATGACTTTTCCTCCTCCGTGTTGAATATCTTGCTAAAGATGATCGCGTCCACCAGCTTGTCCTGCCCTTTTAGACGACCTGCTCCGGGCACGCGACCGACTCTCTCGAAACCATGTGAATCCCAGATCCTCAAACTTGAAACGTTGGTCTCGAAGACGAGGTTGAAGATGGATTGTCGGTAGCCCTGTAAACGAATGGTTAGCCAGATCTGTAAGAAGATCGGACGGGATTGCTCACCAGTTTGGGGGCATAGTGCTCAAATGCATCAGCCAACACATGAGCATTGCCCATTCCTCGTCCAGCATGCGGGACCAAGAATCCGGCATTGCACACATGTGAACATCTCCCAGGATAATTGGGTTTGATGTAAAATGTCCCCAGTACATTGGCCGCCCAATCGAATTCCGCCTGGGGGTCCTGAGGAGGAAGGTTCTTGAACAACACCACACAGAATGTACCAAACCAATATGCGCCAAAGGCCTCAGGCGTAAATGGGCTCTCCATCGGATACGTGTCACCTCGTTCAATCTCGTCGTTCATCTCCCGTGACAGTAATTTGACTAGCGCTTTCGGCGGGACAGGATTGCTGGGGTGGAATGGCACAATATACCCCTTCCCTGACACCTCATAACTTTTGATGAGGCTCAGATCCACCGGCTTTGCAGGGATCAATGGCGATGAGGGGTCTTCGAGGATTGCTGGCATGGACGGTCGGTATGGAGACGGTCATTCGCGACCCGCGTACGTCAGGCTCAACCTTAACCTTATCGATATCGGGTGACGCGGAAGAAGGTGAACATAGTCGAAGTGATCAAATGTAATGTAAAAGCCAAAAAGACTTAGCTATTGTAATAGATAGATGCTTGTAATATGAATGTTAGTATGCTTGTCGAAATGAACGCCGTGTGAAACCCCACGCCTCCTCCTCATTGCTCATGATCGTGTATGCTATCAAACGCCGATGCTTCCCCGTTCAATCGGGTGTTTCTTCCTTGCGTCCTGTAAAGCCACGAGTGCTTTTCCAATACCAGGCAAATCTCCCAATAAACCAACATGACCTCGGTCTGACAACACCCGCTCTACAGGCTTGAATCCCTTTGGCATTTGCGATGATTTTGCGGTGACAACCCCATCACCTCTCGCATAAATATAGTCGCTGAAGTTCCCTTCAAGAATCCCTCGTTCACCATCAACCCTTGTACCAATAACAGTGGGGAGAGCCTTGCTGTATAAAATTGCGAATGGTGGATATCGACTGGCATTTTCCGGGTTGTACGAACGTACCACCTTCAAGAACTCGTGAGTCTCCTCGAGTGTTCTCTTGAGGTAAGGCACAGTTTCCGCGAGGATATGCGAGCAAGGGGGTGCCCGTACATCGTCATCGGAACTCCTTCCACCCATCTCCGGTGCAAAGCCCTCGCCCGTCATTTTCGCCGCTGCATTGGACGGTGCAAGGGCGGAAACGTTGGTAGTGGAGGTTGTAACGTTTGATTCTGAGCTTTCTGGGCCGTCAAAATTGTTTCTCTCTCCGTCAAGCGGAGGGTGACATTCGCAAGCGGCAGGATTCATATCACAATGGAAATTGTCGATGTCTTGCCGACGGTGGCTCATGTTAACAGAAGGTGCCAAACCGTAATACGCCCAAGTTCTCCAGTCGAAAAAGTTCACACGGATCTCTTTCTCCTCTTCACCAGATTTGTCCACGAAGCATCGACCGTTCTCTGGCAGGAAGACATACGAGCTCCGGAAGCTAAAGTTGACAGAAGCTCGCAATAAACTCTTGTTGTTCAAGACGACGTCTCCATGCCGTAGAGGACCGAGGATGTTGATACAGTGTGAAAAGGGCGTGCCGCAATAGAGAACGCCAGCAAACAGCTCCGGTCTGGTCTGTACAGCATAGTGCGTAACGAGGCCACCCATTGAATGACAAATGACAGTTGCTCCCTGTGGATAGCTACCATACCTGTTGTTGCATGGCAGTGACTCGAGAAACGCGATGAGCTTCTTTGCTGATCGTAGAGACGACAGTCGCCAGTCATATCCCCATTCATGAACCCGAATATGACCTTTCTTTTCCTGTCGTCTCAACTTTCGCAGTAACCTTCGACTCATATCCACGGGTCCAATATGGTCGATTGTCCCTTCGGGATGTATGCGGCGCTCTTCTTCATCTTCATCCTCCTCGTGGAGCCCAATGCCGATATCAACGCCATTATGTTTCTTCGGTCCAAGCAATGCCTCGCCCATAGGCACCCAAACACGTCTGTCAGCCTGGGCATCCCTCAATCTTGATCCTCTGTAACCGCCCAGGACGACAACATCTCCTCTCAACTCGCTATAAGGATTGTAACTGTTCCGCTGCAGCAAGCCGGCTCCCGGTACCAGTCCATTCAAAGATTCCTTGAGCGCCTTTAAGCGGGTATTCACTCGCTTTCCAGGAATAATTTCCAGAATATCGGGTTCGTATCTTTCCGGGTCACTCTCCTCGTGGGGTGGCACACTCCACGGATCCACCGGAGCTTCGTCTCCAGCACCGGATATGTTTCTCGAGTTCCTCTCAGATGACGAATCAGACATAGGTGAGTGAGGGCCATTTGAGTCTTCTCCATAATCTGGCATTCCAAAGCTCCATCTTGAATGATTCTCGACAGCAAGTGGTTGCAAGTTCCAGTAGGACAATGATTGGTGATGTCTCATAACATCGTCCTCGCCTTCTTCGTCGTCTGAGAATGCAAGTGGAGAAGACGTCCCGGAATTCATCCTCTTTTGCGATGTTTTTGCTGAATGTGAATCAGATAATGGTGAAATCACACTCTCGGTGCGTCGAGGGGGTTTGTGATCTCGGTCGAGGGACGATCGCTGGGAGCGCACACGGTCGGACTCTTCGAATATCGATTCTGCTTCGGCTCCATCTGGCGACAAGGTAATGTCTTCAACACCGGCGTCCAAGGATTTCCCGGTCGTCTTGCCGCGCCTTACTCGTGGAAAAAGCTTGCGGAGCGAATCGGTGGAGACCATGGTGAATGCTACAGCTCAACGGGATGACGAAAAAAGTCAAAGCAATGGACGTATGCTCTCCCTATGGTGTTCTATGTGGTGGTAGCATACATTCCCAAGGGTCCAGCCAGTCGGCGTATTCGTACACCCCGTGGACGTTTTCGGCGCGCGGAAGCAACGGCACACCCGGATCTGCAACATGACATCTACACTCCTGGCGTCGGGCCGTCGGCAATTCTACCTCGGAACACGAGCACGGGCACTGTGAGAAAAATGATGAACCTTGTAATTGAAATTGCGATTGCGATTGGTCTGCACAGCGGACAATATCGTTTTGAGTACACAAGGCAGAAAGTAAATGCTAATAGAATCCGATCCATAGCACATATGCATGCAAATCAGCCGATGGAAATAAAAAGAAAAGTGCGCCGTAGAGTATCCTTCGAGCATCTGCAACGTTAGAAGAAGTGCGTGTACACCTAGGCCAGTAGTCGTTAGTAGCAATTCTGCATAGGTGGTTCTGAAACAAGGCTTACTCTTGATTGCTCGTGAACCATCATCTCATCCATCTTGAAAGCGTTCAACTCCTCCTTGATCCGTTGTGCCAAAATAGGCGTCAGTCGAGCGCATGTAGCAATCTCACCGCGACGATCATACTCCGTCGCATGCCACGTATCAAACACCGTGATCTGCGGTGCAAACTTGATCCTCGCTGATGGACCTCTGTTGCCAGGTGTCATAGGCGCAGCCACAGCGGCGGCATACGAGATGGGAAACTTGGCGGATTTCGCAGGGCTCGAGGCTGTTGAATTCGTTTCAGATGGCGCGGGCGATCCAAATGCCAGACGTGGACCAGCATCAATGTTTGGAAGTGCACTGAAAGATGTCGGCGGATCCGCGAGTGTAATCGTCAAATCAGACTCATTCGAATGAGCAGTGAGTGAGGGAGGCACACTCGACGGCGTTGCAGCATGTTGACCAAAAGAAGTCCCCTTCAAGCCATACGGATCGTCGACATTCTTCAAGATACCCCTTGGTATGGCGCCGTTCCGTTGTCTTGATGCGATGTACCCATTCTCTTCCGCGTTTACGCCAGAGACCGTATTCCCAGGCTGCAACTCGGATGGCATTGCTCGTTCTCCCAACATCAAACTCTTTCGTCGATCTGTCGAAGACTCCTCGCCCTCCTCCCCGGCTTCCTCCGCGAGCGAAGCAAGTCCAGGTCTTCCTTCATCATCGTCAACAAAACTCGGAAAGTGAGTCCCGCCCCCAGTAACATCATGTGGGTCAACATTTACTCCCTCAAGGTGACCATGACCGACAACCGGTCCCTTCGATGCTTCCGCAACGTATTCATCGATAGCACTCATTTCCTTGTTCTTCTCTTTACTTGATCCCTTACGGAAGATGTTCAACCCACGCTTCATTCCCTTCCCCATCTTGCGTAAAACCACCGATGCACTAGACGCGGTGGATGAAATGGAAAGGTTATCGGTAGACCCAGACGCACGTCCACCCTGTGCATACAACCCTCGAGAAGGAAGATTTGTTGCGGCACCGAAGTCATCGGTAGTGTATGCAGAGTCTCTAGATGTCTTCAACGCTGATGCAGACGAAAACGAAAGCGCTCGCCTCAGGCGAGACTTCAGGGTCTTGGATGAGGCTTTTTCAAACGGCAAAGGGGTTGCAGTGCGAACAACCGCTTCAGCAGGCGCTGGTGCAGCAACGGGCGACTCGAGCACAGACAGTGGCGGCGCGGACACTTGAGAAGTAGTGGGTGCGGGGGGACGTGCTGGGGTCGTTTCCGGTGACCGAACAGGAGAGGATGGAGGCGATGGAAGGTGGTTCTGAGCCAAAGGACTGGGCTTGCGCAAATCCGGTACATTTTGGTTGGGTTGCTCTTCAAATTTAGCTTCACTCGATCCTTGTTCGGCGGTTTCAGTGATATGATTGGTCGAAGGACTGGACCGTGGCATACTCGGTCCGGGGTTAGGAGCCGGTGCAGTGCCAGAATCCTGCCTCAATAAGACAGGCGGACGTGCGATGATTGATGCTGTGGCTATCTTCGTTGCCGCCGCCGTCTTCACCTCGCCTTCTGACGCTGACCCACGCCGCCCGCCTGTCGTCGGAGGAGCACTTCGATCCATACTTACTCGCTTAATACTACTCGGCGTACCGGGAAGTTGATTGGGTTTCTTCATGGGGCTCGGGCTCCTCCTTGTCGGAGAACCGTTTCCAGAAGCAGAAGTTCTGTAGGGCCTTGGTGGATATTGCGGCAACGCATCGAGACTCTGGCTCCGCGGTGGCAACCCCCTCTGTTTTATATTTGTACTCGCCGATGGAACACCTGCTAAAGCATGCATATCCGTGTTTGTAGCCTGTCTGGGAGGATTCCCAGGACGCGGCGACTGCCTCTGAGGAGATCCATCAGCACTCCCAGGGCGAGCAAAGTTCCCTCCGGCATAATCAGGCATAGGAAGCGTAAAGTCGGAAATATTCATCGTCGAGAACGGTCTTTGGTTCTGTGACAATCGTCGAGGCTTTAGTGGTAGGTTCTCGATACCATCAAAATCTTCCCAACGACGATTTCCAGAGGGAACGTCGTTAGAAGAGTAGTTCCGAGTGAGTGGACGCGGCGGGAGGCCATTTGTACTCGGAACGTTGTTGCTGCCACCGAGGGTGCTTCTCTGGGGTGACGCCGGACTGTACGGTGATGCTTCACCTGCTGCTTGCCGTACAGCGAATTCGGCGTTCGCTTGTCGTTGCTGAAGAAAACCACCCTGTCTAGGCGGTGTCATGTTGCCTGATCGAGCGGATGCCGCCGATCCTGGACGTGAAGCTGAAGCTGGGACTTGGAGCGGTGCAGTCGATGCTTGAGCGGCTGTCCAGGTGTGGGCATTCTGCATTATGGTGGCCATGTTGGCAGTGAATGTATGCTAGTTGAATGCAGTACGGAAGGCGTCGGAGAGGTTTGGGAAGAGTGTTACCGTAAAATGTGACGACTCAAAGTGCCGTCAGGGATGAATGCTGTGTGATATCGGCAATAAAGTTCACCGGCAAGCCGAAAATCCCGGAAAAGTCAGGGGTGTGACGGGATGAACCGTGAATGCCAGTTGTTACGCCGTTGAGTGAGCGACTTCTGGACGGTCTCTCTTAAGCGTTTCCGTCGTCTGTTTTCGTCTGGTCCAACGTCAACAGGGTCCAGGCAGACTCGTTGGCTCTACTGGGTGGAGGGCCGTAATCGCACACGCCACACTTACAGTACTGTAGTCGCGCTCCAGCGGTTCTATGCAGCGCAGCATGCAACATTTGAAGACGGAGAGGACAATTTTTTGAAAAAGAGCAAAGTTCATTCAAGGATCTTTTCTAATTGCAAGGTCAGATACACAGCAAACATGACTCGCATCACCAAAATGGGCGGTCGCAGGACCCACCTTGAAGCCTCCTCCTTCGTCTCAAAGCCCCTCGTCTCCTCCAAACGAGCCCTACCCGAAGATTCAACGACATACGAACAAGCCGTGGGTACTGGAGATGCGGAAGGACCCCGTCCCAAAGGCAAGTCCGAGCATCGAAGAATACGGCGTATCAAGGAAAGACAAACAGGCAAGCCATGCTACGCCTGCAGACAATTCGGCCACAAAGCCCAAGACTGCCCAAATACAGCCCTGGAAGGCGAAGCAGGCGTCGCAGTTGCAAAACCAACCGGAAGTATCTGCTACCGCTGCGGCGCCTCCGACCACTCCCTCTCGGGCTGCCGTAAGCGTGGTCCACTCCAATTCGCCACCTGCTTCATCTGCAAGAAAACCGGACACCTCACCTCGACATGTCCCGACAACCCGAACGGGCTGTACCCGCGAGGAGGTTGCTGCAAGATTTGTGAAAGTAAGCAGCATTTGGTGAAGGATTGCCCGCAGAGGGAGGAGGTGCAAAGAGGAGGTGTGGTGGGGATGGTTACGAGTGCGGATGGGGGGGCGGATGAGGATGATTTTCACGAGATGGCGAGGGCGATGCAGAAACCGAAGAAGAGACATGCACCGGTGGAGAGTACTGGTGCTGGTGCACCTATTCCGGTGGCAAGGCCTGCGGCTGGGGCACCGGCTGCGAAGAAGAAGAAAGTTGTTGCATTTTGAGCTTGAGGGTCTGAACCTGAAATAGGGACGTTAAGGTGAAGGAGTACGGGGTTGCATTTCCGGCATATTTTACCAGTTGCATACATGCTATGTTTCCATCTATTTGAATTGTAATGTTCGTATTCGTTCCCGTCCCGTCCCGTCTATCTTAAAGAATGTGTAACGCCTAACCGTCATAGAACCCAGGCGCCAGGCCAAAAGAATGTGATGTATGCTTAACTCGATCTGTGTGAAAAGAATGTCCCGTAATAATAATAATATCGTGTCATCGCCCTCTCATCCTTCCCGCTCTCGGAAATTACCGGTCCATGAATGGTTACCAGCTGCGGGTTGCGGAACTGTCAAGCTTCGGCCGTGCGTTTCATTTGCACCTCTGTATCCTCGACCTCCTTCTCTCAAACCATCACTGTTGTGGATTGGCATCACGCCAACTGAAGGCAACTTGGGCGTTTCTGCATTGAGCCCGCGATCCATGAAATCGAACCCCGAGTGCATGAAATTGTTCGAAGTGCCCTGTCTTCCGAACTTCGGCCTGGCGGTAACTGTCGGGTTCCACAGATCTTCACCGGCCTTTTCATTCTTGAGTGATGAGCTGTTTGAGCGAACTCTCGAAAGACGTTTCCTACGCCAAAGGAAGATTCCGCAACCGATGAGGATCATGGCGACAACCACGGCAACGATGGTACCTGCAATGATGGGGGTTTTGTTGGTTGTACTTGAGGAGGTGGACAGTGTCGTCAAGCTGTTTTGCTCCGAGGAGCTGAGTGCGCCGGAAGAAATGGCGGTCGACGAAGGGAGGTGTGTTGACGTAGATGTAACGGTAACGACGAGGTCCTCTGTAGGCGCACTCGAAGAAGTTGTCGTGGCAGAAGTGGAAGCCGCTGTAGTCGTAGATATCGTGACAGTGGGCAAATCTAGTGATGATGAAGTAGACGTAAACGCGACAGTGTCAACAGCACTGTCAACAGCAAGCGCCGTAGCTGTCAAACTGGTGCTGGTTGGCACCGTAATGACGGAGGACAGAGTAGCGTCAACGGTCGGCGTCGTCTCCAATGAGGTGGTTAAAACCGCTTGCACCAGAGTAGTTGTAGCTGAGGAAGACTTGGCGGTAGTAGTGCTGTTCGACACGGGCATCGCCTGAGGCAACGCAGTCGCCGAAGTCGCGATCAACGCGAGAAAACATAGCTGGATGATCCACATCTCAGAACGCGCTTTGTGTATTCGGTCCTGCCGAATAAAGCTGAAGGAAGAACGAGATCAACTGCAATACTCGCGATCACAAGTGACAGAGGCTGTTGATAATGAACGGAGTAGCAGCAAGAGCCGAATACATGGAGTGACTGTATCGAAAAGCATGATTTTGGCGCACGGACCTCCTGGGAACATTTCGTCAACATTCCGATGATTTTGACGCGGCGCGCGGAATTTGGTGTGCTTGGGCGAGCGTTGGCATGCGTCCCGCTAGTGCGATCTAAGGTCCGCCTAGACATTGCGTTCCCACGCTGCCCGGTCGTGGTAAATACGATAAGGGGAGATCGGGATGACTACGATGGGTATTTCCCACGATCGAGTCCATCGATGTTTGCATGATTTGATTGGATAACTCAGGATGCACTCACAGCCTGATTCGCCCTGATTACGATTCATGGCCTTGCTTAAATTTAGCGTGATCCTTACGTAATTCTATAGGAGTAATAAAACCTTAACAGATTTCAAGCAGGCCCTATGTCAAAACTGATTTTAGACAAGAAAAGTAAGATTAATCCTTGATTTTGTCATGTAAGATTCTTGGGAGATCAGGAAAATTGCTACAAATTGGGGGCAAATGCGCAGCATTATGGGGACAAAAATGCGAGGAAATCAAGCGTATCATGAGTAGCCTATCCTAATGGCCATGGTAGCAGTACCATAGGCTCACTAAAAGAGAAGTATCATCTATCATACCTGACTTTGATTTTGTTAATGATGAGTTAGAAGATCTTCGGAATTTTTCAAGTCTTCCATAATTCATGTCTAATCCTTGTCTAATCCACGATCTTGACATGGATCACACATTTTATTAGGACTGAATGGGTTTAATGCTCGACAACTCGCAGCATAGGGAGGATTAGATCATAATCGCAATTATGATTTGTCAAGTTTGACCACACCTACATATGCATGTTCTATCCCTGACTATTCTTTAGACTTTTCGCTTCTTTGTTACCCAAACCACAGGATCTGCTTATAATGTGACGCATTATTCGTCATACACCCAACTTTGAGGTAACAAAAATAATGCATGTTTGGGTCTGATTTATTTAGTGTGGTAACAAGGACAACAAACAACTCTGATTTAAGTCAATTATTTCTCACCAAGTTTTGACTACCCCTAATAGAAGCCACAATCTTGATACTGTGTAACCCCATGATATGGTTCGATATATATAGTCGATGATGTGCACTTCATCCTCGACATGCAGATCTTTCGAGCATTATCCCTGTCAACCCTCCGAAGTCAAAAACCATGGATCAAGCCCGATTTTTCTTTGGCGCGCGCATAATCCATGTCCGAATCATGGATTACCATCCGCGCAGAAATCCCAGATCAGATCATGAATTACAATCCATGACGCAACCGTGGATTGAACCCGAAATCCGCACGCGTGTATCATAATCCACAATTTTCATGGATTACATCCTCGACAACCGTCATGGATTACCGTCCCCGACGACATCATGGATGGTACTGAATCCTCTTCAGGATAACAATTCATGTCCCTGTTTGGGTTTACATCCGGAATGCCGTCACGTTCCACGTTCCACGATCCCCGATCTCCCGCACCACCATCAAGCCCGGATGAAGCCGGAAGTACAGGCAGAGTATTTTCGTGGATTGTACCGAGTATCGACATGTATTAAACTGGATTTTGTAATCCGTGAACATCGCGACCGTAGGGCAACGTCCCTACCAACCTGGCGCTCGTGGCTGTTTGCTCGTGTGAATCACACCCTACGAGTCCCCCGAATTTGACTGTCACGAATACCTGATTCGTGATTGCGCAAATATGGAATAACATATTCCACTTCCAGGAAAGGCACTCGAATAATAATCGTTCCCATAACGGACCCTTAATGGGAGTATGGAATTCATATCCCCCCACCTAAAAAGTATGGAAATTCCATAACGGGCGACTCCGTAGGGTTGATCCTCGAAGACCCTTAATCATTGATCCTCAATCTCGTTTTTATTGATGTGGGATATCTTATTCTCCTGGAACGAATATCATTCCAGGTCAAATAAGGTATTCGTGTACCATGAATTGGAATTCCACTCTGCTTGAATACTTTCCCACTTTATTCGCGTTTTTCGTAAAGTCGAATGACTTATTTGAGTGCTTTTGCTGAAAGTGGAATATGTTATTCCATATTTGCGCAATCACGA